TGTGAGACAAAGAAAAACCACGACCATGATTACAAAGCGATAGTGATCCATTTTGGAAAAACTATGTCTAAAGTTCCGATTAGAATTTTCTTTGCACATTCTTTATACACTAAAAAGAGATACAAATAGTTTTTGGGGGAAATCGCTAAGCAGATGCCACTATCAGCGAGAAAATAAGCCCAATTTTGGGTCAATGAAAAAGAAGGAGCACAAATCGAACAAAAAAAGAGCTGCCGAAAAGTCTTTGTTGATGGAAAAGAAAGAAAATATTCATCAAATTTGATAAAATAGTTTCTAAAATCTATTTACTTTGAGGAAAATCTAATATTTACATTTACAAGCTTTGAAAACGCTGTAAAATTGCTGCAAAATGGGAAACTTATGAAAAGGTTTATGGAAAAAAAAACAAACAATTAAACAAAGCACTGGTTCCTCTTTTTTTTGTTGTTTATGCGAACTTCAATCAAAGATACACAATCATCAATGACCGTTTGTTTTCATTAAATTTCGCGAAAAAGGAAAGGTGTCAAATGGTCTCTCAATTGATCCATTTCTGTTCTCTTTTTTTCCCGTTTTTATCAAAATCCATGCTCAAATGATAAGAGCTATCGAGATCTTAATCCAAACTTTTTTTCTTGACTTGATCAAGTCAACATTTGTGAACACTTTTTAGAATCTTTACACACTCATAAAACTGATCTTTTGTTCATCAAATCACCCTCCAAAAAATCCCCCATATCCATCAAATCACCCATCAAATCACTGACGCATCTCATTACTCATTTCCAAACATTGAGAATCCTTCTAATTTATATCATTTTTGCAAACATTTATAAAGTTCCTGATTGAGCGGGACAGTGATGACGTTGGGAATCTGTATTTGGGATGGAAGAGATGGGAGAAAAATCGAGCTGAAGCCTGTCATGGTTCCCATGGTTCTCTCGATTCGCTTTATACGCAAATTTTTCATTTTTTCATATTCCTCGATTTTTTTGAGCTAACCAACTGTATTTGATGGTTAACGTGCTTTCACTGCAATTGACAAGAACCCTTCAGCCGTTCAGGTTTGAAAATAACTGTAGCTGTGAATGTAGATTGTAAAAGTAATGAAAAGCTTCTTAAAAACACTGCCCTTTTTTTCAGATTGGGATTCTTTCTGATCGCTTTACTAGCTTTTGTCTTTGCTCTTCTAGTTGTCGTCGAAAATGTGGCTCTCTTTATTGGAACCACTGTTGGGTAAAGAATTTTAACCATTCAACAACTAGTTATTAGTTATTTTTAGTTATTTATGGTTTATGTCAAATAGTTATTAGCGAAAGAATCTCAAGATAACGATTATTTTTTTGTTTTTTACAGCTCGACATCTTTATCAATTTTATTATTACCCTATTTTCTCTCTTGGCTTCTCCTCTTCTTTGCCGTATTCTTTGGCAGAATCGCCTATGAGTTGCATACAAATCGTTTCCAAAAAACCGAACCAAGACTACAGTAAGTTTTGTTGATTTCATTTTAGATAATTCAAGTTTAACTGCTAAAATTCCAAACAATTTCTAGAACTGCTTGGACGCCAGATTCTCGACCTTGTACCCCGTCGGTTTATGACATTGAGACTCATTCACAGTGCTCACAAGTAAAAGAATCGACTAGCTCTATTAATATTCTTTTATTTTTAGGATACACTATTGCAAGGAGATCTTTTGCAAGCATCAATCTTTCTTGGAAATCCACATTATATCCCTGAAGAGATATCAGTATGAAATTTTCAAATGTTTTTTTTTTATATAAACATTCAGAGAGAGATTGATCAACCACCAGCTTATGATGAGGTTGTGATTCGAGCAAATCATGGACATCTTCTCGCTTCTCGAAGCCCATCAACACCTAGAGCGGTTTGTTGGAAAAAAAAATTTAGCTTATTAACAATTCTCTATTCTATACTGGTAAACAAGTAAAGTATACTATTCTGTACTGGTAAACTTTACTTGTTTATCAGTACAGAATAGAGATGATAGATTCAAATACGAGAATATTCAGCTTATCTATTTTACATTCATTTCAACTCTTTCAGGTTTCTGCTCCAAGCGCTATTCTAAGCGTTTGCCCACAAAGGATCCTCAATTCCTCTCGTTCTCCAATTTCTGGCGACTCTCAATCCACCACACCAATTGGTTGATCTCTTTTTGTTCACTTTTTCAATGTACATGCAATAAAGTTCAAGTAATCAGTTCAAGTGTTTCAATGCGTATTTCAAAGAAGGACTCATTTCATTCATTTCATCCATTAATGTGGGAGTGCATCGATATTGACCATCGGCAGTGAAAGAGCAGAGAATAGTGAAAGAGAGAGAGAGAGAGAAAGTTCGATTATGTCCACATGTTTCTCTTCCTGTCTGCTTTCATCTCTTATTCAGCTTCTCCCCATCGGCAATTGCCAATTGTCATTTGTTAATTGCTTGATTAAAATGAGCGGATGTGTCAACAAGATTTTCTACATATTTGGCTCGCTTTTCTGACTTATTATATTAAACTAGGGTTTCTCTGGGGTAAGAAAAGGAGAAAGGGGATTACTCAAAGGATTCTCTTTTCTCTTTTCTCTTTTCTCACCCCAGCCAGCATTCAAATTCCCCATCCTTAGGTGCATTTTAGTGAGCAAGCGCTTTTGAATTACTTGCATTCGTTTATGTTTTTTTCCAACTGATCTTCCTTTCTTTTTTTTTTCATTTTACTCATTTTCATTATCTATCTATGCTATATTATTATTTTTCAGTTAAATTAATATGCACGAATTTCAACGATGAATGAAAATCAAATGAAAATAAATGCTTTACAAGCACAAAAAGATTTCGAAAGGATTTTACCGTCGGGGAATATCGTGCGAGTTGGTTTGGCTGATGTGAATTATGAGGAATTGATGGAGGAAATGAAAAATATACAGGTATATTCATTTATAAAGCAATGCTTAGCCACGGGGAATATGGCTGAAGAAGTGCTAATGAAGAAGAGACTCATTCCCAAGCCTATCAAAGTAGCATTAAAAGTGAAATTGATAAAAACTAACTTTAGATCTCAATAAGGCCCATTTGAAACTTTGTAAACTAATACATCTTTTCTTTTTTACAGCTACAAAGCTTTGACAACAAAGGAGCGAGTGGAAAGGATGGAGCTGTGGACACACTCACATTGCTTGTCATATTGGGAACGGTATGCCTATATTGTTTTCTTTAATAAACATAATTCAATGAATTCTTTCCAGGCAGCTTGTTTCTTTATGGGACTTCTTGTGGGTCTCGTTTGTTGTTATCGGCGTCGAAGTCGAGAAGCCGAAGATCTTTCTATAAAGGTTAAAAACTTATAAACTCTTTCAACAATTGCTTTTAGCATTCCACAAATTCAATTCCCGATCCACCAGCAAATAGAAGCATTTCTTTTGGGAAAATGCCTAGTTGGAGGGAAGAGCGGCAACGCCAAAAAGCGAATCGATATATTTTCAGTGCATTGGAAAGGATTCGAGAAGCAGAAGAACGATCGAGGAGTGATCAAAATGTAAGAATTCTGTAGGAAATGATAAAAAAAGATTTCCTAGGGCTCAGTGACAGGAAGTCAACAAGGGAGTATGTCGGGTGGAGGAGCGGAAAGTTTGAAAAGTCTCGAGAGTGGAAGAAGCTATCTTTCTGATGGACATTGGCACAAGTACAGGTTCATTTCTTTGTAATCTAATTTATTCTAAAGTTTCTTTGAAAACAAAAAAAGCTTTAGTCAAGGGAATTTCTCGAGCTCAAGCAATCGTCGATGCTATTCAACATCACAATTGAGAATCGGTGAATCGAATGGATGGTCGAATCGGGATGAGCAAGAGCACTCAATCGATGCACCGCTTCTCGAAAATAATCATGTTCCGTAAGTTTTCAACTATAAAATATGTTTAACAAGAAGATATTATGAAGATCAATGACCAATGCTCAGTACTTACCGTAAATACTGTAATAGTACCCCACCCTCCCCTCGTACAGTCGCGTAGTCGCAAAAGTTTTTTAGTATTTCATTTTTTCAAAGCACTCGTACTTTCAAAAAATGCATCTTTGGTATCAAAAAATAGCTGAAATTCAGGGCTATTTTTTGATAATTGTATTGCTATTGTCGCATAAACCAGTGTCGAGAAAAACTCGTTCAAAGCTAAACTACGCAACACTCCGCACTGTCATTATGGGGGTGCGGTACTATTACAGTATTTACGGCATGCATAGAAAAGAAGAAAATAAACAATTAAAATAAGCTTATACTTTAAAAAAGACAAGATTAATGGCTTTAAAGATTAATGTTGGTTTCATTTTGTTGCACTTATTAAGATCTACAAAATGACAAGATTTAAAGAAGACGAATTCAGTTGTCGATCGGATTCTCGTGATTTCAATCCCCATCATCGTCATCGTTCTTCTCAATCCGAATCTCCATTTTTCCCTCTCTCCTATCCAATTGACATCCCAAGAGAAAGGTTTTAAAAAAATAACAAAAAAAAAGACCAATTCTTTATGTAAAATTTTCAGTCCAACCGAACAACCGCGCTTTTCGTCAGGAGTTTTTATTTGATTATTAATTATTGTTTGTGAATTTTCTCGATTTCACTTTGCTCTACGGGTCTTAATAAATCTCATATCATCTATAATATTCATAACGAAAAAGTTTCTACAAATATATATTGTTGAAATCACCTCGAATTTGAAAGAAAAAACGAGTGGGTGAACGATCGTAGTCGATCAACGAAAAGGCTCAATGTGTAAAGGAAAAATGGAAGAGAGAAAGGGGAAAAATGGAGGCAAATACAAACCCCGTCAGTTTCCTCATCGAATTTCCAAAGAATTTAAACTTTCACTGTTTGTATGATATTGAAAATTGTCAAACATTAGTAACATTACATTTCAGTAATGGACCTAACGCTTTTGCCAGAGAATGCCTTTAAAACGGTGCTCTCATTTCTCGAGGCTAACGATGTACGCAATTTTCGAGCGATTTCAAGGTAAAACTTTGCTTTTAAAAAATTAAACAACAAATTAAACATTTAGATTTATAAAATCTCTGTTTATTTTCTTTTTCTTTTCTATTTTAGTTGGGCAAATGGGTGCTTTTTACGATTTTCGAAGTACGTCGAGAAGCGGCCCACCAGCGAGCTTTGTTTGCGGAGAAAAGATGTAATCTTAATAATCTTAATTCTTATGTGAGATTAAGAATTTATTGAATCAATTGTGTAAAAAAAAGTGAAATGCTGATGCAAATGATGTAAATCGAGTGTTTTCTTTATTGGCCTCTTATCCTTTCATAACTTTATTCGAAAAACAAAAAAGAAATCACTATCAACTATCCGAAAATCGAAATTTTTAACAATTATTCTTTTCCTTTTCATTTCCTTGAGCTTATTTCATGTTCAATTTAAGGGGTAGGCTAATTTCGGCAATTTTTTTTTCGCAACTGGGTCGTTTGTGCAACTCGCCATAATTTCCTTCTAAGTAGGCCAATCTTTATGATTTTAGTGTCATTTTGTAGATCTCAATAAGTGCAACAAAACGAAACCAACATCATAAAGATTGGCTGACTTAGAAGAAAGTTATGGCGAGTTGCGCAAAAAAATGCGGAAATTAGCCTACCCCCAATTTAAATCATCCTTTGCGCTAACTATAAAAAAAACAAACATTCATTAGATATTCAAGCAGATTTGCATTTCATTTACATTTCATTTCACATTTTTTACATAATTAATTCAAATTCTTATACAAATATATACCGTAAATAGTGCAATATTACCCCACCTCCCTCGGACAGTCGCGTAGTCGCAAAAGTTTTTTAGTATTTCATTTTTTTCAAAGCGCCCGTACTTTCAAAAAATGCGTCTTTGGTATCAAAAAATAGCTGAAATTCAGGGCTATTTTTTGATACCTAAGCGCGCATTGTAGCATAAACCAGTGTCGAGAAAAACTCGTTCAAAGCTAGACTACGCGACACTCGGCGCCGTCATTATGGGGGTGGGGTACTATTACAGTATTTACGGTAAGTTTTTATTTATATAATCTTTATTTTTATAGAAAAAAACGTTGATTTTGATTATTTCATTTGCTCACATAACCACATCAAAATGGAAATTGGAGTTTATCGATGAAGAAAATCGAGAAGAATTCAATTGGATTGATAAGCTCGAAAAACCTGGTTGATAAAAAGAAATTGTTTAAAGAAGTTTTGAAGGATTTCTTTTTAGGGAATATAAAAGTGAGTCGTGAAATTCGGGGGAATCTCGCTGAGAATTTGTCGCTTTTCCTTGAAAAACTCTTTCAATTGACACAACTTCCTGGGATGATTGAATTGGTAAAATATTCATTCATAAAACGAAAAATTCAATTTGAAATCAAATCTGAACACTTTTAGATTGATCTTTTCCCAAATGAAATCACAATTCTTGAACATATGATCACGAATTTTTGCGATCGAAACAAACAACCGACTAGGATCAGAGTGATAAAAGGGGAAACGATTGATAAAGATGATCATATTTTAGATGCAAATCTCTCAACCAGCAACACAAGAAATTGCTAAACTCTTTCGAATTACTGAAGCAAAAACTTGCAGCTTTGAGGTAAACTTCAAATCAAAAAGCCCAAAAGCAAAAAAAAGCACAATTTTTTTTAGATTCAAAATGCAAATTGCTTTGATGATCAGCTTTTGAGTGTGAAATTTTTCCGAAGTTTCAGTTCTTTTGCCATCAAATCGTTCAAAGATTCTGTAAGCAAAAGAATCAAAAAAAAAGATTTATGAATTTAGGATACGATTTTAAATTTTGATGATAATCTCTTAAAAGAACTGGAAATGGATCGACCGAATTGGGGGAAAAGCCTCAATTTGCATATTGAGATGCCTACTAGAATCTCTGCTTCAGCCGCTGAAAGCTTTATTAAAGTAACTTCTTGTATATCCATCAATATTAGAGATATTCAATTGATTGCAACAAAATTTTGTCTTATTTACAGTAGCTCTTATTTCAGAGAACGATTACCGGGAAAAATCAACGTCTTTGGGGCTCATTCTGGCTTTGTTCGCCTTTTCCGGAGGATGTTAAAGAAGAGATTTTCTCGAAAGCTAGTTAGTTTATTATTAAATCATTTTCCAATTCAAATTCAGCTCATCAACAGAACAATATAGCGAATTTTGGCGATATTTGTACACTAAAAATCACTGGAAAACGAATCTCGATCAGTAAGGGACACATCGATATCTTATAAGAGAGATAATACCTTAATAAGATATATAATAGCTTTTGAGCTTTATAATAAACTTACAAGATATCCTTTATTTTGATTTTCTTTGGATAATGTTTATAAATCATTTTCTTTTATCATAACAATATGCAGTTTCTCTCTTTTTTTTTTTGGTTTCCGCTTTAACGCTTCCGCTTGTGCACTTTTTAAGCTTTATAAACTTTAAGCATTTGTTGAAACCCGTACTACAGCACAAGAACTATCACAAAACATTTGTGAGCACAAAGACGAAGAAAAGAAAAAAACCAAAGAAAAGAAGAATTTGAAAAAATTAGACTAGAAAACTGCGAATGATTCGAAAATTTTTCGCTGACTGAGCACGGCGAGTGGTTGATTTAGTGGATGTTTGTGTTGGAGGAGGGATTGGATGAAGGCCAAAACGGGTGGAGAATGGGGCACGATGAGAGGGAATTGATCGACGAGGAGCATCCAATGATCGTCTTCTAGAAATTTTCAATGTAGATCAATGTGATCTTATTGTTTCAATCAGTGAAAGTTAGATATCTACGATACTTGTTTATCAGTTATTTTTATAGTTTTTTTTCAAATTCCAATTTTACAATAAGTTTGGTAGAAGAAAAGGCTAAAATTCAAAGCCAACCTCGGGCGATTGGTCGGTGTGAAAGTACGGGGAACGGTGTTTGAAGGTGGAACCCAGGGAATTGATGAAGCTGATCGGATGAGCATTCCCTCCGCCAATGAGGTCTTTTCAAAAACAAATTCTTCTTCCTAAATATTATCTTAGCTTCTACAAGTCCTACTCCATTCAAGAACCTTCAATTGTAACCAAGTTGCATAGGCTTCATCAGCTAAAGCCTTTTTGTATTCATTTTCCGCCTCTTTCCGTCGACTATTCAAATCCTTCTCTTCGCGTTGCTTCACTTCTGCGTTTTCCTCTTGTTCTCGTTTTTCTCTAAATCGTTGACGATTTGAAAAGTAGCTTTTCTCTCATCGGCTATTTTAATCACTACTCAATCGAAGGTTTTTCTCAACTCACCTACACCAAGCCTCAAATGCAGATTGTGCTTCTTTATGTTTAAGCGCTCTTTCCTCATCTTTTTGCTTCTCTCGTACTTGCAACTTTTCTTTCTTTTTCCCATTTTCAATTACTTCTTGCTTTTCTTTTTCCAATTTATCCCTTTTCCAAGCTTGATATGTCTAAATTGTGTTATTCTTTTAAATGAAGTCAAATCTTCTTTACCTTGTCCGCGTCTTTCATCTGCTCCTCCTTCTCTTGCTTCTCCAGTTGTCTTTTTTCCTTCTCAGACTGTCTTCTTGCTTTCAATTTCTGAAATTTGCATTTCCTCCATTTATTTCTTTTCCTCACCTCTTCAAAATGATTTTTCCATTTCTCAAACAATTTCTTTGCTTCTTTTTTCCTTTCAATATCTTCGATTTTCTTCTTTTCTGCTTTTTCCTTTTCTTTTATTTTTCGTTCTCTTTCAGCTTCGATTTTTTGCCGAAGCCATCTCTGTAAAGGAAAAAGTTGATTGTGTCTTTTTTTTTTTTGACGAACCTCATGAGCAGAACCGGGATTTGGAGGACCCGTCAAAGAGGATGTGAATCTGAAAACTTGAAGAGTAAGAATCACCTTTCAGAAATACCGTTTGGGTGTATCTTTAGTTGCTTTTTCAGCTTTTTCAGCAGCTCCATTCATTTTCACACTTTTTCCATTCGTTTCCGCTTTTGGTGTCGTTTTTTCTTCCTCTAAAAGTGAAAAAAGAGAATTTGCTTAAAAGTTTGGTGATTCGGTTTTACCTTCAACTTTGAACGTGTGCGTGCTTTCACTTGTGCTTGGTCGAGATGCTTTTATCTGCGAATGAGTCGAATAAATCTCGTTTATTGTCATTATTTTTCCTGTGTTTCCTATTGTACTTGTTCATTTGCTGAATAAAGTATATAAATACGAGCGGAAAACGCAAAAGTTAGTGAGCGAAAGAATAGTGTTCAAATCTATATTTGACTAGGGAAAAACGCTGACTAACGTTCGCGTTTTCCTCACTAACGTTTTGCTCACTAACGCTCACTAACGTTCGTATTTTCCACTGCAAAGGTCAACGCTTTCAGCGCAAAGCTAAGCGCAATCTTTTTGTCAATAGTTGCGCACAGACGGACAAACGTCTCTTCTGATTTGTATATAGTAAATATGAAATTGTATAAAAAGAATACCGTAGTTTGATGAGAGTTGCGGAAGTCAAGTGAAAGCTCTGGGAATTCTTGGCTTTCTTCGATCGGAGTTCGTAAAGGAATTTGGCGATGATCTCCTTCAGCTGGCAATTTTGTGCTCACGAGAGAACGACGTCGAAGGGAATTTCTAAATAAATGGCAATTACAGAATTGATTTTAAGCTTGGATCTTCTCATTTGAATGAGCTGCTTAAATTTAAAACTTAAAAAAGCAAAGTAAAGTTCAACGATTGAAGCGATTGAAATTTTATGTTAAAAATTCAAAGACAATCTGATTCATTTAACGACTACACTCTTAAATTGTAGTCTACAAGATTTGTAGTCTGTAGTCTACAGACTGTTGTAGTCTACAAGATTTCTGCGTACAATTTATTGAGAAATTCCTCATCAGCTCCATTCTCCTTTTGCTCGATTTCACGAAGCGAGAAGTCTCCATTTTGTTCACTCGATCGTCGCGTTGATGTCGAAGAGCTTTCCTAGAGTTACTAGTATTTGCAATAAGTTATTCTATTATATCATTTGTTTTCTTATATAATTTGCTCTATTTCCCCTTACAGGTGCTTGTGACAATGACTCCCTTCCATGACGTGTTGGCGGCCGTCCGCTGCTTTCCGTCCGAACACTTTCACCGCCTAAAAATGCTCCTAAAACCCTTCAAAACTTTATTATTAAGTAAATTCTTGAATTTATTATTAAATTATTGTTTATTTTTAAAAATAAAATACCATTTTCTTTTAGTGTGAGTCCAAGGAGTTCCTCGAGAGTGAAATTTAAACTCCTCGATTTTGGCGGCTCTGTCATTCTGAATTTTCTTTGATTATTAGCTATTTTATTAGTTTTATAGTAATAAGATCATATTTATAGATAATATTTTTGAGAAATCTAAAAATTCTCAAAATAGGAACTAAATAGGAACTATACAGTAACCAAATAGGAACTATAAAAGAACTAAATAGGAACCAAATACGAACTAAAAAGGGACTATAGAGTAACCAAATAGGAACTATAAAAGAACGAAATAGGAACCAAATAGGAACTAAAAAGGACTATAGAGTAACCTGATAGGAACTATAAAAGAACTATATAGGAACCAAATAGGAAATCAATTATCCCACCCGCTAACATGAAGGGGCGCCGTTGAGAGGCCAATATCTTCTACTCGTTTCCACTTGCGAAAAATGGTGACTTCCTGCAAAATTAAAAAGTAATTGATGGTAAATCAAGCGGAAATTGTTCATTTATTGTAATAAAGCCCTAAAATAAATAGTTACAGAAAAGAAATGAGAGAACAAAAAAAAGGAGTGCGCGCGCTGAGGTAGTAGTCATGGAAACAAAATGCCTTTAGGAAAAGTGAAGAGACAACATCAATAACGGAGAGAATTCCTCGTTAGATCGTCGAGAAATTTGGTCTCTGTCTTTTGCGAATTTCATCCAAACAGACTTCTGTCCACTAATTACCATTCAGGAGATGAGGGTAATTTGTACACACACACTAATAATTCCCACACTGAAAACTTTCTTATAGAAAATGATCCAAGAATGATACAGACCTACAATAGATTGAATAAAGAGTAGAGATTATTGTAGCTTTTGAAAGTTGACATTTTTTCAGAGAAAAATATCATATAATGTTTAAAACAAAGACATCAACAAGATACAGTACAAAGATCGTTACCATTCTTTTGATGAGTTACCAATTTGTTTCTCAATTGATCATTGCTTTTAGATCATTGACACCAAAAATGAGCCCCAAAGACGTTCTTCGTTATCAATTTGATTCTCAATTGACATTGTTCTGAATGTTCTGTTGAATATTGTTCTGTTGATGAGCTGAATTTGAATTGAAAAATGATTTAATAATAAACTAATTAGCTTTCGAGAAAATCTCTTCTTTAACATCCTCCGGAAAAGGTGAACAAAGCCAGAATGAGCCTCAAAGATGTTCTTCGTTACCAATTTGATTCTCAATTGATCATTGCTTTCAGATCATTGACACCAAAAAAAAGTGTTTGTTGAAAGAAAAGATTCCCACGGGTGTTTCCCTCTTATCTCTTGTTGTCGAATGGTGGATGTGGTTGAATCTTTCTCCTCTCCTCCCCATTTCCTTCATTCTTCCGAGGATCACCAATCTTTTCCCATTTCTCCGAATTCTCTTCTCTCAATACTTTTCGGGAAGAAAGCGAACGTTTGAAGGGAGAGCCGACTATTGTCCCAGTGACCTTATTATCAGTGATCTCGTCGATTCAATAAAAGATGCGCGCATCCCATCTTTCAAATGTCTTTTTTATTTTGTTAAAGTTTAAAGTTGTTGATAACTTTGAATAGTTGAAGTTAAAAGTGAAATCTTTTTTTTAAATCTTTGTTTTTGGGTGTATTTTTAGATTTTCTTTTTTTTTCTTTTATTTCTTGACTTAAAAAACATACTTTTTTTTTACTTTGAGGTAAATATTTGCCCTTCCAACCAAAGACTAATCTTTCTCGGGATCCGGTAATCGGTGTTCGTTTCCATCGTTCTTTTTCTGCCCACCTGTTTTCTGTTTTCAAAAAAAACATCACAGTCCAATTATCGACTGAACCTTGCAAGATTTACCACAAGAATTCAGCAATTGTTTATTGGTTCTGATGTGTTTGTTCTCAATCTCTATATTTTTTTTCATTAAAAGCATATTTTTCTTTTAAAGCATCTAACTGGATTTCTTTGAAATTTGACTCAAGAAATCTAGAATCTGTTTTGTAGACTTATCGATAAAAACATATAGAAAATTAGGGTCAAAGTCAAGATAGGTGTCTACCCCCTCTAGAGATTTGTCTAGTTGTCTAGGGGGGTAGAGAGTCGGAGTTTCACGACTCTTCTCTTCTCCTCCATATCTCAACTTCCAATTGACCGATCAACTTGTGGTTGGTCTTAAAATGTTCCTCATGAAATTCGGTTATAGAAAACCATAAGTCATTTAATACACCCCATCCCCATAATGACGGTGCGGAGTGTTGCGTAGTCTAGCTTTGAACGAGTTTTTCTCGACACTGGTTTATGCTACAATGCGCGTTTAGGTATCAAAAAATAGCCCTGATTCAGCAATTTTTTGATACCAAAGACGCATTTTTTGAAAGTACGGGCGCTTTGAAAAAAATGAAATACTAAAAACCTTTTGCGACTACGCGACTGTCCGAGGGGGGGGTTTAATGTGAAATGAAATGTAAATGAAATGAAAAAAAGCACTCGTACTTTCAAAAAATGCATCTTTGGTATCAAAAATAGCTGAAATCCAGGGCTATTTTTTGATACCAAAGACGCATCTAACTAAATTAAAAGCATCTAACTGAATTTCTTTTCATAAAATATGAACATTTTCATGTTTCTTATCTAAATTCTTTATCAAAACTTTAAAAAAAAAATTTTCAAGTTGCTTAATTTTTTATCAAAGCCTTTTTTTCGGGGAATCATAATCATTCGAGAGTGTTATTGTTGACAGAAGAGTTCTGTGTGATATGGAAAAGAGCGGTGAGATTTGTGAGGTCTGTGAATGGTTTGCCTTTAGAAGGGGGCATCTTGAAAATCGAAAAAGATTGAAGAGATGAAGGAGAAACATGGGAAGAGAAGCGTGAAAAGATCGACGCTTGACGCGCACGCTCGAGTTGTTTGGAGACTTTGGCCAAGGAGAGACCGGCGTTTCCTTTTTCCTTCATCTTTTATCCCTCTTTTGCCAGCGATGTCCTTCTTTGATTGGAATAGGGAAAAGAGATCGGGGATCAGAAAAGATCTGTGAGATCTCGTCGTGGCCATGCCTAGTCGATCCCACTTTCCACCAAATCCCAGTCTACCCTATGTTGGCTTCAAATTTCACCACTCCAATGACGTCTTTCTACTGTACCTTTCTTTCTTTGTACTTTCTTTGTACTTTCTAGTCTTACCACTTTTTTAAATCTACTCTTGTACAGATTTTCTTTGCTTTTCTTTCATTTTGCTTCTTTGATTTGAGTTTTTATGATCTTTATTCAAGCAAACGTCTTAATCTCTTGAGAAACCTTTATTAGCTTTCATTTTTTTGTTTTAGCAACAAGATTATTACTAAATCTTATAGATTCCAAAGAGCTAAATGATTTTTGAAATTTGATTTGAAAGCTTTGAAAGATCCGATGTCCTACAGGGTCCGAGAAAAGTATTTTCTTTTTTTCCAACCATCATATCTTTTTTCAAAATTGAGCTTTTAACATATTTATTGAAAAAAATAACAGATAAATAACCAAAAATTCAAATTTATAACAAGTGTTCGAAATTGGATCCCTTGGCTTTGATACAGGCTTTCAGACGCGGGATCCGCTGAGCCGACGGTGGCACGGAGGTAGTTGGTATCAATATCGTTCCAGGCAGCGATCAATTCCCTCTCGAGCTTACCAAGATTTGCGATTTTCTTATGCCTCAAAAGTTCCTCTAAAAAGCCCCATACTGAAAAATCCAAAGGGTTGAGGTCCGGCGAGTTGCTGGGCCAATCTTCTTTCGTGAAATGTAGTTCTCTTTGAAATGAACTTTGTTCAAAATTCAAATCCAATCCTATGTAAATGATTATAAAATTGATCAATCCATATTGATCAATTGAATTCATTTTGAGTATCAATTCATTGTATTTCTTTCTCGAGATCTTCTCAATACTTGATTTGAATGAGTATGAGAGGGCACTCGATCCCTTTCATTCCGTTATTGTTTTCCTTTTTCCTCTCACCTTCACAACTTGTTTACATTTGCATTCAGTGATGGGTAAATAAAGACCAATAGGTTTTTGATTCTTTTTTTTTATTTCTTAACTTTTAATAACATGAAGTAGATAATTTAGATTTTGGGGCTTCACAAAGTGAAGGAGAAGCCTTTTTAGGCTTATTTTGGATTTTCGATGATTGATCCCGCACAATATAAGGTTTTTAGATTATAAAAATGTAAATATACTATAATAAAGAATAAATAATTTGTTGATAAAAGAGTTGATGTTGTTGTTGTGAATCTTTATCCCATTTTTTACAGGTGAATCGATTTCTCCAAGATCTCGGTGGTGAGCAAACCGACTCCACTGATGATTTCAGGTAGGAAATTTCTAGAAACAATGTCAAAAAAAATCTCGATTAATCGAATGGACGAGGCTTTTACGCGGAAACGAATTTCCAGCTACTCCTCTCTGTCACGGAATAGCGTTGATGCGGTTGACGGGCACAAACCCGTGCAAATCCCTACACGACCACAGCAGCGACTCGCCTATACGGTATGCAATTCAAAAAAATACATTTATTCACACAAATAATGTGATACAAACAATACACAAGCAGGTCTAAATCTAGGAAAGCAAAAAATAATATCTAAAAAAACCAATAATCTAATCGGCGGGATCGAACCCTTGAGCTCTCGACTTAGATACAAGGCTCTTAGCCAGTCGGCCAGCCGGCAGAGTCGCAAGACTGTTTTTAAAAAGATCTATATACAGCCAGCCGCTGATCCATTGCATTATGTGTCGGCACAATCAGCCGCTTTGGCTCTGACTGAACACGCGAAAACGATAATGACGCTGAGTGAACAACAGAATCGACGTCGACATAAAGAAATCGAAAATGTGGTTGGGAAAGTCTTCATTTACAAAAACATTTACATCGATTTAAGTTTCAAATACTTGTATATAGTACAATGTTTTCGAAAGGCATTAAATGCACTAATTTTGAAGGGTACTCGCTCATTAAATGCACCAATTTTGATGGGTACTCGCTCATTAAATGCACCAATTTTGATGGGTACTCGCTCATTAAATGCACCAATTTTGATGGGTGCTCGCTCATTAAATGCACTAATTTTGAAGGGTATTCGCTCAAAGAATCTCCATCTTTTAACACCAGCTATATTTTAATATCTTTTAGATGAAAAAAAGAAGATAAATTAAATGTTTTTAGTTTGCGAAATTATAGAATCTATAGCTAAATCGAAATGAAATTTGATTTTAGCCTCGTTTTGATGAAGAGGAGACATGGATGACCGATTTGGACACATGGAGAAGAAAAAGAAAACAAAAGAAAGATGATGATGAAATACCAGAGATATCGGATGAAAGGTTTTATTTTTTGATAAATGTTAAAAGATTGCCTACCGTAAATACTGTAATTGGACCCCACCCCCATAATGACGGTGCGGAGTGTTGCGTAGTCTAGCCTTGAGCGAGTTTTTCTCGACACTGGTTTATGCTACAATGCGCGTTTAGGTATCAAAAAATAGCCCTGAATCTCAGCTATTTTTTGATACCAAAGACGCATTTTTTGAAAGTACGGGCGCTTTGAAAAAAACGAAATACTAAAAACTTTTGCGACTACGCGACTGTACGAGGGCGGTGGGATACTATTACAGTATTTACAGTAAGTATGAAAAAAACTTAGAGACAAAGTGAAAGTGAAAGTGAAATTGCAGACTCAGCTATCAGCCAGCTGCTCTTCTTGAAAGCACTTCGAAAATCAAGGTTTGATCGACAATTTCCCCCGGAAAATCTCGAAATATCTTTGAAAGGGAAATGAATGAAAATTTCAGGAAAATTTGAGAAGAAATGGTTAGAAATGGGGTCATGGTGTTTGGGGGAATGGTGAAAAAGAACGAGATTCACCCATTCTATTTTCTCTCGATCATATCTCAAATCCAATTCATTTTCTTCTCTCCCACCATTCCTGTTTCATCTCCATTTGAGCAAAGGTCTCAATGTTGATTGTACTACTCAAAATAGTTTCTTTTTTCATTTTCAAAGTCTTTCAAACATTTCAAGTTCATTTTTCTTAAACATTGGCTTTATCATAGATCGAAATGGCTTCACTTTCTGAATCATTTTCCCATTTCCGCTCGTTTTATCACTTTGACCACTATGAACTTCAAATTTCAAAAGAAAGGAAGAAAGGAAGGAAGGAAGGAAGGAAGGAAGGAAGGAAGGAAGGAAGGAAGAAAGGAAGGAAGAAAGAAAGAAAGAATTAAATGTTTCTAGCCTTTTTGGTAATGATGTAAACAATTAAAACTGTTAAAATAAGAATAATCTGAAAAGCATCCATTGAAACTTTCCAACTTTTCTTTCATCTTTTCAGCTTTTCCTCTTTTTGTTGATCATTTTGTTCTGTTGACAGAGCGTTTCTCTCTTACTATCTCCTCTGTCCCTCCCATTTTTTTTCTCTTTTTGCCCATCGCTTCATCTTGCCATCAACTTGAAGAAAAGACCAGATCCCCTTTCTTATTTCATTCATCTTTATTTCAATTCATGGCATCCGATCAAGAAAGCCTTTCTTTACCACATATTATTCGAAATCGAGAGCTTTCTGATGGGGAAAGTCCGCTGAGTGATGATGAAGATTCAGAAGAAAATGAAACTCTTCGGATCACTCGGAAAGATCCTTTAGAGTTCAGTCCGAAACCCCTTGGAGATGAGGTTCAAGATGCTCACACTCTACGACCAACCGATGAGTTCGAATATATCCCTTTCCCATCACTTCGACCGCAACCAACTCCACCAACTCAAGACCGAAAAAGAATCTACACGAGCCCAAGGGACAGCAAGATTGAGAAAAATCCTCGTCCCATTCCGCCACCAAAACCAAAGTATTTGAAAGAGTCTCGTTTATTGAAAAGCCCAACGGCTGATTGTCGACCAATGAGCCGAGATTCCGGTATTTCAATCTGCACCAATCCCCAATGTCCTTATTCCACCGGTCAACACATTTTGCGCATCTCCATTCTTCCAGTAAGTGGAAATGTTTCAAAATCGATAATCCACTTGTTCACATTCGTTTTCTCAGAGATTTTAGAGGGGAATGAGTGAAATTTGGGTCTTTGCCTTTTTATTTGCCAGGACCTTCCCGTTCTGTTTGTCGAGAAATCAGCTATCCTCAAAAAGTAGTTAAGTGCTAAGCATTCGATAACAGTGATTGTAGTTGGTGATTAGTACTTTGGGAGAAGTTGATAAACGGTGGTACTGTAATTTGAAGGGCTTTATCTTGGACTGGTAAACTGACAAAGTACAGACTCCTTACTATGAGTTATTTGAAGTTAGTTCTCTTGAAGAGATATTAAGGGAACCAAATTATCGGCAGATAGATAGGGTATTATAATTTTTGATTGAGTTTTATGTGGAAATGATTAAAGTAATCGGTTTATCAATGGCTTTATCAAGGGATCAAATGGACTTTTTAGGGCATTTCGGCCTTGAGTGTTTCAGCTGGTTTAGGTGGCATGTGAAGTCTGTGGCGGGGGTATAGCCGGAGTTGGGAGGCGATTGATCCCAGTTTGTGGCGAAATACAAGCGAGTTCACGGTGGAGGGATTTCCCAGGGTTGTGGGGCCCAAAGCCACGGGGTCGGCTCAGTCGCTCATCGCTCTTTTTGCCTTAGGGATTCTAAAAAGGGAAGTTCCTCATGCGAGACGGGTTTGCCAGACGGCGAGCGATTATGTGGCACATTATGTGGCACAAAGAACACCTCCCAGTCATTGATTCCCTTTTGCTTTGCAAATGGCTGTAAATTTGATATTCAGATTCAAGATATTCAGCTGTAAATTTGTACTGGGGGTTTTCGGGATCGGAGAATCGATTGGAGTTATTCATTTTATTAAGGCTATTAACTGAAACTCGGGTTCAATTGGTCCAAACTTTTAGATAAATTTCAATTTATAAAATAACTGCATAGTAAAAAGAAAAACAAAAAGCAAATCAACTAAAGTTCGAATTGAAATACACAGAATCGGGTTCACATTTAATGCTTTTACACTTGGCTTTTCGAGTTTGATCGTAAAATTTGGCGCTCCCTGGAAAGCCTAGATTCCCTCCAGCCAATAGATGCCATAAAATTTTCACTTCACACATTCAGCTCTATTTTTATTCAGCTCTATATAGTCTTTCAAAGACTAATAAGCTTATCAAAAACTTTTGTGATTTATAGAGTTTCAGTTAGTATTTTGAATCACTTCAAATCTCATATGTTCTTCAAAAATCAGTTCCAACTTTCACTTAAAGCCTAGTAGACTTTTGAAAAAAGTAGTGATTGTAGTAGTGAGTAGTGAGTGTTTGGGGTTGAGGAGGATTATCGATGGATTTGTTGAATGGGGCGAGAGTGAATCGAAGAGGGGAAAAAAATGAAGGGATAGTAAAGCTCATCGTGAGTAACATGAAGGGGAAAGCTGCCCTTCTCTCACTTTCTCTCCTCACAATCCTGTAGCATTTTGTATGGATTATTATCATCTAATTAAGCTCCTCTTCTTTTGTTTCTCATTCTGTAGTGAATGTGGGAGGAGATCTGTCTTGCTACAGTCATTTGTTTAGACCTATTGATGAGTGATTGTTTCAAAGTTGTAAAGCTATTGGTATTCTATAAACATATTATATATGTTGTGTCCGATTTAGATTGAACTTATCGCGGACGTCCTATTTAGATTACAGTCTATATCGGACGTCCTATTTAGATTACAGTCTATATCGGACGTCCTATTTAGATTACAGTCTATATCGGACGTCCTATTTAGATTACAGTCTGTATCGGACGTCCATTAATTACAGTCTATATCGGACGTCCTATTTAGATTACAGTCTATATCGGACGTCCTATTTAGATTACAGTCTATATCGGACGTCCGATTTAGATTCAATCTAAATCTTATATAGATTGAACAATAATATAAACATGCTTAATATATGTTCTTAAGCGTTTTCTGTAGTTTTCTGCATTTTTCAAAGGTCTGTTACTGTCTTTTTCTGGAAAGAAAACCCAACTATGAAACAATTTATTAGCGTTAACAGTATATAAGACGTATTATTGTTCAATCTATCTAAGATTTAGATTGAAACTAAATCGGACGTCCGATATAGACTGTAGTCTAAATCGGAAATTGGAAATCTAAATCGGACACAACATATATATGTTTATAGAGTACCAATAGCTTTACAACTTTGAAACAATAGCTTTTTGCTTTACAACTTTGAAACCAATAGCTTTTTGTGAGTATTATAAAGATTTTTAGGATTCGAAAGACGAGATCTACGAGGTTCATTCGCCGGCACAAACAGGCGATTCGGGCATCGAGCATACGAGAGCCACTCCCTCCACAAGCACCGATTTCTCACCAAGAAGTTTGCTTCAAAATTGATTTTCTTTACAAACTTCTAACTAATAATATCGTAAAATTTAATGTTAGATAACAAAGATTCAATATAATTCAATGTATAATTTAAAAAAATTATATCTATATGAATATTTAGGCGATCTCAAATCGGAATACGCGAGCCCTCGACCACCATCGAAAGCAGCCACTCCCGAATCAGTGAATCAGCTTCTAATTCAAAGGTTATTATGAAATTTTTAATGCTAAAAGTTTAAGAAATAAAAGATACAGAAGTATAGTGGAGTTATCTTTGAAATTATTTCAATTAAAACTCTTTAATTTGATAAGTTGTTGTTGTTGTTGTTGTTGTTGTTGTTGTTGTTGTTGTTGTTGTTGTTGTTGTTGTTTTGGTTTTTTTTGAAACAAAACCAAGTTCTCAGTCTTGTTTACACGTTTACACGCTATAATTTATCAATTTTTAGGGAAATATTGAAATGAATTTGTGATGGGAAATGTCTAGCTACCGTAATTTTTGTCTTTTTTCTTCATTTCCTTTTATTTTTTCTTCATTTCCTCTTCATGAGTGGTCTTTTCTCATTCAAATTCTTCTTTTCTTTCTTTGTGGATGGCTCCCTCAGTCCTTTTGCTCATCTTTCTCACCAAAATATTTTGTGAGACATAAATATTGCGTTTTTGTGAATAATAAGAATAAATTTGCGTCATAGATAGCTAAAAAAATATAATTGTCTTACTATTGACTTTAAGAATCAACATGTTTAAATTATAAGTGTGAGATTTAAAAGAAATGAGTAAAAATGTGTAAACATTTAACTTATGAAGTATAAAAAATGAAATTAAGAATTGAATTTTAGAGAAACCCCACCACCTGATCACGCACCTCCTCCACCGCCATCAACACTTTCGACCGACGAACGTCTTTACTCCGAAGAGCAACGCCAAAAAGCACGAGATACTCTTGATCAGGTATGAGCTTTCAAAAAGCTTCAAAAAGCTTCAAAAATAAGAAATCCTTTTCCAAGAAATCATCTAGGTTTTGATTCCGATTGCGGTGGAAAGAGAACGTTCGCGGGGAACGATCGAGTCGAATCAAGGAAGCGACGAAGAAGAAAAGATCCCGATTGATCAACATTTCATCGAAGAGGAGACTTTCCCCGATCCACCACCACACATCTCAAGCCAAGAATTGAAAGAGGTTTGAGTGAAGATTTGAAAGTGAAACAGAGAGAATATTGTTGTCATTAAAGATTTCGTTATTATCTTTCATTTCATAAAGATTATCGTTTCTAGGCGGTGATCACACAGCACGCGAAATTCTCTTGTCTGAGTGAGCGTGAGGAAAGTGCTCGAGTGGAGGCAACACTTCATCTTGCACCCACGAAAATCTCGCAATCAATCTCGCGTACTTTTCCTTCGCTGCAGGTAACAGAAAGCCTACTGTTTCTACTGAAAATCATTACCAAAAAATTTGACAACAATAAGATATTCTTTAGGCAATTCCCTCGGAACGTCCAAGCGAGAAAAGTGTTTTAGTGGAGCTGACCGTTGAGTTGAATCGAGAACAAAACGCTTTGATTTCCACACACAAGTAGTTTCATTTCAATTTTTAAAAAACTTTCTCTATTTAGATATCCGCAAAAAGTGAAAGGAGAACGAGCTATTGTTTCAACAAAAGTAATTATTTGAAATTTTTCTTTCATTTCTTTAAATACTCTTTAACCCATTCGAAACTTCTGCAGCGAATAATAGCTGCAACAAAAACTCAGGAACGGACCGCTGCAGCGAAAAAATGTCAAAAAAAAGGGGCTTGGTCCGCAGACGAAAAAAAAGAAAAAACGCTGCGGTTTCGAATGGGCTAAATATTCTCTTATTAAAAATATAAGAAATATTGATTCTTAAGGTGCAAAACGGTGTACGAAAAACGACAAGTCAAAGCAACATGGTGCCACCACCAGTTCCCCTTTATCGAGCTGTAGATATTCCTTTTGATGACTCAAGCAAAGACACTTATCAACCACCAATCCGAAATGAGAAATCATCAAAAGTTAGTTAAGAAATTCTCTACCTTTACTTCATTCATAAGAAATATCAACACTAAACTTTAGGATGGTTATTTTACGGTGATTTTGGAGATGGGCTCTCAACCAGTGCATAAAGGATTTGGAATGGGCATTCATTCGGAAAGAGGAGAGCCATTAAAGGTCAGAAATCTCAAAAATTTTTAGAAAAAGAGAAGTTTAGGTAGAATCAGTGCTTGTCGGAACGCCAGCTGATCGAGCGGGACTTCAAGTGCGTTTCTAGCAATGAAAATAGGCTAATTGATCACTGATACTGAAATTTGAAACAATTTTTGGTGTTAGGTGGGTGATCGAATCGCATCAATCAATGGAGAAGATGTTGTTGATGCTTATCCATCGGCTATTAATCGAATGCTGCACGAAGCGGCTCGACTTGGAGAGGTTGAACTCCGAATCCTTCGCCTTGCCACTAGTTCGTTTTCCTTTTTTTTGAAATTGAATGCAAATTTGAACAATATTCTTAACTAAAACTTTAAAATAAACCCTAAACAATAAACAATTCTCTTTCTCATTTTTAAAATGATTTCTCTTTTAGCACACTATGAAAACGTGGCTCGACTTCAGAAATCAGCCTCAGCTGCTTCGTTTGACAAAACTCGTAGCATTTTCCAGGTTAAATCTTAGTTATAGAATAAATATATAACTAAATATATAAATAAATATATAACTTTATTAGAATATAAACAATAAAAGTAATTTAATAACTTTTTAAAGCTTTTAAAGTTATTGTATAGGGTGCCCCATTAGCGAAAACACCTGAACAGCGAAAACGGGAGGCATTCGGATCGATAAACTCTGGTAAAAATTTATAACCAACTTAATTAAAACTTGAAAATTAAGAAATATAAATAATTTTAGGAACACTGAGACAAGACTCTGCTGTTTCTCGAAACTCTCAATCATCAATTTCATCAACGACAAGTGAGCATCGCGGACTGCAACGGTTGGTTTCAACTTAGCCCACGATTTCAGTTTTCATTCCCCAACAGTTTCAGCTCATCAACTGGCACCTCTTTTGATCCATATCGAGCTCCAGAAATCGTTTGTTCAATTTCATTTTAAATATTTTAGCAATTTTAGAAAATGATTCAAACACCGCAGATTGAGTCGGGTTTCCGAAAGAGTTACGGAGTTGAGGGAGATTTTCGGTGAGTCTTTAATTTCTTTAGTCTTTAACTCTTTAATTTCATTTAAAGTTTCATTTAAATCTTTAAGCTTTCTCTTTCCAGTTTTAGTTCAAAAATTTGTTATAAAGAAATTGGAAACTGGAAGTATACAAGAAAAAAAAAACTTTAGTGTCACTACAGCCTCGACGAAACAAGGACCAGGAAAACTCTCTGATTTTGTGCCTGAAGTGGAAAGAGATTCACAAAATATACTTTATCAAGGATTAGGTTTAGATTTTATTACCTACCGTAAATACTGTAATAGTACCCCACCCCCATAATGACGGTGCGGAGTGTTGCGTAGTCTAGCTTTGAACGAGTTTTTCTCGACACTGGTTTATGCTACAATGCGCGCTTAGGTATCAAAAAATAGCTGAAATTCAGGGCTATTTTTTGATACCAAAGACGCATTTTTTGAAAGTACGGTCGCTTTGAAAAAAACGAAATACTAAAGAACTTTTGCGACTACGCGACTGTACGAGGGGGGTGGGGTACTATTACAGTATTTACGGTAGTTTTATTAACTCTCTGATTTTGTGCCTGAAGTAGAAAGAGATTCACAAAATATACTTTATCAAGGATTAGGTTTAGATTTTATTACTTAGTTTTATTAACTCTCTGATTTTGTGCCTGAAGTGGAAAGAGATTCACAAAATACACTTTTTCAAGGATTAGGTTTAAATTTTATTGCCCAGTTTTAGCTATATTATTTTCAAGTAATATAGCTAAAATTCTTTGTTTTTGTTTGATAAAAAAAGATAATAGTGATCATTTTTCTTTTAGATGATGAGTCTCGAAAGTCCGAAGATGACTCAATCCCAAGAACCATTCGCAACTACGATTTGCGACCAACGCCAGCTATTGTAAGCTATTCTAAACTTTAAATATTATTCTTTTATAACAAAGAAATAGTTTTTTTATTTTGCTTGTTAGACTGTTAGACTATAAAGTTTGATAGTGCTCATCGCTTTTTTTTTTTGCCGGCGACATATCAAGTTGACTCATGGCAGCCAGTCAAAATCATTTTCTCCTAAATTTTCCCTGATTTACAAATGACATAAGAAATTTTGATGAGCACTATCAAACTTTATAGTCTAACAGTCTAACAAGCAAAATACTTTATTTACTTTATAGACTAAGGAAATGTTTTCAATGTTTACAGTTTAAAAAAATTTGAAGGGGGAAAAAATCTCAAGGATTAGGTTTAGATTTCATTACCTAGTTTTATTAACTCTCTGATTTTGTGTCTGAAGTGGAAAGAGATTCACAAAATATACTTTATCAAGGATTAGGTTTAAATTTTCTTACATAGTTTTATTAACTCTCTGATTTTGTGCTGACTTTATAGACTAAGGAAATGTTTTCAATGTTTACAAATGACATATGAAAATTTTGATGAGCACTATCAAACTTTATAGTCTAACAGTCTAACAAGCAAAATACTTTATTTACTTTATAGATTAAGGAAATGTTTTCAATATTTACAGCTCAAAAAAACTCAAACTCAAAAGACTCAAATCTTTTTTTTTAGGACTCAAATCGAAGGGTTCATTTCCGACCGGTAAATCCACACAAAAGATTTTCAGTTCTAAAGCAGATTTTCAGTTCTAAAGTTTCAGTTAAAACCCCATTTTTAGTTCTTCAAATACACTTTTTTTCTTCAATACTTTATTTACTTTATAGAGTCAATCATTCGCTCTCCGTCGAGACTCGGATGATGCCTCCGTGTGCGCTGTTCTCAAGCGATCCACTTTGCCAAGAAATGTAAACTTTAAATATGATCAAAGAACAAAGTTAACATTTCTAAATATGAAAAAGATTATCGACCAGTAAATTGAAAAAAAAATGACTTTAGAATAGGCTAGTAACACAGTAACAGGCTAGTAACACTAGTAACAGTAACATTAACGCTTCTCAACTCACAGAAAAGTGAACACCAAGCGATTGAGCGATTTCCCATCTAACATTTCCCATTGAGATCTCAGATTGGTCTTTTCATAGCGAGAAAAATTGAGAGGTGAATTGAGAAGTGAATTGAGAGGTGAAGTATGTATGTCTGTGTACATGTTACAGCAAAAGAGAAAAGAGGGGGAATGGATCGGGCACCGAATATACTCCGAAAATGAAACGCGACCAGAAGGGTGAATTCAGTCGCCCTTTTGCAGTCGCTTTTTTTTTTGTTTGTTTGAATTCTTTCGTCAAAAAATTGTTGAGACGGGCGCACCTTTTCGGGAAAAAAAAGCGAAGGCGTGGCTCATTGCCTCAAAACCATTCCTCTATCGCATAAAAATAATTCTACTTTAGTATTTGAACTTATTAACTCTTTTTTTTGCAGTATTTCTTTAACTTTCATTTTCTTGTTTTCTTTGAACTTCTCGCAAACACTGTGAAATCTCAGTCTTTCTACATGGCTATCTTGAGATTAACTCTACTGTAACTCTACTGTAATAACCTGTAGCTCTACTATAATAAACTGTGACTCTACTGTAACTCTACTGTAATAAACTGTAGCTCTACTGTAATAAACTGTAGCTCTACTGTAATGAACTGTGACTCTACTGTAACTCTACTGTAGCTCTATTGTAATAAACTGTAACTCTACTGTAACTCTACTGTCATATACTGTAACTATACTGTAGACTCAATTTTGTAAACATACTATAACTTTAAATATTAAGATTTCACAGTATTTGCAACCTCATAACCCAAGATTTCAGAGAAATGCCCACTCAGGGTGTTCACCGAATTGTCATTGATATTTGGCCAGAGGTACAGCTTTAAACAAAACATTAAAACTTGGCAATTTTTTGATTCACTGAATAGACATGGTGATAGAAAAACAATGGTCATTGTCTTATGTGGACTCTCCACACTTTCCTATAGATCTATGACTTGTCCCCTTCCTTTCCCTCTTTTTTTTGTTAACTTTAAGCCTCTCGTCGAGAAGCAACTCCACTTTTCTTCTCTTACAAACATAAATAAATGTGAAATCACACCCTTTCATCGCTTTCTGATTTCCTCATTTTCTATCAAATCCACCAAAAAACAATCCGATCATTCGCAAATTTCGATTCTTCATCAACAAACATTTCTTTTATTATGCCCAATTGTAAAGCTTTAATCTTCAAGCGCTTTGTAAGTTTAAATTCTTTGAGACCAAAAGATTTGCATTGTGTGTGTGTGTGTTCTGTTAGAGAGAAAACTCTTTCATGTCAGAGTCTGGGTATCCGATTTCTCTCTTCTTCTTCTTCTTCTTTTTTTCACCCTGTCCACACAAAAATCAAACAAATGCAATAATTCCCTAGTGCAAAAAAAACTTTACGTGGACAAAGAATAATGAAAATGTTTTCCCATTTAAGATATCTAGATTCAAAACAAGGTACAAAAGTTAGAAGCTAGACTTTCGAGAAATCTAAAATGACGTAAAATATCAAATGAAAGTTTTAGGCTGGAGGTAAAGCTCTAGAAGATGCCTCGGAAACTGATGGAGATTTCAATGATGGAAAAGATAGCTTGGTGAGGCTTTTTTGAAAAGATATTTACTTAAAAGGAGTTCAACGCTTCAACCAAAAGATTTGGCCTTTTTAAAAGAACCCAAGCGTTGAACCCTTTTTTGCCTTTTTGTTTTGGTCCCTGCTTTTGTCCTCTGTTTTTGCATGCTGTGTTTGTTTTTTTTTTTGCCTTTTGCCTTTTTCCATTTTCATTTCAAGCACCGAATTTGCCGATTTGCATGAAATTTCATCTTTTTCTCTATCTGCCAACCACTCTAACATTTTTGAAAATAATCCAACAATTTTTTGAGTTAGTTTTTTGAAAAGCTGTATACTTTTTTAAAAACTTAAATCAATTTAAATCAATTCAAATCAATTTAAATCAATTTAAATCAATTTAAATCAATTTAAATCAATTTAAATCAATTTAAATCAACTTCAAATCAATTTAAATCAACTTCAAATCAACTTCAAATCAATTTAAATCAATTTAAATCAATTTAAATCAACTTCAAATCAACTTCAAATCAATTTAAATCAATTTAAATCAACTTCTATTTTACAGTAGATTAGATAAATTTATGACATTAAAATTTGAACGTTCTCACTATTCAAGAGTCATAACTCCTGGATAGTGAGAACGTTTAATGTCATAAATGAATTCAATCGGGAAAACGGGAAAAAAAGGAGTATTGAGCAATTGTTGAGCTCCATTATTTGAAGGCACTAAACAAATAGGGAATGGGGGAAAAAAAGAAAAAAGGAGAAATGCACGGGAAACTGCCCACCATGCTTGCCCACTTCTTTCAGCTCGATTCCACTCTTTCTATTATTTCCATCTCTTTTCTACTGCACACTTTGTTTTTCATAAACCTTCCCCCTTTTCAAGCTTTGTTTTGTCACAGCTGCAAACCATTTTCCTTGCAATGCTTCATCCTTTCCAGTAAATCCCTGCCTCCATTAGCCTAATCATTTCTGAAAATGATCTCTCTTTAGCTATAGTACTTTACTACTCTTTTTGTAGGCTGAGGGTGCGGTGAGGGTGAGTGTAGAGCCACGGTCTCGACGCGCCTCTGGGTCGACAATGATGGCTCCTCGGGGAGCCCCGTTGAGAAGCTCTTCTCAAGACTCACTTCTCACCACTACTGAGGAAGTCTATCGTCGATATGAGTATCGTCGCTACACACCCACTTACGCCGATCCGAGAGACTACGATCAACGAGCTGATCATTCACCGCGCACTCGTGTCATCCCAGTCATTCGTGATCCCCGTCCACCAAGTCGTGAAGACAACTACTATCCGAGGATCGAGACTATGCCCGTTTATCGATCGACTTCAATTCGTGATGATTATCCAGCTCCAGAAGAGCCGCCAACAATTGCATCCGGTCGAATGACTCCAATTGCAATTGAGAGAAGGTACAGAAATGAGAGTCCAGAGGTTGGAAGAGATGAGAGCGGAAGTGTACGTTCAAGAGCTCGCTCAACAGATGCAAGAGGATCGACAAGTCGACCAATCTATATTCAGCGAAAGCAATACAATAACTATTACGATCCTGATTATGATGAGATCGATAATGATGGAGTGTCGAGAGCAAGTCATCGCTTTTACGATAAAGATGGAAGAGCGCTGCGACGTGAAGAAAGAAGAGAAGAACGAGTGGTCGAGGTGACGAGAAGCTATGAAAATCTTGAAGAGGTAAAGAAAAAAAAAAGTGATAATTAAAATAGTATCTTTTGTTTGCACGTGTTTGATGAGAGTCTAAATGTTAGGGAGGTGATGGTGGATGGTGGATGAGTCTAAATGTTAGGGAGGGTGATTGTTTTGTCTTCATGATTTTTGATCTTGATTCTGAAGTGAATTTGTAGATAAAGAGTCTAAAAACAATCGTAAATTGTAAAAAAGTGTAACTTTTCGTAAAAATTTGTATAGGATCCACGAGAGTGGCGTCAAGTGATCAAATCTCAGCGCCAAGCAGCGCCTGGACAACCACAGGATAATCAACGAATTCGCGATGCTTCTCAATCGCTTGGGTTTGTTTTTTTTTTAAAATAAATGATAAGAATATGAATATGCTTAGAAATTTTAAGATTTTAAGCTTTTTATCCTCTTAGAAATCTCCCAACTTACATGAATCGGCGAATGAAAGAACAAGAAGAAAAAGAACGCGAAGAGCGCAAGTATCTCGATTCAGCTCGCATGGATGTACAAGTAAAAACTTTTGAGTTAAAATTATAAAAACTAAAATGTAGTATTTATATGGAGTTCCTTTGGACTCATCTTCCGATAGTTCTCTGGTTTGCCAAGCTTTCTTTAGCATTTTTGCTTTTTTCTTTCACTCTATTTGTAGAAAGCAATTGTAGCAAGCAAACTTCTTGAATGTTAATTGTTTTAGGAAGACTTTCGACAACGTAATATCGAGAAGAATCGTGAACGACAAGATTCAAGAAAGTAAAGAAATCAAAATCAATCAAAATCAATCAAAATTTAGCTATAGAGAATCGAATGATCGCCAACCACGAGTGGTCAAAGATTGGAGAGAACAGGTAACAAAAGAGTTCATTTATTTGAAGTTTTACTAAATAATCTATGAGTTTAAAACTAAATAATCTATGAGTATTTAAATACGATTGAAGAGATTGAGCAAATTTCAATAGAGAATTATAGGAGCGAACTTATAATGGAGGACCGGCACCGGATGGATATTCCTCGTTGCATCGATCGTACGGAAATGAAAGATCAAATGATCAAGGGTTTATTTTATACATTATATGATTGTTTATTTTTAAAGATTCTCACTAAAATCAAACTATTAGTAAGTCAAACTATTAGTAAGTAAACTACTATCTTGCATAAGTATCTTCATAAGTATCAAATCGATCATATCTTCAATGCATAAGTATCAAACTACTATCTTCAAAAAAAGTTATATTACTTCGACCAAGTAATATAATTTTTGAGGAAAATTTTATGTAAGAATGCCTGAATTGAATCGGCTTAATGTACACTACTGGACAATGAAATATCATATTTGAAAAAAGATCGTCACTTTCGCGCGTCTGTAACTCCCTTGTCTTTACCGTATTTCTAAATATTAATATTACCATTGGGTAGCCCTTGAAAAGAGCTTTCAGAAAATGTATAAAACTAAAAGTTTAAACTCAAAGACAAGGGAGTTACAGACGCGCGAAAGTGACGATCGTTTTTTCAAATATGATATTTCATTGTCCAGTACTGTATCAGGTGTTAAAAGATGAAAACCACTTTTTAAGCCACTTTCAATCTTGAGTTTCTTAGCTGGTTTTCACTTAACGGCATGTTGAATGTTGAATTATGTTAACTTAATGTTGAATTTGTTGAAAAATGATCCCAAAATTAGGCCAATTTTTAATGAAAATTTAGACGTGTCGATCCTCGTTATGGAACAATCCCCGACAAGCCGCAGCGTCACCCGGCTCAACCATACCAAAGAGGTGAAGCTATGACAGTAAGAGAATATAGAATATAGAATATAGAATCTAATAGTTTCTTAGTTTCTAATAGTCACATCTAATATAGAATCTAATAGTTTCTTTTTAGAATTATTGATATAACATTGTCTATAATAGCTCTTTTTCTAGACTTTGACAAACAAGAGCCTGTAGTGGCGGTCAGTGGAAAACATCGTTGCGGACATTGTGGAAATGAATTGGGTTAGTTTTTTAGGAAAATAAAATAGCCAATCCATTGAAATCTTCTTTTCATTTTCAGGATTCTGCTACTGCCGTTTACTGTAAACTATAAATAGTTGAGTAAAGCTTTTAAAAAGTCTAATCCTTAAAGAGTCAGGGTTGGTGTAAGGTTTTAACCATGGTGTAGAGCTAATAGGAGCTTAATACCGTATTTCTTCGAATAGAAGACCGGGTAAAGAGTATCATCGCGTACTCCTGCGTAGCAGCCCTTTTTAAAATTTCTTTTCTGTATAAAAGCTTTCAATCAAGTGCTATAGAGCTGGAAAATGGCTCAAAAATCTGTTAGCTCATGTCGTATTTTTGAGTCATTTTCCAGCTCTATAGCACTTGATTGAAAGCTTTTATGTAGAAAAGAAATTTTAAAAAGGGCTGCTACGCAGGAGTACGCGATGATACTCTTTACCCGGTCTTCTATTCGAAGAAATACGGTAGTTTAATAGTTTAATAGCTTAATCGCTTAATAGCTTAATAGATCAAATTGTGTACATAACTAACCAGAAAAAAAGGAAAAAAGTTAACAAGGAATGATTTCCAGGTCGTGGACAGGCGATGATCATTGAAAGTCTCTCACTTTACTATCATCTTTCGTGTTTCCGTTGTATTGTTTGCGGAACAGCATTGGGTGAGTTAAATGCAATGAAATGATTGCAAAAGATTGTTTTCATTGCAAAAGATTTATTACAAATATTTCATAGAAATAATTGGCCCTTTTTCTATTACTTTTCTTTTAAAAAAAATCGGATATTTTTTTAAAGGCTGCGGCCAAATTATGAAATGGATGCTTATTGATGAATTAAAAGAAGAAAATGAAAATACTACTCCGAGGGTTATATTTTATTTGAAAGCTCTTAATGAAGACTAAAGAAAATAGAATAGTTAAATTCATAATTTGTGCCAATCTTGGAAAAGATTTAAGAACCTGAACGTGACACACAGACGTGACACAACAGACAAAAGATTGTCTGTTTTAACATCAACTAGATATTATACTGATTACATTAAATACAGAAATCAAAAAGCTCACTAATAATATGTAATATTATATTACATAATAGTATGTAATAATATGTAATATGTAATATATATGTTGTGTCCGATTTAGATTTCCGTCCGATTTAGATTCTCTAAATCGGACGTCCGATTTAGATTGAACTTATCCGGACGTCCGATTTAGATTACAGTCTATTCGGACGTCCGATTTAGATTCAATCTAAATCGACGTCTTATTAATTGAACAATAATATAAATGTTTATATTGTTCTTCGTTTTTGCAATTTTCTGCCTTTTCAAGGAAATTTTATTGTCTTTTTCTGAAAAGAACCCAACTATGAAACAATTTATTAGCGTTAACAGAATAGATGCAAAATTACAACATATACAACAAAAAACTAACAACAACAACGAACGAGTTAAAATTTCTATTTTTTTTGCACTTAGGCTATGTGTCATCTTGAATTGCAGAGTTGTGCATTGTGAATTCTTTGTGCATCTTGAAATGCTCTTGTACATCTTGAATTCTTTAAAGCGCAGAAAATTGCAAAAACGCTTAAATATATTCACGTTTTTATTGTTCGATCTGTATCGGACGTCCGATATAGACTGTATCAATAAAAACCTTTGAAATGCAGAAAACTACAAAAACGCTTAAGAACATATATTACATGTTTTATTATTGTTCAATCTATACAAACGTATTATTGTTCATCTATATGATTTAGATTGAATCTAATGGACTCCGATATACTGTAATCTAAATCGGACGTCCGCGATAAGTTCAATCTTACTCCGTTTGTTGATCTAATCGGACGGAAATCTTCGACACAACATTTAATTTTAATTTCTTTCATAATTAATAGTGTGAGCTGGAAAATGGCTCAAAAATCTTTACTCATTCGTATTTTTATCATTTTCCAGCTCTCCTGTCTTTTTAGAAAGAAATTTTAAGGGCTGCTACAGGTACCGATGTCTCTACCCGGTCTTTTCGAAGAAATCGGTATTTAATAGTTTAATAGCAATCCTTATCTTAATAGATCAAATTGTTACATAACTAACCAGAAAAAAGGAAAAAGTTAACAAGGAATGATTTCAGGTCGTGGACAGGCGATGATCATTGAAAGTCTCTCACTTTACTTCATCTTTCTGTTTCCGTTGTATTGTTTGCGGAACACATTGGGTGAGTTAATCAATGAAATGATTGCAAAAGATTGTTTTCATTGCAAAAGATTTTTACAAATATTTCATAGAAATAATTGCCCTTTTTCTATTACTTTTCTTTTAAAAAAAATCGGATATTTTTTAAAGGCTGCGGCAAATTATGAAATGGATGCTTATTATGAATTAAAGAAGAAAATGAAATACTACTCCGAGGGTTATATTTTATTTGAAAGCTCTTATGAAGACTAAAGAAAATAGAATAGTTAAATTCATAATTTGTGCCAATCTTGGAAAAGATTTAAGAACCTGAACGTCACACAGACGTGACACAACAGACAAAAGATTGTCTTTTTTAACATCAACTAGATATTATACTGATTACATTAAATACAGAAATCAAAAAGCTCACTAATAATATGTAATATTATATTACATAATAGTATGTAATATTTATTGGTATGTAATAATATGTAATATGTAATATATATGTTGTGTCCGATTTAGATTTCCGTCCGATTTAGATTCAATCTAAATCGGACGTCATTATTGAACTTATCGCGGACGTCCGATTTAGATTACAGTCTATATCGGCGTCCATATTCAATCTAAATCGGACGTCTTATGATTGAACAATAATATAAACATGTTTATATATGTTCTTAAGCGTTTTTGCAATTTTCTGCGCTTTTCAAGGAAATTTTATTGTCTTTTTCTGAAAAGAAAACCCAACTATGAAACAATTTATTGCGTTAACAGAATAGATGCAAAATTACAACATATAACAACAAAAAACTAACAACAACAACGAAGAGTTAAAAATTTCTATTTATTTTTGCAGCTTAGGCTATTGTTCATCTTGAATTGCAGAGTTGTGAATTGTGATTCTTTGTGGCATCTTGACATGCTCTTGTGACATCTTGAATTCTTTGAAAAGCGCAGAAAATTGCAAAAAAACTTAAAACATATATTACACGTTTATTATTGTTCGATCTGTATCGGACGTCCGATATAGACTGTAATCAATAAAGACCTTTGAAAAATGCAGAAAACTACAGAAAAGCTTAAGAACATATATTAGCATGTTTATATTTTGTTCAATCTATACAAGACGTTTGTTCAATCTATATAAGATTTAGATTGAATCTAAATCGGACGTCCGATATAGACTGTAATCTAAATCGGACGTCCGCGATAAGTTCAATCTAAATCGGACGTCCGATTTAGATTGAATCTAAATCGGACGGAAATCTAAATCGGACACAACATATATAAATACTTTATTCAGAAAGAAATAAAGTGCGAAAACGACATGAAAAATGTAGTAGATAAAAGATCACAAAGTCACTTAAAAGTTAATTGTGTTTTTATTGATGATAGTTTTATTTATTGCAATTTAATTTAGATGCAATTTCAAGTACAATACAATTTTTCCTATATTTCTTTCTTTTTCAACAGTTTATCAATATAGCCGCACCTTGCTTCATTAAAAAAATAAGCCATTCTTGTAGAATCACGTTTAAAAGCAAGAGTAAAACATTAAATCGTTATACATCCATTCCACAGTTAAAGTATCCGTTTTTTTAAGATAATAGAAAAGAGCCAAGTAAAATTACTTGGCCATTATGCTTCCTTAACTTGTAAGGGTGAAGACCCAGATCCTTTTTGACGATACGACGGATAGTTCTATCAGAAACACTCAATTGGGGAGCCATTTTTCTCATGCTCCGGGCAGGATTGCGCTGGATTCGTTTCTTAATCTTTTCTATTATCTTATATTTTTATATTATCTATTATTTCTATTACCAGTATATTTCTTTATATAAAACTATTGTTAGCCTTCGAAAGTAAAAAAAGAAAAACTTGTTCTTTTTTACAACAGTACACCTTTAAAGTACTTCTAAGACTTCAAATCTAATATTGAATATTCAATCAATTCAATCTAGTAACTCTATAAACTCATTCAAGGCAATGGCACAACGGGAGCTGATGTGCGTGTGCGAGATGGGAAACTCCATTGCTATAGCTGCTACAGCAATGATGCCGTTCAGTTGAGTAAAGTTTGAGTGAAACGATCAATCAAACACAACTCAAATCAAAATCCTTTTCTAAGAAGTTTTATTTTTTACTTACCGTAAATACTGTAATTGGACCCCACCCCCATAATGACGGTGCGGAGTGTTGCGTAGTCTAGCTTTGAACGAGTTTTTCTCGACACTGGTTTATGCTACAATGCGCGCTTAGGTATCAAAAAATAGCCCTGAATTTCAGGGCTATTTTTTGATACCAAAGACGCATTTTTTGAAAGTACGGGTGCTTTGAAAAAAATGAAATACTAAAAAACTTTTGCGACTACGCGACTGTACGAGGGGGGTGGGGTACTATGGCAGTATTTACAGTCATTTTTCCTCACCAATTTTGCCTCTTCTTTTTGCCTTTCAGAAAAGAAAAACAATTTCCCGTATTCTATTTGCTCATTTCTTTTTTATAAAGCTAAAATTTCTGAAGATAGTTTTATAGTTGAATTCCCCTTCTTTAGCTTTCAATCTTTCTTCACCGATCGCTGGTATTGCATTTTCAAAAAAAAATTCTTTCCAAATAATGTTCTTCTAAAAAGATTTTTGCTTGCTTTTTGTTTTTTTTTTAAAGCCTTGTTCACTTAACCACTTAACCATTCACAAAGCTGCCTTCTCCTTTTTTTATATTTTCATCTTTTTTTGATTCATTATATCATTTCTTTTCTAATCCAAAAATTATAAAAATCTAATTCATTTTTTTTCTCTCACAACTCTAGTTTCAGGTCTCTTTTTCTTTTTCTTCGTCTTTTTCTTTCTTTTTCTTTTTTTAAATCACAGTATTTCACAACAAACTTTTGAATTCATAAATAAATAGATTTTATTTGGAATTTCAGTAATTTCAGTAATTTCAGTAAAACATTTAGAGAATTTGCATACATATACATATACAAATACACATAGCGAATGATACCCGTTTATATTCAGACATCGTCTGACAAAAGGAAAACACCCGTTTCACCAAAACTTCAATACCGATTCACAAGTTTAAGTACAGAAAAAAAAAATGAAAAGAGACGAAAAATACTGATCTAATCAATTCAATAAATGTTATCAAAAGAAAAACTAAAGGCAAATTATAGAAGGAATCGATCGAATTTTCTATTTTCTATAAACTTTTCAATAAGCAAGCCATGTGCAAATTGTGTTGAGCAACAGTTTTCATGCTTAAGAGCTATTTCAAAGGAGAGTCTCACCCTCGTTCATTTCATCATCCGATGGACTCAAACGGATTTGTGGGGGATTTTGTGGTGGAAAAGAAAGCGGTGGTGCGTCCGATGGGGAAGCTGATCCAGAGAAATCTCTTTCTGGACTCGGAAATCCGACAACCAATTGAGGACTCATCGAACCATTTGAGTTCTTTACCGCCAGATACTGGCCTGAGATGGCAGAAGACGTGAAATCGGTCTAAGATTTGACTTTTTAGGTTTGCTTCATTCAATTTTGCATCTCATTTGGTAAATACAGTACTGGACAATGAAATATCATATTTGAAAAAACGATCGTCACTTTCGCGCGTCTGTAACTCCCTTGTCTTTGAGTTTAAACTTTTAGTTTTATACATTTTCTGAAAGCTCTTTTCAAGGGCTACACAATGGTAATACTAATATTTAGAAATACGGTAAAGACAATGGAGTTACAGACGCGCGAAAGTGACGATCTTTTTTCGAATATGATATTTCATTGTCCAGTAGTGTATGCTGAGAAACAATGGCTCTTACTTGTGTTAAATCCTCTTTGCTTTGCACGATGAATGAGGAAAGTCTCGATCGAACCATCGTTGTTCTGAAAGATCAACTCATCACTTGTTTAACAGTTCAATTTCAAAGACAACTTATTGTCGTTAAGAGTAAGCTACAATATAAGTGTTCCTGTTTAGAATAATCAATGATAATCATTATACTAAATAAAGCACAACAATTGGTGAGCGAATTGTTGAACTGTTAAGCTTTCTTTATCTACGAGCTGTCTCTCTGTCTGTGCGCACTATTCCTCCGCGTTCAGTGGATTGTTTTAAATCACTTATAGTTAGTTTCACTTAGAATTCCATGTAGTTGTGCAACATGTTTTTAAGTTATTAAAAAACTAAAAATGCTGACGCGGGCGGGAGTCGAACCCGGGTCGTGTGGGCTAGAGACAAGAACGCTCGCACTGCGCCATCTACAGAGCCCAGCGGGTTGTGTGGGCTAGAGACAAATGAATCTAGAGGCTAGAGGCACACTCCCTCATTTACTAGAGCATGGTCGAGTGGTTAACGCGCCCGTTTCGCAAACGAGCGGAAGAGGAGAGGTCATAGGTTCGACTTTTCTTGCCGTCAATTCTTTTGCTTTTTGTTTCAAAAATTTTTTTTGCTGATAGCTGCTGGTATAATAAATCTTATACCTCAAAATATTTTCATATTTATCTTATAATTTATATTATATAGAGCCTTTTCTTGCACTGACTTTCTCGAAATCGCATTCCTGAGTGTGTTCGTCGCATCATCAGCAATACTTCGAAATCTTTTTCTATGCTCTCGAGCCAATTTCTCGTGTGCAGCTTTTATGCCTAAAGGTGCTTCACAATTAACAAATTTTCTTCTCACCAAATTACCTCGATTCATCACCGTGAAAATGACAGGATAAGCGACACAACTCACATAAGGAAGAAGGTGAATGAAATACGAAACAATCACAACTGAAATCAAATCAATCAAATCAATCAAATCGAATATCTCATTCCAACTCACCAGCTTTTGCGCTAAGCCCTTGATCATTAAGTAAACTGTTGAAAAACATTGTGAACCTAGAAAAGAACTTAGAAAGTTAAGTGAATGAAAATGATTACCAGTAAGGAGACCAACAGAAAAGATAAACAGCACAAAGGACGAGCACTGTGGCCACCACTCGCTTGATCGCCGCGTCAACGTTGCTGCAAATATCGCTTTGATAAAACGGCTTATTTCTTCGTCTCAGCACAGAAACGAAGTTTGAATTTGAGTTTAGTTGGACATGCTGATCCTTTTATATTGGACATGCTGATCCTTTTATGGGTTGGCGTTGGAAACAAAACATGGTCGGCACCGGGACTCGAATCCGCGACCGCTTACCGGAGCAAATGCTTTACCAATGAGCTAAATTGACACGGATCCCATTGCCGCCAGGATAAGTTTTATGCCTTATGTTGAGTATGTAAATTTCATGGATAAGAGTCACAATACTTTCCGAGTCAAGCTTTTGTATCAATTTTTTTTAAGTTCTAGCCAAACCTTGATGAAACAATCGAGTTTAAAGCTCTCTTTCGCAAAAAGAACGGCACCGAGATGTAGCTGAAAAAGAAACTTTTAAAACTTTTGTCCTTTCTATGACTAACCAATAAATAATTCCGATCAACGGCATCACGTAGGAAGCCCCGCAGGCAATGATATTGAACCAGAATTCCTCATCTGAAAATCATTTTTTAAAAATTATGTGTATGATTAATGTTGTTGCTTGATTAATGCTTATTCATAACTATCAAAGTCTTTACTCGTGTTTAGAGTTGAGTATTATTGTATTGTGTTATTATCATGGAGAATAAAGCTTTCTGGGATAGAGATATCCGAATCCTGAGAACACACTGTTATTTCTCAAGCTTTTTCAAACCGTTATAGTTTACAATTTTTGAAGATGTACTAAAATTAATGCCAATTGATTTGCCGACCCTGAAAACCCCTTGGTAGAAATTTACAGCTCAATTTCTTCGTTTTATATCATCTACAAAGAAAAAATCTCTGTAAAAGAGTTAAAGGAGGTGTTCTTTGTGCGACCACGTAATCACTCTTCATCTGGCAAGCCTGGGTATACGCCTTTTGAACTTTCATGTCAATTGTACGCACCAGCTGGTGGCAGGAAACTGCATTTTCGCATCACAGTCACTTGTCGAGTTTCGTTGTTGGCACTGAGATTAAAGGTGAATACCTGAAAAAGAAGATTTTTTTTTACTATAATATTTCTGATGGTAGTATTCAAGGATCCCTCAAAATCGCACCTGTCCGTGTCGAAAAACGGGTCTCATTATGAACATTACACCCATCAAAGCGAATAGAAGCTGCAAAAAAGCCCACTAAAAAGGAATAAACTGTACAAAATATTGTTAATATATAATATATAATAGAAAATATTCTTTAAAAAAACCTTAACACTCGCCGCACGATCTCGAGTCTTTTTCCCGAGACACACCGTCGTGTAACAGGTTCGACTGATCAGAAACACGATAATCGGTGCCATAAATCTACAAAAAAAGGACAATAATTTTGTTTTTACCCTTTCATTTTCTTAGCTCACCATTTAGAAATCCTTTTCACCAAATAGCTCATTTTTCTTTTCCTATCTCCCATTGTATACTTGAGATTGAGATTAGCGATGCCTTTTTCTCAATATCTCAAAGATTGAAGAAGCCTCTCAAACAAAAAGAAACTAATATTTGTCTCAATGTTTCTTTTGACGTAAATCCGAATACTTTAAAGTAATAGGAAAAGAATTTTTGAATTCTGTTTCTGAAAAAAAAAGACTCACTTATTAAGCCCATCAAAAACAAGATATGCGAGACAAGGCCAATAGCCGAAAGTCCATGTGCCTAGTACAACCTCGATGATTAATAAAAGCATACCTAGAATTTGAATGTAGTTTTTTGTTTACCAATTTTTGATTCACCTATCATTGTCATCAAGTCAGAAATGCAGAGACAAAAAATGTAGAACAAAATACTCTTTGGCACTTTTGCTGTGCTTGTTAGTAGAAGTGGAGAGACCTAGAAATGGTCATTGAAAATTGAAATAACTTTTACAATAGCTTTTACAAAGTAAATATTTTAAGTACTAATATATTCTATCTTTTAAAAAGTAAAGTCTTTCGAATATTCAAATCCTTTCACTTACCACATAAAGGACCCATAAATTGACGGCGAATCCGATGACGTTGAAGCTCGAATAGGTGATCCATACCCATTGCCTCACTCCCTAAGATTGCAAAATCATTATTCTTTTTTTTTTCTTTATTCTTTTCTTTAATTCTTTTCTTTAATTCTTCTTTTCCTAGTTTACCTCTCAATTTTATTTTTCTTTTATCTATAGCTTTTTGGTGAGTCTGGCCAAGGGATCATCAAATATTCGATGAGTTCCCCCATCCACCCTCAACAAAATCGCATCAACACCCTACGAAAATTGGATTTGATTTTTTACAAATTTCTTTAAACATTGCTTTATTCAAATATAGAGATGGGAAACAGGGCCAAAGATTTCATCAAACTCTCGACATGTCTAATTGTTTTGCTTGGCAACACCAAAAAAACGATCGCTGTTTTTGTTTTTCTTGTGCCAAGACATCAATTTATTCGCATTTATTACAATGTATACGGGTGGAATTAGTCACGTTTGGCTTTTCTTTTATGAGATGGAGTAAGAAATTGTTGACCAAGTTTCAATTTGACATTAGAAGACTTTTCTGGTAATCGATTGCTAATCCCATTAGACTTACTTTATGGCTAGTTCTTACTTACTTTATGGCTAGTTCTTTCTTACTTCATAGCTAGTTCAAAACATACGATTCAACATTCTCGTTCTTGATTTCTTAGCCTTAAGCCTACAAGTCAAGCCTACTTTTTGCTTAAGCAACAAAATTTACTAACAATATGAATTAAAATTACCTTGCCCACACTTAGAAGACTTGTATATTCTTGTATATTTAGGGAATTTTTCATCTTTCCAGTCTCTTCTCGATTTCCCCTCAAAATAATGAATATGATTATTCCACGTCGTCTCTCCAACTCCATTTGTTTACTTTTCACCTCTCTTTCCCCCCCCCTCGTTTTGTATTTCAGTTCATCAGAACCACAAAAACGAGTTCTTCTCTCGTTTTGTTAACAATTTTTAAACCTTTTTAATCCAAAATTTAATGAGAAATAGTCTCAAATTTTTGCGTTTTTTTGCGTGAAGGGATTAACAACATTAGAGAATTTTAGTCAAGAAAGGCTTCATCTTTGATCACTTTTCATTAAATTTTTAGAAAGGCAAATAGAAGCCTTTAAAGTTTTCAAAGTTGAAGTTTTGTTCGAAATTTTTCAAGAAAAAAAACTCTCACCAGAAGGCCCATCTCTTTTGTTGGAGAAAAGATGAACGAGTTTGAAATTTTTTTGGGATTAGGTGAACGAACTCCGTCAAAATCACGAATAAACTATTTTCGGAAGCACTTAAAAGAAGTTTTTTGATTTGAAAAATGAGATTTCTTTTACCTAAAGTAAAGAAGTAATTGAAAAAGAAAAAAGATAAAGGTGATAATTGATAAAGGAAAAGGAAAATAAAGAAAAGTTTATGCAAGAAATGCAAAAAAGGAAATGGGGAAAATGCTGGGGTGATTTGTGATTTTAAAAGAGCACGAGGGTTGCTGATTGGGTTAAGAAAAGAATCAAAATCTATTTTTTTCTTGTTCATGGTCTAGTAGAACGAGAATGAATGGGTAATTCGCTTGAATTCATCGACAATCACGAATGAATAGCCCTGACACTCATGAATAGCTTGTTAGGGATTTGTTTTGTACTAGAAACGTGATACACGCAAAAATTTTATTCGAGAATTTGTATTTTCAAGAATTTTTCTTTTCAAACTCAAAGAAGAACAATTAGAAAAGAAGAGTGTTCGACTTTCGAACGAGTGTATGAATGTCTCTTCGAATTGTGGTTGCCCACAATTATAGCGCCTTACTTTCGAGGACCTAGATTGGCCAAAATTGAGTCAATCGTCTTGATTTTTCTGGAATTAAATCTTAAGTATGCCTCCTGTAACGGTGCCCTATATCTAATCGATTCAAACTTTCAACTTTTTTATATAACCTTCCAAAGTTGAAAGCCATGTGTCTACTCATTTATAAAATTTTTGAGAGCGATCTTGTCAAAATCTCGTTGAGACTTATTTACCTCTAGAAAAATCAGAAAAATTGACCCAATTTTGGCCAATCTAGACACTATAATTGTGGCTATGTGAGCAAAGAGCTGTTGGAGTCACAAAGGAGATCTTGTTTTGAAAACAAATCTAATGATAGACTAGAGAGAAATGAATCAAAAAGCAAAAGTGAAAACAATTTTTTGGATTCAAAATAGTAGGAGAGTATTGAGGTACAAATATTTGGGCACAAAATGGAAACAGATTGAATTAAGACAAGAGTCAGACTTGGTGATGAGAGGAGTTGCAAGCTGGTCAATGGAATGGTTCAATGAGTTCGTTGATGTGTGAAAGATCTTACTTCTCCCTTCACTTCCATTCCTTTTATCCTATTTCTACCACCCACTCCATTTTTTTTCAAATTCCGAGCTCATCCCACTTCTTTAATTACTTTTGAAATGAAAAGATAATCTTCGACCGCCCCTCTTGCCATGAGAACCTATCACGAGCTCGTTATTTGTTGAAATGAGTAGCAAAAGCACATGTTACAGATATTTCCTTCTCTTTCCCTTTGTATTTCCTCTTTCTTCTCTCACAAATAGATACCGAATAGCTTAGTGGTTAGAGCAATTGCCTGGAAAGTAAAAGGTCGAGGGTTCAATCCCCGAAAATCCTCTTCACTTCTTTATTACAGAATTAACACTGAATTACGACAAGAGTCAAACTTGGCGATGATGAGAAAAGGTGTAAAGAATGAAAAGAGTCTTCAAAAGCACTTGAATCCTCAAAACAAACCCTTAATTATGCGCTTGACTTTGACTAAGAGTTCAAAATAGAGCATAGCTACTGGAAATAAGGTTTACTATCACTTTTAAAGCTTCCAAGCAAAGAATAGTTTTATCTTCAAGAACAGACTAGTGCCTTTACTCAATGATGCAACAAAAATGTATAGAGATGTAAAACAGATCAAAGATAAAAGTGGTACATTGTAGATTTTCGGATTTATGAAAGAAGCTATTTGGAGAATTTTTGAGGCAGGTCAAAGAAGGATTGGATGAGGCGTGGCCTTTTCCAGTCTTCCACATCTCCTCCTTTCCTTTCCTTTCCATCTTGCGCTCCTCCCGAAAAAAATTTCCACTTGCTTAATGAAAAATGCTATTCATGATGATAAAATCCTTATTTTTAGCTGCGCTTATACCCAAAAGGTTCTTTTGAACTGCGCAAGTTTAGAAACAAAATTGCTTTAGAAAAGCGAAACAAACGAGAGCTCTCATTCAGAAATGTTACCTTTCAAAAACAGATTCAAATCAAAGACATAAAACGAAATTTGTAATTGAAATCTCTAGAGATTGCAGAAAATTTTCACTAATTTCACTCATTCTTGCAAAACAGTCATTTGTTGAGGTGAAAGATTCCTGATGAGGAGAGAGGAGGGGAGGGAAGGCGAGAGGAGGAGCGATTTTCAGGTAAAGACGGGGATCCCGTTCACCCATGGAAATCACTCGACACCAAACCGAAAAAAGCTTTGCAAGCTTTGATGGTCGATGTGTAAAATAGGTCTTCTACTTTTTTTTGCCCGAAAACATCATTCGAATTTCCGGTTCAGTGCACTAAGCCCAATCCTTTTGAAATCCTCCTCCAAAAAGCCGACTCCAGAATGGATTGTGTCTCACTTTAAGAATCATTTCCAAAACGATCAAATCACAATTCGTCATAAAAAAAAGATAAAAAGAACAAGCAGTATTTTTTAATTACATTTTCGAATAAAAATTTGTGGTTAATCCTTTGATGAGGAAAAAGTTTAATTTAGTAGAGATAAACGTGAGATAAAGCTTCAAAAGTTGAGATAAAGATAAAGATACATGAGATAAAGCTTCAAAAGTTGAGATAAAGATAAAGATACATGAGATAAAGCTTCAAAAGTTGAGATAAAGATAAAGATACATGAGATAAAGCTTCAAAAGTTGAGATAAAGATAAAGATACATGAGATAAAGCTTCAAAAGTTGAGATAAAGATAAAGATACATGAGATAAAGCTTCAAAAGTTGACAAAGAATTTTGGAAGAAAAGAATGTCATGTAAATAGATGTGTAAAATGAAAGATTTAAGTTTTTTGATTGTCAAAATTTTAACTTATTCCTTTAAAAAATGAATTGTATAGAGAAAAACGAGCGTACAAACGAAAAACGAAATTTTATGCTATCTACTTTTGCTTATAGAATTACCAGTATAAGATGAGGAAAAGTATTCTTTTTTTGAATATACGCTGAAGGTCTCTTAAAGATCGAACGTTTTTTTGACTTTCTTTAGCTTCTAGATTTCAAATTCAAAGCAAGATTTTATACAGAAAAGTTTAAAGAATTAAATGAGTTTTTCGCTTCAAATCTCATTTTGAGTTTTGTGGATAGGAAGAAATTTTGGAATAAGAACTAATATTCGTTTTGAAAGGGTCATATGATAAATAAACTTTTCATATCTTTATATTGGATTCGGGAGAAAGAAGAAGAAGACGAAGAAGACGAAGAAGACGAAGAAGAAGAAGAAGAAGAAGAAGAAGAAGACGAAGAAGAAGAAGACGAAGAAGAAGACGAAGAAGAAGAAGACGAAGAAGAAGAAGAAGAAGAAGAAGAAGAAAAATGAAAAGATGTAAAGCTTTCCTTTTCATCTTTTGCATCATTTTGAAATAGAGTTTCTTTAAAAAAAAAATTCCAAATAAGACCGCATTATTGAGAAAGTTTTTTTTGACAAATTCTCACAAGCATTTCAACAAAATTCAAGAAATTTTAGCGACTTTTTCGCCTTTTTCACAGTTCTTACGGTTTTTTTTTTGCGAAATTTTATATGAACTAACCTTTAACGGAACTGTGACAGTGATCTCTTCGAATCCTGTCACATCGATCTCTTCTTGAGACATTACTCTAAAATCAACAAGATATATTCTAGCTGAGATCTCAATTTAAGATATTATACTTTAAAGATAAAATACCACTACTAGAGCTTTACTTTTTAACTCTCACCTTTTTATCCAAAGCCTTCTCGGAAATCAGTTTCCCCGAGTTTAAACGCCACTTGTAAATAGAAAAGCGGTAAAATTTTTGAGAAATGAAATCAAGAATGAAAATAATTGTGTCCCAAGAGGGGAAACGTGCCTCTCAATCGACTCTTGCCACTCTTTCACTCCTTCGTCGCACTGAAATTCTTCTCGTTCTCAGAAATTCAAAAAACTTTTCACAATAGATCAAAAGCGAGAATGAAATGTTGCAGAAACTCTAGAATTAATTCTGAATGGACTTCAGAATTCGGTGAATAGTTATCGACTTTGAGAACACCGTTTGAAAGTTGGTTTTGCTGAAAGTAAAGGAAATTTATGTGTCTTTAAGAGAAAGAGAAAGCAATGAGTACCCCAAATTTTCGATATAGCACGTTAAAAAGGCAATTCTCGATGAAGGGAAGTAGGGGAAGAAAAAGAGAGAAGTTTCGGGAATACGAGTGTTTTTCAATCGGAGAAGAAGAAGAAGAAGAGGAGGTAGAAGAAGAAGAAGAAGAAGAAGAAGAAGAAGAAGACGACGACTTTGACCCAAGGAAGGAAGAAAAAGCGTAAGCATGAACGAGCAAACGAGAAGAAATGGCGTCAGACGGGTGAGATGTAGATGGGATGGGATCAAGGGGCAATGAAAGAGGCAATGAGAGAGGCAATGAAAGAGGCAGTTATGTCAACGCTTCCCTTTTCCGATCACAGATCGATCGCCTTTTCTTTCAGTTCATTGAAACTTTCCGAGTCTATACAAATCGTACAAGTCTTTTTCTCTTTTTGAAAAGACAAAAAGTATGTTTGCAATTCAAAAATAGCTACTTTTAAACTAGAAATTCATTTTTACGTCTAATATGGATTCTTTTTCTTCAGACTCTTTTGAGTGCATCCTTCAAATAATCAAATTTTTAAAACCGCATGTTCTTGAGTATTTCTACGATATTTCTTACTTACTTTTAAAAAAAAACTCTTGAAAAGAAGTCAATTGAAAGCAATAAAAAAAAAGAGGAACACTCGTCGTTAGACACACACACACACACACACACACGAGGATGAAATTTCATCAAAGAAATTCTCCTTTGATCTATAGAAGACAAAATGAATCCACTTTAGATGAGAATTCTTGATTGAATGTAAATCTTTGAACCAAAAACAGACTGAGATTTTTGAGATAAACAGCTTGAAAGGTGGCATTTAAAGAAAAAGTAAAGAAGTGAGAGAAAACAAATTATCCAAATTTTTTGTCCAATCAAAAATCATCGATGAAAGGACGGATTAGAAGTAAATTTCGAGAAAAGAAAAGTCGTCTAAAATTAAAGAAAAAGAAGATGCAAGAAAAGAGTGAAGAGTTTTGGAGTGGACCGGGGAAGATGACAAGCTCTAATTTACTCCTTCCTCTACCCTACTTCTTCTCTGAAACACTTCAAAGTTTACTTAAAAATCTTTTTTTTTTCTAATTGCCTTCCCAGGAGTTTCCTATTTTGGAGTATTTTGAAGGGAAGTGAGAACATTTCAAACATAACAATTTCTGAGCTCTAAAACTTTGAAAATATCTTGTAAACATAAAAGAACAAGAAAAGCTGGTTTGTTTTTGGAAAACAAATAAATCTGGAACTTTTAAAGGTGAGTAATTTCTTATTTTAAGTCAATGATCTTGTTTTTAGATTGTAAATCCTTTCAATATTCTCTTTTTTGCAAATCTCTGCTAATTTACGATTGATTTTTACAGTTTGTCTTTTAAAATCTGATCAAGATGGATAAAGTAATGGTATTTTGTAGCTTTTCTTTGCTTTCCTACCTACTTTTGCTTATAAAATAACCAGTATAAGATGAGGAAAAGTATTCTTTTTTTGAATATACACTGAAGGTCTCTTAAAGATCGAACGCGGAATTAAAGCTTCCAGCTTCCAGTCATAGGCAACTCCTCCAAAAATGGAATTGACAAGAATAGTAAGTGCTGTGCGTTGTGACGACATTGCGAAGTGACTTAAGAGAAGTTTTTTTTTGTGTGAAAAGAAAAGAAATGAAGGAGGAAGAGGAATGAGGAGAAGATGGGAGGAGATGAAGGCCCTCAACCCCAACCCTTTAACCCTTCAACCCTTCAACTCCCCTCTTCTCCCAACCAGAAAATTACCGCTCATGCGAAAGGAACTGTTGCAAAAACAACTTTTAAGAGCATTTTCTTGAAATTAACTACATTCCTGATTACTGTAGCCAAATTCCACTTGAATTAGACCTCCTTATGTTTAGTCAAAACTCAATCGCCATTTGCGAACAGATTTGCGAAGCGATTTCAGATTGTTTCTAGAGCATCAAACTGAGTTTTTATTTAAGTAAAAAAAAAGAAAAGGCCAGCAACCTGGAAAAGAAGTGAGAGCACGGAAATGCGCATGACTGAGCGCAATCCGTGTTCAGTCTCTTTCCTCTTCTTTTTTTCTTCTAGACCCTCGAAATGTCTTCCCTTCTTCCCTCTTTTTTTTCTCAATATTCTTTTAAAAACTTTACCCCTTTCCATAGAGTTTCCACCTCAAATATTTTGCAAGGCTTTTTGGAAATTCCCATTCATCGGAAAGAGACACTGGTTTTTTTAAAGGTTTTCTTATTCGGTTGAGGTCAAATAAGCTTTACAATAACCAAAAAAAAAAAAAAAACAAAATAAATCAATTTAGAAATTTTATGCTATCTACTTTTGCTTATAGAATTACCAGTATAAGATGAGGAAAAGTATTCTTTTTTGAATATACGCTGAAGGTCTCTTAAAGATAGACAAATGAGCAATCAACAAGAGCTTCAAGCATTAAATTGTGTCAAAATTGAGAATTTCGGGAATGTTTTGAAAATGGAAATAGAAATAATGAAATTGAGACTTGATTGATGAGAGATTGAAATGAGAGAAAAAAAAAATGGAGAAGAGATGGAGAAATGAATAAAAAAGAGGGAACGCCCGATGGAATTTGGTTTAGCGGTAATGGCCGAAAGATCCATTTTTGGAGACTGAGATTTTAAAATATTTCGAGAATTTCTTTTTTACAATCCAGTAAAACCAGTGTAATGTAAAAGTTCAAAAAAGTGCAAAAATTTTGAATGTCCTTTTTGAAACTTTCTTCCAGAAGAATCATTTACCCCGAATTACTGTATTTATATAAAACTACCGTAATCTTGTCTTATTTTCATGATTTTTTTTTTCAGAAACTTTTATTTTTGATGTAATCGTGTAAAAGAAATAAATGCGAATGTGACAAGAAAGAAAACAGGAAATTTGTGTTTTTCAAATGAGATATGGTAATCGGTTTAAAGCTTTCATAAAAGTGTGAGACCAAAGAAAAGGAAAAACCAAAGAAAAGGAAAAAAAGAAACCACAACCCCCAAAATATAATATAAAAAGAAAACAGGAAATAATATGTACACTACTGGACAATGAAATATCAATATTTGAAAAAAGATCGTCACTTTCGCGCGTCTATAACTCCATTGTCTTTACCGTATTTCTAAATATTAGTATTACCATTGTGTAGCCCTTGAAAAGAGCTTTCAGAAAATGTATAAAACTAAAAGTTTAAACTCAAAGACAAGGGAGTTACAGACGCGCGAAAGTGTCGATCGTTTTTCAACTATGATATTTGATTGTCCAGTACTGTATATCTACAAATTTTCGATAATCGTTTGAGTCATCGCGGCAGCTCGTGCAGCTGCGTGTGCCTGAATGTTTTTGTTGTTTTTATTCAATTAAATAAAATACTCTAAACGATTTCTACCTGCCACAATTTTGCGGCTCTCGAGTGCCCGTGTTGATAGTCAGCAATGCCGCGAATCAACGCCCATGAGCCGATGCGAGATCTAGCAAAAATATTAGGTTTAAAAAAAATCATTGCCATTTTTTTTTTGCAAACTTTTCTTTTCATAGAAAAGAATTCTTTATCAAATTTGTTAAACTATTAAAAAGTCTATGATTTCTCTATAAAATGGCTTTTAAGAGAAAGCTCAAAGCTCGCCTCAACTCGGTAACCTCAATCGTCGAAAGTTCTTCACGGCCACCGTGTAAGAAAAGTTGCGGTTCAAAATGGATCTTTGGGTAAGAGTCCAGTCGATCATTTAAAATCTTTATGCTGTTATATTCATAGGTGTTAACTCCGTTGTTTCATTTTTTCATTTCGTTAATTGAATAAACAAATTTTTATGTACTATTTTACTTGAGAATGCACGAGAAAATAAAGCCTTTATGGAAAACTCCAAAAGAGCATTGGTTAATCTACATTAAAATCTGTAAATTTGGCGCTGTTTTGAACGGCGCGATTTTTGTATGGGTGCTGTTTTGAACGGCGCGATTTTTGTATGGGCGCTGTTTTGAATGGCGCTATTTTTGTATGGGCGCTGTTTTGAACGGCGCTATTTTTGTATGGGCGCTGTTTTGAATGGCGCTATTTTTGTATGGGCGCTGTTTTGAACGGCGCTGTTTTGGCGGCGCTATTTTGACTAGGTCCCGCATTTTTTTGTCGAATTTTCAATTGCTGTTTTAAAGAAAATCGCTGAAGGGATCGTTTTCAAATTTTACAGACTTATGTAATCAAATGAGCTCTATCTTTTTTACTTTGATATCAAAATAGGTTTGTATTGAAGAAAGTGTCCAAATTTATGTCTAAATTTCGACTTCAGCATCGGAGTAGTTTTCGGTACTCGCCCTTGCGCCTTTGAAAATCCAAAAAAAACAACTACTTCCAAGAATTTTCAAAAAGCCATTTTACAGAGCACCAATCAAACTTTTTAATAGTTTAAATAGAAAAAAGAATTCAAATAAAATTCAAATTATTGATGGCGACATTATTTTTAAAAGACGTTTTGAAAAAAAAATTGTAAAGACTTGCATCAACTTAATAGTCAGCTCTTTGGAAATAATGCTTTAGCTTGTTGATTTTCTTGTTTCTTACCCCTCAATCGCAGAAATGACTGTCTCAAAACCAGCATCGAGAGCCCTCACTCCAAACTCAGAGGCGAAAAGGTCGCGAACCTAAACTTTTTTTTGAGCGTGCCATTTCTTTATAACAACCTCATCTTCATTGATTTCATCCACTCTTCTCGCAGTCATTCCACCAATTGATCCCAAGTGAATTAGAGGAAACTAAACCATTTGCATATCTAGAAAATTCTGTTCTAAATAAACCTGTCGATTTTGGTTCGGATGTGGCAACACGACGAGATCACCTCCACCCACATGCACAAAAAGCACATCCGTCTCAGCACTCGGCTTTGAGAACTCGTCTTCTAAATTACTTTTACCTAAATGCCTCCAAAAATACCATAAATACTTTAATAGAACACCACTTTCTCGTACAGGCGCGTAGTCTAACTTCTTTTTTAGAAAATCTTTAGAAAATCACTTTTTTTCTCAGCTTCTAGACTTTTCCCAACTATATTTTTAGTAGCAAAAAATACTAGATTTCAAGGGCTATCATTTGAGACCCAAGTGCACACTGTAGGCCGGAGAATGGGACGTTTAAAGTTAGACTACACGACAGTACTCCCGTCATTATGGCGATGGCTTTCTATTTACGGTAAGTGACTGTCTTTTTACCCGTCTGAGCCGTTGAGTTCAATTTCTTGATAGTTTCCTGGGTGTGCGTTTCCCATTTTTTGAATAGAGTTTCACCGCCATTTCCCACCACGTTGGCTATCTTTCGATCCAATGGATTGTGTCTATGAATGACAAAGCTAAAACCTTTTTTAGATTCAAGTCTTCATTTTAAAAGTACTCTTTCACGTCACCAGTATCCGGATCGATAACGGTGTCTTGAGCAAAAAGGTAGGCCGGATTAGTGGCATCTGAAATTTCTAGTCTGGCTTGATTGAGCATTTTTCTTCAACCTGAAGACACGACGACATCACCGAGTCGAGCGTGCTTTTTCGCATCAGTGAGATGGGGAACACCACCGCCCACACCAACCACAAACACGTGCTCGATGTGTTGGAAATTGCCAAGCAATCTGAATCGACTCATCAACGACCATAAAACATTTCAAACCGTGTTGTGATGCTTCCTGAGCTGGTGGTCGCCTCTCGCGAGTCACCAACCACCGCCAATTTCGTGGCCACAACTCGGTGTCTTCCAATGGTCCCAATCGTATACGCGTTCGAATCACCGCCACTCTGAAAGCTCCAATCTTTAAGTGTGTCGATTCGTCAAACCTTGTATCGATGCGTGACTTCAGGCTCCGTGATGATGGCATCAATTGCTTGCTTCTCGACGAAGAGATGAGTAATGATAGCGATCGTTGGCGGAGATACAACACCAGCGGCAAGTCCTCCCCGATGAGAAGCAATCACGCCATCAACATTTCTGAATTCACGATAATTTCTACTTTTCAAAAATCCTTAAAACCGCAAATCTCTTCGAAGCCACTCGTCGTCAACTCTCTGAGCGATTCCAGCAGCTTCTAGCTCTAAGAGGAATTGGTGTACCTGAAAAATCAATCTAAATCTAAAGCAAAGCAAAGCAATCTAATCAAAACCTCATCTTCAGTAGTCTTTAGTCTCTCAGCAAGCTTGGAAACGGGCAATCCATTCGGGAAAGCGTGTTCCAATTGCTAAATCTTCATTTAATCAATTCGCATTGTTTTATCTCACCTCCTGTACACGCGCAATCGAGGCAACCTCGGGCGCCGTATCTAAATAGATTTCAAAGTTGTATTCTTTTTTTTACAATTTACCATAAAGTGAAGTGTTGGGCATTTCGATGACCTCATCTTCCGAAAGCCATTTCATATCAATGACAATTGATAGAATCTCCGAATATCCACTCTGCATCAGTTTCAACGCTCTCGTCACAAAACCCACATTGTCTAAGAGTTGGGGTATTTTGTAGGGATAATCTTTGTATAACCTCTTGGCAAATTCTTGAGTAAGCAATTGAAGAAAGATCGAACAGCAGCAGCACCATCTCTAATATCGACACCTTCAACCAAAGCGAATTGAAGAGTACGTGTTTCCTAAATTTCTCGATATCTGATTTGTTAGTGTATAAACCTGTCGTCTAATCGAGCCATCAGATAGCCAAACAGTAAATGAAAGAGTGAAGTCAGGAATCGGTTCTAAACTTTTCAATGAGTATAACAACGATCTTCTACAATGCAACTTTTTGCTGTCATCAAGAGTCACAGATCTTTCCCTATAGATCAGTGAAATGAATATGTTTTGTCGACTTACCTTCGTCTTCATCGGAAGCCTTGTAGATAATAATGCCAGAATGATTTCCTCCAGCAATGTGCAAAACTCTATCGGAGTTGATGTCAAATTCGCTGAATAATCTCGAAATTTCAAAAGAATCCTTTTCAATTGTATACCGAGTGATTTTTGATTTATTGTGGTCGATTTGTTTTTTTAGAGGAACCAAAGCAACCAATGAAGAGACCACCATCGTCTGCATATTTTTGAATAATTGAAAAATTTCTTACAGAAATCGTAAATACAATAAATGGTAAATCGAGCGCGCAAAGAGATAATCAATATGCAATACCAATGTCAATTAGAAAAGAAGAAAAAAAGATGCAGATGGGAAAGATTGTGTTTTTGTTTGGGACAAAACAGATTTCCTTCTGAAAAACAAGACAAATCGACCGGTGCAAAAGAAAGCCAAAAATAAATGAACCCTTTTGATGCGTACTTTGAATTTTTTCCTGTCATGATACATATTTGTAAAATGATACATAGATTAAATCGAATAAAGTGTATGACTTTTAGTGAATGTCGCTATAATTCGTTTTTGAGGAGTTATTAGCATAATAGCATTTCAAAATTAAGGACCATGAGTCTTCGATGAACGTAGCTAGGAGCAATAGCACAGAAACAACGGAACTCCAAGGTCTCCTGGCAAGGCGCCAGGCTATTGTTCGTTTGAAAACGCTCTCACCACAAACAGGATATGCAAATGAAAAAACTGCGTTTAGACAAATTTTATTAGGTTAAATAGCATTAATAAATTATGATTCAAGACGATATGCACATCCAGAAAATATCACAAGACAGTCGAAAATTCCTCTTCATACAGATATTTAAACCCTTCGAATATTTTATATCTACCCAAAAAAATCCATCGTGTTAGGGATATCAATTTAAACCGAGTGAATGAAAATAAATATAATACCACACAACAACTAGTAACAGGAAAATCAGACAAAATTCGGTTCTTGAGTAGAATCCGGGACTTTTGAGAGATTTAGTTGGTTTTGATTCTTATTCTACAACATTTTACTTTTGAATGTTGTGTTATTTGCGTTTGAATCTTGTCAGCAGATATAATCTTTAATGTTTTTACAGCAATTGAGCTTGAGGTGACCAGTAGTACAATTTGACACCAACCGAAGAGACGAGAAAACCTCACGATCAACTATTAGATTGGCCTTCTTGAAAGTCTTGGTTAGAAACGTTTACAAGCGATAAGTAACAAACAAAACTTCGATAAGTAAAAAGAACAAAATGTTTCCAAAAGTCCCGAATTCTACTCAAGAACCTAAAATTCTTATAATAGGTAAGAAGTTTTGATTAAACCATAATCATTCACGTTTACTTGGGAATACGCGCTGATGTGAGGCTGAGGCCATACTTCCTAAAAAATCATTTAGATATTTAAACGAATCTATGAAAATTATAATTAGACACTAACCGCTTATAGGGTGTGATTGCGCATACTGTCCTACATACTGAGATGGTCCTCCTGGTACCGTACTAAAATAAATTAATATTACAAATCAACATCTTTAAAAACCTTGAAGGTTGGTTTGAACTCTGAGGGGGGAAAGCTTGCTGATAGGCGTATTGAGGCGGTTGATTTAGCGATGGGGCCCCATAGCTAGTCTAAAAAGAAGAAAAATATTTTTTATTACTCAATAACTAACAGCTGGCCCATGAGAATGGCCGTGATTTCCTGACTCGTGCGAATGCCCATGCCCGTTGTGATTGTCGAAATTGCCTACTAAACAGTTTATTAGCTAACGACAAGTTTTGCAACTTAAAAATCAAGTAAAAACCTCTAACCAACCATTTTCATTTCGGTTCAACTTTTGACTGGTGAAGCTAAAAGTAGATCCGGCCAAAGCATCATCTGTAGATACCCACGCAGAATCCTTGACAATCTAAAAAACAAATTTAGATCCATAAATAGTTATATACCTGAACAGCTAGCACATTAACTAAAGATCCAAGCTTGTCGGTGACCAATGCGAGAACGTTTTGCTCATCTGCGTCTCTTCTCACCCGTACCTCAACAGTTCCAACCATCTAAAGTAACAATTTTTTTAGAAAATAACTTGAAACTTCTACTTGAGAAAAATCGAGTTGCCAAAAATGTGCCACCCTTAATTCAAGAACACCATCAATCGTGGAAGCCTCATTTAAACAACTAAAGTTAAATGCCTTTGTTACTATAAAATTTCAAACCGATCCAATTGATTGAGAAGATGAGGTGGGGCGGTTTGTAATAAAATACGCCCAGTATAAGTTGATAAAGGATACATTGTCGAAAAGACGGCTATGGAGAGAATAATACAAGATACGGGATCCGCCCAAGCAAAATCTTGTCTGAAATCAAACACTTTTGTAGAAGCAAAACCAGGTTGATTGATGGTACAACACCACAAACCTAAACTGTTCACAAAACACAAGGAGAGAAGAAGTCGAAATAGCAAGAAGCACCTAAACAAACAAAAATAAAAGCAAACTCTAGGAACAAACCATTGCGTTGATCCGAGGTAACAACAAGCGTGACAATCCAGGAACCATCCAGCATATGGCATGAGAAAGATCTGCAGCATGCTCCTAAAAAAACAAGCGCATGTAACGAACCACAGTGAAATATGCCAAAAGATTTATATTCTTTCATAAAAAATAAAATGTTACTTGTAATGAACTTGAGGCGGCAGCCGTCAGAACATGTTGAAAAGGCTGCTGTCTCAATGAATAAGCTGACACAATCAACGCAATTGATGTCGATAAAGCGCCAATTAAAAATGGCCAAGATGAGCTAACCTCACCTAAATTCGACAACTTCAAATTAAGTCAACTAGAAAATTAAGACTTGACGAATGATCGCTATGACCGCCATCGTGATCATGTCCCCCAGAACCATGGTGATCAGGTGCCAGAAGATGTTCAAACGATTCTTTCATCAAAAAAATTGAAAATAGTTGGGCAAGTACCTAAAGAGGAAATACCAGTTTTCTAAAGTCAGCGTAAATTTTCTTACTACCTAAGTTATATTTAACATACCGTTGTGCTGAATACAGCTAAAACGGGAACTCGGGCCAATCCATATGAAAACTTGTTCAACGCCTAAAATTGCGCTATTGTGTTTAATAGATCGCAAAAAACACCTTATGTGTAATTGTCATCGAATATAATGAAGAAAGAATTGAGCACAATGCAAACACGGCTATCCAAGAAGACGACATCAAAACGAGGGAATGTGCTAAAAAAACTATAAAACTTTCAAAACTCTGATTTACCGCTGCTTGTGCATATGAAGCTCGTGATTACACACGCAGAACAAACACCAGCTGATATCAAACCTCGCAGGCCCTAAAAGTACATAAAAATATATTAGAAAATCTGAACTGTTACCTGCGAATGCTGCAACACAGCAGCAACCCAATTTAGGAGCATCTAAAACTCTTCAATATTTCGTTCCAATTTGACAAACATGATTTATACAAAAGGTATATGATAGCAAAATAACCAATGTTAAAAATAACCTGGAAAGTTATAAATAAATTTTATTGCTGTTTAAATTCACGAACTAAAAACAAATAAACATTAAACATCGATGAATCAGAAATTCGTAACTAAAACGCAACAGAAAAATACAACTTTTGAAAAGAAATCAATAAGATACACAGATTTTCTAACTAATCTAGCCTATTAAAAAAAACAAATTTCGATATAAAATATTATTTTCAATAGAAAATGCAACCCGTAATATAATATTTGCATGTGAATCCTAAGTCAATCACAATTATCCAAACTAAAAAGGTTTTTACTCGCTAATTGTGATCGCAGCTTTTGACCGTTCTCTTTGTTCGTAGGCTGTCCAGTCATATCTAAGAAGCCTTATTATTGTAAACAATAAATAACCAATACCAACCTGCACTTATAAGGCATGAATCGGTCTGGAATTCCTTTTTGGCGTAATGCGCTAAGTTCTTTCCATTTCTCGTAGTCTTTTGCCTGATCCTAAAGAGAAGTTAATGGGAAATAAGATTTTCACTCACTCTAACACACAAAAATACGGAACACGGGACGGTTAGGGTTGATGCCAAATATGCAAACTTTCCATTTCCAGTTAGCCCATATCTAAAAACGGTATTAAAATTATATCTTTATTTTTTATTGAAAAATTATTAAAAAATACCCCACAAAACTCACATAAACATATTGGTTATTGCAAAATTTGCGATAATCGATATAGCCGTTGTTGCAAAACCGGGTTCTGGATCCTAAATAATAAATGTCGAATCGGGCGTTTAAAATAAATCTAATACCTTGAAGATCCCCAAAACTTTCCGTGACGGATGTAAAACTGAAGGGTTTTCCTCATCAGTCGCTGCAGTCATTTTACCTTTTCAATGAGAAGCTAAAAGTTTGGAAATTACTTGAATGCAATGAATAAACTCATTAAACAAAATATATTAACAAAAACGAAAAAATTGCATGATTCTCAAGTTCTTTGTACTTTTTTGCCAATTTTCTTACAATTGTAAGATATTCGCTCGAATTATTAAACAGTCTAAATTAATTATAAATAAAAAGAGTACACGTCAGCCGTCAGTTTTGACGGTAAAAGCAACTTGTTGCATGCATTAGCTAATTAAAATTGTGGAAAAAGAGTTTTGTAAAAATACCGTTACGAGGAACGTAAAAAAAAAGTAAAAAGATGTAAAAGCCTCGCAAAATTTAAGCAAATGATGGCTTTGACAGAAGTGTTCTCCCGTTTTGCTTTACTTCCTCCGAAAAAGCGACTAAAAGAAACTAGTGACGCGGTGCATTACGAGCTGAAATTTTCATTGTCTTATATTTTATATTGGTCTTTTTTCCTCATTTCCTTTGGCTAATCTTTTTTCTTGTCTTGCTCGTTACCTGCCTAGATAATTACTTACTTTTTAGTTAACACTTTGGAAAGAAAGCAACCAAATGAAACGATGGAATCGATGAGAGAAAAGACTATGAAGAACAAGGTGAAATTTTCATAAAAACAAAATCTTACGAGTATACGAGCTGCTTAAACATATTAAATTGCTTTTTTTAGGTTAAGCGTGTAACAGTATTATCACTGGCGCAAATTTATAAAAGGGTCAATGAATTCATGTACAAAGCTACAAAGGTTGGTCTTTTAATCAGAGCTTATTTTTGTATCAGTTGCCTTCTATTTGTTTAAAATACTACCATTTTATTTGTAATATCCTTTTTCTTAATCTTTTTTTTAGGGAATCAATCTATCAAAGTTGCGAGAAATAATCTACATTAAATCCTGTGAAGCGTTACACCCTGTTGCCGACGGCGAAGAAGAGTTTGTGGTACGTTTTTTAAAAAAGGGTTTTTAATTTTGAAGGATTTTAATAAAATCTGCGATTTATTTGTAAAAGGTGGTAATTTTATTTGCTTTCAGGAAGCTATTCGGAATGGGATCAAATCTGGAGCAGTGAAAAAACTCTATATTGATGACAAAGTAAATGGCAGGCTTAAAATTTCAACACATATTTTTTTAGAACTTGTTACTACCAATCATTTTGATGCCTCCGAGGAGCGGGTTTTCTTTGGATTCATCCGATTCCGCTGAAAGGGTAACAAATATTCTTTTTTGTAGTTCAAAAGTTCAGAAATTTTAGGCAATTATTGAGAATGAAGGATCGGAAGAGCAATGTCAAGATGAAGTTTATCTGTTTGAAGAACAAATGTGAGTGATTTTTTCCAGTTTTTTATATATACGTCAATTGGTCAAAGCAGTAAAACTTTCAGTGAATTCAACGAGATATGCTTGCAAAGATGGCAAAATTTGCCAAGACTACCGCAAATCATTTTGTTTTTGCAAACGGTGGCGAAAGTTAGAAAACAGTTTGCTTTTCATACATGGTTGGAAGAAATTGAGGTTGTTATTTCATGTTTGCCTATTTAACCAATTTTTTTTTTGGGAAATTATTGGAGGCTCTTTTAATTACCAAGCAATGGGCCTGTTTTATCCAGCTGAACTCATCACGTTGGGGATGCTTGTGCCGATGATATCTTCAGATGAAAAGCGTTTACAGGTTTTGATTTTAAGGTATAGTTTTTAAACAAGCTAGCTTATAGATAACGTTTGCTCAATGTGTCCTTTATGCTTTTCTTGTTGACATAAGACGCATGGATCCGGCAAAGAAAGTGATTTTTGAATTTTTAACTAACCACGGAGGAAAAGTCAATGAAGCTATACTACAGAGAGGAACGGTTATTGTTAAGTAAATTATAAAATTTAAAAAGGGTTTTTAGAGATTGTCGTCACACGCAATTTTCGATATCATTTCTGAGTCAAACGAAAATTTTGATGTCTCCTTTGAAAACGACGAAACAAAATTCTCGGTGAAAAAGTCTTTAATAACATTAGTTTGAAGTAAGAATCTAGTCTTATAAATATGGGTATTGACTTACTGGTATTGTGTTGTTTAGTTTTCATTGTTTACTAATAAATCTTTATCGTTTTTTGTAAAAATAACAAATCATCGACGCGGAGTCTTAAAAGGCATTTTGATAATGTTTTCCATGGTTGTCTGAAACTTTCGAATTTTTCAAGTATTCAAAATTATACCTAGTAACATACCTTGGTTTGTGGCTCCAAAGTTTCAACCCAGGGGATCAGAGATCGAGTAATTGTTGCATAATCATTTAGATTGACTTGATTTGTAAACGACAAATAGCAGTCGTCTAATAATTTTTTCATCTAAATTACTTAAACGTTTACGAAAACTCGCAGTGTTTTGGCGTTTACCATTTGCATTTGAATTGTACACTCTTGAGGCGCCTCACGTGACATTGACTCATATTGTTCAGCAATCATTGACAATGCCGCGATCTTCGACTCGGCTTGTGCCAGCTCTTGCTTTTCAGCTTCGACCTCGTTCTAAAACTTTGTCGTTTGTACAATGACATTGGTTGACAAAAAAAAAAATAGGTTATCTACCTGAAGCAATTGCAAATATTCAGCAGCTCGGAATAACACGGCAGCGTTTGTTGTCTTGCATCCCATTGTCGCCATTGAAGCGGGAATCAGATCTTTCAACTCGGAGTAGCCATTCTAAATTTCAGTTTCTAGACTTTGAAAACTGATTTGTTGTTCAAAGGAACTTATAGTTCGAGCTGTAGAGAACTCACGTTGATAGCCTCTCGACGCTGTCGTTCACATCGCAAATGTGTTTCCTTTTTTCGATCTGCATGCGAAAGAGCTGTAGATGTCGAGCATTCCGATCCTAAACATTGCCCATCTACTTGTAACTAATCAATTTTTTATAATACTTTTTATTAGTCATTGTTGCTTACAACTAGTCAAATTGGTTAATTATGGTACCTGCTGGGCTCAAACTATCGACACGCATCGTATGCCGAGAAGACATTTCTGAAAATCAACAATTTTTTAAATTAAAATATATTGAGAAAATGAGATGATTAACGTGCTTATGAGAGAAGAGAATCTTTATGATTCGATCAATTGATAGACTCTTCCTCTCCTCTTTCTCGTTCTCTTTTCTCTTTTTGGCATATAGCCATGTGGCATTTGGAGTCTGAAGTCTTTTTTCGCTTCACTTAGGTTACGAATTGCTTAGAACTCATTGAAAACCGCAGACGTTCAATAGTCATGTCCAATTTTGATATGGTTACATTATTTATATGCTCTCTGATCTCCTATGTTTTTTATATTTTACTTGATGCGTTATACTTTCAATGACTAAGAAAAAAAAACTTTATAAGATTGATTTCACATGCTTTGGATTACAAATGAAACGTTGCAATTGCACCTGGCAGAATAGACTTACAATGAGCTCCAGATTTGCTTTTAAAATAGGCGATTAATTTAGTAATCGTCTCTTTGTTCGTTTGCAACTTGACTCCAGTTTGATTAAATGTTGTGCTTCACTATAAAAAAAGTTACTTACCTAACCAATTCCAAATTTTTAGATGTTCCCACAAGGATCTGGGTTCAACAGCCAAACGGCGGCGGATCAAGGTATTAAAAAAAAGATTAAAAAAAACTAAAACGAAATTTTAGATAAGATTCGCCAGATCTTTGCAACACTGGCCATGCAAAATCCACAGGTTTTTTGACAAAAATTTTCATTTATTAACGGATTTTAGCTGGCTCAACAGGCTTTGATGGCTCAGATTCCTGCTCGGTTCCTTCAACATTTGCAGCAACAACAGCAACAACAACAACAACAACAGCAACAACAACAACAACAGCAACAACAACAACAACAACAACAACAACAACAGCAACAACAACAACAACAGCAACTCCAACAACAACAGCAAATTCAGCAACAACAGCAACTTCAGCAACAATATCAACAACTCCTTCAACAGATCATGGTGAGTTTCCGGCGAAAATCTATTAGCAAAACTTAATGATTAAAATAATTAATGACTTATTTCAGCTTCAACCTGGAAATTCTCAAATACCGGCTTCGGTGGCTACTGAGGTTTGAAAATAAGCACATTTTCTAGTGCAACAGTATTGTTATAGGCGCAACGAAGTGCCGCATTGGAGGTGCAAAATCGAATTCTCCAGCAACAACACCAAAATGCTCTCCTCTCAACGGTAATTCATCGTTTGCATCGTTAAAACAGAAAATGTTCATTTTTCAGGCGGCTTACACGATGCCCTCGAATCTCGTTTCACAATTTGAACCACCCCGTCGACCGTCACTCCTTTCAAATATGGAACAGCAACGACCCAAGTTGACAACCATGTTGCATCCAGGTACACAATTTATGCAAATATTATTAGGCTACAGCTTCTTTACATTTTAAAGTCTTTAATTCTTTAAGATGCTTTACACGTTGATACATCTAATCTCTGTTCGGGCAACATCGAGCCATCGCCCATTCCAACAGCTGCCAGTCCTGAAGAGGACAACAAGCCTGAGGTTTTTATTAATTTTTGTTTTTTAAATGACATAATCATTCCAGTGGCTCCCTGAGAAACGAAAACACAGTGAACGCTTGGAACAAATTGAAAATGAGAAAAAGAGAACGCAAAGCACAATCACAACGCTAAAGAAACGGGTCGAAACTTTGAAAGAAGTTTGAACAAAATTTGGAAATTGAGAAAAAAAAAATTCAGATCCAAGAACAAAAAGATGATGGACAAGATGAAGAATTGAAAGAAGAAAAGCTGAAAGATCTCTCGCTCGCTGAGAAGATTTATCTCCAGACAAAGGTTTGATTAAGTTGATCGTTCATTGGATAGCATAAGTTTAGACAATCACTCAAGCTACTCATATCAAGAAAGGCTTAGAATCAGATGAGATAAAGGTTTGTCTTTAGCTATTTGCTTTTATATTTTTCAACTTATACTTTCAGACTTGTGTCCTTGAACCAAATGAAGTACCGGGAATGGAAAAACTCATGGAGGATTTTGAGAAATTTCGTCCTAGTCTTTTGGACAATCATCGACGTCGGGCTAGCTTGTGCGAGAAAATCAATAAGGTAGAAAAAATTATGGAGATTTTACTAAAACAAAGATTTTTCAGCAATATATGGAAGAATACAATGATTCATTGATCTCATGGGCTCAGAAAATGGAAAAGTGGCAAGATCGACCAATAAAACGGTAACTTAAACAAATCCAACTTGAATCGGAATTGAATATCGAAATTTTCAGAAAACAAGATCAACAACGACGGGCAATTTACGAGGAGATTTTCCCCGATTTAAAAAACACTTATGATCGTCAAGTGCGAAAAGAGCGATATATACAACGTTGTGATAATATTCCGATGTATCTCATGTTATCAGGAACAAATCAAGTGAGTTTATGAAAGCAAAAGGGGAAATAAATAAAGATTTAGAACGAAGAAGAGAATAAAGTGCGAGCAAACGCGTTAACGGTTCCGATTATGTCAATGAAACCAAGTGACGAATTTTACCGCAATGAAAACAACGCCGTCTATGATGAGAATTCGACTTATAAGAAGAGGTATAGCTTTTAAAAATTCTTTAAGCTTTAAATTCTTTAAGCTTTAAATTCTTTAAGCTTTAAATTCTTTAAGCTTTAAATTCTTTAAGCTTTAAATTCTTTAAGCTTTAAATTCTTTAGGCTTTAAATTCTTTAAAAGCTTTTTGATATCTTAAAATTTTCTCTTAGAATCGATGAGTTTAAATCTTGTTGGACCGATGAAGAGAAACAAACTTTTCATGCAAAATTCGCGCTTTACGGAAAGAATTTTGCAGCAATCAAGTGTTTCCTTGAGAGAAAGGTGGGATTAAATTTGCTTTTAAATAACATAAAATCCTTTTTTCAGACTGTAAAAGACTGCGTGCTTTGGTATTATTTATCGAAGAACACAATGAATTACAAAGGAGCTTTCAAGAAAAATAAGCGAAAAAATCCGAAGGTACGGCTATTCTAGCAAAATTCAACTCCAACTTTCAAATTTAGGTCTATAAACCGCCGATAATGCCTAAAGATGATGAGCTCACGCAACTCATACCTCAATTAGCTGAAAATAAGACAAGTGGATGTAAGGGGGAAATTTTCTAATTTTCTAACAAAATATTTCCAGTATCGGCTGCAATTGATAGCAAATGTTGTTTGTGCAACATGAAGATAAATCTCACCAACAGTTCGCAAGCTCGGGTTCTCACAAGGTGCTTACCGTTTTCATACAAAAAAAACACAATTTTTAGAAGCCTTTACGATACGTATGGTGTTGATGCAAGAGATACGGATGTGAAAGTCAGTGTGAAAAACTTTTCAAATCCCATTTTTATCTTTTCAGGTTTGCTCGCGTTGTCAAGCTGAAGTAAACCGAAATCGAAACAGTCAGAAATGTTTGACTCGTTCGTGCGATCAAAATAAGAGAAAGGTTTGAGACCAATTGCAATCAACTTTGACCAATTTTTAGAGTAAAACTCTTCGCTCTCTGCCTGCCAAATGGAAGAGCTGCGATGAAAGAATCAAGAGGTTGATAAAAACAGAAATTATCAAACAACTGAGTGCTTTTAAGATTCGTCGCTCATCATTTCGGCTTTCCGAGAGAGATGACAAAATGTTGTCCACCTTGCTTTAAAAAAGTCAACCGTAAAATCGATCAAGCGGTAGCCGGAGAAATCGAAGAGGAAATCATTACCTGGGAAGTGGATTCAGCGAGTCAATGGCCAAAAGCAGAACTTGATGCTTTAGATCGATTGGTGCAAGAGCATGGTTTGAAATTTTGAAAAAAACCATGTAATTTCCTTTTTCAGGTAGAAATTGGGAGATTGTATGCACATATCTTTGTGGACGAACGGCCGAAGAGTGCAAGACTCAATGGGAAAGTCGAAATGGAATTGATGGATTGCAATCACATTCGACTCTTGATGATGAAGAAGAAGAACAAGATGAAGAAAAAAGAGATGAGGATGATGGGTGAGTGTTTAAAAAATGATTTAATTATCGAAAGAACTTTCAGTGATACGCTCGATCAAGAGGCTGTCGATGAAGAAAGCACACTCGACGTATCGGAATCAACAACTCTATTGCACCCAGAAGTTTTGCTGGAAAAGGTCAAAGAAGAGGTAAATGAGTTGATTTAATATGTAATATGTTTTAATCAAGAAGGAACACAGTTTGAAACATAATGTTTTTTCAGCCACCCAGTGAGTCGAATGATGAGCGAGGAAGTGTGGAATTGCCATCCCACGAAGCGCCGAATCCATCACTCTTGCCCTCAACTTCTCCACTTAAAACCGATTCAGCAAAAGAGCAATCACAAAGAGTTGACTCAGGAGGATCTAGTGATGTAAATAAAAAACGATTATTTAAAATTTTCCAATAATTTTAGGATATTATGGTTGTGGAGGAACTTGTGGGTGGCTCGTCGAAAAGTTTGATTAGATCTAGCAAAACCGATGACCCTTCTGGTTCTAATCAACACAAAGGCAGCATCACTCAAGGTTTGTTGTTTTCAAAGAAAAAAAAAGTTTTTTTTTTGTGTCAAAATTGATCAAAGAATCAAAAGATATTCAAAATATTAGGTGCATAAGTTCACAATTTTTTCCGGAACATCTTGAAAAATAATGCCACCATCAACAAAATTTTTATTTGAACTGTTAAAAAGCTTGATTGTTTCTCTGCGAAATGGCTTTTGGAAAATTCTTAGAAGTCGTTGTTTTTGTGGATTTTCAAATGCACAAATGCGAGTACCCAAAACTGATCCGATGCCGAATTGAAATTTTGACACTTTCTTCAATACAAACCTTTTGTTATCGCTATTACAAATCCAAATCAAATTATCGAAATCGGATGGGCAATTCCAGGGGTAGGTTAGTTTCCGCAACAGGGTCATTTGCGCAACAGGGTCGTTTGCGCAACTCACCATAACTTTATTCTAAGTGGGATAATCTTTATGATCTTGGTCTCATTTTGTAGATCTCAATAAGTGCAACAAAATGAAATCAAAATCATAAAGATTGGCCCACTTAGAAGAAAGTTATACCGAGTTGCGCAAACGACCCAGTTGCGCAAATGACCCTGTTGCGCAAAAAAGTTGCGGAAACTAGCCTACCCCAATTCCAATCACATTCAAAAAAAAACTCGACCTTTCACCCGTATTGTAAGCGTTTACTAAAAGTTTAAAAAAATGAAAGTTTTAATTCCGAGGTTTCAATTATTCAGAGTACACAATGTACTTTTTCTTTTGTTTTCTTAGCAAAAAAAGTAAGCTTTTATAGCATTTCAAAAATATTTCTCCTTGACGACACTATTGACAAGCGTTTTCCTCATTTTGCCATTCCCAGCCATTCGAAATGGTTAATTATTATTCAAAGAGAATGTCGGAGAGACATTTGTACAGATTTCATCATATTCAGAGTTTTAAATGTGATTAGTTTACAATTGTATCTGAGAAAAGTTCTATTTTAGGGACTCCTCTACGACCACCGTCGATGCAGAGCAGTGCTGGACCAAGTGCTCAAGGAACTCCACTCAATGCAGTGGTGAGATTTCTTATTGTTGATTTACTTAATGCTATAGTTTTCTTATCCCTACTTAATGATCTACTTAATGATACTCAGCTAGTTTTCTTATTCTTATCATCTCAGGGAACTCAATCACAGCAAAATTTTCTTGGCAACACGACTCCTGTACCAGGCATTGCTGATCCGGAGCTCTTGGTTTGCCATAATTGTTTCAAAGAATCATCTCATTCCAGAGACAATACATGCAAATTCAACAACAACTGCAATATCAACAACAGCTCCAACAGCAAATACAGGCTCAACAGATCCAAGCGGCGGCTCAACAAAACTCTTCACAAGCATCAACCTCTCAACAACAAGGCTTCAAGTTTCCCTCGTCGACCTCAACACCCAACAACACCCAACCGACCCAACAAATAAGTCAAGAAGATGTAGCCATTTTTATACAAAACAAGTACACAAATAATTTTCAGCTCTTGAAATTGCTTGTTGCTATTCAATCGGGATCGGTCACTGGACAGGTGGACGTCAACAACCTCCTTCAAGCGTATCGTAGGCTCATGAGCTTGGCGAGCGAGGTTCAAAATCTGGAAAATAGTAAACATGATTCAGATTCTTTTTTAAGAAAAGTTTTAGTTCAACAACAACTCTCCACTCATGCTATGCAAGATATTTCTTTGCTCGGACAATTGCCACAAGTTGCTGCTCAAATTCAAGAGGTTTTAAAGTTCAAAAAATTTCCCTTACGAACCATGTTTAGAAAAGAGCTCTCGTGCAGCAAGAAGAAACACGTTTAGGGCAAATTCTGCAGGTATTTCAAGTAAATATGCAAAATTATAAAAATTTTCAGTCATTACAGCGGGCTTTGTTTCAGCAACAAACATCCAATCAAAATCAAGCACAAAAGTCGCAGGTAGATCTTTGTAAGTGATCAAGTTATACTTTAAAATTCAGCTTACAAATGATCAACGCTTTTTGATGAATCCGGAGAATTTATTCAATGCGGCTAAGGTAAAAAAGAAAGTTAGCATTGTTTTTACATTGTCGCAAAAAGCGAAAAATTCCGCAACTTTCAGGATAAACTCCAAAAGGCTTACCACGATTTGGTGGAGAAACAAAAGTTTTACGAAGAGGCTCAGGTTTTTGAAAATTCAAATTACATATTCAATAGCTGTTTTTTTTTCCAGGCAAAGTTGCGACTTCTACAAGAAGCACAAACAAATCAAGAAAAGAGGATGACTCAATTGAATGTTGATATCCAGAAAACACAGGTAAGGCGATACGCCGGCCTGGGGGCACATGTCGGTGTAGCACATTGGTAGAGCTTTCGCCCGGTGAGCGAGCGAGGTAAGGTCAGCGGGTTCGAATCCCGGCGCTGATGTTTTGCATTCTCAGCCCAAAACCCATAAAAGGACCGGCGTGCAAATCAATGGTTGCTCTTTCTCTAATCAACTCTTTCAGTCGGCCGTTGATGCCTATCAAAAGTTGAATCTTCTCTCCAAACAGGATGCATATCGAAAAGAATTAATAAAACAGGTAAACAAGTTGATAAAACGCCAAGGAAACACAATATTACAGCAATCGGATGTACGGGATACAATGCAAACTCGAGAACAAACAATACTTCAAATACGAGTTGCTGGGCCACATGTGAGTTTGAACTCATTTTAGATCAAAGAAACTATTAAAAACTTGATTTGCTTTAACAAAATCATGTTAATATATTTCAGTTGCAAGCCACCAGCACACAAGCCGTCGAGGCTCAACGAGAGTTCCAGTTGGCTCAGCAGATGTTCCAAGAAGCACAACGAATTTATCAAGAATATCAACAAAGATTGCCGACAACCACCCAATCTCTTCAACCAAATCAGGTATGATTGTTTTGATGAGAATAGGAGAATAGTTTGAGTCTTCAAACGAATTGCTTAGCTTAGCTTAGCACGAACAGATTAGATCTCTTGATCTTTTTTTTTATAATTGAGCGCCGTTTTTAAGTTCGCTACTCTTAATATTTAACTGAGCACTGAAAAAAAAAAGCTGTTTAAAATTGTTTGAAACATACATTGCAATCTTTACAGGGCCCTATTGTATCTGAAGCGCAAGAACATCGCCAACAAGTTGCAAGAGAAGACTTCCGAGGCACTGGTGCTTTCCAGCCACCCGTTACAACACAAGGTGGTTTGTTGAATTAAACAGTATATGAAGAAACATTTTTAGCACAAATTGCTCAAGCAGTATTGCAACAACAAGCTCAATTGGCGGCAGGTGTACAACCACTGAACATAGTCGGCGGTGGAGCGGCTCTCGCTGGAAATGAAGAAGGAAAAGAAGGCGAAGAACTGAGAAAAGCCGAAGCCGCTGTGCTCAATGCTCAACATCAACTCTTGCAAGCTCGAGATGCTGAGAAAACTTCTCAACAAAAGACTGAGGTATACAACAACAAAGCAATCAGTTAAATAGTAAAACTTTCAGGAGCTAGGCCGTACCTTATTAACTTTCACTTATGCCAATGGAACTGCTTTTAATCTTCATGGTTCTCAGATACAACAGATCCAGACACAAATTCAAAATGCAAATGAGGAAATGACAAGAATGGCGAAGAAAACAGCTGAAGCACAGAAAAACCTCGACCAAGCTGAGGCTAGGTATGAAGAATTTGAGAATTTGAGAAGTTAACCAATTCAGACGATCTCAAATCAAGGACACAATTGCTGCTCGATCAAATGGTAAAGCGCAAGAAGCAGAAGAACGAGAACGACAAGTTTTTGCGCATTATGAGCGCTTTCTCTCAAAGGGTGCTATGAAAGATTTCCGAGAGCAGACTCCAACCTTGGCACCATCGTCTCAGGTTCTACTCTGATTAAACAGAAAACTAATATGCTTACAATTTCCAGGCCCCAAATACAGCCGTCAACTCACCAGCACTTCTTTCTACTTCTAGTGGTTTCCCGATTGTTCCTGATCCTTCTCCAATTGCTTCTACGAGTAAACCAACTGTTTCTCCCGCTATTGGAATCAATCGACCTGTTATGGTAGAACAATCACAAAGTTAAGAATTAATTTTCTATAGGCGGGTGGCTCTTTATCATCGGGACGATCAGCAGTGGCTGTAACAAGTGATGAAAATCGAGCACTTCTCGATCGAGTTGTTCATGAAGAAGTCTCCGCTCATCCCGCTTCCTCAGAGAGAGCCGTTCGAAAAAGCGGTAACCAATATTTTTATGAAAAGTATTGTAAAGATTTCAGGACTTGGTACTTGTCTTCTTCCACAAGTTGAAACACACAAGCAACTACCCTCGCAAATTCAGCGACGGTTCGATTTTTTACGGATTTAGATTTATTCGAATCTTTTTTAGAACTGCATCACCGTTGAACATCGTCGTATCAAGTCGGCCAGGATCTGCTCAACTCCCAATGGCTCAGGTTCGCAAAACCGTAAAAATCTATCTCAAAAAGCCTATTGTAGAACTCACCTTCCCTTACGACTTTGTCAGCGAGCTCGATTCTGTTCCCAGCTGGAATCGGCCTTAATAATGTCGATCGCCCGAGATCACATGTAATCTCTCCTTCAAATAAAACCAATCTATCAAGGAATATCTTTAGCAAGCCACCCAGCCTGGTCCAATTTTACCGGCGATGAGTGGAGGATCGAATGTTCGAGTGGGCACTCCCGCTTATGAACCACTTTCTCCTGAAGCGACTGTCAGTCAAAGTCTTCATCGACCGACCCGCCCACCCACTGCTATTTCTTCAGGTTTCAAAAATAAAAGAAAACAAAACGAAACAAAAACCTTTCAAAAACATACTCAAAAATCTTTCAGGTCCAGCCAAAGAAAAGTTCTCCGTTCTGGACTTTGACTTTGATGATGAGTCGAGCACTGAAATCACATTCCCGGGCTGTGATCAAAATGTGTAAGCTTTCAAGCATTCTATTGCATTATCGTTTCTAGGCTTTTTTTTGGCAAGTATAGAAAGTTGTGCCATTAGTTTAAATTCCAGCCCGCCAGGCCCACCACCACCTCCTCCACCATTTATGTTGAACGCTGTCGGTGCCCCACAACCAAATGAACAATCCTTTGAGCCATTGAGTGATGATGACTCATAGATAAACGAGATCTACCGAAAAAAAAAACTAGTCATTATATGGTTTTCATTGGACTTTTCTCTTGTGCATATATTATTGATTGACAATGAATAAATGATTAATATAGTTCAACTTGTTTAACCCCAAAAAGAACATCAAAGCTTTTATTGTTGAATGAACGAATGTTGATGGTGAGAAGGAGAAACGACCTGGATAGCACAGCTCATGGTATGGCGTTTGGTGGGTGAGGGGGACAGGGGGAAGGGACGGAGATTTATGGCTGTTGCTCGGCGCCATTCGCCCCCTTTCTCCATTTCTCCTCTTTTCCTTTTCTTTTCTTCTTGCTCAAGTTGAACGGCCCTTTTAATGAATCGCCACCTCTTCCTCCTCTTCACCTCTTTACACTACACTATTTAAGTCACCTAGATTATCTATTTTGATCATCTTTTTATCGACATTTTGCTAACCAATTTGCTATTTTGCTAACCTTGTTTGTTTTTCATAGCTTTTAAATTTTGAATGATTTTTCTTTGAACAATTTTTCTTTCAAAGAGTTTCCCTCGTATAGGAAACTTGGGAATTTTCTGCTTTATTCAAAACTGTGAATAGAATTGGCGGGAAGAACGGTGGCTTCAGAGCTGAAAGCGTATTGTGAAGAAGAGAAGAAAAGTGGGAATCGCTGCACACAAGAGAAAAGAAAAATGGAGAAGGGGGTGGTAGGGAGGATGGGTGATAAGAGAGAAATGGCCTCCGACAGGACCCTTCCCTTCCGATAAGCGAGTCTTCTTCAAGCAACGGATTCTTTTAGTTTTCTTTCACCTTCATTATTCACTAAAATTTGCTTTGCTTTCCTACCTTATTCCCCAGTTTTTTTGAAATTTCTTCTGTTTACAAATTCATCAACAGATTGTCTCCAATGAAATTCTAGCCTTTTATCATCATCACAAGCAATATTTTAGCCCACAAAATCGAGTTTCCTTTCAAAAAAAACAATGTTCATCTATTGTTTACCTAAAGAGATGATGTGTAGACAGATCGAGTGTCGATCTCCTTTCTGATCCAAACTAATCTCATCGAGTCGCCTGTCACTGTGGCCTCAAAGGGACCGCCCTTTTACACCTCACATTTGCATCGATGAGACGCTCATTGGATGAACAGAGGGTAGTACGGGAAAGGGATGAGTGAAAGAAAAAAAGAGAGAGAAAGGGGACAGCCATGCGCGGAACAAGGCACTGAAGGGGCGGGGCTTTCCCCCCTTCCAAGACTGTAAACTTCTCCCCTTTTCCACATTGGGAATATTTGAATCATTGCCCCGATTTCCCTGCTTGCTATTGATGATTCAACTCTATATTCTCATTTCCTTGAAACAAAAAATCCCTTCTAGAAATAAAGAATCTAATGTTTTTACTAATGTATTGATGTAAAGGTGAGCTTTTATCAAAGTTGTTTTTTTTTAAAACATTGATAAGGGCAAGGAAATCGTTTTGCTAGTGTACGAGAGGGAAGAGGGTGATGATGGGGAAGGATAGGGAAGAGGCTTGGGGATCCAGATCGACATCCATCATTGTCAGAAGATTCTCTCTTCATTCTTTCTTTTCCTCCTTCATTTCTTCTCTTTAAAACCCCCTTCTCACACTTAAACTAGATACTAATTTTTCTCTTTACAATTCATTTTTAATCTTTTACTTTACGATAATTGAAATACGGTAAGTGAAATTAGTAGTGACACTTTTTCATAAGATTTTTGAAATATTGGACAATAATATTAGACAAAAATGTTAAGTAACTGATTGTGATAGATTTCTTTCTTGAGTCACAAGATTTAGACAACCATTAGAACAAAATTTAATCAAAATTTCGATTTAGATTAAAATAAAATAATTATTGTGTTGTTAGCTTTGATCTGAACCCCCAAGAGTGCCATTATTTTCTATAAGATAAACAAATAGCCACTGAACAGCCATTGTATCCATTGTCAAAGCCATTGATCCAGCTTTTCTCACTTTTTTTCGATCCTCCTAACAAAGCCATCTATCACAGATGAGAGCAGACAGGGTGGGCTTGAGAGATCTAGCGGGGAGAAAGGCGATGACTTGCAATGCAACTTCTTTCGAGCCGGTGTGTCTCTGTACGAAACCCTCTGAGCTGAAGGGAATGGGATGGGGACGGCAATAAATTAATGCAGGGCGGGCAGGGAGCACAGGCCCCTCCCCCTCGTCCCGCCCGGGGAGCACTGAAGAAGGCTACGGCCCCACACACAAGCTCCTATCGATTTGATCAGATCGACTCCTCTCTCGCTTTTTCCTTTTCCCCCAAATGCTTTCATTTGGATTCCCAAGTGTACTCTTACTTGATGAGAGTTGATGAGCCACTACATTTCATTTGCTTTTATCTTCACAATGCTATTTCAAGTCAACTTTCAATGTCTCAAGAATTCCCATTCAATGATGCGATCAAGTCTTCCCTGTAGTTCCGAGTTTATCAAGCGTCAGTAAATAAGCTCGCCCCTACAGGCAGGACAGGGCTGCGTTTTCAAAAACCCCAATTTATTAGATTCTTTTTCGATCGTATTCTTTTGTACATGTATTACATTATATCTCAATAGTTAGAAAATAAAGCAACAATGAGATTGTTTATTCAATATTTAACGATTTAACGATTAAAAGTCTAATCAGCTACCAATTTTGTACTAATCAAGTATTAGTATTCTCTTCTGGGATAAAGATATAAAGCATTTTCAACCGATTTTTATAATTAAGCTAGCTGATCAAATTACAACACTTGCAAAATACTATTCTCTACAAAAGCTTATCTGAGTTTTTCCTCTAATCCGAATCTATCGTAAAGTTATGAAACATGAGGCGATGGGTCACTCGAATCCATTTCTTTTCTTTTCTGATCGACTCAGAAACAGCCGCGCAGACAATGCCTCTGTTTTGCCAACACACCCTTTCTCTTTCTTGCATTCATTACACTCGTTCATCCTCTCTCCTAATAAACACAAAAAAAAAATTGAGGATTTCAATCAATATGTTCTTGGCGAGCAATATTTCCATCTTTTGTAAGCCTGGGAATGGTAGTTTGCGACAAAAAAAAAGCAATCGAAGGTGCTATTGGGAGAAGGGGGATTGATCGGAAAGGGAGAAAGGGGGGCGCAGAGTCGTAAAGCTTGGCCGAGCGCCATCATCGGTAACGTGGCCTCGAATCGCAACAATGAATGGGCGGCAACTGTTCGCCTTTTATCGGCCCCAACATCGCGAAAAGAAATGGGTATGGAGGTTGCACAGGAGAGGAATGAAGGAAGGTGAGGGGGAGTGGAGATGGACGACCGGTAGGAAAAGATGAACCCTGTCGTGTCCCTGGACCACCCATGGGGTTAAACCTAGTTACAGCAACCCGAGATCGGCAATTGTTCTAATTCTAAAAAATTTTTGGAACCAAAAGGATTGGCGGCAAGAGGAGCCGAACCCGGGACCTCTCTCCGATTCGTTTGAGAGACGTGCGCATTAACCATTGTAGATGACCACGCGGTGACCATGCGATGACCAACACACGATGACCATGAGCTATGTAGATGACGACGCACTGCGAGCGCACTTGTCTCTACCCCATACGAACCGGGTTTGCCTCCGGCCTGTGTCGGCACTTTTGGCTTTTTAAAACTTTGACATGTAGCATAACTATTCTTTCTAAGTCAAACTAATTATAAGTCCTTTGCAACGGTCCACTGGGCACAGAGGAATAGTGCGCATAGATAGACAGACACTGCTATTTTATATATAGTAAATAGTGGCATGTTTTTCTTTCAGTTTAGGCAATCGAGGTTTCACTGTATTTTGAAATCTTTCAAATTCTACAATAAAAAACGCAAATTGTTTGTGAAAAATTTAGACCTCTTTGTTTGATTGTCGCATTCTTGACAACATCTAGACAACGACAAGAGACAAAACATCTAGAAATATAGTAACATGTTGAAATATATCAAAATTTAGAGGGAAATGGTGGTCATAGCAACATAAAATTGGTTTCAGAGACAGTAATCATCAAGCATTAAGAGGTCATAAAATTTATTGTCGCGGCGATCGCGGGGATTTTCATCTGATCTTCTACCATCCGCTTTCTAATAAGGGATTATGTGCTTGAAAAGTTGAGCAATAGTAAAGCCGGGCTTTCGAAACTTTCCTGCAGTCTTTTCAATCGCTTTTTACAGCTTCTTTGAGTTGCGATTAGGAGTGACCGATTGAAAAGACAAAGGACAAAAACGAAGAAGAGAAGAGAAGAGAAGAGAAGAAAGAGAGAGAGAGAGAGAAGGGTTGATTCTCCGGGATGGCCTTTTATCTTCAACACATGTATGCGCTTTCGTTTTGAGAGATTCATCGGCCATTCAACCAAAAACGCTAATGGAAAAGTGAGCCTTATTTTACAAATCTAGATTTTCAAAAAAAAATATCGCAAGAATAGTAGGAAAGAAAGAGAGTTAGAAATTTTGTTTTTCTTTGAAAAATGATTTTCATACTTGCAAAACTCTCTTCAAATTGCTTCAAGGATATGAAAGAGCAAGAAAAAGTGTGACTTTTCTTTGAGGCACTTGTTCAATCCAGGTCATATTATAGCTTAAGAGAATTTGAATTATTTAGAAATTATTTAGAAATTTGTAAAGATTATTTATCATACAGTACAGAGATTACGTAAAAGATTGTAGCTTCTTTTACCGTATGGATGAAAGAATGGCAAGTCATTCAATGAGAAAAGAGCGGGGTCAGCCAATTTCCTTTGCCCACTGAACACTCTTGTATCGATTCATACAGATCCTTTCCCCCCTGTCCACCATTTTTTCTTTACTTGGCCTTTAAAGATAAAAGGTTTAAGAGCAACACTTTTTAAAACTTTCAACAGATTTGAATTGTAAATCTAGAATGGGAAAGCTCACCTCATTTTATCTTTGTGCTTTCAATATCGTTCAATTCTCTATCCACCTTTTCTTGTTCTACTACGTATTTGCCACGCATTTTCAAGGTTTGTTTTTCAAAACTTAAAGCTTATAAGATTAAAAACAGTACTGAATCGACTTTTTTATTATTAGGAAGCTATCAATGGAATGACTTTGGCTGGCTACTAAAGTTGGGAACAATCACCCAACTGATGGACATTCCCCATTCTTTTTTGGGAATCACTCGAACAAGCACGCAAGCTTGTTTGATCCAGGTTTTCAAAAAATTTCAAAATTCTCTTTAGTCCTTTTATGGATTAGGACTGGGTATATAAGACATGATCGGGACAGGGATTCGAACCCGCGGACTTTAGCTCGCTCGCCCGCTTACCGGGCGAGCACTCTAACAATGAGCTACAGTCTGTTGTACAGTCAGTCACGTCTGTTGCTGCCGCCAGGGGAAGGTCTTATCTCTTACTCTTCAGGTACTGGGACGTTTGACAATCATCTATCTCGTTGAGGGGAATCCCTATTTGCATGAAGCCAACTCAACACTGGTTCTTCTTTTCGCTTACATGGGCGTCGAATTGTTCAGGTTTACAAAAACTGAAAGCTAAACCATTACCAATGCAGATATCCATTCTATGCTTTCAAAGCCCTTAACCACGAGGTTTTCGCGCTGACTTGGCTTCGCTACTCGGTTTGGATGTTCTTTTATCCATTGGGACTCACCATGGAGGGTAATTCATGAAAGGTTTAAAACAAATTCACAAATCGATATTTAGCTGTGACAATGATTCGTTCAATTCCTTGGTATTATGCATCGGGTCGCTATTCTCTCGCAATGCCGAATGTATTCAATTTCGGTTTCAATATGGGCGTCTTTCTCACTCTCTTTGTTTCCACTTGTTTTCTCCCGGTTTCCCTTTTTTTGCTCGGACATATGAATGCTCAAAGAAAGAAAAAACTATCGGTCACACAAAAAATCGAATAACTTTTTCTGTTTTATCTTTTTTTAAACTTTTATCTGAGATTTTAAAGCCACAAGTAAAAGTTGGGTGATTATGAGGTTACCGTATTTCTTCGAATAGAAGACCGGGTAAAGAGTATCATCGCGTACTCCTGCGTAGCAGCCCTTTTTAAAATTTCTTTTCTGCATAAAAGCTTTCAATCAAGTGCTATAGGGCTGGAAAATGACTCAAAAATACCACATGAGCTAACAGATTTTTGAGTCATTTTCCAGCCCTATAGCACTTGATTGAAAGCTTTTATGCAGAAAAGAAATTTTTAAAAGGGCTGCTACGCAGGAGTACGCAATGATACCCTTTACCCGGTCTTCTATTCGAAGAAATACGGTAACTTATTCTTTTTGTTGATAATAAACGTGTAAAAAATTGTATTTTTAGAAAATCTATTTATGAAGAAGAGTCACAAGAAGGCGATAGTAGGTTTCCAATGCTTTGTTTAAATCATCGATCTGAAATTTTACTCATAAAAGATTTGAATTCAATTTTCAATTTACCGGAATGAACTCATCAGCTGAGAAAGCATTCGTAATTGAACCAGCTCCATACATGAAAGCACCTAAAGAACTGATCAAGAGATCTTAACTATTCTTACCTTTCAACTGATCCTTTTTCTTATAATATGGAAGATCCGTGTTAAACGAGCAAGCTAAACGCTTTGCCTAAATTTTCTGATGTTGAAGCTTTTAATGACTAGTTACTGGAAATGGTGGTTCAGCAAAAGTGACCGGATCGTTTCCACCCAAACTGTAGTCCAAGTCAGCTCTTTCGCCGACAATCTTTTCCAATTGACTTTTCACATCATTCACTAAATTAAAGCTTTTTAGGCAGTTATCTAGATTTTAAACCAGAAGTGGTGACTCTGAAGAAAATGCTTGCTTGAGCCTTCTCTGCCCATGCATTCAAAGCATGTCCCCCATTGATCAGTCCAACATTTAGAGTTGTGTCTCCTAAAACTGAAAATATGTATATTGAAAAACTTTACAACCATGAACATCGCTTTTTGGCCAGTTGTGATGCATAATATCATGAAGAACGTCGAGAAGTTTGTGAATGGCGCTAGTGCCTGGAATTGAAAGTATTTCAGTTGAGAGTTGAGAAGTATTTCAGAGGATTGTTTTGATAAAACCTGTATGTGGATAACCAGAATGTCCAGCTTTTCCTTGAGTCTTTACGTGAACCTCAATTTGAACATTCAATTTATTATTAACAATTTTTTTTTTTACTTTAAGAACTCCTTTCTGAATCGAGGCAAAAGCGCTCTCTGTCGGCTCTCCAACAATCATATAATCGGGAGAAATATCAAGCTCATTTGCTTTCTGAATCTATTGAATTAAGAATAAAACTATCAAAACGTACAATCATTCCGATATGGTCGACTTCTTCGCCAACAACGAAAAGGAGGCCAACCTGCAGGGTAAAATGAGCAGTCAGAACGATTTCCTCACCTTATGACTTAATTCTGGATATTCTTTTGCAAAGCGGTTAGCTGCCAGAACAATAGCCGATAGTTGGCCTATAAATTTAAGCTCTTTTAGTATTGATCAAAAAAAAAAATATCAAACCCTTTGTCTCATTACTCGCACGTCCATAAACATTGATCTCATCTTCGGTGGGTGGAATGTATGGAGGAACTTGATCAAGATGAGTATTCAATAAAACTTTCACTTCTTGAAATATTTTATCTATTGATTCTGAAATCATTAATGAAACCATTAATTGGTCCTCTTGTTGCAAGAAGATTTCGTCGATCGTTATCTCCAATGAATTGCTCGAGAACCTCCCAACCATCGGCTCTAAGCACGGACGCCAAAAAAGTACAGTACTCTCCTTAAAACAAAATTTCAATGAATTTCAATTATTTTCTTACCCTCTTTTCCAGTGCTTGAATCAAATTGCATGCAGCGGATGAGAAAATCTTTAGCCGATTCCCCAGCACCAGCCATTCTCTAGCTTTTGCTTATCTTGTTGTACAACTGTTGTACAGCTTTATTTAAAATTTAATGAAATTTGAAAATCGAAAACAAAATTAAAGGAAAAATCAAAAATTCAAAGAAATTCAATTGAAAAGAGTTTGATTTGAAATGAATTTCAAGTGAAATGCTGCGTAAACTCACCCATAAAAGACGACTAACCTTGACGGTTACGACCGTTTAAAAAAAAAAACATCTTGAAAAGTTTTGTAAAATTTTCAAAAGAGAAACAAAACTTGTTAACACGTTGACGACATTGTCACCTGATGCTGTCTGACACATATTCGTTCGCCTGGGACATTGTCACTTGATGTCAGGTGACAGTACCAAAATTGATTTTTTTAATGCATATTTATGTTTGCTGATGATGGATATTAAATAAGCAAGTAGGGTAGTATCTATATTCGACTTGGTCCCGGAAAATGTCGATTTAACCGTTGATTATTAAAATTTTAACTTTTTAGGTGACAATTTCAGGTGACATTTTTTGTCGAAAAAAAACAACGTTGTCCCATGCGATTGTTTGTGCAAAAACGTCATTGTCGTCAACGTGTTAAAAATTTCTGATCTTTTATTTTGTTCAACTCGTATACTTTAAATTATGTGTTTTTGCTTTTTTTTATAACTTTATTTGGAATAAAATTGAATCACAATGTATCAGATCAATTTTTGGCTTGAATGATTAGCATGTACAGAGGAAAGACTAAGTAAAAAAGGTGTAAAAATGCTTGCTTTAATATTTAAAACATAACATATTTACAGTTTACAACAAAAAATATTCTTTAAGGGTTCAAAACCCGAGTAAGGTCGAGTAAGATTAAAAGCTTTAGATATAGCACACTCTAGATATAGCTTTAGATATAGTAACTAGAAAAGATTATATTTAAAATCATTATCATTAACAATATCATCAAACTGCATCATTAACAATATCATTAACTATATCATTAACTAAAACTATCATTAACTTGAGGTGGAATATGAATAGTTCCCACACTAACACCTCCTTCATGAGCGATCATCGGTGAGACGAGCGACCATTCATCGGTTTCTTCACTGTACATTTCCACTGAAGACAAATTCGAGATACCATCGGATCTGAAATTGAATACTTTTAAGTTGAATCTTTAAATCTTACCCAGCGACAGCATAAAGCTGCTTTCCAACAACCGTTGTTGAGAGATTGCTTCTTTTAATCTGAGATTTAGATTGATAAATGTTTGATGTTTCTCAAATCACCATCATTGGGGTAACTGGACTCCACTCATTGCGCACTGGATCAAATACTTCAACACTGCTAAGAAAATTTGATCCATCATAACTGAATTGGTTTTAGGCTTTGTGTTTTGGGGAGTTACAAACCCGCCACAGACATAGATTTTTCTGTTTAATACGGTTGCACCAAGTCGACATCTTTTATTGAGTAATGGTGGCATCTGGAAGACTTGATTCGATAGTTGATTCAATTGAACATACCTTTTCCCATTCTTTCTTTTCTGGGCAATATCTTTCGACTGTGTTGAAAATAGTGATCCCGTCATGTCCACCAATTACTGTACTTTTATTAATCTAATATTTTTAAGCGTTTTTTGTTACCATATAAATATCCATCAAGCGATACAATGCCAGCAGTACTTCTTGAACAGTTCATAGGAGGACCATGCATCCATTCGTTTTTCTCGGGATGATAAATCTGAAATATGTATTGAAGAAAACGATATGATTAGAAATTGGGCATTAAAAACTTTGCATAAAATCTAACCTCAACGTTGTCGAGACTGTTTGATCCATCATGTCCACCACAAACATACAGTAAACCATTGAGAAAAGCTGCTGATGGCGCTGATCTTCGAATGAAAAGCGGAGCCAACTAAATACCATTTCATTTCGTTTCATCACACGTCTCCTACCGTACTCCAGTCGTTTTTCTCGTAGTTGTAAACTTCGACAAGTTTCAACCGCTCTTTTCCATCATAGCCACCAATTGCGTAAAGCTGTAACATTCTTGTTGAGCAGAATTTTCTTTTGCCTAGTCAAACTTTTCCATTGTGACATGTGACACCGACTCTAGTTCTGAGTACTCCCATCGGTTTGATTGGTTGCCAGAATTTCACTCGTGGATCGTACATTTCCACTGTTGTTTGAGCGGTTTCTTTTTGATTAGATCCGCCTAGTTTATGAGTTAGATTTTCATTTTGAAATCGGCGAACCGACGGCGACGATTATCCCGGGTGCATCTTCATAACTACGCGCTCGAAAGCGTCGACTTTTTAAAAAGGCTCGTCTCTCGGGCATTAAGTGATAGTCCTGAAAATTGTAGTATTGAAAATCGATCTAATCAAACTACTTTAGCGTCATCAATAAGATCTCGACAAGCTAGATCGTTCTTTACGAGGGAATGGTTAGCAATAGTGTCTGAGAGAACTGACGGAGAAAGTTGAGAAAGGCGCACACATCTGAGGAGTCTAAATTGTTTTTGTAAAGATTTACGATAACAAATGTAACTTTGAAATATGTTGCCTTCTTTCCAATTGATCAAATTCAATCCATCGAATTGCCGCATGGAATACCTGAAATCGATTTCACATTGAAATTGAAATCAATAGCCAACATTCTCTTCGCTGCCCACATAAAGCTCATCTCTGATCAAAATCTCTTGAATTTCCTCTAGAGAAAGTTCCAAAAAAGGATGACTCTGCGTGACGGCAACAAAATTGCTCTAAAGATTTTGGAAACTATCTTAATTCTAATATTTTTTTTACATTTATGTATGAGCGAATATTCTCGAGAATCGATTTACATCCAATTGTGCGGCAAAATGCATCAATGGCAAGCACGTTTGAGACGTGAAGACGAGGAGCGAGAAATGTAGCGCATTCAGTTACAATGTCACCTAAAAGTTTGATGTACCTTATTGAACTTTTGGAGGTGGCTACTTTGCACCAAATTTTTTGCGCAAGTCGCCATAACTTTCCTCTAAATGGGCCAATCTTTACGATTTGAGTGGCATTTTGTAGATCTCAACAAGTGCAACAAAATGACACAAACATTATAAAGATTGGCCAACTTAGAAGAAAGTTATGGCGAATTGCGCAAAAAATTTGGTGCAAAGTAGCCACTTCCCCCACGAGCCTTTTGCTTACATAAGCCTAAATAGTTAGCTACGAGCATGACATTTTCCACATTCGATGCAGTGATTCGAAGTTCGCCCGTATACGCATAGGTTACCATTTGGTTTAACGTTTCAAAGCTGATCTCTAAAGTTTTTGGTACTACTCAGATGTTTTGTCTACTTAAAACCTCTTAGATGAATTTCTGGACTCGATGCTTCCATCATGTCCACAGAAAACATGGCTCGAAAATAGGGAATAGTCGCAGCAAGCACCAACTAAATTTTTAGCTTTTTGCTTTAGTCCCACTTCCTCACTTTATGCACAGAAATACGCCGTGATTCGGATGTGATAAGACAGACGTCGCAGAAAGCGCCATCTCGACGAAGCTCATTTAGTTGTTGAAAAGCCTATAAATACCAATATCGTAAATGCTACAATAGAGCGACCCCCTATAGGAGCCTGGCGTAGTCTAAGTTTACTCTCAAACAAACGCCCATATCTCGGCACCAGTACGTTTGTTTCTGCTCACTTGGGTATTAAATTAAAGTAGAGAGGATGAGTGATTTTTTTAAAGATATAACACATATTTTTAGCATTAACCAGAGCTTAGAACAAAATGATTGAAAAATCGGCTCTTTTTTGCCGCTTTTCAATCATTTTGTTCTAAGCGCTGGTTAATGCTAAAAATATATGTTATATCTCAAAAATCTCAACAAGTGTAACAAAATGACATCAAAATCATAAAGATTGGTCCACTTAGAAGAAAGTTATGATGAGTTGTGCAAAAAATTTGGCGCAAAGTAGTCACCACCGTAAATTCTGAAATCGATAGGGCTTAAATCTCTATCAACTTTCGGATATTCAGTCGAATAACAAATGCGTTATACAAATGTTTTTTCGGGAAAAATTGCTATTTTTTCACCTTTATGAAATGACTCGCGTTATGTTTGACCAAATGCTCATCTTGTTCCTCGTCCGTTAAAATGCTGAAGTGAATTTCTAGAATATCGGTTTTTATTACACTATATGGCTAATTTACCTGATTTTGTGGAATTCATTAGAGAATAGGATCGTCGATTATTTTGTGAACTATATGTAATCAAAGTTTCATTTCTTTTCCTTTTCAATCCAACAAATTCGCAACAAATCCAACAATGTTTGTTCCGAGGCTTGTTTCCACAGCAATCCAATTAACGTCTTTTTGCTGGCAGCATTCTGCGCCGCTGTTTCACGAGTACTTCGAAACGAATTCGGAAATGCATTTAGTACATTCTTAGAAACTTATTTTGATTATTTGATAGTTGCATCTCATAAAGTTTATTTTTAGGATCGAAATGTCTCGTCCTGGTCGAACTCGGGAAGGTATAAAGCTTTTCACTGTGATATCTATTTATTTTTTCGTTTAGAAATTGAAGCGTATGCCAACGAGCTGACAAAGAAGAAAGGAGTGGGAACAGCTGATGAAAACGATTCGCCACCAACAGACTTTGGAAAAATTGCCTTTGGTAGTGCTGGGGGATACGATGAGGTATTTTGTTTAGTCTGGTTAAACAAGTGTGTCTATAATTTGCAGGATGTGTATGGTACTGTTCGCGGTAAACGAAGTGATAAGTATTCGACCAGTATTGGAGGTAGAATTTTTTTTCGAAAACAAACTATTTGCTTTTAGGTGGTGAAGAGGAAGAGGAAGAAGATGATGCGATGAGAGATGTCAGTCGGCCTAAAAATTCATATGCTACACAAAAGAAGTTTATTGAGGAAGCCTCACGAGGCAATGAGGTAATCATTTAGTCATGTTTTATAAGTAAAAGTTCGGCATGTTTTGTGAAGCCAAATAACTAAGAAATTTTGTGTTTTAGGACGTTGACGTTTTTGCTGAAACACGAACTAAAACGGTCGGCGAGAAACAAAATGAGTACCAGAAAAGAATGTACAATCGGCCAATCTCACCGGAGCGAATTGATCCTTTTGGTAGTTGGATTCATTGTTTTTAAACTTAAATCTTTTTAGTTGATCAAACTCCAAGAGCCCATGATCGTGGGTATTCTCAAGTGATGAAGGAGCAACAATATTTGGAAGACAAAGGAAAAGTAAGTTTAGAGTTTTGTGTGCAAAATAATCAATGGTCTAGGCTGATCGCGAAATGAAAGACAAAATAAAAACCGGCGAACTTCGAGAGGTTGAACCAGAAAAGAAGAAAGCACGTTGGGATGAGACTCCACAACGTTCTGAGGTTCCTTTGGTGGCTTTTGTGTCTCAAATATTTTTTAGACTGTTCTTGGTGCTGGTGAAGCTACGTCACAAAGAACTGTTGGTGCTGGTCCCAGAAAACGTCTAGAAATCAGTTCACTAGCTGCTGATGCTGCAACTCCCCATGTTCAGCGTTGGGACGAAACTCCAGCGCACGTAGGCGCCGCAGGTAAACTTTCCACGAAATTTCTGAAACGACTGTACCTAATTTTTTATTTAAACTAAAGTTTAGATGCGACTCCATCAATGAACCGTTCGGATGCGACACCCAGTGCTCAAACTCCCGGCGCTGCAACACCAAGGCGCAACCGTTGGGGCGAAACTCCAGGTCAAAGTGTGCGTGAAACGGGAGCAACGCCCTCATGGGGAATGGAAACTCCAGGACGCGGCGGATTTGACGACATTAAGGTTGCACCACTTTGAGAAAATTAACCGTATTTGGTTTAGGTTGAAGATACTCCTTCCGCTTCTGTGAGACGCTCACGCTGGGATATGACTCCTGCTCAAACACCACAGGCAGGATCACAAACGCCGAGTACTGCGGCCACCCCTTCTCGCTTCACACCGCAGCAAGTATTCTGAAAAACTCAATAATTTGTACTAACGTTTGCTTAGCCTTTGGGAGGAATGACACCGTCTATGTTAACCCCTGGTGGAAGTACGCCTGTCGGAAATGCTGCCATGGCTATGAAAACTCCTGCAGTCCCGATGATGCCAATGACTCCAGATCATTATCGTTATCAAGAGGACCGAAACAGGTAAGAGACCTCTTGTGATTACATAATTTTCAAGTTGTTTTTAGAATATGGACTGATGAAGAACTCGACACTCTAATTCCTGACGGATATGAAATTTTGGCTCCTCCACAGGGTTACGTTCCCCTTCGCACTCCATCCAGAAAGCTCATGGCTACACCAACACCAATGGGTGGACTCGCTGCTGGCTTCATGATGCAAGGAACTCCGGAACGAGAAGGGCTTGGGGATAAAGTAAGCCTTGAGCAAAACGATGTTTTTAATACAACTTGTAGGGCGTTGGTGGTATGGTCAATCTGCAACCAAAAGATGACGAGCTTCCACCGCTTAAACCCGAGGACATGCAATACTTCGATAAACTTTTGCAAGATGTGGATGAGAAATCATTGTCGCGGGTTAAATCTGACATTTTAAACTCAAAATTAACTTAGTGTTTTAGGAGGAACGAAACGAACGTGAAATTATGGGTTACCTGTTGAAAATAAAAAACGGAATGCCAACACAGCGTCGAAGTGGCTTGAGAAAGGTAGTGATTCTATCAACTTTTTAAACATTAAACTCGAACAATCAGAAGCAAGAAGCTTGTTTAGATAACGCAAAATGCTCGTCGCTTTGGAGCTGGCCCACTATTCAATCAAATTCTGCCTTTGTTGATGAGCCCATCTTTGGAAGATCAAGAGCGGCACTTGATGGTTAAAGTATGTTGTAAACATCTGAATAAATTATAAAACCTTTTCTAGGTAATTGATCGGATTCTTTACAAATTAGACGATTTGGTGAGACCCTACGTACACAAAATATTGGTCGTTATTCAACCACTTTTGATTGATGAGGATTATTTTGCTCGGGTTGAAGGTTAGCAGCTCCTCTGTTCGCTTAATATAGATAATCTAGGCCGTGAAATCATTTCCAATCTTTCAAAAGCGGCGGGGCTTGCTACTATGATTTCTACGATGCGTCCTGACATTGACAACGTTGACGAGTAAGTTTTTGGGTTTGACTTTAAAACCATGCTATTTAGTCTAGAATAACTATTTCGTTTTAGATATGTGCGTAATACTACTGCTCGTGCATTTGCTGTAGTAGCTTCGTCTTTGGGAATTCCTTCTTTGCTACCATTCTTGAAAGCCGTGTGCAAGAGTAAAAAGAGTTGGCAAGCGAGACATACAGGTATTTGGAAATTATAAAACTGATTATCGGTGTTTTAGGTATCAAAATTGTTCAACAAATAGCCATTTTGATGGGCTGTGCCGTGCTACCTCATCTTAAAGCCTTGGTCGAAATTGTTGAAAATGGACTTGAAGACGACCAACAAAAGGTATTTTAAAAATATACTGTCCTAAAACGATACGATATCTAGGTGCGTACCATTACGGCTCTTTGTCTGGCTGCTCTCGCCGAAGCCTCGGCTCCATATGGTATCGAAGCTTTTGACTCTGTGCTCAAACCACTTTGGAGAGTAGGGTTCAATGATTTTTATTAAAACTATTTTGTTTAGGGTATCCGTCTTCATAGAGGCAAAGGTCTCGCCGCCTTCTTGAAAGCCATTGGGTTCCTCATTCCTTTGATGGATTCTGAATATGCCAGCTACTATACGCGTGAAGTGATGTTGATTCTAATTCGTGAATTTGTTTCTCCGGATGAAGAAATGAAGAAAATTGTCTTGAAGGTATTTTTAAAAGTACTTAGTAGTTAAAATTTTTATGTTAAGGTGGTGAAACAATGTTGCGCTACAGATGGTGTGGAAAGAGGTTACATTCGCGACGAAATTCTTGGACCTTTCTTTAAGGTATTATCTTAATTTTTGCTATTTATTTGTATGTTTTAGGCTTTCTGGAATCATCGCATGGCAATGGATAGACGAAATTACAGGCAACTTGTCGATACTACCGTTGAAATTGCTCAGAAAGTAAGCTTATTTGAAAATCAAAGTATTCTTACTCATAACTCAACGAATGTTTTAGGTTGGTTGTGCAGAGATGATTGCAAGAGTTGTTGACGATTTAAAAGACGAAAACGAACAATATCGGTTAGTTGGAGTGTCTGATATATCCACAAAATGATTTTAGAAAAATGGTTATGGAAACTATCGAAAATATCATTGCTCTTCAAGGAACGAATGAAATCGACGACCGCTTGGAAGAACAGCTTATTGATGGAATCCTTTATGCTTTCCAGGTTGACTTTAAATAACTCAAAAATAATATAACACGTGCTTTAGGAGCAAACACAAGAAGATACGGTGATGCTTGATGGTTTTGGAACAGTTTGTAGAGGGCTCGGTCTACGCTGCAAGGCGTATATTCCTCAAATTTGTGGTACTATTCTTTGGCGATTGAACAACAAGGCCGCAAAAGTTCGTCAACAAGCTGCTGATTTGGTAATTTTACTTAACTTTTAAATTGATGAACTATTCTGTTTCAGATTGCTCGCGTTGCCTCGGTCATGCAACTTTGTGAGGAAGAGAAACTTATGAGCCATCTTGGGATCGTTTTATACGAATATCTTGGAGAAGGTTTAATTAAATAGATTTAATTGGTTAACGTATTTTTTAGAATATCCCGAGGTACTTGGCTCAATTCTTGGAGCGTTGAAAGCCATCGCTAATGTCATCGGAATGACAAAAATGTCACCACCGGTGAAAGATCTATTACCTCGGCTAACACCCATTCTCAAGAACAGGTGGAGCATATTTGAAAGTTTTATTTAGTTATCTTAATATTTAGACACGAAAAAGTGCAAGAAAATTGTGTGGATCTTGTTGGTGCAATTGCTGACCGTGGTTCAGAGTTTGTATCTGCTAGGTATGTTTAATCAACCATATTGCTTCCCACTGCTACTCGTCTTTAGAGAATGGATGCGCATCTGCTTCGAACTTTTGGAATTGCTGAAAGCGCACAAGAAAAGCATTCGACGAGCGGCTATCGTTACTTTTGGATATATTGCAAAGGTTAAAAAGAATTTCCGCTAGATAAATAGTGTTTTTAGGCTATCGGTCCTCATGATGTGCTTGCTACACTTTTGAACAACTTGAAAGTACAAGAACGTCAGTTGCGTGTCTGCACAACAGTAAGTCCAGCTTTATTAAAGCTTCATTTTAGAAAATTTAGGTTGCTATTGCCATTGTGGCCGAAACTTGTGCGCCATTCACGGTTTTGCCAGCTATTATGAACGAATATCGAGTGCCAGAAATGAACGTGCAAAATGGAGTCTTGAAAGCACTCGCCTTTATGTTTGAGGTTACCTACTTTTATTTAGCAACCAATAGACGTATTTTAGTACATTGGTGAGATGGCCAAAGATTACATTTACGCAATCGTACCATTGTTGCAAGATGCTTTGATGGAGCGAGATGTCGTGCATAGGCAAATTGCTATCGATGCCGTCGCTCATCTTTCATTGGGTAAGGTGTTTTTGAAAGATAAATAAATGGAATTCTAGGTGTCTACGGTTTTGGTTGTGAGGATGCGTTGATGCATCTCCTTAATTATGTTTGGCCCAATATGCTTGAGAATTCTCCCCATTTGATTCAACGGTACATTCTTGCTTGTGAAGGGATGCGTGTTTCATTGGGACCGATTAAGGTTGTATTTTGCGGTCAAATATAAACTCTTTTATAATAGGTTTTCCAATATTGCCTTCAAGCGATGTGGCATCCTGCTAGAAAAGTACGAGAACCTGTCTGGAAGGTAATAAGCTTTTTAACTATTTTGTACACATTTTTAGGTATACAATAATTTGATCCTTGGTTCTGCAGACGCAATCGTTGCTGCCTATCCTCGTGTTCCCGGCGATGAAAAGAATGACTTTATTCGACATGAATTAGATTACATCCTTTAACAGTGGTCTTGATTAGTAATTTTTGTCTTATTCATTGATCCTCAAAGTTTTTACCTAATCTATTTTAGTTTGTTGTAGGAGTTTTTGTTTATCGAGCTCGTGAATATTTCCTATTGATTGTTGTTTTGGTATTCTGTAATAAACTTTTTATCTTTCATCTAAACCTTTCTTTTAAACGTGAACGTTTATTGTTTTTCAATAAATATGTATTTTTATCCAATTATATTAACTACGCATTAGCAATATTTAAATCACCGCACACAGTGTTAATTGATCTTATAGTTGGTTTCCAATGAGACAATTTTTCATTGAGCATGCCTTGGCAATTTGCCATGTGTGGTTCTATGTTTTACCAAACCTTTATGAACTGGATTGAATAGGTGCTCAATAAAAAAACATTTGAAAATGGGCAAAAAAGCATTCGTAAACTATTGGTCATTAATCAAAATACCTTTCGTCGCCGTTTCACGATTATTTTTTCTTTGTGACTCTCATGCATTAATCAACTTTCTAATCAACAACTATACTTTCTAATTTTAGAATTTCAGATGGGCAAGAACATGCCGGCGGGAAAAGCAACTCGATTTTCCGCTGAAATGGCTGCTCATCTAATGGATAATGCCCCAAATCTAACTTCAGGTTCAAAACTAAAAACCTTTATAGCAAAAAATCTTAGAAAATGACGACGATAGCTATGTGACTGCGGCCTCAACCTCAACATCGGAGATTCGAATGGGCGAACAACTGGTTGATACAATCAAAAAAGATTGGGCTAAATCAAAAATCATCAACGAACCAACAACACATCAAGAAAGAACGCATCGAGCAAGCGAGTCAAATGATCAACAAACATCTAAATTTCCGATTGTCGGAGCGAGGGGATCTTGTGAAAGAAGAGAAGCACGAGTGAAACTAAAAATACACGACAGGAAGAAGTACAACGCGTCGGTCATTCTGGTGGGTAATCTACATATGTAAATTTGAAAGCACTTCTATTTAGAGTTAGTAATTTTTTTTCTTTTATAGCAAATTCATCTCTGGGTACTACTTATTCACTTCAAATCCATATGCGTGTCTCATCTCACTAAATTTGCATATATTGGGATAATTATCAAATCAAATAACATTTCATTTTATCAAAAAGTACCGTAACCATATGTGTTCTTGGAGAATTACAGTAACCAAAAGACCCAGGATTTTTAAACACAATCCAAGTGCTTATTCAGAAAACTTCGGATTTTCCGAAATGAAGACTACTTACAATTACAATAATTAGTTTATGCCAAAACATAAAACAGGAAATTGTAATTTTTGAAAAAATAGAGATTATGTTTTGGAAAAGGTGTCATAAGTGTTATGTGAATCAGTGAATCATCTCGATGTTATTTGTAGAGAGGAAAAGAAAATTATCGTGGAGAAAGGGAATGATTCTGAATCATTGTCTCGATTTCATACATTCAAATACAGTATGCATTGCATATTGACGAATTACCCTAAAGACGAATTACCTTAACGACGAATTACCCTCTTATCCTCGCTTTCTAAAAGAAAAAACATCCTTTTCAATAACTTTTACCATGGATCCCTTTCCTTAAAAAAAATTCTCATCTCATTCCTCTTCAATTGAACAAAAGGTAATTAGGGCTTAAGAGATAATGTGGCTAAATAAATGAAGAGCTATTCTTTTTTTTCTCAGTCATTCAGACCATTACTTATTTTTAGCTCCTTTCCTATCCACTTTAGAAAACTTACACGAGATAAAGGATCTCTCCCATAAATCTCAACTCTTGCTAGGCAAAGAGAAACTTGATGACCAAAAAAAGTTGCCTGCAAAAGAGCAAAAAGCGCCCAACTATTAGTAGTGTAAAATTTAGTAACTAACGATGCGCAGCGACAAGATCTGATAATACAAAAGTTTATCGAATGTGTTGTAGATGAGAAAAAAGAAAGGAGAAAGAGAAAAGAGAGATCCGATGATGATGTATTGGGAAAAGCGGCTCTTCTCATTAGTCAGGAGAAGAATGTATTTGAGGTGGAAGGGGGAATGAGTATGAAGAGGAGAAGAGGGCCGAGAAGTGTCAAGAGAACATGCCATAGATACAGTGAAAGGAGTTGCTCATCCCCTGTCCTTTTCCCAACTCGATTTACAAAACAAAAGCGAAGGCCCATCACTGCCTATAAGATTGCCCCTTTCCCATTTACAAAACAAGACCACCAAGAAATGCACTTGAATAGCCGAGGAGACGCAGCTCCTCCCTTTTCCTTACCAGCTTTCCTCCTCCACGCTTCTTACTCAATCAAATAATTATTTTTGTTTTCTTCGATTGCCCCGCCTTTTTCTTTTTTTCAACACCCCACACCCTATCATCGAATTTGAATCGCCATTCCCAGATGGTGAGAAAACCCTCACAAAAAATCGCCTTCATTTCAACAAAAACTTTATCGATCGCCTAGGGTTCTAGGGGAAGTTCATTTTCTGGATGAATTAACCTTTTCCTTTTTGGATGACTGTGGTCACTTAAGCGGTGTTCTTTGCGAAAAGCCATCAAGGTGAAAAAAATCCCTCGTGGGAACATTTTATGCGCCCTAAAGATTAAAATCTTTTACGGTTTATTATTGTAAAAACAAAAAGAATCTGCTTTCAGGTCGACAATCGAAATGAGTTTGGTCAATGGGGAATTTTCGGCTTTCTGAAGTTGGAATCATTTCTAAAATTTATAAGAAAACAAAGATTTTCAGAGTCGGATCGGTGATTCGTTTACATCTTGAAGAAACGTTTCTCTTAGTGGTCAACCAAATCGTGAGCAACAAAGAGTTTTTTGGGATTCATTCCAACAAGGTGTGTTTATCTTTGACTTTCTTCAAAAAAAGACCCGATTTTAGACGCAATCCGCGTGCATCTCGATTGCCCATGATCATTTGCCTTCAGATTTATATCGCCCAGTGCAAAACGTTGAGAAAGCCCAGGCCCAGATTATGGTTGAACATGTGCCTCCAGAAGAGGTAAAGAACTTTATTGTTATATAAAGTTACCATAAACACCTTTACATTCAAGTGTTTAGCTTTGCGGTAAAGATGGATCTCAATTGGACAACGTGCAGCTATATTTTAAGGAGCTTTACTTGAGTCGAGCCGACATGTGGAAAATGAGAAAAGCGCTCATCGGAAAAACTCTCTTCCAAGATCGAGATATTGTCAGGTAAAATATATTGAGCAGTAGCTAATAATGACATTTTCTTTAGCTCGGTGTTGAATGTAAACTTACGAATCAGTGATATGTGGCGTAGAGGTGAACAAGTGCGTCATGGGTAAGAAAAAGAGAAATCCTTTTTCAGAATTTTTCTTTGCAGATATGTCTCTGCTGATACTCGTGTCGTTTTTCGATCCTCGTCTTCAATGGTTCTTATTTACCTTCAAGTGTCTGAAGAAATGTTTCATATGGATGGAGTGTGTTGATTAGCAAAATATCTTTTATTTTTATTTTTCAGACAGGTCACATGCTTTTTGAGACGTGTACAGCCGGCTTTCTTAGCGCTTTGCTGCAGCAATGGGAACATGTATGTTGCAGAGCTTTTTTTGGAATCATTTGAGGCTTTTTAGAGTAACTGTTCGCATTATGTTTCGATAATTATGTGCTCACGATGGTTTTTCGATCAATCGCCCAGTGCCGAGGATATTCAAAGAGAGAATTTGGTGCCAGATCAGCAAGGAAGATACTATCAGGTAAATGTTCGGCTGATTAGAAATCGGCCATACTAACAATTTCGTATGAAAACATAAGCCTTTTCAAGGATTTCTACAAACTTCTCGTTCAAAATGAGCACTATGAGGATTGGGTGACACCTTTCTCGAAAATTCTTCACATTTTCTACGATTATCGAGATATTATTTCTGCGGAACTGGGAAGAAATTTTCCCGATCTACCAGCAAATGTAAGGGATTCTTGATATTATTAATATTTTTTTTTGCTAGAATTATCATATATCTGTTGCTGATGATGGAAACTTTTTGCCAAGTCTCAATATGAGCATGAATATGTTCTGTATGTATCACAGTGATCGACGATATGAAACCACTGGACAAGAGGTAAAATGAAGATAAATAGAGTATGATTAAAGGATTTTCTAAAAGGTGCTATTATTATGGGAACTATCGTATCTAGACTGTATTTTAAAGATTCAAACCAGCGAATAAGCTTGTCTCTCATGTGATTTTGATACCAGTCAACAAATCTACTAAGACAGTGAGTACGATAGCTAAAGCATATGATTACGAAAAGATGGGACTACGGTGCTTTTCTTAAGCTTTTGTTTCAAAGTGCAACATAACTATAAGTGTGAAATTAGATAGGAAATTAAAAGCTAACATAAAATTTGCAGATCATTTACGTGACAGCCGGCTATGGAGTGTTCAATGTCGATGAAAATGCCGTACAACCGACCAAGCAAAAACTCATCGATATGGGCATTTCTTTGGATATGGTTTGTGCGTAAATGTGTGATCTTTTTTAATTTTTCAATTTCTAGGTTTGTTTGGGCCAACAGCCACTTCACGTGACTCCGCTTTTCATTTTCCACGATCGCGAGGGTCAAGTGTATAAGGTAAGGATTTCTGTTTACAACTTGAAACCCTTTATCCTTTTAGCATTACACTCCTCATTGGATGAACTATTCATACTTTCGGATGGATGGCAAGAAACCAACTTTGGCTACTTTTACTCCGAGAGTTATTCTGCCACAAGACTACACAGTTCGTTTAAAAAAAAATCAATAGCGACTACAATAGCAAATAATATATTATAGGAGCCTACTTACGAGCATCTCTCAATGGTGGAAGCAGATGATGTTATTGAATGTGAAGAAAGCGAAAAGGAAGATTCGGAAGTGAACAGTGGAATTGATAAAACACGAGCTCATATGGCAAGACTTCTTGATGCAGCCAGAAGAAAAGTGGTCAGCAATTGAGTGTTGAGTGATTTTAGTTTCATGATTTCAGAATGGGGAAAGTACGGACACTGAAACTGATCGAGAAACTGAACAGACTAGCTCGAGGTTTGCTTAGACTTTTATGAAACTAAAACTTGAAAACCTAATTCTAGAGCTTCTCTGGGATCTTCTTTGTGCTCTTTAGATGAAGCTGATGGTGATGGAGAAGGCTTTGATTTAAGCAGATATGGAAATCATCGAAGAGCTTCGGATCTTGATCTTGTAAGTCTTTTACGAGTGTATAGCTGACTAGTGTTCTTTGAGGAATTGGAAGTTGAGAAAAACGAACTCGAGGAGGGGATGAGCTCGACAGATCGAACTACTTTCATGCAACTCCTCGAGAGGGTGAGCCCCATCAACAATGTTGCTCAAAACTCGTCGGATTTGCTTGAAAAAGAGCTCAACCCAGATCCAGTGCCAGCTGCTTTGGGTTCAATTTCACAGAGGGTTCCGCACGTTCATCGAGTAAAAAATAAGCCCTAACTATGTTAAGTCTAGCAAAATTTTAGTTTTCATCAATCTCCGGAGTTCCTCAGCAACGAGAGCGATCAATCGGCGCATCATCACTTGAAGGAGCTGGAGTCACTTTTGATTTGCGACGAGGAGGAAGTTCGCTTGAAAGTAGTCGAGGTAATTGTTTGATTTTCTTTTTATTGATTGTTGATTGTTTATCTGATTTATTTATTTTCTATGTCTATTAGGTCGAGTCTCTTCGATGACCCGTGCCAGTCAAGCTCATTCATATCACACGACTACTCAAAACCAACTCCAACCAAATGTGTATTCCAATTTCCCGTTTAAACCCGACTCGCACGTTGTGATGACAGCCAATCGTCGAAGGTGCTTGAATTTCTTTTCACTTAAATTTAAATTTCAGATGGATCCACGTATTTCCGATGGATGTGCGCGGAATGAGCAAATTGGCTCACCATTATGTGCAAGGTGGGAGAAGTGAAAGAGGATTGACATTTTGAACATTTTCACATTTAGGTCGATCGACTATCAATATTGTGGATATCGAAGAACCACCCTCGTCATCGCATCGACAAATCCCAATTCAAGTAAGGCTTGTGCTAAAGCTTAGAATAAATTTTCATAGGGTCAGACCGAGTCTCCGTTAAGAAGAGCGGCTTCTCCACAAGCTGGAGGTATTCATCAAGGATCGCCTGGAAGAGTGGCTGCTACATCACCACTTGAGCCCACTAGTCAAGTGAGGAAAATGAGAAAACACATGCTTTTAGAACTAGTTCCATTGTATCTCATAAATCAAATGTAAACCAAATCTGAACTTTCATTGTAATCATTGAATCAAATCTAAGCCAAGCTTTCAGCGACCGCCACGCGCTTGGGCATGGGCTTGGGGCTCAACGGGAGAAGAAAAATGGAATCCAGATCTTACCATTGGTTTGTAATTTAGCTATTGCGTTTGTGGGTACGACTTGGCACGTTTTTTCAAATTAAATCCCAGAGTTGTAAACAAACATGAGGAAGAGGAGTTTGTTGAAAATAGATAAGTGAACATTCAATCTTGCGAAAACAATGGACTCTCACTTTCAACATATTTGGTTTTTGGAATTTCATTTTACTTTATTCTAACTATTGAAAATCTACCATCGGGAAAACTGTGACACGTTATGTTGTACCAATTTCTACAAGGACACAAGGGCCTTTAGTGTTCAGTGAATATTGAAAATGTTTATGTGAAAGGATCAGCTCCACTACGGACATGTGCAGACTGGTTTGTTAAGTTCCGTTCTGGAGATGAATCCTCAAAGACAAAGGGAGGGGATCATCCAGCAGTCCAGCTGGATAATGCCAAATTGCTCGAAATTTTTCAAGCCAACAAAAGGATTTCTTTTCGCGAAATAGCAGAGGAGTTATCAGTTAACCATACAATAATACTCGAAGATTGCATACACTTGGATTTAAACCGTAGTAGGGACTTGGATTCCAATATTAGAGACTTGAATTCGAATCGTACACAATAATGATAAATATCTCGCATGACTTGAAATTGTTAACTGAAGAAAAATTTTATTTCAAAAAACGTGCCAAGTCATACCCACCAACCTAATATTAATATCTTTTAATCCTCAAAATATTGTGCTTATTTTACTTATCAGCTTTTCAGGGATGGATTGGAAATCGTTGATCCGTTCGGCTCTCCTCCCGATCACCACCGATTTCTTCCCCGAGGGTTTCACCATTCGCAATCAATACAGAGTTCATGGACATCAAGTTCTCGTCGATCATAGCTTGATTGAAGATGTATAAATTGACAGAGTTCGTGGGTTAAGCAATGCAAATAATTTAGATTGACATTCCGGATGTAAAGTCGTTAACACTTTCCGAACTTTCGCATCTCGTCTTCGACTTGCTCATCTCTCAGCGACTTCAGAGGGGCTTTCAAATTGTCACTCTATCAAGAAGATTGATCAAAGTAAACGAATTTTTTGCCTAAAAATTTAAAAAAAAATCTTTAGAGCTCTGTTGCGAAGGCAGGTCGTTTTCCACAAGATGAAGGATCTGCTGATGATGATGTCACTCTCACGTTTAGTAATATCTATCATCGATTAGTCCGCAGAAGAAATGATATCTATGTTACGGTATAAATTAAAAACATAGAATTTATTATTTTTTTTGTAGCTTTTAATTCCGGATCCAAATCGAAAGCAATTTGAAGTGGCCAAGCCGGGAGAAAGTCGAGTATCTCGTCGACCAAGTGAAAAAAAAGAGATTTTAAAGTTTAAAAAAATATATATTTAGCTAATAATACAATTGCACCCTCACAAGAGTCACAAATCGTTTCAAATGATCGAACTTTCGAGAACACGCAATATCAATACTATTTCCAAGTATGAAACATTGTACTTTACCTTGAAATTAACCCTTTCAGGTACCCGATGCAGAAAGATATGAGAAAAGCACGACCAGGTTAGCAGGAATGAGATTTTATAAGCCAAAAATCTTTTTCTAGCTTTAAACCACACAATCTCGACAAGTTGAACTGGTCATTATTGGACACAAAATTGACCTATCGAAGTAAAGATGAGCTGAAGGGATATTCGCAGTTATTCAAGGATGAGATGAAATCCTATTCATCTAGGTATTGTCAAACATCTCACCATTAGACGCCATGACCGACTGGCTAAGAGCCCTGTCTAGAGGTCAACGGTTCGATCCCGCTAGATTATTTCCCGAGATTATATATGGGTTTTTCCCTACATTTAGGGCTTGTGCTTGTGTATTGTTTGTATCAAATTATTAGGTTCATGGTTGTTGCCCAATCGCTTGATCCCGATCGAGCGGCTTTGATTGTTCAGGAGAAGTTGCCAGGTTTACAAAAGTTTTCCCTGATTCATGATCAGAAATTTCAGGAGAAACCTTCCGCGAGCGTGCCCACTCACAACGAGCCATCTACGGGGATTTCACAAAGTTTTTGCTTGGTCTTAACAAGTAAGTGAAAAAAAAAGTTTATTTCTATCGAGTGGCTGGGGTTAAATGAATGGGCGGCGATTCTTCTGGTAGATTGACGGAGTGATGAAATTGAGCCGGCCATTGCTCTTTTGCCAACACTTTCACCTTTTTCAGCTCACTGATTCGATCGAGGGAGATTGCCTGAAATTTTAGATGCTAAGTTTTGAGCTTTCAGATATCGTTATCTTTCCCCTGTACCTTGAGAGCAATTCTTAGTCGTTGCGTGATCACAGTTGGGTCGAGTTGATGAAACATTTCCCTCACATCGCTTTCCACCACTTCCGGCTCAACAATCAGAAATTCGACAACTAGTTTATCTGTCCTAGCAGCGCCTAAAGTTGTTTCTCCATTGGATAAACTGGTAAATTGATTCTTACCCGAGCTTCGAGTAATCACGAGATCAAGACACTCTCCCGGTTCAATCACTGAATGCACGGGCGTCACTCGATAGACTTTATTATTTGAGCATCGCACCTAAAATATTTGTTTCCGATAAAACTTGCTTCTATAAACTTTGAATGCTAATTTGTTTCCGCCTCGATTCCAAAGAACGTGCTCAGAGGTGCCACCGGTGGAGAGGAAAATAGCTACCTAATGTTTTTTAGCTTTAGGATCAAATTCAATTTTTCACTCACTTCTTTATCCACTTGAAGTTCACTATTAGCTCGTTCAATTCTCTGTTGTTCTGCGTGCGGATTTGATTTCTTCTTTGCTTTTCGTTTAACTTTTAACGGATTCCAAATCGAAAGTGGATTGATGCTACTCAGACGGATTAGCATTGCCATTTTTATAAATTTCTGAAAACGATTAATTAATAGAATGAATTTAGACAAACAGAAGCGAAAAGAAAGTCGAAAAACGAAAATCAGCATAAAAATGGGTGTATTTTGTTGATAATCGAGTGAGTTCAGCGACGCATGGCTGAGGCGATAACTTGGTTTTGAAGTAAAGGAAAAAAAAAAGAAATAGGAAAGAGAAAAAAGGAAGGTAGATTGAAGGGGGAGGGGGGGACAAAAGTCCCATGAATACCCCATGTCTCGAGCGGGTCTTTCCCTCTCTCTTTAGCTTCGAATTCCCCCAAAATACCCCATTCATTTCATTTTCCTTTTGCCACAAGTCCCCCCAATCCACGACTCTTTGATTGCCAATTAGCGGAGGTTAGAACCCGAAAAAGATTGACATTTCTTAAAGAGAACTTTTTTTTTTTTGATAAACAAGTGGATATGAAAGGAAAAAGAAATAGAAGTTTGAAGGAAAATTGGGCCTTGAGAATTGTAAAAACTGGCTAAACTGGCTAAACTTACCGTAATCTGGAGTAAAACTGGAATTTCTAAATTCAGATTAGGCTACGTGCGCCGCGAAACGGAAAGCGGGGATATGATGGTGCCGTCACTCACCGTAGCAAATCCAGAACAAGTATTTTTCAGAAAACTTTCCAATTCAATTCAATTTTAATCACTTTTCAGTTATCTCAACCTTTATTTCTAGGTTTTGAATCGTTTCTTGGATAAATGTCCCTATATCCCGCTGCAATCGACGGCTCAAAATATCACGGTTTTATTTTTCTATTCGATTTAAAACAAAACGAATTACAGCTTCCAAATAACTACTTTTTATCGATTGATTTGATCAATTGGCTGATGGAAAATGTGAGTTTACAAATGGGGAATCGGTAACGCCAAAAAAAAAACAATACCAACACTTCCAGGTGAGCCAGTTGACAACACGCGAAAAAGCGACCGAGTATGTGAATGGAGAACCACGAATAAACTCGTTTAGAAGTCGTGAGTTAATAAATGAATATATATCTTTTTCAAATCTGAATTTATGAAATTTGGACTTTTACAATAAAAACAATAAAATCATAAATTTAGCTCCCGGTGAGAGTGACGAGGTGGACTCGTGTCGATCACTTGACACCGAGAAGCGCTCTATTCGATACGGTTTTCAGCTTTGCTCTCTTGCAAGTGAGTTCTTGAAAATTTGGCTTCATTATTGACGAGTGTTTGAATTTTGAAATTTCTAGGTGACAATATGGAAAGCGATCAACAGACGCCACCCGTTCGCTACATGAAAGTCGATTATGTGAATAGTTGCGAGAATTGCTCGATAAAAGACGAGTGTCGGTAAAGATTTTAAATATACAACATTATAATATTAACTATCAAAAGCTTGATTAACTACATATATTGTTAGATTCGCGCCTGGTGCTTTTGATTTGGAGTTGAGTCCTCGGGGAACGATCGATGAGGGGAATGTGCTCGGGGAATGGTGTCGGGTTAGATAATTTTGAACGATTTTTTCTCTTTCTTTCTTCCTTTCTCTTCTCCCTTGTATTCCATCTTTCTTCTCTCACAAGAAGATACCGAATAGCTCAATGGTTAGAGCATCTGCCTATAAAGCAAAAAAGGCCCGAGGGTTCAATCCCCTCTCCGGAAATTTTCCTTTGCCATTTCTTATTTTATTTTATTGACAATTCAGGTGGTCCACGATCGAGCGTTTAGTGAAGACAAAGCCTTCGAGATGACAATCAAATGGTTCCTTGCCTCGGGTGTCACCGTTGGTGAGGCAATCCGGGGATGGGTCGAGAAAGCTGACAAATTTCAGTAAGCTCTTTGAAAATCTTTATCTAGAATCTTTACCTCGACTATTGTTAGTTTTCATTGAAGTTTCAAAATATATTCAAATTTTATCATCTAAAATTCTCTTCTACATACTGTACTGATACAAAAGAGTGCCCTTAACACGCAAACTTTTAGCTTCAACTTGTTCCCAGTGCCTGAAGACGCCTTCGCTATGCCAAACGACGTGCACTCAAACCCATTGAGATGTCCGCTTAGAATTGAGGTTTTAGGAAAAAAAATTATAAAAAAACTATAAAAAAAACATTCAAAAGTTCAGGTTGCAATAGGGATTTTACCTGTCGATCAATTGACTGCAACTCTCGTCAAACTACTCGCTGCTTTTGGATTTGTGCCAATGTACTGTCATCGACATGGTTTGATATGGAAAAAGATGATCTTTCTAAAATCATTTCCAGGTACTCCAAATCAGCCACGATCCTATCAAGTGGTGCATGAGTGTGGTGGAATGTTTGTGTCGTTGGAAACTCCTCCATCAACCGCAACCGATGCCCAACCACAAACGGCACACGTTTTTTGGTCTTGGAATCACATGCTCAGTCATCGATATCGTACTACGTGAGTTTTATATGATAAATTCATTTTTTAAAAAAACCTTTCCAGTGCCTTGAAAGATATCATGGAGGATTTTCAAGATTATATGCTTCGAGAGTTTCGTGATGTCTGCAAAAATGTTGATGGGAGATTACTGTAAGTGACAGCTTGCACTCTTTAACTTTAACTTTAACTCAAATGAAATTTTCAGCAAATTCTACGAGAAATCCTTTTTGAATCGAGTCGGCCTCAATGGTTTATTGTAGTTAGAGAAGCTTTCTTTGTATATTATTTGTAGATATTTAAATATGATAGAAATGCTTATGCATTGTATAGAATGCTCACTACTTTCCCATTTTATCGAAATTCAAAGCTTTTTTTTTTAATATTTAATGTCTCTTATTTCAGTCGCTTATACTTTTTTCTTTCCTTGATTCGAAACTGATTAAAGCAAAAAGTGATACTAAATTATGTGTTGATTGTTTATAAATTTCTTGAGAGATTTTCTTAATAAAGTTTTATTTTTCAGCGACTCAAGAAAACGTACTTTCATAGAGATCAAAAAAGAAGCACTACGAGAATTTGGTATTTGAAAAGCACACGCATTTGTGATTAGATTGAGTTCTTCTGGTTTTCTAAAAAGGTTTCTAAAGGTTTAGAGTTTCTAAAACCTACCGAATTCTTGACTTTAGTGAAAAAAAAACTAGGATAGCAAAGACAAAATTTCAAATCAATCTCATTCACTGGCTTTAAAGTCAATCAATGAGCGGAGCCGGAGTACCATATTTTTCATCTTTTAGAAAAACCTTTACTCCAGAAGAACACAGTCTACATGTTATGAGAATAAAATTTGAGAATCTAAAAGGAAATGAAGGGAAATGAAGAGAAATGAAGTCACTATATTGCTTTTTGTTTTCTAATATGCACTTGAGACAAAGATCTTTGTGATCAAAACAAAAAGATTAAAGATTGAATTTAAAAATGAGAAGAGCCCTGAATACTTTCAAATTTCAACAATGAAATTAAGGCTTTTGAATGAGGGGGAAGACACGGAATGTATGAGAAGAGAAATGGAAATGAAGTGAAGGGAAAGGAAGGGAAAGGAAGGGAAAGGAAGGGAAAGGAAGGGAAAGGAAGGGAAAGGAAGGGAAAGGAAGGGAAAGGAAGGGAAGGGAAGTGAAGGGAAGAGAAGTAAAATGAAGTAAAGTGAAGTAAATTATCAAAAGCACCAATACAATATCGAAAAAAAGAATATAGAAAACAAGTCAAATTACACATTTTAAAAGCGGATATCTCAAAAATACAATTTTAATCAACGAGAATTTCCTCATTTCAAATTGGGACCACAACTTTTTTCTTCGTCAAAAAAGAGACTACATCGTCGATGGTTCGCTTTCGTTTACGCTAAAAAAAAGCTTTCTTCTGTTTCTTGGATGAGTTCATAAAAAAAGATAGATACTGTTCTCAATAGAGAGAAAAAGGATATAAATCTTTGTCAGCTAAATCACTTTTGATGAGACAGTATTTTCAAATACTTTTCTACATTTAGATATTGAGCTTAAGTACAATTTTTTTTAATTATTCTCTAACTAAACTCACAATAGTTCCTCCAGGACTAACGATGACCATCGATGCGGGTGTATCGGCATCGGTGGAAGTCGATTGACCCGATGTGGAAATCGGAGAATGTGGCGATGGAACTTCTACAGACAATGGTGAGCCAGTACACTGAAATTGATTATTATAATAATTAGCTTCAAAAGAAACCTCTGGAGTGGCCGTCTGTGAGTGAAGAGGACTCGAGCCACTTGGCAAGATCTCGCTTTTCTTCTCGTGACGTCTCTCGACTGCTGTCGATGTTGATTGCTCGTCTTCGCTATGCGATGTATCTGTGGCCTCACTGTTAGCGCCATCGTTATTCTAGAATTAGTTGCTTATCTTTTAGGATTTCTTTAAACGACTTACATTTGTGTACACATTTTTGATCACTCCCGGAAGAATGGGATTGTTTAGAAGAAAGCCGCGCAACCAAGCGGGTGCTGGTCCTTGCGAGGATTCTAATTGAGCGGCTAACTGAAAAAAGAACATAACTTTCTAGAAATCGTTTAGCATACCATTTGTAAAAGTTGTTGATGCAAATCGGTTGTCATGACTGACACAGGAAAGATTGGTGGGGGAATGAGTGGAATCGATGGAGTGGATGAGATCTGTCTGTGTGGAGTGTTTGGCGCGGATGAGCTCGGTGGCGACGGCGCCGAACGGGGGAATAAACCGGGTGACTTTTCTGCGACCATTGATCCTAAAGTTAGGGATAATTTGCAATTCAATTGATTGGCTGTACCTGGAGCCACATTGAGATTAGTGGCAATCGGTTGTGCGATTCCCGGGTCTCCAGTTTTCATCATAGCCGACGTGTGCTGGTGGAGTTCTTTCTAAAGTTTTTTCTTGATTTTAGAGACTTTTCAAAAATGGTACCTTATCAGGAAATGCCCAATTGCAGCATCCACACGTGAAAACCCTCTCAATACCATGCCGAAGTGCCATGTGTGACTTCAAGTTTTCTCCATCTATAATAATATTCTTTTCTCCATCTATAACAATATTCTTTTCTCCAACAATACTGCTTACTATTCAAAATAAAAAAAAAACTCACTGGGAATATCTGAATTACACAAGCGACAATTATGATTTCCTGAATGGAAATTGAGTCGATGTCGATTGAGTGAAGCGGCATGACAAAATCGTTTGAAGCAAACACCGCAAGTGAATTCACCTAAAAGAAAACGGTGAACGAATTGAGAGAGCGCCTTTCACAGGACCTAAATCAAAAGCTCTGTATCATTCAGAACCAATCTCTCTTCTTCTAAGAGTCAATTGAGCGATATTGTAGCTCTAGTAGAATTAATATTTTGTTTCTTTAATAGTTTTTTTGATGTTCTTGAAAGAATCGAAATGTCAAAGCTTTAGAGTAAACGAGTACCGATTAGGGAAAGATTTAAAGAGTTGTAGAAAGTTGACCTCTTTCCTGAAAACTCTTAGCTTTTCAAGCCGACCTCAAGGTCACCTACACCACGACAATAGCAATTTCAACTCTCCAAAAAAAACCTTTCATGACCACTACTCAAAATTTGACTTCTCCCAAGGATTTTTTTTGTAATTTTTCGATTAAACTAAAAGATTAAAAGCACTGAACTTGTTTGACATTACTAATAGTAAAAGTAAATTGAGAAAAAAAACTATTTGAGAAGAGAAATGGCTCACAGATTGAGGAGAGGGAAAGAAGTTGTGTGCTCAGGTGAATGAATTGAGAGAGCGCCTTTCACAGGACCTCAATCAAAAGCCCCCCGGCTTACTGTATCATTCAGAACCACTCTCTCTTCTTTTAGGAGTCAATTGAGCGATATTGTAGCTCTAGTAGAAGAATGAAGAGAACAAACAGTGCATCTACATGAATAGAAGAGAAGAGAAAAGACAGACAATGACTGAGACTAATTGAAGGGCAAACGCCGCGTCTTTTTTCTTTTTCTAAGAGGACCCAATGCCCATTCCATCCACCCCAAACAACTTGACCCTTATTCATTGAAAATCCTCTCCATATCCATCAATAGAAAGGTGTGCATGTGTTTTTGTCGAAACTACCTTTGAACTTAGAATGAGCTTAGAATTTTCTTTTAAAGGGTTTTCCTTTTAAATACCCTAAGCTTTTTTTATGTTATTTTTAAAATAATATCTTTAAACTATGCTTTTAACTAACAAATATTAACCAAAAAACCCCCTTTTTATGATTGGGTTTCTAGAGAAATAGTTAGATGCGCTTTTTTTTCCTTTAAAAGCCATAGATACACAAACAGCTTTCAGCTTTCACTCAAAGCAAATATGCACTTGTTATTTTGAATACAAAAAAAAAAGCTTTAAATCTTTGTCAGCTGATGAGACAGTATTTTCTAATAGACAGTATTCTCTAATAGACAGTATTCTCTAATAGACAGTATTCTCTAATAGACAGTATTCTCTAATAGACAGTATTCTCTAATAGACAGTATTCTCTAATAGACAGTATTCTCTAATAGACAGTATTCTCTAATAGACAGTATTCTCTAATAGACAGTATTCTCTAATAGACAGTATTCTCTAATAGACAGTATTCTCTAATAGACAGTATTCTCTAATAGACAGTATTCTCTAATAGACAGTATTCTCTAATAGACAATATTTTCTAATACTCACCTTTGATGAGACAGTATTTTCTAATACTTTTCTGCATTCTAGAGAAATAGTTAGATATGCTTTTTTTCCTTTAAAAGCCATAGATACACAAACAGCTTTCAGCTTTCACTCAAAGCAAATATGCACTCGTTATTTTGAATACAAAAAAAAAAAGCTTTTCACCTTTCAAATCGGGTCGTTTCAACTCAGCTTCGGGTCGATATGGCATCTCTGGAAATCTTTCCTTATAATGCAATGAAATTTAGAAACAATGATGAAAGAAAGTTACATTAAAGATCTCGGGAAAAGATTTGAGTTTTAAAAGTTTAAGAAAGTTTTCGACAAAACATTGACAACTTTGGGATGGACGCTTGAGTCGAGATGAAATGGGAAAGATCGGCAAAAAGAAAGGGCGACTCGACCGGTTTCTCGAAATACCAAAATACCTCTGCGCGATAAGTGCAACAACAATCACTCGTTAAATAAGAGGCTTGTCTAGGATGTTTATAAGCTGTTTAGAAGTTAGGATGCTGTCTAGGATGTTTATAACATCGATAGCTGTTTTCAAAACTGATCAAAGCTTTTTAGCTGTTTCTAGTTAAAGCTAAAAATTGAGAAAAGAAAAAGCAATGTAAAGATTTGAAGAAAGTAAGAAAGCAAAAAGCGAGATAAAAAAAGCGATTTCGAGCTGAATAAAGTTTTTTTAGAGATCTGGTAACAATGATCAAGTTGAATAAGAATCAAATTGCAGATCAAATTAGATGTGTTAAAGTTAGTAAAAGATTAGTCACGTGTTACCAAAAAAAGAATTTGCAAACAGGAGCTATGAATGCTTGTGGATACGGGGGATCAAAAGGGTTTGACCTCTAGAGGTCATTCATTTCTTTTCATCTCAACAATTCGTTCGCTTCTTCTCAAAGCATTAATTACAAGGTGTGCTCTCCTTTTTTTTTTAGCTATTGTTTTGATGAAATAGAGCCGCAAAACATCAACAAAAATCTTTAGATTGAATAGAAAAACAAAAGGATAGAGATTTTTTAGACAAAAGGATTTTAATTGTTTTTGAATTTGATTGTTAATTGAATGTAAAGTTTAATGAATTGGAAAACAAGGATATACAGAAAATATTAACTAAAAGTCTTCAAAAAAAATAAAAGAGAATAGGACTTATCTTAGCTTTAAAAGCAAAAGCAAAGCAAAAATTTTAGATACAGTAGAGTTGCGGGGACCCAGTGTCAATGGAGAGTGGCCACCGTATGAAGCTGGGGAAAAGGGGAAAGGGGAGGGCGGTGCTTTCTCTTTTCCCCTCAACTTATCCCTCTTTCCTTTCTCGCATTTGTGACTCTGGATTGCCCTTTTCAAATGTATCAAATGGAATCACGAGTGAAGAGTTGTTTAAAGCACAAAGTTTTTTTTCTTGATACTTGTTATCACCACTACTTTTTCCAAACACTAAACAAGTAGTAAACCCCAAAGTAAACCTTACTGTATCTGTTTTCACCGAAAAATCAACCTTTCTTTCATCGAAAAATCAATCAAAAATCAATCAAGTCTACAATCAATTATTGTAGACTTGATCTAAATGGTCAAAACTTTCGATTACTCATATTTTGAATGACTTCAATACTTTACCCTATTCAAAACCATTTCTTTTGTTTGATATCAGTTCACGAAAATTAGCCCATTCATAGGAATTATAATATTAATGGAAAATGAGTGTGGCTATTTAAAGAAACAATACGAGGGGAAAAACTGGAAAAATGAGAAGAGAAATGAGTACAATAGGGAAAGAGAGGAGAAATGGTCGAGTTGGTGAATAGAAGAATCTTTTCTATGGGGAATACCCATCTAAGACCCCAATTCACCCCACAAAAGACAACAAAATCGCGCCCTCTTCCACAACCCCCGTTCCATTTTTTTATTGTTTTCTTTCATTCACACCCTGCAACATGTTTTTTTTTTTCTTGAATTCGAAAAGATTTGAGAATTGCAATTTCAAATTAGGAAAAGAGCTCGAGTTGAAAAAAAACGGAAAAAATTCTGCCTCAAATTTTTGTTGGGCAGTCGGCTACAAGAGTTGAAGTGTTATGGATGGGTTGAGTAAAAGAAGAAGAAGAAGAAGAAGAAGAAAGAAGATGAAGAAGAAGAAGAGGATGAGAATGGGCAGACAGGAAGGACAGTTTTTCGCTCAGGAGGACGAGAGATAGGAATGAGCACCGGGGAAACAAGTTTCCCACAATTGCCCGGGCAATCTCGTCCCTCCACGAATCACTCGGCGAGAGCGAGTCGAAATAGAAAAATCCTCGGCCTCCCATCAAATCCCAAAAGCCACATTCCCCTTTTGATAACTCTGCCATTTCCCCTGTCTGGATCATTTCGAATCTCGATTGGCCACCATTGAGCTGCCAAAAATTGGCTCCAATTTACATCGCGCTACATTATAGAAAAGTTTACTCATCAAAATAAAACCTAAATGTTGTTGAAAGTCAAAAGCTGGTAAAGCTGGTAAAGCGGGCGGAGTAAAGCGGGGGGGATTTTGGCGGGAAGGCTTGTGGGCTTGAGTGACCTTTAGATGGGCAGAGCATGGATGGGCTCGTTGCCGTCCTCGTCCCCTCTCACCCCAATCCACCAACGGCCCCACCAGCCCTGGACGACCTTCAAGCCCGAGCAGCTTTTGAATGCCCCCTTGCTCTCTACCCTCTTGCATGCGCACTCTAATAATCGTGGCTCGGCAGCCTCTCTCCTTTCCGTACTCTCTGGATTTTGACCTTGAATTTCTCCCTCCCTTTTTTGCCCACACGGTGACCGTCTAAGCTTCTTTAAAGCCAGACTTTCCCCATCCCTCTTTTCAATCTCACATGTTCCTACAAACTTTTCAAAAAAAAAACAAAAATGGTAAAAAAAAAAGCATGGAAACTCAAAGGGAAAAGTGGGGAGATTGAAGTGAAATAACTTAATAATTACCAGAACTTAATAATCAATTTCATTGAATTTTAAGAAAGATTTGAAAAAGAAATGATAACTGAAAACAGTAGTGGTTGAGAGGCCGGGGCACTTGGCATTGAATAGAGCTGGGTGACGGAATGAAAAGAAAAGGTTGAGGGATGGGGAATGGAAGAGAATGGGCTCTAGGTGTGACCTCGGATTGAGGCTTCGATCATTCAATTTTTCGTCCCACCCATTTCTAGATCTAGATTCTTAAAGGTTAACTATTCAGAGGTTAACTTAACGTAATTCAATATAAGAGAAAAGAGAAATGAACAAGAAAAGCGATTTGGCCAATTTCTATGCGCAAACATGAATATGATTCACGAAAATCTCAAAGTTTCAAAAAAATTGAAAACAGAAACAAATGTTGAGTAATAGAAATCAATATTTGAAATGAAGCGAGTCGATTTCTGGGTCATAGGCGCATTTTTTTTTGAGAGAAACGCTTTATCTAGCTGTCTGCCTAAGGCATCATTGTGATTGCCATCAGCATCTTTTCTCAAAGCACAGATGTATCTTGGCTTGACCTTGATGATGAGCTACCTTGATGATGAGCTACCTTGATGATAAGCTACCTTGATGATGAGCTACCTTGATGATAAGCTACCTTGATGATGAGCTACCTTGATGATAAGCTACCTTGATGATAAGCTACCTAAGAAAAGTTTCCTTTCAATTACGAAAGTATATGGGAAATTGTTTTTTTTTTTTAAAAATGCTAAAGTTAAGGTACTGTTTCTGGTTTTCTGTCAAAAACTGTTGACGCGGGGGTTGGGAATGGGCGTGTGAGAGAGATCGAGAGCCACTGGATTTAAATGTGCGTGATGCTTTTCCAAGGGGTTTTTCGCAATTTCCGAAATCGTTTTACTTTTTTCTTTTTTTTTTCGGAGAGGGTTGAGCCGCCGCGCGCTCGATTGCCGCGTCCAGCGCTCGTCCTCAGACCCCGCGTGCTCCCCCCGCCTCTCCTCAACCCATCCTCTATCCAATGCAAGACTGTCCTTTGAGCTTTCCCCATCCATTCCTCTACCTTTTTCTCACCTCTTGACAACACGAGAGTTACAATCCTATTTGCTCTTTTCCCCTTCTCCGAAAAAAGATCCATTCCTTAAACTGCTTATTTTGTTTTCAAAAAAGGTGAACGTGAAAAATATTTTTCTCGATAGTTTCTCGATAGTTTCATTGCTTTGCCAGAAATGAGCTTAGAAAAACAATTGTTTGAACGATTATTGTGATCAATTGAAAGATTTAAAACAAGAGAAAGGTTACTGTGAAGCAGTGAACTGCGATTGGTTGAGGGAAAGGGGAGTATATGAAGCGGAGAAAGGAGGAGAGGACCCAACAACAAAAAAAGTGATTGAGAAAGGAAAAGCGGGTGCAAGAGGAGTGTGGGGGGAAAAGGAAAAGGGGGGTCCATTGAGGCGAGTGACACTGTGCAAGGGTAATTCTCGTGTTTAGAGGAGTTCTTCACCGCTCTTTTCCCCGCCCATAAAAGGTCCCCAAACACTGAACGATCAACACACACACACACACACACACAGAAGCGATCTCCCCCACTTTTCAATTCGCCTTGAAAAGTCGCGAATAGTGAGTAAACATTCATTTGGTTGAAATCAACTTCAATGCTTTTAGGTGGAAAAAGGGCACGATATGGGATGGATTGTTGAGAAATTGTTGAGAAAAGATCTAGAAATTGAGCTAATCAAAGAATCAAAGAATCAATGATGAGTAATCGAAAACATTCATTCAATAAAGGGCACAATTAGGCAAGGATTGTTTAAATCGAAGACATTAAGCGAGTGGATGAAAGAATGAAAGAGTTGAAAGGGTTGAGAAAAAGGAAAAAGGCGAAATTACCATTTCTGTATTCCGATGCAACACAAAGAGAGTTAAAACGAGGGTCATTTAAAGGAAAAGAGAGAAAAAAGGAGGAGAGGTGCTTGATATACACAAAGGGATGAGAAGAAGAGCGAAAAGAAATTGAAACAACTTGGAAAAGTTGATGCACAAGAAGATTTCAGAGGATTTCAGAGAAAAAAAGCTTAACCAAAAGTTGCACAGATTGATTGATAAGTTGTACGAAAAAAAGGGAGGAGAGTGAGGAGCTTTGGTGGTTGGGATGGGGATGGGTCTATCTATCAGAGGCTAAGATCTGACCTTGGCTTCTTCTCTCTCACTCTCGACTACTCATTACTGATCATTTCCATCACAAGGAACTCGTCTTAATCTTAATCTTTCATATCTATTCCTATTTGGAAATATTGTAGTAAATGCTTAAAACAAGACAATTGAAAGCAATGCACTGAAAGTTTATTTCTGCAAAAAGTTGCTAAAGTTCTAGTATGCTAAAGTTCTAGGAATCCACAAAACGAATGAGAAAGGTCATAAGCTGTAACTGTTGAATGAATGTGTGGGAGAACAATTATGTGTGGAAAAAAAAATGAATGAGAAAGGTCAAACAAGGAATAGAGGCTTTTGTCTCAGAGAGGGGACACTATCCGATTTGCATGAGGCCTTGACCGATCCATCCATTTCTCTTTTCCTTTTCATTGAGCATCGATTCTCGGGAAGATCACGGCTTGATCCCCCAAACTCAAACTTTATTCAACCACAAAATGACTTTGCCATACTTTTGTACATAGCGGGTCGATTATAATTTCAGTATTTACAACATTTTAGTGCAACAAGTAAAATAGTCGCCAATACTTTTGCTGTTGTATTCTGTGTGCAATAAATGATCAAAAGATATGGGATACGACAAAAATGAACAACATCAATCGATTCGTCGACCCCGAAAACCACTGGATACAAATTTCTGCTCAATATCTTCTTTTTGTACCACCTACAAAGCAAAAGATGAATGACGTAAATGACTGGTGAGGTGTTCTCTGTGCAGCCACGTAATCGCTCACCGTCTGGCAAATCCGGCTGGCATAAGGGGCTTCCCATCTTGAAAGAATAGGGTTGGGGATGTTGAGCCAAGCGGATGAGCCAACTTCGGGGCCTGTGCGTTATTATGCTCAAATACCTGGGATCAATCCCAGGATCATTTTCTTCAAATTTTGTATACTTTATTCATCACTTATATTTACAGTCGCTGAATGAGGAGAAATCATAATCATTTAAACTAAGTATGAGCAGAAGAAGACTAGATTATTTGAGACTTATTTACGAATAAATAGATAGATAAAAAGCAATTTCATGAAGTAGACAACGTTGATAGGGAAACTGGTGAGAAAGCAATGGAAATGTTTGAAGGTGGAGAGGAAAACGGAAGAGAAGAAAGAGCAAGTGGGGAATTCTCCATTGCTGACGACAATAATGGATTGTTGTTCATCAATGGCCCACCGGGAGAGAAATCGTTTCCTAGAAGCTCTTGGTAAAAGGCTTTTCCAAAATGATTCGGGATACCGTAACGCTCTAGACTCATTACAGGATGCCTGTGGTAAAGCCCAGCCAATAATTCTTAGTTTTTTAGAAATTTACTTGAAAGTTTCAGATTGAAACTAAAGATCTTTTGTAAACTATTCTGTCATACTGTAGAAATATTGATAATTTACAATTAATTTATAGATTGATAGATTTTTATAGCTACAGTACTGGACAATGAAATATGATATTTGAAAAACGATCGTCACTTTCGCGCCTCTGTAACTCCCTTGTCTTTGAGTTTAAACTATTAGTGTTATACATTTTCTGAAAGCTCTTTTCAAGGGCTACACAATGGTAATACTAATATTTAGAGATACGGTAAAGACAAGGGAGTTACGACGCGAAGTGACGACTTTTCAAATATGATATTTCATTGTCCAGTATTGTCCGTCTATCACAAAGTGCTCCCGTCCATCCCGCATAGCATGAACAAGTATTATTAATCAGATTGTCAAAGAGACTATTTTTAGCCATATACAGTACTAGACAATGAAATATGATATTTGAAAAACGATCGTCACTTTCGCGCGTCTGTAACTCCCTTGTCTTTGAGTTTAAACTATTAGTGTTATACATTTTCCGAAAGCTCTTTTCAAGGGCTACCCAATGGTAATATTAATATTTAGAAATACGCGAAAGACAAGGGAGTTACAAACGCGCGAAAGTGACGATCTTTTTTCAAATATGATATTTCATTGTCCAGTAGTGTACCTGTTTCTTCATCAAGTTGCTCTCCAAGATGTGAATTTGGTGACAAAGAACAACTCGATTTTGAGGTGGATGCAGTTGATGTTAAAGACGATGTTGATGAAACACTCTGTATTGTTGATTACTATTATTGTTTTTGAATTCTATCGTACAATTGTGTTCGGTGATGATGGAGTGGTCTTTCGAGTGGATCTTCTAGAGAGCAACTGTAGTACGAGATCGTCGAGTTCCCAAAGATCAAAGAATTGAATTTTCTGATGACTTTCAAGACACTCCATGCTCACTGCCTAAAAGATATTCAATTGATTTTCTTTATTTAAACGATTTAAACAATTAAAAAGACTAACAAAAACGGCGCTCATTAAAAGCACGATGTTCCCAGTGCGTTCAGCGATTTGATGCGAAGAATAGCCTAACTAAATCAAGAATTTACTATATTATTGTAAAGATTACTTTACTTTATCACTGTAAAATCTTTAGACTTTACTGTATTACTAGAATTACTGTAAAAGAATGCCTACTTGTTTATAGTGATCGTTGAGACTGAAAAGAATCGCGTCGACTTGTTTCTTCATCAATTCTTTAATCCCCGGCTCAAGTTCATGAACCCCTAAAAAATTCGTTTTTAATCAAAATACAATTACAAATACAATTGAATGAATGTAAATGAAATTCTTGAATAATATACTGTAGTAAATACTGTAATAGTACCCCACCCCCATAATGACGGTGCGGAGCGTTGCGTAGTCTAGCTTTGGACGAGTTTTTCTCGACACTGGTTTATGCTACAGTGCGCGTTTAGGTATCAAAAAATAGCCCTTAATTTCAGCTATTTTTTGATATCAAAGACGCTTTTTTTGAAAGTACGGGCGCTTTGAAAAAATGAAATACTAAAAAACCTGCGACTACGCGACTGTACGAGGTGGGTGGGGTACTATTATAGTATTTACGGTAAAAGAATAACTATATTGTTTAACAAGAACTTGTTTCCACAAATTTTTTGATTATCTACAATAGTTTTGACAAGTGATTGCACCAAAAACTTTCGCAAATTGACAATTTCAGCTTTTGCTATACAATTCGTGGACCGAACTCGCTCCTTCGACCGGATAAATCAGCTCTTTTTACTATTGGTGGTGTTTACGAGTTGAAATGTATGACTGTACGAGGTGGGTGGGGTATTATTACAGTATTTACGGTAGACAATAAACCTGATCCTTTAAATGAGATGAGCCCTTTGAGAACAACGTATTCGTGATAGGTGAGACCGATTTGTCTCATCGGTTCCACCAACTCATTCACCACTCTCTCCATCAACGGACGATAAAGTCTAAAAGTTATTTGATGATTCTTTTCAAATTACCTTTACATTTCTTAACACCTACTCTTGTTTAAGTGATGAGGAAATGATGCCCGCCTCGTCAGCCCATCCTTCTGTTGAATCGCGTTCAATCCCAACGAATAAACCATTAAACATCACAAATCTGAAACGAATAAAGTTTAGCATACAATAGTAAGAACTATTGTATCCATTTACATCCATAAATATCCATTTACGATATCTACAATAGAACTACAATAGAACTACAATAGATCTACAATAGATCTACAATAGATCTACAATAGATCTACAATAGATCTACAATAGATCCACAATAGATCTACAATAGATCTACAATAGATCTACAATAGATCTACAATAGATCTACAATAGATCTACAATAGATCTACAATACAATGATCTCCTCACTTGTCGGGTCTACCAAGTCGAAAAGTAAGATAGGCTGGATCGAGAATCGTATGATACAAAATACATCTTCTTAGAAACATTTTCTAAAATATCACTTTAAAGCTATAAAACCCTCTGTAAAACCTTATCGGAAAGATTCATGAGTTGTGTATGTTTCCAGGCACGAATCCATTCATAAGTGAGAAGAATCTGCGGTCGAATATCTTTCTGGATTGAAGCATACGTGAGCACCTCCAATTCATCTTCACTGTACGGCTAAATTCAAAAATTTCCCAAGAAATCAGTTTTTATCAAACAATATCGTCAATCTCGCAAGTGGAAAGCAATTTCGAGATCGACGACCGAGCGCAATAGAGTAATTTTCGTCTCTCATTGTATAACCGCTCGAGTCGAAGTAGTTCTTTCATAGGATCTTCAAGCATTTGTGGTAGTGATAGGCTTAAACAAATATTTCTAGATATTAAACAAATATTTCTAGATATTTTCCCCTTACGTATTCACTGGTGAGCTCCAGTGTGTAAAGTTTGTCGGGAAATCGAATACAGATTGTGGTGGATCGAATTCGAATGTTGATTGCTCAGGTGGCTCTGAGCTTTGCTGAAAGTTTGTTAAAGTCTTTGATAATGCAATAAATTTTAACTATATTATATAGTCTATAAGTGATAAAACTCACTTCTTGGGAAATCGTTCTTGGCCGTGGCGGTTGTGCATACGGAGCTCGACGTCTCGGCACATTTCGATCGCGACGAGGCTGAACCGCTGAAAAGCTTTTCATTCAGCAATTCAAAATCGATTCTCAAAAATCTCTTTCATCATTTAAACAAGAACCTTTCCTATCCATTCCAGCTTTTATGCATTTTGAATATCGACACGCTCGACAAATCACTCGCATTGCTGAATGAGAAAAGATTTAGAAAGATTTCGTTAACTCACTGAAATTGACTAGACATCCATTAGTGTAAGGACATGCAAACTGTCGATCCAATGTAACTGTTCTTCTAAATAAAAAAGTGAAAGAGAAAAAGTGAGAAAAGGCAGATGTCCGGAGACGGGATCGAACTCCCAACCTCGGCTCTCGACACGGTCTTCCAGGCTATTGCTCTAACCACTGAGCTATCCGGTACCCTGACTTGGCCGGAGAAAAAGATAATTACAAAGGGGAAGAAGAAAAACAAAATATCAACAATTCCAAAATATCAACAATTCCTTTGTTTACTTTACCTAAAGAATGCGGCACATGCACTACATGATGGAGCATTGAAATGATATCCATTCGACGGAGCCTCGCACACTGAACATACCCGCATTCCAGGCGAGCTCCATCCTAGAATTCAATTTTATTTTATGGATATGTTTAAAGCTTTGCTAACTATTGAAAAATTGGTACAAGTGCAATACTTGACTTTACAGCTTACGAATATTCACAAGTGTAAAGCAGTTAAACCCTGATACGCATTGATTTCCTAAATTTTGCCGACTATAAAGTTTATTGGATCTTTGATGCAAGAATGATTCTCCAAACTTTTCAACAATGAGTTTTTACGTGAGCCGCTAAAATTTGTGAAATGCAGTGTTTCATCATCATTGTGTAGCGTATTTTCATCATCATTATGTTCCGCAACTTTTAGTTTAAGACATTTTTCTCCAACAACAATCAAACTCAACCTGGTTCCGGTTCAGAAATATCGTCTTTCATATAAAAAATGAGATTGAGATCAGTAGCTGAAATAGAAACAATTGCTGATTTAAGGCTACAAGAATTGAGATCAGTAGCTGAAATTGAAACAATTGCTGATTTAAGGCTACAAGAATTGAGATCAGTAGCTGAAATAGAAACAATTGCTGATTTAAGGCTACAAGAATTGAGATCAGTAGCTGAAATAGAAACAATTGCTGATTTAAGGCTACAAGAATTGAGATCAGTAGCTGAAATAGAAACAATTGCTGATTTAAGGCTACAAGAATTGAGATCAGTAGCTGAATAGAAACAATTGCTGATTTGGCTACAAGATTGGTCAGTAGCTGAAATAGAAACAATTGCTGATTTAAGGCTACAGAATTGAGATCAGTAGCTGAAATAGAAACAATTGCTGATTTAGGCTACAAGAATTGGATCAGTAGCTGAAATAGAAACAATTGCTGATTTAAGGCTACAAGAATTGAGATCAGTAGCTGAAATTGAAACAATTGCTGATTTAAGGCTACAAGAAATATTATGAGAAATGAGAGGGGAAACACGTGAGTGAAAGGTGCTTTTAAAAAAAAAAAAGAACAGAAAAATTCTTTATTGAGGCAATTTACTGATAATTCTTTTTCCTTTTCCTAAAGTCAGGTCAAAGTCTAACCCGAAAGAAATCTCAATTTCACTGAATTTTATGAAAATTGAATTTGATTTCAAAGTGAAACTGTTTTCAGTTCTCAATTTTATTAATAGGAATGATTTTGGGAATAAGATTTTGGGAATAAATAGCCTGTGACGGGAAAAGCTGGATACTGTCTAACCGATCTAACAATAAGTAAGAATGGTGAATGTAAAAAAGAACATAATGCTAAGGATTATAACTTGAAAGTAAAGATATTTTGGGGATAATGAGTAAACGAAAGACGGGAAGAGGGTGTCCGTTTTCGGTATTCCCCCTTTCCAAAATGAATCGAACGAGAGGCGATAAGAAAGGAAATTTTGACAGACTCCCACTCTTTTCGGCCTCTCTCAACTCATCTCCCCTCCTCAATCACTCAAAAACACTCGCAACTTGGAAAATCATCTTGATCTTCCAACTTGGAAGATCGTCTTGATCTGTGATCTTTGACGAAAGAAAGCTGGCTTACCACCGGACAACTCACGCTTTACTTTGTCAATTGTTTTTACAGGGATTTCTCAGCTCTAAGTTATTTCAAGAAACCTCTGACAATCAATGAATGAACTCATGAAATCCAATAAAAGGCACAGTGAATGCAAATTTTGATAAAGAAAAGTTAAATGTTTGTTAATCTATCTGAATCCGGATAGTGATTCTGAAAAAGTCTAGATTCGGATTCGGATTGGATTCGGAAAAAGACTCAGATTGTCCGGATCTGAATAATTAGCCAAGTTCTATTTTTGAACCCACAAAAAGTCTAATCAAAAATAGATACATTAAATCTATGCCAAAACAAGAGATTACAATAGTTTTCTTACGTTTCATACGTTTCAAAAACACATTAATTTCATTGTAAAGAGTTGCCGATCGTCGAGAGTTTCATCACTTTAAGCAGTTCAAATATTTGGCTTGAAAACTGTATTATCGTGTTTATTCAAGAACCATCTTGTTAATAAATTTACTCAAAACTCTCTCCATTTCCTCTCTAACCCTTTCTAACCCTTTCTCAAAAGACGACAATTCGTTGTGTTTATATCGCGACATGCAATTATTTCCACCGTATTCCCAGATGTGAGTCGTAGTTTTGGGTCAACGCTTTTCAAAGAGTTCTCCCAACAGATTTTCCCAATTGCTTCTTATCTGCTCGTGTAATTGTTTGTTTTTTTAAATTCATCATAGATTTTTTTCCATTCTAATCATTATCGTTCAGCTACCTCGAATCGCTTAAGAATGGCCTCAAAGGACTACGACAAGATGACCGTAAGCATTCATTTATTTACTTTCATTTGTTTATTCTTGTTTAGCTTTTTAAAAAAATATCAAATTTCTAGGTTGCTCTTTTGCGGGATGAGTTGAAGTCGAGAAACCTTTTAGTGGAAGGAAAAAAGGCGGAATTGATTGATCGATTGAGGGTGAGTGAGAAAGAAAAACTTCCATAAATCATTCACGAGACTAAGCAAGCGTAAACTAGATTGATAACTAGATTGATAACTAGATTCATAACTAGATTGATTAACATAAAATTTCAGGCATCTGATAAAGAAGCGGAAGATGAGCTGCTCAATTCGACTCTTGGCGATGATCTCCTGCCAGGTTTGTGAAGTTTTATTAAACTATTTATCTTAAAAAAACTTCAGTTAATGAGGAAGATCTTCTACTACAAACGGGTGGTGGAAGTAATGAAATAAAGGTAAATAAAATAAAAATAAAAGAGAAGATTGAAATGATTCTTTTAGACAGACGGCACTGATCTTTTGGAAAGCGAAAAAGACAACGATAAGGCAAAGGTTTGGTGGAGGAAATCGAATATGAATTGAATTTGAATTTGAAATTTACAGAAACGTGTTGAATGGAGTTCGTCAACTGAAGAGAAAATGGCACGAGCCGCTCGTTTAGGATTGCCGATTGCAGCCACAGCCGGTACTCATTCAGCTGGAAGTCTCACCGATGATGCTAAAGCTAATCGAGCCAAAAGGTTATAACATTTCGAATTTAGAAGTTTAAAATCTGTGATCTTATGAAAGTATGTTGTTTAGATTTGGCACCCAAGCCGAGACGATTGTCGATTCGAATGAGGCTAAAGCACGTCGCTTGGCTAGGTGAGCTTTTATGAACTTTTATGAAAAGAATATTAGGAATTAAGAAGAATTATGAAAATATAAAAATAAAGAATACAAATATCTAGACCAATTTTGTGTAGATTAAACTAAAATTTGTAATTTTCCAGATTCGGAGTCTCTTCCGTTGAACCAACTCCGAGAATGAATGCGGCAAAGTTGAGCGTTGATGATTCGACAAAAGAAAAGCTGTTGAAACGAGCACAGAGGTGGGCGGTTGAGTTGAGAATGAAAAAACCCTTTCAAACGAAATCTTAAAGTTCAAACTAAATCTGAAATCAATCCGATTATTTTATAGATTTGGTCTACCAGTCAGCGGCAATGGAAAAGCGCTGGGAACTGTGGAAGCTCCTGAGGTTTCTAACAAAGAAATAGCAAAAATTTCAGTTTAAACACACCGTAAATACTGTAATAGTACCCCACCCCCTCGTACTGTCGCGTAGTCGCAAAAGTTTTTTAGTATTTCATTTTTTTCAAAGCGCCCGTACTTTCAAAAAATAGCTGAAATTAAGGGATATTTTTTGATACCTAAGCGCGCATTGTAGCATAAACCAGTGTCGAGAAAAACTCGTCCAAAGCTAGACTACACAACGCTCCGCACCGTCATTATGGGGGTGGGGTACTATTACAGTATTTATGGTAGGCTTTTCATAGAAAACAAGTCAGTTCTTGTTTAGCAAATAGCTATTGTTTTCTAAATCGTGAATACAATGCTATTTCAAGCTTTAGAAAACAAGAGCTGTTTGCTAAAACGTGAGATTGACTCGTTTTCTTACAAAAACCCCATCTATACATCAGTTCCTCAACTTTATTTCAGAAGATTTTTCATTAAAATCACTTAACTTCAGGAAAATGCGAAGAAACGAGCACGTCTCGAACGTTTTGGACTCCCCGTATAAGACGACATTGCAAACTTCAACAATAAAACTCATCTCATTCATGAAAATACTGATATCTCAGGCTTTCACTTCTTCTTTTTACCCAAATTTCCCCCTGTAACTTATTACTTTTAATGTTATTAATTATTTCGATTTGTTGAATTGAATTGTCAGTGGACTCTTGTTTTAATAAATAGTGGGCTAGTTTCCGCAATTCTTTTTTGCGCAGCTGGGTCGTTTGTGCAACTCGCCATAACTTTCTTCTAAGTGGGCTAATCTTTATGATTTTGGTCTCATTTTGTAGATATCAATAAGTGCAACAAAATGAAACCAAAAGCATAAAGATTGGTCAACTTAGAAGAAAGTTATGGCGAGTTGCGCAAAAAAAAAAATATCGGAAATTCGCCTACCCTAAATAGTGAATGCAACTAATAGTAAAATTTAAAACAACAACTTTAAGGCAAGAGTTGCTTTAAGAAAAAAAAAGTGATTCAGAGATTCTTTTCAAAACACGTCAATTCGTCATCTTTTGTGGTGAAAACGAGTTGCAGTAATGACAAGATTGTTTATTGATCTAGAGAGATTTGTATCGATTTTGGTTTCGATTTCTACCGATTTCTGGTAAACATTTGGTGGAAATTTGGTAAAGAATGTGGAAAACAGAGGAGAAGAGAGGGTAGGAGGGGGGGAAGGGGAGGGAGGGAAGGGTCGTGTAATCGCCGGTGCCCACCTACCCATCTCTCTTCTATTCGAAGCCCCGCCCCTTCTGTTGTGGGTACTGAATATGAGTTGCCAATGGAAACCTTTCTCGTTTATTCCTTGAAAAACATTCTCTTTTATTTTATTCTCAGATTCCCCAATATTTGATCGAAAACAATGAATTCCTTTGAGAATTTGATGCGCCGATTTTGGTCTTGGCTAAAGATCAACGTTTTTTGGGTTTTCGATTTGTGCTGCCCATCCGAGAAAAGCGATCTCAACAGCAAGGACACCGATGTTGAAAGTGAGGGTTTTTATGTAAAGAGGGAGGAAATTGTGAGAGTGTTTAACTCTTTCTTGTTCACTTTTGCACTTTTTGTGCATAGCCATAGAGTGGTTGAGTGTTTTCCTAGCGAGTAAATAATGAATTACTCGAGTAAAATCTGCATGAGTAATTTTTACTCGATTAATCGATGTTTTTTGGTCAAGTAACTATGAGTAATCCTCTTTGCACGTCGAGTAAATTGAATACCGTATTTACTCTATTAGTGGGGTCCTCTCTAATAGTGGGGTCCTCTCTAATAGTGGGGTCGTCTGGAGGGGGGTTGAAAAAATAGTGGGGGACCCCACTAATAGAGTAAATATGGTATCTTTACTTGTGAAGGGAATTTGCCACCAAATCAGTTAAACGGCTGAACATCTTTAAAAAAAGTCGAAAAAAAGTCGTGATTTTTTTTTCGCCAATTTTTTGCAATAATTTTCGCTAAAAGTACGGTAATTTTTCCTAAGTGTGCGTTTTAAAAAACGCATTACTCGTGAGGAACACACTCTAATAGAGATTGCAGATTGATCTGCAAGATGCAAGATCTGCAGATTGATCTGCAATCTCTATTAGATTCGTTTTCATTCATTCTGGAATATGGTGTTGTTCAAACTCAATTGCCCATTGAAACTCCCTGAAAAGCCTCTTTTCAAACCGTTTTTTTTTTGAATCCGTATTTAAGAGGTCTAACATCAAGTATCCACGCTCTAACCAGGAAATTTGGATCTTTCAAAACCATTTCTAACCAGGAAATTTGAATCTTTCAAAAACACAGGTGTTGCTGGGCATATTATTTGGCGAACAAAAGGCGAATACCCATGACCCCAATTTTGCGTTGTTTACATGGATGAGTGAGAGTGAAGACGAGTCATTTTTAGAGGGTAAATGAATGACTGAAAGAGGGCGCGTCCTACAAATGGGATTAGTGCTTGTGAGCGGTGCCTATGCAAATATGAGAATGAGAGAGACCCTCTATCTACCCCATCCTTTCATTGTCTTTCTCTTCAAACCTCCCTCGTTTACACAATGCCCGTTAATGCAAATTCACCGTTTACAGATCAATTGTTCTCTGTTTGAATTTTGTTGGTGACTACTGAAAGCATTCAGGGTTCAATCATTGACTCTTTTGTTTATGAAAGCTTTAGTGAAAAGGTCATCTATTCAAATTGTTATATAGACAATGGAGAGATCGTTTTATAGATACATTTATTAAATTGTTGCATAAGTCTTTTTGATCTTTTTCGTAATTCTGCTTAAAATCAACAAATGCACCAATTGAAACATTTGTTCTATTAGAAAATTCAATAATTTTTCTTAAAAATAACATTGAAGTGGGCTTAAACTGTCTTTGTCTGCATTTTTTGCGGGCGAGAAGTTTGGTGAATTATTTTTTATTTTTAAACGGAAGTGTAAAAAGGAGCGCAAAGATTTATGCAACAATCCAATAATCCAAAAGGTTAACTTACAGTACTCATAGTACGGTATTAACTTGAGATTTGACTTACTAGGAAACGGTCAGATTTCGCAAGCACGAATCCGAACCAAAACTATATGAATTTCGCAATTCGGACATGGGGAACACGATGGCGTTTTTAGTTTTTGCCCAAATGCTCTAGCTTTCTGTAAAAAAAAGAGTTTGAAATTTGGGCCTCCTAGTGCACTCAGCGACTTATGAGTTTGTAGGTGAGGCTACAGTCGCTCACTAAAAAGTGGCTCGGTGGTGCAGTGGTGATGCCGCGGCGGTAGTTCCGTTTTTGGCATCCAAGTTCGATCCCTCTTGGATCAATTTTTTTCTTTGCATTTTTATTTTATTGTTTTGAGCAGTAAAGCGGTATTTTGAATAGCTTTGAGTATTGCTTTGCTTCTCTTTCGCTTTAGCTTCAATTGCATCCTTTTGCAAAAAAAGACTTTTTGTATTTCTAATGTGACGATACCCTACGAAAGTGCAGGAAAGCTCACTTCCAGGAAAGCTCACTTCCAGGAAAGCTCACTTCCAGGAAAGCTCACTTCCAGGAAAGCTCACTTCCAGGAAAGCTCACTTCCAGGAAAGCTCACTTATGTGGAAAGTGAAAAAGATGGAATTTTTCTGAAAAGTTGCAAAATTGTTTGTGCCTTTGTAAGTTTACAAAGTCAAAAAGAAAATGGCAGATTGAGCAATAGCCAGTATTGAGTTGCCGGTTTTTGGGGTAAAAATTTCCACGATTACCAATCCAATGGGAGTTCCTTTCCTTTTTCGTTTTTTTTTCTCAGAACGGTGCTTTGCAAAAGAATGCAATCGAAGCTAAAGATACTCGAAATACAACTTTACTGCTCAAAACAATAAAATAAAAATGCAAAGAAAAAATTGATTCAAGAGGGATCGAACTTGGATGCCAAAAATGGGAGTACCGCCGCGGCACTACCACTACACCACCGAGTCGCTGTTTAGTGACTGTAGCCCTTATAAACTCATAAGTCACTCAGTGCACTAGGCATTCAAATTTCAAACGCGTTTTTACAAAAATCTAGCGCGTTTGGACAAAAACTAAAAACGCCATCGTGCTTCCCGTGTCCGACTTGCGTAAGGCATATAGTTTTGGTTCGGATTCGCGCTTGCGAAATCTGACCGTTCTCTAGTTAAAACAACGCTTATGAATTCAACTTACTAGTACCAAATCGGTGTTTCTAAATCATATAAACAGCAAAATCAATATTTGAAACCATGCCTAAAACGTACTACCCCATTTACAACACAATAAGTCGAACACGGCTTTGTTTATAAATTTTCGGCGAACACTTTCGTGGTTTCATTTCGCAGAAAAGCCGGGTCATGAGAATGTGTTTTCGTTGAGCCGAAAGCAGAGGCAGCAGAAAAAACCTGATTCACAAATTCCCGGAATCGATATGTTTCGTTTAGTCGCTCCCTTGTCTCAATTTGCTCCCTTTTCTCGATCTCTCAAGGATTATAAATCTATGATAACGTTGAATAATCCTGAAAACGCACCGTTTCCCATCCATAATATGTTGCGGTTTAGTGCAAATAACTGTGGTCAAACCAACAAGGCTTGTAAGCGGAAAAAAAGCGGAAAATTGAATATCTTTTGATTTTCAAAGCAAAACCCAACGAATGGGGCAGCTACGCGCTGCGACGGGAAAAGCGGAAAAAAATTGCCGTAGCTGCCCCATTTGTTGACTTTTTCTTTGAAAATTCAAAGATTTTCCGATTTTCCGCTCTTTTTTTCCGTCTGTAAGCCTGAAAGAAACCTAGTAAAAAGTTTTCTAGAATCAGGCTAACAATGTGTAGGTACGAAACAACGATTTAACAACTGACTATGAGATTTAGTCGAAAGGGCATCAGTTTTGAGTATTGTTTCCGTTAGAACAAACACGAGAAATAGAAAAACGCAGAAAATGAATCAGGGTTTGAATGTTTGAAAATGCAAAATACGCTCTAACTACCAGAAATGTCATGCCAGAAATTTGTAGATAAAAACGACTTGACGAGGGAAATTCAGTTTTTTCTGAATTTTTTTGCGTTCTTTTTGAAAATCTGTCTCATATCACATAAATCATCAAAGATATCGGCAAAAACCCTCAAAAACCTTGTGGTTTGCCCAATATTTTCTAAAAAACAGATCCGCGCATTCCATATCGCCGACCTCGGCTTATCTCTGCGCTTTGCATTTTTGTGTGTCATGCAACATAGGCATAGCCTTTCTCTTTTTTTCCTTTTTTCTCCACCGCCTCAAACCTTTCTCCTCCTATTTTCCCTTTTTTCTCGACCTTCTTTTCCCCCTTTTTCGCTCGCCGTTTGTAATCGATCGTTGCGGGAGACCATTGCTCCCTACCCTTTTCTTTGCCCTTTCTCTCTCTCCGCTCACCAAACTACTGCGTAATTTTTTTCCTTTTTACTAGTCCTTGTAGTTCAACTCTCGATGAATCATTTTAACCAACATCACCCCAACAAATATTGCTTATCTCGTTTTGAAATCGTCTCTTTTTCTCTTTCTCATAACTTTTGCAATATTTAGACGACCATTCGTCAACATTTTTGATCATTTTTTGCAGCACTATTCTTGTTATTTTTGACGGAGCTTACGCATAAGATAGAATATTCTTGACTTAAGATAGAATATTGTTTTCTAACATACGCACATTTATATTTTAGGCACGATGTCAGCCGGGGGAAAGAAAAGCACCACAGCGACGCCGAATGCTGCCTCCTTAGTGCACAAAGTAAAGCATTTTATTGTACGATTTTTCAAATTTTATTATTTAGGTAATCATGGTGGGAAGTGGTGGCGTCGGAAAGTCTGCACTAACGCTCCAGTTTATGTATGATGAGGTAATTTTTGTTATTAAGCTCGAGTAAAGTTTTTTGTCTTATTAGATTAAGTAATTTTTGGTTTAACTTTGAGAAGAAAGAAAATTAAACGGAGTTCCTACATTTAGTTTGTCGAAGAATACGAGCCGACGAAAGCCGATTCGTATCGCAAGAAAGTGGTGCTAGACGGAGAGGAATGCTCGATTGATATTTTGGACACAGCGGGCCAAGAAGACTACTCAGCAATCAGGTGGGTAAAATAATTTTCATGTAGCCTTTTCGTTTCAAACGTTGCAAAGAATATTAAGCAATTATTAGAGAATTTTAGAGACAACTATTATCGGAGTGGCGAGGGTTTCATTTGCGTTTTCTCCATCACCGATGCCGATTCTTTTGATGCAACAAATGAATTTAGGTTTAAAAGATTTGACATTATGATTTTAACTGATTTTGTTTAGAGAGCAAATCCTTCGTGTCAAAAACAACGACACCAGCGTTCCGATTGTGCTTGTTGGAAATAAGGGTGATCTTGCTGATAGCCGTGTCATTTCTCTGGCGCAAGTGAGTTGGCAGTTGTTTTTATTTTTCTTTGATGAAAATTATCTTTATATAATAGGAACCTTAAACTTACTTAATTTGAGCTTTTCAGGCTCAAGCTCGAGCCGAACAATGGAATGCGCATTATGTGGAAACATCCGCCAAAACACACAACAATGTTGACAGGGTAAGCTTTCTTGCTAGAATTGTCAAGTTGTTAAGAAATCCCCTCTCCGGGAATCTACTTTTTCTTGCCAATGCCTTCATTTCTTTATTGATAATTTAGTTTTGGGTTTGAGCAAGTCAAATTACTAATAATTGAATTTAGGTATTCTACGATTTGATGCGGGAAATTAAACGCCGAAAGGTCGGATTTGTGCCATCCAACTCGACGAATCCTGAACGTGGCGAAAAAAAGAAGAAAGGCCTCAAGAAAGCATGCACCATTATCTAAAAGATAAGTTGTGATTTTGCAAATTCTGCAGCCATCTATTACTTACTTTCGCTCTTCCTTTTGCAGATTTGTAGCTTCTTAACAAAAAATCGCCTTCTTAACTTTCGTGAGATCCAAAGAAATATCCTTTAAAACATTTCTGAGATTCATTGTGATATTACTTTCTTCATAAGCAAAATGTTTTGGTTAATATTTAATTCCCTTAAAATCGATCTTACAATGGTTACATTAATTTTCATTGAATGCGAAATTCCATGATTTAAGTCGCTTTCTCGCTGAGAACTTCCATATTTGCCGTATCCCCGGTTTCATAGAGCAATAGTCCCTTGACGTGTTTCCTCAAAATTTTTGGCAATAATAGCTTTTTTTGTGTGGCCCGCGACTTACTCACTCATTTCTATCTCTGCTTAGGAAAATTTTGTGTAAAATTCGATGTGATCAAAGTATTTCCCCATCGATTACTGCTTATTCATTCGCTTTTGCTAACCTAAAGTTGCCTTAAAATTTTTTTTATTGCCAACTTTGTTTTTACCTATTGCTCGTGTCTTATCTGTTTCATAGTCGAAAATTTCTATCATGTTTACTAATTTTTACAAAATACTCTTGTTCCCCAACGCATATTCCTTTGAAATCTCGGGTTTCTCAAACTCGAGATGTTTTTGTGATTCATAATAAAATCTAGAATATTTTATACAACACTCGTAAATACAAAACAAATGTACAAGGGCTCGTTGACTATCGAGGAAAAACTTTTTTGGTTTAATATTACGCGATTAAGCAAGATAAGCTGTAAAATTTTAATGAAATTCAAAAGGGTTAGTTATAAAATTTTACGACCCGGATTCATTAGCAATTGTGAGAAATTTTATGCAGTTGAAGCGTTCATTGAATGGGTTTTGATTAAATTGATTTGAGACTATCGCTTTTCATATCTACTTTTTGTTGAGCATATCTGATAATGAGGGCAATCAAAGAAGATTTATAAAAGAGGCAATAAGAACCTTTTTGGTATGTACCCGAAATAGTGGCAAAATATAGCGAAAAGTCTTTTGGGACTTGTCGATCTAATAACAAGCTAAAAATGATTTTTAAAAAAATGCTATTTTTGATACAGATAGCTTGCCATCGACCGTATTTTAGTCCTTAACAATCTATGCAAGTTTGGGTATGTAAATGAGTATATCAAAAATATCCCCTTTTCTTTAAAGGATTGCACAAGTTTTGGAAGAAGTTCACAAAGAGGAAAACGCTTGTTTTGATGATAGGAAAATTTTAATATATAAGACTGTAGCTATAGATTTACACCTATCATCCTAGAAGCTCAAAATGATCATCGGGATTGATGGGCTTCTGGGGTTGAGATATGGGCTCCGATTGAGTCAAAACCGCACGAGGCTTTTGACTTCGTCTCTTTGGTACAAGCTCTTCTTCTTCAATCACATGCTCTTCTTCTTTCACGCGCAATACCTTCTAAAGGCCTTTTTTTGGGAAATATCACTTCCTACTAACTGACCGGCTTTTTTGGACGTCTCACTCGAGGAGCTCCCTTGTTCAGATCAAACTCCTCGTCTGAACTCTCGCTTGCATGAATTGCCGGAAATGACAAGCCAATCGCAAACTCGTGATCATCGTCTAAACTCTCTGTTTCTACAATCCGTTTCACGTCATTCGAACCGTCATTTTCAAACTCAAGATCTGGTAGCAAGTCCTCTTCTTCGGGAACCTCGTTCTGCTTCTCTTTCTTCGGTGTCACCGGCTTTTGAACTTCAACTGGTCTATAATTTGTCTTTAGATCTATTAACCAAAGCCTTTGAGTCACTTTTGTGTTTGAATTGGAAGTTCCACTGGTTTGCGTATTGTTTGTGATACAGAGGGACGAAGAGGTGGTTCCTGGGCAACTGGTGCTACCGCCGGAGTTGCGGGAGTTACAATCTCCTCCTCATCACCGCTGAACTCTTCAGGCAGTAGTCCTTCTAGTTCCTCGTCAGAGTCATCTATTAGTTCTCGAATTTTACATTTCCCTTTTTCAACTAACCACAGAATGGCGACTTTTCCGGAATGTTTTTGATCACTTTCTCACACACTGGACCAAGAACATAGATGTAGGCAACATCTTCGATTTTCTGAATTGCTAAATAGCATTCACATGTCGGCTTTATTGTTACCTTGTATCGCACATAAAAATAGTCGATCACTGGCTGAATAAAAGTTCGATAAATAACAGCATACACCTGAGGTTGTTGGGTAATTAGGTACGCTGACTTTTGTAAAACCTGTTTCCCAGCGTCAACTATTGCCAAGCAAATTGGCCAAATAACTGAATCTCGAATGGCGAGAGCGGCTTGATGAAGAAGTCGCTTTGTCAACACTGACACCTCGTGTCCCCATTCCAATAGTTTTCTAGAAATTCTCTAAAATTTTGGACTTTATTATGCATACATTTTCATCGGTGTCAACACATTTCGATGAAGAAACCCTCCAAGCACGCAAAGGTATTTCCAAACAAAACTAAAACAAAACAAACTAACAAAACTTTCCAAACAAAACTAAATTCAGCGAATTTCAATGAGTTTTTGCTATAACAAACCGTGAAACTGGTCGAATCCAGTGCCCACAAACGACGTAAACCAAACAGAAACAAACATAATTGAAAAGCCTTTGTAGTGGGCGACCGAACTAAATTGAAATCAAACTAAATGATATTTGTTTTTTTTTTACAATCAAAACCTTCAATTTCATCCATGCACAAAAGTCAGGCCACCAATGAGCACAAAGCCAATAGCGAAGAAATTGGCCGAGTTTTCGGAAACCGTTTCCAATTGGTGTCAAAACGCATGTTCGCCACCTAAGTCCATTGATCGTTGGACTCTAGTTTATTTTATTTTTTTCCTTCCAAACAAACCATTTAGCAATGGCGACTAAACCGGCACAAATCCACGAATAGAAAGCCATCCATAGACCCTTAATCCCACCACCCGTCGAGCTAAAAGCTTGCCGAATCGCGGCCAACATTGCTGAATCATTTGATAACTTTGGTGTGAGTTTACAAAAAAAAAAACTTACGTGGCACAAATTGAAAGCAAACGACGTACTTGATTGCCCTAGCAACCACAAGAAACGGTTGAATGACCGCCTTTTGTAAAAAAGCATACACCTTTATCAAAAATTTTTCGACTTTCCAATTGTCTCACTGACCTGTTTTCCTGAGTACGTGATGGTGTTGGCGATTTTTTGATTTGTATCATAATAGTTCCAAACAGGATTTATCAAGAGACATGCCACTAAAATTTCGACTTTTTCATTGTCACCTTTTTTGTAAACATACGTGCACAATAGGCTGAGCAGAAAGCTCGTTCAGCAAGTCCGACTCGTAGCACGTGAGCACTGTAGAGATTCAACGAAACGCCAAATGTCTGAAAGAGTCATTCTCCATTTTTGAAGCTCATGAATCTTTTTAAAAAGAAATATATATTTTTTATTTTCTCATTTAATATTGTGAAGCCTTTACCCTTACCCGCCACAATGATTGCACAGGCCAAAAGAGCATATGCGTTGCAATGTTTCTTTCGTGAGTCGGTGACAATAAAACATCCCATCCAAAGACGAATGCGGAAAATGAAAGAAGTGCTTGAAGTTGAGTCATTCGATCAGCATAAAGACTAGTCGCCCTATAATTGATAGCTATTCATTTGATAGCTAGGATTTGTTATTTTTTTTAGTTTAGGCCACCCACCAAAAAGCCGAATTAATGAGCATGAGATAGGGAGCGGTGAGAGGTGATCGCCATTCTACCACCGATCTCCCAAAATCATAGCAAGAGCTTTGAAAACGGCGTATCGTCTCCATTAATTATTTTTCTGAAATCATTAGCATGATACAAAAGGTTTTTAATCCTTTGATACTTTTCTGGAATCGAAAAATTTTATGCAAATGCTTTTCCCCAGAAGTCCGTGCTTTTTGTCGGCTGAAGAATCATGTAGTGTTCTGGAAAAGATTTTAGAGCTATTTTTGATAAGTGAAAGTTTATAGAGAAGGTAAACTATAAGCCTATATGATTAACTAGAGATTTACTTTTACATTTTCCTAAAAGAGCGCAATGTACACGCGTTTTTAGTACTGGAAAGTAACTCTATTCTATTCCGGTCTGTTGTCTTCTATTTTGTTGTAAATCATGCAATGAACCGAGTCTTAAATTTTTAACTTACAAAAATCATTCTCAATACAAAGCACAATAAATGCGAATTTAAAAACGGTACTTCTTCAGCTGGTATCCCCAACCATCGAAAAAAATTTAACGTATTTAAATTTTTGATCTTTGACAGATCTAAAATTCATGTTTCCTCGACAGACACACATGCGAAATGTATGAAAAAGACCAAAGTCCCCGACCTTGACCTCAAATGCTTCGTCATCGAAACCTAACAGTCGATAGAGTTGACGGGCGTTTAACCCTCGTAAGTCATCCATTTGGTCAACCAATGCTGCGCGATTTTTAAAAATAAACATTCTTCATTAGTTGACCCATATATAAATCTTTCGCGTGTGTACCACGTGCAAATTGTTAAAAAAGATGTAAATTTGTTGAAATTTTTCGATGGTTTGGGGGTGGGGTACCAGACCCTCAACCTTAAAAACCCGAGAATATATAACAACTATTTTATTAAAAAGTTGAAAATAAAATAAAAAATCGTAAAATCCCAAAATAAAATATTAACAAACTTAGTTACAAATAAAGAAATATGAATTTACAGTTAGCCCCAACGACTTTTTTTATTTGATGATGTTTCCGAGCTTTGACTGATTTCTCCACTGGCAATTTTTGAATTAATCTCATCAATTTTCCGCTTCCATTCAGGCCTTGGGTCGGACTTTTTCTGAAAATTAATTTTCGTAAAAACTTCAGCATTTATTTTCAAAAAAACATACCACTTCAGGTAAACCTGATTCGGGCAGCTGTGCACGATGAAATTTTTGGGCAAAAGAACTCTAAAACGAGAAAATTCTTATTTAAAACCATTCACAAACCTTGAAGGCATTTTTCATCGCCGAAACACGGCTACTTTGCATTTGCGCAGCAGGTCCCGACGGAGCTAAAATTAAAAATGCGCTATTGTAGAAGAGAATCTGCCTACCACCAGAATTGCTGACACTCGACGTGCTAGCTTCGGCTTGTATAAATGATGGGCGAGAGGTGGGAATATAGGAGTTGAGAGGATCCACTTCTTTTCTTGAACTACCTTAAAGGATTAGCAGTTATATGTATAACGGTTTTGATATACCCATTGCACCACCATAAGAAGTTGTCGCAAAGCCAAGTCCAGATTTTCCCATTTGTCCGTGAGCGATGTTTCCTTTTGGTGTATATTGCGCTTTAAACCAAGCAACCTTGAAGGCCAATTCGAGAAGATCATTGGATACCTGACATAAGAAAAGTATTATGTTATAAAGTTAATAAAAAAAACCTGTTGGTTTATACTTTCCAAGTTCTTCACCAATTCACAAGCAAATTCTTTATCAGGTTCACAAATGAGTGTGTATGCAGTTCCCTTTTGTCCTAAAATGAAAATCTTGGAAAGCAAGAGAGGCATGTGATAAAATGACTGATATATCTAAATTTTAATGACAATAAGATAAAAGCAACTCACCGGCACGACCCGTTCTACCAACTCGATGCACGTGGGTATCAATATCTCTTGCAACATCGTAGTTGATTACTGTGCGAATCTCTGGGATATCAAGACCACGAGCTAAATGAATTTGTGTTTTGGGAATAAGCCTGTTTGTGAACTCGAAAAAAACAGTAATTCATACCTGCAACATCGGTAGCCACCAAAATTTTGCAGGTCTTTCGAAAAGAAGACAGGTGTTCATTTCTTTCATGCTGTAGCATGTCTCCGTGCAACAATTCTAATTTGAAATCTCGAGCCTAAAAAGCGATCAAAAAATATTGTTACTAGAAACAACCTTGAGTCTTGCAGCTACATCTTCTGAATCCACCTTCCTTGTCACAAAAATTAGCACTTTACCATCTAAGATTCGGATAAAAAAGATTGTTTTCAAAACAATGCTAACCAGAACAAAATTGTACCAGGTTTTTGCACAGCCAATTCCATTTAGCATCCGGACTCGGCATCACATGAACAATTTGTGTAATATCTTCATTGGCCTAAATAAACCAATTAATATAAATATGTGATTCAAAGAAACTTCTCCGACTTGGCCGTGAACTATTCTAACAGGGTTACACAATGACTCCTTAGCCAAGCGCTCGACCTAAAGTTACTTATATAATAGCCATTACCATGAAACCCACTTTTGGTTGAAAAGTAGCACTAAACATCAGACATTGTCTATCTGGTCGAATGTTCTTGGAAATTGACATAACCTGAGGCTCTAAAATTTAAAATGTATTTCTTAAAAGAAATTTTATACTTACCAAATCCCAAATCAAACATTCGATCAGCTTCATCAAAAACCAAAAAGCTAACTCTTGTAAAGTTTGTTGCTTTAATTTTGATAAGATCAATGATTCGGCCCTGAAAATAAGGGTCAAGTGAAAATCGAAAGTATAAAACTACTCACAGGAGTGCAAACCACAATTTCAGCGCCTTCTTTTTGCAGTTCATTTTGTTGTTCCCATTTACTTCCACCACCATAGGCACAAATGACGTTGATATTGAACATTTTACAAAAACGCTTTGCTTCTTGATAAACCTTAAAATTCGTAAACAAATATTAAATTTATATAAAAGTTACTTGTATGGCAAGCTCTCGGGTTGGAACCACAATGACGGCGATTGGACCATCTCCAGGTTTAAGATCTGGTTGATCCATAATATGAACGATTGCAGGCCATAAATAAGCAGCGGTTTTACCTAAAATAATTTGTTATTGACCCAAGTTTAATTTAAGCAATTTCTTTAAAAATACCTACCACTTCCAGTTTTTGCAATTCCAAGTACATCTCTTCCAGCAAGGATTGCGGGGATAGCCTAAACTTTCGATGAAGAAGTTGATACAAGTTTTATGCTTTAAACAAGATTTATAATTGTTATACCCACCTGTGCTTGGATAGGAGTCGGTTGTTCATATTCAGACTTTCGAATCGCTTCAATTAGTCTTTTATCAAAGCCAAAGTGTGCGAAACTGCATACAGGCTTTGGTGGACTGCCACCACCGACCTTAAAGTAATTTCATATTGAAATCGAAAAAATAAGGGCTTACCTGAATATTGAGCTTTTCGCGCAATCTTACAACTTCGATGTAATTCAAATCGGAAATATCCTTGTGCTCCTGGTAAAAGTCTTTGCGAAAGGGCTTGTAAGTGACGGTTGAGTGATCTAGCTCAGGTAAAGGGTCGATAACCTAAATTCGATTTCACAAAACATAAAATCATCTTACTAACTTTTTTCCAAGTATAAATTATTTTGCCATCTTCGTCATATTCGTGTACTTCGTCTTCTTTCGCTTGTTTCTCTTTGTAGTCGACAAGATACCTAACAAGTTATTATAAAAATGGAACCTTAAGTTCTTTGCTTACTTCATCATACTTTCCTGCATGTCATCTTCGTCCAAATCGATGCGCCCCAGGGTTTCTTTTGTTTTAGACTAAATTTTCTTTTATTAAATCGTTTGAACTACTTTGAAACCTCATCTTTTCCCACAGCTCGTAACAACTCCTTTTTCTCACTTTGTTTCTTATCGGCTGCAGCTTGAGCTTCAACGTTGGCCATGAATGCGTCCAAATCATCTTCTAAAAAATTATAATGTGGAAACTAACGATATAAATAATAGGATAACGTTTAAAAATTGCTAACCTTCGTCATCTTCCTCTTTTGCATTTGATTGACTGCCCGATAAATCATCAAGTTCTTTTTCAGCCTTCTTTTGCTCATAAAACATCGAACATTCTTCTTCGTCTTCTTTTTCCAGATACCTATTGCAGAATATATATTTTGTACAATAAACCAAATATACTCTTCTTCAAAGTGTTTGGTTCGTTTCTCTTTTGGCTTTTTCTTCCTATCATCGCCTGTTTTGTAGACCATATTTAGATACTAAAACAGAAAAGTTCCTTTGATTTCTCTCCACACATACGTCCTCTTCTTTTTTCTTTTCTTGTTCTCGTTGATATTGGCTCATTCCAACACGAGCCGTCGCATTTGCCATTGTCAATTGCACGGGTGGAGGTACGGAGTTCATGGCGGCTAAAATATTAAATAAACCCGAATTGGTGCTACTACACTTAGGGGGAGGGGGCAAATTTATAGTGACCGTTTTTGATGAGTTAGCTGCTTGTTTTTCAACTTTTCTAGGGTAAGAAGGCGCGCTGAGTCAAATGGTGATATTCCCAAAGCGCTTAGAACAAATTGGACTAATATTTTTCTGTTAAAAAATGACTTCTTGCCACTTGGCGTCTATTGGGAGGGAAAGGGGATTGCTGAACTTTAGAAAACCTAAAAGAAATTTACATTTACACATTTAAAAAAATAGATTAGAAACCTAAAAGAAATGGAGAATGGCTACAAAAAGTGAAATCTAAGCGTTACAAAGACTTTTGAGCTTTAAAATCAATAAAAATGATCGTGAGAGACGAGAAAACGGTCGCTATAATTGCCCCAAGTGCAGTAGCACCTCCAAATTATTTAACGTTTACAAAAATAAAAACATTGATAAAACACTCACGTCCATGAGAAACTTGTCTTTCACCACGAGAATCTGAAGAACTTCTATTACTGCCCTGCGCTGGTGGAACGAAAGAGTTTTGATACTTTCCGCGAAAAGAATTCCAAGACATCTAAAAGAAAAAAAATTAAAGCATAATGATCTACTCCAAGAAGAAAACAAAAAAAAATCGGTGGGCTAACTTTGGAGAACAGTGATTTTCTAAGCATTAAGCAACATGAACTACAGCCTACTCTTTACATCCTGATACTGCTACCTTCTATGAAAAAAATATTACTTTTGTAATGTAATCGAGCAAACAAAGAAAGTGAACAAAGAAAATTTTCCATGGTCATGAAGACCCTACTCTAGTTCGGAAGTTTCACAAATTACATTGAAAAGGGCTCCATTTTGCATGAATATGTAATTGCGTGGTTGCCCTTTTAATACAATTTGTAATAAAAAGCAAAAAAGTATTCTCGAAATGAAATCCCGAAATTGAGTGGTGCCGTCATGATTGATAAAGATTTCTTTACGTCATTTCGATATACGTTTTATTTTCCAGATAATGTTCTCTAGGATGAACGCAGCTCCATTAACACTACTTTGTGGATCAATCGCAGTGGCAGCAATTTATCTGTTCCTAACTACGAGAAAGCCCGGCGTAAGAAAAAGTAAGGGTTTTTATAACAGAAGAAAAGGTTTTTGATTTTAGAGGTGAAAAAAGGAAACGTTCCTGGGCTTCTCAATCTCGGAAACACTTGCTACATCAATGCTCTTTTACAAGGAATGGCTAGGTGATTTGTTTTTAACGTTTCTTTTAACGAACATCTGGGATTTTAACAATAAAATTTTATAAATATCGATCTGGGTATTTGGTCAGTTTAGTCTGCCGTCTTTTTCTCAATGGCTAAAAAATATCAAAGAAGTCGAAGTTGAAGATGAAAATTGTTTTTTGACCGAATTGCGAAACACGGTGATTGGTATGTTTTATTGCTTTAATTTTACATCATTTTATTTTTTTAGCGCTGAATGATGCTGAAGAAATCACTGTGTCGGCGGCCCCAATTGCTTCTTCTCTAGCAGGACACAAGTGGAACATTGTGTTGGGTATTTAAAAATATCTTTAAATTTTGTGATCAAATTTTTAGGAGTTGAGCAAGATTTACATGAATTACTGAACGTTTTTGTAACGACTTGGGAGGAAGAATTAACGCGTTTGAGGAGTAAACGTTTGTACGGCCCTGGGTTGTTAAATCTTCAGGTATCGTTAAATCTTCAGGAATCGTTAAATCTTCAGGAAATGTATCACCTAATTTTATTGTTTTTAGTCTAATCAAGATGCCCAAATTGACGACACAATGGTTGGTTCAGATAGTCTGATGCCGACAAGGACACGTTTGATGTTAAAACGGTATTCACAATCAGCTTTGAATTTACTATTAATATTTTAACCATTGTACAGATGTCTTGAAGCCTCAAATTTGGATTCAAAAATTCGCTCTCCTTGCATTGGCCTTGTTTCAACACAGCTTCAATGTTGTCAAACGGGATGCTTGTTTAAGGTAGATATTTTTTAATTACCGACTAAAAAAATATTTAGAAAGTACGACAAGATCGTTTCAGTGTGATTTCATTGAGTGTCCCAAAAGCCTTTCATGGAAACGTGAGTTTTAAAACTCAATTGTAGAATGAATAAAATAGTGTTTTAGAGAATCACGATCGAGTCATTGTTACGCAAGTTTTTCTGCATTGAGGTTATTCGAGGTGCCACCTGTGATCAATGTAAAGTGAAAAACGGACGCCTCGACAGTGGTCTTATTAAAAAACAAGGAATTTGTATGGTATGTTCTTTTTTGTTTTTTTTTTACAAGTACTTTATTGGACGGTTTTCACGTATATACAGCAAATGGGTTTTTGAGGGGGAGTTTATCTTCTCTTGCAGCATTGACCAGCTGTAGATTGGCAGGGAGAATAGCCTTGTTGGCATCCACAGCCACTGGAGGCCGATGGCTGGCAAGGGGTGACCGCAGGCTGACATTGAGCGGAGCATTGTTGTTGGCAGGCATTTCCACATCCCTGGGACTGAGTCTGTTGGGAGCACTGATTTGAGCACTGTTGCTGGCATTGTGGTTGACATTGAGCCGATTCAGCAACGCTAGCCTGAATTTTTAATGATTACCGAATTATTAACTAAAATAAACCTCAAGAACGATGTTAATGACGGCAGTAGCAGTAACTGGGGCATTGGTTGTGACTTGTGGTGAACATGCGTTGTTGCATTGATTTTGGCAACTGGGCTGGCACTGGTTCATGGGTTGATTTTGAGAAACACAGCTTGAAGTGCATTGTTGCTGACACGATGGCATACAGTTGGGCTGGGCTCCGTTGCCAATGCTGACTTGGTTGTTTGGTACGGCCATTTGGAAGCTTTGTTGTTGCACTGGAGCAGACATGGATCCACCAGATGGGGCACAGGCCGACTGGCATTGTTGCTGACACTGGGGCTGGCACTGTGCCATGGGTTGTTGCTGAACCACGCATGAGTCGCTGCACTGTTGCTGGCATGAGTTCATGCATGCTGGCTGAGCACCGGTACCGATGGAGGGGGTATTGTAGTTGACCGGCGAGGCTCCATTTCCAATGGTTGGATATGAGGGCTGAGCTCCATTGCCAATTGAGGGGTACGAGGGCTGAGCTCCATTACCAATGGAAGAGGTGTAAGATTGGCATCCAGTTTGGCAGGCGCTCTGGCATGATGATTGGCATTGTTGTGGAGCGGCTTGTGGGGCACACTGATCCTGGCATTGTTGCTGGCAAACTGGCTGGCATTGCTGGACTGGAGCTGGCTGCACTTGGGGTTGTTGGCATCCACAATCAGATTGGACTGGAGCAGGAGGGTTGTAGATGGGAGCGGCGGTGACCGGGACTGGGGCAGGTGTGTACACAGGAGCTGGTGCTGGGGCTGCTTGACACGAACACTGCATCTGCAACTGCACAGCAGGAGCCGACGGCTGGCAAGAGCATTGTGGTTGAACCGGTTGAGGGCATCCACATTGGCGCTTTTCACGAATCACGCTTCCCTGTAAATTTAATTGATTTGTAAAGTAAAGATTAATTCTTAATTGGATAAAAAGTATTAGTTAAGAATTTTGTAAGTTATTTATATATAAAACTCACCAAGGCAATGGAGAAGAAAAGAACGAAAATTGCTCCTGATTTCATTGCTGCAGTTGAAACTTGATGCATTTAGATTTTGTGGCCCCATTTTATAGTGGAAAGGTGGGCGTTCAATGGCTTAAAGACTAGTCTAATCAATGTGCAAAGACAACATTCACACCTCTCGCGATTCGTTGACTTTGAGTAAACTTATCACTTGAAGATTTTGTTTGCTCTCTTCACCCTCAAACAAACCCAGCGTTTTTGTTAGCTTCGTCGCGAGAACTTCGGTGGTGGCCAGAGTTTTTATGCGTCTGATTAGAAAGATAAGGACTAAATAGTTTAGTTTTATTTTAAAACAATGCAAGAATTTTCAAAAATTACCTTGCAAATTTTCAGCTACCGCAAGTGTTTATGATACGAATCGAACGTGTCGGGGTGCTCCCCTCGGGAAATGTATTCAAATTACAAGAACATGTCGATTTTGCTGAGATACTTGACATGCGCGACTTTTGCTTCTACTCAAACAAAGAGGTAAATCTTATAACTCTTTACAACTCTTTGAAACTTTCAGGAGGAGTACGAAAAATCTATTAAGAGGCATGAAAACGAAAGACATCTGTTGGAGAATTTGAACAGAATTGTGGGGGGTGCTGAGGTTCAACAGGCATATTTTTTTATTGATTTCTAAATTAATTAACCATGTTTTAGAAAGCCAAACCATGGCGAATAAATCATGATAATGGACTCGGTCGTAATTACTCACTGATTGAGTGGGTTTGCTATAGCATTTTTTGTAACTCTTTCATAGCAAAAAAAATGATCCTAATCGATTCCATTTAGTGGCGGCTCATTTATTTCGGAAAGAAAAGAGTTGGTAAAATATGGATACCAATTACGAGCCGTGAGTGAACACATGTCAGCTTTAATCATTTTGCTACTTTAATATTCTGTATTTTAGGGGTGTTCCTGAAACTGGACATTTTGTCACTTATCGTCGAGGCATTGGCGAAAATCAACGTAGGTGGTTTTTGACGAATGACACTCAGGTGACGGAGGTTCCATTTCAACGAGTCACTTCTGCTCAAGCATACATGCTCTACTATGAAAGGATACAATCCAATCGTTGGTACTCAGATCGTGATCCTTTGCTAAGTTTGTAAATTTTCTTTTTTTTTGTGACGGGCCTTCTCTTTTAAGCATCTCAAATACGGGAAAATGTTTCGGAATAACGAGCAACATTACGGAGAAAGAAGATATAGGGTTTTTTAAAAACTTTGCATCAATTGTAAGAATTTTCTACTTAACGTTAGAAGTAGATATAGGGGGTAGATATCCTTCTCGTGTTCTTTTATTTATTTTGGTTTCTTTTTGTTGTTTTTAATCAAAGTCACGGGTAAACTGTATTTCTTTTGCAAATATACGATAAAGATTTGTTTTAAAAACGCGGTAAAATCACAGCTCAAAGTGCGCAAGCTACATTTGTATAAATCCATTATGAGGTTTGCTTATTTTCTTTCTTGAATTTTTGTGGAGTGTCCTCATTGTTTTCTCCCTCGACCGAGCATTTATTCTCTTGAGGCATAACATCTTGATTCTAAAGTTAACCATTTAAGCTTTAGTCTTCGGTTTTTGACTAACTGTATGATACTTTTGCATTTCTTCATCCTCAAAAAGTCCATCACAAGAGTCCGGTGAATCGCGTAGAGTTGTTTGGGTCGGTGTGCTATATTTTTTCTTTCTAATATCGTTTTTGATAAATTAATTACCTTGCTTGCTCAGATTGGGCATTAGGCGACATGAATGGAAAAGAAGAGTCCATCTTGGGTACCTAATGGAGACTTTGTTTCAAACAAATTTCTAGCAATAAGTGTTTCTAGAAAACCATAGTATTTTACTCACCGGATAATTGGCTATAGTGGCTTTGTGCCACGCATCATAATGTGCCTGGGTAGCCAATGGATTGAACATGAGAGCAAGTGGAGCCGGCAAAAATGGCCATCCAAGACCACCCAGTTGAAGCTGCAAATTTGATATAGAGATAAGAATGTTAAAACTTATGACGTGCGGAAACTTTAAACAATTACCGTAATACCTCTAATAGTAGCGCCCCCCCCCCACGTACAGTCGCGTAGTCTAACTTCTTTTTAGAAAATCATTTTTTTCTCAGCCCTTAGGTTTTTCCCAACTACACTTTTGGTAATAAAAAATACTAGATTTCAAGAGCTATCATTTGACACTTAAGCGCACACTGTAGCATAAAGCAGCGCGGAGTATGGAGCGTGTAAAGTTAGACTACGCGGCAATACCCCGTCATTATGGGAGAGGGGCGCTACTATTAGGTATTACGAGGTATTACGGTAATGCCTTTTAAAATCACCTTTTGTCGTTTATCCTTCATTCGGCGATTTTGGAACCACACCTAAACACTTTCTTCAATTGCTTTCATTTTTTTCAAGTACTCAATCGAAAATTTTGACACGATAGCCGTATTTGCAATTTCCGGAAGGGAAACGGATTTCGTGATTCGTTTCTGGAAAATAAATAGGCTTCAGGGGTCTCATTTGCACTCTATTAACCAGCATGGAGCGCGATCGTTTCGCGCATTTTATGACTCAACCTGCTCACGAGCACCCCTCCCCCCCCCCCCTTTTTCTCGAATCAAACTCTATTTGACTCAATTGATTCCCTTTTTCTTCTTTTTCTTCACCAATCTACCGTAATCCTTCAAGAAATCACAAATGAGAGACCTTGATGGTTCCTTCGGGTAGATTCAGCTCGGATGCGAGTTCGCCACGCGTTTTTCTCGAAACGTAGTTTTCTTTTGCGAATTCTCGCTCTAATCGTGTGATCTGAAAGCTAATGTTCAAAGCTTTCTCATTTTCTTTTTTCTACCTGCTCTCGGCTGAATGCTGTCCGATAGCGTCGAAGCGAGTTATCATCTGAAATTTTTTTTAAAATTAATTTTAAAGTGAGCCAATTATCACTTGAGAAAATGAGAGTATAAGTGCTGGGTTCTAATTTCTAATTAGCCTTCTGTTCTTCAGCCATTTGACGACCATTTCTTCGTTTAATAGAGACACGATAATTTGTTGCGGTTGGGGAGACATCGATGGGGGGAAAAAAAGAAAATGATGGAAAGTGAGTACGCCTAATTTTCTGCTTCTATTATCCAATGACTCTACTCTAATTTGAGCAGTTATCGAGTAGTGAATGAGTGAGTGAAAGAATTCTCGTCTTTACATCTTTTCAAGTGAAAAAAGATAAAGATAAAGAATTTCTTTCTAACAGTTTTCTAGTTCTTTAGTTTCTAGTTCTAGTTTTCTAGTTCTAGTTATCTTTCAAATTTCTCGTTGTTCATTTTGAAAAAGACTGTTGGTATCTGTTGATAAATTTGTGAAATTCTAATCCCTCAAAAAAAAATGATCCGTGTCTAAAAGAGGAGTGATTGGGTGAGAAAAGTGGAGAAAAGTTTATGCAATTTTGCGGCTTTGTTGGGACAACATTGCGCGCTTCAATCGAAAACATTTACTACCGTTTACAGCTATCGAGAAAAAGAGCCCGCCCGCACCTACCATAATAAAAGTCTTTGACGAAGGGAAAAGAGCGCAAAAGTACACAGGTATCTTCTTTCCTTTCGCCTGATCACTTCACACTCTTTATCACGATTTTCTTCCCCTCCCTCACCAATCCTTTTCAAACTCTATCTACTCTATCTACAATCACTCAATAAAGATTTGGCAATGAGATGGATGATCGTTGAGAGTTGAAAGGTCTAGGATTTCCTTTTTAGTTAGATGCATTACTTAAAGATTTATGGTAGATAATGAATAGTCATTGAGCAACACGAAATAAAGGCAAATGGAAGCTCGCAAAGATGCGAAATTCGACTCAATGAGTGTTTTGTTTCCCTTGACATGTCTATCTTCCCCTTTTTTTCCCTTTAAAAAATGGTCAATTTGCCTATGCTAATTCACCCGTTGACACGCGTTTTTTTTTCTCTTCAAATGGTGACAGCGAGTGATTGAGCAATTCACCGTTTTCGCGCATCAATCCTCTTGAAAATTTCTCGAATGCAATTTAGAACAAATACCTATATGCTATTTATTTTTTTTGATTAACATACCACAAATGTGGTGTCGAGAAGTGGTTGATGGTGGATGTTCGGGGGAAGATGCGAGTGATTGACTCAGAGCAAGCATTGGTGGAGTGATCTCATTGTGACGAGACAAGTTAATGGCACAATTCGAATCTGAAATCGAATCGAATTTGTTCTAATGCATAGTGAAATCGCTAGTAAATACTTTTCATAAGTAATGTACCAGTTGCTTTTTGGTGAAACGGTGATAGTTGAGCTTTCGGCGTTGGAGTCAGTCCGATGAGACGATCGATTGCGAATGATTGCATCACAGAAATTTCTAGAATTCAAATATTTATTGGATCGGGAAAGCTGTTGAAAAAGATAAATGATAAATGAAAGGACATCTAGAAAAGTAAGGAAGTTTTGGGAAAATGTTAGAAACTACAAAAGAACACTGTGATTATCAACACTACAAATACAAATTTAGATCAATGGTCATACTGAGATCCTTGTCAAGAAGTACTTATGAGAAGGAAGGAGGATGAGGAGAGATCTCACTCAAAAATGGGCGGGGACTCTCTCAGCCTCTTACCCGATACCCTGCTACCGTAGTCCACTTCCGACCAATCGTCATTCACCCACTCAAATCCTGAATTCCATTTGTTTTTCCGGAAAAATGCAATCTAGATGCAATAGAGATGGGAGTTTATGTTATTAAAATAGTAGTCATTTACATTTAAAGTAGTTATTTAATGATGTAGTTTAAGTCATTTACATTTACAGTAGTTATTTAATGACGTTCTTTCAGTCATTTACATTTACAATCATTTATTTAAGGCCTCTGCCGTTTTGTCGTTTAAAGTAAATTTTGTTTTAAATTTTTTCTGATTCTGTATCGAGGCTGAGCTTTCTTTATGGATATTCTCAATAAATAGCCAACAGGCAGGCAACACCTCTAGTGATCCAATGGAGTGAGCTTGGTAGATCCTCTAGCATTGGCGGCAATGTCCGAGTCCATAGGACGACCATCATTCAGCCAGTGTGACATATCGGGAGTCTAAATCAGCTCAATAGCACTTTTTTGAAATACCGAATGCGCGCCGCGATGAGTTGAACCTTTGTTTATACGTTTCAAATTTATACGTTTCAAAAAAGAACTTTTTTAAAATTCAAGCTCTTAATGTTAAGATTTGCTGGAGACTAGAGACTTGTTAAGGTTTGCTAGTTTAAATTAAACGATGAACAAAAGTGACAAAAGGGAGGCGATTCATTTGTGAGTTCCTTATGGAAATCGATGTCTAATTATGCTCAATGATTTGTCATCATTGAACAGACAGATCTGTCTCGAAACGCTTCTTTCGCTTTCTTCTCGAGAGGCAGCTGTGTGTGTGGGTCTTTGTGATATGCCATGTCTTCATCCATCCATCGGGATTGTCGATCCTCTTCAAGGCTGTTGCATGTTAATTCAAGTGTTCGGATTAAGGCTCAACACAGCCGAAACTCTTCTCATTCTCGAAATCACTCATAGATCTATTTGGGGGAAAATTATTGACAGCTTTTCTAAACAGAAACGAGACGATACTTTTGCAATACTTTGAAAATCTAGAAATCCCGTTGAAAACCTCAACTTCCGGATTTATTATCATCTAGATCGAAATCGTAAAGAGTTTGGTGCGTTGATAGAGTCATTTCCGGAAATTTACTGATCTTTATGACCTTTTCCGCACCTGGTTACCTACCAATTTTCTATACGGTTACGTATCTAGTTGCGAAACAAAAAAACACCCGCCTCATCGTTATATACTCTCTCTTTCAAGGTCAATAAAATATAAAAGAATATTTTTATTTTAAAGTAGAAGAATCGCATTTAAATTAAACATAAAGCTGACAGCCGTGAAGCCTGGCTATAGAAAAACATTCTTGTAGGTCAAGACTATGAAAAGAAATGCCTAACATTTGCATATTAGCTGTGAGATCTTTAGCTGGTGGAGGGTTGGAGAAGAGCGATGAAGAAGAGATTCAACTGGGAGGGGATCTGAAAAAGAGAAAAGAGCGACGGCTTCTTCAAGCATAATAAATCTGTCACCCTCGGAGAAGGGAAACCCAAATCCTTTCACGGAGGCGAAACAATCAGAGGCGAATAACGTGGACAACGCCTCATGGGGCCTCTTCTTGAGATGGAAGAAGCTTCTCATGGATACGGTAGTTCTAGCCGCTCATCACTCATCCACTCAAAATAATCAAGAGGATCCCAGTTGCGCTTTTGATTCAATAACCTTACTACAGTGCGTAAAAAAAATACTTGCAACGTTTTTCCGAGAAAATCCTGGGTTGGCGCTTTAAAGCGTGGTAAAACTACCATACCCCCTCCTAATTTGCACAAAATATTATTTTTTTTCATTCTTGTTCATTTCATTTTATTCTTTTTGCGTTTTTCTGATGTGGGCACGTTTGGTTTTGCAAGAAACAAAAAGGATAAAGCTAAGTTAGGGGGTGGGACAAATGCGACCTTTTTTTGCGCACCTGGACATTTGCGCACCTTTTTTTGCTGGAAAAGGCCGTAGAGCTTCAAAAATGTTTTCATAGGAGGGAATCGTATGCGTAGATTCAGAATTTCGACAAATCAGACCTCGCTGACACGTCAAATTTGGGCTAAAAGGCAAAAACTGCAGAAAAGCGTTAAGTTGCGTAGTTTTTGCCTTTTAGCCCAAATTTGACGTGTCAGCGAGGTCTGATTTGTCGAAATTCGGAATCTACGCATACGATTCCCTTACATGGAAATATTTTCGAAGCTCTACGACCTTTCCTAAGGCCTTTTCCAGCAAAAAAAAGGTCGCATTTGTCCCACCCCCCTAAGTTACGTTTTTAACAGCATTTTCTGTGGCAGAAGCTTTGTTTGTAGAGTTTTTTTAGACCCACTTGCTTTCGGATGATCTGCTCCACGAACTTGATGCCAACTAATGTTAAGTTAAGTGGTTTTTATCATTTTCTATGGCGGAAGCTTTGTTTTTGTGACTTTTTAGTTGAAAAAACGTTGAGAAGTTTAAAAAAACGCAAAATGAATAAAATGAAATTTGGCGCAATTTGGACGGGTACGGCATTTTTACCGCGCATTCAAGCGTCAGCCCAGGATTTTCTCAGAAAAAGGTAGCAAGTAACAAAATGAGAGGCACAGCTTTAACAGCTTTATTTTATCATTTTAACTAATAAACTCCAACAAAAAAAACCTGCAACAAGACATAACGTCAGTATTTAATAGGTTTTCCGCCATTTTTGATAAGCATATTCATTCGCTTTAGCATTGATTCGACGGGCTTGTCAATCTGAACTCTTCTGATTCGATTCCATGCGTTCACTACTGCTTTTTCAAGTCGGTGACTGTCGAATAATGCTTTCCATTATCGTAAATATCACGAACCCAAAGATTTTCAATGGGATTGATTTCGAGCGAACAAGAAAGATGACCAGTCCAATTTCTCGATTTTGTTTCGCTTAATACTTGCAGCTGCATGAAAACCATCGAATTGCCGTAAATCTTCTATTTTTCTACCCTAAAAACTCGGCCGATCAAAAAATTGATAAGGGGGAACAATATGGTTCAAAAAATATTTTTTACTAAAAACTATTTTAAATAATAGCGCTTGCGCCAGAATATCCGAAAAAGAAATTTTAAATGAAAACAAAATTCTCTCCCGGACTCGATTCGAGGTCGATCTCAAAAAATCCATGTGGTCACCGCTGTCAATTTTTTTCGGAAAAATTATTTTCGATTTTTTCAAAAAACGTTTTCAATTTTACTGCCTGTTTGATGCTTGTATAAATATAAGTCTATATCTATGGGATAAAACAAAAAAAAAAACAATAAAAAAATACATTTTTGAAACTTCTAGAGAGCTGGAGGGATGCTGCTCTATCAGAGGGTGCCATTCTAATAGAGGGTGCTGCTCTAATAGAGGAATTACGGTATTTGAAAAACCACGTCGGTACGGTAAAAGCTTATTCTCTAGCACTTTTTGATAATCCTGAGAGTTCATTTTGTATGGATGAATTCTATCTCTAGCTTTCCATAGGAAGAAAAGGTCGCCCAAATCATGACGGAAACAAGTTTCTCTGTGTAAAATATTGGGGCGATGTGCGGAGATTATGCCAATAATACGAAAGACCGTCAGGACCATCCAAGTTGAGTTTCTTTTCATCGGACCATAAACCCAAATTTGCTTGTAAAAAAATATGTTTAGAAATTACCTCTTTCCATTCATCCGTCCAAGTCGGATGGTCATTCGCAAACTTTGCCCTAGTAGCAATGTGATTCGGCTTTAGAGTAGGTGCTGACATCATTTTGACTCGTTTCAAATGAGGTGAGCTTTTGATGACACGATAAGCAGTCATACGCGAGACATTTAGGCCCAACTCATGGCGAATTCTTCGAGATCCTTTAGTAGAATTTGTGGCTGCTTCGATGATTGCTTGTTTTCCGCGTTTCGTTACTTGTTCTTTACGTCCGGTAGGTGTCGTTTTTCCATATGAAGTCGGATTCTTCAGGAAATTGTTGATCAAATTATGAGAACGGCCAAACTTCGTTGCGATTTCGCGGTTGCTCAGTCCAGAAGCGTGGAACGCTTCGACTTTTGCTCTTTCGACAACAGACAAACGTCCTTTTCTACCCATAAATCTAAAAAACCCGAGTTACGGATAGTACATAAAGAAAACTGCATAACACCAATTGATGGACAAAAACGTTGTTAAATCAAGGTGGACCTATCATTTTGTTACGGGGGAAAATGACGAAAAGCGTAGAAACATAAGCGCAATTTCTGCGATGAAATAACATTTTGATGAAAATTGATTCAAAATCTCTAGTTTTTGGGACGAAAAACATGGTGGACCCATCATTTTGTTACTCAGTGTAGATTAAAATTCAACTGCATTTTACTTTTTCTATACTCGAAACAATGTATTTATCAGAGCCCGTGACAACACGAGATTAAGATTGATCATAAAAATGTAAGTAGTTAATCACATCACAAATAAATTACTTAGTGGTTAGTTTATTCCCGACCAATTATTTCTCCTCGCTTTCGTTTACTTGAGATGACCGATGGATTTTCGTTTTCGTTTACGCATCTGTTTCAGTAAGGAGGAAACATTGTTAATGGTGCGATGAAAGTTATCCATCGACTAGAACATTTTGTTGCTAATTTTAAAAAAAACGAACTAACTTGTTGCGTCGAGGAGTTGTAGTTTGAGATAACGGTAAATGTGTTATACTGTGTTAAACCCTCCCCAATCCCATTCGAAAGAACCTAAAAAATTTATAGCTCGAGAAACCGTCAAAAGTTGAACCTTTTCCTTTTCAAATACTTTATCAAATCTCGTCATTTGCTTGTGCGCCTCCATAACCGTTGTCTAAAGTTTAGCTTACTAGTTTCATTTTTGTCAGTTATCAACCATGTTCGATTCGATGAGATCGCAAACAGCCAGAACGTCATCGCGAGCCCTTCTTACGTCTCCGAAGTTTTCGTTGCCACTACGAATTGAATCGCCAATTTTACGGCTCCATTCCTAATGACGAATTTTATCAAACAATAATAGGAAAGCTCACAAAATATGTTGCACGCAGATCGTATTGAATTAAACGTTTGGCGGCGAGCACACAATCCTAAAAAGTCGCAAGAGATAAACAATCACTTTTCAAAAACTTACTTGGACGACAGGTTGCTTGTTTTTCGAGCTTTCATCCAAAGCTTTCGAATGGATATAATTTTGTTTTTGCGTTTGAACTCCGGAAACCAAGGTCAACACTGAATTTTCAATAGATATTTTAGAAACTATACACCTACGTTTCGGAGGTTCATGGCTTTGTGGCCCAGGAGTTGCTGGATTCACACTCAGTGGCGGTCCTTGTGACATAGGTGCCTATTAAAATTATCAATTACTGCAGAAAATAATCCAGCATACTTGTGTCGAAGGTCCAACTGATAAAGGTCCACAAGAAGCTCCAGGAATCGATTGGGGTTGAATCATTTGTGGAGTCATTTGTTGAATAGATTGGGGTGTATGCTGTAATATTATAATTTAGCAGCTCGTAAAACCTATGACTAAAGTTTTTTTAATAAAGCTCTTACTTGTTGTGTCATAACCGGAACCATTGGACTTTTTGATTGTGATTGCTGAGCCGCCTGTTGAGAAAGGGGCTGTTGTATCTGCAATTTTATGAACTATTTTTTATTTTTTATTTTTCATAGATACATTTTGATTCGACATAGGCTGAAGCATTCCTTGATTCGATAGGGGCTGCTGTAGATGCGACATTTGTTGTGAACCTGGTTGTTGAAGCTGCTAAACAGACTCACTAGGTATGCACAAAAATGGAAGGTACCTGCTGCGATTGTGGTTGATGTATTTGATGCTGCATCTGGAATTAAAATTTATTCAACAACATGTAACTACTCACCGTTTGCATCGGTTGTTGTTGCATCGGTTGTTGTTGCATCGGTTGTTGTTGCATCGGTGGTTGTTGCATCGGTGGTTGTTGCATTGACTGAGACATTGGCATTTGCTGACCCATTCCCTTTAAAAAGTGAATAACGGTTAGCTTCGCACTCAACAAACTTGCATTCCTTGATTCATATTCGAGTAATTGTTTCCAGACATTGCATAACCAGAAGCTCCCATCGCGTGCGATCCCTGTGAACCCATACCCCCAGACATCGTAGAAGATTGGTGTGGGCCGGGTTGACTTATTTGGTAATCCTAAATTCCGTTATAGATAAAAAATCTTGAGCAAGAGAAGATACTATTGAACATTTAGTCTAACCTGGTTCATTGGCATCCCAGGCATCGATCCACCCATGCTTTGCATATGCTGAACTAATTGTATTCATAAAATGAAAACTGCTGACCTGTTGATGCATTAGCATTTGATTATGCGTTGCACCCACCATTCCATATTGCGGTTGGTGTGACGATGGCTAAATGACCAAAATTAATGAGCATAAATCGTCACAAACATGTATCATCTGCGGTTGCATTCCTGGCCCACCAAACGAAGGTTGCATTCCCATCTAAATTTGTCAAAATAAGTATAGATCAATAAAACTACATGAGATATCATCATCGATTGTGGGGGGTAATTGCCTCGCACCTGTCCTAAAGGCGAAATCATGAAAATTCAAGTGTTAAAACAACCTTGCGCTTGCATGTGTTGGTTTTGAGAACCATACATCATCTAAATTTACTGGTTTTTAAGAATTGATTAAAATAGCCGGCACGAACCTGGTGTTGTGGCATTCCGCCCTGGTTCTGGTAGCCACCTCCAGGCGCTGCCATTCTCAAGTTGGCCTTAAAAAATTAAAAAAAAAGATAACAGTCAACGTATTTATATATAACAAGATTTAAAACTTTTCAGAGAGAGAGGTATCGAAGAAGATAATTTATTCAATTACACTTTCATAATACATAATAACAATTGATAACAACAAAAACAACTACTTCTCTTATATATTCCCAGCATAACCCATACATCGAATTAGATTCTAAATTAATAGTATAAAAAGATAGTGATTTCATAACTTACTTTTTAACAACTTGAACCACATCTTCATCGTTGAGTTCATGATCTTTCCCCACTTTTTGTGGGTTATGTTTCGCGGATGATCCCCAAACCAGAGCACTAAAAATTGATTAGATTTTTGAATTACAAACTGCATTCTTTAACTTATTTCCATTTTTAAAAGCTTACCATTTGAAGTCTTTTTGAAGCGATTTGTGAATTTTTATGCACAAATCATCAACCGATTTGCTATTGGCATTCAGAACAATAGGGGCGGAGTAGTCAGGCAATTGTCCTTTGGGCTTGGTATAGCTAAAAGTTTTCTTTGTCGCACTTATTCAACTTGCAAATACATTCTTATAAGATTCAAGTATCGCCAAATTTTGTCCAACAAATCATCGAAGTTCCATTTGTGATGCGCCGAAATTGGAACGCAGTGCGGAATTTTGTATATGATGTCAAGCTCCTAAACGAAAACAATTAAAAACACGGCATAAACTTCACTAAGAAAACATTATATAATCAATGTAGTTACCTCTACAGAAATTGCATCAATTTTATTAAGCACATAGATGCAGGGTATGTAAACACGGTTACCCTCGACCACGTCAATTAGGTCCTCAATCGTTGCATCATACCTAAAACATTTTTAAACATAAAAGGGTGATAAAACGCACCGAAGTGTGATATCAGCATTGTGCATTTTGTACTCGGAAAGTACTTGTTTGACCGTGTCCAAATCTAATTCGCTTTGAGGAACCTGGATAAAAATTCTTTTTAAGAAATTATTGTCAAAAATAATAATTTATTTAGACGCACCAACGAAGTCAAATTAATTCCACCCTTCTCCTTCTTTTTGAAACCGATGTTTGGTGGCTCCTTGTTTAAACGAATTCCAAAACCTTCCAATTCATACCTTAACAAAAAGGGTTAAATATTATCAGAAAATTTAATAAATTTAATGAATTATCTACAAAGGGTTATTGATAATCATAAAAGACAATCAGTTCATAGACCCCCATGTCCATAAGACGTCCGGATCCGAAAATCCTTCAGTCACATAAGTTTCATGATCCGATCAATCCAATCAACCGTCAAAAAGGTGTAATGACTAATGTCACTAAACAGGGTGGCATAAGCTATGTGGGCAAAGTTGTAGTAACCCGGTTTCGCCACTTAACCAAAACTGGGGGTGTAACACTGGGAGGATTTTAAAAACATTTAATCAAAATTTCGAACTCGATCAATCGTTTGTGTTGCAAAGGCTTTGAAACATCCAAAACTATCAGAATGAGAGAACAAGTCCGCGCCACTAAAATCCAAGATTTGAGTCTGAAAGTCTAGAAAGTCAATCTAACCTGCAATGACTTGACGACCACGACCCTTTCCATCTTTGGCTCCTTCGATAATACCAGGTAAATCCAGCAATTGAATTTTGGCACCCTAAAATCGACGCACACTTTATAAAATAAATTTGCATGATGTAATTGGCAGAGTCAATAATATGAATAATAGATATACATCAACACTTTTTATTTTTATAAAACCTTACCTTGTATCTGATAACACCCGGCACCGTTGTTAAAGTGGTAAACTCATAAGCGGCCACCTCCGAATAAACTCCAGCCAAGTTGGAAAGTAATGTCGATTTACCAACGGAAGGAAATCCTTGACAATTATTAACTTTTATTAGTGCAAAATAAGATACCAACAAATCCAATTCGAGCATCACCGGTTTTTGCAACATCGAACCCTTCTTCCTTTGGGCCGCCTCCACTCTATATTGAATTAGATTGAGAGTTTATAAACTAAAGCCTTACTTTTGGTGTAATCAGCTCACGCCGAAGCTTTGCAAGCTTCGCTTTCAAGATCCCAAGATGAGCATTGGTTGCTTTATTCTTTTGCGTACGAGCCATCTATGATTGTAATTTAGCATTGTCTCTTTTTTGGTCTTACTTCCTGCTCGATGTCGGCTATTTTTTGTAACACGGACATTTTTGCGTTATTATTGGTGTGATCCGATAGGTTCTAAATGGGACCGATTAATATAAAGAATTGTAGGTGCTAGATAGATAAATTGCAAAACAATATCACAATACAACAAAATCATCCAAAACTTTATTCGACAGGTAAAACAGCAAAACAAACTCATGTAAAATTTACCTCTACAACCCTATGTATATAATTTAATCAACTCTTCGCCAACGGCCGCAGGTGTCATAATTCCAAGATCCGTAAAAATAAGCGTAATAAACTGTGGTGGCGTATAGTCAACCTAAAAGCTCAAATCAAAAATAAGGTTTAATGAGCAAAACCTGAGGATGCTCCGCTTGCAGGTCTTTTGATTTAATGGCTGTGCTCGAATACTAAAGGACAAGATAAAAGTAAATTCTTAAAAAATGCGTACCTTAAAGTCTGCGGGAATATCAGCTTGATTGAGAGGATATTCTTTCACAAATTTGATACTTTCTGCCATCACATATACGGGCTTATTCATGTATTTTGCACATACTGCCAGATTTAGCGTACCAATCTAAACTCCTGGTGAAGATAAGATTTCTCTAAATATTCACTTTGTTAATGATTCCCCCAGTTTCCATCACACCCTCGGCACCAAGAAAACACATATCCATTCTTTCCATTACATATCTGAATCAGTTGTGTTTTTCCATTAATTAGAAAGTTAAAATTGGTTGTTTTTCTAGTTAAAAAGGCATACCCCACAGCAGCGTCAAGCACTAATGTTGAGTGGATTCCTTTTTCACGCAAAGCCAATAACATTTTTCTTCCCGATGAATCAGGCTGCGATTCCGTTACATATACATGAAACCAAATTCCTGGATAATGTTTTAAACGTACCCAAAATCATAATTTTACCTGCTTCACGAGCATCCAATAAAGTTTTCAAGACAACTTTACTGTAAGAATGTGTAAGAATATTCTAAATCTTTTGCTAAACGTTTCTGTTTAAAATCACCTACTGAATTGTTTTTGAAGAAAGGTCTGCAACAATCAGATATCAAAGTTCTGGACTTTGCAATTCTTTCAATAAACAAATCACCTGAAAGATTAGAATATACCAGGCTACCTTGCGCTATAAAAATAACCTCTGCTCCTATAGAAATTTAAAACAGTGGTAAAGTCCTTATCATCCAACAAGTCAGCAGGCGCCAAGGATATGAACCTAGGAAATAAGATTTTTTTAATTTAAATAACTACAAACCTCGTAAATAGTTCACATGCTGAGCGAATTGAAGTGCTAGAATAATCTGTTTCCTCCAGGGCCTCAGCAGCTGCCCTAAGCTCTTCGCTGAGTTCTTTTGCTGTCGTAGCTAAAATGAATTGTTTAAGTCGTATACAATTCAAACCTGTGCTCCTATTCAAAATATTGTACAACGTTTTGATTGATGCCAAACCCGTCGAAATCTCAACGTCACTCCCCAAAATCTTTTTAAATTCACTTCCAATTGCATCTTTGTCTGCAAACATCTTAAAAATGTAATTATTTAAAGCTTCATAGTTTTATGTAAATAAATAGTTCTATTGCTTAAACAAAGATTATAAGCAAATGAATGAACAAAATATTTATTCGTTAAAATGAGATCAAAATACTTCTGCAAACTTTTATTGTAATTCTAGTTGTGGACGAAGCAATTTTGCTTTCACTTCGTTAGTTGCAGCATATCCGGTACCACCTCTCTTGAGTTCAATTATATCACTTTCCTTTAACTAAACAATGTCTGTAAGTTTAGTTTATTCAATTTTACCGTTTCTCCATTGATTGGATCCACCCATGTATCCTCTGATTTAATGAGTTTTTCAACGACGTCCCATTTTACTACAACTTTCCTATACGCTTATGTAAGATTTATAATTTCCTTCAAAACGAACGATGTTTTCAAATAGGCGCATCGAGTAGTGTTTGTCAGAGCATCGTAGGTAACAGGGCACATGCAACGAACCTAAATAAACTATCGTTTTAATGTTCAACAAAGAAACCTTTTTTGAATATATAGATTTTGCACCATCATCTGGCATCGGCGTGAATTTAACCTCCAGCAACTCTTTGAGCTTGAGTGGCTTATTCGAGACTGGGCATAGCACTTTTTGACTCTAAAAGTAGCTTTGCACGCTTTCGGTAGTTTTAAGCCTATTTCTATGTAACTAGGTATCTAAACTAACTGGCTTTTCTATCTTTGAAGGTTCTGCAGTGGGATTCAACTCGGGAATCCAAAATGAAGTAAGTTTCTTCGATTTCTCTCCCTAAATGTACAAAAGTCAAAACAATCTTATGCAAAAAAATTACATGCATGTTGCTGCTTGCAACTTCATTGCCAGTCGCCTTGACTTTTTCAGCGGGTTCACTAGCAAATCCTCCTTCTGCATGTCGCTTCTAAAGCAAATTTGTTAATGTTCATAAAACAATTGACGTCTATAACAGAAGCAAAATTTTTTACCAGTTTTTTTTCCTCGTTTAATGTTTTATGAGCAGGAGTTCCCTCAAACGTTTTGAATTTCTTCAAAAGATCGGCTCGTTCTTGTTCTTCTGCCTAAAAGCTACATTAACAGTAAAAGTTAGACACTAACTTTTTTCTTCAGCTCCTCCTCCTTTTCGTTTTGTTTTTCCCATTCTTTGGTTTTCTTTGCTATTAACTTCCTTTGTGCCACGATGTATTCCAATATAGCCTCTCGATCAAAAAGATATCCATCGGGAGTGATTACTGGTTGCCTACACATTACATGCTTAATACTCAACATTCAGATACACCAACTTGCATGGTTGAAGCGTCAATGAGCAGCAGTCGAACTCTTTAATTGAATCAGCTCCAAGTCTGGCGTGAAGTGTCCCATACCTTAAGTTAGAGAATATATATGCCAACAACCAAAATAAATACCCGCTGGCTTTAGCGTCTCTCTGTCTCTCCGCATATGAATAAAATGCCGAGGCTGTACAGTTCTTTCCATGACGAGTCATAACTGAAAGTTTATCTTTAGTCAAACATAATTTAAGAGCAAACATTATCGAACCCGAATAAAGGTTTAATAAAACAAAAAACGAAGAAATAAATAGAGTTCATTTTACACTCGAAATGACGGAAGGAAAAAAATCACAACAGAAGTAATGCAAGTACATCTAAAACAAAACGTCATCCAGTTTTTTGTAACCATCCTTGTTGATCATGACAAGATGATATCCATTAAGATTTGCGACAAAACGCTTCTTGGCTTCGGCAAGACATTTCTTGATGAGAGCTTGGGCTTCTTCTGGATTCATATTTGGACGGTACTCACGATCCATAATGGCATAAGAGAGACGTCCGGGAAAACCACGGAACAAATACGGTTGAACCTGAATTTGAAACGATAAATAGAGCTTATAACTCGACTGGAGAAAGTTTATAAAAATTAACACCTGGATTCCACTGCCAAGATAATCGATCGATCCAAGAAAAGCCGATTCCTCATCATCGTCATAACCTCCAAGAAGAATATCCACAGTGTAATGGTCACGAGAACGGAGAGAGTCAGCGATTCCTTAACCATTCAGTAATTATCCCGATCGTCTAATGATTTTTACAAAAGACAAGCACTTTATTAAAATCCAATCCCACCTTTACGAATCCAATGTTGAGCAGCTTTGGGTGACAATTCATATCCATTCCGGATGGCATACAATCTGAGGTTTCGCTTCGTCCAATCTCCAAACTGCTCAACGTCTCCGTCTTCACCAATACACATCATCGTCAGCTTTGTTCCAAGACGGTACTCCTTGTTGCTATTTTCGTCGACAACGATCGCTCCGTAGGCGAAGCTCGATTTGTCACACGCCAAAATGACAAAATCCTTTGTCGCGATTCCGGCCAAAAAGTGCATTCCAGCCATTCTAAATAAATATTTAACTTGGATCTATGTAATACAATGAGAATTCAAACAATATATAAATGGGGCAATCATCAATTTGACACAGGCCCACAAAAAATATCTGTTCAAGTTGTCGCGTGGAAATTTCCTGTTTTCTAGAAAAAAAAATAGCAGGACCTAAACCGTGTTAGTTAAAAAGGTAACTTTTAGATTGCTTTAAACACATTTTAATTTTGACACGCTTAAGAGAAGAAAAATGTCAGGCTAGATTAACTGGAACCTCCCAAAACCGTCACAGTCTGTTCAGGGAATAAATATCAAAACGGCAACGCAACGATTAATGATAAGTATCGAAACTGCATGAACTGACACGCATTTTTCACAAAAACAACAAATTTATTGAAATAATCATGTTTTAACAAACAACACAAAAGCAACAAATCAAGGGGTTGAACTAAATGGAAGATTCTCTAAATCTAGTCTAAACAACCTACATGTAATTGAAATGACGGACAACAAATAAAATAGTTTCAAGATGCTTAGTTTGCAACGAAAGCTTTAATCTTGTGAAGCAAGGTAACGTATTGAGCATGTTCGTAATGAGTAGCATATTGAACAAGCGTTTTGCAGAATTGAGCATCGAGGCCGCGTTCCTCAAGATAACGAACAAAAAGCAAGTCGTGGAGATTCTAAATTGGAATATTGTAAAGAATAAAGCATAAACGTGGTCCCAGAAATTCTACTTTTCCTTTAGTAAATGGAAGTAAAACCAAACCGAATCAATGTATCGTCCACTTGAGGCATAAACCGTGCTAGCGACATCTTCCTCTTCGGTGCCTTTTGCAGACGGAGCAACGTAGAACTCCTCCACACGGAAGTCATCTTAAATTAAAAAATTAGCCCGACAATATTAAGCAACTACTCTGAGTAATAAAGTTAAAACCTAGATATGTTACTTACATTGACCATTCTCGCCTTCGCAGAGTTCTAAATGGAAGCACAGTCGTTCGTTTCCTTTCGTAATTTCTACAGTAAACGGAGGAAGAGCGACAGGTACAGGTGGTGCCTAAAATAAAGGCGTTTAAGTCTTAGGAAAACGCTAATCTGTAACCTCAGAAGACTCCGATTCGAAGTCTTCACCCATATCAACAGAATGATTGACGTTGAACACAACCAAAATACTAAACAGAATTGAACAACTGAAAAGCTTTGTAAACCAAACTCTTCATTGTTATGCTTCTTGGTCAAGCGCACTTCTGCATCCGTCGTAGTAATCTTGAACCCAGGAAAAGAAGCTTGTTGCAAGTTTTGTGACTAAATATATTAATAGGCAACCATACACTAATGAAATATACCTCAAGTTCCTTCTCAGCGCGAATTTCCTCATTCAAACATTCAGATAATTGTGAAGCGACGCTTGAATAGGCTAAAAACAAATTGATAAAATGAACAAACTAGTCTAACTTTTTCATTTTGAACTAAAGACCACTGGTGATTAGTGATGTTTATGGTCTTAACAATAAGTAATTACCGTAAATACCCCATTTTTTTTAGACAAATTCTGTTGGCAAAAAGGCATATAAATTAGCAAAACGTTAAAAAGTTGTCCGAGTAGAAAAACAAAAAGTTAAACGAAATGAGGTTTTTTGCGTAAGACTACAAAATGGAAGAGTGGACATCTTGAGCTTTCTCAAGAGCATGATATTCAGTCAAAGGGTGTGCTTCTATTTGAGTGTGCACTTCTATTTTGCACCTCCCCCTCTGGGGTCCACTTCTATTAGAGTATTTACGGTAGGAGAATGTATAAAGATGTCACAAAAAACCACTCACCTTTGACTGAAGTTGAAAATGCCTTCAATTGATTTCTCTTGGTCATCAGCACGCGAGGTGGCTGCAGAGCTAGACGAGCAACGGCTCGAAGAGTGAGCATTGAGCGCATTTCCCTCTAAAAAATTAAGTCTTTGGCGGTTTTAAAACCTAATTTTTAATACCCATTTTAGGTAACTGATAACTTTTGAAAAAAGTCAACAAATTGAAAAGAAAAAAGGCGCTATTCGGGTTGGGGGCCGCAACAAATTCATTTGAAATCGAGAGGAGCCAGTGAGAAAAGAAATGACGAAATGTGGATAGTCTCGTATTGAATCTATGTAAAGAGGTCACCCTCGTCGTTTGCTCTTACTCTTAAGCGCACGAAGTCGCTGATTCTCACAAATTTTATTGTTTATACGAAAGGTCATAAACTTGAGTTTTTCGTCAAAGTACTCATTTTAAAAAGTTACGAATTTTCGATTTCGCGCGAATGAAGGCAAACTTTTTGAAAAAATTTTAGCCCATTGTTTCAAAAGATATTCAGCTAAAAAGTGAAGCGCATCTCACTTTGAAAAAAGAGTACAAGTTTTTGCACATTGCTATTAAAATTCTTTCTACACTTTAAGAAGGTTGCATCTTTAGATTGCTACATTTTTCGTATTTTATCAAGGCTTTTTTTTCTAAAGTTTTGATTTTGTATAAAAATTTCAGATGTGGTATTTACTGTTCTTTCTGGGCATCGTTTTTGCGAACGAAGAGGATAAATCCATTGTCTCATCTGGAGCCTTTTCAGTCGAAGGAGAAGTAAAAAGACTTTTTTTGTTTTAATTCAAAATTTTTAGGTAATTTTGCCATCAGAAGCCTTGGCCTCGTCGAAGTGGCACACACAAACGAGAGTTTTGCTTAATCATGGGCAATTCATTGGCTTTGTGAAGCCTGATGGAACATTCAGGTTTTTGCAAACATTCTAGTCGCTCAACGGTGCTTAAGTGAAATTGTTTTTTCAACCGTTACTAAACCTGGTTGCTTTAGAATCGATGGGATTCCAAGTGGCAGCTTTATAGTCCAGGTATTATTTTTATAACTTTAAATTCATCGCTTCTTTTGCTGTGTTAGGTTGAAAATGTCGACTATGTTTTCGAACCAATTCGCGTTGATGTAACCGGGAAGGGTAAAATTCGAGCTAGGAAGCTTACTATCTTGCAGGTAAATTTCCGGCTTGTAGACTTAGCATATACTCTTTTAGCCTAACGCTGTCAATCAAATCCCGTATCCGTTAAAGATGTCGGCTCGTGAACAAACAAGGTTTGAAAGTTTTTGAAACCAACAAAGCTTTGGACTTTTTTAGGTATTTCCGCAAGCGTGAAGAGTGGCGAATCACAGATTTTGTCTTTTCCCCAACTTTCTTGATGCTCGCTCTGCCAATGTTAGTTGTGCTGGTTATTCCAAAGTGAGTTCTTTTATAGATTGCGATTATTTCTATTCGTAAAAGATTCTGAAAACTTGAGCTGTAAGATACTAATTAAAATCTTTTTAGGTTAGTTGCAAACGATCCTGAGATGCAACGAGAAATGGAAAGCATGCAGATGCCGAAAGTAAGCTATATTTTTGAAATTGGCAATAGTTTATTGATAGATGGATATGCCAGACGTCTCTGAAATGATGGCAAACTTCTTTAATGGCAATCAAAAGCCAAAGAAGAAGGCAGTCACATCTGGAGCCTCAAGTACGCAACCGAATACCAAAAGGAAATAAGGTATTTTTTGTTATTTTGAATGTTAATCAAACCACGTCACCTTTATGCCAAATATCAATTTCAGCCTATCAAGTCACAAAAAGGAATCTTTTGTTGGAGCGGTGATTTGTTTTCCATATATATTTCGGGTATTGAAGTTGATTTTTTACTGTTACTTTATACATATAATTCAGTGTGTAATTTTTGTGAATCTACCTAGGCTATTTAGATTCTAGCGTTCTCTGGATGTGATTTATTTATCTTCACTTTGTGCACAGATATTTTCATGAAAATTTCGTAAAATAGCATTGTTCTATTTCTTTTCTCGTAAGCTCTTTTCTTTGACGGTCGCGTCACGAAGTTACCATGGCGATGGAGAATTTAGTTGGTGCCGTGCTTTCAAATGTTTTGGATTTTTAATAAATTTTTTAAAAGCTTATGATAACACCAATAATTTACAGATATAAAATGGGCTTTTTCACAACATTAACTCAGTGGCTAGGCATGGGAAAAAAGCAAGTAAATATTTGCGTGGTTGGCTTGGACAATTCAGGAAAAGTTTCTAATTCTTTATAAATCTGAATTCAATCAAAATCTAGACAACTATTTTAAATCAACTAAAATCTCCGGAGACGAGAGTGTCAACCGTTGTGCCGACAGTCGGATTGACAGTCACGAATTTTTCTTCTCCGTTCATCAATTTCAATGCTTTCGACATGAGTGGTCAAAGTAAAGGGTCCGTCCAAAACTTTTTTACAAACACTCTTCAGGTAAATACCGTAACTTATGGGAGTCATACTATAGCTCTTCGGAAGGAGTGATGTTTGTTGTCGATAGTGCGGATAGGCTTCGGATGAGGTATTTAAACTCGTAACATCATATATTAATCTAGATCTATAGCGTTGCACGCGATGAACTCTGGCTATTGCTTGATCACAAAGATCTAGCCAATCGAAAGGTTTGTTGAAAAATTTTACAATAAAATTCTAATATCCAATACTAATTGTTGGAGTCTTGGATAATATTTAAGTTTCATTTAAGAATGCTCATTTTGCATGCGAATTTAAGATACGGTTTTTGACCGTAATTCGCACATTATATGCAAATTGAATTTCCATTGCAAATTATAAACCAGCAAAATCAATCGAAGATCAAATTCAGATCCCTTTACTAGTATTGGCTAACAAAATGGATGAAAAAGATGCATTGAGCTCAGCCGAAATCTCGACATCATTAGGTAAGCTATTTTAATAAAAGTGTTGAGATTATGTAGTGATCCAAATGAAACTTAAATTCTAGGATTGGATCTAATCCGTGGTCGACCCTGGCACATAGCGTGTACGTGCGCTCTCACAGGTGAGTGAATGAGCACCTCACTTTTCTGTTGACTGCGGTGGGTCTACGGATTCAGCTACCGTAGTCGAGATAAAGTCTAGAATTGCTAGATTTTTAATGAGAGATTTCAAAACTCTTGATTTTATTTAGATAATGAGCAAATTTTAGGTGCTGGCCTAACCGCTGCTTTGGAATGGCTCTCAACGAATATAAAAACCTATCTCGACGAGCACGCTTCATAAAACAATTTTTGTACATATTACAAAATAAAAAGAACCTCAAAAAAATGACAATAGTTCTCGATTATTTTTCCCAAGCTGGGTCAGAGCCCGCCGGCACAAATGGCAATAAAATGCGGCCTCTTTTTCAGTTTCCGCCTTTCGTTCATTGTTTGGGTCGTGATTTACGATTGTTTTTCGAGCGTGTCACTTTCTTCTTTGGCTCATCCCGGCTACAAATGCAACAAAAAAATGGTACCGTAATACCTGTAATAGTGGACTATGCGACTAACCCCCCGGATAGTCGCGTAATCTAATACACAATTTTGTGACGCGCGGTTCTCTGCGCTGCTTCGACGAAAAATGTGCGCTTAGATATCAAAAGATAGAGCTTGAAGCAAAGAATTTTTTGGTATTTTTGGTATTAACAGTTTATTTTAGAAGAATCTAAGCGCGTTTAAGAAAAATGATTTACTTTAGCAACTATGCAACTGTACGTCATTATGGGGGGCGCTACTACTACAGGTATTACGGTAATACTTAAATGTTCTCACAAAAATCCTCACAATTAGCTGTATGTTTTTCAAAAATTAGCTTTATGTCACGGAAAGTGTCGCTTACCCCCCAACATGATTTCGAGTACAATTTAGTGTCTTTTTTTTCTAAATTTTCTAGGCCAAAGAGTCGAGGTATGAGGCGAGCTCTCTCTTTCTATCATTTATCTCTCTTTCTATTTGCCAACACTCATCGGATACGAGTTAACGACTTTTTAATTACCGATTTACAACCTGTCCCCATTCCGGCTTTCACTGCTCAACTTGATTGCAGAAAATAAATCCTTCCGAATTTGATTTACTTTGAAGAGCGCCTTGTAAGAGTTTGTGAAGGCATAATTTGGAATGCAGATCATTTTGCATCACAGTTTGACAATGGTCGTCTTACTGTAATAGTTATTACTAGCTAAGAGTTCATTGAAAGTTACTGAAATTATTGCATTTGGAAACATGATTTATCGGTTCTTTGAACCAGGCTCATGCTTTTTCCTTTGAGCGAGCCAAAAAGAAATCCCGGAAGCGCTACAGGCTTGAGGCGCCTCGACCACGAAACCTTTCACTCAAGCGGCTCTCTTTACTTCTGTTGACTCGTTGGGGCGATTCATTTACAGCCCCGCAGAGGCTCCTCCAATATTGCTGATAATGTTGTCGTCCCACTTGAAAGGTGCCGCCTTTTTGAAGACTCGTCGAGATGATAGCGAAAATGATTTTCCGCGATTTATTGTCGGAAAAATTTAGAGGCTTTTGAGAAAGGAGTACATTATGAAGAGATTTATTCTGATTTATGTGGCTACTGATCAATCTGATCAACGGGGAACACCCCATCGCTCATTAAGAAAAACTGTGGCTCCTCCAATTTATTGCCTATCCTCCTTGCAATTTATGCTTTCAATTTATTACTCTTTTTAAACTTAGCAAAGTATTCTCAAATATTTGTCTAAAAATTCTAATTATATGAACTTCTAGAAATCTGCAAACATACTGGAGTACTAACAGAAACGATCACTATTCATTTCCCTTTGGAAAACCGTATTCCAGGTATTACGGTAGCAAATTGGTAAGTTAGATTAGATTAAGTTAGATTTAAATTAGCATTTGGTATAAGTAAATCAGATATAGGAAAAGTTTTGAGTGTTTAGATGAAAGGGGGAATAAAAGTTACGCAACGGTGGTGGGTGGGGATGGCGGTGTCTCGCAACTTACCTCTCCATCATGCATTCTCAATTTTACGAGGTGGCGCTCACTGACAAATCGCATCACCTAAAAGATATTCTAGATTTGTCCTTAGCCCAAGGACAAACATATCTTTCATAGACTTTAACGCGCTTTCTTTATGATGAAACCAGCAATTGAAAACGAGGTTTTAATTGAAAATCACCATAAATCACTTTCAGTTTTACTGTCCATCTCACCGAATCAAAAGATGAGGTGCTCGTAAAAATGTTGTCTTTCTTGAAATGATTTTTCTTTGATAGTGAAAATTTTTGGACCTCATCTCAAAAGGGCTAATGAAAGAGAAGTTTATGACTTCAAAAAATGATAAATATCAGAAAATTCTCGAGTAGTTTTGAGAAGATATTTTACCGAAGATAGCTTTTAAAAACCATTTCTGATTTAAAGGACAATATTCACAACTCTTTTACAGTAGATTTCAAGAGCCAAATCTGGTAGGATGTGGATGAGAAGAGGGGTTGAAGGTGTGGGTATTGACCTGAACCCAGATGGCATCTCTGACCGATTACCCTCTATCCAGGGCCATTCAAATGACATAATCCCTCGATCGACTGATATGTTTTGACTTCTCTTTTTTCTCCGCCGACCATTCATAAGCAACACATTGGCATTTTTTTGTTTACGAAAAATATCAACTCTTACTTTGCACGTTACTCTTACAAAATCTCATCTTTCATTGATTTCATTGATTAAATGACTTCATGAAATAGATTGATAATAACCATAATGACCCCCGGTAGCAAGAAAGAAACTCTTTGAAGAAACCGATGCATGTAAAACATTGGTTGCACAATCATGTCATATAAATGATAGCGGCATCATTCACTCCCACCCGGTCATTAAAGATTTCTAGTTATTGCATTTTTTTGTTCTCGAATCTACTTCAACTTTATGAAACAGAAATCTTTTGAACTCTTCTTTCCGAGTTCTTCTTTTTGCCATAAAGAACGATTTCTACGAATCTTACTGTTGTGATTGCTATTTAAAGGGGAGACGTGATGGCTCGGCGCTCAGCCAATCAACGGGAAACATCTCGGTTCTGATAGCCCGATTCTTCTTCTCCATTAAATCTTTTCCTTTTCTTTAGACCTTTTCTGAGCAGACTGGACGACTACAGAGAAGTACAGTACCCCTTTCTTTCCCATCTAATTGCTCTCTAATATCCCCCAATTTCCGCATCGTAAACTCCCTCATCGGCCTCGCACTAAACCTCGAATCGAGTAGAGCTCTTGGGAACTCCTGAGAACTTTGCGCAGGCACCCTCATTTTTATTTTGCTTTTCGATCACTTTGAAACCTCTCTGTCGTAGCCAATTGGCTAAGAGCCCTGTATTTTAGTCCGTTGGTCAAGGGTTCAATCCCACCGGGTAGGTTATTGGTTCTTTTTTTTCCTTTATATGGGTTTTTCCCTACATTTTTTCTCTACATTTTTCTTCCCTACATTTAGGGCTTACGGATTGTGCTTGTGTATTGTTTGTACCATATTGTTCTTGTGAATAAATGTATTAAAAACATAGTACAAAGTAGGGCATCCTTTTGTTCTTTCTAAAAGTTTGACTTACTATTAAAACTTTTTCAAATGTCGAGCGTTTCAAATTTCAAATGTTCAGCGTACTGTAGCAGATATTAGCTATTTGAATGGATACGGATCAGGGAAAATCGAATCCGGGTGACTCGTGTGGGGGAAATTATTTGATCGAGGTGCCAAGGGCCTCACTCTCAAGACAATTCCATTAAAGACTCGTGTTTCTGCGAGAGATTTCCCCCGGGCGGATGCCCTGTTCTCACTGTACTCTACACTTTCACACATCATTGGTGTATCAGTAATTATAATTGTCTTCTGATTGGCCCATACTAGATCTTTTTGCTTGACTTAATGCTACTTTTGATATATTAATATATTAACCAAAATAAAGCCATCTTTTTTGTAACTCTTGTTTTCCAATTTCTTCTACTCAAAACAATTATTTCTCTATTTTCCATGATAAAATCTTTTAGATTTAGAGATTAATGCTTACCATTATTTCAAAAAGCAAACAAATGAGTTTTGCTCTAAATGATGGCCTTGTTGGGAAGTCTGGCCAAAGCTTCGGCCATAGGCAATCCCGGCGACGATTTTACAGCTCTCCCGTCAGGAGATCGACCCAAAAAGCGTTTTCATTTTAACAATCTGATATTTCTCCATATCTTTCTGCCTAGTTTGATCCTTGAATGCTTTCAAAAAGTTTCAAGGTGTCTCATCTTTGGGGCACTTGCGTAATTCGACACTGTGCCCTGATCGGCGCGCATTGGCTAAAGAGGGACAATGCGAGGCGGTATCTTTTCTTTTCTTCCTTTATCCCCATCCTTTTTCCTTTCTACGATCTTCTTACATTTGCATCTCCAAGTGTTTTCCCCTCTCGAGCTTTCGGCTCACATTGTTTCTTATTGTTTCTTTCGTGGTTCTATTCAGATCCACTTCTTTTCTTTATCTGTAGCGTAAAGCCTCTCTTCTTTCATCAACGGATCTCATGAATGTATCAAAATGACTTCTTTCATCAACGTATCTCGTTTATATTCATAAATAGATGGATTAGCTGCTAGAAAACTAGGAATATAGTGCCTAACAATCAACTAGATTTCAACAGCTTACAGCCATTTTAACATAAACTTATAGCGCCTTAAAATTCCAAATTCACGCTGGGATAAGAATAAGCTATTGAAAGAACATTTTTAGCAAAAAAAAATAGAAATTTGCCTTAATGAAGACATCTTATCCCTTTTGAAATTCATCCCAGAGATGGCACGGTGACCCGAGACGATTCTTTGGATCCTTTTCAAAGATGGTTCTCATGCAAATTCGGGCTGAACGGGTCGCAGGCAGGCAAACAATCGCCAGACCGGGTAGCGGCTGTAAACGATGCGCTTATGAATCCTCCGACCTGACCGATCCTCTTCCACATCTCTTTCACTCTTTCACTCTTCTTTCCACCATTCGATACATTGAATGCTCCTCTCTTTTGATTGTCCCAAAACCGTTCCCTCTTACTTCAGACCTCGAAACCTTTGGTCAATATTGATTCATCTAATCTTAAGGATTATTTGTTAAGCTTTTCGGCTGACTGAGATTTCTTTCTATTTCAGAGAAACAATGCGTGAAAACGACGAGAAGCCGATCATTGATGGTCATGGAAATCCAGGGATGTGGACAGCCAACATGAACATGCCGATGTTTCCTTTTTGGATAAACTCACGAGAAAACTATCAGTTTGTTTTTCAGTTAAAACTATCTTTGTTTTTTTGGAGCTAAAACTATCAGTTTGTTTTTCATGTAATTGTAAACATGTGAAGGGATGATCATGAGCTCAAAGCATTGACAAAAATGCTAAATATACTCGAAAAGCCTTAGCTTAACGAACAAGTTTCAAGCTACAGATTTTTCCTAAAATTTTCTATGGTTGAGTTGCGAGCGAGATTTGGTGATGATTCGCGAGTTACTGTAGTCTGAGAGAGGGAGAGGGGAGACTCCGCCTCTCCCTTCCCTTCCCTTCTCCTTTCAGCCTCTTCCTGTGTGATCCGATATCACACCCTTTATGGAAGCTTTTTCCCGTAAAATTGACTCCTTCAGCTTTTCGCACATCTCCTTTCCCTCGTTTACGATTTTTTACACTTCCACTCTAAATTAACGAGTATATGATGTTGTAAAGAGTGCGTCATCTGCCCATAAATTGAGATTTATCACCTGAAAAGTCAACAAACAATTCATTTATTAGCTTTTCTTGTGATTTTCGATAAACTTTAAAAGAAAATTTAGAGCAGCAGCCGCGGCTCAAGCTGGCATGTTGCATCCGGCGCCATTTGATGGATTTTACCCGACAAGATGGGAACCTTCTGGTGCCTACGATCCACCAAAAGTACGTTTTATTTAATCAATTCAAATTTGTTTTATAAAGACAATCTTTTTACCAATATTCTTCAGCTCTCCGATTCCGGAAGCACGCAAATGTTTTTCCCTCCGCAAATCCCGTCCGCCGCATTTGCTTCATCAAGCCCCCAAGGCGCTAATTCAGCCGAGGTGAATTCTATTCTTTTTTTGCTTAGCAAATCTTTTACCGCTAACATCAAAGGTTTTATAGAAAAAGGTTTAAAGCCTTCAAAAAAACCCCGACAAAAGCATGTGTAAGTTTGTCAACATGTGTATGCAAATGAGGGTAAAAAAAAGTGAGTAGCAAATTGAATTGAGCACCTGGGAAATGAGGGGAGAAAAAAAGTGAGCAAAATAAACTACAGTAATCTAGTATGACTGAGAGTAGGAATGTGCGATTTAAGCTAAATTTAAAAGGAGTAATGTTTAGCCACCATATCCAACCGATCCATTCCCATCAACGTCGACAGCGGGCACTCCACTCGCACACAGTTCCATCAATGCTCTGCAGAATAAGTGAGTTTATATATATATATATATAGAAAATTTTCATTGAACTAGATTACACAGTAAATCTTGAAACAGTCCTTTCTTTAAGCAACAAGAATGACAAGAACAAGACTTTAAAGTTGCATACTTTGAGTTGATTGGCTTTTTATTTGATATTGATTTATTTGATAATATTTACCGTATTTTCTCTAATAGTAGTGCCGAGTTGATGACGATTTTATGCAAAAGCTTGGCAACCATAAGCTCAACACTCAAATCCCCCACAAGATCTCATCGTCAGCTACATTTTCCGACCCCACATCGATAGGTTCTCATAAGCGAAGATTTCGAGCAATTTAGGCAACGCTCAAGGTGCACTACTATTAGGTATTTAACAACAATGATAGCTTTATCTTTATCAAGATCAAATCCTTAGTTAGCTTGACTTTTGCTAAGCAACATTTTTCAGCTATAAATTGGAAAATGTGATGAATCCTCCTAGTGCCATGAATGCTTACTACATGTATCCATCATTTCCAGCTTCTGATTACAGTGTAAGTGTTTGTCAAACAATAATCGATTGATTTTCTTTCTCTATTGCATGCACAAACGTGGCTTTTAGTTTTTGACTAATTGGAAAACGCCATCGATGAAACGAGAGTCCGCTAATCCCACCTATCGTACTGGACCCGGCACAAACAGTGAGTTGTTGTTATTCATTGAAATTTTGACATAAGAATTTTGGGGGAAATCCTCTCCAAAAAATCTTGCTTGTTTGATAACCTCGGCTGTCGCCATTTTGGAGTCTCTTTGATCAAACCGCTAAGCCGTCTTATCCTTTTCAACCGATAACTCGAACCCCTTTTGCTTGAAAATCCTTTCACCTTGCCGCCACTCAAAAAATGGAAATTGTTTTTGCTTTACTTATTGGAAAATCCTTTTTTAGATGTTCGAGTGCGGACTGCTGAGAAATATCGGAATGTCTACTCGGATCAGCAACGACTTCAGCTTGAAGCGGTTGGTATTCAAAAAACTAAAACAAAATGTGAAAAGTCGTTATTCAAGTTGTAGAAATATGATATGATACAAAATGAATTCAGGAATGGCAGCTGAACAATTTCATCACCGCTGATCGAAAAGCCGAGCTTTCGACGAATCTGCAATTGACGGAGAGGCAGATAAAGATTTGGTTTCAGAATAGGTTGGTTATTTTGCAGTAAGTTGGGTGCATCCTTTGGAGTTTCTTTCCGCAGATCGCATCGAAAAGGTCGCTTGTAAGCTAAACAATCAAATTGAGAAGAAACAATGTTTTGGCCCTTCTCGAGTCTTTTTACAAAAAATGAATCGAAGATGACGTTTGCTGATAGAGACCGATAAATTTTGATAGATTTATCGTTAATGTTGCGAAAGGCGGTCTATGTGACATAAGAAATTGAAAAGTATGTAAAAAGAATGCGAAGAAGTAGGAGGGTGACAAGAAGGTTTTGAAAAAATTAAATTTTAGGCGTTAAAGAAAAATGCGACAGAATCGAGGGCAAAATAGAAATAGGTGAGGGCACAAAATAGAATTTAGCCTTTGGCAGCTCAGTGAAAAGAGCCATGTTTTGGGATTCATTTAACAAGGAAATTCTTAACAAATCCTGGTAATCAAATATCAATTTACCCTTGTTAATTTACTGTAACTTGAATGCTCTACTGTAACTTGAATGCTCTACTGTAACTTGAATGCTCTACTGTAACTTGAAGGCTCTACTCTAACTTGAAGGCTCTACTCTAACTTGAAGGCTCTACTGTAACTTGAAGGCTCTACTCTAACTTGAAGGCTCTACTGTAAATTGAAGGCTCTACTCTAACTTGAAGGCTCTACTCTAACTTGAAGGCTCTACTGTAACTTGAAGGCTCTATAGGGTTTAAACCAATTGAATTCATAGGAAAAATATATGGGTTAGGATTAGTGGATTTACGATATTTGGTTTCTTTTCATTGAGGGTTCAATCGGCATCCCTTCTTTGGGTCCATGTGGTGATTGATTGGGGTCATCGTCCCATTCACACCTTCTCAACTTCTTTTCATCCCCCCACCTTTCCCCTCTTTATCACAGAACAACAAAAGAAGGACTGAGAGAAAAAGTGATCAAGTAGGAAATCTTCGAACAATAAGAGTGAAGAGTAAATCAACAGTGAACAGTCAATAGTGTAGTCAGAGGTTACGACGAACTATTATTAGGAACAACGACAATATCATTAGGTAACAAGATATTTCTATGATGGACAATGAATCGAAATGTTTGTCATTTCGATGCACTGTCCATGTCCTTTCCCCTCTTTTCTCTTTTAAATCGTTTATGCAATCTCTTAAACTTTAGACGAGCCAAGGAGCGTCGCGAGAACAAAAAGAAACCTTCATAATTCTTTGATATCTTTTCATCATTTATTCTTTACCAAGTTCAAGCCGTTCATCGACTTCAAAGAATCTCTAACCCGTTCAGCACATAACCATAGGCATTTATTTTCTTTTAAACAATCAACTTAATATCTTTTCATTTGCAAATCCAAATCTCTTCTTTTCTCAATTTGCATTTATCTAATCTTCTAAATTTTATGCTCTTGTTGTCATCATTTTTTTTGTGTTAAAGTGTCATATATAATTTTTATTATGTATCGTATTCTTATGAATATCTCAAAAAAAAATCATGAGATCTTCTTTATTTCATTCATTCAAACAATTTCTAATAATTTGCTTTACTGAAAAAGAAACTGTGACTTTAATTTTCATCTATTCTTGCCACGAGTTTTTCCTGATTTCACTTAATAATTTGCGCAGAGCGTGTCAGAAATAAATCTTTGAAAAAGAGCTTAATTTTAAGGCATATTCTAAACACATACCGTAAATACTTTAATAGTACCCCACCCCCATAATGACGGTGCGAAGTGTTGCGTAGTCTAGCTTTGAACGAGTTTTTCTCGACACTGGTTTATGCTACAATGCGCGCTTAGGTATCAAAAAAAATAGCTGAAATTCAGGGCTATTTTTTGATACCTAAGACGCATTTTTTGAAAGTACGGGCGCTTTGAAAAAAATGAAATACTAAAAAACTTTTGCGACTACGCGACTGTACGAGAGCGGTGGGGTACTATTACAGTATTTACGGTAACAACTTTATCGATTTAGTAGCCATCGATAAATCTTTGAGGGTTCATTTTTTGAAGGAAAACTCGGTGCTGATGACTCGGAGTTGGCTATAAAATTCATGTAATGGCACATGTAAGTATTTGTCGGAGATTGGCCGGGAAAGACAAATCAACTCAATGAAAAGGGGATGAGTGAAGAGAAAAAGAAGTACTCCCCCCCTCCCCCACTTTTGCCTTTTCTTTTCTGACCGATAACGAGCGCCACGAGCTACCGAAATTTCGAACAAGGCTATTGATTAATGAAATACCTAAAGAAGTACTTAAAAAAGTCAGATTAAGATAAATGATACCATAATCTATGTCATTAACAATGAGAATTCGATCTTTGATCTTCTCGGGCTCATCATCTCTAAGAAAGGCACGGAGGGCAAGTGTTTCATCAACGGTTTTTTTCTCATTTCTTGTAAAAGATGCAGTGAATTGAATGGAGAGTCTCTCTATCAGTTTTTCAGTGTGTTGAGTGTATGTTTGATGGGCTTTCCTCTTATCACAAAAGCTTTCCCCCCTTCTTAATCGAGGCATCACCCTGCTTTTCTCTCTTCTCACCCCGCTTCCAAATGAACAGATTTAGTGGCCGGCTTACCACGGGTTTAAAGGGGTTTACGAGGGTTGTAAAGAAAATATTGACTAAATCAAATTCACTCCTCGTTTTTTCACTGTTTTCATGAAAATCGTTGCTCACCTCGTTGAGCTAAAGGGAGGTTTTAGGGGAAAAAGTTCTTTTGGGAAACTCTCGTAAAGCACTTACAAATGAACAAAATAAAGTAAAAATAAGCTAAAGGACAAATTCTAATCATGCTTAAGCTGAGTGATTGGGTTCAAAACTTTAAACTTTCATTTTCGACAAATGCCTAGAAGAAACTTTAATTGGGTGGATTTTTTGAACCAAAAGGTCACGGATTTAATAGAATGCTTCAAAATTGTAAAGGGCATGCAACCTATCCCTCTTTTTCGAGATTTATTCAAAGTTAATCCAACGGTTAGTTCAAGGAGAGGTTCTTTCGTTTCAGAAATTCCAGTCACCTCCAATAAGTTTGTTTATAACTCTTTTCCAATAAGAACTGCCAGAATTTGGAATCGACTCCCCAGAGTTTTGAGAGAGTCCAATAGTCTCGAAACCTTTAAATTATCTGTAGATGATCTTGATCTTGAAGCTCTAGTGGATCCTTGACGTTATCTGTGCTACCCACATTTTACATATATTATATCGTGTTTCTTTTTGTTGGCCCTTTTCGTGTTATGTGTATGAATTCATGTGTTTTAATCTTAAATCTAGCGCACTTTATCTCAGGTCCTGAATAAAGTATCTATATAAAAAAGAACAACCACATAATCTAAACAAATTCTAATGTTGCAAACGTGATTTTGGGAATTTTTTGGGGGAATTTTTAAGGGAAATATTGAAATCACAAAAATCACAATGCTAATTTGAGAGATGAATGTTTGAAAGTGTTCAAGGCTAATGGAGGCAATTTCGAGGAAAATCGACTCAGAGATAAAAAAGAAAGAAAGAAAAAGAAAGAAAGAAAAGACAACTCCAATCATATGTCAATGATTGAATACCAAAAAAGAGCTGTGGATTGAAGAAAAGGCGTCTCTTAACACACATCAACTAGAACAACCACACACACACAAAAGAACTCGATTTTCATCTCCTCCCTATCAATTTTCATATACTTAAACATTTGCTAGCTTTTGACATTCATATTTTTCTTTGATTCTCGACCTTAACTGATTACTATACATTACTGTAACTCTTGGCTTTAGCTTTAGGCTTTAGCTTTAGGCTTTAGCTTTAGGCTTTAGCTTTAGGCTTTAGCTTTAGGCTTTAGCTTTAGGCTTTAGCTTTAGGCTTTAGCTTTAGGCTTTAGCTTTAGGCTTTAGCTTTAGGCTTTAGCTTTAGGCTTTAGCTTTAGGCTTTAGCTTTAGGCTTTAGCTTTAGGCTTTAGACTACAATGTTCTCATTAGATTACAATGTTCTCATTAGATTAGAATGTTCTAAAACGAAAACTTTCGAAAACTAATCTTCTTTCTGATTTAGAAATTATAAAGAAAAGTAGAAAAGTTTTAGAAAATTTTATTTTGAAAGAATAAGGGAATCTAATATATTTAGCGAATTCTTCCAGCAGTTTCAAAAACAAAAAAATGGTCGCTACTAAGCCACCACGTCGAACTATGGGCAAATTTTTCCGAAAATTTTTCCTTGATGGTCGGTTTGAAAGAGAAATCTTGGAAACTATCTTTTTAGGTCAATGTCTAGAAGAAGAGAAAGAGAAAGAGTTTTTGGATGAGCCGACTTGGTGGGAGAAGTTTCACGATAAACACAGAAAATATATGGCATTAGCCATTCCATTTGTTTTCATTCAGGTTTGCCAAAAAAGCTTTTTTTCCTTAACAAATCCTTTAGACCATCTGGTTAACATCGGCTATCAAATACAATTTCTTTTCTTTATATCCAATTCGATGGGAGTTGCCGATAACGATGATCTTTGGAGCAAGCATCGCTGGTTTGTTGCTTTGATCGTGAATAGCTTAATCAGTGCCTAATTTCTCTACAATAATCTACATTAATTACTGTTGGCAACAGTGTAGTACTGTAGCTTTCTTGAGCTAGGTCTAATCAGGAATACCTTTCAGGAATGACATCAGAAGGTGGTGGAGCGGTGGCATTTCCCGTGATGACTTTTGTGCTTCATATTGTGCCGAACACTGCAAGAGATTTCACTCTAATGATGCAGTCTATTGGTGCGAAGACACAGGGTTTTAAAAAAATATATTTATTTAAACGAATAATGTGATACAAACAATACAAAAGCAAGCCCACAGCAAGCAAGCTACCGTAAATACTGTAATAGTACAGTCGCGTAGTCGCACCCCCTCGTACAGTCGCGTAGTCGCGAAAGTTTTTTAGTATTTCATTTTTTTTAAAGCACCCGTACTTTCAAAAAGTGCGTCTTTGGTATCAAAAAATAGCCCTGAATTTCAGCTATTTTTTTGATATTTAAGCGCGCATTGTAGCATAAACCAGTGTCGAGAAAAACACGTCCAAAGCTAGACTACACAACGCTCCGCACCGTCATTATGGGGGTGGGGTACTATTACAGTATTTACGGTAATAATCTAGGAACCGTTGACCTCCCGACTAACAATGGAATCGTCCAAAGTTATGGTGGCTATTTAGGATGAGTGATACCTCATTCCATAGATCTTATGATGAATATTGATGACCAAAAAAATTAGCTGCCGAAAGTAACTCTACAACGAGAAATTGGACCGACAAGAAGCAGAAAAATGACGTTTTTTGACCCTCCTTCATGAAGCTGTAACTTTTTACTTGATCGATATTTTTGAATAATCTTTTTTTCATGTAATAGAACTTGAATGAAACTAAAGAATAAACTTTCATTAATTATAAAAACTTAAAATATTCCTAGAAAAAAAGTTCAGTAAACTTTGGCTAAAATCAATAGCTTTGAAATGCAAAATTTTATAAATATTTTGGGAAACAAATTTTACTATTTTTTAGTTTCATTCAAGTTCTATTACATGAAAAAAAGATTATTCAAAAATATCGATCAAGTAAAAAGTTACAGCTCCATGAAGGAGGGTCAAAAACCTCATTTGTTTGCTCCTTGTCGGTCCAATTTCTCGTTGAAGAGTTACTTTAGGCAGCTAATTTTTTTGGTCATCAATATTCATCATAAGATCTATCGAACAAGGTATCACTCAACCCAAAAAGTCACCATAACTTTGGACGATTCCCTTGCAAGACGACTAAGAGAGACAGGGCTCTTAGCCAGTCGACCATGGCGGGAAATCTTTACAGGCATGTCCGCAGCACTCTTTGTGATTGTCTATATGGGAATCGTTGTCGAAAGACGTGCCATTCTTTTTTGCTTTCTTGGTTCGATCCCTGGAATTATCGTTGGTCTAACTTGGGTAAAGCCCATCAATCATTCAACATTCAAAAGCCATTTCCAGCTCGATCACCTTCTAGATGATGCTTTAAAGAAAACGTTTTTCGTCTCAGTATGGGCTTCTTTTGCAGTAGCATTGTATTTGCTAAATTCGGAGCGAAAAAGAACAGTAAATCTAATCAAAGGCAAGTAAAGGAAAGCGCTTACACGATTAGTTTAGACTTATCGAGTGATTCCAATGTTTTCTACATGGAAAGCTTTAGTGTTACTTCTTACTGGTTTTGTTGGAGGTAAAATAAGAAAAATTGTTTCTAGAAAAACTAATTTTAGGGATTTTCACAGCATTTGCTGGAAGCGGGATTGACATTTGCACTTTTTCGGTGATCACTCTCCTATTTCGTGTTAGCGAGAAAACGGCCACACCAACAACCATTGTTTTAATGGGTTAGTTAAAGATAATGCAATAGACACTATAAACTACAAAAATGATAAACTAAAAACTAAACGTCAACTTACTAAAAACGCTTCTAACTTGCTTCAAATTGACACCGGATTGACACGATCTATAGCTTTCTATAGATCGTTCTATAGATCGATCTATAGATAGATTTCTCAAAAAATCGAGAATCTCAAGAGTTTTCGAATGGACTAAAGAACATCCAAAAATAACAATACTGAAGAAAGTTATAATTGCTTGTAGTCCTCAAAACAAAACGTACTCACGCGTAGTTAGGCTACAAACAACTATAACTTTCGTTAGTATTGTTATTTTTGAATGTTCTTTAGTCGATTCGAAAGCTCTTGAGATTCTCGATTTTTTGAGCTATAGTTCATGTCAATTCGGGAGATTTGAAGCAATTTTGAAGAGTTTGTAGTGCTTAAAAGTGTTTAGCGCTGAATTCAATGATGGGTTTCTATTGGCGGGCAGTGATTCAAGGTGGAATACCACAGGTTCTTTTTCTTCTTTCTTCATTACCTTTTTTTTGGCAATGCTAGAGTTGAATGAAAGTTGTTGATGAGAGAAATTCAGATAGCTTGGGAATACGTGGCCGTTTGTACGCCAGTTTGTGTCACCTTTGCTCCTCTCGGCTCATTTCTCGGATCTCATTTTCATCGTTTAGTAAGTATTTCTTAAAAAAAACCAAAAAAACAAGTCTACTTTTTGAAATGAATATTGAAATATTATACAGGGTGCGTCATAATTATTGCAACAAGAGTTCAAAGACCGTTTTCCAAACAGCTTTCTTATTTTTTTTGCCCCCTTTTTTGTTGTGTTGCGTTCTATCTTCTTTATTCTTGCCTAATTGCCTCCCGCTCACACGAAGAAGACGGTTCAGGACTGTTGTGTGGCCAACTTTCCCTCAGTGATCACCAAGAATGAATGGCCTCCAAACTCACCGGATCTCAATGTGATGGACTTTTCCATTTGGGCAATCTTAGAGGCTAATGTCTGCTCTTTGACCTTGAAGAAGTCTTTGACCAAAGGATGGAAGGCGACTCCTCAAGATGACATTCGGGCCGCAGTGGAGGCATATCCGAACCGATTAAGGGCTGTTATCAAGGCAAAAGGCGGTCATATCGAATGATCTCTTGTTACCTTATTTGTTACTGTTAAATAAAGCTATTTCTGTTTAAAAATCTTCTTCCAGTGAAACTTCTTGGTGTGCAATGCCTTGAGTATCTTGTTGCAATAATTATGACGCACCCTGTAGATAATCTTATAGTTTTATTTTTATTTAGGTTTTAGCAAGTTTAATCTACATTCTTGAAATACTTTCGGTAATCGGCTTCTTGGCCACTCGTCCATCGATATCATTCATTGTGATTGGTGTCATCATTATTGGTACGCTAAAATAGTCTTTACTAATTTCATTTTCATTTCATTTTCTTTTTTTCATTTAGGAATTGGCTTTTTATTTTTCATAACTCTTTGCCAAGCTGGGAAAACGTTGATGAAACGGGTGGAAATATCGAAACAAAAGAATGAAAAGCCAGAAACGATTGTTTACAGTTTCCAAAGCTCTAAACAAGAAATCAATACAAAAGTGTGAAGAAATTTCTGAATTTTTCAATAAAGCTTTATTTTCTAAGAGCTTTAAGAGTTTTTTTAAGTTCAATGAGCTGCTGATCATTGAATGAGCATCCGGGAAGAAAGTTGAACTCTTCATGAAAATCGTCTAGAAGAGTCGCAGAGTTTCGATCAAGAATTTGCATAGGATGAAGTAAAATTGGAACCTAGATTGTTAAATAAATGATTTATTAGTTGAATGATTCAATGAAACAATGAATCATTGAATTATTGAATCATTGAATTATTGAATTATTGAATTATTGAATTATTGAATTATTGAATTATTGAATTATTGAATAATTGAATTATTGAATCATTGAATTATTGAATTATTGAATCATTGAATGAAATAATGAAAAGATTACCCAAGCTGGAACGGGATGAGCGTCAACATCAATTTCTTTCTCATAGAGACAAACTAAAGGTCGACACAGGGCATCGATCAACGTTTCTGACTCTTGAATCTCTTTTTGCAGAATTTTGAAGACTAATCTGCAATTTCTTTTATAAATTCTTTAGAATATTGATGAAAAATCGTCTAGGGAATTGTCTAAATTGATAATAAAATTCATTTATCTCAATTTGAACACTTTTACCATTATATCGTGTTGCTTTTTATCGGCCTATGTGTATGAATTGATGTATTTTAATCTTAAATCTAACGCACTTTATCTCTGGTCCTGAATACTAATCAAAAAAATAAACAAGGGATGATGAAGGTGGAGGGAAAAAAAAGAATGAAACATGAAAAATAATTGGGGATTGATGTAGATAATGGAAAGTTTAGAGTCTCTCAAATACACGAGTGGAGATAAAATGTTGATAAAAGTAATCTATATTTCACAAATATTTTTTACATAAATAATTTTCTCTTTAAATGTAAACTTTCATTTTTTCAGTTTCATTTTCAGTTTCACTTTTTTTTTTCAATAGAACTAAACGAAAGTGAAGGTAGAATTTGAAATTATCTTAGGAAAGCGATCGGGGAGAGTGAGTGATGCCTCGAAAAGCTAAATGCTAATTTTGTTTTTCGTCGCTTCGAATTGCTTCGATTCTCGAATTGCATTCCCTCGATTTTCTAGATTTTCTCGATCTCTTAAACTTTCTCCATCCTTTTTCCCCCCATAAAAATTGATTTCTTTTAAACCGAACTTACTGTAAAGATTGGATGATATCTCGAGGATTTTCTCTCATTTCATTCGTCATCATTTCGCCATCAAGAAACGGCCCTCGTTGAAAGATATGATTTTGGAATTCCTCTGAAAACTAAAATTCTTTGTGATGCTGAAAATGAATTCCCTTTGTGTACTCGCCTCATTTTTCCACTCTCCATTCATCGTTTTCTCAATATAAACGCTATTTAGAGGAAAAATAGAAGAAAATCTCGAATCACCGAATAAAACCGAGCCAGGTAAGTAAGGATTTGCACAAACTAAAAGTAGAATTTGAGAAAATGAGAAAAAAAAGAGGAAAAACCGACTCTTTATGGCCATTCCTTTGAGGAAAATCAAGTATAAAAATGGCAAAGAAAAAGTCAAAAGGCAACTCTGGATTGATAACTCTAACTCTTGATAACTCCTTCACCTCACCACATTTCATCAAAAACAACTTTTCCTTTACTTTAAATCAAGAAATTTTCACCTAAATTTTCTCTAGCATTTCGCAAATCGGCTAGAATCTTCTTTGAACTAACAATCACAACATATCGTGGACCCCAATAGAAAGACGAGATTGGGCCAAATAGTTGATGCGAGAACTCAAGAAATTCGCGTATGCTTTCCGTTCTAAACGAAATGAAATAAGAAATTTTCGTTTAATAAGCACATTTACTTGGAAACTTACTTAGAAACTTACTTAGAAATTTCACTTAAATGCCCTTTTTCTTTATGTATTGTTGATAGTGATTGTGGTGGTGGGATGCTGAGTGGAGGCAACTCTTCAGCACTGCATTCCAACTTTAATCCCGGGATCGTCGTGTAGTCGATTGGTTTTGGCTGTAATTTCTTTCTCTATTTCCAATGGAACTTCGAAAGTTTTCTTGGGAAAATCCTTTTAGATTAATTGAAAATTTGGAATCTATTCTTTTATCGCTTTTATAGAAAAATGAAGCTTATCCATCATGTTGGATAAGCTGATGATTTCCCACAAATTCCCGATCATTCTTATTGCATTGATTGAAGAAAATGAATGGATTGACGTGTGACTTTTATGTAGGTTTTGAGAGAAATCCCTTCAATTTTTTGGCGTTTTCCAGAAAAAGAGCTTCATTTTTTGACTCACGTGTGTGTCAAAAGTCTCTTAATCTTTCCTATTCTCTCGAAATATAAAATAATCGCCGCTCATTGCAACAAAATTCATCTTTTGTTATTTGCTTCGCTGTTTTGGAGAATGTTTTTACCAAAACTCTACCAATTTCCTAAACTCTTTAAACGATCTTCTCATTCTTATGCATTTATGACTAGAGTATGTTCCTTGCAAGTAATGCCTTTTTTAAAAAGAATACTCAGGGAAAATTATCGTACTTTTATCTAAAAATTATTGCAAAAAAATTGGGGGTGGGACAAATGCGACCTTTTTTTGCGCACCTGGACATTTGCGCACCTTTTTTTTTTGCTGGAAAAGGCCTTAGGAAGGTCGTAGAGCTTCAAAAATGTTTTCATAGAAGGGAATCGTATGCGTAGATTCCGAATTTCGACAAATCAGACCTCGCTGACACGTCAAATTTGGGTTAAAAGGCAAAAACTACGCAACTTAACGCTTTTCCGCGCAGTTTTTGTCTTTTAGCCCAAATTTGACGTGTCAGCGAGGTTTGATTTGTCGAAATTCGCAATCTACGCATACGATTCCCTTATATGGAAATATTTTCGAAGCTCTACGGCCTTGCCTAAGGCCTTTTCCAGCAAAAAAAGATCGCATTTGTCCCACCCCCAAAAAATTGGCTCAAAAATCACGAACGCCGCCCTATATACTCCTTTTAAAGATATTCAACCGTTCAACGGATTTGGTGGCAAATTCCCCTTCAAATGTAAAGATATTCAATTTACTCGAGACGTGTAAAGAGGATTACTCGTAGTTACTCGACCAAAAAAAGATCGACTAATCGAGTAAAGATTACTCCTGCAAATTCTACTCGAGTAATTACTTACTCGCGAGGAAAACACTCTATTTATGAGCATCTTATGCAAGTTTTCTTTTCCATAATACTTTCAAAAAACCTCATACTTTTGGCAGTCGATTCCAAACGAAAAGAAAGAATTGAAAGCCGACGAAATTCCAGAAAAAATAGAGTAAAACCTCTTGGACACCCATTTTCCATGGGAATGAATCAATTTGACCGCTTCTCGAAAGAGGAGAATCCACTCCTTATCTTTCAATCCCCATTTTCCTCACCAAATTTCTTTCGTTCTATAGTTAGTAAAGTAAAAAAAAAGGCTAACCATAACAGTTTTTTCGGTACTTTTTCACTTTATCCCTCCGCAAACATGAGAAATTTGCAAAAATTTAACAAAATGCAAATTTCAATCATTCGGAGAAAGAGCATCCTTTTGTCGATCGATGTCGATGTCGATCCAATCACATGCACAAGAAATACGATTAAATGCATTTGGCAGAAGTTTAAAGCTCAAAATAAAGAAAAATACGGAACGCTCGCTTTTCGCATCTTATATTTAACAATTCATTTGGTATTTGGTTCAAGATGTTTATGGGCGACGATAAGATCTTCTACAACTTTTCGATGCAAATGAGAGAAGATTATTCATTGGAATCAGTACATTATTAAGCTTCAAGTTATTATTTTACGAGTATTAATATTGTAGCTGTCAGGATTTCGTTTTGTAAGCTTTATTGATGCAAAAAATGACCTCAATAGACAAATTTGCAATCAAAAATTTTGCCTGATCTTTGAGGAGAATAAAGTAAAAAAAAAAGTATCGTTTTTTTTTTCTATCAATGTCTCACAAAAACTCTCTAGTCTATGTATGTTTATGGAAAATTTAATTTTTAATTTCTAATTTCAAAAATCTCTATTTTTATCATCATATCATCTATTGAGGTCATTTTTTTTGCATCAATAAAGCTTACAAAAAGAAATCCTGACAGCTACAAATGACTAAATTTGATGAGAAAGTTTTGTAGTAGGTAAATTGTGTAGTTGAATTTCGCGATCGAGGGGGGAAAGCTGTGAGACGTAAGCAAAACGAGAGATAAATCCCCGGGAAATTGCCTTTTCTCTGATCGTTTTAAAGGAGAAGGGGTGAAGGGAAAAAAAAGCTGTTTTGTAACGCAAGAGTGATGACGATGTTTTGTGTTTATCCGATGGGCACGCATTAGAGAGGCCGAAACGGGGAGAGACGAGTGATCGGTGCAGATTCATCCACGATTCGATGGGAAATCTCATCCACAATTTTTGCTCAATTTTCACAATTCGATGGGAAATCTCATCCACAACTCCTCATTTTCTTTCAATTTTTCCTTTCTCTCTTTGTGTGATCGAATTATTTTACCGATTTTCATTTTCTTCCTTTCGTCATTTCCGGTGTTTTTCATCTGAAAATTTTCTACAATATTTTCTAATTTTTATTTTAGAAAAACTTTTCAAGATGAGAGGAATCTTGGCTGAGTTTCTCGAGCAAAGAAGTGGCATTGAGGTAATTGTAAAAAAGAAAAGCTTTTGTTTTTTGTTTTGCTAAAAAAAAGAACTGGATTTCCAATAGTCTTATCTTTATTTTTTTTTGATTAAATCTTACTCTTTAGGTGGGTATCGTCATTGCCTATTTGTTGATCATCACTATTGGCGCTTTTGGAAATCTTTGGGTGGCATGGAAGGTTTGAGTTGTTTGAGTTGTTTAAATTTGTAAAATTGATATTGATTTCAGTGTGGAGTGGTGTTAATGTTTGGTCGACGGCAGAGACAATCCACTTCAGTGACAAGGGGAATTGTCGTCTGCATCTTCATCATTTGTCTATCCGATATTATTGTTCTTTCAGCTCTCGCATTTATGGTTGAGTTTTGTTTTTTGTCTTAAAAAGTTTTGAGAACCTTATAATGTAGTTTCTAAACACATAAAAGTGCTTAAGTTGTAGTTTAATCTATTAAGCGATTATATTTCTAATCTTAATCGGTTAAGTGATTATGAATAACGTAGCTTTGAGTCTCAAAGGTTATCAGCGCTATAGAAAAATCGATACATGAAAAAGATCTATAGAAAAAGCCCAATTTTACCTTAAAATAGCTACCGTAAATACTGTAATAGTACACGACCCCATAATGACGGTGCGGAGTGTTGCGTAGTCTAGCTTTGGACGAGTTTTTCTCGACACTGGTTTATGCTACAATGCGCGTTTAGGTATCAAAAAAATAGCTGAAATTCAGGGCTATTTTTTGATACCAAAGACGCATTTTTTGAAAGTACGGGTGCTTTGAAAAAAATGAAATACTAAAAAACTTTTGCGACTACGCGACTGTACGAGGCGGGTGGGGTACTATTAAAGTATTTACGGTATTTATTATTTATTGATATTTATTGATATTTATTGATATTTATTGATATTCAGGTGGATATGAAGATCACGGGTGGATGGCGCTTTGGCGAGGTGATCTGTCGCCTTTTTTATATGATCGAAATGCTCAACAAATTCGTGATCCCGCTCTGTCTCGTGCATATCAGGTATTTAAAATGAAATGTTAAAAACAAATGTTGAATTGATAAAATCAAGAAAATGAAACCCCGAATTCAGTCGACTTTCGTTCAATTCGGTGAAAATCACTCGCGAATCCACTCATCGTTTCCATTCTTTTCTCCTGCCGACTTTCAATTTTGTGGCCATCGCCACCGTGTTCGGCCTTTCGGTTTGTAGTCAGAAAATGCCAGGAAAACAGTTCAAATCTCCAGGGTTATGTGTTGTTGTTTTCGAAAACCCTCGACATTCCTTTGCGGCGATCCCGATCGGGAATTGTATCCACGAAAATGTGCCTCTTCAATCCACCATCAGGCCACGGTAACTATCGCTTAACAAAGTGAAAAAAGCAAACAAGAAACCATCTTGATATCGATTATATGTATCTGATTGATCGGAAAAGCTTTTCCGCTTTTTTAAAGTCTACCTTTTGAAATGAAAAATGAATGAATCGATCTTTGTTTGTTTTATCAGAAAGTTCTATTATTTATTTATAAATAGCTCTTTAAGAAATTCTAAAACGCTCGCATTATTTAATTTTTTTTAAAGATGCAAAGTCAAGCCATCAAAAACGATAAAACTCAAAGTTCCGTTGAGTTGAGTTGAGCACTTTTTGTCACAGAAATCTATTTTTGTGTCAAAACAAAGAAAAAAATGAATCAATCAATCAAAATGAATGAATCAATATCAATGAATCAATCAAAATGAATGAATCAATATCAATGAATCAATCAAAATGAATCAATCAATATCAATGAATCAATATCAATGAATCAATCAAAATGAATGAATCAATCGATCTATGATTTGTTTTATCAAAAATTTCTATTGTTTATTTACAAATTTTTCTAGAAGAGATTCTAAAAAGCTTGCTTTAATTCATTTTTTTGAAAGGCTTCAAGTCGAGGAATCAAAACGAACTTAAAGTCTCGATTTGAGCACTTTTTCTCAAAGAAATCTCAAAGAAATCAAAAGACAAAAGATAGAGAATCAAAAGCTAGGTGGATAGACAAATTTTTAGAGAAATTGATTCAGCCGATTTCATTCTATGTCCATTGTAAAGATTTTAGAAAAAGCAAGAATTCCTGTTCGGATTTGCTTTAAAGCGGACTCAAATTTGCCCAAAAAATAAGCTAAATTAAATGGTTAATCTTTTTTTTTATTTAAAGCAATTCACACGTTTATCAGCTCAGCAATTCATTTATAAACGAAAATTCCAAAAAGGCGGTCAATCCAATATAACCAATATAAATCATTTATCAATTTAGATTTGATCTTCAATGGAGTTGCCTTTTTGGTCGGTTATGTGGTCACCTCACTTGCTTACATCTATTTCTACGCAAGTGTCCCGTTGCTCTTGAAAAGAAAGATCTCGAGCAACAACTCGCCTGGAGGTTTTGTAAAAGAAAATTTCACCTTAGAAATACAATTTATGTATTTAATTTCAGCTTTCCATCAACTCAAAGACTCAAATATTGTCCGAATCAAGTACACGGTCACTTCATTTGTCGCTATTTATCTAATCTGTTGGACTCCCTATTGGGCACTGTTTTGGCTTGCCTCATTAACGGATCACTTCCCGAGGTTGATTCTAAAATTCTAACAAAAACGCTTGTAACGCTCAGCACCAATAAAATTCGATTTTAGATGGTTAGTGATGATCTCAATGCTTGTTCACACATTGCCCTATCTTTCATGCACCGCGTATCCAATCGTGTTAACGGCAATGAATCGAGGAATTCAAAATGAGCATGCCTCGATTCTCAGTTTTCACAAGAAGAAATTCTCGACGATTCGTGAAGGAGCTATGCAGGTGGCAATTGGGGGATTCATCTTTACGTTAATTCACGTTAAAAATACGTTAATTCACATGAATAATGTAGAAAAACCATACACAACAACAACAAACACCTCTCTAGCAGTCAACCCCTAAGCCCTAAATCTAGGGCTTAGGAAAAACCCAGATATGTATAAAGAAGCCAGCGGGATTCAACCCTGATCTCCCGGTTAAGATACAGGGCTCTTAGCCAGTCAACTATGGCGGCATTTAAAAGGAACTAATGAATAACGAATAACTAGAAGCCCACAAAACATACTAGTCTTTTGAAAACCTTGCTTTAATAATCGTTTTTGAATAATTAGAAGAAAGATTAGCTTCTGGTGTCCAGACAAAGTATTCAACGAATATTACTAAATAAATAGCTTTTAAAACTTGAAAAGCTACTCTTCTAGAATTGATCGTTTATATGTTTAATTTTCAGACTTTCTCAGCTCATGTCGGCATGTTAAACAGTATTTGGGCTAAAGCAGAGAACGAGAATTTGAATCCCGTGTCGGTTTGAGGGATTTTTCTTTGCTTTCTTTATCTCCAATAAACATTTTATTGAAATAAATTACGGCAAGTTACAAAAAAAAGAAGAAGAAGAAGAAGAACAAGAAATTGATGTAGAATGAAAGAGAAATGAAATGAAAAGAAATTAAATGAAATTAAATGAAATGAAAAATGATGGGAATGACGGTGAGAGCTTCTAAGGGTTTTGTTGCATTGAGTGTTGCACTTAAGAACACTTATACAAATTAATACGATTAGACAAAAAAGAAAAGTAAGAAGAGTATGAAAGAAAATACGAATGTAAGATGTCAAAAGGAGATTGATATCAAACATTTCTTGTATTCAGAAGTGAAATTTCTTCTTTGGTCATTGATGAAAAAGTTGAAAATGAAGAAAAAAAAAAAGCAGCAGCTGGGTATTGTTTTGAAAATGAAAGAAAACTTGAGAATTATGAGCCAAGCAATTTTTCTTGACTATTTTCTTCTATTAGACTAATATTTTTTTTTTTACTCAAATAAGGCGTTCAAATATTCACAGACAATAGAGAGAAAAGAGGAGTTGAGATTTTCGGGAATGGGGAAATTGCGAATGGATTCATCGAATGAGGAAATTGCGAATGGATTCATCGATTTGTTAAAGCCGACAATTTGACAGAATATTTTAAACAGTTAAAGCACCAATTGGGAATCGAATTTTCGAGGGGAAAGTTTTCGTCAATTTTTAAAGTTGATGTCCGGATTGGTATTGAATCTGTTGAACTTGCTCCCAATAGAAATTCGAGCTGTATTGAGTCATCGGCGTTTCACCTGAAATTGCTTTCTTGCGAGCTTTCAAACGCAGTACAGTGAATCATTAAAGCTAAATGTTTTGAGAACTTAAATCTCTAGAATCTTTAGAATCTTTAGAATTCAGTTTAGTCTTTAAAAGATCTTTAGCGCACTTTCATTTTAGTATATTGCCTCAACCAATAACTCGTACTTTACAGTGATCTCTATAACTCTTCAAAATATATTTTATTATTACCAGCCAAATGTTTTGGCAAGGATTTTTAAGAATTTTTACAACAATTTCGTTCTAAATATAGGTAATTTCATCCGCGTTTCACCTAAAATTGCTTTCTTGCGAGCTTTCAAACGCAGTACAGTGAATCATTAAAGCTAAATGTTTTGAGAATTTAAATCTCTAGAATCATTAGAATCTTTAGAATTCAGTCTACTTTCATTTTAGTATATTGCCTCAACCAATAACTCGTACTTTACAGTAACCTCTATAACTCTTCAAAATATATTTTATTATTACCAGCCAAATGTTTTATGCAATGATTTGTAAGAATTTTTACAACAATTTCGTTCTAAATATAAGCAATTTGAGTGTTTCATTTGAATCACCTATCTCAATTTCATCAAATCCGGGATAAGATCGAAAAACATTAAATTTCAGTAGCTATCTTCTAGGTACAAACCTTGATGTGGGAAAGCCGGTTGACAAAGCGAGAGGTAATACTGATCAAGGCTTTGATTCATATTCGTCGGTTTAGCATAAACTGGTGGTCCGGGGATTTGAACAAGCATTTGTCCCGGTTGCAATTGAGATGGATGTGGAACGGGAGGCTGAAAAGGGTGAGTTGTGGAATTTCAGAAATCAACCGCTTCATTTCAATTTAATATTTATTTCAATTTTTATTTCAACCGTATCAATTAGATTCAATTGGTAATATTTCAAAAGCATGAAAGCTGCCCTAAGCCAAGCAATTTTCCTAAACATTCTCCTTCACTTACATGACTTTGCACTTGAGGCGGTGCTGTGTATCGAACACCAAGAGCTTGAGCAACAGATGAGCCAACATTCGATGGATGGTGGTGGTGATGATTTGAAATCGGTTGACCATGCGGTAAAGCGGGAGCTGAAATATCGTTTGGTTTACAATGAAAGCACAATTGCTACCTTTAAAGCCACTGAACGAATGCGATGAACTGGCGCCAGGAGTGCTTGGTTCAGATCCTAGACTTTTCTTTACAATATTATATTTATATTTATATTTATATATATATATTTGTATGCTTTATTTCAAACCATTTGCACTCTTGTGTCCATTTGATGGCGTCTTTGGTGTTTGCGTTTTCTCATCGGGTTTCTTCTTCTTCATGTTCACTGGCTTGAAGATCAAGTGTGGATTCTCGTTCATCAACTAAAGCTAATGAATGTAACTTGTTTCAAAAATATAACGATAATATTTTTTATGGCTTTCTTCAAATTCCCTACCACTTTATGCTCCTCTCTGCTTCGATGCGACTGCTCAAAGAATGGCCGTCTTTCCTCATCAGTCAGCTGTTTCCACATCTCGCCCAACTAAATATGAAACTCATTTTTCTATCAGAAAATATCAGAATTCTCTTTTTGTATATTTAGATTTATCTCTTTTTCTACCTTTGCATTCACATCGCTCATTTTCATTTTCGGATTCGCTTTGGTCAACTCTTTGCGCTTGATCACCACCCAGCACATGTACGGATTCAAGGGTCGCTTGATAAATGCTTTGCCTAAATTGCAATAATTTCAACAGTTTTTACATGATTTTTTTCAAATTTCATCTAAAAAACTACAAAAAAAAAAGCTAAAAATTAGATCTAAATAAACCTTCTGGCGGCTCGATCTTATCATGTGCTTGATGAGAGATCGGCGATGGAGATGGCAAACCGCAAGAGTTCTCTCTGAATTATTTCCTTTATTCAAAACACAAATAACCTTTTTGTATCTTTTTATCTTTTTATCTTTTTATGCCAAGTTCTGAATAGTATTTCTTTCTTTCTTCTGTCTAGCATTTCTCACCCATGTTTGTCCTGAAATGGCGGTGAGAGAGAATCAGAAAGCGATGGAGATGTGTCCCGAGATGAGAAACTCATTTTCTTTTCTTTCACAGCTGAAAATTGAAAAGAAATTGAAAAGAAATTGAAAACAAAATTGTATACAAAATAATCTTTTCTTCAAAACTTTCACATTAAAAACTATAAATTCAAAGAAAATTTCGAATTTCGAAATTAAACTTCAAAAGAAAAGTCCTAAATCTGATAGCTTCTTAAGGATAGCTTTTTTAAAAAAAGAAAAGTCTATATAAAAGCCTATATGAAGCAGGAAAATGAAATAAATGAGTTGAAAAACCCCGAGATTTTACGAGAAAACGGTGAAAGATGGACTTTTTCAGCGTATTATAGACAGAAAAGGGAAAGACTCTCCAGGGAGTGCCAAATAAACACAAAGACGCAGCAAAAACGACTTTCAAATTGGTGATTGGAGTAAGTTTAGCATAAAATCGATTATAAATGTGGTGAGGGTGAGTGCTGGGGGATGGATAGCTGGAGGGTTTGTAGGGGGGGGATGGGGGTTGGGGGTGCAGGACGGCGATGTGTGTGCTAGGCGGTGGACGGGCGGCGGCCGTCGCACGCGATCACCCCTCGCCGCACCTCACCCCCACTTGGAACATTTCCAATATTCTTGATTTTGTCATTTATCATAAAAATCCTCAACTTTTTAGGTAATTACTCGAAACTGGCGGCTGTTTATTGTTGTGTGGGTGAGATGGGAAGATCGTGAAGAAGAACGACAAAAAAAAAAAACGAACGACTCTCCCGGTGTCCCTTCTTTTCATTGAAAAATCCCCTTTTCGCCGCAACAGCGACTACTATCGACAAAAAGAGATTGAAAGAAATTGAGAGATTTAGAGAAAACATTCACTTTCTATCCAAACACCTCAAGAGCCGGGGCTAGCACGGACTAGGCCTTCCTTTTCCTCTCTTCACTCTCAATATCAACCAATGAAATCTCTCATGGCATTAACTAATAAATAAAAGTTTAATTCTAGAAACAAGTAAGTAATTATGAGTAAATGTTTGAGTGAAACGATCAAATGGTAATAATGTTTGGGGATTGACCTTGGCCCAATTCGTTTTCACCCGCCTAGCTGAATCAATAAAATGACGAGTAAAAGGGGGTTTGGAAAAGTGTGCAAAGAGTAAGGAGAATCCAAAATCGATATCTGTAGTAATATGAGGAGCATCTGGTCAAGGGGCAATTAGCCCAACGAAACGAGTAGAGCCGATATCTGGCCGAGCAATTGCAGTGATCGATTGGCCGTTGGCATGTTCATTTTCTGCGATTGATAGCTGATAATTGTTATCATTTCTTCTTGAAAAGTTTATGTTTAAAGTTTTTGTGAGAAAAAGAATATGTCAGTTTGATTTTGTAGTGATTTTGTAGTGAAAGTTGTAGTGAAAATTGGCTACAACTTTCACGATTAATTATTTCACTATTTCACTATTAGTTGTTTGCAAAAATTTGTAGTTACATAAAATTTTGAAGCCTAAATTCGTAAATGTCAAGGAGAAAAGTGGTGATAAGAAAAAGGTTTTTATGGGAGGATTTGAAAAATTCCTATACAATTATAAAAGTATCAAAGTTTTGGGAAAGAGATTTTGTAAGAGACGTGTAAACAATATTTGTAAACAACAAATCCCTTTAGTTTCAAAGTTTCACGATTTTCCTGAATGCAAAGCTTTCCGTTTGTCTCCCGTTCTAGATCTCGCATTAATTCCTTTGCTAGAGATTTAAAAAACCCAAAAGTTCTTACATAGAACTTGTGATAAGTAGATTTTTCAGTAAGCTGTCGTATAGCCAAACTGCAATCTTAAACTACCGAAGGATTATCTGAAAAGCTGAATACAGGAAACAAAGCCAAAGTGCGATTTGTTTAATGCTGATCGTTGTTGCTTGTTTTTGTTGCTTTTCGTTTGCTGGAAATTCGTTTGCTGGAAAGGAGAAAAAGACGCGAAAGTGAGAGATTGAACTCGAAATTTGATTGGCTTCGCTATGTTGGCCGGATGCCAACTCTATCAAACTTTCGATCTTTAGCGATTTAGAGAACTCTAGAGTAAGCTATGAATGTTTGTTCAAGAGAAAACTTTGAGGCCCCATAATTTTTTTTCTTTTTATCCAATCTTTCTAATTTCAAAAATTTAACATAATTATTAATGATTCTGCGTTGAATGATACTAAATACTTGATGGTTGGACGCCCCTAGACCAGCTCATTCATAATCGGCTCCGACATATAACATTTTTTAGGGGATAAACTTACAAAGACGTTCTCATCTCTTCGTTCGGCTCCTCGCTCGGCTCGAGCTCCTGTTGGACCTGGAATTTTCAAGTTTAAAGAGTATTTTAACTAATAAATAAATTTTTTAAATTAGAAAGATTGGATAAAAAGAAAAAAAGTTATGGGGCCTCAAAGTTTCCTCTTGAACAAACAGTTTTTTGCTCTAATTTTTTTTTCTTTTTATCAAATCTTTCTAATTTCAAAAATTTAACATAATTATTAATGATTCTGCGTTGAATGATACTAAATACTTGATGGTTGGACGCTCCTAGACCAACTCATTCATAATCGGCTACGACATATACATCCAACAATAAGTCGTTCAGGATTTGGAAATTCATTCACATTCGTTTATATGTCGTAGCCGATTATGAATGAAATTTTTTGGCAAATCTTTCTAGTAGAGCAACCCTTTAATGTATGAGGACAGTATTATATTCATCTTGTAGCGAATTAAATTCTGCGTCGATTGGTACCAAATTTGTGAGTTTCAGATTTTTTAGTTATCAGATTTTTTAGACTCAACTCTCAATTGTGAGAGCGCAGTTTTCACACAAACACTTTCCTCAGCTGAAATACAATACTTTTTCCATCCCTGTGAACCAGACTGAATTAATCGAATATTGTAAATTTTTTTTTTTTTGTCTCGAGCGTTTCCTTTTCTTGAATCTTGAATCTCATATTTATTCACTTCACAAGAGAAAATACTTGAATTAATTTGACAAAAAAAAAAAAAAAAATGTGTGGAGAGTGTAGAGATAGATAGAGAGACATTCAAAGTAGCAAGAGAACCGAAAAATGAAAACGACACAAAGAAAATTTTTACGTACAATAGGCGCCGAGAATAAATGCAACGCACACCCTTTACGTAATACAGTTCAAAATATTTTAAAAGACAAAAAAAGACAGAGTAATTTTAAAATTTAACTATAAAAGAGATTTTCTTTTTGAGTAAAGGGTAAAAAGGTACAACAACAACAAAAAAAAAATAGAATTATTGAAGGAAAGAGTCGGTTTTTTTTTTGAAGAAGAAAACTATGAGAAAAGATTTTTTTTTTTGAGAAGAGACCCGTACAATTCTGTAAATTGTAAGTGTGTGGTTGGGCGGGTGGCGGATTTTAGCACGTGCTTTGTAGAAAAGAAAAAAAAAATTAGCAGATAAAGACATAAAGAGAAAAAACGAGAGGGAAAATGGGAAAAGTTCCCTTTTATGTTTTCCCCTTTTTTTTCTTTTCTTTCTTTTCTTTGTCTTTTTCCTTTTTGTCTTTTTCCTTTTTGGCAACCGAACAATTACAGTCAATTCATTTTTAAGAAAGAAAATTCTTTAATTTTCAATTAAATTAAATTAAAATCAATTAAAATCCTTTAATTTTCAATTAAATTAAATTAAAATCAATTTTCTTAGAAATGAATTGACAAAAAGTATTTTTTTTTTTGACATATCAAACAAATCATGAAAATCTTCAAGGCTAAATAGGTAAACATCCAGAAAAAAAAAAGAAAAACATTTTGAGTTCTCAAGTTTTTCATGAAAAAAAAAATGCAAAAACAAGAGAAATTTCAATGAGGATATATAAAAAGAGAAAAAAATGAAAAGAGGCGATCGTTTTGGAGAAGATGACAGCTCAGATTTTGCGGTGGCAATGAGAAGAGAGACGAAAAGAAAATGGGGACGTTTACACGACGCACGAAGCACTAATACTGCAAAAGTCCTCGACCTTTTCCTTTAAAGGGAAATCGGGACTGGGTAATCTTAAGTCAAAAAAAAGAAAAAACAAGAAATGCTTAACCATTTCAATTGTTATTTACGTAAAATTACTTAAAAAAGAACTTTTTTTTGTCACAAAACACACACAAGCACGAAATCAAAGCGAGAGAGGCGCAAATTGAAGCTGAGTCCTGGGAGCAGAGTATTATGTAAACGGCTGAGATTCAAATGTCTGTACGGGGCTAATCCAGGAGGTAATGAATGAAGAAAACAAATATATGATGGATCCCACACATATACATAATGAGGAAAATTTGGAGAACATGAGAAGATTCCAAGCTGAAGGAGGAGGAGGAGGAGGAGGAGGAAGGGATGGACCTCCCTCCCCTTCTGATGCTCGATTCTTGATTGATTCTTGATTGATTCTTGACCGATTCTTAGTCAATTCTTGATCAATTCTTGATCAATTCTCAATTCTTGACCGATTTCTTTCAAATCTTATCTACAAATCGAAATTTTCAGCTTGTAAACAAAATTTGACTAAGAAATGGCTTAGGTTTAGCTTTGAATTTTCTCATGTTTAGTACACAAATACCACACGAACGAAAAGAAAAGCTAGAGAAGATCCTTTCGAGATTCTTGATAAAGATTGTGCTTTTGATTTTCTGCTTTGAATTATTTAGTAAACTTATTTAGTAAAGTATTTCTTATCTCGTTCGAATCTCTAAAATAACCTCTTTAGCCAAAAGTCTGGGATTTCTTTTGTTTAGGGAATAGGCGCTTTTGCGTAGCACCTTGTGCACCTTGTACAAGAAAAATCTGGGGACTGGGACTGGGTGAGGAGATTTTGTCATCAATATTTCTGAACAAATGTGAGAAAAACTCAATGATTATAAGGCCATTGAAAAGGAAATTTCCAGTTACTAATCATTGTGAAAAATCGTAATTGAAAAAAAATTGATCTGGGAGTATTCGTGAGATAAGCACAAAACTTTTTTGTGTAACAAATATTGCCTCTATGGGGATGAAGCACTTTCCATGACATCAGCTCACATGATTATCAAGAAGTCTATTTTTTTTATACTATAAAGATTAAAGACTAAGGATGAAAAAGGTGCGTTGAAGTGTAATTGAAGTGATCTTTTTTTCACTCAGTGCGGTTGCTGCTGCAGTTGTTGCACTTGCTGTATTTGCTGAACCTGTAAAATGTTGCTTAATTCTTGCTCAACTCTTGCCTAATTCTTGCTCAATTCTTGCTCAATTCTTGCTCAATTTTCAAGCATCAAATCTCAACCTGAATTTGTCGTTGGTGTGATTGTTGTGGCTGTTGCATGTGTTGATAAACGTCTGGGTGTTGTTGATTCAGAACCTCTCGTGCCATCTCCAAAAGCTAAACGTTATAGTTTTCAAGTCTTTATCATCATCTACCTTCGCATTTTTCTTCACTTTCACTGGCTTTACGGCAAGATGTGGATTATCATTGAGTAGCTGAAATTTTCATTGAGTTTCATTGAGCAACTGAGTTGAAACGAAAAAAACGAAAAAACGAAAAAACGAACTTGTTTATGCTCTTCTTTGCTGCGCTGTGACTGCTCAAAGTAGGGTCTTTTGTCTTCTTCTGAGAGCATTTTCCACATTTCCCCAAGCTAAATCAAGAGTTTATAAAAAAAAAAGTTTTTTTCAAAAGCAAAGCTTCAGATTCTAGTGTAATGCTTTCTAAATTCATTCTTAAGCTGACAATAAAGTATATAGAGGATAGAGAACAGTACTTAAATGAAAAGAGTTTTTAAGAGAATCTAACGCTAAGGAAACTCACTACTTGGCTAACGCTGTGCTTATTGTTAAAGTTAATTAGCTTATTAAGCTTATTGTTAAAGTTTAAAGTGTTAAAGTTAATTAGCTGAATAGAAACTAAAACTCGAATGAATTTAAAAGTTTTGGTTTGAGATTTAAATCTCAAAAACACGAAACTCGAAACGAAAACGAAAACTGGGACGCGATTTCATTTTCTTTTTTTGAACTAAATTTTAAATTTAAAGATTTACTATTCAAGTAGTAAAAAGTTTAGGTTTTTAGTTTCTATTGGATAATTTTTTATGCTTAAAGTTCAATTTAAAAGTTCAAAACTCCAAAAATGGAGCCCAGTTTTCGTCTCGAGTTTTCGAGTTTTGATTTCCAAAACTTTTGAATTCATTTGAATAGCAATTTGAGATTTCTGAGTGGAATTTTGAAGTAAAATGTTGAAAATAAGGAGTAAATTCTAGAAAAAATATGTTGGAGAATGGTTAACCCTAGGCAAAGCTATGAACTAGAGGAAAAAGTGTTCTTAAAAAATGTTCTTTCTAGTGTTCTTTCTAGTTCTTACAAAGTGTTCTTTCTAGTGTTCTTTCTAGTTCTTACAAACCAGTTTCCCCCTATTGAAACTCACGATGCAGTTGATATCGCACATGCGCATCTTGGGATTCGCTTTGACGATGTCGCCTCGTTTCTCGAGCACGAAGCACATATACGGATTGGGTGGACGTTTGACGAATTGCCTTCCTGAACCTGAGTTTAAGTTCGATTGTCCTTGAAAGTTCTGGGCAGAGCCACCATTTTTGTCAAACTGATTGTTGGTGAAGTGGGGCGCGTTGAGCACCTGGCCGACGGTCATGTTCCTGCAAGAAATCGATCTGAACCATACCAAAAACAGTACCCCTAACAATGCACGGAGAACTTACGGTGGGAACTGAGCCGTCGACATGCCGTTTGGTAGGGTCATTGGTGGTAAGTCTACAAAAACTCGCATTATAAGGTTTTTGGGTTTTGCGGCAAAAGGAGCAAAAGAAAGGGGTGAAAGTTTTACGAAAAGTTGCTTGGTCAGAAGGGGAGAGGAGAGAAAAAGATCAAGAAATCGAGGGTGTTTTTTTGTTTTAGAATTTCATTTCTCTAACCCACTTCTAACAACAATTAGTTTGAATCTTTTGTTCCTAAATCCAGGGTTCATAGAAAACTTGCGCTGGCCCACTTTGCGTATATCGAAACTTTTTTTACATAACTTTTGGCACATCATGGTATCAGAATTCTGAAAGGTTTTTTCTTAGAGGTCACACAAAGTTGGTTTTTGTTTGTTTTTGTTTGAAAATTTCATATATAGAAGAAGAACAAATGAACTGGCAATACCCGGGAATGGAGAATGTATTTCCAACGCGTATTTCCGACGACGAACGAACTGGCAAAAAAGGGGAATGATGGGATGGGGAATGATCCATTTTTTCAACTCACAACATTCACAGATTCAAATCTTTAAGTAGAAACACAGGTTTTAAGAAAAAAAAAGATTCTAAAAAGCTTTGATTTAGCAACAACGGGATCGAGGGAAATTGAGAGCTGATACAACAAACGAAGAAACTCGAAAAGTGACACTTGAAAGCTTTTTGTTTCCAAAGAAGTCCCGACTTTTCCTGAAGAACTAGTTAAACGTTAGCATTTTATTTGACTGAATTTTAGAAACCGAAAAGACCTCAAAAATCTCTCAGATCGGCCAATCTTAAATTTATTTGAAGAAAAGAAGAAAAATGGTAGTTCTTTCTAAAACAACTTCCAAAAACAACTTCCTAAACGAACTTTCAAAAACACTTCCTAAAAGAACTTCTTAAAAGAAGTTCCAAAAACAACTTCCTAAAAGAACTTCCTAAAAAACTGTTGCTCTAGAGAGTTTTAATCGTTCAATCCGTGCTAAAAGTTGTTGAAAACATTGAATGAAACTGAAAGAAACTATAAAAAATAAAAATTTTAAAAGTTTTATGATGAAATAGTGAAAATAAAAAGCTCGAATCCACGCAATACATGAAATTTTCAAAAAAAAAACCAACTTTATGCCCCTAAAGCAACTTTATGCCCCAACGAATTCTGACACCACGATTGACCATCAAAACTCAAAGCGCAAAAAAAGATTTTAGCTACGCAAAGTCGGCCACTTTTCTATGAACCACCCTGCATATCAGAAATATTTACACTCACTTTGACCGGCCTGTGGAGGCTTGTAGACTTGAGGGAATTGTTGCATCAGTTCACGAGCACGAGCACCGGTGTCAACCTGAGAATTGGATACCGTAAATCTACTATAAAGAGCAGTGTCTTTTTGTATGGGCATTTTCTTGACCGTGCTTTGAGCAATAAAGCTAAAACTTCTTTAGAAAACCTTAAAATATTTTGTAGTTGTGCAATTGAAATAAAAAATTCAAAAATTCGAAATTGAGCAGCACTACGGTGGGGTCGAACCCGGGTTGGTTGGGGCAGGAGACTCGCGACGCCTCCCTACTGCGCTACAGCGACGGTTAGACCAGCCCCAAAACATCCAGGCACAAAGCAGTTAGGCGGGTTTTTCAGCTGGTATCTATAGAACGATACCCCCATAATGACGGGCGTACAGTCGCGTAGTCTAACTTTGAACGTCCCGTTCTCCGCGCTGCTTTAATCTACATTGTGCGCTTTGGTGTCAAATGATAGCCCTTGAAATCTACTATTTACGGTAAATTTGATTATTTATTAGAATACCCCAGAGCTTGAGCGTTGCACTTTGATGGGTTTCACCATGAGGTGAGGGTTCTGACTGAGCATCAACTTGTGATCGGCTCGGCTTTGCTTGGCTTGATCAAAAAATGGACGCTTTTCCTCGTCGGAGAGTGCTTTCCACATTGATCCAAGCTGAAATTCGATTCTTTCTCAAGTTTGATTAATCTCCGTTATTTAGATTTATCTTCAAACCCACCATAGCATTAGCGTCTCTCATGCTGATCTTTGGGTATTGCTTGAGTACATCAGCGCGCTTTGCAGTAGCCCAAAGAATGAATGGATTTTGTGGGCGCTTGATGAAAACTAAATATTCTTTTAATAGATAAACTTTAGAAGTTTTCGAATAAACCTGATGAATCGCTTGCTTGTTGTTGTTGTTGTTGTTGTTGTTGTCGTTGCTGTTGTTGCTGCTGTTGTTGTTGATTCTGAAAGGATATAGATAATAAAACTCGCTTAAGATCTAGCTAGCTATAAGTCATATCTTTAAATACCTGTTGTTGATTTTGAATTTGTTGAGCAATAAGTTGCTGCGAGGTGACATGCTGTTGATGAGGTTGACCGAGTTGGGTTGCGTAGAGGCTGGCTCTGAAAAGATAACATTAACCTCAATAATGTTATGTAAAGTTTATTATTAAGCTATTCTACATGTGAAATTTTTTTATTCATTTATAGAAAAATATTATTAGTTAATATAAAACAACTGAAAACTTGGCGTTTTTCAAAAAAAAAAGGACCAAAAATTTGGCCTTTTTGTAGAAAACAATAACAATTTATAAAAATATTCAAATAGTTTTAAGTTCTAGTTTTCTTTATATCTTTATGTTTTTCTTTTTATTCTATCTTATTTTATTCTATCTTATTTTATTGTATCTTATATTATTATACCTTATTTTATTCTATTTTATTTTATTCTATCTTATTTTATTCTATTTTATTTTATTATACCTTATTTTATTCTATTTTATTTTATTCTATTTTATTTTATTCTACCTTATTTTATTGTATCTTATTCTATTGTATCTTATTTTATTGTATCTTATTCTATTGTATCTTATTTTATTCTATTTTATTTTAATTCTATTTTATTTTATTTTATTTTATTTTATTTTATTTAATTCTATTTTATTTTATTCTATTTTATTTTACTCTATCTTATTTTATTGTATCTTATTTTGTTCTATCTTATTTTATTGTATCTGACCCATTCATATTCTGTGGTTGTTGAATGAAATTCATTGTGGGCGCGGTGGTGGTCGGATACGTTTGAAAGGTTGGTATAGACAATACAGCAGCACTGAAAACCTTTCAATAAATAACGTTTTTGAAAAAACGATAAATATTTGCTTAAATGAACAAACCCATTAATGTTGTTAAGGTTGTGCTCGGGTTTGTTGTTAAGGTTTGTGCTTGGTTGTTGAAGGAACATTGAAGTAAAAATTGAAGCCGGGTCCGTGCCCGAACTGTCAATATTCATTGCTGAAATGTTAGAAATTCTATCAATTCCTCATAAAGATCATTATATAAATCTAAATCAAAAAAAAAATCCACAGAATTTCAATAATCAAAAAAATTTTTTTTGGCTGAGTGATTTCGCAATCCCATGTAGAACTGACTTGCACTTTTGGAAAAAAAAAAAGTGAATAATAAATAAAACTAGATTATTAATTTATAATCATAGAAGAATTCTAGCATTACCATAAAAATCCCCATTCCCTCGACCTACATGGAAGGAAAGAAACCCTCTTTTTTTTCTGTCTTTGACAAAGAGCGCCGAAAAAGCCACACACAAAAATAAAAACGCGAAAAGAGGCTCCAAAAATTTCAGAGAAGATAATTAGAAAAGAAAGTAAAAAAAAAAAAAACAAAGTGAAAGTGGTAGGAAAGAATGAGAGAAACAAAGGAAAAAAAGTCAAAAAAGAAAAGATTTTGCAAGGAATGGCACTCGCGTCTCTTGCCTACGCACTGTTCCCCCTTCCCCCCTTTGGACTCAAGCCAACATCTCATCAAAATACAAAAAAAAAAGAATATTTAGTTCTGTTTCTTATTTATCTTTACTTATTTTTTTGTTTGTGTAAGAAAAAGAGAGAAAAAAACGCGCGAAAAGAGTCGAAATTTGATTGGCTTCACTATGTTGGCCGGGTGCCAACTCTATCAAACTTTCATTCTCTAACGATTAGGGGACTCGAATAAAAGTTATAAACACATAGCCCATCCAGGTGGACATAAACAAACAAAATCTTGATAAATTAATAGTTCTTTTAAGTGAAATGAGGTATTTGAGGCAAAAATGGGATTTTTGGATGCTTTGAGTGATTTGAACGGATCGCACAGCTCTTTGTGGCGGCTCAAACGGAAGCTGAAGCGGGCACAGAAGCCGCCACGGTCACTAGATGCATCGGCTCATGCTTGTGCTGCTGCATGGCCGAGAACATAACCATAACAAAACGGGCAGTGAGGAAGGAAGCGAAGAAGAATCAAAAGAGACGCACAAAATGGAAAGAATCGAAAGGGAGGCGGCTCTGTGAGCGCCCGGGCTTGTGCCTGTGTGCTGCGCTCGTCCATCGGCTGAAAGGGGAGAAGGGGGTCGTCGGTGGAGGAAATCGAGAAGAGGATTGGGTAAAAGAGAGAGACCGAGGCACGCAGACGCCCATTCGGCCACCCCACTGCACAATGGGAAGAGGAGAGAGTGTGTAGAGTGCGGAGAGGCGTCGATCCATACGATGTGAAGAGTGGGACTGGAGAGGAGAGGGTCGAGCACACAGATTGAATCGACCCCGCTTCGTGGTCAGCGCTAGGCAGTGAGTGAAAAAGAGAGGTGAATGAGATGCAGACCGAGGGACGAGGCCGAACCCCCCTCGTGTCCACTGCCATTGGCGTTTACAGTGGAGAGAGAATGGAGAGAACAGACGCGTTGATGGGCACGCTTTAGGACGCAACTCTACGACATAGTTAGCGAGATTGGGCTTAAGAATACATAGCGAGGATACAAGAAGTACATGGCTTAGGAAATTGAATGTCCAAGAAGGTTCTAGGTAAAGTGGGAGAAGTTTGAGCTCTAGTAGAAGTAAAGGAGCAGTCGAAAAGGCTGTTGATTCTTCGTCTGAGTTTTAATTTTAATAGATTTTCTTACTGGTAATACTAATAACTCGTGCGACGACAGAGCTCACAAAAATTGTGATAACTCAAAAGCTAAAGAAGTGATTTAAAAACCGTAAGAAGATTTAAATTCTGTGGGGAATTGATTATTTTTATCTATAAACACTTGTGAAATAATAACAATTAGAGAGAATTGAAGAAAATTAAAAGAGAACAGAACTTTCGCCGTACCCTGGACTTATCTTTACACTCATCTTTACATAAAGTACTCATCTTTTTGGCTTTTCCAAGTCTGTTGAATAAAATTTGCATATGTTTCTATATCCACAAATCAATCAATTAAAGCAATATTGTGTGTGAAAGATTTGAAAAAAAAAAGGTGAAACAAAAGCACATTTATTACCGTAGACTAGTGTAAACTATTGATTTGATAAAGGTAATTAAAGAAGAAAAAAAGGGGTGTAAAGAATAAGAAATGAGAAGAGGGGATGCACCGGTTGGCCCGTAATATGTGAAGATCAAAGATTCAAAGATTCTCTTTGAAGTGAATAGAAGAAAATAGAAAACAGAAAACAAAAAATCGATCAGTTTTCGAATCACAAACGCACTTATTGAATGAGGAAGAAGCTACGTGTTTGTTGCATCTTTTGAGGTGCCAATCGAGTTCTGAATGGTTTTTGAATAGATTTCGAGAGAAGTGTGATGTAAATCTACCTGACTAGGAGAGTTTCCCATTAGGACTTTCTCGATTTCGTCAACGGGAATCCCACCCACTGTGCGTCCTGACTGAAAAGCTAATGTTTTTAAAGATTAAATGGAAAAGTCTACCCTTCTGAGAGAGTTCTGAAACAAGCTAAGCTAAACTAACGATGCCGCCCTTTAGAATCAAAATATGACCTTATCTGAAAGTGGTGTCCAACAAAGTTTTCCCATTCGATATGAGTCAACAAATTTTGTGAGAACCTCATCAGAAACATCTGGATCAGGACAAACAGTTAGACGACCACCTAAAGCTTTTTGTTTTAAGTTCTTAATCATTTTCTCACCCAATGCATCAACTATACAGATTAGAGGAAGTTCAGCATCAGCAAGACCCAAGATTTCCTCAAGAATCTAAAACAAATTTTGTAAGCTCTATGCTTTTTTTTCCTTACATGATCACAAATCGGATCTTCACCAGTGAAAAAGACTTGCAGAGGATCGGTTAAAGCTGGAATTGGGGCTTCTGAATCGACGGAACTGAATGGAAATTGAGGTTTTGTAAATATTTTCTTGAATTCGACTACCTGCACTCCTCTTGACTTGTACTGTGCTTTAACTGTGGCGTGCTAGATCTCGAGTTCCCATTCCCGTTCTCATCACTTTTCTCTTTTCGTTCCTGAAACTTATTTCAATAAAGAAAAGAGAACGGTAAACTTTAAGAGAATTTACCAATGACTCTTCTCTAAACTTACAATTAAACTCACAATTTCTCTTTTCTTTTCCGCATCGAGTTTCTCCAAGAAAAGCCTTCGAGCCACCTGGCTGAGCACCGTTTTTGAGAATTGAATGTCATCTTGTGAGCCTTCTAAAGGTGAATAATTGAACGTTCTACCGTAACTATGATAAACCAGTAAATAAAATAAGCGATGGTTCATCTCGAAGTCGACAAACGTTCAACTCGGTAAGTTCATAAATAGGACGAGGACCCCAAGGGAAGTGAACTCCCTAAAACACTGTTACTTTTTTTCTTTCTCTTCCTTACATTTCCTATTTGTTTCCTAACGCTAATAGCTCAGTGGTAGAGTGTCAGGCTGGTAATGAGAAGGTCGAGGGTTCAATTCCCCGGTCACAAATTTTTTTATCATTGACATTTGGATGATCCAAATGTCAATGACATCTACCAATCAAAGAATACAAACTTTTGGATCATCAACTAGCGTTTGTCGTCCATGTCGTGTGATCACTCTGTTCTCTTCATCAATCAAAATCAAAGACGGGATCCCTAAAATGAAGCTTTTAAAAGTTAGTCATTGATTTTTCTACCAGAGATGTTGAATAATCGAGTGAGTAGAACAGTGTGTGAGGGATCAAAAGGAAAAGCCATCCATGGCATCATCCCTGAAATCTTTTCTTTTTAATTGATCAATCATTGTCATACCGGTGAATTCATCGTAAAACTCTTGACTTCTATCGGAAGAACAGAAAATGATCTCCAATGAGATTCCATTTTTCTTCAGAGATTCGTAGGCGGGAATGAGTTGTTTAATCCATTGACGACAAGGAGGACACTGAAATTTAAAATGTTTATATATGTTTTAAAATGTTTATATATGTTTTAAAATGTTTATATATGTTGTGTCCGATTTAGATTCAATCTAAATCTTATATAGATTATATAGATTGAACAATAATATAAACATGTTTAATAAACATATGTTCTTAAGCGTTTTCTGTAGTTTTCTGCATTTTCAAAGGTCTTTTATTGATTACAGTCTATAGTTGGGTTTTCTTTTCAGAAAAAGACAGTAAAACAGAAAAAGACAGTAACAGACCTTTGAAAAATGCAGAAAACTACAGAAAACGCTTAAGAACATATATTAAGCATGTTTATATTATTGTTCAATCTATATAAGATTTAGATTGAATCTAAATCGGACGTCCGATATAGACTGTAATCTAAATAGGACGTCCGATATAGACTGTAATCTAAATAGGACGTCCGATATAGACTGTAATCTAAATAGGACGTCCGATATAGACTGTAATCTAAATCGGACGTCCGATATAGACTGTAATCTAAATAGGACGTCCGATATAGACTGTAATCTAAATAGGACGTCCGATATAGACTGTAATCTAAATAGGACGTCCGATATAGACTGTAATCTAAATAGGACGTCCGATATAGACTGTAATCTAAATCGGACGTCCGATATAGACTGTAATCTAAATAGGACGTCCGATATAGACTGTAATCTAAATAGGACGTCCGATATAGACTGTAATCTAAATCGGACGTCCGCGATAAGTTCAATCTAAATCGGACGGAAATCTAAATCAGACACAACATATATATATTGATTCCTCACCCAATAAGCTCCAAAAAATAGCGCTCGAACTTTAGCGGGAAGTTCTTTCCATGCCGTCTTCACTAAATTCTTTGTTGATTGATCTCTTCGCTGCACACTCGCATTCAGAAGAACATTTTCCACACTTGGCGGCCACCTGTAAACGAATTATGCAAGAAATTGCTCTTTCTAACTAACCATGGAAAATGTTGACCAATGGGATCATCATGAAGCAATCTTCTTGCTTCAGTGGTGATCACAGCTCGTGTATTTCCCTCAACAACCACAATCGACGGAGCCACTTCAAAGCCCAAGCCACGGAGTAAACGAGACTGCAAACATTCTTGTAGTTTCTCCTCTTTGATAAATCTATAGACATACCCGTGTGCCCAAATCTTTTGACCCAACTTGATACCATCCTGGCTGAGCAAGATTTGAGACATTCTAGGAAATTGATTATTCAATTTTTTTCACTTTACTTTACCTCTTGATTATTGCTTGTTTCAAGAAGAACAACAGAGATTGAAAGCTGAAAGTTTTTGAGTTTTAAAAAACAATTTTCTTTACCGAATTCCTTACCGAATCACTTCCATTTTCTTTCACTTTCTTTTTCTTCTTGATCCCGAAAAAACGACGGATACGAGCTGGTGAGCTAAAAAGTTTTATACTAACTTTAACTTTAGCTTTCACTTTAACTTTAACTTTAGCTTTAACTTTAGCTTTAACTTTTTCTTTTACTTTACAACTTTGCAAGATTTCAATAGAGTTTGGGGTTTTTTAAGGAGAAAAGAAAGCAAGAATTGGACAAGCGGAAGCTTTGAAGACTCAAAGTCATTACTCTGATAAGTTTTCTACTAACTTTAACTTTAACTTTAACTTTTTCTTTTACTTTACAACTTTGCAAGATTTCAATAGAGTTTGGAGGTTTTTAAGGAGAAAAGAAAGCAGGAATTGGACAAGCGGAAGCTTTGAAGACTCAAAGACTCAAAGTCATTACTCACAGAGAAACCTGAAAAAGAACTCACTCTGATAATCCATTCTAGCTTAGTGTCTGTTTCTAAACAAACAAAACAAAAAATGTTAAAAGAAAAGAAATTCTATGACTTTATTCAAATGTATACAAAACTTTTGAGAGTTTTGAGATTCAAGAAGAGATTTTAATCAGCTTTGAGAGGAAATCCCTGGGGGAAATCATCGGCTGTGAAATCCTATTTATCACTTAAGCGTAAGCAGATTTCAAAGAGATTACAAGTGAAAAGATTATAAATATTTTAAATTGAAACCTTGACGTTTTCTCTCCAGTAAAAGCTGCATTTTTCTTCTGTACCATTTCCTCCAATTTTCCAGCTAATTCCAAAGTTCTTGAACTCGATGATGTGCTTTGTGATGATTCTAGAATATTAATTTAAATCAGGAACAGGTAAAAGGTAAAAGTTGATCTGACAAAAGCATCAAAACCGCAAAACTGCCATTTTTTTAGTTGAAAAAAACTGATTTTTGGAAACCAACCTGCTAGAAAAAAGATGACATATTGAGAAGAGGAGAAGAGATGTTCAAGGGTGATTCTTGGTGTCGAATTACCATCTTTTGACTAGAAATTTATTGAATATTGATTGGAAAACTTTTTCAGCAAAAACTCTTTCAAAACTAGATTTGTACCTGATTGAGAAATGGAACGCGAACAAGGGGAATATTGCGAAACGAACTCTCAAATAGCTCGTCGAAAAGCATTGCCTCTGTAAATTTCTTTATAAATTCATAAATCTAAATTGTATTTGAACTGTTCTAAAACTAAAAAAAATAGGTTTTAAAAAACCGAAAACTGGCGAAAGCATCAAAACCGCAAAACTGCCAATCCAAAGTGTCACTTGCAGATCAATTGAGTTATAAAGAAAGAAAAAAAAAATAAAGATAAATAGATAAAATGAAAAAGAAAAGACTATCGGATAAATAAAAGGTTTTTTTTGGTGAAGATGGAAATGAACCGGAGGGGGGACACTTGTGGCCAAGAATTGATGAAAGAAAGGAAAACCTGTTTGCTTTGAGAGGGGTCACCACACTCCACTTTTGCCTTTTAATTTTTAATTTAAACCACGCCTTTTAATCATCGAAGTACCTCTATTTACTCTATTTTACTCTATTTTACTTAATATTTATCAAAAAAAGTAAATAGATTTATGATTATCTAAGGAATTACGAAAGGAATTACGAAAGGAATTCAGTAAAAATCTTGTTAAGATTTGTTAGTTCGGATCATTTGCCGTGAAACAGATGGATGAATTGACCTCTTTTAATCATCGAAGTACCTCTATTTACTCTATTTTACTCTATTTTACTTAATATTTATCAAAAAAAGTAAATAGTTTTATGATTATATAAGAAATTACGAAAGGAATTCAGTAAAAATCTTGCTAAGATTTGTTAGTTCGGATCATTTGCCGTGAAACAGATGGATGAATTGAGTAAAGAAAGGCTGACGAAAAAAAAAAGATTTGTTTATTCGATTTAAATTTGAACTAGCTAGAGCAGACAAGTCTGTCCACTTGACACAAAAAGACAAAAAGTTAAGTTCTCAGGTTTCAAATTGTTCTTGTAAATCTTAGAACTCGAAAATTTGGACTGTAAAAAGGGAGCTTAATTTGATTTGTACCAATAAAGAAAGAGGAAAAGAGAGAAAAAAAAGAGATTGAGGGTTTTTGCAATCGATCGATTTCTATCTCTTTTCTCTCTTTTCCCATTGGCTGGGTATGCGGCACCAATTGAATCCCAGCACTTGACATCGGCAGATGGACAACCGCTCTCTTCATTTCACCCCCTCGATCCCTCAATTCGATCAGTCATCCACCATTGGGGAAAATCGAATACACTAAAGCAGATAGCTTTGGGGCTCAAGAAAAAAGTCATTCATTTCTTTTGGCTCTTCTATTAAGAATATATCGATTTCTAAATATATCGATTTCTAAATGAATCGAATTATCGATTTATTTAGAAACATTTGAATTCTTTTTCTAAATTTATCATTTACTTTTGATCTTTTTCGATCAAAATCCGTTAGACAGACTTCTTACATCTTTAACAAGCTTTACACATACACTACTTACACATACACTACTGGTGTAAGAGGTGATGTGTGGCTCAAGACCTGGAAAATTTTCATAATTCTAGAGTTTTCTTTTCGATTTTTCTTTTACCCGACATCCAGTATACTAAAGAAATGTAAATTGTTGGCATCACACAATATTGTGGAGCCTGAAAGCATTGATTTTTGCATTGATTTTCATTGAGCTACACTACTGGACAATGAAATATGATATTTGAAAAACGATCGTCACTTTCGCGCATCTGTAACTCCCTTGTCTTTACCGTATTTCTAAATATTAATATGACCATTGTGTAGCCCTTGAAAAGAGCTTTCAGAAAATGTATAACACTAATAGTTTAAACTCAAAGACAAGGGGGGTTATAGACGCGCGAAAGCGACGATCTTTTTTTCAAATATGATATTTCATTGTCCAGTACTGTACCAACGAATGGTTAATTTGTAAACAACTTGTAAACAAACAATCCACTATCCATTTTTTATGTTACAATGTATTCTGATAAGCTAAGGAAAAGGTTTAAAAAACGTAAAAACAAGAATGTCTTTATAGAAAACACTCGCCAGGCAGTAAAAGTTCGTTGAAAATGAGTCATCAAAAAAAAAACCCTAATTAACAACTGCTCATAAAGAAAATATCTTGAAATTTTTAAATTTAAAGGAAATTTAAAGATCAATTGTAAAAGTGATGAACAAAACCACAAAAAAAGGATAATTTGCAATTGCATTTGTTGCCAGAGGGAAACCTCAGTCAAACAAAGTTTCGGGCGAGAGTAATGTGACAAAGACAAAGAGTGTGGGATGAATTGGAAAAGAAAGAGAAGGAGAAGACATGTGGATCCTTCACATAAACCGTAAAAATTGGTAGGGGTGAAGGGGGAGCCTTCTCGAGGCATGGGAAGGGGAGGGAGGTCCATCCCTTCCTCCTCCTCCTTCCCCCCTTCCTCCTCCTCCTCCTCCTCCTCCTTCCCCTCCATCTCCCTCCTTCCTCCTCCTCCTCCTTCCCCCTCCCCGTCCATTCCCTCTCCTCAAAGATTGGCGGGAAATCCCTTTTTCTGCTTTGCTGTTTGATGGTGACTCTCTTGATGTCTTCTCTATTTCTACCCTTTTTTCTTTTTCTTTAAAATGAAACACGATGATTGGGATCTCTTTCTGTGAGCACTGTCATTCTCTTTTTGTTTGAAACGACCTCTTTCCATCTTTCCAATCGAATTTCCATAAATGATTTACCCGAACACAAAAAGTAAATTTTTTTTTTGGTTAAAAATTGAAATTGAAAAGAAGTTAAATAAGAAATAAGTAAAGTATGAAAAAAGTGTTCTTTAATCTTTAACATTGTCGGAGTGTCGATGGAAATGGAAATGGAAATGGAAATGCATATTGAATCAGCAAAGTGGCGATGAATGAGTAATCGATTTGGAAAGAAAGAAGCTTTTAGATGTGCTCTCAATCTATTCAAAAAAAAGCTTTTCTTTTCTCTATTTTGTACACATTCATCAGCCTTTCCCCTTTCCCCATTGATAACCTTTACAAAAATGAATATTCTTATTGAATGTTCTCATTGAATGATGCCTTGAAAGCTGAAAAGTCATATGTAATTTTTACAATGTACATTTATTTAAGTAGACAATGCTTGCATACGAACGAGTTTTGCGTAGAAGCCATTTTTAGAGAAAAGCTCTTCATGTGTCCCGCTTTCCATCACTCGACCGTCATCTGAAGAATAAAATCTAAGAATTGAAAAGCTTTCTTACCAATATAGTAGATTTTATCACAAGATTGTATAGTTGATAGTCGGTGAGCGATTGAGATTGTTGTGCGGTGTTTTGATGCCAAAGCCAAAGCTGATTGAACCATCTAAACAGTTTGAAAAAGAAATTTTCAATTTCTCTTTTCACTTGTTCGCTTTGCGTGTCGAGAGCGCTTGTCGCCTCGTCCAGTAATAGAATTTTAGGATCTCTGAAACATTTGACAAAAATGACTGTAATCTCTAGCTCTAGCTCTAGCTCTAGCTCTAGTTCTAGTCTCTAGCTCTAGCTCTAGCTCTAGCTCTAGTTCTGCTCCGCTTAGCTTCCTAGCCAGCCTGCCCAGCTCTAGCCTGCTCTAGCTCTGCCTAGCTCTGCCAGCTCAGCTCTAGCTCTAGGCTCCAGCTCTAGCCCTGCTCTAGCTCTGGCTCTAGCCCCCTAGCTCGCCCCAGCTCTGCTCTGTTCTAGTCTCAGCTCTAGCTCTGCTCGCTGCTCGGCTCTAGCTTTAGCTCTGGCCACCTGCCCCTAGCTCTAGCTCTAGCTCTAGCTCTAGCTCTAGCTCTAGCTCTAGCTCTAGCTCTAGCTCTAATCTCTAGTATCAGTACAGTATGTCGAAGCAAAAACACTCTTGTCAACATTCTTATTACCTGAACACTTTTATTTTGGAATACAGTAACGGTTTAGAGTATGACTTCGTTTTGGAATCTTGGCTTACCTGATCAATGCACGAGCAATAGCTATCCGCTGTTTTTGTCCCCCAGAAAGCCCCTTTCCTCGATCACCAATCTCTGTCTGGTAACCCTAAATTTCTTTTCAAAACTTGATCCATCTTACTCTAACCAATGGCAAAGCTTCGATAAAATCAGCACAATGCGCATCTTTTGCCACTTTTCTCACTCTTTCCATATCGACTTTTCCCTCAATTCCCAAAGTAATATTTTCCAGGATTGTTCCCTAAAACTTCAATAGATATTTCCACTAAAATTCTTACTTTAAAGAGCACAGGCTCTTGTCCAACTAAGGCGATGTGATTGCGCAAATGCTTCAGCGAGAGATCTTTTATTTTATAACCACCGATTTTCTAAATTAATAAAATAAAGAAATGAATGGCAAAGAATGGCATTTGGGAGAATTGAACCGGTTAAGAAATAAGATAAGACTCAAAATTCTTAACCAATTGTCCGCTGGATGGTGAATAGAATCTTTCGATGAGTTGAATGAGTGTACTCTTTCCACATCCACTTTCGCCCACTAAAGCGATCGTTTCACCCGCTTTCGCTGCAAGGCTCAACTTTGAAGCAACCTAAGCATTTAATAGAAATTTCTTTGAATTTATAGAACTTTATGATCTGGTCGTGATGGATAAGTAAAGGTAACGTCGACGGCCTCAACACTTCCATCCAGATTCTAAAATAATATTCTTTAAAATTCTTAACCTAAGCACTCAGAACCGGTTTATTTCCATTGTCAAGTTCTGTTATTTTTCCTTGAAGAAGCCGATAAAGAGCTGCTGAAGCTGAAGCGGCACGGGAGACATCGTTGAATGATGGTTGCATGAAAAATAAAGCCCATCCAGCAAACGAGACACACATTGAAGCTCTGAAATCATTCAAACATTCAATCATTCAACTTATTCTTTATTTCAACTTACAGTAAAACGTCATTAGATTTAGCGTCTCCAATATAAACGAGATGAATTCCAAGAGCAAAAGCTGCAGCCTCACAAAAGAAGACAAATCCTTGGGTGAGAGCTTGAGTCGAAGCTTTGAGAATCGACACCTGAGTATATTAAACATTTCAAAATCAAAACCTGACAGCCGCCGTAGCTGACTGGCTAAGAGCCCTGTATCCTAGTCAGTAAGTTTCATAGAAACATTAGAATCAGAAGTGTCGTACTTGGAGAATAACTGTCATTACGGGGTGTCGCACAATTAACCGCACTCAGTTCAAATTCACATTTTGAACTTTGATCCCTAATCGAGGGAGATCAAGGGTTCAATCTCGCCGACTAGATTCTTGGCTTTTTTTCCAGATCTATGCTCTTTTTTTCTTTTCTACAGTTAAAAGTTGTGCTTGTGTATTGTTGGTCACATCACATTATCACATTATTGGTGTGAATAAAAAAGTATTCCTTTAAAGTATTCTTTTAAAGTATTCTTTTAAAGTAAAGTATTCTTTTAAAGTATCTCTTTAAAGTATTCTTTGAAAGTATTCTTTTAAAGTATTCCTTTAAAGTAATATTTTAAAGTATTCTTTTAGAGTATTCTTTTAAAGTAAAGTATTCTTTTTACCTTTTCATCAAGTTTCTTGATGCTTTTTTGCGTTTTCTCAAATTTATCAAGGAAAAATCTCTTTGCACCTAAAATTTGAATGCTCCTTGCGTAGATGATCACTTCCAAAGAGAGCTAAACAAATGGTGAGATGAGGAAATTTCTAATTGATCACCTGTGCAGTTGTATCTGTGATCATTCTCTTTTTCATCGCTTTCTCTACTGCAAAAGTTAAACCGAATAAAGAAATGGTGAGTATAAAGCAAATTCCAATCGATAGAAAGCCCATCTAGATTTGAATATTTTAAAATTATTGATGAGTTTTGAGACTGAGACTTACTTGCCAACAAAATGAAAACGTTAAGCCAAGGCAAACAAGAAGTGCCGAGAAATCACTAGAGAACACACAGAAACGACTGTCTAACGCCTAAATTTCAGAATTTCAGACTTTCAGACTTTCTGAACTTCTAAACTTCAGAACTTCAGAACTTCAGAACTTCAGAACTTCAGAACTTCTGAATAATCTCTCCGAAAAGTCACCAACCGCTTTACAATTATCGGGTTGCTGTGAAAGAGTGACTATTGTGTTTGATGGAGAATTTTGTCCCTCAAAGCAATACCCATCTCGAAGTAGAATCTTTTCTAGCACTCTCTCCCTCAACTCATTCACACAAATGTCAGCACTTTGTCCAGAAAGAACATGCTAAAGCAAAAGCCAACTTTTTTGTTTTGTTTAAGCCAAACAAACAGCCAGCGTGATCACAAAAAGACAGAAGATTCCGAGTGACGCGAACAAGATAACTCCCTGAATTTCACTTGTCTTCTTTCTTTCATTCTTTGCTTTTACCTTTATCAATGGTGTTTGATAAGTATCTTTAGTGGAATCAAGCGCATTATAAATGAGGACTTGAAAATAGCAATACATTGGAAGCTCAATGCCGCGAATCAATGAGATTACCTTAAAAGTGATTTGATTTACAAAAATGTCAACGAACCTGGGCTAAAATGATTGAAAATGCATGATTCTTTAGAGAATCTTTGTAAAATTGAATGAGAAACGACCAAGATTTTTGTTTATCCTCTCGTCCAATCTAAAACAGTTTCTACATAGTTCAACATCGTTTAAAAGTTCATATAATAAATTCCAGAGTCACGTCCGTTTCATTCAAACATTACGTTCCCATTTGAATTTAATTTGCGTCGCTTTTTCGTCTCATTTTCTTCCTCATTTTTTTTCGGCAAAAATTGCGTTTGCTCTTTTGGATTTAAAGTTTTTCTCTCGTTTTTTCAAGATTTGATTTTTCTTTTTTTAATAGATATCATTGCCTTTTCTTTTTGTACTAATAAACCGTAAAATTAGAAATCCGATCGACTTTCAACTATTCTTAAGGTTCAACTTTCTAAATTCTCTTTATAGATACCCAGTTTTAGATTATAGAAAGAATTTGCTAATGTTTGTGTTGCCATCGACGAAGCGTCAATCATATACTCGTATCTAGATTGATATTTTAATTTTAATTAGCACTATCTATAGTAACTAGCTAATATGTTCTTGTTTATGTTGTGAGCGTTTTACGAAAACCCGTTTAACTATTTAACTATTTGTGCTATTCGGTTATTTTGAAACAAAATCATTCCCGAACTCGAGGATATTGCGTTGGAAATTCTGACTTTGTTGATGTAATCGATAGAGGAAGCGATATCAGAAGTGGTGACAGAATTGGAGATGACTCGTCCAAGGTGAGCAGCACCTCGGAAACTTGATCGAAGACCCGGTTCGAGTGATCGCTTTCGAGGAATCATCAAAGCTCTGAAATTTGTCCATTAAGGGATCATGCAATTCAGTAGCTTTATAGTTAGCTATATCTAAAAAAACCTGCAAAGATTTAATTAATTCATTCCTTATCCTTTTTATATACTTATCAAAATGAAACCCATTCCCACTTTTCAATCAAATCCTCTCCTTCAATCGTTTTTTCAGCTTGCTTGCTGGTTTTTGTAAAATGTAGAACATTTGTGTAAGCTTTAGCAACAGCCTAAAAGGAATTTATGTCTTTTTTAAAGTTTTTATAATTTTTATTCACTCTAAAAGAGAATTTTCGGGAAAATTGGCAAAAAAGAAATGTGATGGGTGGTCTAAAAGGTTGTGGGTGGTCTCGTGCTTGGTGAATCGTTTTTCTCTTTTCCATCCCATTCCCCTCCTCCCATTTCCTTTTCAAACAATAACCCATAGTCACACGCTCAAATCATAGCTTGCTTCGAGTGATTTTCTAAGCACAAACTTACAGTAGCGGACATAATTTTGGAAACTTTTGTTTTTTCTAAAAATTTTTTTTAGTAAAATCTGATTCGGTATGTTTACTAGCGAAAATATGTAGACCTAAAAAGCACGTAATAATCCATGGACAGAACTGCTGAACTTTTTGAAAACTATTATTTTTAATGCATTTATCTATAAACCCAGAGGACATAAATTTGGAAACTTTTAAAAACCACTCGAAATAATGACGTAAAAAACCATTGAACTTCTAAATTAAAACAAAAACAAATAAATCAATTCAATATTTTGCGAAAGATCCTTTAGAATCAATGATAGTCTGGCACCGAGCGCTCATCGAAGCGACCAAGTTTTGGATGGTTGTTGTTTGAATTTCCATCCATTTCTTAGCCAAAAGCTCGAATTTTTCATTAAGATTATGGCTCTTGACGCCTGACAGGCTCTCTCCAGAACTTCCTATAGATGTTCAATATGGTTTTAGATCAGAATTCTGGCTCGGCCATTCCATAAAATAATTCCTTCCTGCTGAAACCAGTCGTTTACAAGGCGCGAAGTATGTTTGTCCTGTTGAAAAAGAAAGTTGGAAGGCATCAACTGGAGGGCATTCAACTGGAGGGAAGCTTATTTTTCGATAAAATGTCCAAGCAAGCACGTTTGTCTATAATTCCATCAGTGCATTTTAATGGGATCATTCTGTAAGCTGAAAAGCCGCTTCATACAAGATCATTACCACTGTCATGCTTCAAAGTCGGAATTACGTATTCTTTACTGAACCTTTTGTTGATATGACGACGAACATATCGAATGCCATCAGATTCAAACAATTCGGACTTACTTTCGTCCGAAAAGAGGCAAATAGACCATTGTTGAGCCGTCCAATATCGATGCTCTTCTGTGATTTTGCCTCGAAGCTTGCGAATCTTTGCAGAGATCAGTGGCTTATAAGCAGGACGTCGACCAAACAATCCAAATCCGCGTAAATGACGTTGTACTGTCTTTGAACTAATTTCCTTTTTGACTTTGTCAGGCAAATCGGCGTAAATCTCGACCGACGACTTCTTTGGGTCAGCCTTTGAAAGAGTATTTCATCTGCAAACCATCTCGTTTTGTGGTCTTTCTGTGTTTTCCCGTATGCTTATGAGCATTTGCTGTTCCAGTTCGAGCGTATCTTTTTAAAATTTTTGATACAGTACTCTTCGAAAGACCAAGGGATCGAGCGATAAATGTCTGCATTTGCCTATTTTGGTGCATCCATACAACATCTTCGCGTTTCCCTGTTGAAGTCTCTTTCTTGCTGCCCATTTATAAAAAAAAGTTAAAATAATTAGTAGAGGTTTAAAAAGATAAAAATAGAACAAAAAAGTAATATACCTGAGGTTTTTATGAAAGTTTCCAAATTTATGTCCTCTGGGTTTATAGATAAATGCATTAAAAATAATAGTTTTCAAAAAGTTCAGCAGTTCTGTCCATGGATTATTACGTGCTTTTTAGGTCTACATATTTTCGCTAGTAAACATACCGAATCAGATTTTACTAAAAAAAATTTTTAGAAAAAACAAAAGTTTCCAAAATTATGTCCGCTACTGTATGTATCCATATTTCAAAGCTAACCCCAACAAAGCCGCTCACAAAAAAACTTTAATTCTTGAAATCTATCAACTTTGTAAGCCAATATATGCAATGAATATTGGTTTATCCAACCTTTAGATTGATACTTTCAGCTGGATAGATGAATAGATCCAATGAATAGAATAGATAGCATTTGGACTCACCTTGAAAGTCTTTTTCCCTTTCCCTTTCAAGTTTGTTTTGATCGCATCACTCGTTGTCGTTTCTTGACTCAATTGTTGAGCTTTTGCCAATCCCGCATAAACTCCATCTAGTTCTAGGAGTTCCGAATGTGTTCCTGTAATTAGATCTTTTAAATCTTTTAACATCTTAAACTTGAAAACCTTTTTCAACGATATTTCCTTTGTCAAAAACGAAAATCACATCGGAATCTCGGATTGAGCTGAGACGGTGAGCGATCGAGATGGTTGTCCGGGTGCGTTTAGTTCGATCTAGTGCTTTCTAAAAGAATTGATTAGAAATAGATTTGGGTAAAACATTTAAGGGCTATAGGGTAAAGCTGTCACCTGAACAGCAGCCTCACTGTTTGTGTCAAGGGCTGAGGTGGCTTCATCTAATAGTAAGATTTTCGGTTTTCCCAAAAGCGCTCTCGCAATTCCGATTCTTTGTTTTTGTCCTCCTGATAGTGCCATTCCTCCATAGCCAACTATTGTATCGTAACCCTAAATGAGAATTGGTTAAATATTCTTCAAAAGTTACCAGAAACTTTTCTCACCAATATCTTAACGCCTCTTTTTTTACCTTGTCCAACTTTAAGATGAACTCGTGAGCTGAGGCGATTTTACAAACTTCGCTAACTTGTTCAAGAGATACCTATAATATTTCTTGTTAAAGTTTTTAATCACTTTACACCTCTTTCCCAAGAGCCACATTTTGAAAGATGGATCCAGTGAAAAGCGGTGGTTCTTGAGGCACAATGCCGATATGCTAAACATGGGTAGATTTGGGTTTTTAAAAAATTCTTACCTCTCTTAAGCTTTGAGCGCTAAGCATTGAAATCTTTTTATCATCGATTCGAACTTTTCCCGATATCGGTGAATATAGAGCTGAAATAAGGCCAATTGCTGTACTTTTCCCGCATCCACTCGCGCCCACAAAAGCAACATTTTGACCGGCTTCCACACAAAGAGAAACTCCTAGATTTTTGTTTCTGTTTTTAAGTTGATTTTACTTTTTAAACCTTTTAGCACTTGTTCGTTTCTTGTTGCATATTGAAAAGTGACATCAACAAATTCGATTTTCCCTTTCAACTCGTTCATTTGGTCACCAGCATCGGGATCGTGAAGAGGCTTCTGAAAATATTAGGAAGCTTTAGTTGATTGCTTGACTAACAATATGCCAAACTAAAACTTATTGAATTACTAAAATAGGGTAGTAAGATCATTTTTGAGAAACTTTTATGTAAGAATGACTAAAATCAATCGGTTTATCAATGATGTATCAGGTATTAAAAGATTAAAAAAAACGCTTATTGGGCCTTTCAATCTTGAGTTTCTCATCTAGTTTTGATTTCGAAGAAAGTAGAGTTTGTAGGTAGAAATCAGCCAAATTTGGGGCAAGAATTGATCTCAAAAGTTTGGGCATAGTGACGACAAACGTCGAAGGAAAGGCGAAGGAAAGCCGGAAAGGAAAAGTCGGCTCAGTTGCGCTCAGTTTATCCATCCTGAAAGAAAAGCCCCTTACGCTAGACGGGTTTGCCAGATGACGAGCGATTACCCGACCGCACAAAGAACATTTCGTCTCTCGGGTTTTTTCTTTTGATCTGATAATGAAGAGTGATATAAAGATGAAAATTTCAACCCATAAGTTTTCAGGGTCGGGGAAACGATTGGCAGAAGCGATTAACGATTGAAGAATTGAAGAACAATCGATTAACAATTGAAGAATTGACGTTACATTACTTTTAACATGATTGTGCTGTGAATGAATGAATGATATTTGAAAAGCGAACTCGTTGAGCAATCTGATGAATGAGTGCAGCGGCAATTCGTGCTCTCACAAGACTGTGCAAATGCGGTGCCAAAATCGACACAAAATAAGCACCAAATGCAACTGTGTTCACCACAATGAACACATGACCCGGCTCCGGAATTCTACCCGTAAAATACGAGATTGTTGCGTACCTAGAAACATCTAATAAAATTCATTCTACTATTTTACTCACAAAAATCCGCCTGCCATAAAAAAGTAGAGCTCGACAAACATGAGACCTTCAAGGAAACCATTAATGAAATTCACTTTTCTTGTAAATTCCATACATTTCGATAGAAATTTCGTGTACTTCTGCAAATTTTTTTTCATTTTTTCGCTCCTAAACCTATCTAGAATTTCACCTGAACAAAGAAATATTGAGCATTTGAAGCGGCAACGGTTTTCCATGCCGAGATTGCCTCCTCAGCCACTCCATCAGCTTCGGCGTTGATGTTCATTTGGCGAAGAGCTGGCCCCTCAGCCACCTTGATTTGGAGTTCGAAAATTGTAAGCTTAAGAATAAACCTTAGCTGAAAGAAACATTGTGATTGTGGCGACGGGCACAAGACCAATCATTATTAGAGTGGTTCTCCAATCGAAGAAAAACGAAATGGCACAAGATGAGATGAACATCGCGAATCCGCGCACCACTAACGCCCACTTTTCACCAATTCCCTCTCGCACTTTCTCCACGTTGCTTGAATATGAAAAATTATCTAGTTTAGCATTTAGTTTATTTCAGTTTATTTCATTTTAACAAAATCTAGAATCTTTTTTATGAAATTCTTGGAAATATTGGGGAATCCTTGGAAATATATTAAATCATTTCCCCACAAATTATTTATTTGTTAACAGATTATGTTAAATGTTTTCTAAACTCCGGCCACCTACTAAGCAAATCTAGAATTTCACCTGAACAAAGAAATATTGAGCATTACGCCTAGCACTAGGCGTACGCCTATTTTTTTCGCCATTTCATTTGTTTCTCTTTGGACAAATTCGTTGTTGAACTTTTTGTTTTCAAAAAGACTACTTAATATTTCATTTGTTCAAATAAATTGTTAAATTAATTTCATAAAGATGAAACATAGACGTATACAGATAGAAGCACATCTTTTTTTTCACTTACTCAGCCAGTTTTGAAGATAATGCTCCTGAATCGGACTTATCAAGCCAAGTGGCGTCTTGTCGAAGCACTGAATTCAGAAAAGCGGTTCTCATTCGTGAAACCACTCCCGTACACGCAGATTCCATCACAATTACCTGATCAGTTTTACTCAAAAGAGAATGTCAACTGGGTGTGGTGACCAAATGACATGTGCCACGGGTTACTCGACGCAGAATTCAACGCCAATTCAATGCCAATTCAACGCCAATTCGAAATCTGCTTTCCGTTTCTGCTATGGAGCACTATGTCAAAAGTTCTAAGCGTGCAAAGTTTTGTACGGGATTTCAAAAATCACTCTCCGAATTTATAAATACATTTTCCAGAGGCTGGTGAAGGAGGTGAGGCTAAGAAGCAGTGGTGGCCGATTGGCAGTGGTTTAGAAGAGAAGGCAATCCATCTCTAGTTCGAGTACTACTTTTTTTCTTTTGTTTTTTGGATTTTCAAAGTTAATCGTTCTCCCTTTTAAATCTAAATTTATTTTAAATTAATTCTCATAAAAATATTTACTTTTAACTATTAACATCAAACAGAACTTTGTACGTTTATAACTTTTAACAGAGTACTTCATAGGAAATTCGGAATCAGCGTTGAATTCTGCGTTGAATAATCCGTGTCATTTGGTCATGTCATTTGGTCATGTAATTTGGCCATGTCATTCGGCCATGTCATTCGGCCAAGTCATTCGGTCATGTCATTCGGCCATGTCATTCGGCCGAGTCATTTGGCCAGGTCATTCGGCCAGGTCATTCGGCCATGTCATTCGGCCATGTCATTCGGCCATGTCATTCGGCCATGTCATTCGGCCATGTCATTCGGCCAAGTCATTTGGCCAGGTCATTCGGCCATGTCATTCGGCCATGTCATTTGGCCACCATACCCAATTGAAATTCCTTTATCAAACTCTCAAAAAAAGCTTACCTGTACCAGTGAAAGGAGTGAGGTGAAAACGCCGAAAGCGATATACCAATAAATGATCACATAGCTATCATGGCGAAACTTTACCTCACCGATTGGCTTTAAATTCGGCAATTTCGAATTACGAGTGGCGTTACCGTTTTATGCTTTATGAGGATATTCTCGAGAAGTCCACCAAGCAAAGTGACTGTCGGCTGAAGAGCGCCAACAAAAAACGCCAACAATGTGCCTATCAGTAAACAGACGCGATCCTTGAGGCTTGTGTAGGTCAGCTGGAAATCCTTATTGTTTGGTAAAATGTATGAAATTTCTTTTTATTCTCGAAATTCTCTTCACCAATGCTTTCAACGAGATCGCCTCGATTTTTTCTTCGTTTTCCTCAAAAATCTTGCTTTGTATTTCGTCATCGACACTATTTCTAAAGGAACTTTTATTTATAAATAACTCTTTTATCTTACTATTATTATTTTATTATTTATTACTATAATTTAACTTACCTAAACCAAAGAAAGCGTTTAATATGTTCGAAAAAAATCCATTTTCTTTTAAGAGAACTCGAAGAAATGCTCGTCACCTCTGAAAAGTAAAAACTGTGAGTAAAGACTTTCATTGATTAATTTGTAATTTAAAAGCTTTCATATGTTAGCAATATTCTTATAAGATACGATAAAATAAAGTAGAAGATAATTATATATATATATTCATACTTTATTCAGGAGATGAAATAAAGCGTAATCAATCAGACAATACACAAATCTACACATAAATACATAGAGAAAGATGAGATATTTTACTCGGCGATGTGGAGGCGGGGAGAAAAGAAGATAGATAGAAGATAGGCTTCTTGCTTTAATAACCTCAAGCCATGAATGGGCCAACCCAGTGGAAGAGTGAACTTCGCTAGAGAAGGGATCTCTAGTCAGCTCTAGAGAAGAGACCTCTAGTCTGGGCGCACGGGCTAGGGAAGAGAACCCTAGGGGGGCCGAACCCCACACCCTCAGTTTGGAAGTGAGAACTTAGCCAATACACCATGAGGGCCCTTCGTGTAAGATAAGATATAATACAAATTTCTAAAGCATTGATAGACTCAGATTTTCCTTTTTTTGAGTCAAAATATGTTTGGTTAAGCCCAGCTAGAAAAGATTTTCTATGATTGAATACAAGAGTTGAAAATGATGTGAAAAACTTTAGACTACCAGTGAGTGTTCTCTGTGATTCGAATCGATTCATCCTCGTCTCTCCATCTTCAAGTTTTCTTTGATTCTTCTGCATTTTACATACCTTCTAAACTTTTTAAAGATATTGTTAGTTTAAAAAAAAAAAAAACAGTTTTTTCTTGTTGAGTTAAATCGATTTCAAAAAATTGAGATTGCAAATAAATGAGTAAATTTTATGAAAGATTAAGAAAAGGTGGATCAAGAAGAAGGGAAAAAAAAGAGGGTGATCTCACCTGAGTCACTCAAAAAAGAATCAAAATTTGATGAGTAGAAGTGTTTCTCAAACACGAAATCTTTGAAAAGTGATGGGGAAAGGAAAATGCAAAGAAATCTACCGAAAAAAAAACTCGAATTCGTGAAGCTAAAGTTGAAATCTTATATGATTGGAGACAAGTAAAAGGGAGTAAAAGAACAGTCGTTAGAGCGTCTGTCTCTGGGGCGGGAGGGGTTTCGTCCGGTGGACCACAATTTCGTCCGCCGGTGGACCGAACCGTCCCAGGGGCCAGACGGCCTTCCTCCACCGGTGGACCGAATCGTCCTGAACGTGTTAAACATTTCAAATCTACACAAAAATTTTGAAAGAAGCTAGTCGAAACAGCCAAAAAGCGCAACTCTTAAACCATATTTCGCCAAATTTCGAATGACGTCTTTTTTTTCTGTTTTTAGGTGTCTGATCTCGTCTCATTATGTCGTTTCGCTGAAAATGACCATCAAATTTGCAGTAGAATTTTGATAAGCAATCCGTTTTTCTTCTCTAACCCAAAAACATTTCTGTTTTGAGTTTTCTCTGAGAAAACAAAGCTCTCTTTTTTCAGCAACATCAACCAAATTCAGCTTCAGTTTGAATGAAAGAAAAGTAATTGGAAAAGTTTTGTAAAGTTTTGAAATTTCACACGTTTATTTCAAAGGTGTTCTCTTTATTTTTTCAATTTCTGACGTTTTTCTGACAAAAGACAAACTTATTTTTTGAGAGTTTTGCAAAGAAAACTCGATTTTTTTGAATTTTTGAAGACTTAACCCTTTGAACGTTTTGTTAAAATATATAGATACTTTATTCAGGACCTGAGATAAAGTGCGCTAGATTTAAGATTAAAACACATCAATTCATACACATAACACGAAAAGGGCCGATAAAAAGAAACACGATATAATAATATGTAAAATGTGGGTAGCACAGATAACGTCAAGGATCCACTAGAGCTTCAAGATCAAGATCATCTACAGATAATTTAAAGGTTTCGAGACTATTGGACTCTCTCAAAACTCTGGGGAGTCGATTCCAAATTCAGGCAGTTCTTATTGGAAAAGAGTTATAAACAAACTTATTGGAGGTGACTGGAATTTCTGAAACGAAAGAACCTCTCCTTGAACTAACCGTGGGATTAACTTTGAATAAATCTCGAAAAAGAGGGATAGGTTAAAAAAAAAAAGGGGGAAAAAAAAAAAAACCAATTTAATATATGTAAAATGTGGGTAGCACAGATAACGCCTGCCCTTTACAATTTTGAAATATTCTATTAAATCCGTGACCAAGCGGCGGTGTTTAAGAGATTTCAGATCAAAAAAATTGAGTCTATCTGTGTAACTAAAGTATGCAAATTTGGAAAAATCTATTTTCCATAGAGCTATCTTAGTATATCTCTGCTGGATTTTTTTCTAGGCGAGAGATATCAACTTGTGTATGTGGAGACCAAACTATAGATGCATACTCTAGAATGGGTCTAACGTAAGTGATGAAACACTTTCTGTAAGTGTAAGTGAAAAGTTTGAATGCGGAAAGTTTGAAAGTCGCAAAAAGAGAAAACTCGAATTTTTTTTGGTATCTTGTGGTAATGTTTTGATTGGACTATTTGTCTAGAAATGTAAATTTAATTCTTCAGAATAGTTATTTACAAAGATTTATTGAGATTTATAAAGAAAAAGAAAGAAAATTCTAGAAATTTCAATGATTATTTATTGCGAGCCGTTCGAATGGCAAGAGCTATGAAGGCGACAAAACGAACGGCCAAGATTTCAGCCAATAAAATAAGCACATCACGCCATCGGTGTATTGATCTACAAAAGCAACTGTGAGCATTATAATTAAAAGTATTGGTATTCCCCTTTAAATAGAATCATTTATAATCTTTCGAGTAGTATTCTTTTCAAAGCACTTACGCAAAAGAGATCGATTCGAGCACTTCCTGACCATTTGATGGACAATTGTAGTCAAATGGAGTTGTCACATTGCAGCCTAGAGATCAAATGATAAGCAAACTCTTTACTTTTACTAATGATCATCAAAGTCTTTACTTTGACTAATGATAAGCAAGCTCTACTTTGACTAATGATAAGCAAGCTCTACTTTTACTAATGATAATCAAACTCTTTACTTTTACTAATGATAAACAAACTCTACTTTTACTAATGATAATCAAACTCTTTACTTTTACTAATGATCATCAAACTCTACTTTAACTAATGATAAGCAAGCTCTACTTTTACTAATGATAATCAAACTCTTTACTTTTACTAATGATAAGCAAACCCTTTACTTTTACTAATAATCATCAAACTCTACTTTAACTAATGATATTCAAACTCTTTACTTTTACTAACGATAAGCAAACTCTTTACTTTTACTAATGATCATCAAACTCTTTACTTTTACTTCTTTTCATTTCACTTTTCATTTAATAACGTTTCTTTTAAACCTGGAATCATATTGATTGGGTCCCATTCGTTTATCGCTAATGCTTCATAACCATATCTAGAAGTTTTATAGTTTTTTTTGTTTACTTGTTTAGTTTCACAAACTTGAAATAGGAAAGATTTGCTAGCCACTGGAAATACCATGGAATATCGTTGGAATTGATGAAAAATCTGTAAATGTTTAGAGAGTTATTATGAAAATTGATAAATACCCTCCAAAAGCCATTGTTGGGATAACGAAAATCGGCAAGAATGTCATAGCGATCGCCGTGTCACCGAAAACTGTTGCAACAGCGTACGCTAAAGAAAGTTGATTATTGATTCATTCATAATTTATCAATAATTCTATTCAATTTTAAGTTATTATTACATAAAATAAGTATAAATTCATGTTCTTTTGTGAGCTTAAAAGGTTTATGCGAAGGTTTATGACGTTTTCAAGTACCAAGCTACTTGATACTTAAACTTTTGTGAAAGGTGTTGCTCTTAGTATTCTTGTTACCGTATTTCTTCGAATAGAAGACCGGGTAAAGAAGTATCATCGCGTACTCCTGCGTAGCAGCCCTTTTTAAAATTTCTTTTCTGCATAAAAGCTTTCAATCAAATGCTATAGAGCTGGAAAATGGCTCAAAAATCTGTTAGCTCATGTGAAATTTTAAAAAGGGCTGCTACGCAGGAGTACGCGATGATACTCTTTACCCGGTCTTCTATTCGAAGAAATACGGTATTTGATAAATTTTAAAGCTATGAATTAATTTAGATTTTTGCTTACAAAGTAAACAAGTTTATTTTCACTCACAAATTGAAATCGCTACACCGACGATCAGAATCGAAATCAAAATTGAGAAAAGAAAAGAGGTGATGTGTGGCTCAAGACCTGGAAAATTTTCATAATTCTAGAGTTTTCTTTTCGATTTTTCTTTTACCCGACATCCAGTATACTATAGAAATGTAAATTGTTGGCATCACACAATATTGTGGAACCTGAAAGCATTGATTTTTGCATTGATTTTCATTGAGCTACACTAGTGGACAATGAAATATCATATTTGCCAAAAAGATCGTCACTTTCGCGCGTCTAGAAATTCCAATGATTATTTATTGCAAGCCGTTCGAATGGCAAGAGCGATGAAGGCGACAAAACTCCCTTGTCTTTACCGTATTTCTAAATATTAATATTACCATTGTGTAGCCCTTGAAAAGAGCTTTCAGAAAATGTATAGCACTTAAACAAGTTTAAACTCAAAGACAAGGGGAGTTACAGACGCGCGAAAGTGACGATCGTTTTTCAAATATCATATTTCATTGTCTGTATGTACCTCGGCTAGGTTTTTCGCTAAAAAGTAAGCACTCGTTTTGTAGATTCCATTCGCGTTTTCACGGAGTACAATTGGCAACTCTTCTGTTATCGCCTAGAACTTGCTTTTTTTTTATTTTAAAATTTGCAATTCCCTTACAGGCACGGCAGGGAATTGAAGCATGAAATTCAAGTTTCGAATGTGATTGAAGAGAATACCATTCACAGTCATCACCGTCAATTTGTTCACTGGTGTTTGCCAATAGACAACACCTGTGATTAGGGCGGTAATCTAAAAGAAAACTTTTCTATATTCAATCAGAAAGACTTCTTTCTGTACTTACAAGTGTTTGCGCAATTCGAACTCGGAAAAGAATCGGATCTCGTGTCACTGAAATCCACGATCGCCAGAAGAGGGCCCAAAATTGTGCCACGTAATTTGCGGCATATCTGTGAATGTTACTTTTTAAGTTACAAACTTTCCCCCTTTTTCAGTCCATTTTGCCGTTGGCAATCTACGAATTTTGCTCGTATCTTAGCCGGGTTTGTTTGAAAAATGTTGAATTTGTTAACAACTGGTTACACCAAATCTAAAGGGAACCGAATTGGAACTGAATTGGAACTGAATTGGAACTGAATTGGAACTGAATTGGAACTGAATTGGAACTGAATTGGAACTGAATTGGAACTGAATTGGAACTGAATTGGAACTGAATTGGAACTGAATTAGAACTGAATTGGAACTGAATTAGAACCGAATTAGAACCGAATTGGAACTGAATTGGAACTGAGTTGGAACCGAATTGGAACTGAATTGGAACTGAATTGGAACCAAATCAGAAACGAATCGAAATCGAAAAGGAAATGAAACGAATGGGGAACCTTGGTTGATGCTTGGTTGCTTGGTTTATTTAGTCTAATTAATCAATTTGTCATTGCTAATTTGTCATTATCATTATCATTGTCATTGTTCATCAATTTGTCATTGTCAATTCTAATGCTTTAAATCTAGAAAAACTTATGCAAAAATCAAAATGAAAACCCTCTTCAAAATTTCCCCCCATTTCATTCTCGTTTTCGAAGCTCACTTTTGCGATGAAGTCCAAGAATATTCGGAGAAAAGAGACTTATTTTCACTCTTTCCATATGATGACGGTGGACCACTTTTGAGTGGTTGACACAATTCGGCTACTCTCTGAATTTTAAAGTCTTCTTTTTTTTCTACGATCTAAACCTAACCTTTCCAGCTGGACTCTTTTGAAATCCTTCTCGAATCACGGCCACTTTACGAAGGCAATCGGTTCTTTGTCGATCGTTTGTCACGGCGATCGTTCGAATCAAATGATCAGCTGCGTTAAAATATGGAGGACAAGGGAAACCGCAGCTAAATTGTTAACGTCTGACTTCTTATAAAGATCACCAAACTCAGCGAAATGATCAATCGCTTTATCAGCCTCTCCAAGGTACACAATTCGACCGCAAGCCATCAAGCAGACACTAAAAAAATCAAAAAACAAATCGTGTTTTAAAAAACGACGAACTCATTAAACAAACTGTAGACTTGACTGCTTGGTTGATGAATTGTGATCACAACAGTCATTCCAGCATCGGCCAAAGAGCGCAAAGATTGCACAACATGTCCTATAATCGGTAATTTACTTTATGTAAAAGAGCAGTGCTTGTCTGTCTGTCTGTCTGTCTGTCTGTACCGGCATTTTCTTGGCCATGTTTTGACCAATAAAGCTAAAAATTCTTTAGAAAACCTTACAATATATTGTAGTTGTGCAATTGAAATAAAAAATTCAAAAGTCAAGATTGAATGGCACTATGGGCGGTCGAACCCGGATCGTGTAGGCCGGAGACTCGCGACGCACTCCAGTTTGCGCCACGCCACGAGGCTTGACGACAATTTCCAGACAAAAAGCCACACAACATCCAGCTCATGGCACTACGCAGGGTCGAACCCGGATCGTGCGGGTCGTAGCCAAGCGCTCTCCCGACTCAGCCATGGCGACGGTTGGATTCGGTCAGAAAAACCCGCTGTTAGGCGGCTTTTCGACGAGCAAGTTCGGTGGCCTTTTATTTTCTTGAAACTCAATTCATACCAGCCATGAAAGCGTCGAGTCCGGATGTTGGCTCATCACAGAAAAGAATCGACGGGCAAGTGAGAATCTGGAATAAAAAAATGATTCATTCATTTACCCAGGTTTACCTCTGAAGCAAAAGCAAGTCTTTTCTGTTCACCGCATGACAGTCCTTTCACTCGATGCGGAACACCGATCATCGTATCCGAACACTTCGAGAGACCCATCTAGCAAAAAAAATAGCTTTTAAATAGCATTAGCTTAGTAAAACATAGAATATAACCATATTGTACTATTTTTTTAGCTTTTTAAAGCTTTCTTTGATATCTTTTAAAGCTTTAAAGCTTTGTTTGATATCTTTTAAAGCTTTAAAGCTTACCCTATGCATCACTTCGTCTACTCTCGCCTCTCGCTCGGCTTTCGTGTAATTGGATCCCATTCGTAGTCTGGCCTTAATCGAACAATTCTTAGAACAATTCCTAGCGATTTACCATAAATTGTAGATGTTCCCGAACGGTCAACGTGCCAACAAACATATCGTGTTGTTGAACGAAAGCCGAGACTTCTCGAAGTTTCCATTTATTCGCTCTTTTTCCATCCAATACCACCTCGCCTTGCACATCCAATGTCGACAAATTTCTCAATGTCAACACATTCAGCAACGTCGTTTTTCCAGCGCCACTAGATTTCGGATATTTTTCTAATCCCTTTAACCTTGATCCTTTTACCTTGATCCCATGATTGCTAAAAGACGACCAGCTTCCGCGATTCCGCTCACTAAAATCTTTTTTTGATCGCACTTTTCTGTGTTTTCTTTGAAAGAATGAGTTTGAAATTAAGACCGATTCCCATTGAACTGATAAATCTATTCACTTTAATCATTCCTAGATGAAATTTCATCAGAAATCATCTCACTCTACCTACCTGCCGAGAATCAATCCTAATTCCTAATCCCTTTAACTCACCATTGTGCAGAATTTGTTTAACCTTTTTCGGTTTCCCCCTGGAAAACATATCTTTCCAGCTAGATTGACTCGCCTAAAGATTTGATCGTTTATGCTAAATCTTCAATGAAAACCTTCATCTCAGCTCCACATACTGAAATGTGATTCCAGGTGAGATTGTTTCCGGGTAGAATGTAGGAAGGCTCAAAAGTTGGACTATATTTCCCATTGTCGGTGTGTAGCGGATCCAATAGGGGATCCATCGTACCTGAACAACGTTTTGAGAACAGAAAGGTTACCTATTCTTCTTAACAACATGGCCTACAAAAAGCAAAAAGAAAGAGTTGTTTTGAAAATTTGAAGAAGGATGACATTTCCCATATGAAAACATAATTGATTAATCGGATTGGTCAGATGGAAAAATGGGTATCTCTGGGGTTTGAAAAAGAAAGCACAAACTCTATCTAGTGAGAAAACCTTGTCGCTTCGCGAGAAATTCAATCAGAAGGCTTTTTTTTGATTTCTTATCACCATTTTCTCCTCTTTTTACAGCCATTGTGCTTTGTGCGAAAAGCCAGGCTACCGCTTTTCAAGAGGAACAGAAGAACAGATTCAGAGAGTCCAAATCTATCACAGAGATCGCTAGGTAATCAAGAATTAGACGGAAAAAAAGAAAGAATTGATTCGTTCTTATTAAAAAAATAAAGCAATAATGCTTGTCACTAAAGTTTGTATGTAGGAAAAACTACCGTACTTACCGTAAATACTGTAATCGTACCCCACCCCCCTCGTACAGTCGCGTAGTCGCAAAAGTTTTTTTAGTATTTCATTTTTTTTCAAAGCGCCCGTACTTTCAAAAAATGGGTCTTTGGTATCAAAAAATAGCTGAAATTCAGGGCTATTTTTTGATACCAAAACGCGCATTGTAGCATAAATCAGTGTCGAGAAAAACTCGTTCAAAGCTAGACTACGCAACACTTCGCAACTCATTATGGGGGTCGGGTACTATAACATTATTTACGGTAGGCTATATTTTTCAAATCTAAACCACTAGATGAGCCTAATTTAAGTGTTTAGAACAGCAAATTGTTTAAAAGAGGCTCAATTTTCTTGTTCTTTTGATTAAAAGATGATTACGATGGCTTACGTTAGGATTACAGTAGCTTTTCTTTAGGCACACTTTTTAGAAAACTCATCAACAAGGAACGCAGTCTAGTAACGAAAAAGCAAATAGTATCTTTGTATACTAAAAAAACTTTTGCGACTACGCGACTGTACGAGGGCGGTGGGGTACTATTATAGTATTTACGGTATGTATTAATAATATCAAAAAGAATCAAAATAAAAACAAAAACAAAAAACTTTGTATAGTATCTTTGTATATTTTGGTATTTATTGTATAAAGTAGAAGTATAAAGAAATGAAAATTGAATCTTTTTCTAACAAAAACGGAAGCAAATCTAAGAAATTCCTTTTTTTTATTTACTCTTCGTATCATCAATAAATATTGAAGAGAGCCAGAGGGCATTCTCTTATCGATCAGTTCAAATATCATAAATGTTTGACCTTTAGTCCATTTACAACACTTCAACAAATTTATTAATACTCAAAAATTCTTTTATAAATAATTGACGTATGCTCCATGAGATGTCTAAAATGAAAATTGTAATGGAAAAAAAAGATTCGAATAAACCTAGTAACAGTAGTGGTCATCAAAAGGCGAGCTTCCAATCGATTTTCATCCAAAAGTGTCCATTCGCGAAACATCTACCGTAAATACTGTAATAGTACCCCACCCCCATAATGAGTTGCGGAGTGTTGCGACTTTTGCGCCTACGCGACTGTACGAGGGCGGTGGGGTACTATTATGGGGGTGGGACAAATGCGACCTTTTTTTTGCGCACCTTTTTTTTGCTGGAAAAGGCCTTAGCAAAAGTCGTAGAGCTTCAAAAACGTTTCCATGTAAGGGAATCGTATGCGTAGATTCCGAATTTCGACAAATCAGACCTCGCTGACACGTCAAATTTGGGCTAAAAGGCAAAAACTGCGGAAAAGCGTTAGGTTGCGTAGTTTTTGCCTTTTAGCCCAAATTTGACGTGTCAGCGAGGTCTGATTTGTCGAAATTCGGAATCTACGCATACGATTCCCTTGTATGGAAATATTTTCGAAGCTCTACGACTTTTCCTAAGGCCTTTTCCAGCAAAAAAAAGGTGCGCAAATGTCCAGGTGCGCAAAAAAAGGTCGCATTTGTCCCACCCCCACTATTATAGTATTTACGGTATGTATTAATAATAAAGAAACAAAAAGAATCAAAATAAAAACAAAAACAATAAACTATGTTGACTTAAGATGACTCACAAGACGAACAGCTGAATCATGACTGAAAGATATTCTCCCAATCTTTCTCAACCGAAATTTGATTGCGTTTTCTCCAACCTCACCCGATTCCACAGTCATAAATCCTATAAATTAAATATCTAATATATATTTTTGTTGTTGTTGTTTCAAACCATTACTCATCGCTGTTGTAAGATAATATTGAGTGAAATTTTGAGGTGATAATTTGGGCGCAATGTAACCACTTTCCGAGTGTAACTCTGTAATGTTCTCATCTGATGCATCCCAAGCAAAAGCTCTAAAAATTTTTAATAATATTCTATACTCTTTGGCTTTATCTAGATTTTCAAAATCAAAATCAAAAAGTTTCGCATAACGCACGTGTAATTGAGTGTTGGTGGCTGCACAATGTGATGAGTCATTTTGATATCAATCTCTTCTCCATAAGTAAATCTAAAGTCTAATGATTTTAAAAGATTCAATTAGCTAAAAAGCTTTAAGATCAAAGAAAATGGGAGTGGGACAAATGCGACCTTTTTTTTGCGCACCCGGACATTTGCGCACCTTTTTTTCCGCACCTTGCCCATTAGCGCACCTTTTTTCGCGTTTTAAAAAAGCTCTAAAAGCTAATATTAACCAATTTCTATTCCAAAAGTTGTTTTTCTAGGTAATTTTAGGGCGTAGAATTCAAATTTTGACATATCAGAGCTTGTGGAACCAAAGACAAAACGGCTAGGTCAAATTACAGAAAATTGTCGATTTTTCTCTTTGTATAACTCCGTCCGTTTGTTTCCACAAGCTCTGATATGTCAAAATTTCGATTCTACGCCCTAAAATTACCTAGAAAAACAACTTTTGGAATAGAAATTGGTTAATATTAGCTTTTAGAGCTTTTTTAAAACGCGGAAAAAGGTGCGCTAATGGGCTAAGTGCGGAAAAAATGTCCGGGTGCGCAAAAAAAAGGTCGCATTTGTCCCACTCCCAAAAAAATCAACAAAAATCAAAAATTCTCACTTTGGTATCGTCGGAAAGAAAGCTTTCCCGCCAAACTCGCTTTTCCATTTCCCAATCAAAAAAGCGACTCTTTGCAACGCTTTTGGCACCTTTTTCAAATCATATTCTGAAATTTTTTGACATCAAAATTTCTTTTAAATTAATAAATGACTAAACCTGGTGGCACGATTCCACCACATTTTTGACAAGAGCGCTCACAGAGAGTGAACGCGTGACTCCCGTTCACTTCGCATTGCGACGCGTTCAGAGCAACCGAAAACACCAAAAAGGGATAAAGAAAATTTGGTAATTTTGTACCAATCATATTAAGGAAAGCACAATGTTTTACCACCGCATCGATCACCATTTTAACTCACCCAATTCGGACAATTCATATCTTTATCCTTGCAAATGATCTTCTTGCCGTAAATCAATGACGAAAAGATTATCAATGAGAAAATATTATAATAAAAGCGCGACATTCTAAATAAGATTCTAAATGAGATTCTAAATGAGATCCTAAATGAGATCCTAAATTAGAATCCATAAAATCCTGATGTCAAATGTGAAAAGAAGGGGTTAATTGAAAAGCCAATGAGGGTTTTTATGAGTTTAAAAAAAACGAAAGGTGATGATCCATTTGGGGAGAAGAGGGGAAGAGTTCGGGGTGATGAAGAAGGAATGGTGATGGTGATGAAGCAAGTTTTTCTCTTTCAGTCTTTTTCTCACCCATCAACCCATTAAATCCTTGATTATCGCACTATGTCAGCTTTTTCTATGTTTTCTTTTACTATGTTTCAGCTATGGATTTGCTTTGAGAAACATTTATTGATAACTTTCACGAAATGTAAATGTAAATGTAAATGCAAGCGATTTTACAATACAAGTTTAAATCAAAAATCAAATTACCGTATTTTCTCTAATAGTAGTGCACCCCGGCGAGCCGAGTTGGTGACTATTTTACGGTTTCCAAGCTTTTGCAGAAGCTCAACACCCTAATCCCCCACTAGATCTCATCATCAGCTACATTTTCCGACCGCACATCGATAGGTTCTGATAAGCGCTTTTCGAGATTTCGAGGAATTTAGGCGACGCTCGTGGTGCACTACTATTAGAGAAAATACGGTATTAATCACTCGTCTTACAGTAATCCGTAAAGATAACCAAATATGACAATAAGAGACAAAAATTGAGCGTTCTAAAATGAAATCAAAAGAGAAATTGGGCAAAAAGAAGCACAGAAGCAATGTTTATGTAAAATTATTGATTAATATGAGTAAATGATTGATGATGACGGTGGTGGCGGTGGCGGATCATTATCTTCATGACTATCTCCACCTTCTTCATAAATCTCTTCACATTCTTCTTCATCTTCCGTATCCTCATCTTCAACTTCAACTTCAACTTCTTCAGCATCAGCTAGACTTTTCTTTGCTCCTCTTTTACTCTTGCTTGTGTTCGGCTCTTTTGGAAGCAAATCTTTCAACTGAAAAGGTATCTTTTAAATAAAAATTCTACATTTAAAACATAAACAAATACTATCAGTAAAGTCTCAGAGATCAGCCACTACTCAATCTCATTTACAAATCTGACAGACAGATCTGACAGACTCAGCAACCACAATAGAAATTGAAAGATTTGAGTTTAGTATACGAACTATAAGTTTCTTTTTTTTGTTGATTTAACTTAGCCTCCAACCGTTTCAATAATATTCTTCCCATTTTTCTCGTGCTTCCACATAACGAACTTTTGATAGGAGGCCGAATTGTTGGGTTTCATCAAACCGGAAATGATGTCCCTGAAAAGACAAGATCTCTCCTTTTTTTTTTACATTCTCTTACAAAACTTCTTGTCCAGTCACAAATTTTTTCTGACGAGACCGACTGACAGCATAGTTATTGGCAAGTCGTTCTTTCGCTTTTCTAGAAAATTTTGTTTTTTTTTATTGAAAAAAAATGTACTTGGTTCGTTCTGTTGGTGGGAGTGATTGATATCGATTGCTTTTATCATTTTTCTAAATAGATAATGTTCAAAGAAAGGCTAATTACTGGAATGATTTTCGCTTACAATCGCAGCATTGATCTCGTTTGGATCGGGATGATGGGTTCGAGGTCGACCCGGTTTTCTCTCTTCTTTCTGCGAATAACGCTTTTGACTCTCACGTTGCTAAATTGAACTTTGATTGATTAGGATCGAGGTTTTTTTAGCTTATAAAATACTCTATTAAAGCTTATAAAATACTCTAGATGATCAATTTTATCTCGAGTTTATACAGTACTTACATAGGATGAATTAGAAGTTGAGGGTTGAGGGTTTTGCGGGCGAAGAGGTGAGAAACGGTGTTTGCACGGGGGATGGGATTGTAGCTGGGGACGAAGCGGTGGTGAAAGATGATGGTTGATTCGAGTAACGGGAAATCCTGCAATATGCCTACCGTAAATACTGTAATAGTACCCCACCCCCCTCGTACAGTCGCGTAGTCGCAAAAGTTTTTTTAGTATTTCATTTTTTTCAAAGCGCCCGTACTTTTAAAAAATGCGTCTTTGGTATCAAAAAATAGCTGAAATTCAGGGCTATTTTTTGATACCTAAACGCGCATTGTAGCATAAATCAGTGTCGAGAAAAACTCGTTCAAAGCTAGACTACGCAACACTTCGCAACTCATTATGGGGATAGGGTACTATAACAGTATTTACGGCAGGCTATATTTTTCAAATCTAAACCACTAGATGAGCCTAATTTTTTGATATTATTAATACATACCGTAAATACTATAATAGTACCCTACCCCCTCGTACAGTCGCGTAGTCGCAAAAGTTTTTTTAGTATTTCCTTTTTTTGCAAAGCACTCGTACTTTCAAAAAATGCGTCTTTGGTATCAAAAAATAGCCCTGAATTTCAGCTATTTTTTAATACCTAAACGCGCATTGTAGCATAAACCAGTGTCGAGAAAAACTCGTTCAAAGCTAGACTACGCAACGCTCCGCACCGTCTTTATGGGGGTGGGGTACTATAACAGTATTTACGGTAATTCAATTACTGATCTCAGAATTACCTATCGATGAGTTGCTATTCGAAGTCCCGAATAAATCTTGTTGATGAGAAGGTTGTTGTTGCTGATGGTGAATAGGTGATTGAAAGTCCATTGCAGAACTTGTATTCGGTAACATTTGAGTATCTAAAATTCTTTCATAAACCAATTTTTTACAAGAAAACCCGGTGAACCGCCAAGGTTGATATACGGCGAGGGATATATAGCGAAATCGTGTTCAGTACTCTAAACAAAGCAAATTGAAATGAATCTTTTAAAAGATTCAAATGAATTTCCTACCGGATTTCGATCTAAAAGCCTCGCTTGAGAGATGTCGAGTAAAGGTGGAGATGTTACAGGAGTTGGTTGGGTCGTTAGACTTTCTCGTGCGCTAACATATGTTTCATAGATTTTTTCAAACGTTCTCAATTCTTCAGCCACATTTTCGATATTCAATGGCAAGCTTGGAGTAAATGCCTAGATTTTTTATAATTTGATCTTAAGGATTCTGAACCTCGCTTGGTGAATCTTGTAGAACGACCATTCTCATACCAATTGGACTGAAAACTTTCTTTTTATGAGACTTCAGAGTTTTAATTACCTGAAAGAATTATTTGAAAAGAATTTGTTCTCATCACCTGAAAGGATTTGCAGAAGTTGATGGCCGATGCATTGTAGTATCAATCGAAAGTCTCGATGTTTGTGAGAGATTTTGTTGTCCTTCTGTCGTTTCATCTTTCGGCCCTTCTCTCTTTTGATTCTTTGGATTTGGAGGCATTGTATCAAGTGGAAATCATTGTTTTGCAAAAGTTCCTTAAATGACTCAATGCTCATTTGACATGGTTTTATAAACGAATTCAAAGACTTTCACAAGAAATGTGAAAGTGAGAAATGAGACCGAAGAACAAAAAAAAGAGAAAGCTCAGAAATCACCGTAAACAACAATGATCGTGTATAGAAGATTGAGAGGATGGGAGAAAAGAAAAATTATATTGAAAATTGGAAAAAGAAGGCTCAACGATGAATGCCAAGCTAGGAAAGTGATTTTGTCGCCAATTTTCTCTCAAATTTCTCTCGCTTTGCTTTTAATTGCGCAATTCAATCAACTTTTGAAAAGGTCGATAAAACGTTGAAAAATCGATTGATTTGCAAAAGCTTTATTGAAGAGAATAAAACTCCGTTGTTTCATTTGACTAATTTGAAAAAGATTCGTGAAGAAATCAGTCATTAAAGTCATTAAAACACAAAGAAGTGGGAACAACTATAGTATCGCGGAGGGGGAGGGGGGAGGTAGCTTTTGGTATGTTGGCTAGAGGTTCAGGGGATGACGGCAAAGACCTCTGACCAACTGAAATTGGTATATTTTAGATAGATCTTATTCAGGGCTACATTTCTATACCAAAGTCAGTTGACCAGAAGTCTTTGGAGTCGTCCCCTGAACCTCTGAAATCTATACCAAAATCTACCCGCCCGCCACGATACTATAGCTGATCAAAGAACAAAGAAGTGACTAATGTAGTTTATAGATAAGATAGATTATAGATTATAGATAAATGTAGCTTTTATGCGTTAATTTAAAACATTTCTTGATTTATAATAATTTATTATCCCGTGCATTTATTGAGCTAATCAAACTATGCAAGGAGTGCAATGAAACGAATTGTACACTAAATACAAACTAGCTCTATTCAAGGTAAAAAGATAAATAAAATATACACGAATTTTAACAACTTTTGAACTTTTGAACTAAAGAAGAAACAGAAAATCTTTCAAAAAAGAAAAACTCTATTTGCTGAGAAAAAGAAAAACTTAAAAAACAAAAAAAAAAGCAAGAAGGAAAACAATAACGAATGGAAGAAGAAAAAAGCTTGAACTGAAATTATAAGTAAAAATAATTATGTTTGAATTGTTTTGTTTATCGACGTCTTCTGCCCGTTGAAGTTGATGGTTGATCATCATCAGTGGAAGTCTCCTCAGATTGATCTCTTCTCGCTTTACGCCCACCACCCGGACACTTTGGAAACAGCCACTCAAACTGAAATTTAGCTTTTCTACTTGGAAAGTTTCTTTTCTATTTTTGATTTTAATTGAAACTCACCAATTCACTCGTCTTTTCATATCCAATTTTTTCGCCAAAACTCATCAACTCGCGCACCGCCGCATAGCAGTTTCCATTTGTGAATTGAGCTTCGAGATTTTGCAAGAGAACCCTAAAGATTCTATTTATTGGATAATATTTAAAAGACTCACAATACTTGCTTTGCAATCTCTCCTTTTTTCATGCGACACACGTGAACCGATTTCTTGTTCGCTTCGCGCTTTGTGACGATTCTGAAACCGAGATCTTTTTCTGTTAGTAATTTTTTCACTTACTGAATCGCTTCTTTATTGTTGCACGTTCTCAGTTTTCCATTTTTCTAGAAATTTCTTTTAATTTCTTAATTTGAAAGAATTGATTTCTTACTCTAATCTGAGATGCTTTCACTTCGATCTCTTTCATATCCAGATTGTATTTTTTTGGTCGTCCTGGCTTTCTTGGAGATGTCTCGGATTGTCGCGGAGAAAGCGAAGGATTCTAGAGTTACAATTAGTTTTCCTTTTCCATTATTTTCCATTATTTTCCATTATTTCCAATTTACCTGATTTGACACTATTTTCTTTCCTCTTCTAGTAATCGGTGAGGCTTGAGATGAGGAACAAGACGAAGTATTAGTCCAATCATTTTGCTCAATCATTTGATTGTTAGATTGATGGAATTGATCTCTGGTCATAAATGCATTCTCGATTTTCGGTATAAATGGTTGATCATTTGCTCTCTTTTCCACATCCTCCATCAGATTCAACGCGTTCTCCAAAATCCCATTCTCCAAAGCGCGAGTGGAAACTGGTTTTAAATCAGTGCTGAAAATGTTTCGATAGGTTGTTCGTTTTTCCTTACAACTTACTAGGTTCTTTGATTTGATGATTGATGAAAAAAGTTTGAAACAAGCGGATCGGAGTTGGGATTTAAAATCGGTGAACCGAACGGATCGTACTCATCCTCCGAGTCACTGACTTGATTTTTTTGATACTTCATGACTGAAAATAGAAAAATTCAATGTGTATTTTTGAAATCAAGATCTCATAGAAGCTATTGATGATTTGAAGGCTTTGCGAAAACATTAACAAGCCGATAACCTGCACAAGATATTGTGAAAAGCTGTAGGAAGGTTTGTTTGAGGTACTATAGAGGAGGGGGAGAGTGAGAGAGAAGTTCAATTAAAATGAGATAGAGGAGGACGATCCGCCTTTCTTTGATCAAACCCCCTTTCCCAGTTCCCCCGGTTTTTTCCGCCCATCGCTTTTTTTCAAACTTTCACGTTGGCTCTCTTTTCCTCTTCCCTGTTCACATGGGGTTTGCGAACGAAAAGGGAGAAAAGGGGAAAGATATCGGGCACACAAACAACCTCTCTACAATCAGTATTTCTCTCGCCTCACCCTTTCTTGCAAGATGACTCATGATCATCATTAACTATTTTTCCTTTTATTTATTTTGCAAAGTTCTTCGTTCTGCAGAGAACGACTCAGATTTGTAGGCTGAAAAGTACAACAAACAATTCCAGGAAAGAACAAAAATTGAGATGAATCATTCACAAGTTAACACAATTTTAAACACAAATCTCAGCACACCAAAAAAAAAATTTGATACAATATCTAAAAGCTTTACTGTTTTACTTTTTAAAAGCTCATTTCTTTCTAAAGATATAGCCAGTGTAAGCTATGAAATGTGATTTTCTGGTGTTCAAAAGATAAACAGAAAAGATAACATAAAAGATAACATCAAATAAATAAAGCGATGACGAGAAAGGCTAAAGTTTAAGAAAAAGTTTGTAAAAAAAACAAATTAGCAGACTTTTAAAAGTTCTTCAAATTCAGCTTCAATTTCTAGAGTTTTATGTGCAATTTCTATGTGCAATTTCTGTAAGATTTTGTATATTTCGTTTTGCTTGGTCAATAATTAATTAAAACGCAAACAAATTTGCGAAAACATCTGTAATTTGCTCTGATTCAAGAACAATACTTGACTTTTATCTGTTTCACCTTTTTTATAAAGAAGCGTTATCTGTAAACGAAAATCTCATTGGCAAAAGGTTAAAGAGATTCAAAGAAAAGGGAAAAACGAATGATTCACCAATTTCGCTTTGGATTTGGAGCCTATCAAAAAAGAGACAGAATCAAAGCACTCTTAAATGATGAATGATTCATATTTAGATAAAAAATACACTTAAGTTTTATAATTTTTGTTAAAACGAAGGTGTGAGGCGTAGAAAGAAAGCTTATTTTTGTCATGTCAATTATTGGGTTGGTGAACTGAGAACTGCCGGACTTTGAACTAAAATTTATTCAACATAAAACCATAAATTCATTCCAAATAATTTCCATTATTATTGATGACTTCTGCTCATTTTACAGGCAATTTGCGGATTCCTCTTTCGTAGTAGGATTTTGGTTTGTGTGTGAGACAAGTGTGAGACTCAAAAATGGAGGACTGGAGATGTCCCAGTTTGAGCACTTTCTTCAAAAGAAACCCATTCTGGTGTCAATAGAAAAGTTGTAGAGAATCAAAAATTAGGCTTATAGCCAAATTTCCAAAAAGATATACTTAGTAGTTTTGCTTAAAATGCAAGTTTTGTGAAAATTCGTAAATTTGACATTTCTTGAAAACCAGTTTTTGAATCGTTCTGAAAATTTGGATATAAGCTTGATTTTTGATTCTCTACAACTTTTCCATTGACACCAAAATGGGTTTCTTTTGAAGAAAGTGCTCAAACTGTCACATATGACAATAGCCGGCAGTTTTCAATTCACCAACCCAATACAAGAAACACAAAAAACAAAAAGTGAATAAAAACCGTGTATAATATAAAGAAATCAAAGTCGAAATGCTCGAAACATATTGATGAGTGATCGACGACGTTGTGGAGGAGTTGGCTGATGATGGCCAGCCGATGAAGCCATGATTAAAGCAGAACATTGAATCAATGCCGCCAAATGGGCACGCTCTTCCCGTTCACGAAGTCTAAAGTGAGTTTTTTTTGATCTCTTTTTAGTACTATAGGACTTGTTAAAGCAAAATTTATGACATAAAGAGAGAAAGAGCAAAAATTTTTGACATATTTATAATACTCTACCTTCTCATGAGCAATACATGGGCAAAATATGTGTAGAGCACAAAGCCAATCACTCCACCGAGAATCAAAAACGAAAAGACTCGAGACGAGCGTGTGGCTCTGAAATAAAAGATGTTTGACAAAGGAAAAAATGATGCTAATGACCTCCCCTTCTCTTCTGTGGATAGTGTTGCCGCGTGTCGACCCCAATCTGGATGATGGCGACTCTCCGGTGACCAAATGATCTAATAACTTTATTATAATCTCTTGCACATGACTAGAGTGTGCACATCTCATTTATTTTGTCTTTAATAAATGCAGTCTTTATCAAATTCTACGTAAATTAGAATTCTTTCTTAAGTGCTTAGAGTGCTGACTCTAGCCGGATTCGAACCTGCGACCTAACAATCGCTCGTTTTAGAAGCAAACACGTAACCCACTAGACCATTCATAAAATTGATGTTGTGCTTTAAAAAAAACGCTTTTCTCGAGACGTACACACTCTAATCATGATCATGGAAAAGTCTGTGGATCATGGAAAAGCCTGTGCTCTTACTTGTGGCTTATCCCAAGCATCTCTCCAATCATTTTCTCGTAAACGAAGTAGCTTTGAAAAGTCGAAATGGCTTGTCTCATTGTTTGTACTGTAATTTGGAAATTTCCCGCTTTAAAACAGAACACTTTAAACTCACTCGTTTCCACGAAGCGAGCTATTCGATTTGTTTGATAAGAGTTTCTCGATGAGAGAACTCGTCGGAAAACACGCTAGATGTATTCCGTTTAGCTAAATAAACATGAGATTAGTGATTGATTTTTAAATATATTTTCATTTTAACTTTTTCAATAAAACGATAAAACATTTTCAATCAAAACACACTTGAAGTAGGAGAAAAGAAGTCGTCCATAGACTCCTCATAAAACGCCGTCGTCGTTTTCAACGATGGCACTCACATTTTCCATAAATCTTCACATTGATTAATGCATTCAAACTGGAATTTAAAATCTTCTTTAAAAAGATTTAGGAAAATATTTTCTTTTGCAAAGAATGAAAACATATATGTAAAAGGAAGCTGTAATTAGAGGAGCTTGAGAATGTCTTAAAACGCCTACGTCTCTTAATCTTACACTTACAGATCTTTCGAAAAAAGATGACGATTCTCTTTATATAAAAAGCTTTTAAAATCAAAATACAACTATCATTTGAAAGAAATAGATCTTCAAATTAAAAGAAAAGTTCAAAAAAAAAGACAAGAAAAGAAAGAAAAGACAAGAAAAGAAAAAAAGAAAAGATCTTTCCATTCGTGGCGATGAATTTCCGCTTGTTGCGTGTGAGTTGCAGCTACAGAAAAAAAAACTCTTTTTGTAGAAAACAATGAAAAAAGAAAATCAAAATAAGGAAATCTCTTTAGCGTGAATATAAAATAACAGAACTCAAGCAGGACTGGGAAAACGACTAGATTGAAATGGGGGAAAGGAGGTAACGGAGAATGCATTCGAGATTGACTCGCGAGAGGTCCTTGACACAATCTTTGCTTATGCGTTAACGCAAGTAGATCTAAAAAAAAAACACAAAAAAGACAAGTCAGAAGCACTTTTGAGAAAAAATTTTGTTGAAAAAAAACTCATTTCGTTGCGTCGGTCGTCAGACTCAAAGACCGGGCACACAACGAGCCTAATAAGATCGGAATGAGCTCTCCTCCTTCAGCCATTTCCCATATCTTCTTTCAAAATCCATTCTCCAGATCAAGTTTTTTATTGAGATTTTGATTAAAGTTGATTAAAGTAAGATGCATTTGTCATTCTTTAAAGAAAGAAAAAAACGTTTATTCATTTAATACCCGTACTTCGGAAATAGTGTTCTTGTGTAGGCTATTGTTTAGAAATCAATGTTAGCTCGGATCGATTTGAGATCACTTCCATGAGGATTTGTGGCCAAACACGAATAGGTTCCTCTGTCTAGAAATTAATATGAATAACGATTACTTGATACTTGAATACTTGATTTCAAAGACTCACCAGAAAGCGTCGTTGGATCAATCTCGACACGCGATCGAATTCTCACCAAAGAAATGTGCTTTTCGCTTAGCTGATAAGAAAACTTAAGTATAACACCTTTTTTTTCGCGCTATTTTACACCTGAATATGGCTTTCCGGGGAAAGCTCGGCTCCATTTTTGTACCATCGAAGTTGTGGCCTGGGGAGTCCCTCGGCTTCACACATCTAGAAATCTCTGTTTAAAAGCGTATACCGTATTTTCTGTAATAGTAGTGCAGTCTATAATAGTAGTGCACTTTCTAATAGTATTGTGGTCCGAGAGGGGGTTGAAAAAATAGTAGTGCGCACTACTATTACAGAAAATACGGTAGTTCAAACTTTAGCTAAACGCATAACTCACCACAATAAGCTTTAGACCAAGTCGAAAATGTTGATCAAAGTGTGAATGACGAATGATTTGTGGTGAACCCTAGGGAAAAAGGCTTAGCTTAATGTTGATTTTCTATTGACAAACCACTGAGTCAAGAGCATCTGAATGATCTTCGAGTTCATCATTACCAAATGATATCGCGAAGATCGAAATAAAGAGAAAAATCTCAATTAGCATCATATCATAACGTTGAAATCTATAACTTTTAGGTTATTTTATTGAAAAGAAGAGTAAAAAAAAGAAAAAAGAGATGTGTGTAGACTTCAAAAAGTGCAAATTCGATTTCTCCGGAAAGCGAAGGCCAAAATGGGCACTTGAGGCGCTGACAAGTTGAGAAGACATCCCCAAACATTCACCCAAAATAGAAGTTTATGCAAGAATTCGTAAATAATAGAGAAAATTTGCTAGATAGATACAGTACTGGACAATGAAATATCATATTTGAAAAAAGATCGTCACTTTCGGACGTCTGTAACTCCCCTTGTCTTTGAGTTTAAACTATTAGTGTTATACATTTTCTGAAAGCTCTTTTCAAGGGCTACACAATGGTAATATTAATATTTAGAAATACGGTAAAGACAAGGGAGTTACAGACGCGCCGAAAATGACGATCGTTTTTCAAATATGATATTTCATTGTCCAGTAGTGTAGATAAATAGATAGATCGAATTCTGTTGAAAGAAATGAAAGATATGAAGATTAGATTGGTAAAGGAGGCTATTTGCATTGAAATTGGCTAATTATGGGAAGAAATTTGGTGAGGGATCTCCTAAAAGAAAGAAATGAAATGTTCAGGTATGCATGAATTGGCCATTATGTGGATGAATGCCATCCACTTCTTTTCCCATTTCATTTTCTTTCTTTCTTTCTTTTCTCAATCAAGCTTCTTTTCTTCCTCCTCTTGCCCGCATTTTCTTTTTGCTTTTGATGTGGAACGCCAGTTGCTTGTGTTCCACAAAAAAGAAACATAACATGTCAACACGATGTCCAATTCTCAAGGAAGGCTTTCTGAAAAAGGAAAGGAACATTTTTTTTTTCAAAATTAACTCGGAAATAACCAATCTTTTTGAAAAAAAAGCAATTGTTTGTGGAAAGCCTATTGGACATTTGTGCGAACAAAGCCATATAGGGATTAGTTTGAGTGATGTTTCGCTTTTCTATTTCTCAAGATTTAAAATAAATTATTTATCTTCACAAATGAATCGATTTCGAAGAAGAAATGAACAAGAAGAAAAAAATGTGCGCGTTGGTATGTACACGTTTTTTGGGGGAAAGGAACCAAATTCACGCCTAGAAAAGCAATATTTTTTTATAGAAAAATGATTTGAAAACGATATGGATAAGAGATGAAAAAAAGAATCTCGTAAAAAGAATCAACTAGAATGTTTACATTAGAGTGAAGACCCGGTAAAGACAGAAAAAAATCGTCTCACTAATGTTTTATTGGGTTCTTTTATTTAATAACTAGTCATTTTTTTTTGATATAAAAGTCTCATTTTTGTTTTATTTTCTAATTTGTGAGTTACCGTATTTTCTCTAATAGTAGTGCACCGTCAGCCTTGCCTAAATTGCTCGAAATCTCGAGAACCACTTATCAGAACCTATCGATGTGGGGTCGGAAAATGTAGCTCACGATGAGATCTTGTGGGGGATTTGAGTGTTGAGCTTCTGGGAAAACTTGGAAACTGTAAAATAGGCATTAACCGGCCGACAGAAAACGGGCCCCCAAAAACAGACAAACTTTGCTTTCAATAGTGTGCACCTGGCGCGCCTAATTCCTCGAAATCTCGAGAACCACTATCAGAACCTATCGATGTGGGGTCGGAATGTAGCCACGATGGTCTTGTGGGGTTTGAGTGTTGAGCTTCTGGGAAAACTTGAAAACCGTAAAATAGTCACCAACTCGGCTCGCCGGGGTGCACTACTATTAGAGAAAATACGGTAATCATTTTGCACATACAAATCGATATAAGGATAAGCGTCTAGATTTTAGAATTCTGAGAAATTTTAACCAAACTTTAATAAAAATTAGAGCTTTAGATTGAAGCTGAATGAAATCAAGAATAGAATTTTTGAAATCAAAAAAAAAAGAAAATCAAAGAAAATGGTACCCGTTTGCGGAAACGTTGCAAGCGATTTTCACAGATTTTCCATATTAAAAAAACATGCATATTAAAAGAAATGCAAAAGCAAGAGAAGAAAAGAAAAGCATTATTTTCACAAGAAAATATGCTTTACAAGAATATTATCACAAGAAAAGCAAGAAATTAAAAAAAATCGGAACTTAACGCTTGAGATAAACTTTTTTCTAAGTGGGAAGTGTTTATAAAATTGTAGAATTTGGAATGGGTTGCGGGGGCAAATCATCGTCTTCTTCCGCTTCTTCACCGAGCATCGTTTGACCGGTGGTTGGCGTCAAAGCAGCGCTATCGTTTTGTGAAGTTCTCAGTGGGGTCACCTAGAAGATTTCTTGGTGCTTGTAATTCGTATTTCTAGTTTAAGAAGTAATCTTCAAGATAACATAAACTATAGCAAGCTTAGCAATAAAATTGGTATTTGTGTTAGTTCTTGGCTATAGCTCAAGTGCATTCAATGGTGCCACTTTTTTTATTCTTATGTTTACAGAGCTTTACTAGCTCTCTCCATACTTTCAAAGTGTTCCACTCAGCTGAATATCTTCTAGTTTCATAAAGAATTTTAAAAAAAAGGGGCAGCTATTAAAAATCTACGCAGAAAAAGAGGCGGCGGGTAGCTTTCATAGTTGTCCCATTTGTTTGAATTTTTTCATAGAGGAACCCTTTTGAAAGTACCTAGTGGTAGTTCTCTTTTGGTTACTACGTTTAGAATTATAAAGAAACCTGTTCATAAACGGCGCTCATCTTCTGCCGTTGTGTTTGCTCGAGCTCTTCGACCACTTGCTTTATTCGCCGCGTCAACTCGGTGAATGTGGGTCGATCCTCGGGATTTGCTGCCCAACAACTCAGCATCACATAATCATATCTGCATTTGATTTTTAAACTATTTCTCTTTTAAGCACTTACAGTCTAGGAGGACAATATCTCGGTTGTGGCAATCGCTCCTCGCTGGCAAGATATGGCTGCACCAAAAAATTTGCTATTCCCGTGTATGGCATTTGACCTAAACAAACAATTCATTTGGTTATATTAATATTTAATAATTTGCAAAATCTTGCAAAGTTTTTAGTAATGTTGATAATTTATAAGATAATAAGTCTTTAACAATCTTTAACAATCTTTAACAATCTTTAACAATCTTTAGCAACCTTTAGCAATCTATAGCAATCTTTAGCAATCTTTAGCAATCTTTAGCAATCTTTAGCAATCTTTAGCAATCGTTAACAATCTATGACAATCGTTAACAATCTTTAACAACCTTTAACAACCTTTAACAATCTTTAACAATCTTTTACAAAGCTCACCTCTGGTCATCAACTCCCACAAAACAACTCCATATGCCCAGACGTCACCCTTTTGAGTAAACTAAATTTTTGTTAAAGTTAATAAATTTTTGAATAGCGTTACAATTTGACTGGTTAGCGCTTCAATTGGCATCCATCTCAATGGAAGATCACGATTTCGATGTAATACCTACAAAATCTTGAATATTACAACTTTTTCTCGTTTACTTCATAGTTTTCAAAGTTCGACAATTCTCTACAAAGCCCAAAGTCCGCAATTTTGACATTGAGAAAATCGTCAAGCCTGAAATTTATATGTATCTATTATATATTTTTTATAATTACATGCAATTCCTCGCAGCGAGATCTCGATGAATGAAATTTTTCTGATGAAGATACTCCATTCCTTCAGAGATTTGTACGGCAAAGTTGAGGAAAGAGCGAAGAGTTTGATGCTGAAATAAAGGATGATTGTGTGTTTTGTTTTTTTATAAATTCTTACCTTATTTGGATCTTTGACGAATTTCAGGAGATCACCATTTGACATGTATTCGGTGACAATGATCGGAGTGAAATCCTGATCGAAAGCGATCCCGATCAAGCGCATCACTCGTGGATGGTCGAACTTCGACATGAGCAACCCTGAAAGTTAAGGCTTTTATGATTTCGATTATGATTATGATGATTTTTTAACCGCCCCTTCTTTTTTTTTTGTTTGCTGATGATGGATATTAAATAAACAAGTAGGGTAGTATCTATATTCGACTTGGTCGTCAAAATATCAATTTAACGTCGACGTCAAAATTTTCGACGTCAAAATGTCAATTTAACCGTTGATTATTAAAATTTTAATTTTTTAGGTGACAATTTCAGGTGACATTTTTTGTCGAAAAAAAACAACGTTGTCCCATGCGATTGTTTGTGCAAAAACGCCACTGTCGTCAACGTGTTACAAACTACAAATTTTAAACTTTACCTTCATTGACGAATTCGCGAACCCCGGGCACACCATGTTGTAGCATTTTGCACGCAACTTTTTGCCGAAAATTTTCTGATGGACAGTACTCTCCTCGGAAAACGATACCGTAATGACCTAAACATTTAGCAATCATTTCACTCTACTAATATCCAAAAACCTTTTCCAATTTGGGTTTCCAATTTAATATCTCGTAGTTCGATCTTGAGTTTCGGATCGATATCCCTTGAGATTTGTTCATAAGGAGAAAAAGGATCATGATCTCTCAGCGATCCATTTCCATTTTGAAGCCCGTTCTGATGATGTTGACCATAGACGTTCAAGGCTAAAAGAAAAGATGTAAACTGCTAAACGAAATCCAAAATCCAACGTGAAATGGTGAAAGCCCTTTCCTAAACTGAAAAGAAACCATACAAAAAAAACCATTTAAATTTTTGAATTTCAATTAAAGAAAGAGCAGTAGAAGGCAGCTAGCTAAAGGACCGATACCGCTGAAAAATGCATTCCATTTAGAAGAGGGGAAATCTTGAAGAAATCTTTGGACGATGGTGATGGATTAGCGCGTGAGATGAAAACTCACAAAAAGTGTGATTGTCAAAAAAGAAGAGAAGATTTTGAAAGACGTCACTCGTTGAAGTTGAGGCTAAAAAGCGACACTGCAAATCATCAACGGTTAGTAGATGCGGGTCGAAAAGTAAAATTGTTGTTTTTAAATCGAAATCATGAAAGATCTGGGTTGATGTATTTAAAATCAATCTTTAAATAAAAGCTTTGCCTTTCTATGCTTTGGTTTTAACTTCTAGGCTTTGGATCTAATGATTAATCTAATGATTAGATCTAATGGATCTAATGAAGTTGGTTAAAGTTGTCAAAGCAAAGCAAAATGGTCAAAATTGGTCAAAATGGTCAAAATCCATCATTTAGATCAGGTTCATGCATTAAAAGGCAATACTTTCTCAAACTTTAATCAAAATCGTGAAAGATAAAAGGGTGAGAAGCAATGGAATGAAATAAAGCAACAGGCGATAGGCAACAGGCGTGAGTGCTGTTTTGTGTGAGATAGAAAAGTGAGACGAAGAAAACGAACAACGAGACCAACGAAGACTTACGGTGACTTTCCAATTGGGCACCCCATCGACGCACAACTAAAACATTCGTCGCAACTTATTTTTATTGAAGAAAAATAACAAAGGTATAACCTAAACCTAGATCTTTTTCAAATAACTTTTACGGAAACGCGTTAGACAGAAACCACATCCAGGAACTAAAAGTTGAAAAGAAACCAAGAAAAACAAAGAAATGATAAGTTGATGAAGACTTAGAAGCACCAAAAAAACCCCTCAACAGTGGGAGAGCAAGCAAACAGAGGATGTTATAATGCAAGGAAAACAGACGGTGCCCGATTTCAGCCAGCCATCACCCAATTTCAATGTTGTATTCCTTCAGTAATGTTTTCAGTAATGCTTTCAATAGAGTCTTGATCAAATAAATCTCTTTTTTTGAAAGTGCATTTGGGATTATAGAAGTAGAAGCTATGGTTTGATATGAATGAGACAAGCAGATGAATGAAAAAGCTCGTTGTTGAACTTGTTGACTTACCGGTTGGATTGTAGATGCCACCCATTGTAAAGTCTTCATTCATGTGCTTTCGATTTTGATTGTTCTAGAAAATTTGTTGATTATGATTTTTTTTTTCTTCACAATTTACCATGTATGTTTTCCGGGCATACCATAGGATGATGGCTATGAAAACGAGAATACCAATCACTGAGAAGATAGCGATCAAAGCTTTTGAAGTCCTGGAAATAGATTGAGTCAATTTTGATCGATTTTTGACCGATTTTGATCAATTTTGATCAATTTTGATCAATTTTGAGCAATTTTAATCAATTTTGCTTAATTTTTGATCAATTTTTGACCAATTTTGCTTTCCAAACCTGCTCATTCCTTTGTTTTTATCATCTTTACCAGTTGTATCACCAGATCCGGCTGCTTGACTGCCCTCATCTTTCACTGGTGGACGATAGATGCGCATTTTTGAATCACCAACCTGCATTTCATAGAAATACTCTAATAGAACTCTAATAGATTTCAAGCATCTTGTTCTAAGCGCTAGTTTATGCTAACAATATGTGTTATATCAGAAAAGAAATCACCTATCTTCTCTACTTTAATTTGATACCTAAGCGCAGAGAAATAAAGGTACTGGTGGAGAGATATGAGCGTCTGTTTGAGAGTAAACTTAGACTACGCCAGGCTCCTATAGGATTCTATTAGAATATTTACGGTCACAAATCTGTGAAGAAACTCACTTTCCCAGTCATCACTACATCACACGTATCAAAATCCTTTTGTGACGGTGCTGAGAGCTTGCATTGCATTCTAAACCATTTCTTGCTACAAATTTTGACATCTTCTCTAAACCTTTCTCCACTTTCGAGCACTGGTGTACAATTGGTACTGCAAATTAAGACTCGTGGGTCAATCATTGAGCCAAGATTCTTTCCATAGAGATTCCACGAGTTTTTGCTTGAGTCAAAACCCACCTAAAACTTTTCATAGGTCAACGAGGTCTTCTTTGACTTACATATTGGATGACGGGCGGGCAAACTCCTCTCAATATTTGGCCAGAACATTCGAAACGATTTGAATCGAGGGCAAGCACTTGTCCGGATGGCTTTCCTTAAATGTTTCCTAATAACAATGAAACATTCCAGAAACTAATTTTATATTATTATTATTTTGTTATCAAACCGAACCATCTTCATTCGGACACCATCCACACCGAAGCGCGTCTGTGAATCCACCGACCAATAGATCTTCGCAACTGTGGAACAATGCATCGCAATTCAACTTCAAAGACATCACCTGTAGAAATTGTTTGAGCTTTTCTTTTTTTTTCTTTTTTACCTTATTCGGAGCCGAATAGTAAACAGTATCGCTAAGGGAACTTAATGCAATCCTATGAAGATTGTCTGAGGTGTTATTCTTGCTCCATGTGACTCTTGCTGCAATGTTGGCCAGAGATGTCTAAACAAAAATTGTTCGAGTTTACAGAATAAATGTTTACTCGGAAAATTGATCCTTGAAAATTGCTGAAAAATAATGAGCCGTGATGATCGGGGATGACTTGCGAGATCTCATTTGAATCGCTGCCCATGAGTCTAAAGGTTTTAATACAAATCATTCTAAACTTTCATTCTAACATTCTAAACTTACACGTTGATTGCTACACCAAGTAGTGGTCGATAGTCGCTCAATGATCCATATCGATATGCGGTTGAATCGTGACCAGCCAAATCACAGTTTGCCAATGGGTTCGTTGATTCGGATGTTGGCTAAATGTTGCCGAATATTTAAACTAGCTAAGTGTTTAAATAAGAAATTAGAAATATTTAAATAATAAGCTAACCCCTTGAAATCGGCTACAGCGTTGTGAATAGCCGTCACTCTTCGCAAACACATAACAATGATCGGGAAGATTGTTTGGGTCAGCCCAAGATTTGCACGCCTAATCAAATCGTATTTTTTTGGTGAAAAAGATTTATTTGACTTACATCAGCCTCTTCTTTGCTTGTGCTTTGACACATTTGCCACACATTGTCAAATCTGAGAAAGTGTCTTATGGCTATTGATTTACAAGTCGACTTACCGTTGTTGAAGTGCGGCATATGGAAATTGGCATACGACGTACGTTTTTTGATTTGATCCATTTGAGGACTGAAGTGTGTTGATAGATGAAGTTGAGTTGGACTTACGTTTGCTTGATTGCTGGCTGCTACATAAAGAATTTCTTCGGATGGATCAAAATAAGAAGCGAAATCGTTCACTTCGCCACCTTGCTTTGCTAAAATATTATTTTATCCGCTTTCAGGAATCACGATTTTTGATCTATAACAAAAAATGAAAACTTTTCATATTTCATTGATTTCTTTCTATTTCAAAACGTACGTAGATCTCCACAAGAAAGAGCAATCTCAATTTTGGACTCAAGCAGCTTTGTTCCATCACGTGTGCAAAGCCTTGACAAACGGAGCAATCCGGTTTCAGTTTTGTCCACGTCTTGGCTAAACTTTGAAGTGAAAAGGATAATGGTTATAAACGAACTTTTCAAAGATGAACGGCTCAAATCTTGATTGACTGCTGCCAACAAAATAAACAAATCCATCTTTAGAGAAAGATGATGAAAGACCGGTCTTCTTGAAATGAGAAAGATCATCGGAAGTTTGGAATGGCTCGAGTTCGCTGAAAGAGGTTTATTCAAAACCAGCAACAGAATTGGCGGTGAGAGGCGTCGAACCCGCAACATCTCTTCCGTTCGTTTGAGAGACGTTAACCACACGGCCATGCTCTAGCGCAGTGCGAGCGCATTTGTCTCCAGCTTACACGACTCGGGTTCAACTCCCGCCCGCGTTGGCAATTTTGGTTTTTTTTAATTTAAAAACTTATTGCACAACTACATGAAATTTTGAACCAAACTAGCTATAAGGCATTTAAAACGGCCCACTGGAGGAGACTGGAGGAGATAGATAGACAACAACTCTTTTATAAATAGTAGAGCCCTCTTCAACTTCACTTACTCTCCATTTCGATCCAAAAGATAAGCTGACACCCAGGCCATATTTCGCTTGTCAATTGCTCGAACGAAGATTCTGAATTTGTATATAGAAAGTCAAAACTTTTTTGAATTGTATACTTCTGTCCATCTTTGACAGCACTTGCAAAGAGAAGATCATTCTTGGAGTTTCGTCTCTCACGCTTCAACTCGGTGCATGTAGCGTTTAGAGCACATAATCTTTAAAAAAAACATTTATTCTAATATATTCTTGAAATTATCAATATTGGCAGTGATCATTTCATACCTGCATGTATCTTTATCGCACAACAAGAGTGAATCTCGATCAACGAGTTTGAATTCGAGTAAGCTGTCTTCGATTCCATCCTCTAATTTGATAATCCCTATTTGTGTATCGAGTGTCATTGAGTCTTGACCGGTATCTCTAGAATTTCTTTTTTTTTGTACACTCTATTTTCTTTGTTTTACCGATAGAGAAAGATCCTCTTTTTCGCCGCCACGGCAATCGTGCCAAAATCGGACGCGAGTCCAAGAACCTAAAGTAATTCTCTTCTTCACTCGATTCATTTAGATCTGAGACTGGCAGTTAGAGTCAACTTTTGAAATCTTGATGCTGTGCAAAAGGTTTCACGCGGCGTTAAATTGTCGTGAGAGCAGCTTATCAGACTCTCACCTGGTTTCACTCAAAAGGAATGGAGAGAGAGAGAGAGAGATTGTAAGCGCTTGACTTCTCACACTTTTCGTGGTAATATGAAGAGGGTAAACTGGTAAATGTAAAATAAACATACGTTGCCATCATCCCGGCTCAGCTCTAGAAAGGTGACCTGCTGAGAGGAGAGCCTGAAAAGCAACACCAAAAACAACCACCGACTCATCCGGCAGTCATCAGACTCTGCAACTAGACTAATTTGAAGTTTTAAACAGCAAAATAAGGCAATTTGAGACAAATTGTAACAGAAAAATATTCTGGATGAAGAAATAGACACAAGGAGAAGAGGGGGAAAAGGTGGAAGGCGTTGTGGGCCATATGGGCGCTCATGTGTGGGAGAAAGGGGAACGGCATTGTGTTTATGTTGAGGGAAAGGATAGAGAAAAACGAGGGTCTAGGGAAGGGAGAAGACCCAATCCTAAAAATGAACACATACTATTTTTTTCGTGTAAAGACATTTAACAACGGTAATCACTTTGATGAAATGCGGAATTCGGAGAAGATTCGGAAAAGAAGGGTTTAGTGATTTGAAATCTAATGAGAAATTTAATAAGTTTCTTTTCTGATGTTTACACAGTGGCTACGTATTTTGTTAAGCAAATAAGAGCTTTTAGACAAGTTCTAAAAATTAAATAAAGATGAAACATTCATTCATAAAGATAAAAATAACTAGCAATAGTCAGGCCAAAGTTTTCCGCGTGATCGACCTTTTGTGAAAGCTTTTAGGGGAAAAACGCTATGGCCTTTCGAGGAATCAAAGAGTTTGCGTCAAGGGGTTCTTTTTATCCACTATGATTTGCTAAAGAATTCTTTTTTCTAGGTTGATCGGAGTTAAAAGATGAAAACTCTAAAAACTTTTTGGCATCCCGGGGGAGGAGAGAGAATGATCGGCTTTTCGGGAAATGACGTCAAAATAGCGAGGTCGCCCTCGGGAGGAAAACTCTCTGGTTTCACAATGCTCAACACCTTCAAAATAATACCACAACGAATAAACTAAACTCAACACCTTCAAAATAATACCACAATGAATAAACTAAACTTTATAATGGAAAAATACAATAACTAATTGTAAGCAAGCTCACTCTTTACAAAACGAATCTCGATCTCGTGATTGAGTTTCTCTCCTGTATTACCCATTTGCATTAATATTTTGAATTAGCTGCTTTTTAAAATAACAGTGGTGGTTTTAAAACAACGAAAGATTTCAAATAGACAAAGAGTGTTAAATCAAAGAAATCTATACTGTTAGAAGTTTTTAATAGTCTTGAAACATTATAACAATGGCTTAACCTCTTCTTTTCTTTTTTTTTCCTTTGATAAAAGTTGTTCAAGTATGCAAAGAAAAATAATGACAAAAACTGAAAAGATATTGCGAAAGAAAGAGAAATCCTTGAAGGAGTAATGTGTGCAGAATAGGTGGGTATTTGGAGTTGGAAAGATGGTAGAATAAACCGGATGATAAATAATAATCGCGATCATGGGGAAGACCTTGTTGCTGGCCAGGTATTGATGAAGGAAGGGGGCAGGAAAGAGCCTGCCAGGGCAGGGTTTGGAGGGAAAGGGAGGGAAAAGGAGGGAGTTTTCCTCTGCCCCCTCTCACCTCGCTTTGGTGAGCAATCACTTCGATCGATCGATATCGGCTAAGAGAGGCGCTACTTTGTCGAGAGACACGAGACACTCTTCTTCCCCTTTTCACTCACCGTCACCTTTGTTCTTTATTCCCCTTTTTAACAATTATGCCGAAAGTACGGTAATTGTGGGGCTCAGATGTATACAAGTTGAATTCTAGTCAAAAAAAAAATAGAAAAACGACTTGTAGTTAGATTTAACAACAAATACTAATACCAGATAAAACTCTAGATTTGATAAAATCTAGATAAAGAGCGGGTGAAATTTCGCAGTCTTTAAGAAAATGAAAATATATTGCTTTTTTGTTCTTGATAGATTTGATCAATTGATAGAAAATTTTGTGTGCTTTCATGATAGTTGATGACTAATAGCTGAGAATGTGATGAGAGAAAAAGACAATGACGAGTTGTCGAGTTGTCGCAAAGAAAGACCGGTCACCGGATCACATTTTGTGTTCAGACGCTTGAAAACACTTGAACTTGCGTCAAAACTCGAACACTTTAAGCGTGTGTTAGCATCTGAAAATTTCTGCAATGTTTGAGGATATCTCTATTGCTGAAATCTTTATCTGAAGCAAGTTTATTGAAATCTTCGAGATCGGTTGAAAGAGTTGAGAGCTGAGACTGAAAAAGAGGGTTGAGGACGTTTCTCGGATTGACTCGTGGCAGCAATAAAATGAGCGATCGCCTCTCCGGCATTTGCGGGCATCGATTCGAAATGTGAGATCACTCCCTCAAGCATCTGAAATTTTTCCGTAAATAAGTATAAATTCATATTTCTGAGTGAAAATCTTGTTATTTAAAATTCTGTATTTCACAGTTGAACTTTTCATTGTTTTTTTTCAAGATAAATAAAGCTCGGATAAAAATAAAATGACTAAATTACAAGCAACGTTTGTCTCTAGCGTAATTTACGTAATGTATCGTATCGCCAAAAGCGAAGATTCTTTTACATAACAACATTTACTTCTTTAAACTTACCGCGTGTTTAGTGGCACTGGGTTTTGTTGGGATTTCGAAGTGTTTTCGATAACGTCGCAAAGCAGCCGCGGATAGTATCGATAGCACATGCTAAAATCAATTGATTGATGAGTTTAATTGAAAGGCACTATCTCCTTTCTCACTACAATATCCTAAAACAATAATATCAGTATCTTTAATTTTATGCTTTGTAATCGCCTTACATCATCATCTTCTTCTGCATCGATTGGCTCTTGTCTCGTACTTATCTCTACCAGTCTCTGACGTAATTCTGAAAGTTCTATTCTAATTATCAATCTGAAGATTCTGTAAAAGATACCAGTATTTCTTTTTTCTTCAACGGCTAGAGTTTTTGTGATGTCTTGGTCAAATGTTAGAGATCTTGTCACATTACAAGGAGCTTCTGGATTGTAGCTGCACTCATTACAATGGCCGACTTCTTCTGATGCAGTAATCTAAATTAAGTCTTTCAGTTAGATGCTTTTTGTTCTCACCGTATTTTTGCTATACTCAATCAAGCTTTCCACCAAATGTCGAGAAGCGATGCGTGAAAGTTTGGAATGTCCTGGTTGATCGTTATCAGAATCAGAATCATCCTAAAAATATATTTATTCGGATTCATGCTAATTGCCATCTCACCAGTTCACCATTTTTCCGTTTGTACTTCCGCTTTCGTTTCTTGTCGTTGAGCTCAAAATCCAATGCTTTCAAAGTTGCCTAAGCTCTTCAATTTTTTTATTTCATCATTAAATTTACCTCTTCGTTTTGCAGTTGCAGTTCAATTGATGGCTCTTCGTTTCCATTCTGTATATTCACAACCTCTTCATGTTCCTGTTCTTCTGGGCATTGATTTTGGCTAAGATTTTCCATAGAAGAAGCTTCACTTAACCAAATCAATCGCCAATGATGATTGCAAACACGCGGCGTAAATATCTGAAAAAAAATGTGTGCACTTTGTTTAAAGACTAGCTTTCTAAACCAACCCTTTGTGCATTCACTGCGAACAGGAGATTTCTTCGCAGTACAATTTCTTGAAGCTTTTGGGTGAGAGGTTTAACTGCGACTCTATCACATTCACTCCATATCCCGTCGGTTGCTTCCAAGAAAATGCAAAGCGAGCTTTCCTGGAAAATAGTTTTTTGAATTAACAGTTGTTTAAATCGTAACATAAAGTGAATTAGTTGAAATTAAATCATTAGTCTATTGCTTTACTTCTCAAGAAATATTATTCAGTGACTGACCGGTTGAAATGAACGTTCAGCATCCTCATTTTTGCTCGTTGAAGGCGCGTCCTCGTTGACTTTTTCTTCAATTTCATCTTTCACGTTTTTGCTTTCAAACAAGCTCGAATTGATAATCGAAAAGAATCTCTGCCGTTCTCGATTCTTGAAATACCGTTGAAGTGACATTCTAAACAGCGCTCATTAAAATATAAAATTAAACACAAAAAGAAAAGTGAAGATGTTTAATTTAAAAACTGAATATCTTAACTCGTTAATAACCTTTTAAAAACAACAAAAAGTTTTCGAGCCACAAAAAATTAGACGCCCTAACTGCTAGCTGTTTCTGGCGCTCTACTTACTTTTTCATCTGCAGAAAAGAACAAGAACAGTAGACAATTAAAAGGGTCCTAGCTAGATTTGCAAAGCGCCAGAGGATAGTCTTCAATTTAGGTTGCATCACCACATTATATCAAGACAACATTTTTCTTTTAGGCTAATGAAAATTGAGTAACGTATCACCCTGGCTTAAAGTTGTGTAATTCTTATGCCACCAGATTTAGCGAAAATTTCATCAACGCGTTTGTGCCCTTTTAGTTGTTGCTTTTGCTCTCTGTGTACATTTCTTTTTACTTGGTTCTTTGTACAAGTTCAAATTGGTGTATTTTTGTTGTTTTGTCTTCAAATTGGTGTATTTTAATTAAGTGACTCCTCAAATACTCAAAGATGAGTAAACGAGCACCATTCCAAAACAATGAAGAGCAATCTGCGATGACTAGGATTGCCATCGTGGAAAAGGTATAGAGCTCTTTAATTAAATGTTCAAAGTTAAGTTATGAAATAGGATATTAGTTACTAAAAGAAAGTTTAGGATCGCTGCAAGCCAAAGAATTGTGGATTACCATGCAAGCGCTCTTGTCCAGTTAATCGCATGGGTAAATTTTGGTGTTGTTTTTTGATAAAGATCTAATTTTAGGTAAGCAATGTATCCAAGTCGAGGCTACATCACCTATATCTCTCATTTCCGAAGTATACTTTTTGATTTAAAATAAGCTAACTAAATTTTAGGTTCTGTGCATTGGATGTGGTATTTGTGTCAAGAAGTGCCCATACGATGCTATAAAGATTATCAATCTTCCATCTAACTTGGCCGACCAGGTTTTCGATTCTAAAAAATAGATTGATTTTTTTTCTAGACAACTCACCGTTATTCGGCTAATTCCTTCAAGCTTCATCGTCTGCCAACACCCCGTAATGGAGAGGTATAAAACTTGGCTTTTTTTGTTTCAAATTTTACCTTCTAGGTACTTGGACTTGTGGGAACAAATGGTATTGGCAAATCAACTGCTTTGAAGATTCTGGCTGGAAAGTTAAAGCCTAACCTTGGACGCTTCGACGTAATCTTTTCAGCTCTTTGAGCCTTAAAATAAAAAATTTAGAATCCACCCGATTGGCCCACGGTTCTTCAATATTTCCGAGGATCTGAGCTGCAGAATTATTTTACAAATGTTTTGGAGGATGATTTAAAAGCTGTCGTGAAACCACAATATGTTGATCAAATTCCAAGGTTTGTTGGGTTTTTAAGCGTAAACGAAGTAATTTTAGAGCGGCTAAGGGCACGGTTGAATTTCTTGTGTCAAGAAAAAGTGATCGGGGAAATAAAGAGCAAGTGCTCAGGGATATGGGTATTTTTTTCGTTTTTATTGCTGATTATCGCTTTTTCAGAACTTGATGGAGTTAAAGATCGGGGTATTGAGCTATTGTCTGGTGGAGAACTTCAGCGTTTTGCAATTGCTCTCTGTGTAGTTCAAGTAACTAATTTATCGTTGTTATGGTATTACGTTTTTATTTAGAATGCTGATGTTTACATGTTCGACGAGCCATCTTCTTACCTTGATGTCAAACAACGTCTCAAGGCGGCTGCTGTTATTCGTGAATGCCTGGGAGAAAAGAAGTACTTATATATTTATCCGTTATCCATGAGTATATACGGCGTTTAGATACGTTATCGTAGTTGAGCACGACTTGGCTGTTTTGGACTATCTCTCCGATTTTATTTGCTGTCTTTATGGCGTTGCTGGTGTTTATGGAGTTGTGACTTTGCCTTCCGGCGTTCGGGAGGGAATCAACATGTTCCTTGATGGTTTCATTCGCTCAGAGAATATGCGTTTCCGGTACGATTTTTAGGTTTTTGCTGTGCTTGCTCATTTATGCAAGCTGTTTATTATATTTACAAACCTAAAGCGAGCCTATCGATTTATTTTAGAGAAGACGCACTCAATTTCAAAGTCTCTGATGGTCAAGAAGAATTGGTATTATTTACATGAATTAAAAAAAAACTTTCTATCTAGGTAAAACGAACAGGACACTTCATTTACCCTAAAATGACGAAAATTCTTGGCGATTTTACCTTGCACGTCGAGGCTGGTGACTTCTCCGATTCGGAAATTATTGTGATGTTGGGAGAAAATGGAACAGGAAAAACTACCATGATTAGGTAGGAAATAGTTTTCACTTTAAAATTTATATATATATATAGGATGTTGGCCGGTAATCTCAAACCAGATGCTGGTGATGAAATTCCGCCGATGTCAGTTTCATACAAGCCACAGAAGATTTCGCCTAAATCGGATAACATGGTAAGTTGGCAGTTCGATTAGAACAAAAACTTTAAAGACCTTTAAACTTGTATCTTTAGGTTCGACACTTGTTGCACGAGAAGATTCCCGGTATGTATCAGCACCCACAATTCAAGACGGATGTCATGACTCCACTGATGATGGATCAACTAATGGACCGAGAAGTATTTTAAATGATTTATCTGGAGCCGGCAAATTTAAGGTGCAAAACCTTTCCGGTGGAGAACTTCAACGCGTTGCCCTTGTGCTTTGTTTGGGAAAACAGGCATCCGTTTATCTGATAGATGAACCTTCTGCATATCTGGATTCAGAACAGCGTTTGCACGCCGCTAAAGTGATCAAACGGTTTGTTAAATTTCCCAAGAAATTGTATTGGTTTTTAAGATATATCCTTCATGCTAAGAAAACTGCGTTTGTGGTGGAGCACGATTTTATCATGGCAACATATTTGGCTGATCGAGTCATTGTTTTTGATGGTATCCCCTCCAAAGAAGCCTATGCACGCACGTAAGTAATTATACTGGTTACAGAATTTAACTAAATCTTTAGGCCTCAAGCATTACAAGAAGGAATGAACCGATTCCTAAGACTTCTTGATATCACTTTCCGTCGTGATTCCGAAACATTCCGTCCACGGATCAATAAGAAGGTGCGTATTTAAAGCACAGTCTAAGTGTTAGGTCTACAGTTTTATAACTTGCTAAAATGCTCTTGGTTTAGGATTCGAACAAGGATGTGGAGCAAAAGAGAAGCGGCAATTTCTTCTTCCTTGACGTTTAAATCAAATAATTGTTTCTGCCGGTTGCTTTTTATTTTGTTATCTTTGCTGTTTGTATTTAACGGGGATGAGGTTTGATAGAATTTTAAAATTATCATGGGTCTTTGTTAGAATTTTATTGTTCAGATTGTTTAAAAAGGTACGTGACGTGGAATTAATGTGCACAAGTTATGCATCATTTTTTCCAATTTTGATCAAGTTTCATTGATGCATATGCAGCAATGAAATCTATAAAAAGAGGTTGCAGACAATCAAAAAAGTTTAAAACACGTAGAATATTTGCGCAAACCGTAAATGTGTTATTTTTGTCATGACTGCAATTTTCGGATGGAGATTTTATCTGTGTATTGTGCCAATCACTTGTTTGAATAAATTTGTTATTTAAAATCCGATAATGGGCCAACGTTTTCATCTAAACTCTATAAAGATATCTCAGTCGAAAAAATAAAAATAATCGTTGAGTCTTAATAGTGTACGACCATCGAATCAAGATTTTTTGCTTATTAAAGAGGACATGTTTGGCTCTAAAACGATTAAAGCCCGAAAAAATAATTTGTGAAACCATAGCCTTTGCATACAAAATGAGATCGGTGGCCGTCCAAATGCAACGTGTTTGTCTCTCGTTTGACCCCGCTCTCTACGTTTCTCTAGTCACCTCTTCTTTCGCCTTTGCTCTACTGTAGCTCTCTTGCTGTGCGGGGTTTGTTCAATGCGTACTCTCACAGTCTGGTCGATTTTGTCACGCTACTAAGCTAGCATACAGGCGGCTTTCTATTATTTCAGCTTGGATCAATTCCGTCGGTTTGATTGACACCTTTTCATCCGCGTGGCCTGCATCGTATAGACTATTTTGGTCAATTTTCATTCAATTATTATACAACCTTTACTTCGTCCTAATTTGGCGAAAAAAAATTGTTTTGTTGATCACAGTAGATAAGTTGAGTCACACCAACTGCCAGCTTGTCTTTTTCGACTTTATCGCTGGTCTGTGAACTAAAGCAATCTATAAGACTTTTTAGCCCTTTTTCTCGCCAGAATCGATTCTTTTTCGGTCTATCTGTAGCCAGCGTGGATTTAAGACATTTTGCTTGCATGAAAAGCGATTTTCATTGAATTTTAATGAGGCCAAACATTTTCTTTTTCATCGAAAAACCAATTAACATCGAAAGATGGTTTGTGGAGAAAATTAAAAACGGCCTTTTTTTAAAATTGGATAGCTTGGATCATAATTTGAATTTAACTACATTAACATTTAAAACTAATTTGCTTCAATTTCAAAAATCTTTTTCACTATTCTCTGCGAAACTTTCCTGATAGGTTTATTTTCTATAAGCAATCACAAAGGTTGACTTTATGGCTTTTTCTCTTTTCTTTGGCTACCTACCAAAACGACGGCGCTAATTACATTTTCTTACCTGAAATTCAGTTTCGGCATTATTTTTCTCTTGACTCATTCAAAAGTTATCTTAAGACATCCTATTTTTTAGTTGTGCGGAGGGTAATTGATTCCTACAATGCTGCCGGCACGACGACGATCCTTAGTCGTTAAAATATTATTGCTGATACCCGCCGTATGGTTCTTCGTGCTTATTTATTTTGCTTCATCCGATGGGCGAGAGTCAAAGGTACGAATTTTATGCATTTTTTAAAAAATTTTTTACAAATTTTTTAAATTCGGATTTTAGCCTCATGAGCCCGGGGTAGTCGAGCCGGTTAAGGTTGTTGATGATATAGACAAGGTTTGCATTAAATTTTAACTAGCAAATAATTGTTTTGTTTAGCGTTTTGGTCAAAACAATCACGTGGATGTAAAACCAAATCAAGACATCCATGGAAATTACGACGGACAACGGCAGATGGTTTGTGTTAGAATTGCCTTTTTGCCTTCGAAGCATTAGGAACATATTGTAGCTAGGCTTAATGGTGGATAAACGTAAGCGCTCCTAAACACAGTGAATGTTATAAAAAGTTACATCTTGACAAAAGAATGGGTGGATGCATGCTGGCAATAGAATAATTTTTAATTTTAGTTGGCTCCGCGCTTTATTGTCGACCCAAATGACCCCATTTACCGGCGTGGAGATTCATCCCAAGCTGGAGAAGAGGGACATGCTGTCAATGTCGACAAGACGGTATGACGTTTGTTTTATCTTCTAAAAAAATGTTTTTAGAAACTGTCCAAAGAAGAGAAGACCAAGTACGATTTGGGCTTCCAGAACAACGCTTTCAATCAATATGCATCCGATATGATTTCAATCCACCGAACGCTTCCCAAGAATATCGATGAAGAGTTGGTGTTCATTATTAGCTGAATTACGTGGCTAGTTTAACTTGTTTAATAGATTATACATTCAGATGCAAAATCGAAAAATACGCTGAAGATTTGCCCGATACGTCTGTTATCATTTGTTTTCATAATGAAGCATGGAGTGTTCTATTGAGGACATTTCATTCGGTATTTGTTATGTAGCAATAAGGTCTAACTTGTGTTTATAGGTGCTGGAGCGAACGCCTGATGTGTTTTTGAATGAAATCATCTTGGTCGACGATTTTTCCGATATGGAGCATACAAAAAGTAAACCCCGCGATTATTAATTAATTTCTTGTATTTAGCGCCACTTGAAAATTACGTGTCTCAATATCCGAAAGTCAAGATTCTCAGGATGGAGAAACGAGAAGGCCTGATCAGGTACATTATAAGTTTAAACACAAACTTTCCTTGATCTTTAGAGCTCGTCTTCGAGGAGCTGCAGTCGCCAAAGGCAAAGTGCTTACTTATTTGGACTCTCATTGCGAATGCATGGAAGGTAGGCATGGTGTTTAAGCACTTGAAGGCAATGAACAATAACCGTTGCTACTTGTTAATCTCCAATTTTCCAAAGTACATGGCTTTAGGTTGGATTGAGCCTCTGCTTGCTCGCATCAAGAAGGATCCCTCAATTGTCGTTTGTCCAGTAATTGATGTGATTGATGATAACACTTTTGAATACCATTACAGGTAACATATTAGTTTGTATGTCTTTATGAAAGCTAGTACTTCGTGAAGTACTAAAGTTCGCATTGTACCGCATTCTTTTAGCAAAGCATACTTCACCAACGTTGGCGGATTCGATTGGGGACTTCAATTTAACTGGCATGCCATTCCAGAGCGAGATCGCAAAGGGCGACGAGCAATTGATCCAGTCAGGTTAGGGGCTTGCTTTTATTTAAAAAACAATTTTTTTTCCTATAGATCACCTACTATGGCTGGCGGTCTTTTTTCGATTGATCGGGGATATTTTGAGAAACTTGGTACTTACGATCCAGGCTTCGATATTTGGGGTGGAGAAAATCTGGAACTTTCGTTCAAGGTAAAAATTTTTTGAGAACTTACTATTAGTTGGTAATTTAAGTATTTAATATTTTGTTTTGTTTTAAGATCTGGATGTGTGGCGGTACCTTGGAAATCGTTCCTTGTTCTCATGTTGGTCATATCTTCCGCAAACGATCGCCCTACAAATGGCGAACTGGTGTTAACGTGTTGAAAGTAAAGTGCCAGTATTTCATTTGATCATGTTTATCTTTTTAGCGGAACTCTATTCGGTTAGCTGAAGTTTGGCTTGACGAATACAAAGAGTACTACTACGAACGAATCAATCATCAGCTTGTTAGCAACTCATTTTTTCAAGATTTATTTTTTTATAGGGTGACTTTGGGGATATTAGTCAACGCAAAGCTCTCCGTGAACGACTGGAATGCAAATCATTCAAATGGTTAATCATTTTATTGTTATACTACAAGGTTTTTCTATTGCAGGTATCTCGACAATATTTTCCCTGAATTGTTTGTGCCTGGTGAAAGCATTGCAAAAGGAGAGGTTCGTATTGTTTTTGCATTTGTTTCTTACCCTGACGGAATGGAAGTGTAAGCATTTACGCAAACATGCTATACTTTGGAAAGGATTCAACAAAAATCGAGCACGATCTTGTTAAAAGCTTACACTTCTAAGGGAAACTTAAAAATTAAGCTAGTTTGAGAAACTTTTTCCCATCCTGTTAAATTTCTAGTTAACTTAACTTTTTTTATAAATTGGCCTAGTGACTCGGAGACAACTTTTGTCTGTGGACGTTTGTGTTATCTCCTCGCTTTAAAACAAGATCTTCCCTAAAAGCTTTTTTTGTTACAAACATAAAACACCCAGTCCAACGCACCTCAAATTGTATGTTTCTCTGTGCGTAAATAATATGCATGTAACTTTTTGTTTTTAGCACAATGAAGACTGATTATAACACTAATAAGGAAATCTAAAGTTTAATCAGAATGCATTGCGGAAGTGTTTTGTTTCACTGATTATTTTCACGTTAAGATAGGCACTGTCCACGTCAAATTCATTAACTATTGTCCGTTAACTAGTACAAAGGCTAATGACTTTCTTTCAAAAAACCATATGTCATTGTCTTCTAATAACAAACTAAGCCGGGTTAAACATTTTCTTTGAAAAATTGGACTGGGTGGTGTCGGATTTGAGGTGCGTAACTTGGGCGGCGATGGTCGAAAGTGTCTGGACTGCATGGTGAACAAACACGATAAGAACAAGCCAGTCGGGTTGTATCCGTGTCACGGCCAGGGCGGAAATCAGGTGAATACTAAACTTTTTCTTTGCAGATTCGCAATCAAGGAGATACTTCCCAGTGTGTGGATGGAGTGGCCGAGGAGGGCGAGCAAAAGCCTCTCGGTCTTTATCCTTGTCACGGACAGGGGGGGAATCAGGTGTGGCAGGGCACTCAATGCCCTATCGCGAGATTGATTGAATTATTTGAGATTTTTCAAAAACTACTTTTGTTTGCTGATATTATCTAAAAAAATGCACGAAAAGATTTTACTTAAAATAGGGTTTTACGGTAACTTCTATCGAAATTTATGAATGCATGCATGCTGTGGTGTTCAAAAAATTGTATCCTTGTAAAATTTTTTCAGTATTGGATGTATTCAAAAGATGGTGAAATTCGTCGTGATGAGAGTTGCATTGATTACGCTGGAAGTGATGTAAGTTTTATTTTCATTTTAAACCTTTTCTTTTAATTTTAGGTGATGATTTTCCCATGTCACGGAATGAAAGGCAATCAGGAATGGAAATATGATCACAACGTAAGATTTTGTTGCTTCTAACTTCATAGGGTAACCATAACATGTATTAACTGCACTTAAATATCCATTGTATTTAGGGATCACGTTTGACGCACGTGGTAACAGGAAAGTGTCTTGAGATGTCCAAAGACGGAGCTCGTTTGATGATGTCCGGCTGCGACGATGGAAACGCTTATCAAAAGTGGCGCTTCAAAGAATACAGCGAAGAGAAAGCCCGCGAACACAATAGACAATGATCCCTTCAAATGCTTGATTTGCTTTGTATTGCAAGAGTCTACTACTCTAAAAAATTTTATGCTCCTATTCATCTCCCAAAAATATCTAATCTAAATCTACTCACCACCAAATCCCAATATTTTGGCAGCTTTTGGGTATCTTGTTGCCATCTTTTTTGTCTTGTGCAAATATTTCGCGGCAATAGCATCATTTTGGTTTCATAGGGCAAATGCTAAATTGTTTGCTCTTCGAAAAAACTCCTCTAACTTATTTGCTTTGCTTTGATGATTACATATTACTTTTATGTTTCCAACGGTTGTGGATTTGATAGCTAGCAAAATTATTGTCAAGGAGCACTTTCTTTTTCTACAACTCGATCACTCTGATTTTTGTTCTTTTTTATCCACGCAACGTATCCAATTCAGTGCTACTAAAGATAATTACCCTATTCGAAATGACAAGCATTTCGATCCACTGTCCATCATAGAAATATCTTGTTGCCTAATAATATTATCGTTGTTATCTCATCTCTGACTACACTATTGGCGATGATTTACTGTTCACTCTTATTGTTCGAAGATTTCCTACTTGATCAGTTTTTCTCTCAGTCCTTCTTTTGTTGTTCTGTGATAAAGAAAAAGCCTTTCACTTGAAAAGTTAACCACTTCTTCCAAAATAGTATTATGGTGTCAACTTTTATTCTTTTCTTATTTATTTCCTGTGATATCATAAGTAATGTGAATTGTTTTCCTTATGGGTGTGCTTTTTTTGTTGATTGTTTAGATTTGATGGGTTGAATTGTGCGTGTTTAAAAAGCTTTACTTTGAATCAGTCAGAAACTACCGTAATTTTCGCGCAGAGCAGCCTTGTGTAGGTTTTCAATGCAATTTGTGATTAATTGAATAAACAAGGGTTTTGAATTGCAGACATGCGAACGCACAATAATAACCACACAAAAAAAAATGATTGAACTCTTGAAGTGATTCGGTAACACACAAAGACGAAAAGGTAACAATCAAATGGTTGAAAACTCAGACAAGGGCACTTGTTGTTTGAATCATAAAAAAAGGAGTATAGCAGAAAGGAATGTCAATTTTTGGAGTGCTTGGAAAACACGAAGAAAGCTCTCTTTCAAATGCAAATATGGGTGAGATGAACAAGGGGAACGCAGACCCTATCTCGAGCACCTATCCCCCTCCTTCCCCCACGCACGAAAGGCTGGAAGAAGGCTTCATCTCTGGAAGACTGGTTATATCCGTTTTGGAAAATATCCTTTCAGAGTTTCATATCCAGCTTTTATGTCTCTCAAGAATTTTCGAAACTTTCCCGAGTCCTTGCCAGTATTCCTCGAGAATCGACCTGACAATGATGGTCACAAGATCCCAATAATTTTTTCATTGTTTACTTTAGGAAAAGTATTTTTCATAAACGGTAACTTATAATCGGCCCGTTTTTGTTTGATAAAGACGGCTTTTTATTGGTTTTATTTTTATAGGTAAAGGCGTGACACTTTGCGATCGCTAATCCTTTTTTCGCCCTCCTGTATGCAAATTTCTTTCAAGCCGCTTTTGTTGGCACAAGCGCGTTTTTTCTTCTCTCTCAGTAGAAAATCATGCACGAATGTGTAATGCTTTCAGTGGCAAGGTCACTTTTATGTTTGCTTTCCGTTTTAAATCGATTCAACCGTACCTCAAAACTTTGACGATCTTTTCTAATTATTATTTACTCTGAAAAGTGAAATCCCCTTCAGAAAAGCGTTTTATGAGAGACTCTGAAAACTACGATTACCTTAGGCGAGGAGTCTTTATGGTTTTTGATTATGAGAGTGGAATAGGGAGAGAGTTGAGAAGGGGAGAGCGAACTCTTCTTCTTCTTCTTCATCTCGCTCTCCTTCGCCCGCACTACCATCTTCCCACTTAGGGCATTGAGCTGATAATTGTTGAGGAGTGCCGTTTTCCCCTTCTCTACACAAATGCTTCCCCCTTTTTGATTCTTCTGGTTCTTCTCATCTTTTTCTTTCCTCTCGCCCGTTCATCACTTGTTGCTCATTTTTGCTCCCTTAAAAGTTGATCGAATAAGCTGAAAAAATACAATTCTCCAATTCAATTCAATTCTCAAAATACATTCTCCCTATTCCACTCTCATAATCTAAAACCATAAAGACTCCTCGCCTAAGGTAATCGTAGTTTTCAGAGGCTCTCATAAAACGCTTTCCTGAAGGGAATTTCAATTTTCAGAGTAAATAATAATTAGAGAAGATCGTCAAAGTTTCGAGGTACGGTTGAATCGATTTAAAACGGAAAGCAAAAATAAAAGTGACCTTGCCACTGTGGTTTTTTTGAGTTTGAATTTGTTCTTGCCTTTTTTAAAAGCCCAGAATTGCAGAGTTCGATGCGTGGCCGTGAACTGCGAGCTCCTCCTCACGACTCCGAGACGAGCCGCGATTATTATAGTTTCAATCATATTGCTCCGAAATCTTCGGAGAACAATCAGGTTTGGTTGGATTGATTTGACTATTTGAAAGCTCTAATTGATTTGACTATTTGAAAGATCTAATTCTCAGCTATATTAGCTCGCAAAGTTTTTTGATTGAAAAACTTTCGGATCCTTAAAACGACTCAGAAGGAGCGCACAGAAAACACCCCCAAGCGCGCTACCATCTTTCTTGTTGTTCTAGATAAGAATCCTTTCTGAAAAATGATGCTGCACTCTGTATGTTTCCCATCGAAATTCTCTTTAGATACCTCCTCATCCCTATGAACCAAGAAATCATCTATTTAACAAGGAAAATGGAAACCCTGCATATGATCCCGCAAATAATAGGTTGACTCAAATCACTTACAAAAAGGATTATTTTCCAGAAGTTTCCCAACCTCAAATCAACCACGAAACTACGAAACTCAGCAAAATGAGTCGAAAAATAAAGAGAAAAAGGCAAAGAAAAAATTTGTTTACTTTAAAGGAGAAAAGTTTTCAGAAATATAAACCATCCCCGTTTGATACTTTTGGTGAATCGGCTATTGAAAGGGTAAGTTTTACAAAGTAAAAAGCAAAAAAAAAATCAAAGCGTAGATCTACTCGGAATTTCGCTTCCTTGACGAGTGTTCACCGTCAACATCGTCGCAACCAATTTTCAAAGCGACAAGTGGAAAAAAGTTGGTTTTTTTGTTTCAAGAAAGAATTCTTTTAGTTTATAATATAATAGAATAGAATAGAACTGTTTATAATATAATAGAATAATATAATAGAATAGAGGGAAAATAAATGGCTTCAACGCATCACAACACATAAAACCATTATGTGCGCAATTTCGGGACGGGTGAGTCAATCCGTCCCCTTGACACGCATGAAATTTAGCCGCATTTTCAAGAATTTATTACAATATTGATCTATGATGATTTTTAAAATGCTATGATTACTAAACTAGTTTACCGTGGACTTATAAATTGATATTATTCTAGAAATGTTCGACGTGGATGCGTGAGCTTTACCTCGAGAATGCTGGTGCTGGCTGTTTTGCCGGTACTGCAACTTGTTTCAGCCATTGGTCTTCTCGGTTTTGCATTTATTCGAACATTTGAGCTTTTTCAAGTTAAGCTAATTTCTTTCTTCTGAAAATATTTTATCATTCAGGAAAAAGGCCTTTCAAATCTGCTACTTGATTTGAATAAACCTGAAGATTACGCGGTCACCACGGAAGAAGGAGCAAAAATCATTCGGGTAAAGAAAAAAAAATGTGATACCGTATTTCTTCGAATAGAAGACCGGGTAAAGAGTATCATCGCGTACTCCTGCGTAGCAGCCCTTTTTAAAATTTCTTTTTTGCATAAAAGCTTTCAATCAAGTGCTATAGAGCTGGAAAATGACTCAAGAATCTGTTAGCTCATGTCGTATTTTTGAGTCATTTTCCAGCTCTATAGCACTTGATTGAAAGCTTTTATGCAAAAAAGAAATTTTAGAAAGGGCTGCTACGCAGGAGTACGCGATGATACTCTTTACCCGGTCTTCTGTTCGAAGAAATACGGTAACTATAACGAAAAGATCTAAAGAGAAAGTATTTTTTTTACCGTTTTGAGAGTATTTCCAGTTTGGTCACATTGTGCTTACTTTGTTGTCGATCGATTGAATTGAATATTTCATATTGATTTTTTTTTAGTTTCGAACGGGTACTGCAATAATAGTGCCCGCTTTGTTGCAATGCATTTCGGCTCTTCTTGGCTTTTGGGGTTTCTCGCAACAACGAAAAAAGGGAATGCAGGTGAATAACGAAAGATTGTGGGACATTTGATACGCAAGTCTTGCACAAATACAGCAAACATTGCAAGTTTTCCAATATTGAAGGTTGATCGAGTATTGTACTCTATCATTTGATTGCAAATAATGGAGTATTGCACTCCATGATTTCCCATTGGCAATCCAACTTAAAGCTCAAATTTCTTGGTCTTGAGCTGTTCAATTTAAATAGTTTTTATACCAATCGACAGAGAAAGACTTGGCGCATCTAATGATACCAAGAAGATTTTAATTCGACAGTCCAACATCAAGATATTTGAGCTCAAAGTTAGAGTTGCCAATGGTAAAAGGGGGCAGGGCGCGTATCAAATGTCCGATAACTATAACGAAAAGATCTAAAGAAAAAGTATTTTTACCGTTTTGAGAGTATTTCTAGATTGGTCACATTGTGCTTACTTTGTTGTCGATCGATTTATGGATGAGCGCTCTCACGAACGCCGCCATTGAGCTCAACATCAACTTTATTCAGCTGAATCGACTCTATGAAAGGTTATAAGGCTTAATTTTGTAACTGGCCTCATTTTAGCACTGAGTACTTTATTTATGTGGCAATTGCGTGTCTCACGTATGCTCAGGTGTTATATCTGCCGACAATCACGATGAGCTTCGCTGCCGTGCAAGCATTCCCGATGAAACAGTGCCGAGAAGGTTTGATGGATTTTGATTTTCTCTGATAAAAAGGAAACAAATTGCCATTCTTTTTGCTCAGGTTACTTTAAACTTTAAAATTACTTTGCTCAGGTCCTTCACTGGGTGCTGTACTTGTCGCTTTGTTGACAGCTGTGTTGGCTGCGATCTCCGTCTCGTTGTCCGCTTATGCAGCTTCTCGAAGCCTTTCCAATATTGAAGATTGGTCGGTTTTGTACTTCGAACATTCGAAATTATTCTAAATTCTATTATCTAGTTCAATTTTTTTTCTAGTATCATGTAAATTGAGTAGATTTCCAGGCCCGAATCACCGGTGGTCAATCCCGGCGCACTCTTTGCGTTTGGACTCAATGAAGCAGTTGTCGGAGGTAAGGATTGTTTAATATTTTTGAAAAATTCACATGATGTCCTTTAATTACATGATGTAATTGTGTAATCGATTTCCATTTTCAACTTTTCACTTTCAATTCAGCGTACGTGGTGAGCGCTTCGTGGTGCACGCTCTTGTGCGTTTCGGTGCATTCGCCCAGGCTTTTCCCCGTGGCTCTTCTATTGACATTGTGAGGAATAATATTGAAATCCATTTAATCCACCCTTTTAGTACCTCGCTGTTGACGATTCTGACTCACGTATTGACACCATCGAGGCTGCTTTCTCTTGCTCATGCCGTTCAAGTTCTTGCCGAAATCCCCAAACCGTTTCCCGTTTCTCATATTTGGTAGTGTTTTCTTTTTTTGAAACCTTTACTCTTTAAAGAGTTACTTTAAAAAGATCTAAGATTAAAAAGATCTAAGATCTAAGATTTCAGTATTTGTTTGCTATACGGGAGCGAGATCGCGTTGTGCGGATCATTGGTGCTACTATTAGTTGTGACGTCGATTCGTTTCATCGATCAATCCGAAAGCGCGTCCTCCACTTCACCCAATTCAACCAATTGCTCACAGCTATAATTTTGTCGACACATTGCGCTTTGAGAGAATAAATTTCACGAGCTAGAACGGTTTTGATTCGAAAATTTCCCCTTTTCCCAAAGACTCATCAATATTTCATGTACATTTCAAGAAATGGCAAACAGAAGTAAAAAGAGAGAGAGAGAGAGTGCAAATTTACAATGGGTCCTTGTAAAACGGCTGAAAATTTTTTACCCCGATAATCGCACCTTTTTCAAAAACGAGAGGAAAGACTTTGTACCCGGAGTTGCATTTGATGAGGTCACTCGTCCATGTACGGGCCTTTCATTTGCTTTTCTGGTATCTTTTCCGGATCTCTCTCTCTCTTTCTTATAAAGCTTGTAAAATTGCATTTTGCACAAAAACACGAGTTTTCCGGTGACTGAAATGCAGAGAAAAGTGATATGAGAAATCTGGAAAGTATGACCGAAAAGTAAACCGAAAAAAAATAGAAATGTGATGGAATCGAATCGAATCGAAAGAAAAGTCTTCTTCTCTTCAAGAGTTTAAGCCAGTTTAAGCCAGTTTAAGCCAAAATTTCTTCTAAGCATCACAAGAGACAATTTTTAATGACTTTTTCTTTTTCTTCTTTTCTTTACATGCTAGAAATTTGAATATTTGAAAAGAAACACGTCAGAAAATCTCATTGAAATCATATTCATGAGCTTTTTTGATTTATTTGTATTTTGTTTTCTGCAATTCTCTGCTCAATTCTCATTCCTACAGTAATTGTTAAGTTATTTTTTTTTCTTGAGTTCAAAAAAGCGGTGGAACGAGATAAGAAGAGCAACACCAGAGTGTCGATATGGGGAGACTTGAAAATGAGCTCTGATCTTTGAATGACTTTCACTGATGATAATTTGCTTTCACTTTTGATGACCAAAGAAAATCGATTGGTTTGTTAGCAGGAGTGATAGTGTTTACGATCACTTAACGATTACTTCATTGCCTTACTTTTGAAGAACATTTTAAGCTTTAAGCTTTAAGCTTTAAGTCAGTCAACAAGTTGCACTATAGTTTTTTAAATTTAACAGTATCGATCGTTGCCTGGTTTTAAAGAGTCGATTTGGGAAGGGGAAAGAAAGGCTGGGAATTCACGTGTTTCTGGGGGAGACAGAGAGCGGCTGAGCCCATCCGTAAATGATTGTAAACGAAGAGTCATAATTTTCAAGAGAACCGTCAAAACTCGGCACACCAAAAAACGAGCATCATTGATAAAAGAAAATGAGCTTAGCTCTGGGAAATTGCTAGGATTCTATAATAGATTAGATTGCTTTGCTTTGCTTTAGATTTAGATTGATTTTTCAGGTACACCAATTCCTCTTAGAGCTAGAAGCTGCTGGAATCGCTCAGAGAGTTGGCGACGAGTGGCTTCGAAGAGATTTGCGGTTTTAAGGATTTTTGAAAAGTAGAAATTATCGTGAATTCAGAAATGTTGATGGCGTTAATAGAAGAAGAATCCTAGTAATACTTCTTCTAGAATTTTCCTTTGACCATTAACTACGCAAGGAAAAAGATTGAAAGTAAAACTATAACTTGAGCTTTAGTTTTTGAGCCATTCATTTTTAAGAGAGAAAGCTTCAGAAGCTGCTTCAGAAGCTGCTTCAGAAACTGATTCAGAAGTTTTACTACTATTTTTCCAGAATGCATTTTAAAAACCTGATCAGACATCCAGCTTTGATAAGTTTTTGTTCGATCTGTACTTTTTTTTAAGAGTTAAAAAGTAGAAGTCAGTAGTGATTAGTTGAAAAATTTGACAATATCCGGAGAGGACCTACATGCAAGTTTTTGGTGAGAAAAAGGGTAATGGAGCAAAGTGTAATGGGTAAAAGGAGACGTCACACGTGGCTACAGCTACAGCTACAGCCTATAGGGCAACCCCATTCCAACATGTACGCCAAAAATCTTCAAGGGGGAGGAGTCTCCGAGAAACAATCTTTTTTTTTTCTTTTCTTTTCTACTGTATCTGCACGCTTATCTTGAAGTCAGAGTTGAGAGGCCATGTTGCCTGCATACAAATACGCATTGTAACCCCCAAATCGGCAGCGATTTCTCACCAGAAAATCATCATTTTTTTGTTCTCTTTGCTCCTTTTTTTTAATCATTTTATAGAAACATTTCCAGTTTCGAGTTTTTGAAATGTGTAAATCAAACGAAGTGGTCGAACAAGAGCCTCAATTGGCTGCTGGAGAGTTTGTTTGCGTTGATGACATCGACTTTTGTGATCGAGAATTCGAGGAGAGTCGCCGACTCGAGTTTCAAGCCGGATTCGTGAGTTTAAGCCAAATTTTCTAAAATCCTTTAAACTAAGCTCATTACCAACTAAGCTCATTACAAACTAAGCTCATTACAAACTAAGCGCATTAGCAACTAAGCTCATTACCAAATTATCTGATATTTTCAATTACAAATGTGATGCTGATCTCTTTAGCGTCGTCGTGCCCCACGTTGGGTTGCTCGGAATGTTCTTCTTTTCGGCATAATGCACTCAATGGCCCTCGTCGGTCTGTACCACGCCGTCGTCAACGCCAAGTGGTACACGCTCGCCTTAGGTTCGAAATTGAAAACAAGAAATTATATATTTTCGTTTTTACAGCGCAAGTGTGTTGGACAATGGGGATTCTCGGGATCACCACTGGAGCCCATCGCCTCTGGTAATTTCTTGATCCTCTTGATCTTCCCATTTACATAAACATTTTGCAATGCAATGCAATGACAAATGAACCTCTTCAGGTCCCACCGCTCGTTCAAGGCTGAGACTCCTTTCCGAGTGATGCTCATGTTGTTCCAAACTGCTGCTGGACAGGTAAAGATTTCTGGGATTTAAAATAATGTAAAATCTTTTGAAAATCGCAACAATAGGTCATAAAATTTTTGATTACCACGTGCCGGGTTTCGTAGTCTTTATCACCAGAAATCTCAAATGAATTCTAGAAAATCTCTAGGAAAACTAGAGTTTAAGCTTTTTTTTGTAATAAAAATAACTCCAGCTAAGCTTTTGTAAAAATACTTTAATTTAATTTAACGCTACCAAATTTCTCAAAATTGATTCTACAGGGTTTTTCAAAGAAAAAGTCAGTTCAACCAGTTTTTCTCAGAATTTTCTAGTGGCTTCTGGTGGTTATTGTGGTACCAAAATGAGTATTTTGAGCGGGTAAATTTTACATATTTTGTCCGATTTCATGACTGAAATTTCTGAGCCACCATCGTCATCAAATTAAAACTTTCTATTGACATCGTGGTACAGAATAAACACTATTAGGATAGCTAAAAATTTAGCTATCTTAGGATAGGTACAAATTTAGAATAAACACTATTAGGATAGCTACAAAGGATAGCTACAAATTTAGCTATCTTAGGAATGATTCTACTATTAGGATAGCTACAAATTTATCTATCTTAGGATAGCTACAAATTTAGCTATCTTAGGATAGCTACAAATTTAGCTATCTTAGGATAGCTACAAATTTAGCTATCTTAGGATAGCTACAAATTTAGCTATCTTAGGATAGCTACAAATTTATCTATCTTAGGATAGCTAAAAATTTAAACCATAAACTTTATTGATCTTTATTGATTTCCTTAGAAAAACGGGACACTTCTTTAAAGAAAAAAAGGGAATTGAAAATCTCTTATGTATGACAGATTTTCATATAATGTAGATGAATAAAGTGTTTTTGGCTAAAAGAGCTTAGTTTAAATATTAACTCTAATGTGACACAATTGCATCAGCCAGCAATTGCCACGTTTAAAATCATTTTCAATTGGCTTTAAATTTCGATTACTACCTTCACTTTTCATACCTTTTAAACAAATTGGCCGAGAATTTCATTCACCATTTGCCTGATTGAAAAATAATATAAGACTTAGAATTCACATTTTCCACTTTCGACTTTTAAAATCAGAATGATTCTTTTTATGTTTAAATCCGTGGAGGCGAAACACGCGGCATTTCGAAGAAACGTTTTTTTCCCTTTTTTTTCCTTTCTAGCGACTCGTACGAGTCCCTCGTAAAACAGCCATAAAGCTAGAGTCGTAAATTGCCGGAACAATCGAATGACAAGCATTAGCACTCTAGTGATAAAGAAAAAACCCCCACGTCGGAGAACCAAAGAAATTTGAAGATGAAACTCGCCGCATTCCTATGACGTGCAAAAAAAAAAAAGAAATAATACTTATAATAATAAATAATGAGAATTAATAAAATCTTTTAAAAAGTTTTTTAGAATTCGCTCTACGAATGGGTTCGTGATCACCGCTGCCATCACAAATGGACCGACACCGATGCAGATCCGCATAATGCTTCTCGGTTCGTGTAAAAGAACATTAGAATTAGAGTGTGTTCTGACTGAAATGAGGCTCATAACATAATACGACGTTGTTGCGGTAATTCTTGGTTCCCCAGTAAACCCCAGTTCCTCACGAGTAATGCATTTTTTTAAAAAAGCACGCTTAGGAAAAATTACCGTACTTTTAGCGAAAATTATTGCAAAAATTGGCGCAAAAAATGACGATCGACCACTTACACACGACTCTTTTTAAAGATATTCAACCATTTAACTGATTTGATGGCAAATTCCCTTCAGAAGTTAAGATATTCAATTTACTCGACGTGTAAAGAGGATTACTCGTAGTTAATCGACGAAAAACGTCGATTAATCGAGTAATTACTTACTCGCGAGGAACACACTCTAATTAGAATCATTCCTGATGAATACAAAATCTTCTAAGCTTTTGCTAAACTTTAAAAGGTTCTTAAAAAATTTTTTTATTTAGTGGCCTTTTCTTTGCTCACATTGGCTGGCTCTTGCAACGTAAAGACAAAGCTGTCATCGAGAAGGGACGCCAAATTGATATGTCTGATCTCCTTTCAGATCCTGTGATCGTCTTTCAGAAAAAGTTTGTTATACAAAATAATCTGAAATATTTTCATTTCTCAATTTCTTCCTCAAAACCTCATTTCACTTTCTAGATTCTATTTCCCGCTTTGGATTCTCTTATGCATTCTCCTCCCAACCGCCATTCCCGTCTACTTCTGGGGAGAGGATCCATCCGTCGCTTATTTTGTTGTTCTAGCTAGGTGAAGAATTTAGATCTTTAATTCATATCGAATTCTTCTCTTATAGATATGTTCTTTCACTTCACGAGACTTGGACCATCAACTCTTTGGCTCACAGCCATGGTGACAAGCCATACGATGGACGCATCCGAGCCACCGATAGCCCTTTGGTAAATGAATTTTCGATCGATCTAAGGAATGTTTCTTATCACTTAGATAAATCTAACATTTTCTTCATATTCTTTTTCCTATCACTATTCAAGAAATGATTTTCTATACTACTAAGAAAAAAAAGCTTTAGATGGCAATGGTGACTTATGGAGAAGGCGGCCACAACTACCACCACACTTTCCCATCAGACTATCGCACCTCCGAGTTCAACTATTGCTTCAATGCCGGAAAGGTAAGGGAAAGGGTTTAAAAACTAAAGTCTTACAATCTGAAAACATCAAATCCAACTTTCAGATCCTTATCGACTTGGGTGCTACTATTGGCCAAGTGTATGATCGAAAAGTCGTCGGTGAAGAAGTAAGCAAAAACTTTTTTCACTTCAAATTTTGATATCTTTACTTTAATAAGTTTTAACTACAAATTAGCTAATTAGTTAGAGTTACATTTAAAGCCTTAGTTAGAGTATTTAAAGCCTTAGTTAGTTAAATTGAAAGCCTTAGTTAGAGTATTTAAATTTTCGTATTTAAAGCCTTAGTTAGAATTAAATTTCAATATTTAACTTCGATAAGCTACAAATTTCACTTTCAGTTCATTCAACGGCGTATCGCCGCCAACGAAACCATGTTCGGGAAAAGCGAATACTATGCCGAGTTCGCGTCGTCATGGAAAAAAACTTCCTAATTGCACTCACCGTTGTCACCAAATCACGAACATCATGAAAATCGTTTTCCTAGATTCGCTTCACTTTTCCTCTTTTTGCTAGTCACTATGCATAAAAGCTCAACTGTAGATACCGACTTTTGCTTTGGCACAATAGTATTTGAATCAATTAGATCAATGAATTAAAAGATTGATTGAAATCTATTTGATTTGATCGATTTGATTTGATCAATTTAATTTGATCAATTTAATTTGATCAATTTAATTTGATCAATTTAATTTGATCTATTTAATTTGATCTATTTAATTTGATCGATTTGATTTGATCGATTTGATTTGATCAATTTAATTTGATCTATTTAATTTGATCTATTTAATTTGATCTATTTAATTTGATCAATTTAATTTGATCAATTTAATTTGATCAATTTAATTTGATCTATTTAATTTGATCTATTTAATTTGATCTATTTAATTTGATCTATTTAATTTGATCAATCTACTCCCGCTTTTGCCCATCTTCCCATAGAAATTCTTTCTCTTTCGGTGACCTGGTCATTTCTGTGCAATTGTTCTCCTTTCCAAAATTTGAACAAACTTTTTTTTCCCGTTACTGTATGGGAAAATGGTTCTTGGAAAGTGTATTCATTATATGAATTCCCTCTTTTTTTTCCTTTCATTTCCCTCATTTGCTTTTCAGTTTGTACATAGATGGCTAAGAAAGCAATAAATCATTTTCATCTTTGGAACTTTTCATTTTCATCTTTCATCTTCATCAACTCTAGAGAACAAACGATGAAACTGATCAAAAACAACTCAAAATTTGGCAATCTTAAAGCTAATCCTTAAGAGAACTTGAGAGAGAAAAACAAAGAGTCTAGACTTCTCAAAACCTCTTTTAGAATGTCAACTGTGTCAAAAACATATTGTACCAACTGCGCTCGGCATCCTTTACGCGGCTGCTTTGATAAAATTTGCATACGAAAGCTCTTCTTTCCCCCATTTTTTCTAAAACTCTAGTCGGTTTTTCCATTTTCAGAAATTTGCATATTTGAGATTAAAAAAGCAGAAAGCAGAAAGCGAAAGCAGAAAGCGATCTGGATCTGAACCCAAACTACTGACCATATCCAGAGACCGTTGCGCTATTCCCTCGACCACACCTGCTTCTCCACACCTTGACAAATTTTCGTACACATGGACGGACGGAAAGACAGACAGCCCTTAATTCGATATCGTATATTCTGTGTAACTTTATAAAAATAGGTTTATCATCGAAAAAACGTCAAAAAGGCACTTGCTTAGAGGGGCTAGTAACAAAAAACAAATCACAAAACGAGGCTAGATTTGTGACAAAAACATATGACAACTTGGGGATAATGATCGGCAGTGATTGAAGAAGAAAATTTAAACTGTTTCTTTTTGTATTTGTTTCGTTTTTTTTTTCAAATTAAAGTCTAGTCGAATACCCGCAATTGGGAGCAATGGCAATGCACAGTGGCAACAAAAATCCAGACGGGGAAAGGCCATAAAAAAAAAGAAGAAAAGAGAAAGGGATTAGATAAAAGATACTCAAGATCAAAGATTATTTTTCAAAGAAATTTTCGATTCTTTTTAAACTTTACTATTGTTTGGGGAATTGAAAAGTTTTAAAAGAACGATCAAAAAGGTATAGTTGGCTTTAAATACTCAAATAGGAGATTACCGTATTTTCTCTAATAGTAGTGCACCCCGGCGAGCCGAGTTGGTGACTATTTTACGGTTTCCAAGCTTTTGCAGAAGCTCAACACTCAAATCCCCCACAAGATCGCATCGTCAGCTACATTTTCCGATCCCACATCGATAGGTTCTGATAAGCGGCTCTCGAGATTTCGAGGAATTTAGGCGGCGCTCAGGGTGCACTACTATTAGAGAAAATACGGTAGTTGGCTTTAAATGTACTGTAAAGCAGTCTCTTGTCAGTAGAAAACACTCAGCTGATAAACTGAATATTTTTGAGTTTAAAAGCTTTGAAACTATTCAGTCTCGAAAGCTGAATATCTTTTTCTCTACAATTGTGAGAGATGTTTTACAGTATTTAAAGTAAGTTGCGCTTTAAAGTAAGTAAAAAAGCTGAGCAATTGATGAAAAAAAGATGATGAGGCGGTATGACACTGAAATAGGGCACAAATGATCATCATCAAAAAGAAACAAAAAGAAATAAGCATCAAAGAAATCAAAAAAAAAATTGAATACTTTGATCTGGTTTTTTTGATCTGAAAAAAAAGACTTGTCGAACTCTTAAAGCCGTTGTCCATGATAGTCTGGATTATAGTCACTTTGGGGAGCGTATCTGAAAATTTTCAACTCAAAAAACAAAAGTGAATACTTATTTCTCATTTCTCTTCGACGAAACACCGACACATAATTTTGAGACAATGAAGATTGTGCTGCTGTGTGAAAACGAAAATTGCGCCGAATGGATTTACCATTTTTACCAGCTTTGTTTCCAATGGAATTGCCATTGACCAGCGCCTTCACTTTGTGCGAGTCTTTTATCAAAATGTAGCCCTTCATTTGGGCTACACGATGGCACAAAAAAACTTTTAGAAAAACTCTTGTTTAGTACAAGAAAAATGGCCGCAAAGTGAGAGTACCGACTGTACATCGCGTTACTAACAACCATGTACCGTCTTTTGTATGGGTGTGTAGTGTTGGTGCTCTCACTTTGCAGCCATTTTTCTGATACTAAACAAGAGTTTTTCTAAAAGTTTTTTTGTACCATCGTCTGGCCCAATTGAATGGCTACATTTTGATAACAGATTCGCACAAAGCGAAGTCTAGAATAGCTAGAATAGCTAGGTTACGGTATTTAGTCTGGATTAGGGTATTCAATCTAGATTAAAGTATTCAGTCTAGATTAAAGTATTCAGTCTAGATTGTCTGGATTACGGTATTCAATCTAGAATAGGATATTCAGTCCAGAGGCGCTGGTAAATGACAATTCCATTCGGAGCAATTTTCGTTTTTACCCAACAGCGCAATCTTCATGGTTCCGTAATTATTTTTAAGTGCAAAATGTAAAAAAACAAATGAAAGAAAACGAAACTCATGCCACTATTTTGTAAATTGCTTTTCGAAAGAGTTCTTTTTTTTCGATAGAGAATTAGTTATAGCTTTGAATCTTTACTTGGTTATTGTAGATTCGATTTGAGATATTAATTGAAAACGATTGGTTTTATTTTTTTGGCGATAAATGGAATCTAGCAAAGCGATTGATCACTCTTTATCCATGATCTCATAAAGCTTTTTTAGGAAAATGTTTCGATAGTTTGATGCTTTATGAGATCAAGAGCAAAAACGATTACCCGGCAAAATCATCGACTCTAATAGTTGCTGGAAAAAAGAAAAGAATTTGTGTCATTGTGTGCAGAAACAAAATTTCTAAGGGTTTCTACATAGCTATTTTTACCATTTAGATAAAAATCTTTCATTTACGTGGCCCCCATCCATTCCGGATAAGGCTAAAACTTTTGCGGCTATAGAAGTAGTAAATCTAGTATGTTTTAGAAAGGATTTCTAAACAGACTGAAAAAAAAGAGTTAAAAATGTGCTAATGGTATAGAAATATGGGTTTAATACCTGGTTTTTGTGTCAGCATACTGTCCACCAGTTGTGTCATCGTTTGCGCGTCGCTCAGCCTGCTCGGCGTGTGGGCGATTTCTTTTGAAGAAACCGCACTGGAAACGGAACATTGATTTCTTTTAATTTTACAGTTCGACTGAAGTAAGGGATCGGATTGAATTTTTTACAAAAAATATAGCTGAATTTAAGGCAAAAACTGATCCTGAAACTACTGAAAAATTTGAGCATAGTGACGCCGAAAACAACGAAGTCAACTCAGTCGCTCACTGATCCATTCCCCTCGCCGATTCAAAAAGCGGAGCCCCTTATGCAAGACGGGTTTGCCAGATGGCGAGTGATTACCCGGCCGCACAAAGAACACCAGTCATTGACACAGATTTTTCTTCTATCCTTCGAAATTCTTTTTCTATTGGGTTGGGGAGAATGAGTCGGCGCCCAACTTTAAAGGGACTTTTTGCACACATAAAGCCTTCTTTAAACATACGTTTGGTTTCATCAAAAGGATCCACTATTTCTCTACAAAATCACCTTTGAGAGATTCCACAAAGCTTTTCTTTCGTGGAGTTTATGAACTTCCAAACGCAGCTGGTTAAAATGGCAAAGAGTCCGACTCATCATTTGAACAGTTTCTTTCACATAAACCTTCTTTGGTGTTTATATAAAAAAGATAGAGCACATTCAATTACTTAAGTTGCCAAATTTGCAGGAAGATCCCACCAATGGTTTTTTCTAGATGACAGTTTGTAGTTTTTGTGAAAAAATGGCTTTTTCTTGAGCGGAGGCGCTGTTTGAATTTTCTTTTAAATGTCATTTTGTAGAGAATTAGTTAACCATTCTACTGATATCAAACGCATATTATTTGACGACGTCTGCTAGAAGTTTTCGACATTTTTTTGATTTTCGGCGCCGACTCATTCTCCCCAACCCAATAATTATGGTTGTAAACTTAGTCAGTATTTGCTTAGACAATGCCCAATATTTTATTGTTAACTTTAATACAAACCCTCCACAGGAGTAGGATGATAAGAGCGAGAATAACGAGTCCGATGAGAACGGCGAGGAGATAAAGCCACCATGGGACACCAGCTCCGCTTCCCTCTTCATCCACCGCATTTAAATCAGTTGTCACCTGAATTTTGATGATTGCTGCTTTTGTTTAACTTCTATTTCTATATTTGAAGCACTTACTGCTGTGACTAATGTTGGTTTGTGCGGCCAGTTGAACTTGGTGTTGCCGACGCGAGCAATTCCAAGGGATGAGACCTAAAATTTTATACTTTCGCACAGCTTCCCTCAAGTCCGAGAATCTTGCTCGATTGTAATTGTGATTTTATGAAACTTTCTGAAATGCTTACTTCTCCAGAAGGTGTCCTTTCATCAACGAGGGTTCTCGTAAAAACTCGAGCAAAAACCTCAACAAGCACGAATTCACCTTCACGAAGATTGAAAATATCACACTCGATATGGGTACACCGAAGCTGATTGCAGTCCTAAAGGATTTAAATTAGAGATTTCCATTAAAATTTTCAATGTTCACATTGTTTACACTAACCACAGTCGCTCGGCTGACGATTCCCGTGTAATCAACGGCTCCACTAGAATCTTTCGAGAGACGCACAGCTTCCCTCAAGTCCGAGAATCTTGCTCGATCTGAGAAAGAATATCATTTTGTAACTCAAAGTAACAAAAACCTCTTGGTGGTTGTCCAGCTGTCCCTTCAGTTTTCGTTTCCTTTGCTGGCTTTTGTGGTCCCTTTCTTCGTTTATTTTGTGCTCCTCCGGCTTGTCTTTTCACTCGACTGTTCTCTCGATCATCCTCATACTGAAACCTCTTTTTATTCAAATATTTTAAGTGCCTTGGTGCTGTAAACCTATTGAAGCTTAAAAAGTGCAGAAAAAGAAAATAGATAGAAAAAAAAGCGAGCCTCGTCGTCATCATATTCGACTTCTCCATCAGTGTCCGGAATATATTCCCATTCAACTTTTTGTGTAGGTTTTGCATCATAGGTCCATTTTGTTTCTTGCGTTGTGTCGGCCTCATAAGTCCACTGTGTGCCACTAACTGTCTGAACCACAAAATTACAAAAGCATAAGCGGCAAGGTGATTTGTGCGATTAAAAATTAGAGTGTTTTCCTCTCGAGTAATGCGTTTTATAAAATGCATCTATTTGAGAAAAGTATCGTAGTCAAACCATTAGTTTTCAGTCGATCAGTCCGTTTTTTTTGTATTATTAACTGAGCATTGTGATTTCTCATCGAATGATACAAAAAAAACGGACTAATCGGATGTAAACTAACTGTTTGACTACGATACTTTTCTCAAATAGATGCATTTTAGAAAACGCATTACTTGAGAGGAAAAACACTCTATTTAAAACTATTGAAAAATAAAAGCCGAACTTGTTGAGTAGGAGCATTGTCTTGGAAAGAGTCCTGCTCATAAACTTGAGTATTTCGAGATGGAGTCGATTGACCATGTGATACTGACGGTGATTGAACCCGGCTTGTTTGCTGATCTCCCGCTGGCGATTGCACGCGAACCGGCTAAAGCGGAAAAGAGAAATTATAGGTGCTGTGGGAAAGCTCAAAATGGGAAAGCAAGGACTACAAGCGATAGGATAGAGCAAGTGCATGCCTGTGCTTCAACCTTGGCATCATCATCATCCTCTTCTCTTTCATCGTCATGCTCAGCATAATCTTCTTCTTTCACTGGTGGCTGAGTGGGAACATGTTCATCCGTGATCTGAGATGAAAGGATAACAAAACAAAAAAAAACTTGTTGACCAACTCTTAAGTTCAATGGATTCACGTTCTGAGCTTGCTTTACACGACATCTTCCTTTTGTTGCGTCATTCAAAACTGGCTCTTTCAAGATGTAAAGTAAATGATTGCCCTGAATAAATCATATTTTAAAATACATTCTTGCCAAGTTACTTCTGTCGAGAAAGACGGCCAGAAAATGTCGAGAGTCACCGAATCGATGGCAGATGGACCACGATTTGAAACCTATAAAAATCTTGTATTTAATTTTCATTGTTTACAGAATTTTACTTGATACATATGAGAAACGACGGGTCCTAATTGATTGTCATCGAACAATTCATCATTTGTTTGATTTCTGATCGAGAAGTCAACTTGTTCAGGCTCGGGTCTTCCAACCAATGTTAATTGGTTTTTGAAATCGACTGGCACTGTGAACTCGACATTGTTATCAACTGATGTTGACTCTTCTTCATTGTTCGTGCTTAAACAAATCATATTTCAGAATGACAAAGCTGCAAACCTATTGACATGAGCTCGAATTGTGATCGGTTTCAATGGTGGTTTGTCTTGATTGGCCGTGATGCGTACAGTTGTTGACACTGATTTTCCCTGAATTTTTAGTTTTGACAAGTGTTCTTATTCTGTAGGAACCGAGAAACCTAAGGACGGATTTTTCAAGCGCGGCGCATGGTCCTCATGGTGAGGTCCTCATGGTGCAGTCAGGAGCGCGATTTTCTTACAGCACACACGATCCGGGTTCAGCCCACTTGCCAGTTTTTAATTTTTAATTTTAAATGCCACAACTATATTATATTCTAAGGTTTTCTAAAGAAGCTTTAGCTTATTGGTCAAGACGGCTGAGAAAAAGCCCGTACAGATGGACAGATTTCCCGGTTGATCCGGGTTGATCCATCGGGGGTCGATTTTCGTTTTGATCAGTACTCGCTCACAACACGACGCTTTGTATTTTTCTTTTTTCTTTTTCATGCTAAAACTTTCTCATTTCTTGCACTAACATTCATTTTTAGGGATCGACACAAAATGAGAGTTGCAGTCGATCGAATGAAGCCCACTCGAGAAGAAATTCACGCCCTACTGCTCCAACGGTTTTCAAGAGGGATTTCAGCGGCCAAAGCAGCACGAGAAATCAATCAATTTTATGGCAACAGAATTGTGGGAACGAGTATTGCACAGGAATGGTTTCACAGATTCAAGACGAGCAACACGAGGATCAAACCGAAGAGGGGAAGCGGCTGACCACCGGAAAGTGGATCGATCGATTCTGAGGCGCCGACTTCTGCGAAACCCCGATGGATCAGCCGGTAAATTCTTTTTTAGCTCTTTATATATAGCTTTTTTTATGTATAGTAGATTTGGCAGTGGCAGTGGACAAACCTGTGGCAGTGGATTGCCAAGTTCACAGGCGAACACCCATTTTCCATCTTCGTCTGGTTGAGCGGATGTTGGTGAGCAAGAGGGGGCAGTTTGCTAAAAAAAACAATAATTAGATTATCTAATAGTTAGAAGTTTAGTGAAAGTTTTCTCTTTTATACTCACTTTTTCATCTTTTGACGCTTCCACACCGGAATATTCGAAACCTTCGGGGACATCGAAGAAAAGCTTTGTCTCGTAGGCGTCCTCTCCTCGATTGAACACTAAAAACATCTTTAGAGTTTTTTCTGTTTCTAAATTTCTTACCAGAAACATTGATCAACATTGTGTTATCAGTGGTGCCAAGCAAGAATTTTGCTCGATCACTAAATGATTATTTTTGAGTAAAAAAAGAGGAAGTGGGACAAATGCGACCTTTTTTTTGCGCACCCGGACATTTGCGCACCTTTTTTCGCGTCTTAAAAAAGCTCTAAAAAGCTAATATTAACCAATTTCTATTCCAAAAGTTGTTTTTCTAGGTAATTTTAGGGCGTAGAATCGAAATTTTGACATATCAGAGCTTGTGGAAACAAACGGACGGAGTTATACAAAGAGAAAAATCAACAAATCAACATTTTCTGTAATTTGATCTAGCCGTTTTTTCTTTGAAATTGGTTCCACAAGCTCTGTTATGTCAAAATTAGAATTCGACACCCTCAAATTACCTAGAAAAGCAACTTTTGGAATAGAAATTGGTTAATATTAGCTTTTTAGAGCTTTTTTAAAGCGCGAAAAAAGGTGCGCTAATGGGCAAGGTGCGGAAAAAAGGCGCGCAAATGTCCGGGTGCGCAAAAAAAAGGTAGCATTTGTCCCACTCCCAAAAAAGAAAAACTTTTGAAGACTCACGCGACAGCGTGCACGTTCAAATCGGGAACACAGATTCCATCTTTTCCACAATTATTTGCAATATTCAACTGAAATTTTTCGATTTATCTCCATTTTACTATTATCTATTGCCTTATTTTCAAAAGCAAGTGGAACAGTTGTGTCGATGGCTGGCTCCAATTGACCGCCACGTAATTTTCCGGTTGGAGATTCCTAAAGGCAGATTGATTTTAGATTTAAAAAGAGCACAAATAACCTGATAAGTGTAGTTGACAGACCAATGAATTGGTGTCAATTTGTCTCGCATTGAGTCCTGAAAGTTTTTTTTTCCGTTTCTTTGTTTTATTTTATTCACTCACTGATGCAAAGAATCTCTGTTTAAAGCACTTTTGTCGACCTTTCTCCAAACGGATTCTTCTTTCAATGATATTTGGATGATCTTTGGTCTTTGAGTCGGCCGGGATCGTCACCTCACGATCGGCTTTCTAAATGTATTGATGAGGTTTTTATTTTTTTTGTTTTTCAAATAAATTTGTGTCTAATTTTTTTTCTTAATTGTGCAATTTGCTAGCGAATAACTAAAGAGAATGCAAAAGCTTTAGTCCTTTAAAACCGAATAAATAAAGAGAATGCAACAGCTTTAGTCCTTTAGAAATCAGTCGATAAACTAGAGCTCTCTTGTGGGTAATTTATTTGATTTCATTTATTCATTCATTCTGTAAACTGATAATCTTTGTTTGCCCATTAATTTCTGTTTCTTAAGGTGCTACTAACTTATTCTGGATTCTGTAATCTTGCAATCCTTGCAATCATTTCTATTTCTTAAGGTATTACTACATCTATGCATTGAAAACTTTCACTTTACTTCATGTCCGGAATAAAGTATCTATATGTCGTAGCCGTTTACGAAATTCAGCTGCTAACGAACGATTCGTTAACGACTGAATTTCGTAAACAGCTACAACATATATATATTTTGATTGCTTCTTTTTCTTACCACTTCTTTGCCAATGAAATAAGCTCTTGGTTCTGGCGAGTGGTCATCAAGCGAGGTCCTCAACACGAACTCGAGATCGTTTGGCGTCTCTCCTCGACCCTCGTACTTCAAGCAAGTGTTAATCGTACGACTAAAAGAAAATGTTTTTTTCTTTGCAATCTTTGCAATCTTTGCAAAGCTTTTATGGTTCAATATCCAATTAATGAGGTTTTGAAGGTTTCTAAAAGTCTCACCAAGTCTGGAGTCCCATTTTCTTGTCTCCAACATCGCAGTTCTTTTCTTCCATATTTAAGGTCACTCCATCCGAATCAGTTTGTCCAGTGACCTAAATTTTGATCGTAAATTTAAAATCGTTTTACTTTCACTTACCGTTACTACAGGTTTGGTGAGAAGGATTGTCGCGTGACCACTTTTCCAACCTCCAACAGCAAGATCTAAAAAGAATTTGATCAAAAGAGAATTCTTGAATTTGTGCAAACCTGGAATGCCGTTTGAATCAACATCAAGATTTCCGGCCAAGGAGTATCCAAAAGTGGAGATACCCTGTCTCACTTTGTGAGCCTCGATCTTTTGTGTGGGCTTTACTCGAACGCCGTCTTTGCTTCCGTGAATCACGTAAACGGCTCCACGACGCTCCGTCCCTGCGTATGGTGCTCCAACGATGAAATCTATAATTACCATAATATTAAACCACTTTTCTATATCTACCATTGTATCCATCTTGATTTAAATCACCGGCAGCTGCCAAAGAAAAGCCGAATCTTCCCCATTGATCGTCACCCACAATGGCCACTTGTTTCTCGAAGACACCCTAGAGAAAAAGAGATTCTTTTAATCAGAAAATCTTTTCTGCTTTTATGAAATTTTTATTGAAAATCAATAATTTAGCCGATCAATGTGTGTTTTGCTTTAAATATAAAAAAGATTAACCATTTCATTTAGCTCATTTTTTGGGAGTGGGACAAATGCTACCCTTTTTTTGCGCATCCGGACATTTGCGCACCTTTTTTTCCGCACCTTGCCCATTAGCGCACCTTTTTTCGCGTCTTAAAAAAGCTCTAAAAAGCTAATATTAACCAATTTCTATTCCAAAAGTTGTTTTTCTAGGTAATTTGAGGGTGTCGAATTCAAATTTTGACATAACAGAGCGTGTGGAACCAATTTGAAAGACAAAACGGCTAGATCAAATTACAGAAAATTGTTCAGAAAGAAAATTGTCGATTTTTCTCTTTGTATAACTCCGTCCGTTTGTTTCCACAAGCTCTGATATGTCAAAATTTCGATTCTACGCCCTAAAATTACCTAGAAAAACAACTTTTGGAATAGAAATTGGTTAATATTAGCTTTTTAGAGCTTTTTTAAGACGCGAAAAAAGGTGCGCTAATGGGCAAGGTGCGGAAAAAAAGGTGCGCAAATGTCCGGGTGCGCAAAAAAAGGTCGCATTTGTCCCACTCCCCATTTTTAGGCAAATTTGAGTCCGCTTTAAAGCAAATTCGAACAAGAATTCTTGTCTTTTTTTTTTCGAAAATCTTTACAATGGACATAGAATGAAATCGGCTGAATGAATTTCTCGAAAAATTTGTCTATCTGTCTAACTTTTTATTCTCTATCTTTTATCTTTTAACACAAAAAAGATTTCTTTGAGAAAAAGTGCTCAAATCGGGACTTTAAGTTCGTTTTGATTCCTCGATTTCAAGCCTTTAAAAAAATTAACTAAAGCAAGCTTTTCAGAATCTCTTAAAGAAAAATTTGTAAATAAATAATCGAAATTTTTGATAAAATTGATCATAGATCGATTGTTTCATTATTTGACTGAATATCCCAATCTTAACTGAATACCCTAATCGAGAGTAAATACCGTAATCCAGCTAATCTAGACTGAATATCCTAATCTAGATTGAATATCCTAATCTAGACTGAATACCGTAATCCAGCTAGATAGATTGTTTCATTATTTATTTTAAAAAGTAACTTTAAAAAGCGGAAAAGGAAAAGGTGAAAAGGAAAGGCCAGCCTGATAGGTTTTCAAAGGTTTTCAAAACTTCAAAGGTAAAGGCTTTCAAAACTTTAAACTAACCACAGCAGTTTGAAGGAAAACAATCACTTTTCCAACGTCATATTGAGGTTTTCTTTCCTGAAACATGTTTTCAAATTAGAACCAAAAAAAACTGATCAACTTGTGTCTTTGCATCCATCACAGAAACATAATCAGTGAAGAATGGGCAACCCATCACAATGTCGTCTCGACTAAAATTCTCAAATTTTGTGATTTGTTGGCTTATTTCTTCTTTCTTTCTTCTTCCCCCTTATCTCTTCTTTCTTTCTTTCTTTCTTCTTCCTCCTTATCTTTCCCTCTCTCTTGGCAAGTTAAGGTACCGAATAGCTCAGTGGCTAGAGCCGAAAGCATTGAAAAGTAAAAGATCTTGGGTTCAATCCCCTCTCCGGAAATCTCTTGCTAATACTTTATAAACTTTATAAACTAACCCGTCTTTATTCAAATCGGTGACAATCACCGAGTGTCCACAATATTGTCCGGTTTGTGGAGAGGTCGAATCGGTGAGATTCATCAAATGATGAAGTCCCGGTGTCCACAAGACCAACTAATTATTTTTTTTTTGATTTCATATCTCCGTCATCAAAACTCACTTTTCCCATAAGCTCGTTTCCTCGAGGCACTCCAGAAACCACATCATCAATCCCATCTCCATCAAAATCACCGGTAGCAGTGGAATATCCTGTGTTTTTTTTTTGAATAAATAGGCTTTCAGTTAACTCACCCATCATATCATGATCTAAAAATGCAGGCCCAATCTCCGTGTTTGGCTTGTCCGTGCTGTTTCTCAAGCTTTGACTGAAAATCGCTCCTTGCCAATACCAAACTCCCGGGCCAGCGACGAAAGCTCTCTCATCGCCTCTAGAAGTTTAAAGGGATTTCTTTGATTTAAGTGTTCTTAATAACTCTAAATTGTCTTTTTTTAGCATTTTATCTCTTTAGTTTGTCTTTTTTAAGCCTTTTATCTCTTTAATTAGTCTTTCTTAAGCCTTTTACCTCTTCATTTTATCTGGTAGAGCCACCGAAAACCCGCATTGACCGTATCCAAGTCGATGACGACCATGACGAGCAGCTAAAAGAATAAAACTTTTACGAATCTATTCATTTGTAGAGGATCATGTACTAGCACGATCAGACCAGGGGAAAGGGATTTCATTCTACAAAACTACGACCATCTAAACTTCTTAACCTCGTGGATCGATGCTATTCGCTGAAAAGGATTAGTAGTTGCTGACAAGCTTAAAAAATAGATGAAAGTAGCTTACGTTCTTGTTTACAAGTGGGAAATTCTTGGGTTTTCGTGAAGCCATCCTCGGCATAGAAACACGTTCCAATTGGCTCGATCACCTCAAAACGGGAGAAGAAATATTTGTAGTTTGGAGCGCACATCTAAAAAGTTCTTAATTTAAAGATTATTATTTTTAAAAACCATCAATTTATCATGTTTTCGATTTGAGCGAACGGTGGCTCCAAAACGCTGGAATGCTTTATCTTCGATTTCGGCCAGATGTGATCCATTCAAGCGTCGCTCATTACCTTCTAAATTTATTTCTCAACTAGCTCAGCTCAATTTAAAGTTCAATCACTTTTCTGACAAAGTTCTTTTAAAGTTGCAATTGGGGGTGCTGGAAATTGAAGAAATTTAGGGTATAACTAGCAAGAGAACGAGAAACGCGGTGATGAGGGGTAATGGGATAAAAGAAGGGGCAACGATTTGATTCCCCCACAATTTGAACCACCACTGATTGCGCAACGCTTCTTCTTCTCTATAAATCTTGGATCTAAAAGAAACAATAGCTAGATGTATGTAAAAAGTGATTTTGCCATTCACATAGTCACTCTCATTGCTACCCTTTCTTTATTACAATGCAAAGTAACGTTTGATTTCATAATCTCACAATCATGACTTGCCATCCGATGAATCGAATTAGATACTTGAACTGGTTCTTCTATGATTCGGTTCTTGGTTCGGTTCTTGGTTCTGTTCTTGGTTCGGTTCTTGGTTCGGTTCTTGGTTCGGTTCTTGGTTCGGTTCTTGGTTCGGTTCTTGGTTCGGTTCTTGGTTCGGTTCTTGGTTCGGTTCTTGGTTCGATTCTTTTATGGTTCGGTTCTTGAAACTGGAAATACAAAACATGGTTGACGCTGGGATTCGTCTCTCTAGTCTCTAGCTTATAAGACGAACACTACCAATGAGCCATACCTACACTTGTCATTTCCGCCAGATTAGGGCTTTATCCCTTACTGGATTACCTCGAATGATCTTTCCGATTCGATCTAATCCTATAAAAATCTCGATCAAATCGATCCGACTCGATCCAACAGAATCTTGATCGGATAGCAAGCGTCTAACTGCCCACTTTCGTGTTTAGGGGAAATTTTCGAGCACAGAAAAAAGAAAGAATCGAAAGAAGAGAGAAAGCAAGTCATTGACATCGATCACTCCGTCCTCGTAACGACACCCATTATTGGTCACCCATCCAAAAGTGAACACCATTTTCGAGCACCCTTGGGAAGAAAACGAAAGCCTACAACCCATAAATAATCAATGATTCTGCATTTTGATCGAAAAATCTAAAAAAGTAGCCCTTAAAATCAATGATTCTGCTTGATGAGTAATTAGAGGCGATTTGCAAAAGAGAAAATTCGCTTAGAGAAGCCTTCGCTTAAAGCCTAACCGTCAGCCGCCATATGGTCTCTCATCAAAATGTGAGCAAAAGGAAAAGAAAAATGAAAAGATTAATGAAAAGATAAATGTAAAGACTAAATAACAAACGATTTTTGTCGATGTGAACTTCTCGACAACCGGGCTTGTTCACTGGACATGAGAAAACGGCTCCCGGAGTTCGAATGCCTTTCAATGCCGGGTTACCCGATTGAGACTCTGGCGCTCCGACTATCAATCTAAATAATTCTATGGAAATCTTTTAGCTTATTATAAGTCTTATTTCTTATAAGTACTTACACTGGGACTCCTTTTTGTTCATGATAAAAGTCGAGGGAGTAACCGAAACGACCGCTGCCCGCTGAATGGATGACAGCGTTCTGGAAATGGGATTGATTCATATTGATTCATAGAAATGGTGTAGGATGTAATTAAAAGAATTAGGCAAAGTGTTACCTTTGTATCGACGTTGAAAGCGGTGACAAGAAGCGGTAGAAAGGCGATAAGGGCAATATGGGCCCAATACCCTTTCGGCCGATCTCCTGCACCCATACCCAATGCTGATGAGATCTTCTTCTATCTCAATCCAACGTCTCGTCTAATAGTAAGATGTAGATTTCTTTTTTTTTGCGAAAATAGAAATTGAAAACAAAAAAAAACGAGCAGAGAAACGGGCAGTTGAATATTCAATGAGAATGAGAGAAAAGGGTAGGTAAAGAAGCTAAAAGAGCTTTCAAATTTTTCTAAACCCTAAAAAGCCTGTACCAGACAGACGGATGGACAGACAGTGCTCTTTTATAGATAAAGAAAAATCCAAGGAGACGAAGTAGCATTTCAAATTTGGAATCACTCAGAAAGTCGAACGCTGAAGATCCGAAACCAAAAAGAATATCGCTTGGCAAGAGAGGGAGGCGAAAAGTGAATAATGGTTGAGAATGGAAAGAGGGGAAAGAGGGGAAAGAGGGAAGAGAAAGGGAAAGGATCTCATGCAAATTTGAACGAGCCCTTTCCTTCAATCCTCATCTATCTTATTCGCTTATATGACAACAACGTTTACAAGAACTCGTCATTTATTAGAAATATACTTTCAAAGCCATTTTTTTCTGAAAATTTCGATGACTCACGAAATTCAATAGTTAAAAAAAGATAATTCGAAAAATATGTATTGAGAGGTTTTTTATGAGCATGAAATCTTGAAAAGAACAAATTTCTAGTGAGCCACAGCGCCAAAACAGCGCCAAAATTGTGAGTCACGTCACGAAATGACTAACTTTTCCCATTTTTCCCCCAACTACTTTGATTTTCGGGCAAACGGGCAAACAAAAAAAATGGCTCTTATGTATTGATGAATGATGTTAAATGTTGAAAAAGTTGAACTTGTGTTGAAAGTTGAAAGTCCAAAAAGTTGAACTTGGTTTATGCTTGAAGCTGAATCTTTGATTAAAAGTTTAAAGCAAAGAACAAGACAAAGAAGTTTCAAAAGTTTAAAGTAAAGAACAATATCAAAAATTCAATATCGATTATCGAGAGAATTTTTGGGAGAATTTCAAGATTAGTTGCTTGGTTATGTGGTACATGTCGTGCGAGGCAGCCACCCATAAAATGTGCATTGAGCGAGTAAAGAAGACCAACCTCCCCTCCAACCCAGTCCCACTTCTTTTCCCTCAAGATCTCTCAATAATACCCTCACTATTAACCCATTCTCTATTCTTTATATCTAATAAATGCAAATATAATCAAGAAAAAGTTATTCATAGAGAAGCCGACAAGCAAAGCAATTGTTGTTGCTAAAAATAGACAGATAAAAATAGTGCAAAGCTACAGAGATCCAAGAAGGGAAACGTACTGGAGGGTAGAAGATAGTTTTGTCAGGGTTTAGCCTACAGTAATCTAAATCTATAACTACAGGACTTTACAGTATCAAAGTACTAAAGGCTACAGTACTTAAATGCCTATAATCTTAATGATGTCACTAGACCAAAAACTAAACCAGGGTCAATCAGACTCAGGCCAGGATCTGGCTAGTTTAAGGTCCAAGAAGTAATGGGTCAGACCAAGAAGTAATGGGTTAAACCTATCAGTTGTAGTAATAAAGTTATTTTAAAAAGTTAACCGAAATACTCTAAAATGTTTACAGGTTAACAAGTTTCAAACAGGTTAACAAAGAACAAAGAATTAACAAAAAAAACAAAACAAAACCAATATTCATTTGAAGGAGGAAAAGCCGGAAAAGAACCCTGAAGTTTCTTTGTGAGTAAAAACGACAAGAAAGCTGTGTACAAATATGCGATCAATATCGACTAGTTGGGTCTCTGCTCGCCATTCCATTACTTCGGGGGCGGTTGGTGCTCAGAGCTCAGTCCCTTTCTACAAAGAGAAATCTTTGAGCGACACTCTCCCTCCTAAACCCCTTTTCCTCTTGCACCTCCTCAGTGTAATGCTTTTTTTTACCCTCACTCTCTCATCTATACAGAATGAGCTGGTAGATTTGATTTTGATTCTGGAAGCTTTTAATTTCAATAGAGTTAGATTTCATGTATTAAAGAAGTAAAGGAATTGGCAAGAAAAAAGTTCCAGAGAGGGATTGAACTCTCGACCAATATCGACTTTTTGCTTTTTGGGCAATTGCTCTAATCATTGAGCTATCAGGTAGCTTAACTTTCCAAGAGAAAGAGGGAAAGACAAAGGGGAAGAAAGGAAGTAAGTAAGAAAGAAAGAAAGAAAGAAAGAACGAAAGCACGAAGGAAATATCCGCTTTTTCAAAACCGTAAGGTTTACTTCAAAATCAGAACCACTTGTATTAGTAATCAAGAAGTGGAAGAATTGGCAAGAAAGTTGACTCAAACTTGATCGTGACTGTGATCGGTATATTAAGCTTTGACCTAACAATAAGGGGGATGCGTAATTTGTGCACACTGCGGGGGTTGTCGAGTCCATTGGGGGAGAGGCACAGCTGTTGCTCCCCTTCCCTTCCCTTTCCTTTCCCTCCCTTTCCTTCCCTTCCCCCTTCAGATCTCAATCCTTTTTTCTCTTTCTGTTTCTTGCGAAATCTTTAAAGTAAATGAAAGAAAGAGAAAAAAGAAGTGGATGAGGATTTTGACCACTCACTCTCTTCACACTCTCTTCCCATCCTCAGCCGACCCATCGAGGGACCAGTCTCATAGCCGATTCATGGTCTTCCGTCTTTCACAAACCCCCAAATATCTCTATTTCTTTCTTTGGCTTTGTTTCTATCAATATGAAAATGAAAAATGTACACAAAATTGGGTTAGAAAGTATGGAGAGCTTGGTTTAAGAGGAATTGAAAATGAAAATGGAAAATGGAATTAAAAACATGAAGAAATTCAAAGATGGATATTGGGCCAGCGTCTCAGCTATTGTTCAAAACAGAAAAAGAGGCGAAAGGGGTGAAAGGAAAGGGAGTGAGTTGTTTGAAATGGGCGATTATTTGCGGAAATAGAGCGCAGTGTCCCCCCCAGCTGAGTGACGGAGAGATCCTTTCAAGAGCACCGATTTCCTCTACAGCGCACCCTAAAATTTTGCATTCATATTCGAAAAAAACCACTAGCTTTAAAGAAAACAAAATAAAATAAAAGTAAATATGATTGAAGTGATTTAAAAAAATAAAAGCTATGGAGAGTTTCGAGTCAAAAAGGATAAAGGAAAGGAAAGAAAGAAAAAAAGAGAATGGGAGAGGCTGTCCCTGGGGGATACCACATGTGCTTTTTCTTTTTATGTTCACTTGCTCTATTTGTCTGATGTCTGATTTTCAATTTTATTTAACACTTGAACACAATTCAATTTAATATAAAGAACTTTGTATACTTTAGAAGGGTTTTACTCTTCTAAAGTATACAAAAAGATGATTTATGTAAAGATTTCTCAAAAATAAATCCATTGAACAAAGAGAGCCCGATAAAAAGGCGAGGATTCGAAAAGAGACAAAAGGAAAAAGTATCAAATGTCCATGTGGGCATTTTTTTTGAGTCAAAACAAATTTCAGATATAAAGTAATGTTTCAAAATCGACTTTAAAAGGCAAGAAAAACAGCTGTGAGAAGAAAAAGATAGAGAAATGTCACTTTGATTGACCCAGTCGGCTTCGATAACAGACAAATTTGATGATTGGATTTTAGTGGGGGGAAAAGAGAAAAAGGAAAAAAAGAAAAGACGGAGTTTATTCATGTCTTTAAGGTGAAACTGGTGGCTCTCGAAATTTTGAGAGCCATAAAAACCCCTCGCTCACTTTTTATAGGCTTGCTCCTTGGAGAGTGCTTTTTAAAGTCAATATTAATTTGCATTGTTTCTTTAAAAGTTTACCTTTTTCGTTTAGCGTTAATTTTATAGTTTATCGTCAATTGTTATTGTTATTAATTTTGCATTCATATTCGAAAAAACCACTAGCTTTAAATGACGATGTACAGTACTGAACAATGAAATATGATATTTGAAAAGCGATCGTCACTTTCGCGCGTCTGTAACTCCATTGTCTTTGAGTTTAAATTATTAGTGTTATACATTTTCTGAAAGCTCTTCTCAAGAGCTACACAATGGTAATATTCATATTTAGAAATACGGCATAGACAAGGAAGTTACAGACGCGCGAAAGTGACGATCTTATTTCAAATATGATACTTCATTGTCCAGTAGTGTAGATGGGGATGGTTGTGGAGATGAGCGGTGAGTTTGGGACAACTAATCAGCGATGTGATTACTAGTATAGGATTTAAAAAGGATACAGAATGAAATGGTTGGGATTGCTGAAGAAAAAAAGAGAAAAGAGGAAAAGGTGTGTGATCAGAAAAGCCGACCTTGAACGAGTAATAGGGCGTGGATTTGTTTGCTTTGCTAATTTGTGCAAATTGTCACTTTTATTATTAAGAATTTGAGAGAAACATGTTGTCAAATAAATCATAATTGCCATTACTTTTGCTCTAAATCTGTGCTCTGTATGACAGTAATACATTTGAAGGGTTTTTTTTCTTTTTCAAATCTTTGTATCCTCTTTTGGTTAAGAATACTTTAATACTTTTTGTGTAATACTTTATACTTTTTGCTTTTAAAATTCTTTATTTACAAAAAAAGATTGCACTCATTTTTGTAGAGTGCGTTCCTCGCGAGTAAGTAATTACTCGAGTAAATTTGTAAGTATAACTTCCTTCTAAGTGAGTCAATCTTTATGATTTTGGTTTCATTTTGTAGATCTCAATAAGTGCAACAAAATGACACCAAAATCATAGAGATTGGCCGACTTAGAAGAAAGTTATGGCGAGTTGGGCAAACGGCCCAGTTGTGCAACTGACCCAATTGCGCAAATGACCCAGTTGTGCAAATGACCCAGTTGCGCAAAAAATTTGGCGCAAAGTAGCCTCGCCCCAAGTTTTTCAAAAAAAAATCAGTTTTTACATTGGAAGGGAATTTCCCACCAAATCAGTTAAACGGCTGAGTATCTTTAAAAAGTGTCGTATATAATGCGGGGCTCGTGAATTTTGCGTCATTTTTTTGCAATAATTTTTGTTAAAAGTACTGCAATTTTTTCCCAAGTGTGCGTTTTAAAAAAAAGGCATTACTCGCGAGGAACACAGTCTACATTTTTGGTATTAGACAAATTGCAACTTTGAAAAGATCACTTTGTGAAAAGAATGAATAAAAATGAATAAGAATGAATAAAAATGAATAAAAATGAAGAAAAATGAAAAAAAATGAATAAAATTATATAAGAATTGCACCGGTACTTGTCAAAAATTGTAAAAAATAATCTCAAAAGCAAATCTCAAAACTTTGTTGATGTTAGTTTTCTTCGAAAAAAGCAAAAAAGAATTGAAGAAATGAAGAGCAAGAAATTCGCTAGACTTAACGCCAACATCAACTCCAAATCAAATCGATCCTGAAATTTGATCTAAATTTTTTGGTAGAAATGAGACTTATTTTAAGGAAAACCCGGAAAATTTCATTTCCTACCTGTCCATCACAATCGGGAAATTGATCCAAGATGGTCATCGCGTTCGTGAAAACGTCAAGAGTACCGATCTCGTTTTCTCTCCGAATTCTAATTTTAAAAAATCGTTTTATCAAATAATTTTAAGTCGAATTAGTCGATCAATATAGATGTTTTTGTTGACCAAATGGTCGCAATGGCTGACTGGCTAAGAGCTCTGTATCTTAGTCGGAAGGTCAAGGGTTCAATCCCGTCAGCAATAGATTATTGCTTCGTGAAAAAATATGAAGAATTTTAGAGCACAAATGATTAACTCTGACACCGATCACCTCTATCCACCAGAAATTCTGAGGAATTCCGGTTTATATACCGTATTCTCTCTAATAGTAGTGCACCCCGGCGAGCCGAGTTGGTGATTATTTTACAGTTTCCAAGCTTTTGCAGAAGCTCAACACTCAAATCCCCCACCAGATCTCATCGTCAGCTACATTTTCCGTCCCCACATCGATAGGTTCTGATAAGCGGTTCTCGAGATTTCGAGCAATTTAGAGGGTGCACTACTATTAGAGAAAATACGGTATATGGCTTTTTTTTTCTTCCCTACATTTAGGGCTTAGAAGTTTTGCTTGCATATTGTTTTGTACCATATTATTCGTGTGAATAATTGTATTTACCGCTTTGCTTGATGACGATGTAAATGGGGATGGTTGTGGAGATGAGCGGTGAGATTGGGACAACTAATCGGCGGTGTGATTCCATCACATCCACCACCGTATTTGATGCACAAAGTAATCTAAAAGAAAGTCATATTCATTTGCTGAATCTGTTAACGAACTTGGCATTGAAATTGTAAAACGGGTCGATCGGCATACTTGAATACGTGATAGGGTCTAGTCGCTAAACGAAGCGAACTATCATAGTCTGGAGTCTCCAAAATGACTGCATCAATGCCGCAACTGCAAGAATTTATAGAATGAATTATGTAGAGGTTTTTAAAAACCCATGTTCAGTGAGAACATCAACTCGATCACCGTATCCATTATCTACATAACAAGAGTGAACAAGCATCCCAAAGGTGTCCTTTTCTTCAACTTCACGACATTCCCAACTGAAAAATTACAACTAAAAGTGCACTATAAAATCAAATAGCTGTAAGAAAAATAGTTTTTAAACCGTAATATTGGGTTGGTGAATTGAAAACTGCGGGCTATTCTCATATGTCACAGTTTGAGCACTTTCTTCAAAAGAAACCCATTTTGGTGTCAATGGAAAAGTTGTAGAGAATCAAAAATCATCCAAATTTTCAGAACGATTCAAAAACTGGTTTTGAAGAAATGCCAAATTTACGAATTTTCACAAAGCTTGCATTTTAAGCGAAACTACTAAGTGTATCTTTTTGGAAGTTTGGCTATAAGCCTAATTCTTGATTCTCTACAACTTTTCTATTGACACCAAAATGGGTTTCTTTTGAAGAAAGTGCTCAAACTGGGACATCTCCAGCCTCCGTCTCCAGTCCTCGATTTTTGAGTCTCACACTTGTCTCACACACAAACCAAAATCCTACTACGAAAGAGGAATCCGCAAATTGCCTGTAAAATGGGCAGAAGTCGTCAATAATAATGGAAATTATTTCGAATGAATTCATGGTTTTATGTTGAAGAGATTTTAATTCAAAGTCCCGCAGTTTTCAATTCACCAACCCAATCCTTTTATTAGTATTAACGGTAGTACTTGAATTACCGATGATAAACGGATTCTCCGAGCTTTGCATATTGTACAATCGGGCCATCAGGAGCTCCTTTCCGAAGAGTGTACAAACAAGTCGGCATTTGGTACATTTTCTCTCGAAATTGTGTTGTCAGCATGCTAATCTTTCAGTAATTTTCAATTTCCCTTTTGCCATTACCTAACCGACAAGGGAACATTAACAGTTTTGTCGGCTTCCATATAAAAACATTGAATTTTCACCATTTGATCGACTTTTGTCATGAATCTAAAAAAGAAATGCTTGTGTTTTTGCATGACTCAAACCACTTACAATGTGTGAAACATGAAAACCACCGTCATTTCTACAAAAATCCCACGTGGGTTTAGCTAAAGTGAACTTTTTTAAGCAAAAAAAAAGATTATAAAGATACCGAACGATAGCGCTGAACATTGCATGAGGAAAAGGGAATCGTGATCCCGATTGAGCGAGAGTCCATGAAATCTTCGGCACCGGCACGGCATTCTTTCTGGAAATTAATGCTGTTGTTAGATGCTGGATAAATTAACTAGATACTGGATTTGTACCTAAAGTATTAAATTGGATTTGAAATTTGAAAACAGTCCTGTTGGCTGGGAATTTTGGTTTAGAGACTTTGATTCTGGTCTGGCTACTACTGTCTGGCGCACAATTATCGAAACTCGGTTTTTCGACTGTAACTCGATGCCCAATCATTCAATTCTCCTAATTTCAGATTTATATGAAATTTCAAGTTAATTTCTGCAGTCACTTTCAATTTTTAGTTCAGAAACACAGCGTTATGCTTTTTATAGCACTTTGAAGTTCATAGATGAAGTTCATAGATGTTCATAGATGAAATTCAAGATGCCAACCTCTCGGCAGAATCATCGCTTTCGATAGTTTTCAACACTCAAGAATTGCTCACAAATCAACCAATTCTTTTTGTTTTTTTTCCACGATTTAGCCAAATTTAGACAAATACCACAAAATAAATGCATTAAATTTGCAAGACAGCAAATCAGGAATGATTTGGGAAATTACCATACAAATTTAGCTTTGCTTAGCTTTCAGGAAATTCAACTATAGCTCTCAAAATTTGAAATTATTGAAAATCTTCTGATGTGAAATGCTTCAAGCAATTCTATTTCTTAATAAAAAGCAAAAATGAGTAAATACAAAGCGGGAAATTCTTCAAAACATGTGCAAATCGTGGGGAAACAACAATTCTGCAGAGTGGTTGGCATCTATGAACTTCAAATTACTATAAAAAGCATAACACTGTCTTTCTGAGCTAAAAATTGAAATTGACTGTAGAAATTAAATTGAAATTTTCATCTAAATATAAAATTAGGGGAATTGAATAATTGCGGATCGAGTTACAGCCGAAAAACCGAGTTTTCATGATTGTGCCCAAGCCTGTATAATAATAGATTGGCAAGTTGAAAGTTGGTGCACTTACTCATTGCACTTTTTAGAAATAATGCCAAGTGCGCCAATTAATCTACAGTTTCTACGAATAAAAAGGCCCATTTATTCTCTAAAACCGAGTTTTCATAATTGTGCGTCAGCCTGTAGTGTAGTAGACGTTTAAGGTAATGTACATGGCATTTTAAAGAGAAAAACACTTGTTTAGTACTTGCTTATTCCTTTTTAATACACTTGTTTAGTAGTTTTAGTATTATTGAGTATATTACCTCATGAAAATGATCCATCACAAAAACGTATCCATCAAAAGGTCTTTTCGTCGATGCTCGAACACCGATTCGATCCGGTCCACAAATGATATCCGGTGTGCCAGGACCTTAAAACATCGTGGACATGGGGAAATTCCAAGCCCAACCTAATTTCACCTTTCTTTTCTTGACCGATTGCTCTGAAATTTTGTCTACAAGCTGAAAATGTCGATTTCTGTGTAGACAAAAATTTCAAAGCAATCGGCCAAGAAAACAATGGTGGAATTAGGTTGGGCTCTGAATTTTCCCATTTCTAGTACTTATAGACTATATATAATCAATACTGGTTTCACCCAACCGTACTTTGCATAAACAACTTTGCATAAACAAAAAATTTGCATTGAGATTGCCTTGCGGCTTGGGTTTTACCCCCCGGCAAAATCTCATTTTACTTTATATGCAAATTTGGGACTTTTTCATTTATAAATGGGGGTCTTGTTTTCAATTTAACATTATAAGTTAGTGATTTATTGTAAGGGAAACCGCTCGTAACTCCAATTTTGTTGACGGGATATAACCTGGCGAAAGTAGAACTGAAGAGTACACAAATTGCTTCGCAAATGAAATGAAAAGCAGTCAAAAGAGAAAGAAGATTATGTAAAAATTTCTTTGTATACAAAACAGACAAAGCAATGAAGCCCTAATTGAAAGCCTAATTGAAAACCTTAATTGAAAACCCTAATTGAAAACCCTAATTGATGGGTGATAAAACCCTGATTGATCCCTGCGAGGAGTATAACCCATAAGTGTCTAAAACATTATTTATTATTATAATAATAAATCTATTACCTAAAATATTATTTATTATTATAAAATAAATCTATTAAAAAACGAAAAGTTTCTCGTAAAACGTACGAAACTCAGTTTTGCACATATCCCAGGTGAGGGCATCGGCGAGCGTTTTGTCGAGTTGCTCGAATGATTCCACTGTGAAAACCCGTTGAGGATTGCCAGCCATCTAAAAAGTTCTTCATAATAGAATGTTTTATTTAAAATTAGAAATTAGACTTTATACTTGATGTAATTGATGCACGTTGACGAGATTTGTGACTCCAATTGCATAGACGAGGATGTGCGCGTCTCGAAGCAATTGCGATGGAGAGGCCACGTCGTCCTTGAATTCATTTGATGAATTTGGTTAATGATTAGATAGTAGTAGATATTTTAAGAGTTTTATGACTTTCAAGTATCTTTAGTTTAACATTCTGCTGTGGCTGACTGGCTAGGAGTCTTGTCTCTTAGTCGGAATAGATACACAGCCAATGGTTCGATCTCGCAGGATAGATAAACAGTTTCTTTTTTCTCTTACCGGGGTTTTTTTTCTTTACTAACAGTTTATGGGCATCGTCCCGTAGTAGCAAACAATTATTCGTGTATTTGTGTGCCGAATAAATGTATTAATTTTTGGAAATTAACGATACCCAACTAACAGACTAGCAAAACTCACTTGACATACCCAACCAACAGACTAGCAACGATACCCAACCAACAGACTAGCAACGATACCCAACCAACAGACTAGCAACGATACCCAACCAACAGACTAGCAACGATACCCAACCAACAGACTAGCAACGATACCCAACCAACAGACTAGCAAAACTCACTTGACTCTGCCCATCAGTGACTACGACAACAACTTTTGGAACATTACCACCTCGAGCTCCTAAATATTTGACTTAATTTACTCTTTATCGCAAAGTTTATTGATTAGTTAACAAAAATACTTGACTCTTTTAACACTTTTTCTTTTGACTTGACTATTTTAACACTTTTTACCTTCAAATCCTTTATCGAGAGCGAAACGAAGGGCTTGACCGGTGTTTGTTGCTCCAGAAAGGAAGGAAATTCTTTGAATTCCCCATTCTAACTAAAAAATTTGCTTTCTAGCTGGATAAATCTCAAGATATTGAATCCACAAACCTTTGTGGGATGAGTGTACTGTTGAAGAGAGAACTCGAGTCGAGGAGACTCCGCGAATTGCATTAAACCCATTCGACTGCCTATTTGCACTTGCATTATTTAATTCTAATGACAAACCGTCATTAGAAACATTGAGTCGTTGAGCTAAATGTATAGCGAAATCAATCTGAAATGATCATTAGCCATTTATAAACAAAAAAAAAACAAACTTGTTTTCGAAAGGTCTCATCTCCCACCGAGCCCGAGCCATCCAGAATCACCAAAAGGTCAACTGATTTGTTCTAGAAGTTAAATAACAATGTAAGCTTTTAAAAGATCAATATATAGGTGATAAACCAACTTGGGTACAAGTGGTGACAAGCTGTGAGTCGACAAGGCCATTATCGATGGGATTCCCGGTGACAAGTGATCTTTTTACGAATAGTAACTAAAGTTTGATTTCAAGGTACTCAATGATGTCCATATTTTGACTAGAGTTTACTTTAAGCCTACCAAAATCAGCGTATTGATGAAAGTAACACTCCTGAGGACCATCGCATTATCTAAAATTTCAAAAAGGCTACTCAAAAGGCTAAAACAAAGATTTATCGAAAGAAAGGATAAAATTAAGAAAATTTTCCTTGAAAGTGAAAAGAATGAAAATCGAGGGTAAATAGTTGGGGTTAACGAGGGCGAATGAATGGGGAATAATCGAGAGAGAGAGCGAGATCTCGATGTAAATCTCTCATTTAATTGATCCTCATTCAATGAATTTTTCAATGAACTTAAAAAAGTTAAGGAAAAGAATTTGGCTAATGGTATGGTGGAGTGAACAATTTCTATATGTTCACTTTTGGAGATAAGGAGATCGGGATCGATTTAGGGTGATTTGATTATGGCGGAGAGGAGGAAAGGTGATTTGGCTCTTCTTGCTAGATCGAAAAAGAGAAAACGCTCATTTCGGAACACTGTCTTTTAAAAGAGATTGATGGATATAAGCATTTTGCATCCTTTTCAGCCATAGTTTCTTACTAGGGAAAAGCACCAGATCAAGGTCTTTTAATACGATCAAGGCTTTTATCAAGGTTTCTTTTATCGATCAAGGCTTAACCTTTTAATACGAAAGCCATGGGACTTTATAGAATCGGCTGTGCTCATTCTGAATATGCTTTTATTTTTTTCCAAAGGAGCTCTGTAACGCGAGATATCTAGCATCAAAGTTTAGGCCAATTTTCGGAGTCTTTATAAGCTTTTTCTCTCAGCCTAAGCCGGTGAGTTAGTGGCGCAGTGGATAGTGCGCCTCGGAATGATTCAAAGCTTTTTTTTGCCCGGGTTCGAGTTTGCTCACGGTATATTCTTTCTAGCTTTTTTGAGAAAACGATTAGAAAATGTTTATGGCATCAGGATTGGTTTATTTTGACTTTAATTAACATACTGTATTTTCTCTAATAGTACACCCTGAGCGTCGCCTAAATTCCTCGAAATCTCGAGAACCGCTTATCAGAACCTATCGATGTGGGATCGGAAAATGTAGCCGAGATCTAGTGGGGGATTAGAGTGTTGAGCTTCTGCAAAAGCTTGGAAACCGTTAAATAGTCACCAACTCGGCTCGGCCGGGGTGCACTACTATTAGAGAAAATACGGTATATAGAATCAGCATATCCGATCCTATAAAGCCTCCCGTATTAAAAAGTGCGTGGTTGACCTGGTGCCTTTCTCTAATTATCTACAGTCCAATACAGTAAGACTAAAAGTACTAAAAATGAAAGTACTGTAAAAGTACTATAAAAGTAAGCTACAGTACTAAAAATGAAAGCTTTAAGCTTTCTTTATTTGATCTTTTTTTAAAAATCAAACTGGTTTATGCAATTTTTGATGTAAAAGAGTGTAATGGTTGTTTTTTTGAATTTTTGACTACGTTTTATTGAAAATGTTACAAGTTAAATGGAAATTTATTGCAATAACAAGAAACTTGAGAAAATGAAAATTTAAAAACAATCAAGAAAATTGTATGAGAAAATGGAAGAACTTTTTGGCATGATCAAACGAAAGACTTGTTCTTTTCACAAAGAAGAATTGAAGTTTTTTTTGATGTGAAAAAGAAGATTCGATGAAAAATAATCAACGCTTGAAGATTGAAGATTCATAGAAAAGGGGAAATGAATTGGAAAAAGAAAAAAAAGAAGTGGATCGCTTGGATAATCTCTTTTCTTTTTCCCAATTCATTCAAACTTTCTTTACATTCTTTCTTTTATTTAACCCATTCGAAACCGCAGCGTTTTTTCTTTTTTTTTTCGTCTGCAAACCAAGCCCTTTTTTGACATTTTTTTCGCTGCAGAATTTTCGAATGGGTTAAACTAGAATTAAATGTGATTTTTGTTGTGTTTAAAATAAATAATATTTATTATTCGACAAGAAAAAACCGAAAAAGAAAAACAAAAAAGGTTTATGAATCACCGTATTTGAATTCAACTAGCAACAGGGAAATGGAAAGTTTTCCTAATTAAAATTATACTATTATTTAAACTATTATTTTAAACATTTCTTTTAGGAAAACTTTTCAAAACGATTATGAAACACTTGAAAACTCGTTAAGGCAACTTTTTCAAATCAAAAAAAAAAGAAAGGCAAAGTGAATGACGGAAAATTTTCGAAGAATCACGCAGGCAAGAGTTTTGAAGGTTTATTTGTTTAAATTGAGAAACTTTAAAGTAATATTGAAAGATACTGTGCAATTGGTCAAACTGAGCAATCAAAGAAAAAAGAAAAAGCGTCGGAGACGAGCGGGGCAGCGTCGCTGTAAGAAAGGGGATTTGGGGGAGAGGAGAACGGGAAGACAAACAAAGAATATCTTTAAATTTCAAAAAATCTCATTTTACAACATCTAAAACAGATTTAAATACTTATTTGAAGATTTAAGTTATTTTAAAAATTAAGATTTTCTTTGTTAATGATTCTCGTTTTGAGTTTGAGAAATAAATGCATTCGGAAGATACCGGCATTAGTGATATGCAGAAAAAAAGCAATCAGCAATCAGCAATCAGCAATCAACTATTTTTTTTTAAAAGCAATCAAGAATAGCACCAAAAATTGAGAAAATAATTGATAAGATAAAAGAGAAAAAAAATGAAGCGATGAGCCCCGGACGTCAGCGCGCATTTAGGTCAACATTTTTTAGTGTTTAGTTGTTGAAGTCGAGGTCTTTGTGGTGACCACTTCGGTCCGGAATCTGAAATTTTATCAACGTTTTGTAGATTATTGTTTGATGCTTTTTAAATATTAAAATACCTTTCTCGATCTCCACCAGGGAGTGGCTCAAACGAGTGTTGACGTTGAACACGTGTTCGCTTGTCGCCTTTCTCGTGCTCAAACTCTTCCTCTTCCGATGAGTACATTGAGGCCTCGTCCTTTATTTTGAACATAACATTTAACTATCAAAGCTTTGATAGCTCTTTCCTTCTCTTTCTTTCTCTTTCTTTCTATTTCCCCTTCTATTTCCTCGTTCTTCTTTGGAAAGAAGATACCGAGCTCAGTCGTTAGAGCATCTGCCCGGAAAGCAAAAGCAAAAAGGTCGAGGGTTCAATCCCCTCTCCGGAAATCTTTCTCTTCCTTACTTTATAAAACACTTCTACTTTTTCCAACTTACCGTATACTCTGAAATCTCTCGATTTTCCGAGTACAGATGATTGTTGGCGGCAGCTGAGCGACGACCCTCAACACGGCCAATCGAGAACTCGGCAATGCTTTCTCCTCGTTCCTGAAAGCTGAGTATGAAATTTTAAAATTTCCCTAGCTGACTTGTTCATCGCTGAGACGAGTTGCGTGATTTGCATACGCAGAGCGAGAAGCCGATCCACCAGCAGCAAAAGCGGATCGAGAGGCTGAAGAAGCCATAGCTGATGCTGATTCGGAATGAGCTGAGTGAAGAGCCGATGAAGATGCAGACTCGTGAGCAGCCGCATAGTGTGATGACGATTCAGCTCCATAAGATGAGCGCTAAAAATCATTGCATTTACATTTTCTCTCAACCCATACCGCTCCTGCAGTCGTATTCGTCAAATGCGTCGATCCATCTTCTGGATAATGGTGATACTCGGCTGTTGTGGTTACCGTATTCCCATCAGCATCGGTGGTGGTTGTCGTCTTGATTTCTTTGATATTCACATCAGTGGTCACCTGAATTATGCTAATTTTACAAATCGACTTTTTACTGCTCACTCTTCGCTCAATTTCTTCTTTTATCGTGTAATCACTTCCGGCTGACGAAGAGCTATCAAAGCTTTCATTCAATCCTCCACCACCAGCAAGACGAGCTCTTGGAATATGCATGGCACCTAGATTTTTCTTTTTTTTTTAATCAACTTTAGCTTAACTTACCAGTATCAAGATATTCATCAAGTCTCGCGACTTCAGTGCTCTTGTTAGCCGAGCTTGAATAGGCTTCTCCCTTAGCGAGTTTTGCTCTCGGAATACCGATGTCTGGATAGTATTCTTGTGCGTGAATCGATGAATGCGAATGTTCTCCTGTAAATGATTCGTTTTATTTCTTTATTTTTTTTATTTCTTTTGTTTAATATTCTGAATATTTCTTTAACTATTAATCTTAATTTTGTCTTTGTTTTGGTTGTTTTTCTTTTCATTTTCCCAACCAGATTCCGAGCTCGACGATCCATCAAGTGTTGCCCATGGCCATGCACTGTTTCTGTATCCGAAAGCACCCATCGCTCCACCGCGTCCCTTGAAGCAATGACAACGAGTGCACATGTACAAGAGACAGCTGGAAATCACTTTTCTGTTGTTACAGATCACGACGACGATATTCTGGGCGTTAACTCTTTACTAATAGTTTGGTGATGATTTAAAGATAAACTAAACTATTATAGTCATTCGATAGCCCTGAATCTTCTCTTGAAAACTAGCACAAAGTTATCGAGAACTTTCAGCGAAATGAATAATAAAAACCTTAAAAACTTGACATCAAAAAGAATCGTCATTAGTACAGTAAACCGGTGGATCGTCGGGGAATGTGTTAAAGAAAAACTAACCATAACGCTAGCAAGAGGAAAAGAAGAGCTAGAATAATGAGTAGAACAAGTGATGCATTTGATGGAGCAGTCTCGCAGAATTCTCCTTTCCATCCATCCGTGCAAACACAAGTGATATTATTGGTTTGCGCATTGTGTACGCAATCACCATGAGAGTTGCAAAGATCACAAAGCAACGCTCCACAAACCTAGAACTTTATATAGAACCTAGACTTCATTTAAGAATTACTCTTCCAGGTTCATCAGGATTTCCATCAATATAGCCATCAGGACATTTACACGTGTAGCCAATTGGTCTATCAATGCACTCGGCTACTCCTGAAAGTTTGAAAGTGTTTGTTGTTGTTGTTGAAGCCATGTTGTTATAAAGTTGTTATAAAGCCATTTACCTGAGCAATTTGTTAGCCCAAGAGCACACTCGTTTACATCTCTTGTGTGCATACAGTATGACTCTTCGAGTCCAATGTCAGCTCGTTTCTCTGATTTTCGAATATCCATGTAGCCTGGTTCACAGCGGCATTCAGCCTAAAGGATTCTATACTCTATAGTCGATTAGAGAAATAAACCTGAAGCTCCAAATTCTTGCAAGTAGAGTTCGTTGGACAGAAGGTCACATCCGAGCAATAATCAAGATGACAGACTGAGCCGGGGATAGCTCCTAGAAAATTCTTTGATCAAATAAAACAACTTTGAAAACCTGGTGGAGAAGCGTCCGCATATGATGGAAGACATTCGCATTTGTAGAGATGTGGCAGATCGATACAACGAGCATTTACCGAGCATTCATTTGTCTCCTGAAATATCAATGAACTTGATGCTGTGATAGGCACAATATCAATTAGAACTTTGCTTACTTTCTTCTCACATTCATTGAAACCAGTCGTTGGCAAGCATTTGTGTCCCGGGTTATTTGGTTCGAGATCTCTGAAAACGATCAGTACTCTTTTATTTGATTCTTTTTGTTTACCTGAATCCTGGACCGCATTCACAACGATAGGAATTCGCCGCCAAATCAATACATTTTCCTGATGAATGACAATCATTCTAAAATATTGATTTAAAATGACGAAAGGAAAAAGGAAAAAACAAGCTAAAGGAAACCTTGTAACAAGCTTTAAATGGATCCGGTTGATATGGAGTCAAATAGAGCTCAGAGTCGCCAATCTCTCCACCATTTTTCTCGTTGATGTAGCGAATAAGAGAATAGTAGACATCGCTTGGCTCCCTCACAGCTCCACGTCTGAAGTGCATTGTGGCATTGAACAACAATCCCGAGTCCCAAGTGGCGTTCACTGTTGCTGGCTCCACGATGTCGTTCACCTAGAAATTGCATAAGAAATTCGTTTTCCTTTCTTTTCATTACCTCTGCTGTCACAAATGCTGATCTGACTTCTGTATGTGGATAACAATCTGCGATACCCTTTTCGAATCGTTGTACAAGCTCCTAAAGTATAGAAAATTACCTTTAAAATTCTAATAAAAGAGCCGGCTCTTCAATTTTTCAATGCCCGAATTTCAATTTCAAAAGAAAAGGATCCTAAAATTCTTTTTCGTGTCCTAGCTAAAGTACCCAAATTTTCAAGAGCTCAAAAATGGATTTTGTTGGATTTTCATCCACTTTTTTTTGACATCATTAGCTTTTTAACAAGGAAAGCAACTGGCTGAGCAACTGGCTGAGCCAAATGCTATGCGATCTATACCATTCGACGCAGAATTTTATGCTGATTCCGAATATATAATCCGTTTTTGCTAATGACAATCTGCTAAGAGTTATAAGTGTTTAAAGTTTTGTTAGAACTATTGTTAGGACTAGAAAATGTGGTCATTTGGGTTTTAGTGGTCTCCTTGCGGACGCAACTCAGTGCAGCCGTGACCGAGTGAAACAGCGTTCGTTTCCAGAGTGGAACCTCGCGAGTTCGATCCCGACTTTGGGTTCTTTTGCTTTTTTCAAGAAGTGCTGACTAGTGTTCTTGACCTTCCCTTGTTAGTCTATAATTATTATTTAAAGCCTTTAAAAGTTGAGCATTTAGCTATCCGAGAGTTGATAAATACGAAAAAATGAAAAATTTTGTCTAAACGATGCTCTTCAATTAGAATCAATAAACGGCTAAACGATTTCGTTTTGACCTTGTGAACCGGTGAGAGTGGATTGGAATGAACCCTCGAGTCGAAGACAAGATTTCGCGTGGCTTGACGAGCAACCAAAATTGGTACAGACCAGGACTCAACAACTCGGCATGGACTCTAGATTTTGATGAGTTGATTTGACTTTGATGCAACGAGTCACCTCTTTGTTAGCTCTTTTCATACCAGGTGAACAGCCACAGACATGTCCCGCAATACAGACCTCGCCCAACTCCTCTTTGCATTTCTAAGTACAGCACTTTTTTTTGAATCCAAATGTCAATTTTTTCTGAACCTCTTTTCCACAATTGAAGATCTCAATTTCGTCGACACGACAAGGATTTAGGAGTTCGGTGTCGGCGGCGACGCGCAGTGATCCACCGCCAATTGCACCATTCGTTCTCTGCAGACTTCCTTGCATTTGTTTCCACAGCTCACACGCGTCCACCGGCTCTTCGGAAACCGTCGTCTGCACGTTGAACTTGAAAAGCAATCCGTCCGGCCATGAAGAGTTGACAGTGCGTGGATGAGTGATGTAATCGACCTAAACGCATTTGAAATTGCTGTTTTCTTCATCCCTTTACATCAGTGTTGACAAATCGTGGAGCAAAAGAAGTGCCACCAAAAGACCGGGCAATATCTTTCTTAAATGTGTCCACAATTTCAATGTAAGTCGGTGATTCATCATTTCCTAAAAAAACCTCTTTGAAAAGCGGTTATCGCAAATTTCCTTTTCCCATTCTCAATCCAACTTTGAGCTGAAATTTCTTAGTGTTTGGTTTGTTCAATTTATAAATGATTGATATCATTAAATTCGCCAAGTCTTTCTCTGTCGATTGATACAAAAACTATTTCAATTGGACAACTCAACACCAAGCTAATTGAGCTCAAAGTTAGATTACCAATGGGAAAAGAGCTGACTTTTCTACCGTATTCTGAAGAGTACATCAATGCTTGATCGTTACGAGCAACAATTCGAATTTGGAAGGGTATTGTTTGAATCTAAAATTTGAATCAAATTTTTAGAAAACTTTATGAAATGTGAAACCTTTTGGCATTGTTCACGAAGATCGGATCGACTTTCCCCTGGACGACACCCACACTCGACGCCACCAATGCAAACCTCTCCTCTGAATTTTCTTTTGCAAAAAACTATTCGTTTGATTTAAAAAAAACCTTTCACTATTACATTCATATCTTCCACAAAGTGTTCCGGTAATTTTTGTGGTGACAACATCGAGGAATTGCACGTTCGGCTGTTTGGAGACGTTGTCATTCTCGAAGGCGATACAGATACGTCCGGGTTCACGTGGATTCGGTGAATTGTCATAAAAGCCGGTTCTGAAATGAATACAAGAATTGAAGAATTAAGAATTGAATACATTAAGAAAAAAGCAGATACCTGCAAGCACAATAATAGCCGTCATCAGTGTCTCGACAATCAGCATTCATACCGCAATTGTTAAGACCAGCCTCAAGGCATTCATTCAATCGACAGACTCGACCCGGCTGATCACCTGGACCTTCATCTCTGAAAAGAATTGATTTCGTTAGTTAAATGAGTGCCGATTTGGGAACGATTCTTAGTAAAACCAACTTATCGGCAGGTCCTAATTCAAACCTCTTTAAGCAAGCCAAGTAAACACTTTAAGGAATTCCTTTAAGGAAGCCAAGTAAACACTTTAGGAAATTCCTTTAAGGAAGCCAAATAAACACTTTAAGGAAGCCAAGTAAACACTTTAAGGAAGCCAAGTAAACACTTTCTTTTATATTACCTGTATGGTGATTTGCATCGACACTCGTACCCTCCAGGCGTATCAATGCAGATGGCATTGCGATCACAATCGTTCAGATTTCTCGATTCACACTCGTTGATAACTGTAAAAGTTTTGGAATTTAAAACGAAACCTCTCTTACTGTATGTGCATCGGATTCCAGGATTAGTGGGATCTTCATCGTGATATCCATCTCTACATGTACACGAGAAGCTGTCTTCCGAATCAAAACAATCGGCGAAACGAGAGCAATTGTTTAATGACGGACTTCGGCATTCATTGATCTAAATTACATGAATTTTTTTGGCTCTTACATAGTTTCCGGGTATTTTGGAAAAATCCTGGTATTTTGAACGGGTCGTCACGCTTTGAAGACCTATAACTTTGTCTAGAGACAATATTCTTGTTAACTTATTATATCATTGTACAGAGGACATTTCAGACTTTCAAATGATATTAAATAGAGTTTGATTGGATAATCGAGTCTAAGAAAATCAGAGCTAAGTCTCAGCAAATGGTCTATCCAACTCGAGTGTCGTGTCGGCTTGTTTGCATGGAACCGAAAAATCTAGTCAAGCTCTATTTGGTATTATTTGAAAGCTTGAAATGTCCTCTGTACAATGATATAAAAAGTTAACAAAAATATTATCTCTGGACAAAGTTATAGGTCTTCAAAGTGTGACAAGTGGTTTAAAATACCCGGAAACTACGCAAGAGCCAATGCTCAAGATTCTTTATCTTTTTCTTTCTTTTTCTTCTTTATCGACTTTTTCTTTATCAACTCTTACAGTTTTGAAGCATTTACGACCAGGGCGATTGATAGGATCGGGGCTTCGATCTTGCATCCCCACCGGGCAACGACAAGTGAAACCTAGAGAAAAAGATGATACAAGAATATGAGAGAATAAAGAAGAGTAATTGAAGAAGAGTAATTTCTCTCTTTCTACCTTGTGGTCGATCCTCACAAACAGCCACCTCATCGCAATCGTTAAGTGATCGATCAAGGCATTCGTTCACTTGCTCTATACAGATTCTTCCCGGTTTCGAGTTTCGATTCGGACTCTCATCAATGTAGCCATCTCGGCACCGACATGTGTATTTCTCAGGTCCGCTTGACTGAATATTTTTTTGTTTTTTGTTTTGTTTTGTTTGTTTTGTTTTTTCGTTTGTTTCGTTTGTCTTCTCGTTTGTTTGTTGTCTTTCTCTTTTTTTCGACTTTACCTCACTACAAATAGCTGCTGGATGGCAATCGTTTTGAGAGGAGTCAAGACAAACGGGTTGAGTGAGTACACAAAGACGCCCGGGTTTGTTCAGCTTATCGGGTGATCGATCCGCATAACCCTGATGATAGTTATTTAAAAGATAAAACATCTTTTTTTAAATACTTGTAGACATTCACAAGTGTAACTCTTTGTTCCAGTTGCTCTACACGTTCCGGCTGGATGGCAATCGTTTAGCTCTGGATCTTGACATGGGTGTCCTGAAAAGTTTCGGAAATTTTGAAAATGAACTCTTTTTTATAAACACCTCCCATTATAAGACTTCAATAATATTTTTTGTTTTGTTAATAAGCTATCCAATTAGCAACGAAAAATGGATTACTAGAAGAAGTTGAATGAATAAACGAAAAAAAAGCAGTTGATTAGTGCAAAAGACATTGAAAACAATAGCTTTTTTTAAGTTCTTTTAAAAGTTCTTAATTGTTTTCAATGGTTTTTCAATAATTCACACAGCAAACAAGCACTCTGAAAGCGTACGGGGTGGTGGAGGTGGAGGAGCTGGATGCCAGTTGAGTGCTTCAAGACGATCTCCATGGAATGGTGGTGCCGGTTCTTCGTGTTTGATGATGATCGGTGGTTGGAATGCTGGTGGAGACGCGTGACTTCTTGCAATATCTTGATAGTTGATTCTTTCTTTTATATGGATCGGTGGTGGAGCGATATTTTGCTCAAATCGATGCTCTTCATGAATGTGAACGATTCGATTGGGTGGGGGAGTAGGGAAGATTTTGATTCTCTGATCGACTTCTTGAAATCTTTCTTCAGCCACTTTCAATTTCTTATGTACATTTTGATGAAGACCAATTACTTGAATAGCTGGCGGTTTTGGGGAGAAGCTAGGGATCTCTTGGTAATGCCGAGCCTCTTCATGAATTCGAATCGGTGCCCTAGTTGGGGGTTCTTCAAATTGAATGTGATTTTGTTCGATGCGTTCATGGATTTGAATCACGTGGGGTGGTTGAGTGGTCGGGTACTCTCGATAATTGATCTGCACTCCGTGATATCTAACTGTTGGCACTTGATGATATCTTATTCGAGGTGTTTGATCAAAATGGGTGAAGATTCGAGTGTGTGTGGAACTCTGTGAAGGCCAAGGCTGCGGTTGGTCGAAGATAAATTCTAAAATGCAAATTAAGCTCTTGGGCATGCGGCGAGCAAAATTAGAAGATGATCAAAAAGTTCGCGTACACTTGTAATTGAATGATTTTCTAAATGAAAGCTACAACAAAATTTATTGTGTTTTTTTGAAGCTAAAATTCTGATGAGAATTTCTATAAGTAAATCACATCGATCACAAATTTTAGCCTTTTCAAGAAGCCAGATTTGAAGCTTCGAGGCAAATCGCCCATCAGACACAGTTTTGCATGTTTTCGAAGACTATTTTACGTTTTTATTTTGACGAGAGATTTTCTTTCTTTTAAAATAACTATTAAACTGTTACTTAAAACCAAAATATCAATTTAAAAAGGCTTTTTGAAGAATTTTTCTATTGAAAACAGATGAACGCTATGACAAGTTTCCTTCCAGCGCACTACAGTGCTTCTTTGAAGAGCTAGGTAGCTTTGATCAAAATGATTTAGGTCTAGAAATACTCCCCAGAATTTCAGCTTCAAAATACTATGTAATAAGTCCAATTTTGATCTGGATTTTAGCTCAAAAAATCGAGCTTCTTTCTTCTAAAGTGTGCGAAACTTTTTAATCATCCTGTAAATAGCAGGCAAATGGAAAAGATTTTTGAAAAGAAATAAAGCAAATGAAGAATGGTAAAGATAAGATAATTTGTGAAAAAATAAATTGTAAAACAAACGTGGGGGCGGAGTTGGAGCTGGAGGAGCTTCACAGATTCTGCCGGGTTCAACCGGGCTTGGGGATTTGTCGATGTACCCTCTAGCACACTCGCAGCGATAACCGTTTAGATTATCGTAGCAAATGGCATTCCTAAGTTTATACATGTTTTTTGTTTTTTTTTTTAAATTTCTTATCACTTTGAGCAATTGTTGAGAGATGGGTCTCGGCAAGCGTTATTTCGAATACAGATACGTCCAGATTGGCCAGGCGGTGATTGATCGATGTATCCCTTAAAGATTGTGAATTCTTAAACAAATAAAAGAGTTGAATAAGAAAAAGAGCACAAGAGTGATTGATCGATGTATCCCTTAACTTCAAATTTGTGTACCGTAACCCTCGGTAAATGTTTAGAATTTTACCTGAATACAAGTGCATCTGTATTTGTTTCCACCAAGTGGCTCACAAACGGCAGCCGACGAGCACTCGTGATTTGAAGGGCACACATCTAAAGACTCAAAAAGTTCCATAAGCTCAAAAAGTCTCCATAAAGTATCGCTTTTTTTTTTGATTTCACTTACCTGGTGTCCCACAAACTCTTCCCGGTTGCAATTGGATGTTGGGTGAGCGATCGATATAACCATCTTTACATTCACACGTGTATCCTTCTTCGAGATCACGGCAATCAGCTTGCGCCGAGCATGTGTGTCTTGCCTCTCGACACTCGTCCACCAAGCGCACACAGACGCGTCCAGGTCGTGTAAGCTGTAGGAATATTTTAATAAGCTTTTTTTAAAATAGACTTTTTTATACCTTGTTTGGACTACGATCAACGAATCCTCTCGGGCATTCACAGGTGAACGATTGCTCGTTGTCGTGGCAGAGAGCCGCCGCATCACAGTCATGTTTTCCAGACTCGCATTCGTTTTCGACTATAGCTTATTTGATAATGATTTTCACTGATCACTTACAAAGCAAGCAAACACGTCCAGGGAAAGCTGGGCTTGGTGAGATGTCTCGCGAGTTTGGTGGGCATTCACACTCGTACGAATCGAGAGTGTCAGTGCAACGAGCATTTCGATCACAGTCGTTCATTTTCCCGTCAACGCATTCATTCAAAACTAGATTCAAACAATTAGTTATTTATTTTAGACTCTAATGAAATAAGAAAAACGAACTAGCTCGACAAGCTCGTCCTTTCAGTGCTGGAGATGGAGAGACATCATAGAAGTTTTCTCTGCATTCACATCTGTATCCCTCTTCTTCATCAATACAGTCAGCATTCTTGTCGCAACTGTTTTGATTTGGATTGTCACATTCGTTGATCATTTGTTTACAAATTCTTCCTGCTCGTCCCACTGATCTGAAAAGGAAATTTGCCACAATGCCATAAATCTATTTCCAAATCTCCCACTTGTCCATGAATCCTTGATGACATTTACATTCATATCCCTCTTCAAGATCAATACATTGAGCGTTTGGATGACAATCATTCAGATGAGAATACTCGCATTCGTTTACCACTAAAATTCATTTCCAATAGATTTTGAAATAAGCCACAAACTTGGCTTGCACAGACGTCCAGGCTTCTCTCTTGGCCCAATATCTTTGAAGTTCGTCTTGCAGTGACAAGTGTAGCCAATCGGCTGAAAGAGATGCATCAGAGATTCTATTTTTTTGTTTTTTAACTCACTTGATCAATGCATTGAGCAGATGGATGACAATCGTTGAGCTGTGGGAAAGCGCACTCATCAATCACTGTACAAGCTCCACTAGCATCTCTCGAATAATCGACCGGGCACGAGCATTTTGGAATCCCATTCACGAGTCTATTTTGGGTTGTAATCAAATTTTTTGATACTTCTACCTGCAAATCTCTCCGCGTTCTTGACTACAGTCTCGAAGGCTGTCAATTCGGCACTCATCCGGCGGTGGAGTTGGTCTCGGTACGCAAAGTCTTCCTGGATGTGTTGTCCTTCTTGGAGACTCATCAAGAAACTCAGGTCGGCATTGACATGTGAAACCTTGGGGCAGATCCTGTAAATTTGAATTGTTTTCTGGAAATCAATTTCATTCAAACATGGCAGATCGCTTCACTATGGCAGTCGTGTTGTCCAAGTCGGCACTCGTCAACCAATGTTGGCCGGCAAATTCGACCGGGTCTTTGTGTTCTGAAAAACCCTTTTATAACAAAACAAGCCGAATTCAGAAATCCAGAAAAACTCGCATAACAGCAGGTTTTTCTTGACAGGCTTTTGTCGCCATGACGCAGTCGGGAGAGGACAGATCTGTGGCCCACGCTTCGAGCGTGGGCTACAGACCTGTCCTCTCCCGACTCCCCAGCTCCCGGTTCGAGCCCCCGTAGTGCCACTCTTTTAACTTTTTATTTCAAATAGCATACTATATTATATTTTAAGACTTTTAAAGAAAATTTCAGCTTTTTTGGCCCAAAGATGATCGAGAAAAAGCCCATACAGACGGACAGACGCTGCTTTTTTATATATAATAGATAGTAGATGTCAAAAAAACTCGATTCCTAATTTCTGTATGCAAACTTTCGCTATTTTCAGCTTTTCAACTTTCGCGCAGTGAGCAGCGCACTTGCCCACGACCGCACGACCCGGGTTCGTCTCCCGGCTGTGTCGTAACTTTAAAAAAAAAACGAAATATGAAATGCACAACTACATAGAATTCTAAATCTTAGCAAACTAAAAATCATGTAAATCGGCTGAAGGGAAGCCGAGAACTCGCGCGTACAGACGGACGAACGGACAGACATCGCTCTTTTATATATAGTAAATCAGCAAACCGATCAGGGCTTTCATCAACAAAATCGTCACGACAACGGCACGAGTAGGATTCCGGCGTATCGATGCAGTCTGCATTCGGTGAACAGTCATGGCGAGATGTTGTGCATTCATTGATTCCTAAATTTTTGTTGATTTTCTTTTTGAAAAAATCTTGCTTAATCTTACTGAGGAGACATCTTCTTCCCGGTCGATTCTGGGTATCCGGCGATACATCAATATGTGTGGCCGGACAAGCGCAAACATACGAGTCCTCGGTGTCAGTGCAAATGGCTTCCGGTGAGCAATCGTTTTGTCCAGTTGCGCATTCATCAACCACTAAAATTCGAGTTTCTAAAAGCTTTCAATATACAAAATTCCTCACATCGCTTGCATTTTCTTCCGGGTCGATTCTGGCGATCAAACGAGACATCCAAGTAGTTTATAGCACAACTAAATTCACTTCATTGTTGTAAACTTTTTGATTTAACCTTCAGTTGCTCATTCTTACTTGTTATTGTATGACTTACCGGCAAGTGTAACTGTCAGGAGTGTCCTCACAAATTGCTCCATCTCTTGCGCAATCATCGAGTCCCATGGCACACTCGTTTTGCACTAAAATTTGAGAATCACAAGTCTTCCAATGATCTTTTCTCACATTGCTTGCAGAGGCGTCCGGGTTTAACAGCGATACTTGGAGAGATATCCAGAAAACCTTGTCGACATCTACAATTTGTGATTTATCGGGTTTACTCTTCTCTTCAACCTGCAAAGGAATCCTTCATCTGTATCTGTGCAGATTGCCCGATCTGGAGAATCACAATCGTTGAGAGCTGGATTGTCACACTCTGGGATCACCGGGATACAAACTCGGCCTGGCTGAGCGACTGTGTTTGGACTCTAAAAAAACAATTCTTGATTTATTCGAAAAACAATCGAAAAACTTTGTCTTTAAATCCTGGAGGGCAAGAACAAGAGAAATCGTCATCTCCAATTTGCGAGCAAATCGCATTTCGGTCGCAATTATTTTTGCCAGCAGTGCAGCGATCATTTTGCTGAATTTGTTTGCAAACACGTCCAGGGTTTCGGAATTCGTCCATATCTTGGAAACCAGCCTGAATTTGGGTTTGAATTTGTCTTAGAAAGTTTGAATACTTTGCAGAGACAGGTGTAAGCTTCTTGAGTGTCAATGCAAATCGCATTTCGGTCACAATTGTTGAGGGATGGCGAGGAGCATTCGTTGACGAGTTCTTTACAAACGAGGCCAGGGAAACTGGAAAAAGATTGTTATATGGATTTGTTTGATTGCTTTAAAAGATTGTTACCTATGCGGATTTGGCGAGTAGTCGATGTATCCCGTTTTGCAGCGGCAAATGTAGCCCTCTTCGGTGTCGGTACACAAAGCATTTGGTGAGCATCGATGCGTTCCATCGATGCACTCATTTCTGCTCAGCCACACACAATCTTCCTGGTTTATTCACCTGAATTGTAGAATTGTAGAATTGTAGAGCTGTAGAGCTTTTGTGAGTTTTATCTGTTTCGAAATGAACATTTGCCCCTCACCACATCTGGAGATCGATCGATGAACCCATTGGGACAAGCACAGAAATACCCATCACCCTCATCTGTGTCCACGCAGCGAGCACTTCGATCGCAATCGTTCTCACCAGTTGCACATTCGTTTTTCACTGAAATATGTTTTTAAAAAAATAGCTTTAAAAGATTTAAGAGCCTCCAGAATAAACCATTCGGCACGATAATCACGACACACAATATTAAGCTATATCTTGACTGAACTCACGCTACATTCTCCTAATTCCCTAATCTCATTGGATCCCTAGATAGCTTGTTCTGGTAGTGAAGCCGAAGACGGCTGGATAGACTTCTCGCGCTGAACCTGGGCCATGAACCGGGAAACGAATCGAACCCGAGTCTCTAATTCCAGCCAGCCACACTGGCGTTACGCCAATGTTTCAATTTCACAGGTAAAACTCACAGCAAACTCCAGTGATCGCATGCCGTTTCTCTCCACGAGCACATTGACAGCTGTAGCGATTGTTCGTGTTGAGGCAAACCTCTCTCTTTCGCACGTCACACGTGTATTGGTCCTGAAATTGATGATTGTGGGACATTTGATACACGCCCTGCCCCCTTTACCATTGACAATCTAACTTTGAGCTCAAATTTCTTAGTGTTGGGCTGTCCAATTGAAATAGTTTTTGTACCAATCGACAGTGAAAGACTTGGCTCATTTAATGATATCAATCATTTATAAATTGAGCAACTAAACACCAAGAAATTTCAGCTCAAAGTTGGATTGCTAATGGGAAAAGGAGCAAGGCGCTAATCAAATTTCCGATAACCAAAATTGATCGATTTATTATTTGCATGTAGATCTTACCAAAGGATTGCATTCTCCGGGATAGACGCATTTGCCAGTGTGCGGATTTCTTTCATATCCGGTTTCACATTCACAGAAGTAATGCTTTTGACTGAAATGATAAATACTATAGCTGTATACTGTAAGAAAAAGGAAAAAAAACAATAATCACTTTCAATAATCACTTACTGCCGAGCGCAAACTTCATGCTTTCCACAGGGAGCACCACCGTTGTGACAATCGGCATCCATTGATGGGAAGATGTGCACCTCTTTGATTGAAACTGAAACTGATTGAATGGAAGGGTTTTTTTTGATTCTTGATTGAAACTGAAAGGATTTTCTTAAAAAATCAAATCATTATTATCATTATATATCTAAAATCTTATTCAATCAAAAACTAACCGCAAAATCCGGAGTGGAAATCTCTCTTGAAGCCGACGGGACACCGGCAACGATGATTGTGGAATGGTGTGATCTCGCACTCTTCAGGGAAAATGCATGAGGTTGTGAGCTGTGGATTGCACAGTGTTCCACCACAAATCTACAAAATATCATCGGTTTGGGTTTTGATTTCGAAAATGAACTCTTGTTGTTGGATGTCGCTCAAAGCCTTCAGGGCAAACGCAACGAGTCGTGAGTTCGTCTTGAATGCAAAGCTCGTTCAGCGCTCGGTCACAACCTAATTCAGCAGTTTTTTTTCGTTTTTTTCTGTAATTTTTCTACCAGTTTGTGTTCTTGGATTGCATGGTCCAATGTTTCGTCTCTCCGTTTGTTGCACAGTTGGGCAAGCGACTTTCTGGATTAAACTTCTCAGCCTCGTGTCCAAATCTTTGAAACGATCCACGTAGAACCTAGAAGAGACTGTCAAAAAAGTCATTGATAATTGAAATAATTTGAGCTCAACAAATCATTGACATTTATTTTTACCATCGATTTGGTGATCCGGCAATTGATTCCAATTCAGAAGCCAACACGTGATCGGTGACTCCAATGGCAAAAATGTTAATCTAAAAGGAAGTTTTTCATATTTATAACAATCTGGAAAGTATCAAATGCAATTTTTTTTGAATAATTTCTAATTTCTAAAGTTATAAAGTAAATGTTTCAAAGCTAGAGTTAATTTTAGAGGCTAAATAACTTTAGCACAAACCTTGAGATCTCTAGCAGCCAATGCTGGACCAGAAACGTTATCTTGTGATCGTCCATCGGTGATGACTAAACATTGTTTATACAGAGCTTTTTTTTAGGGAAATTTGATCTCAAATTCAGATTCGTCATGTATTTTTTAATCTTAAAAAAAGTCTTTTTCGAAAAGATTTTGACTCAACTCCTCAAAAAGGGCCATTTTTGGACATTTTTGATCTTTTTTTTCAACTTTTTTTTAGGAGCTTTGTGCTAATCTTTTCGAATTTCAAACCAAAATGTTTTTTCAAAATTTCAAACCGAACTTTAGACTTTTTAAGACTAAAAAAATACATGGATAATCTGTATTTGAGGCAAAATTTACTCAAAAAATGCCTAGTTAAAAAGTTGAAAAGTTGATCTTGCGCCGAACTTCAGAGAATCAAAAGTTTTATGCCAAGAACTCGAACTAGATAAGAGCTTCTAGGGTCATAATATTCGAAAATGATCAAGGGACAACTTTACTTTTGAGTGTAAATCGATATCTGATAAAGAGAAAGAAATGCCACTGTTTAAATAATTTTTAAGCACTACTGTATATCAGTTTTCTCTTGTTAATATAGTTAATCCTACCTTTGTTACTAAATCTTTTTTCCTTACTGATTGCGACTCGACTGATGTCATCTGCTTGATGTCTAGCTCCTCTTCTTTCACTGAATCCTTCTTTCACCATGTGTTGAATCGCTGCACCAGTTCGTGTCAATCCAGTTAAATATCTGAAATTTATCTTTTTATAGCTTCAAATGTTTTCTCTCACTCGTGCTAGAAAAAAAAACGAATATTTTTGACTTGTTGAGCTCGATTTTTAAACTTGATAACGAAAAAGAAGCAAACTTTTCTTAACACACAAGCAAATTAAGAAAAAAAAAATGGTCAAAGTCCTTTAAGTACCCTTTATCGTTAACGCTGGCATCGGGAAATTGTGTAAAAATATACCTAGAACCCCACTATTGTTAGAGTTTGAAAATTGAAATTGCTTGCAAAAACGAACTGTGTCTCTCCGATCGCTCTGAGCAATGACACTTTATCGGGGTGTTGATTGAGGTCAAACTCATGTCTGATCTAAAAAGAAATTGATGTTTTGGGTTTTGGGATGATACTTTTATTGGTACCTGATCTGAATATTGAATGAGACCGACACGAGTTCGGTCAGCTGCGATCTCGAAGAGATCGACAAACTCTTTGACGAATCGGAGCACCTCATTCTTGAACACATAACTGCCAATCGATCCCGATCCATCAATCAAAAACATCAGATCCGTTTTCTGCTTTGGGCACGTTGTTTGCACTGTACAAACTCTGGAAATGAAAGTTTGAGATTAGAAAATTTAGAAAATGAGATGTTTTGCCTACTACCCACCTTCCTGGGGGTAAATTGGCGCTACTCGAGACGTCGACAAAGCCAGCAAAGCATTGACAAGTGTACCCATCTGGAGTGTCAATGCAATCAGCATTCTCGTCGCAAGAGTTTAGCTTCATATCCAAGCATTCATTCATTGCTTAATCAATTTCATTTCATTTTTATTTCCTTTTTTTTTTATTACTGTTTGTACACTTTCGTCCTGGTGGAAATCCAAATTTGCTAGACACATCGATATAGCCATCCTTAATTTTTATACCAAACTTCTCAAAACTTATGAATCTTTTACTTGACATTGACAGGTGTAGCTGTGAGTAGTGTCAATACACTTTGCATAGATTGAACACTCATTGTCGGCTGTTGCACACTCATTGATCACTAAAATCTTTTAAAAATCTTTAGTTATCATTTTCCTTTAACAATCTCTCTATTGTTAAAAGGTTAAAAGGTTAAAAGGTTAAAAGCTCTAAAAGTGCATCAAAGATCAAATTCAGGTAATCAGCTTTTGTCATTTAAATCTAAAAAAAGAGATCGGCGGCTCTTTTGAAGGAATCCATTCAGTTCTTTAATGGCTTTTGATCGAGAATCAAACAGGATTTCGAGATTGTTTCGTAGAAAAACTGTATTTTTAAAAATAAACGTTTCCTTAACATTTCTTGAAATTTCTTAAAAAAAGTGGTTTTCAAAGTTCGGATGTTCAAAGTCGTTTTTTAAGCAGCCACATTAGCTCGGCTCTTTTACAAAAGTTCAAAGTTGGTTTTTAAGCCCTTGCATCGATAGCCGCATTAGCTCAGTGGTAGAGCATTAGACTTTTAATCTAAGGGTCAGGGGTTCGACCCCCCTATGCGGCTGACAACTTTTTTTAATTTCGAGATTGATTTCGAGTTTTGTAAAAAAAACTGTGTATTTTTGAAAACGAACATTCTTGACATTTCTTGCCGGGATGATTGTCCGGATCGGGTGAAATATCAAGGAAACCAGGCCGACACTGGCACCTAAACAAGTTTTTTTCTTCAGTGTTGATCTCGCTTTCGATTCTCGAGCGGCAACAATTTCTCAAATGTGAAAACCGCACTTGTACGAGTCGAAAACATTGAGGCAAACGGCATTCTGATCGCAATCGTTTTGCCGAGAACAAGCCGAATACACTGAACAATCGCTTGTATTCAAAAGCTTTAAATCATAAATTTTACATCTGCAAGATCCATCCGAGTACCGGAAAGCATTGTCCATACACTCGCACGTGAATTTTCCTTTTCTTACTCGATCCGTACACACCTCATTCGACGCACAACTGCATTTGATTACATGAGAATCTCTTTTCGAATTTTTTTTGATTACCTATTTGCTTTTGGATCACAGCCATCCATTTGGAAGGATTTGTCAGCTTGTGTCATCTTTTTCACCTGAAAAAAAAAAGTGCTCGAGTTCAATTTCATACTAGAGTTCAATTTTACTTGAATTCGCTCCACCGGTTTCATACAAACACGTCCAGGGTAGACTTTTGGTGTTGGTGAAGCATCGACGTATCCTGAAATTCATTTTTAGGCTATATGTGAAGCCCCTTTGAGCTCATTAGGCTTCATAAGAAGCTTTCCAAGATCCAATTCAGTCATTCAACTTGAGTCATTTATATCTAATTATAAATTTATTTTTGTTTTGTCATAAAGATATTTCATAAAGATTTAGTTTTGTGTAAATCGGCTAGAAATTTCTTTTCTAATCTTGATAGTTGATAGTTGAAATGCTCTTCCACGCCTCACATTAGATATATTTCGACTTTAAACACTTTTAAGAGTTTTACATGCGCATTAAAGCATTAAACTTGTAAACTAAATTGTCTTAAATGTCTTTATTGTCTTTATTTTATGTCTTGAATAAAGTTTTTTATAAATAAAGTATATAAATTTCTATGTTTAATAATATTAATTCACTCACCAGTTCGACATGTGCAAATGAAACCCTCTTTTGCGTCTTCACAAACAGCATTTTTCGAGCAATCATTCAAAACCGGGTCCAAACATTCATTTATAGCTTCGATACATTTTCGTCCGGGTAAACTAAACTCGTAAAAGTTTCCAGTGAACGGCTATAAAGCTACCGATTGTAGATAGCTGAAACATCGGCAAATCCAGGCCTACATTGACAAGAGTAGCCATCTTCTCGATCGACACAAATCGCATTTTCCGAACAATCGACTTGGTAGCGTTGCTGAAACATTGAACATTGAACATTGAACATTGTAACTTTGTAACTTTGTAACTTTGTAACTTTGTAACTTTGTATGCTTTGTTAAGGTAAACCTTATTGGCACACTCGTTGACTCGTGCTCGGCACACTCGTCCGGTCACTCCAGATGGCGAAACATCAGCGTATCCCGATCGACATTGACAAGTATATCCCTCAGCCTGTATTCTTTTCTTAATCATTTTCTTATTAAACCCCAAAAGTTTTCCCAATCAGTTTCACCGCTTTCCTCAGCTCATCATGTTATGACCGTTTTTTCCTCGCCTCCACCCGAAATGAGTCCGCTTTTTGCGGACTGAAGCCGTTTTTTTCCCCAAATCTTTCCCCTCGTCTTTTAGCGGACAAATGGCAAAACTTTCACCGCAACTACCGCATTTTCTTTTCTTTTTCTTTCTTTCTTTTTCCACCATCCCATTCGATTCAAACCACTATTCAAGGGTGAGGCAAAAGAGGATTTCTTTAAAGGGATTTCTTTAAATTCTTTTGGCTTTTCAAAGGGAATCAGTGGATTTTCGACATTTCTAATCGATCAAAATATACTGAAAGTGGTAAATGATTGATTAATAGCTTAGATTTAACTATTAGCTAGCTGCTAGCTATTAGCCTTAAACCATCAAGATCAGAACACAAAGTTTTTCAAGTAAACTACTTGATCGATGCATTCCGCGTTTTCTCCGCAATCGTTGAGACGCTTGTCAGCACATTCATTGATAACCAAGCAACGACCATCAGGCAAACGACTGAAATTTGGTGACTAAATTTTAGCTTTTTTTCTTTCTTTTATTACCTATATCCGGAAGCACAGCGACATTTGTAAGTACCATTCGTGAAGAGACAAACTTCTTGTTTATGCTGATCGCAGGACATTGGATCAGCCACTTCGCACTCTGGTGGTTCTGGGGTGTAAGCTAAAGCTTGTATTTTTACGGATTTTTGTGATAGCTTTAAACCTCTAACACAAACGCGGCCTGGCCTAGTGAGAATACTGGGTGACTCGTCTCGAAAGCCTTCATTGCAGCTAAAGATTTAAAAAATATTTCCTCAATCTTTTCTGATTACCGGCAAGTGAAACTTTCTGCTGTATCAATGCAAGCTGCATGCGATGAACAATCGTGTTGTCGTGTTGAACACTCGTTAACCACCGCTCGACAAACGCGACCTTGAGGACGTCCATGCTAAACAAAAGTTTCCCAAGAGGTTCAAAATCAGTCTAGGCCTAGGCCCTCATAGCAGCATTAGCTCATTGGTAGAGCATTAAACTTTTAATCTAAGGGTTAGGTCCCCCTATGGGCTAAGTTCGAGCCCCCTATCCAGCTGAAGTTTTTTTATTTTCTTGAAAAGATGTTTAGTTTTTTAACTAGTAAGATAGATAGATAGATAGAGTTTTTTTTAAATTATATTAACCTGTCTGCTGATATCGACATATCCACTGACACACTGACAAATTGGACCCGATGGAGACTCTCTGCACTCAGCTTCGGGCGCACAATCCGCATGTGAGCACTGTGATCGTTGAGCTAAAGTTTAAAAGTCAGCAAATACTCAGAGATTATGGTTAATTGGGATTGAATTAGAAAAACGATTGCATTGAAAAGCAGCATTGTATGTAAAACTCTCAAACCTGGCCGGCAAAGTCTTCCGGGACTTCTTAGTGGATCGGGGCTTGAATCTTGGAATCCGGAGCGACACCTAAAATACTTTTTAGCAAAATTCAACAAACAAATATGGAAAGACATTATTCGACGAATTTACCTGCAAGTGTATCCCTCATTTGTATCAATGCAGTCAGCATGAGTGTCACAGTTATGTGTCCCAAGCGAGCATTCATCAACCGCTAAAAACTCTCGTTTTTTTTCCAACCAATACAATGCCCATCCAGTCCCAGTATTATAAAACTTTTATTCACACCATTTTGTTATTTCTTTTCCTTTCTTTTAGTTCTTTTCACACATTCGTAAGTGATTTCTTGTCACCACCATAGTTATACGATTTGTTAATGAGAATCGTTGATTGTTGATGTGTAATCTCTTCTCATGACCACACAAAAGGATAGGGATGTTGCCGTTGTGCAAGGGCTTTTTTTTTGGAATCTTTTGGCTATAGCTTTGAGAACTGGTCTTCACACAAAGAAAGCCTGACTCCCTTGTTACCCTTTCCCCCTTTCTCTCTCTTTTCTTCATCCTTTATTTTCGTTTTGGTGATTCGAGAATAGTATCATAAAAGAAAAAGCTTTATCTTTTAAGAAATTATATGTAAAGTTTCTATTAAATAAAACTACACTACTGAACAATGAAATATCATATTTGAAAAAAGATCGTCACTTTCGCGCGTCTGCAACTCCCTTGTCTTTACCGTATTTCTAAATATGAATATTACCATTGTGTAGCCCTTGAAAAGAGCTTTCAGAAAATGTATAACACTAATAGTTTAAACTCAAAGATAAGGGAGTTACAGACGCGCGAAAGTGACGATCGTTTCTCAAGTATGATATTTCATTGTCCAGTACCGTATGTATTCATCTCAATCTCAACTAGAGCTGTGCCGAACCTGAGACTGTGGATCGTTGTGAGAACGATGGTGGAAAACGGGTGCGACCCTGGGGTACGATAAAAGTCTCCTCTCGATGGAAAGCTCGTCTCGAACTTTCCCCTTCATCCGTACTCTCTTCTAGACATGAGAAAATTTCAAGCTGAACCTAATTCCACCTTTTTTTTGTTGACCTTTTCTGAAATTTTGTCTACATATCAACAAAATTTCAGAAAACAAACTCGGTTAAAAAACGGCTGAGAAAACAAAAGTGGAATTAGGTTTTGATTGAAATTTTCCTATATCTATTCTCTTCTAAACCCTTAGATACGGTAAGGGCGTTTCCCTCGTGTGAGACACGGGCAAAGCGAGAAGTAGAAGAAAAAAAAAGCTTCAAGTTTAGTATTATGTTTGGAGACCGGTTAGACGCGTTCCAGCAGCGGGTCGGTTAGTCTGGTGTCACGATTGACAATGCGATTTTCGAGGAGAAGGCGTTTTTGGCTTTGGATCAACGATTTTCTTCAAACAGAGCACACTCATCCTATTCCCTTATTGAGTCGTCACCCTTTTTTTTCGCTAGCTGTTCTCAAAAAAATAGATGAACTCTCGAATTGTGAAAGTTTTTGTTAGTTGGATTATGGTGTTTGATGTATTGAGTTAATCTTTTTCACCAATTCTTGAGTTGATCTATTGCTAGGTTACTTCTGTTTTTTTGGCTAATTAGAACTGTATTTCTTGGGAAGAGGCTCTTAAATAGTAATCGGTTCCACGATGGTGTTTCTTTTTTACTTATAGAGAAAAAGTGATTGAGGTGACGAACTCGATATGTTAGAAAAGAAAGAAAATGATCGGAAGCAAACCTGAATTAGTTAAAACGCCAAAAGAGCGACGAGAGTCGTCTGAAAAGCATAAAAAATAGTGATTGCTAAGCAAAAATAGGAAAGAAAGGGATTGAAAAGATTCGAAGGATTCGAAGGATTCGAAGGATTGGAAGGATTCGAAAGATTGGAAAGATTGGAAAGATTGGAAGGATTGGAAGGATTCGAAGGATTCGAAAGATTCGAAAGATTCGAAAGATTCGAAAGATTTAAAAGATTCGAAAGATTAGAAAGCTTAGAAAGCTTAGAAAAAAGTTGAGTTAGCAGGATGGTAAAAGACAAAAAAGTGGTTTAGTTTTCAATCTTTTAAAGAACCGCAGAAGCCAATCAAAAAAAACCCGGAATTATACCTCGATAGGATGAGATTCGACGTGAATCACGATGTTCGGAGACTCGTGTCTCTCGTTGATAAGTTTCTACAAATTTTTTGAGAATTTTAAAACAATTTCAACTCTGTTAATCATTTTTGACTCATTTTTTTAAACAATCTTTTCCCTTTCTTCACTTCATTCTTTAATTAAAACTCGATTAAATTGGATCAAAAAGATTCAAATGACAACATTTTTCCATTCTTTACTACAGGTTTTACCACACAAAAAAAGATCCCCGAAACTCGGTCACCGGAGAAAGGCCTATGTAAACTGTACGATCGAAAAAGAAGACGGGGATCGAGTAATGGTGTTCATGAATGAGATTCTCCCTGCATGAGATCTCTCTCATCTTGAGTTCACCACAAGGTCATCCCTTAGATGGGATGCATAAATTCCCGGGCTGTGTCTTTCCGCTAAGTGGTTCAAGGAAGACACGAATAACATAATAAAGACTACTCAAAGCCACAATGCATCTTTCTCCATTAACTTAGGAGATCCGATTTCATTTCGTATTTCAATTTTTATTGGCTATGAACCGCATAAAGCCAAATGAATCCAAATAAATAAATAAAAATGATTAAAATTTTATGATTAAAATGTCTCTAGCATTACGGTTATTGGAGTTTGCTAAACGACATTTGATAATCAAACATTTATTTAGCTTTGCGCTAATGTCGGTTAGACTACTCAAAGCCACAATGCATCTTTCTCCATTAACTTAGAACCTATCCAATTCCTTATTTCAATTTTTATTGGCTATGAACCATATAAAGCCAAATAAATCCAAATAAATGAATAAAAATGATTAAAATGTCTCTATCATTACGGTTATTGAAGTTTGATAAACGACATTTGATAATCAAACATTTATTTAGCTTTGCACTAATGTCGGTTATCAAATGTCTGGTAATCTATCATTACATCACTTTATTCAAGTTTCTTTCAAACTATCATTGAGTATATTCTGTCTGGATATAAAAAGCAAAAACAAGAACTAATTTGCCTTTCAATAGAGATCCCAATTGAATAAATGGAAAGCAAACCACAAGAGATCGTACAACGATCGAAAATAAATGAGGGAAATCAAGAAAATAGGCACCTGGTCTATTCCCATTCATTTTGTCGATTTTATTGTGTTGTCATCCTCCATTTTTTTTCAAGGCCTTAGCTTTCAAATTGCCGAGGTCACCCAGATAGTTGCAATTTTTTTTGCCAGTACTTAGGCTTACTGTACTTTGAAACTAATTGTTTTTATTGACCTTAAATTTAAAAACAACTTAAAAGCAATTATAGCGAACTGAATTTCTCAATTTCTCTCAATTTCTGAGTTTACTCAAAAATGTCTAATGAATTTTGCCATAGAGGATTTTGAGCGATGAGGATCTCCGAAAAGAGGATATGCATAAAATGAGAAGGATCAGTCTCGTTTTCATTTCTTTTTCTTCTCTTTTTCAGTGTTCAAGAAAGAAAAGAAGAAGAAGAAGAAAAGAAGAAGAAGAAGAAGAAGAAAAAGAAAAAGAAGAATGCTCGATCTCGAAAGAAAAAGAAGTGCGAGAGCCACGCGCGCGCGTGCATTGTGCCTTGAAATCGTGAATTTTCATCTACGCGATCGATTTGCTCAATCCCGAATTAGAGCCCCAAAAGCGGAAGTGCTTTTGGCTTGGCTTTCCTCATTTTCTCAAATTTTCATAAAATTCGTGATCCTGATGAGGCTATCAATCACGTTTTTTTTGCTTTTCATTTGTCAATAGACTTTGAAGACTTTGAAAACGAAAAGAGAGCTTTATGAAGTGCGAATGATCATCAACCGGGTTGAGAAAAGAACGGGTCATCAGTACAAAAGATTTCGGTTTTTCCTTTCACCCTTTCCTTGAGCCGCGCCTTGACGGTCACCAAATTAGGCCAAAAGGGGAATGGGATCGAGGCGTCCAGTCATCTCGGTCGTTAACACAAAAAAAAGCCTGCTTTTATGGTGAATGCTTATGAGAATGTCATTGATTTGAAGGATTTAAGAATTAGCTTACACTTTTGTAGATTTTGAATGACAAAAAAGGTTAGTGAAAGGGGTTTTTCGCTTTCGTTTCGTCTTATGAAAGGCGGGGGTACTTGACTGATTTTTTTTAAAAGGTTGACCCATAAAAAGTTCGTGGGCAAAAGAGATTTGCTTTGAAAAGGTTTACTTCTTTGACTGTCAGATATCTGACTTAATATCTGACTTATTATAAAATAGATTTAGAAGGTAATCACACTAGAAATTACCAGCAAACTGATCGACTTTTTCAGTAATATTAAGAGGGAAATGCCAATGGTGATCGGCATGTTCATCGACGACTTTCAAGTGTGGTCAAGTGTGAAATTCTATGGTTTTCCTGTGACTTTCTGTAGTCGAAAAGAATACCTTATTCGACTAGTCACCGCCTTTCTTCCCCCCTCTTCCCCTTACTCATCTCACATACTTTTAAGATCTCCGACTCAACTTGTGAAAGTGGCACCCCTTTCTCCCCCCTTTCTCCAACTACTTTCCCCTCAGCTCAGCTCAAAAATACACAAGTGAAAAGTGTCACATTCATTTCAGAATTGAGAAAAAGAGTTGAAAAGATTTAACGACTTACCTCGAATACATTTTCGGCCAGGATACCGTTTATCGGGACTCGCATCAAAGTAACCTCTAGGGCAATGGCATTGAAAATATCCTGGTTGTTCGGAGACACATTCGGCCACAGAATCGCAATCATGTAAAGAATAGTCTTGGCACGGATTTGAGCCTAAAATAAATTGAACAATTGCTTTTTAAAAGAGTTTAATTTTTGTCTTAGAAAAAGCTCTCCTTCAACCTCGTCGCTCTTTCCATTGCTAGAGAACTTTATAGGCATTCTTTTAAACCTAATAGAAGATCTTTGTCTAATAAATCTTTGTCTAATAGATATTTTTTTTTATTCATTGAAGAGTTTAGTATTTTGTGAAAAAAGATAGAACCTAGAGCAGCTGAAACGGCGATGGCCAGCACCCAAAGGGCGTAATGGGGCATATTGTGATTGGCCAGGCCCCTAGCCTGAAACGATGCCAAAGGGACACCGAATCGGGAGGGATAGATTAAAGAAAGTTGAATAGCTGAAGACAAGCTAGAGGAGAGGCTACAGGAATGGCTGTGGTCAGGACAAGGAAAGGATTGGAGAAGGAGGAGAAGGCTCTCTCAACAAGGGAAAGATCTGCCAGCCCTTCTCCCGCCTCTTCAGCTCCGCCCCTCTCCGCGGTAGGGGACACGCTTCATCTTTCTTTTTATCAAAAGTTTTTTTCGAGTCAAATACCTTCTGAACGATATGACTAAACATTCTTATCCCATTCCCATTACCAGTTTTTGTGGATTTAATCAGAAACGGTTGTGTCTCGAAAAAGGAAAGAGTTAAGGAAAGGGATTGATGGAGGTGATTCGAATTTGCATTCGAATTCGAATTTCTTTTTTTTTCCTTTCTTTCTTTGGTACAAGACATTCACATTCAGATTTCAATCATCTCAACGGAGAATGGGTTTCCATTTTTTGGTGATCTTATTGAGGAGAATCACTCGATCCAATAGCATTAAATGAGGTCAATTTTAGAGAGAATTTTAGAGAAATACACTCTAGAATCTTTCACCTTTTTTCGATTAATTAAAGCAATTTGTTTTCCTGGAAATATCTTACTTTTTGTTTCAATAGTTTTTTCGCATTTTCGACCAGGATTTTTCTTATCCAAATCCAAATATCCAGATGCACACGAGCATTTTGTTGATTTCCCTAGCACGATACAAATCGAACCTTCACGCAACTCGTCTCCACTCACTAAATTCTCAATTATATATCTCTTAAATCAAGATTTTTCTTCTAAAATCTTTATTTTCAAGAGAATTTTCTTTTTTTCATCACTAAAGGGCGAAAAAACTGAAAACACTTTTGAGGATTTTAGGCCGAGAAAAACTAGAGATTGCACTTTCACCGATCGCATTTCTTTGTCTCAACCATTTTTGGAGTTTCGTAATGAACAGTGCATGCGAAAGGAGATGAAAAGAGAAAAGAAAAGACAAGAAAAGACAAGAAAAGACCGATTTCCCTTGTCAGTTGCTCGTTTTTTTTTCCTTTAACTGGGTCAGTCTCCATCAGGGGAATCCGAAAGAAAAAGATGCGCAGGAGAGAAAGAACTGATTGCCGATCCCTTTTTTTTCTTTTCTTATCTTAACTGATCGCTTGAATCTTCAAACCTATAACTCTTTGTCTTCAAAGGAATCGAGAATAACAATGATTAAAAGAAGATTTTATGGTGAGCGTTGACATTGTTCAAGTCTAGATCTCTTCGATTGATGTTCTTTAAACATTGTTCAAGTCCAGATCTCTTCGATTGATGTTCTTTGAATCTCATTCTGATAAACTACTTCTTATCTACTTCAAAAAAACAAAAGAAGTGTTTATTTTAAAAGATGAAACCTAGAAATAAGCTGCTTTCCTTTAGACGACAGTGTAAAAGATTTATGTGAAGTTCGAAACGCAGAGAAAATCCTGTTAATGGGTCGCTTTTTGGCGGAAATTGGAAAGCATAACTTTCTGTCATTTAATTAGAGAGCTAAGGGTGTTTACGGAGGAGAATGGCTTCATTGAATGCAAAAAGCGGCTCCGCACTGGCAGCTGGCTCTGGTAAAAACGCTTTAAGGGGAAGATGGCAAGGAAACGAGGGAGTTGCCCCCGACAGCGCGAACTTTAAAAAAAAGTCTTTCCTTGTTTTCTTTGCTCATTTCACTGCTTAGCTTAAAAGATCTTAATGTTTAAACAAACGATCGAGCTTTTGAATGTTAGATATGGTCTTGAAATTGCTGAAATTGCTGAAACTCTTTGAGAAACTCTGTAAGAGAAAGACAAAGAAAGACAAGAAAGAAAGATTCTGAAAGAAAGATTAACTTTCAGACTTCAAAATAAGGGCTCTTCACGCTGGTATGAGTGGAGATAATGCTAGTGGGAACTCATTGAATCTTGTGATCATCCGTCCTGAGAAAACCATCTTTGAGGGACCAATCGTGCCGGATTTTTGCAAGAAACCGGAGCCCATCGTTTTTAATCTATTTATAAGTCTTTTTTATCTTTTCCTTTCTTCTCGTACTTTCTCTGACAGAGTTTCTCAAAGAGTTTCAGCAATTTCAGCAATTTCAGCAATTTCAAGACCTTATCTAACATTCAAAAGCTCGATCGTTTGTTTAAACTTCCATATAACCTATTTCATTATCAAAAGTTGTGCAATGTTGCAAGCTTTATAGATAAACCATACATTAGCGAGTGATTCATCACCATGTAGCTCAGTCATTTTCACTCAAAGCTTTCACCACATAAACTGGACCACAATGGAGAGGGAAATTGTTGAAAAAAAACCTTTCTCTTCCTCTTTCTTTTTCACATTTCACAGAAAACCTAATGACCAAAAAAGAAAACGATGACTTTAGCCTAATCATTCTAAACCCTAAATGCTTTATCATCTTCATTCTTGACATTCTAAAACACAAACTCACATTGGGTACAAACTCGGCCAGGTTTTGATTGATCAACATCAACAAAACCATCCTAAAATCGTGAAATTATTGGATAAAACGAGATTTCGACAAACCTTGCATCGACAAGAGTAACCTTGGGGAAGATCAGAGCAAATGGCATTCCGATCGCAGTCGTGCGCTTTACTAGCACACTCATCTACCACTAAATTTATCAAGATTATGCGTAATTTATAGAAAATGCGTTTTCTTGAACTGCTTTAAAATGTTTCAAAATGCTTTAAAATGTTTCAAAATGCTTTAAAATGCTTTAAAATGCTTTAAAATGCTTTAAAATGTTTCAAATAATTACATCGTTGACATTTCTTTCCGGGTTTTCGAGCACCTTCGACCGAGACATCGATGTATCCAAAGTTACACCTGAAAAACTCATTGACATTGAATATTTTGATTGAAAAACTCATCATAATCATTTTTATTATTTAGATTTTTTAGAATATCTTTTCTTTCTTTTCCGTACTTCCTTTTAAAACCAATAATTGCATCAATTGAACTACGGTTACGATTTGTTTCATTAGAAAGTTTGTTTCAAACAACTTTGTTTCAAACAACTTTGTTTCAAACAACTCTGCTTCAAACAACTTTCCTTCAAACAACTTTGTTTCAAGCAACTTTGTCTCAAACAACTTTGCTTCAAACAACTTTGTTTCAAACAACTCTGCTTCAAACAACTACAGTTTCTTTCATTAGTTTCTTTCATTAGAAAGGTCAACTATTTTTTTTGCAAAATAACATTAAAACGGGTTTAAAATGTCTTATGTCTGGCTTTTTTTAGAGTATGAAGACGGGTAATCAAAAAGCGCGACGGTTTGATGATGCTTAGACGCTTTAGCTAATGAAACCTAACTTCGTCTCAATAGATAGAGTACAAAAAGTTTGATATATAGCCTAAATTTTCAGAGAAATTCATTTGCCCAATTTCTTTGTTTTAAAGTTTTATAGGGTTTTTTTTGCGAAAAACACGTGTTTCCCTTTCGAATTTGCTTGAAAATTGAGGCAAATTGAAGCCAAATTGACTTAAAAAGATCGAAATTGAACAAGAAAAAACTTTTTATTTAGAGAAAACCATAGATTAATTAGTGAATTAGTTACCTTTTTAACAGAAGTATGAAAAGGAATGAAAACAGTCTAATAGATTCAAATAAATAAGCGCTTACCTGCAAGTGAAACCATTTGGTTTATCAATGCACCTTGCATTCGGATCACAGTCATTCAGAGTCGAATTTGAGCACTCATTCACCACTAAACATTTCGATGTAAATGTTATTGTATACTATAATTCATTAAAACTATTGAATTGGTGAATTGAAAACTGCTGGCTATTGTCATATGTGACAGTTTAAGCACTTTCTTCAAAAGAAACCCATTCTGGTGTCAATGGAAAAGTTGTAAATAATCAAAAGCTTATATCCAAATTTTCAGAACGATTCAAAAACCGGTTTTCAAGAAATGCCAAATTTACGAATTTTTACAAAACTTGCATTTTAAGCGAAACTACTAAGTGTATCTTTTTGGAAATTTGGCTATAAGCCTCATTTTTGATTCTCTACAACTTTTCTATTGACACCAAAATGGGTTTCTTTTGAAGAAAGTACTCAAACTGGGGCATCTCGACATCTCCAGTCCTCGATTTTTGAGTCTCACACTTGTCTCACACACAAACCAAAATCAAACCAAAATCCTACTACGAAAGAGGAATCCGCAAATTGCCTGTAAAATGGGCAGAAGTCGTCAATAATAATGGAAATTATTTGGAATGAATTTATGGTTTTATGTTCAATAAATTTTAGTTCAAAGTCGGGCAGTTTTCAATTCACCAACCCAATACTTATCACACTTAAAAGAAATAAGAATTCTGCCTATAACCCACGTCGTTTACAATGACGTCCAGGGCGCAGAGTTGGTCGATCGGAGACATCCAAATAACCCTCTCTGCACAAGCATTCATATCTGAAAACGACGTTTGTCTATGTAAAAGTTGATATTTCTTTTAAGGCTCAAATGCAAATTCCAATCTTTAGTCTCATACCCGTGTGTATTGTCCATACAAAGTGCATTCGGATCACAGTCGACGTTCCCTTTAGCACATTCATCAATCAACACTAAACAGAAACCAAATAATCCAGCGAGCGGGATTGAACCCTTGCCCCCTCGGCTAAGATACAAGGCTCTTAGCCAGTCGGCCATGATGACCAGAGTTGTAAACTTGTTTCTGATCCTCAACGCATCAACTCACCAACGCACTCCTCGCCAACTTGCGTTGCTCCATTTGCACAACCACAGTAATAGAAACCTTGAAGATCCAGGATACAAATTGTATTGTTGCCTGTATTCAAAAAAATTTGTCAATTGCCAGAATCAAACTACCAGGGCATTGATCTGGTGGACCAGTTGGTTGACAACTGCCCTCTTTCTTCAATATCCGATAGAGTGCATCATCGGGTAGCACTGAGTCGATTTCCTCATCTTCTAATCCATTTTCCACGGTTCTTTTCTTAAGTTACGATTGGAATTTGAAGAATGAATTCATCTATTGTTTAAATATTTTCATCTATTCTTTAAATATCTCAAAAAAAGTTTACCATAACTTCATTTTCTCCTTTCGTCGTTCCAATCACCATTCTCGCATCTTTACCCTTTTTCGGCAGCTCTTTTTCTTTCGTTTTCGCACTGTTGTCGATTAATGAAGCTGCCTGATAAGCTAAGATTTTTCATTTTAAAGAGAAATTTAAACTTGATGAATAGGATCCATAAAATGATTGGTTTTTGACGGTGTCACATCGATAGAAAAAGATGAACGCTAAATTGAACAATTTTATATTTGATTTTCTTGTCTATTTTGAGCTTTAATTAAGAGTTAAAAGCATTTTTCTATTTCTCTTTTCTTTATTAGTACACTATTTCTATCATTGTTTACTTTTAAACTCCCAATCTGAAGCCGAAGATCATTCTGGTAATCGGTGCAATTCGCGACTGGGTTAACCAAATAAGCTGGCAGAAGTGAAGGAGGGATACACCTTGAAAATTGTTTGTTTATAAAGTTTGATGACTTTTAAATGTTTAAAATTATCCCAACTCGTTTATTCTATTTTTGATTACCTTGTGGCTCCAAGAGGTCTCACCAATCCAAGCTTGCAAACACATCGCCACGCACCACCGATCAACTAAAAAAACCATGTAATGAGACAAATTTTTGTAACATTTTACTGTAATCTGAAAAGAAAACGTTGTTAAAACTCACAATGCAAACTTGGCCCAATTCTTCCGGACATGGATTCGGCTTTGCACAAAGATCGATTCCTTTTGAGAATGGAGCCACGGATGATGGTCGTCCCGGCACACCGTCAGAACAAGTGATAGCACGAGTGCTGAATATATTTGTTAATCTAATCTATTTAATAAACCTTTGATGACCTTTCTAATGAAACAAAAACGTAGTTTTATTGACGCATTTGTTGGTTTTAAACAAAAGTACGAAAAGAAATGAAAAGGCTTTCTGAACAGCTATTGGGTTGGTGAATTGAAAACTGCGGGCTATTGTCATATGTGACAGTTTGAGCACTTTCTTCAAAAGAAACCCATTCTGGTGTCAATGGAAAAGTTGTAGAGAATCAAAAATCAAGCTTATATCCAAATTTTCAGAACGATTCAAAAACTGGTTTTGAAGAAATGCCAAATTTACGAATTTTCACAAAACTTGCATTTTAAGCGAAACTACTAAGTGTATCTTTTTGGAAGTTTGGCTATAAGCCTAATGTTTGATTCTCTACAACTTTTCTATTGACACCAAAATGGGTTTCTTTTGAAGAAAGTGCTCAAACTGGGACATCTCCAGTCCTCGATTTTTGAGTCTCACACTTGTCTCACACACAAACCAAAATCAAACCAAAATCCTACTACGAAAGAGGAATCCGCAAATTGCCTGTAAAATGGGCAGATATCGTCAATAATAATGGAAATTATTTGGAATCAATTTATGGTTTTATGTTCAATAAATTTTAGTTCAAAGTCCCGCAGTTTTCAATTCATCAACCCAATACAAAGAAGATATTGAGCTGTAAATTTGTACCCGGCGGTTTACGGATGGTACAAGATACACTTTCATTCAGAAATTCAATTTAAATGTGCACCCATTGCTTTCATCGGATCCATCACTGCAATCTTTTCGACCATCATGCACTCTCTTTGCCTCGATGCACCGCGGTAACCCACAAGCGCACTCAAATTGATGGGCTGTGCACTCTAAATATTTGTGAAAAGTGATTGAATTCAAGAGTCTATTTAATATTCCACAAACCTTCATCACTTCCATCCGGGCAATCTTTATGTCCGTTTTGAAAGAGCTCTCCCGGAATGCAGCCACCGTTACGACAAGAAAACTCATTTGGGTGACAAGCTGAAATATTGGCAACTAAATATTGGATTGGCGGGAGAATGAAATGGCGCCGAAAATCAAAGAAATTTTTTAAAACTTCTAACAGAATTTGTTAAATGATACGCGTTTGATATCAGTAAAATGGCTAACGAATTCTCTACAAAATGACATTTAAAAGAGAACTCAAACAGCGCCTCAGCAAAAAGACCGTTTTTTTTTTCACAAGATCTATAAACTGTCATCTAGAGAAAACGGTTAGAGGGATGTTCCTGAAAATTTGGCAACTTATGTAATTGAGTATGCTCTATCTTTTTGATATAGACACAAAAGGAGGTTTATGTGGAAGAAACCATTCAAATGATGAGTCGGACTCTGACATTTTGACTAGCTGTGTTTGCGAGTCCATAAACTCCAAAAAAGAAAAGCTTTGTGGAATCTCGCATAAGTCATTTTATAGAGAAAAAGTGGACCCTTTTGATCAAACAAAACGTTTAGAAGGCTTTTTGGCGTACAAAAAGTGTTTTGAAAGTTCGGCACAATTTCATTCTCCCGAACTCAATACTTTGTATAACTTAGCAGGTGAATGCTAACAAGGGAACGTTCCAAAAACGGTATGAGACTTTTAAACAGTGATGAGATGCAAACGCCGAACGTAACGAATCCGATGCTGTGTTGAGTTTTTGCCCACCGGGCCCTGGCTTTCGAGAAAAGCGCATGCAACGTTTTTTTCGTCATGCCATTTTCGGCAAACACTTTAGGAACTCAAAGAAATGTTTTGCGGAAGCTTTACAAAGAAAGCGAAAGGTAGAGCGGCGAGAGGAAACGAACCCGGGAGCATTAGGTTGAGCATTAGGTCCAACGCGCTATCCCCTAGGCCACCGCTACTTCTGTTTCTTTTGGCGTAGTACCCTGTTATAGGTGAGATGGGAGTTGCTGAAAATGGCCGAAATTTTGCATGCGCTTTTCTCGAAAGCCAGGGCCCGTGGGCAAAAACTAAACGCAGCATCGGATTCGTCATGTCCGATAGGCGTTTGCATCTCATTGCCGTTTAAAATACCCTCTTTGGAACGTTCGCCTTGGAACGTAAGCTCTTAAAATAATCTCATGCAGGAATTTTTTTGAAAAAATCTATAGAAACCCACGCTCATCACTTCCATCCATGCAATCATGTTTCCCATCCTGATATTTTCCTGGATCGATGCACGCTGAGCGATCACTGCACACAAAATAATGTGGAGGGCATCCTGGAAATATTGGTCAATTCTAGGATTGATCTTTATATTCACCTTCATCAGCTCCAGACTGACAATGAATTTTCCCATCTTTCACTTTGCTTGCCGCTACGCATCTTGGGTTCCCGAATTTGCAATCGAATTGCCAAGGAAGACAAACTGAAACTTTTCATTACTTTCTCATCTTTCTCATCTTTCTTACAATTCTACTTCTTTCAAAGGATTTACGAGGTGAATACTTTAAATGCTCAAAAAGTGGGTCGAGTTTTGAGTAGAGCTTCAAGGTCAAGGGTGACAATGAGCCAATATGGGCCAAATTCAACGAGGAAAGCCCCTTTGTAGTGCGCCCATTTTGTTTTGATGAATTGAAAATTCGGTAGCAAACGATAAGCAAACGGTATTCGACCATTCGGCAGCAAACGATTTACTTGTATTTTTTTTGGAAAACTTTGACCATCCCGCTTTGAAAAAGGAGTTTACTAGCCTTTCCTCACATCAACTCACACAGCATGTGGTCTTAAAATGATGGTGATTCTGGCACGCGTCTCAATTTCAAGGTCCCCCATCCGCCTGAGGGATCTATCAAGTCTATGGAGTCTTTTCCCTTTTTAGCACTCCCGTTTTCTTTCCAACCATTCTTCCCACCACTTCCACGCTCCATAAAAGCAACAATGACAGCAACCTTGAACTTCTTTCATCGAGTCACTGTCCCAGCGACAAAACCCTTTCCCTTTATCCACCACTTTAGCAAATCTTAGCCAATTGATCAGCATTTCAAAAAGTTTAACATCTTCAACGTACTAGATTTGTTTGGCTGTTTGGCTGTGCCTTTTCGAAACTTGTCAAGAATTACTCAAAAAATTTTTTAGAATGACATCGTATTATTTACGGTGACTGACATTACACGACATTTCTCTACGTTTTTTTTCACTTTTCTCTCACAGTATTTCAAAAAAAAACAAAGTTTTTTTGAAAGACGTAAAAAAAGAGAAGAAATTTGATTGAGTAAATCGTTTTGAATGCCGAAAAAAGTCAAAAAAAAGTTAAAAGTAGTCAAAAAAAAGCACTTACAGTAGGAAAATTCCTGTCTTATTGAGCAGACTTTTTGACTGAATATTTTACTATTTTGACCTAAAAGAAATGGGTAATCGGTTGAAGGAAACAAGTGGGAGTATTTGTAAAAAGATTTTAGAATTCGATTTTTACTTTAAAAGCTTTGAACTGAACTTTAGAAAGCTTTGAACTCAAAGCTTTCTAAAGTTCAGCTCAAAGCTTTCTAAAGTGTCATTGTCATTGATCATTGGGTCATTGACATAAATACTCTCGAGCTTTCATGTTCAAAAAATCGTTTTAACCGATTACCGATTTCTTCTTTAAATATTCTCACAGTCGTCTCTGGTTTCACTCCGCATTGAACTCGGGGAAATTATGAATCGAAAAAAAAACAGAAGGTTGCGTCAAAGTAGTTCAAGTGGAATGAGAGTGGATGGGGAAAATGGAAGGGTGAATCTCAAATGAATGAAATAAATGAAATGAATGAAGAGAGCTCGATTCTTTTGCTTCTTGCTTTGAGCAGTTAAGTGGAAAGAAATAGATCAATAGGGGTTGAATTTGTTTAATGAAAGAAAGAACGATAAAGCGCACAAACCTTCATCACTCGCGTCAACACAATCCTCGATCCCATCTTGCCATTGTAAAAGCAAAATGCATTGATCACCAAGAGTGCACGCAAATTCTTCTTTCGAGCAATTCGTTGCGCCGTCTACAAGACGGGAGATTAAAAATAGCAGAATACTCAAGAATACTATCGACGCCACCATTCCAGCATCATCCACAACCTTTCTTTAAATGGTTGTTTCTAAAAATACTTGATTTCTTGCAGAGAATTGAGCTTTATGTTGAGTAGTAAATCTTTCGATACTTGTCGGTTATATTGTTATATACAATACATCCACATAGACTCAACTCGGTTAAGTAAGAAGCTGACAACTTGTGAGGGGTGATTATATTCAGTGAAGTAGAGTGCTCGTCTGAAGTGATCAGTCGATCAGTCGAACGAGAATCGATAACCGAGAAGACTCGGATGGGGATGCTTAACCGATAAGTACCGAAAGATTTAGTACTCAACATAAAGCTCAATTCTCTACCAATCTACCAACCTTTCATCCAAATTCATTTTCTAATTGAATTTTCTCAAGCTATTAATTGAAATACGGTTTTCATTAGATAATCTAATCATTTCACTTGAAAATATGTTTTGAAAGTTTTTAAAAAGCTTTGTTTTGAAGATTTTCTTATTAGCAAGAAGCCGAGTGTTCAAAAACGAAAAAAAAACGATCGTTTGGTATTTAGTAGTTTGAGATAATGAAAGAAATATCTAAATAAATAGATATTTATTTAGATATTTCATTTATAAATGAAGATTGAAAGATTTAGTACTCAATTTAATAAAATAAAATAAATAGGTAAGTTCAGTGTGATGCATAACGACACTAGAGGGCATTCATCAAAAAGAGAAAAGAGGAAAATTGAGAGAAAGGGATGACTCGGTGACTAAACTGGTCTCCGGATAGCCACAGCCATGTGAATCGCTTGGAAATAAAGGCTTATTGACAGTCAAAAGAATCAAAAGGCTTGACCTGATCAATTCGATTTCATAAAAAAAAAGAATACCAAAATATAACAAGAGGGAAATGTTTCAGATGCCAAAAAAAACTAGCATCTACAAAGAGCGGTCATCCAAAAGAGCTCTTCAAGTGCTACCTGGTGTCAAACATGCGGCCAAATTATACCTTTGTGTTGTCTTGTATCTCTTCAGGCAAGGCTAGCTGACTCTTTGGAGAGAGCTGAAGAAAGGAGTGAATGAGTGGCGAGAGAAGGGGTGAAAATGAGACGAGCCTATGCAATGAGCACAGGTTTCGTTTCAAGTGGCTGCCCTCCGGTCTGCCCTCAAACTCGGGTGAAGGTAAAAATCTTTTCGCCAAAGCTTTCCACCTTTAGCAATTTACCCGGTTTTACCGAGGTTTTGTTGAAGTTTGAAAATTATCATCCTCGATTTTGAAAAGAAAGCCAGTAAAGCCAAAAAGTCAGCCAGAAAGTCAGCCAGAAAGTCAGTCAGCCAGAAAATCAACAACAAAATAAAACAGTAATTAGTTCTAAAGTTAAATTGTAAGCCTAAGCTGCTAGTGGAAAAGGATTTAGAAAAAAAAAACATTCTCAAAAAACCGCTTGAACTAGGTGAGTGAATATTTTTGTGAAGGGTCTAGGATTGGACAGTCTTTTCCTAATTAGCCACTAGACTTCTTTTGCTCTTTTTTTCTCTCTTTAGTCTATTCTTCCGCTTACTAGCACTAAAAACTGACTACTTCGTCATCGTCTAAATAAAAAATCTCAAGAAACAATCCCGAAAATAAGCAATATTTGAAATGGATTGAAAAATTGGAAAAATTGAAAAAATTTTTTATCGTTACCCGGCCGCGATTAATACGCTCCCTTTAAAATAAAGATTTTGTAGAATTTATAGGAATGATTTTAAGGTCTAGAGATGGACAAAACGAAAGAATGAAAGGTAAGGAGTCAAGGTGTTCTCGACGACAATAGGGCTAGCGACAATTAATTAGATGCTCAAGAAAAAACGGCGTTTGAAACATTTGAAACGTTTGAAATAGCTGTACAGAAACAGATAATTCAAAAATAAGCCTTCAAAGAAAGAGTAATGCAACAACGGAAGATTCTCTTTTGTAATATGAGGGATCGGCTAGATTTCACCATTTCTCATGTGTTTACGTGAGATGGATGTCCATAGTGTGTTCTGTGTGCGCCTCCCCTTTTCCAAAGAAGGGACCGTGTCATAATGCAGGTGTGAAGGTTTGGAGAAAGAAAAGAGAAAGGGGGATTTTGCGGCCATTCATTGTGCACCATTCCCGTTTCGATGAGTTGTACCTCTAAGAAAGTCTCGTCGAGTATCGGTCCACCATTTTCACTGCTCTTACAATTGAATGCCTAGCCTCTCTCGAGAATTCTTCCAAGATCGTTGTAAATTCTCAAGTAGAAATGAAAGTGTTATTGCCGTTAGCCACTCAAGGTAGATGGAAAATGAAAAGATTAAATGGAGGGTGACTATAAAAAATTTTTTTGAAAGGCAACCATCTGTTTTTATATTTTAATATTGCGAATTTTCTTAGAATAAAAATAAAAAGGATAAAAATCACCCAGCTAAAGTGATTTGATGAGTGGCTGCAACTTTATCGCGAACTCATTCGATGTGGAATTATGAAGAAAAATGTCGATGAGGCCGAGTTAAATTGGAACAGGTTAATCATTTTGAACTTTTGAATGTTAACCTGCTTTTTATAGCGATTCTTGGCCGATGATCCGAGCGGCGATCGTTGCGGGTTGTTACCCCGGAATTGGATTTGTGAAACTTGGAAACAAGCTGAAGAAAATCCGAACAAGCACCGAGCCAAACGCGCAACTTCATGCTTCTTCGGTTTTACAAATTTTTGGAGACGTTGCAAGGCTTGGAGAAAGGAGAAAGCAAACTCGTCACTCATCAGGCATCAGGCACGAATGATTGCTATCATTTTCGATCCATTTGTTGTCCATTCAGTCTCTCTTTCTTATCCTGTCTTTTGACCGCTCGAAAGTTTTCCACAATCTGGGCATCTTTGTAATAGTTTCTCCAATTGAGCGAATTTCAACAATAACAAATGCTGGCTTTTCAATTAGCTCTTCTTTCGCTTCGATTTTGTTTAGAAACCCTAAAAATATAATTTATGATGAGGAAAAAAAACCAAAGTCTAGAAAAGTCTAGAGAAAACAAAAAGAAAACATAGTGCGTGACTTTCGCATTTGCCTTATAGATGAATTACGCAAGCCTTTAAACGTCTTCAAAAATTTTTAAACCCATCAAATTACTCTAGCCGGGTGATTTTTATTCTTTTTATAATAAAATTCGCAATATTAAAATATAAAAACAGATGGTTGCCTTAAAAAAAAATTTCTATCGTTACTCGGCCGCGATTAATACGTTCCCTTTAAAATAAAGATTTTGTAGAATTTATAGGAATGATTTTAAGGTCTAGAGATGGACAAAACGAAAGAATGAGAGGTAAGGAGTCAAGGTGTTCTCGACGACAATAGGGCTAGCGACAATTAATTAGATGCTCAAGAAAGAGAGGACACTATTCGGTCTCAATCATCAAGGAGACCCTTGTATCCATTCATTCTCGAGTACCATTCGACTCATATTTTAGACACAAGACTAGAGAAAGCAAAAAAACATCTTGAGACAAATCTTAAGACAAGTTGATAAAGTTAATCTTGCTATTTTATAAGTGAATGATCAGAAAGACATATTGAATAAAGTCTGTATGTTTAAAGGCACATAATTTGAATTTGAATGATTTGAAAGAAGAATTGAATTTGAATGATTTGAAAGAAGACTAAAATCTCAACCAGTTGGAAATAAAGAAGAGCGGGATGGAATGGTGCAAAGGGGTGGGGCTAAGAAAAGAAAAGGAGGCATTACCTGAAACCCTTTTCACAAATACCCATTTACTTGTGGCGTCTCGATTGCCCCATTCGAGTCATAACGGTTGCTCATCTCGGGCCAAAAAGTTAGGTCAAGGTAGACTCTTCTGACTTTATATCTCTTTGAAGTTCAATGTTCAATGGTTCTTCACAAACCAAATCGTTTGTTTGATTCAACCATTATCATCTGTATTTACCCTGACCTGGAATCAGAAATAACAATCGTAAAAAAAAACCCCCGCTTCTTTTCTAAGTACAACTTTCCAGTCACTTTTAGATTTAGTTTGCTTGATCTGTCACTGAAACATGGACTTTTTTTTGATGATTTATATTTAGTCAAAGTACTTGGATCCTTACTCAATACGTAGCAGTGTCGATCCATCATCCATGCCTTTGCCTGAATTGGAATCCCTTTCATTTTCACGAGAAGCACCTCCTTTGAGCGATCATCTCATCATGACATTTTTGACAGTCATTTAGAAGTTTTAGCCTCTAATGAGAATTGGAGTTAGTGAAAAAAGAAGAGTTTTTTTGAATGAGGCAAAGCTGATGAGCGGTGGCCGTCTCGCATCATTACCCACCACCCACCAGCAAGTCGAAAACGAACAAGCGAAATCTCTTAAAGAATAGAGCTGGTTTCATTTGTATTTGTGTTACAGTTACAGATATCTTCTTTAAGCAGTAGTAAAAATTATCTTTAATAATCATCACATCGTGAAGATAAAGTCTTTTTGTTATTGTCGTATAAAGTCAAATTGTTGATGATTAGATAAATATCCAAAAAAGACTTAAAGGCCTTGTTTTCCCGATGGGATACCAATTTGAAAGTGAAGGAAGCATTTCTTTCGAGTGATTAGCCAATCGAGACTTTAGCGAACCTCTTGGGTCCCCAATCAGGAGAGTTTTACTTTTTGCTACCGTAACCAACGTTCAGCAATGTGAGCAACGTCACTTTTATCGTGAAAGGTTGCCATTGCTTTGATGGGAAAGTTTAGCAATTAAAATATCAGTAATCTATGATAAATCAGCATATAGATAATCTATAATAAATCTTTACTCATTTTGGTGAAGCATCCACATGTTCCACAAGAGAATTCAATAATTCACGTTTTTATAGACCCAACCCTGATGATAATGGCGCTGAAAACACTCATTATGAAAAGATCTCTGAGAAATGACACCTCAGCTCTTCCTCTTCCCTTTATTAAACAAAGGGAGAGAATTCATCAAAACTTCAGGCCATCCAGATGTGAGCCAACAAAAAGCTCTTTTGAGTTCCTCAATGTCGTCGGCTAAACAAGGTTTTGAAAAAAGATAGAAAGAAAGTTAATGAATGGAAAAGGAGAAAGGAGGGATGGATGGGGGCGTGGCGGAGAAGGCCCCTCCCAGAAGGTCTAGCTGAAGGTCCAAGTCGACGAGTCGTCACTGATCGCGATGCGTGGCCTACCTTCCGGTGCTCTGGTACTTGCCCTTTTGGGTGCTCTCATCCCTCATGCCTTCTCTCAACAAGCCACCAAGACCTGCTCTGAGGTTTGAATTCAATGATTTTGAAAAGTTTTTTAATAGAATTGTTTTGTACATCATGTTTGAATAATGTCAGGGTTCAGGATTTACTTGTTTAAGCTTTTACTGAACTTTTAAATTTAAAAATTTCCATCTAAGGAGGTTTTTCGTCTCAACTTTAACACTCGTTTTGCTTTATGTTACTTTATAATTCGCAACTATATTTTCTTTATATCTTTAAGTTAAAGATACTAAAAAGAATCAGTTTCTTTGCCAAAAGCCAACAAAACGAATATTTTTCAAATGTTTTGATTGTGAGAGATTACTCTATACTTTATTGTGAACTTTACTAGTAAATGACAAGATCTGGAATAGTATCTCACGCAAATCACCTTAAAAATTTGATACTTCTAGTTAAAAGAACAAGAGATTTAGACTGAATACTTTATTGTGAACTTTACTAGTAAATGACAAGATCTGGAATAGTATCTCACGTAAATCACCTTAAAAATTTGATACTTCAAGCTAAAAGAACAAGGAACCCAGCTCAAAGGGGGAAAATCTGACTCGAGTTCCTTGCTCATGAAAAAGATGGCTTAGGTGTGAATAAGTGAGAGAAGGGAAAACCAATGTTTTCTCGTCTCTACTTTAGCCTGAGTTTGCCCGAATCTAATTCGGAAGGAAGGCGCAAATGGCCTTTTCTGACGAGCATCACCCCAAGAAGGGATTTGGGATCTCTCCCACAGGTCTACCACCTCACAGACACGTGCATTTCCATCATTTCCCTTCGCACTCTAAAAAATCTGGCACAAAATGTTCAATGTTTTCCCGTATTCGGTGTATAAGATTAGAAGGATTCCAGGATTTCAGGATTCCAGGATTCCAGGATTCTAGGATTCCAGGATTCTAGGATTCCAGGATTCTAGGATTCCAGGATTCCAGGATTCTAGGATTCCAGGATTCCAGGATCCAACAGTCAGACATAAAGCTCTACCGTAACGGCAATGGGACACATATCTGTTTAGCTCATTTGTAGGGCGTTCGCTCGGTAAGCTAGCGAGGGAGCTGAGGTCAGCGGGTTCGAATCCCGGCAACCATGTTTTTTATTCTCAGCCATAAAAGGACCGGCGTTTCCAACTCAACCCCAAGTTATCATTATGTAAACATTGACAGAATAGACTTCGATTTGAGCCCAATCTTTTATAAAGTTCTTCCAAAATTAGCGTATTATGTAGTATAGTGTTGAAGTCGTCTGAATCGAATTACACTTCGAAAATCAACTGTACGACATTTATGCAATTTATCTAATGACCCTAGCAATATAGTGGGTAAAGTTTTTAGGGGGAAAGGGGCACTTTGGGCGGAATTCCATTAGAGGACGGTGCATAATGACTTTCGAACCTTTCCTGACCTCAGTTGAAATATTTTCGTTGAAGCCCTCTCCTCTCCAACAATAGTCGATTTTGAAATGTCAAACCGAAACAGAAAACAAGAGCAGCAAAACTTGGGTTTCAAATAGCTAATGTTAAGTAGGAAAAATAGATGAATTCTCATTAAGGATTTTGTGGGGTTGGCAGTGTTTTTGAAAGGAAAGAGAACAAAAACCCCAGACTGAGGTGAAGAAATGCAAACAAGCTTAATTGGGAAGCTTTTCGAAAGCTTCATTCACATATCTTGATCTTAATTCAAACATTCTTTTATAGTAGGGTTTTCAGATCTGTTTTCAGATTTGTTTTCAGATCTGTTTTCAGTTTTCTTTAATAAAAACATTAGGCCATTGAATACGACTAAAAATCAGAGAAAAGATTCTCTAAAACGATTTCACTGAGTCGTATCAAAAGCTCACATACTCAAAAGAGGCAAAAATTTAAATCAAATTTTCAAAAACGACAGCCGCGTTCCTTCACGCCATTCCTTGACCATTTCTATCAAAAGAAATCAACAAAAGAACTCTCATCGGCGAAAATTTCTTTATGCATGCAAAAGACGCTTGAGTTACTCCTTTTGTCTGAAAAATTGCTTGCAACCCTTCCGCAGTTGCCAATCAAATTTGAACTTTTCGCTTAGAAATTCATCGAGAGCAATTACTCAGCGTTCAACTTCAGAGTCAGAGCTTGAAAGTGTTCGGGAAAAGACAAGAATGGACAAGAAGAGAGAATAGGCTTATAAGAATAAATTTTCAAGATTCTGGCAGCTGGCCCTTCTGGAGAAGAAGCTCAACAACAAGCGGTACTTTTATGCCAATTGAGCGAGTCAGCCACCCTTCTCGCTCAACTCGGAGGTCTCGTTTCTGAGGGACTCGAACGTTTGATGACCACTCATGGTTAGTGAGATTCATTATTATCTTTATATAAAAATATTGTTAATTTTAAGTGCTTTAGAGCTAAAAATTTAAATCTAGGAATCGCCGACGACAGCGAAGAGCAAAGCGGTGACATGGAGAAGCGCAAGCACGAATATCTGAGATTCGGCAAGAGAAAGCACGAATATCTCCGATTCGGAAAGAGGAAGCACGAATACTTGCGGTAAGGAAAACAGAATTAGTTTTTAATTTTTCAATTTTCAAATAACTTTTTCAGATTCGGAAAGAGGAAGCACGAGTATTTGCGCTTCGGTCGCAAGTAAAAACCCGTCATATCAAAATTGGTGAGTTTAGAGGAATTCGAAGAAAAGAAGCTTAAATAATATAAATATTTTGACATATTGTACTGTAGGGTTTGACATATTGTACTGTAGAGTGTAAAATAGAAAACAGATTCGATATTTTTAAAACAAAGTAATTTTTTCTTACTTTACTTACTCAAAACATTCAGTCAATGTTGTTTTCTATTTTGCACTATTACTCGAGAGGAAAACACTCTAGTTTACAGAGTAGTAAGGAAAAAGAGTTTTTTTAAAACTAAAGTCTTCTAAAACTTTGATCACTTCACCTAAAAGTCTCTCAACTCAAAGTTTTAACTTTAACTATCACCGAGTCTGAGATGGTTTAGAGTTTCAGTTAGCCTAAGACTTCAGTTAGCCTACGGACTAAGATAAATGCCTCTAAAGTTTTAGTTTTCAAAATATAAGTCAAATAAAAGGTTTAAAGAATATTTAAAGAGGATTTAAAGAGGATTTAAAGAGGATTTAAAGAAGATTTATATCATTGAAGTCCTTTCAGTTAGCGCCTCGCATTCGCTCACCGGTTTGCTGAAGAGCCGCTACAAATCATCATCACTTTTAGTTTCCCTTAGCTTCATTTTAAAATTATTTTGTTTAAATGAAAACTTTAAAAAAAATAACTTTTATTTTTTTTAATTACTCAAAAGCAACACGATTCGATTCGCTTCGTTTTCGGGACCATTCTTTTCGTTTTCTGGTGAGAAGATTTACAATGAGGAAACAACAACAACGAAATTGTTTGAAATGAATGATTTTCTCTCTTTTTTTTTGTTTTTGTAAAGCTTGATCGGAAATTTTGTTTATGTCGCTAGAGGGGGAATAAAGCCTTGCCTGTGTTCTTTTGTCAAAAATCTTCAAGTTTAAACAAAATATATTTTCAATGCAATGAAAAAGTAAAACATTTACAAAATAACTGAGAAATAAAGCCAAAATAAAGCCTTATAAAGTAATATTTGAAAGTAAAAGGAAAAATAAAGCAAAAAAAATGAAATGGAAATCATCAAGATCATCAAGATTTGTGGCTATTGGAAGATAAGGGTAATAGCCGATCACAAGTGAAAGTTAGAGTTTTCAAGATTTATTAAAAATGAGAAAATGGTTGGATTTGACTAGAAAAGGGAATCATTAAGAAAAAGATAAAAATTAGTATTCGTTGGGGCGACGATATTTGGCTTGTCGGGGTTGGAGAATCTTCTCATTGACAATATTGAGCAAGAAGATCGCCATGATTCCCAAGAAACAAGCGGTGATGATTCCAGCGATCGCCTGAAAGCTTTGTTTTTTAGCTCTAGTTCTTTTCAGTGAACTTTCCAGATCAGTTTTCAAGAGATCCAAATTTTTTTACCCCAATCCATCCAAAACGCTCTCCAGTCTCGATGATCGTGCGCTGTGAGATGTTTCCGCCGATTCCGATCACCAAAATCCATCCAATAAGTCCAGCGGTACCACAGATGAATTCCTGAAAAAAAGTACGTCAATTTCAGGTGACAATTTCTACTTTAACAATTCAATTTCGACAATATTTCGACATTTCTACTTTAACGAACTCTGCCACTTTTTTTTGTCCAAAAAAAAGTTCCTCAACAAACTGGCAGCTCTTCCATTAGCACTCACTCCCATTGCCCCATTTCTATTCGCTACACGGAAGTTGAAAATAAATAAAATCAAGGAGAAAGATTCGTTGAAAGTTGAAACTTCTACTTACAGCCATTCCAACATTGGTTAGGCGAACATCTTCAGCGATTTGCCCACGCGTCATCAACACGTAAAGAATCACTGACACCACACAATAAAGAAGGGTCAACGCCGAGAAAATGTAGATCATCACAATCTAAAGATTCATTTTTAGTTTTTATCTTTAATTTCCCTTTCTCTACCTCATAGTTGAGATTGATATAGGCAGTGACATAGACTGGATCAAGTAGAATCAACACAGCGATCGTTAGCAACTAAAAGTTTTGACTTTTTTTTACTGTTTAAGTCACGGATGATCTTTGTTTCCTTCTTTTCCCTCAAACTTTTCTTCTTTAAGCGCTAATTGACTTCGTCTTTTAGTCATAAACCGTTGATGAAATTTTTGAAAGACTTTAGGGAAACTTTGCAAAAAAAAGGGGGTTTTAAAAGCAAAAACTCCTAACTATCATTTTCTCAACTTTGTTCGAAGATTTTTCTGCAATTTTTGAGCCTAGATAAGTCTTGTATATAATGTTACGAGATGACTAATGAGTGGAAATGGTGGGCAGAAAGAGAGTGAAGAGGACGCCGCTTGCGTACCAAATGTTTGCTCAACTTCTCAATCGCTCCGCTCTCCCACCATTGCACAACCCAGTCAATACTATGCTCCTAGTTGTGCAAACACATCAAATGAACACCTCTATACTTGTAAAGTAATGTATTTTCATTGATTTAGAAAGAAATTTCTCGCGTGAGAACACCGAGCTCATTGTGATTCATTGGAACGCATTGAAATGCGGCGATTGTTTGGCACATGTGTACGATTGTGGAATTGATGGATCCATTATATTAAATTGATATAATGGATCCATCAATTCCACAATCGATATATTAAAATTAGTGCTTAAGATTTTATAAACATTGAAATTCTTTAAATCATTTAGTTATCGATTTTGACTTTGCTAAACCAACCACAATGAGAACTTTGATGAGAGCGCAGATGACAAGCTGCTGTGGCATCGCCATTTTGTCGTCGCTTTTGCTCAGGTAAAACCTGAGAAACTAGGCGGTAGTTAAACTCTGAAAAAAACGAGTTTAAAAACAAAAATTTTCGAAGAAAGCAAAAAACGGCGAGGAAAACAAATGATTGCCTATTGACTGTTGACTGTATAGGAATCGATAGCTCTAAAAAAAAAAAGAGGTACAGGGGAAAAGTTGGAGTTAGTCATGGAAAGGCTCATCCTGATAAGGTGTGTGGGCATCGAGAAAAAGGCACGAGAAATTGGCTTGCAGATCGAATTCAGCAAATGAGTCAGCGACGATGCCATGACTCGCTTTCCCTTCTCAAAAATTCAATATGAAAATTCTTTTCTTGGAATGTCGTCAGAAATCGTTTTCAATTCGATGATTGATTTTGGGCAACTTTTCCTCAACAACAACGATTTTCTTGACAACAAGAATTGAACAGTAAAAAAAGGTTAAACGTTCAATAGCCGTTCAATAGTTTAATAGTTTGTTCAATAGTTCAATAGCCGTTCGATAGTTCAATAGTTAAACATTAAAATAATATTGCTTGGCTACCGTATCGCTAAGTATAAGTTCCACGTTAGGCGAAAGCTAAAAGAATAAAACATAATAACTGAAGGAGCAGGATTCAATCACTTCTAGTTTCCTTCAACCACTTCAATCACTTCAAAAAGATTCAATATAAACATAATAACTGATAAAATCGATTGATGCGAGAGTTTCTTCATAATTTCTTTCGAAATCAGAATCAGAGGAAAATGGTGCAATAGGAACGCAGAGAAAGGGTGCGGGAAACGAGGCGAGTCAGGCGGGGCGGCGGGCTGGAAAGGCAAACACTCGGAATCGCTTGTGTTTCCCTGCTTCAATATTCTCGGTTCTCCCCTTTCCGTCGATCTGTCTCCGCCCTTTCTTTTCCCCATAGCTTCTATCAGAATTTCACAAGGCGTCCCTCTTTCTCTAAGAGCACCGGCCCCGCAAATATACAACGCATGCATCACACCACAGCGCAAGTGGGGGAGAAAAATGAGAGAGCCGCGCCTTACGGAGGCACCTGAAGAAAAGGAACACCCCCAAAATCGATCAAGGCACCGTGTTCGGAAACGATTTTTCGATACATGTGTTTGTGTGATCCAAATTCTCACGAATTTGCATCATAATACAGTGCTCAAATTTTCTTGGATCGAAAAACGGAAATTCATTTGGCTTTCAAACAAAAAAAAACTGACACAAAGAGATTGTGAACAAAAAAACTGTATCACAGTGAACACTAAAGAGTTATGCCAAATCGAGCGCAAAAAAATTTCAGCACAAAATCATGAAAGCTTCAACTCAATAGATCAATCTTTGTAGAACCAGAACGTGGAATCAAATATGGATGTGAAAAATGATAATGAAACTGAAAATGGCTTAAACTGGAGGAGCAAGATTTGAAATCACAGAGATCGATTTGTGAACGAAGGTGCGAACAATGGTTGGACACGCTGGTTGAGCGGCAATTTGATCCAATGAAACTCGCATTTGATAGAACGCTTGTCTAAAAATATTGCTATTGTAAAATAAATCACATCAAAATATGGAAATATTTTGAAGTATACTATTTTTTATATAAAGAAAGCTTAAAAGCTCCACAATTACTATTTTCTCGGTAAAGTAGGTTTAGAAGTATCTGAACCTAGTGGAGTTATAATTTGTTTTGAAAAGAAACGGAAATTTGAGTTTTAACTTTTAGAAAGTAGTTTAATAAGAATTTTAAGAATAAGAATAAGACTGTTAATCAAAAGATTATTTTCTAGAAAGTTGAGTTTAGTTAATTTATAATATTAGATTATAAATCAAAAGTTTTAACTCTTGTTAATTATTCTAATTTTGTTGATATTTTTCTTAATATTTTGCATTATTCAATCAGTTGCTTTTATTACTTTATATAAACGTCATTTATTAAGTTTAAGTCAAAATCGTCTTGGTCTTAGTAAAGTTAGATTTATAGGTTTAGTTTAAGCTATAAAATTATACCTCACATACTACCAAAATTCCATTCACTCTTTTACTAGAAGGTAAAGTAATTAATAAACTTTTGTAAACGATCATTGGTAAACAGGAAAAGTCGCCTCTTATGAAATGCTCTTTTTTCGAATCCTAATTGTCAGCACTGTTCAAATTTTGACTTTTTGCTTTATATTCAAAGTTATGTAACATTAAATTAAGAGTTTTTAAAGCTCAACCTGGTGTATGGATTACGCCTCGATGCGTAACGAAGTGTCAAGAATCGATAGAACACGAAAGGAGTGAAGAGGCTGGCTTTTCCCCTAAAATTCCGATTTTGGCATAAAAAAGTCGAAACACTCACATGAAGATCATTGAAAATAGAAGTGGAGCCAAGAAGATTTCACTGCAAGCGATTATTCCCAAACTAAATATTTGCATTAAAAATCGATCTTAAAAGTGGCATACCAATTTTGTGTCTGCAAGCTAGTGAAAGTTGCTACGCGTTGCACCAATGGATTTCCCCCGTTTCCAGTAGTGTTCATCATAGTCACCTAAAAATTTTTTTACGTAATTTGTTTATTTATTTAAAAAAAATTACAACTTTATGACTTACAAAGAAATTGGACGAATGCAACGCGGCAAATAAAACGATTGGCAGTAAGGCCATCGTCAATGGTGAAGAGGTGAGGAAAAGAACGCAGTAGAAAAGGTAATGACACGAATCCTAAATTCATGAATTTAAATTAGTTTAAACTTAACTCTGATTTTAAATAAATTACCCAAAATTAGATCCTAATTTCACTTTTTCTAAGCTAATTTTTTGCTATTTTACAATACAATACCAATGCAATTTTTGTTTTTTTGAAACAATTTTCATAAAATTGATTACCAAAGTTAACACAACAAGGGTTTTTTAAGCATTTTAACGCATTGTTTTCTCCTATTTTGTCTATATTTGATTAAGTAATGATGTGGTTTTATAGAGTTCTGCTAATTCAAAAAATGTTGCTACCTAAAAGAAAACAAGCAACTTTGTGATGTGGAAAATAACAGGAAACAAAAATAGCATATAAAATTCTCTGACCCGTCTAGTCAACTTTGAATTTTCAAAAAAAGTTACCTCCAAGAGCAGGCGAGCGAAAAATTCACGTGTAAACGATACTGAGCCGATTCGTTGTTGTAAACGAAGAGCATTCGTAGCGGCCGCTAAATAAAGGTTTTTTTATTTAGCTCTTTGTTTATCCATTAATTCCGTTTTCTGAACAAACCTGCAGCAAAGGCTTTAAAGTAAGCAGATTGTTGCGTGTTGCTCGAGGTGAAAGGCAAAATGTAAGAGAGAGCGAAGAATATCGTGAAGATACGCGTCGCAAATAGCACACAATCCATAGTGTGCTCTTTCACAAATTGCTATAAAAAGAAAATGAATAAAACTGGAATATAGAGTCAAAGCCTTCTTAGTAAATAACCTACGGTTTAATAACATCTATTTACAATCTAGGTTTAAGTATTATCGTCAATAATTTATCGAGGTTTTTATCAATTATTTAATGCTTATCGGGAGCTGTAAAATCCTATTCACTAGGTTTATTTACTAACGAGTTTTCTACTAAAGAGGCTTGACTGCATGACAAACCGATAGCGTTGCAGATGAAGGCGTTGGACGGGGGGTCGAGCCATCAGAGCGTTGAGAAGTCGAGCTGCTGGCTCCGCGATCCGAAGGCTCCGTGCTCTCTTCGCGAATTTCAACCATTTCGTTTTACTTTTCTAAACGGAAAACGTTATTTTAAAACAACAAAAAAGTTTCCCAAAAAGAATAAATAGATAAAAACAAATGACTCAACAGTTCAAAGCGTTCAAAGCTTATTGACAAATGACAATAAGAAGATTGAATTAATGACTACAAATTACTGATTTAACCATTTCAACCTATTTTTGAATGCTTTTAAGAAATGTTGCCCAGCAACTCTTGCTTCTAGAAAGACGTTTGCTCATAAAATCAGTAAAGTAAGCTGTGCATCGAAAAAAAGCGAAAACAGGGTGCCAAGTGTAGCTAAAGGTCGAATTCCACTGCCTAAACGTCTATCTATGTACATTTATCACTAGAAAATATCTTCTATATCGTTTAAACTTTTAACTGTCGAATTTCTTTTAAAGTTTTCTTTTAGGAGTTTGATTTCAAATGCTTGTGCCAGTTAATATCCGCGATAAAGCAACCGGCACTAAACGGAATCAAATTTTGGAAGTCTCCGATACGGCTACTGTCACAAATTTGAAGGAGAAAGTAAAAATTGAGAAGAGAATTTTAAAAAACTTGATTCAGATAGCTGAAGTCATAAATTTACCAAAAGATAACATCAAGATAGTATTTGGAGGTCATGTTCTTGATCCAAATGCTACTCTTGGCGGACTGTTATTGGGACCATCTACGTAAGTTAATTTCAAATTTTGACTTAAAAAGCCTATTTCTTAGCTCTGTTTTGGCACTTGTAGCTGAAACCTCATCCTCAGCTGCTCAATCCTCAAAAACTGACGCTGAAAGAAACCCGCAAAACATCGGCGGTTTCTATGTTTACTGCAAACAGTGCAACGATGTGACAAGAGGGAAACTAAGGATTTGTTGTAGTGGATGCTCGTCGCCTGATGTTATTGCAAAGCAAGAGCCAACTGGATGGATCGATGTTTTACGCAGGTGACTGAATACCGTATTTACTCTATTAGTACTGCGCAGTACTATTTTTTCGACCAAACAAAGCAAATAGGTACTTACTAAATCAATGAGCTTCGTGTAAAAACTCCAAACGCAGTCTCCAACACGATCATTTACTTCCTTGACGGCTTGTTCAAGTCGAGCTTCGGCCAATTGTTTTGCTCCTGTGGAATTAGATCATCTTTCTTGAAACAGTGAATGATTCATCCAAAGCCGTAATTGTCGCCAAATTTCCGTGTCGCAGCCAATTTATCCTTTGTCCTCTCGACGAAATCGATCACTTTCAGCTTTATTTCAACATCAAAACATCGCCCCTTCTTTGCAATCGGTGCATCCGGTTCGTTTGAAAGCTCCTCAGCATCATCGTTGATCGAGTTCGCCTTCTTGAAGAACTCCTTGCGTTTATCATTTTCTCGACGAGCTCGAAACTCCTCAAACTCGTCAAGCGATTTCGCATCGAAGTCCATGCCTGAAAAAAAAAATATTATTTAGGTAATGGTAAACGAGATGGTTAAAAAAATTATAGAATACTAAAATTGTACATAATGAATTATCAAACCACAAAATGAGAAAGAAATAAGGAAATTTATCGCTAAAACAGTTAAAATGATTTTTAAAATGCATATTTTTTAAATCTATCAACAAAACTTTTAAAGAATCAACACTGAAAAAGGGGGGTGGGACAAATGCGACCTTTTTTTTGCGCACCTGGACATTTGCGCACCTTTTTTTGCTGGAAAAGGCCTTAGGAAAGGCCGTAGAGCTTCGAAAATATTTCGAAAATTTTTCCATATAAGGGAATCGTATGCGTAGATTCCGAATTTCGACAAATCGGACCTCGCTGACACGTTTGGGCGTTTGGGCTAAAAGGCAAAAACTGCGGAAAAGCGTTAAGTTGCGTAGTTTTTGCCTTTTAGCCCAAATTTGACGTGTCAGCGAGGTCCGATTTGTCGAAATTCGGAATCTACGCATACGATTCCCTTATATGGAAAAATTTTCGAAATATTTTCGAAGCTCTACGGCCTTTCCTAAGGCCTTTTCCAGCAAAAAAAGGTGCGCAAATGTCCAGGTGCGCAAAAAAAAGGTCGCATTTGTCCCACCCCCCTGAAAAAGAATGACGAGAAAAATAGTTTTGAAAAATCGACGTAAGGAATTGAAAGATATTCAGCCAACAAGCTGGAACTTTACTTAATTATCAAAGAAGTGGGCTACTAAATAGTCACAAGTGGAAATTAACTTTGGATAAATGCAAATTTGCGTGCAGTACTAGTACAGTAAATGCGATAACTTTAGAAAAAAAAGGCCCGATTTCAGCAATCGAATTCCGGTTTTCTGCGAGAATTGTGACGCTGAAAATCTTTACGCTCGTTTTACGTTTAAATGCGTTCCCTGTGGAGAGGTTTGAATTCTAATTTGAAATTTGAAATTTGAATTCTACCTTATTCTAGATTTGTGCGGCTCTTTCGCAAACAAGAGGCAACTGGGAGTCGGCTGAGTGTGTGATTTGTTGTGATGCGCCTCAATTCGTCTTTGATTTTGGATGTAATCACCCGTCGTGTAAAGTAAGTGTGTAAACGTGATTGGAAACTCTCTTCAATCTCTATTCAAAATTTCAGAATTGTTTCACCCATTATGCGGAAACGCAATTAAAAGAAGCACAGTTTCGATTTCGGCCGCCATTTGGGTACACCCTGCGATGCCCAGCAACAGAATGCGACTGTGAGTTCAAAAAAAAGAAAGCAGATCCTTCAATCGACTACAGAAATGCTATATTTCAGTTTGTATCACGGATGTGCATCATTTCCGAATTCTTGGCCCGACTCAATACGCAGAGTATCAACGACTAGCAACAGAGAAACTCATTGCACTTGGTGAGTTTACTTTTCAGAATAAAGTAAAGAAATGAATGAAAAAAGAAAAATGAAAAGAATTTCCCCTCAGAAGGGAATTGAACTATCAACCTTCTGCCTACCAGGCAGATGCCCCACCACTGAACTATTGGCGCTTTCTTTGCTCGAGAAAAAATAGGAAGGACAAGGAAGAAATAAAAAAAGAAAAAAGAGCAATAACAATTTTTCAGATGAATCTGGTTATTTCTGCCCGTTTCCCGGATGTGGTGCTTCTTTTTTACTAGATGAAAATGATTTGCCTGGTAAAATATACATTAACTCCATTAGTTTTATCAAATTGCCAGAAGTTGAAGATGATCAGATCGATGATCGAATTCAATGCATCGAATGTCGACGTCTCTTTTGCAGAAATTGTCGAGAGGCTGTTTGCAAATGTGAGACCGAGGATCGAACAAACTCTACTATAAATCTAACAACAAAGTTTTAGACATCAAAATAAAACTTTTTATGAAAGCCAATTTAGAAAATGCCCGGGTTGCAATGTGTCAACGGAAAGAAATGGTTTGAAATTTTTGGAAATGATTGAAAGAAATGTATTTAGGAGGATGCGCTCATATGACTTGCACACATTGTCATTTGGATTGGTTTGTTTGAAAATAAAATTAGAATTTATAAAAGATTCATTTTAAATAATGCAATAAGCTTTATAGTTAGCCCAATTATCGTGCAAAAATTTTAGGTGCTGGATTTGTGTAACTCCATGGAGAGAAGATTGTCAGTGGGATCATTGGTTTGGCTGATATCAAAGCTGATTCTTGCTTTATTCTTGATCTTTTCTGTTAAATCTAATTGTATAGAATACTAGGTATGTATTGGGTTGGTGAATTGAAAACTGCGGGCTATTGTCATATGTGACAGTTTGAGCACTTTCTTCAAAAGAAACCCATTTTCGTGTCAATGGAAAAGTTGTAGAGAATCAAGAATTAAGCTTATATCCAAATTTTCAGAACGATTCAAAAACTGGTTTTGAAGAAATGCCAAATTTACGAATTTTCACAAAACTTGCATTTTAAGCGAAACTACTAAGTGTATCTTTTTGGAAATTTGGATATAAGCCTAATTTTTGATTCTCTACAACTTTCCTATTGACACCAAAATGGGTTTCTTTTGAAGAAAGTGCTCAAACTGGGACATCTCCAGTCCTCGATTTTTGAGTCTCACACTTGTCTCACACACAAACCAAAATCCTACTACGAAAGAGGAATCCGCAAATTGCCTGTAAAATGGGCACAAGTCGTCAATAATAATGAAAATTATTTGGAATGAATTCATGGTTTTATGTTCAATAAATTTTAGTTCAAAGTCCGGCAGTTTTCAATTCACCAACCCAATATTCATGGTTTTTGATTTCTAAATAGTTAAGTCACATTTTTCTTTGTTTTTTTGTATTTTTTGTTCTCTCCCCAAAAATTCCTGAGGTCACCCAGGTGCTGATTCGATTAGGTCCACAGTTTTTCTTTTCTTTTTTGCGATCCCCAGAAAACAGTTCTTTTCCAGGGTACTTGACAGGTTGTCTCCAAGAAATGCTCAGTTTTTTTTTTGCGATTACCTAGTTTTTCTTGTTAGTTAGTTAGTTGAAATAAATCTTGCCATCAAAAATCGTTGTTTTATTTACGTTTTATGGGAAAACTAATACAGTGATTGGTGAAAGACATGATTGAAAGAGGCAGGATATCACAATGTGGGCGCGTTGAACGACCCGCGATTCTCTATGACCTTCCGTCTCTCTTGCACCTCTCCCCGACAATGCACTCCCCAGTCGTGCTGTATGTTCCCGTTCTCTCATCACTCTCTTCAAAACATTTGAACCTTTTCAAACTTTTCATGTGAATTCTCTCAATTCTTCTTGTTTTAATTGCCTTAAAGATTGATTGAGAAAAATTGAAGAAATTGAACAACATTTACTTCTGTTAAAGTTTGAATTGACTAAAACGATTTGATACTTCTCGTTAAAGATATTTATCGACTTAATACTTATTGTTATCATTATTGTATCGTTAAAAATGCAGTATTAAAAGAACTTGAAAGAAATTTTGGTGAATTTTGGCGGATTTTAGAATAAACAACACTCAATTAAGCCCTGATTTAAGTTTTTCGACTCTAAACTTCACCCATTTCTTGTAATCTTGCGCAATTGAAATAAAATTTTTCCAAAAAAAATAACTTTCTTTCAGTCTTGGTCACAGTTCAGGGGACTCTCGGGGCCGGCCGGGTTGCGAGAGTTCGGGAGAACATGCCAAGAGCAGTAGTGTAATCTGCGAGTCCCTTCTCGCCTCTTTTTTCATCCCATCTGCTTTTCTCCGTTTGCTAAAACTCTTTTCTTATGCTTTTTCTATTGAATAAGTCTCACCTTTCTTTCACGATTTTTACATTTTGATGCCTTTTTTTTATTTGCTAGATAGATTTCAAGTTAAACTAGATGCGAAATCGACGTAGACCTCAAAAAAAGCTGTCGCCAATCCAGTCATGAGCTTCTCTCGAGAGAGCCTTCTTTTTCCGCATCTTTCTCATGCATAATAACTCTTTAAGATACATTTTTAATTTTACCAGAAATCGTCTAGAAATAATTGTGGATTTTTCTTAGATTCATTTAAATGTTCTCTAAAGCTTTAAAAAAATGGCTACAAGATCGTTTTATTTAAACAGTTGCATGTTAATTATTGTTTTGAATGTGGATGGATGAGGGGATGAATGAATGATTGAATGAATGGGGGCATCGATTGTCTCACTCGCTTTTCCCCCGCTCGGCTCTCTGAATCTGCCAGTCGATGGCAGTCTCATAATCCTGCAGTCCTGTCTCTCACCCCCTAGAGACAACCAGCGATTATGCTACCGGAAATTTTGCTCTTTCTTGAAATTTCTAAATGCTTTCAAGCGTTGCTTTACTTTTTAGGCTTTCAATCACTTTTTCCCAATAAAACTTTGTTGAAAGAGATTTTCCTTATCACATCTGTGATTGCCCAGGCTCGCAGCCGGCTCTGCTTGTTTTAACGATTCATCTTTTTAAGCACAAATTGCAGCTTTAATTTTGAAATGCATTTGAGATGAATTTTTTGTTCTTGACTTTAAAATAATAAATAAAATGCAGTAAATGAAATGCAATAAATGGAATGAATTTATGAATTAATCATCAAAAAAACAAACGTTAAGCTTTTAGAAAAGCTTAACGTTTGTTAGCCAACTTTTTGCTATCTGTTTTCGCAAGAAAGTGAGGTGTCAAGAAGCAATTGCAAATTTCAGGACCAACTCTCAAAAGCACTCTTCTCACGAGTAAATAAGCCCACTAGAGTCGCCCTATTCTTGCACTCAGCGGGTTTTTTTCTTTTTTTTCGATCGTAACTCCTCAAATCAAAAAGTACCAATGATTTCTCTGATCAGGAAAAATCTCACAGAGTGCCCGCCAAGTGCATTAATGTATTTCCATTGTTTATTTCCATTGGCGCGGCTGGAATCGATTTGGTGCATGCTAAAACGCAACGAGTGTTAGAGAAGAGACGGCGAGAAATCGCTCACAAAAGCCTCTCTTTCTTTTCCCCTTTCCCACCAATTCGCCTATCAGCTGTCTTTCTGCTCAAAATTCATTCTATTATCATTATTCACCTTGAAATTTCAATTTCAATTCTTTTAGATAACTGGCTACGCTCAAATTCGAGCGCAAAGGTTTTTTGCAAAACTGGAGAACAAAAATTTAAAGCCGAGGATGGGATGGGTAATCGCAGCCATTCTTTATTTCTTATTTCTTTTTGGAAGCTTACCAATTTTTGCACAATTTTTGCACAATTTTTCTTTACCACAAAATTCTATTGCTCAACAACCACAAATTTCAGACGGTGACATAAATGGCCGAGGGTGAGCCACCGGTTGTCTCGCGGGCAGCCTCGTGGAAAGAACAGTTAAAGGGATGGGTATTCGCAGCCATTCTTTATTTCTCAGCTCTTTTTGGTGTCTTCTATGTACTCGTCCCATTGAGTCCTCTCGTTTTCTTTTCTCCATCGATTTTTCGACACCTCACTGACCGAATGATTGGCCTGTGGCTGATTTTGCCGTCTGGCCTACTGAAATTAGGCTATGGCTCTAAAGTCAACGTGATTGGTGACGCTGTCGACCATTCCGAGCCAGCACTCATCATTATGAACCATCGAACAAGGTTTTGTTTGAGCTTATTTTTAAATAAAATTTAAAAGAGCAGTTTCTGTTCGTCCGTTCATCTGTACAGACAATTTCTCGGCCGTTTTTTGACCAATAAAGCTAAAACTTCTTTAGAAAACCTTAGTATATATTGTAGTTATGCAATTTATAATAAAAAATAAAAAAACTAAAAATCGAGTGGCAATACGGGGGTCGAATCCGGATTATGTGTGCCGTAGACCAGCGCGCTCCTGACTGCACCACGGTGACACCAAAGATCAAACCAGAAAAACGGACTTTTCAGCTAATTTTTGAATAAAACACAATTTCAGGCTAGATTGGCTCTTTTTCTGGATGGGGCTGTATCAACAAGACCCTTGGCTGTTGACTTCAGAGAAGATTACGCTGAAAAGCATCTTGAAGTACGTGCCGGGAGCCGGATGGGCAATGCAAATCAATTCGTATATCTTCTTGGAGCGCTCTTTTGAGACTGATAAATCAAAACTTCAACGAATCTTAAATTACTTTTCGCAAATCGGCATGAATTACCAAGTTTGTTTCGATTATCTTTTGCTTTAGAAGGGTTTTAGGTGTTACTGTTCCCAGAAGGTACAGATAAGTGCCCAAGAGCAACAGAAAGAAGTCGAGTTTATGCAGAAAAGAAAGGGCTCGTTCATTATCAGGTATTCCTTTTGAAAAGCTATTTTCTTAAATTTTCAGTATTTACTACATCCACGAGTCACCGGTTTTGTCTTCATGATTCAAGAAATGCGAAAAACCGATTATATTAAGTGAGTCACCGGCCGATAATTATAGAGTGGCCCATAATTGTAGGTGCAGTTAAACTTTAGTGAGCAAATTTTTCTTTTAAAAACTTTATTTGATATCAATGAATAAGAAATTAACAATTAAATTCAAAGCGATCACCATTTTTAGCCGCTGTCAAGCGTTTAGAAAGCATTATCGAGTTCATCTCAGGCTTTTAGAAGACTTTTCTTTAAACTTTTAACATTTTTAGGCAGTTTTAAGCAGGCTTTGGTCTCAATGATGGACCAGACAGAATAATCTATCGGATTGAGATTTGAGCTGGATTCAGAAAAGATAATAAGCCATTGCTCCTATAATTAGGCCACCCTGTAAACAAGTAATATACAAGTAATATATAATATATAATAAATCAAAAGAAGTAATATATTCGAAGCCAACATTTTAGATATATCTACGACGTAACCGTTGGTTTTGATGATAAAATCGTGCAATCAGAAGCCGATTTTGTTCTTCATGGCGTCGTGCCCAAGCAAGTGCACTTTCAAACCAGAAAGATCCCAATCACCGAATTGCCAACGGATGATAAAGAGTTAGGGCAATGGCTCGTCAAACTTTGGGCAGAAAAGGAAGAGAAATTAAAACGGTAAGTAATCAAATTCAAAAGCTAGCTCAAAAGATCATCTTTTCAGCTTCTATCTTCGAGAATCCAAAGAGAAAACGACTTTTCCGAACACAGCAAATGGGCAATCGTGGCCAATGAGAAATCGTGATAATCACTTGCAGAACATTATCATTTTCGTTTGGATAGTCGGTATGATAAACTTGATTTTTAAATCAAATCATCAAATTTCAGTGACATCTCTTTGGGGAATCGGCTACCTGTTTCTTCCTTTACAATGGATTTATTCAATTCTCTGTTGCAGTCTAATGATTGGCGTATATTATAGGTAAACTTGACATTTCGAACAATCTTCATTACTATAAGATTTCAAAGAAAACTTTATATTTAGATTTGGCGGATGGGAATGGTTAGCAATCGATATTTTCAACCAGAGAATGGCCCGGAAGCTTAAAGAAAACTGAAATCATTTTTGTTATAGGAAACTAGTTGGTTCTTCGTTATTGGTTCTCTACTTTAAATGCTCAGTGTTTTTTTATGCACTTGTCATTTTGTCATTTTTATTCTTGTCATTTTTTATTGATCCATTTCTTTTCTACTAATTTATTTAAGCTAAAATCCTTTAACTCTATGAAAAATATTGTGATTTTCGGTGGATCTCTGTTTTATTAAAACGAGGTATTACTTTATAGTCCTGTTTCTTTATACCGTAAATACTGTAATAGTACCCCACCCCCCTCGTACAGTCGCGTAGTCGCAAAAGTTTTTTAGTATTTAATTTTTTTTCAAAGCACCCGTACTTTCAAAAAATGCGTCTTTGGTATCAAAAAACAGCCCTGAATTTCAGCTATTTTTTGATACCTAAGCGCGCATTGTAGCATAAACCAGTGTCGAGAAAAACTCGTTCAAAGCTAGACTACGCAACGCTTCGCACCGTCATTATCGGGGTGGGGTACTATTACAGTATTTACGGTAGGTAATTCTTTTTTTTCTGTTTTTAGAGTATAAAAGTATCAGTGTAGATTTCTTTTAATGCCTTTTAATCAACGGTTTTTGACCGTCATTAATTGTTTTTTTTTATTTCATGTGCCATTTAAGGGTTTTTAAAAGTTCTTTAGAAAATCGTAGGTGCTTTTGATGGTTTCCGTGGCGATTTCTCGCTTTGTGGTGCTCACCTGCGGAACGCTTTATCCAGCATATAGAAGTTTCAAGGTAAAAAAAGCGAGTCAAGTGGTTAATCTCCGATAATTTTTCAGGCAGTGAAGACAAAAGATGTTCGAGAGTACGTGAAATGGATGATGTATTGGATTGTGTTTGCTCTGTTCATTTTTGCTGAAGGAATCGCCGACCTTTTCATCTCATTTTGGTAAGTCAAGCTAGAACCTTTTTTTTTTCAAAAAACCCTTGCAGGTTTCCGTTCTACTATGAGGCGAAAATCTTGTTTGTTTTGTGGCTGCTCAGCCCGTGGACAAAGGGAGCTTCGATTTTGTATAGAAAGGTGAGATTAGAAGGCTTGAACTTAGTGCGAAGGCTAGCGGCTAGCGCCTCGCACTAAGTCTATTTGGGTCTAAACCCCCATTTTCTGGATCTCGGCCAGTTCCCAGAGCTAAGGTGCAAGCGTTTGGCGATGCTCATGCGCCCCTTTGGTGAGTACCCTGGCAAATTTTCAGGTCTCTGTCATGCCTAGAAGTTAAGATTAGGCTTAGGCTTTGGCTTAACCTTAGGTTCAGGCTTTGCCTTAGGTTTAGGCTTTGCCTTGGGCTTAGGCTTTGCCTTAGGTTCAGGCTTTGCCTTAGGTTCGGACTTTGCCTTAGGTTCAGACTTTGCCGTAGGTTCAGTCTTTTCCTTAGGTTCAGACTTTGGCTTAGGTTCAGGCTTTCCCTTGGGCTTAGGCTTAGGCTTTGCCTTAGGTTCAGACTTTGCCTTGGGTCTTGGGCTTTGACAATACAACGCTTATCGTTTAGTGGATCCATCCGGCTTTAACAAAACGAGAAAAGGATATCGATGCTCTTTTGGATCATGCAAAATCCGAAAGCTATAATCAGGTAGTTACAAAAATAAATAAACAAAAAAAAAAATTCCAGTTGGTGCGCTTTGGATCACAATCTCTAGTCGCTGCACGAGATATTGTTGCACAAGCAGCCATTCGGGGACAAGCTCAAATCGTTCAGCAACTTCAACGCAGTGTCAGGTTTGCTCAAGAAAAGAATTACTAGAATTGAAATCTTTTCAGTGCTCAAGATGTGAACATGGAGATTTCTGAGCAGCGAAGACGTGCAAAAACGATTGATATTCAAGAGGTGATCGATGAAATAATCGCAAAAATGAAATAAAAGTTTTAGATAGTGGAAGAAGTGGATTCTGAGCATGAGAAAGATGGTCGACATCACGACGAAGTGGCTGAAGAGGTCAGTATAAAGTTATCTCATTTTTAAGATTATCTTGTATCAAATTATCTCATATCAAATTTCCTTCTTTCAGGATCCATTATCCCTGACTAGCCAGCAGTAACAAAAAAGGTGCTCGATTCCCTTCTGTCAAATTGCACGTGAAAGCAAAAAAAAGATAATTCTGCTTTAATTTCCCATGTGTGAAAATTCTTTTTTTCTCTCAACTAGATTAAGAATGCTTTATAATCTGTATCGATTATAATAATTAAAAGAAAAAACGTTAAAAACAAGTGATTTTCAGTCAGCGCCACGTCGTCGTTCTTCTCGTTCTCGCTCTCGCAATCGCCAGGTCTATTGATTTTACACATTGTGCGTAACCAGCTAACTTTTTTCTTTATTTAAAATCAAACAACTTTAGCAATGATTAAATGCTTCTCTTTTTGTGCTTTGTATTGTATTGTATTGTAACTTTGGACAGTAGCTTGCACTAGGTCTACAGAGAGCGGCAGAACTATGAGAACTTTATCGATTTATTGAGTATCTCTTTTATATCTTTATTTGACTTTATCTTAAAAGTTTTCTAGTGTACTCTTTCTTTATTAGTCACTAGATTGTACAGAATGCGGCAGAATTATGGAAACTCAGTTGAGTCTAACTCAGTTAGTCTAATTATTGAGTCTAACTCAGTTATCGATGCCTCAAATCAAATAATTCTTTTTTTTCTAGTATATTCTGAGTTACTTGCTCTAGGAAAAACATTATTGAAAAAAGATAAATGTTTCCTAAAAGTTCTGAGATTTATTCAAAGTGTGCCCGTCGGGAATTCCCGGGAATTCACTATGAATCGTTCTAAGATTCCATTTATGATTACGATTGCCCTAAAACATAAACATGTTTAACAAGTAGTCATAAAACATTCAAATTCAGTCAAAGAAACGATGTTTTTCTTGTGAAAATTTCTATACCTACGAAAATCGTGAAAGCCCACCATTCGGCCGGGCATTCCCGACGGGCACACTTTGAATAAATAGAAGAACTTTTAGGAAACAGTTACCTTTGTCCAATAATGAGTAAGTATTAGAGTAAGTAACTCAGAATATACTAGGAAAAAAAGAATTATTTGATTTGAGGCATCGATAACTGAGTTAGACTCAATAATTAGACTAACTGAGTTCGACTCAACTAGAGTGTGTTCCTTGCAGACAACGCGTTTTCTAAAAAGCGCGCGCCAAGGATGAGCTACCGTAACCCTATGCTTTGCATCAGCAAATTTTTCAAAATGCAAATGTACATTAAAATCTTGCGCTCTTTTTTTTCTTTAACTCTATTACACTTTCACTAAAACTTAAAAATTCTTAAATGCTATGTAAAATTAAAGAAAACATTCAGAGTGGCGGTGGAACGTCGTTTGAGCCTTCAGACTCCTATCCAGCGACGATTCCCCGGCGCAACCCACGTCGCTATTAATTCTCGGGTTTGCAACAATTCAAACAAACCATAGTCCGAAAAATTTCAGGTCAAGTTGTGCTTTGCCTTTCGCATACAAACTTGTAAACATCATTCAGCTATTGTTAAAATCAAATCTTTTTGAATCTCTTCTTTTACCGTTCAATTTCTTCAATTTTTCTAGATTTGGGTATTTGCTTTTGACCTTAATTTATTGTTTTTGCCAAAAAAAAATTCGTTTTGTTGACCCTATTGACCCTAATCCCGATTAGCGATTCGTATTCAAGCATAATAGAAAATAATCATTAGTCTTAATAGGTTTTTTAAAAAAGATTCATAGTTTATACAATGTATAAGTTTCTTTTTCTCTCAGCTGGATTTAAATTTTTTTGTAAATGGTTAGCGAAAAGTTTCCTAAAATGATGGCAACTTGATTAGAGTTTTTGGATCAAGTGCCCATTTTGGATCGCTCCATTAAAGCTTAACTTTGCGGGCATTTCATCTTCTTTTTTTTTTCTTAAAGCTGAACTGCTAACTAGAGAATTTCATGCATAAAAGATTTCGTCATAAAGAAAAAGTAAGGTTTTTGTTGGAAGAGATATTCAAGCGTCAAGACTAACCCTGAATAACTTTAAAGTACTCAGCTTTAAAGTCTGAATAACTTTAAAGTCTGAATAACTTTAAAGTCTGAATAACTTTAAAGTCTGAATAACTTTAAAGTCTGAATAACTTTAAGTCTGAATAACTTTAAAGTCTGAATAACTTTAAAGTCCGAATAACTTAAAGTCTGAATAACTTTAAAGTCGAATAACTTTAAAGTCTGAATAACTTTAAGTCTGAATAACTTTAAAGTCTGAATAACTTTAAAGTCTGAATAACTTTAAAGTCTGAATAACTTTAAAGTCTGAATAACTTTAAAGTCTGAATAACTTTAAAGTCTGAATAACTTTAAAGTCTGAATAACTTTAAAGTACTCAGCTTTAAAGCCTGAATACTTTTAATTACAAGTGGTGAAGAGAATTTTGATTACAGCATTTTTAAGGCTCCATTTCCAGCTAGCAGTTCATCTCAATTTCAAAACTTTTCTAAAGTCACATTTCGAGAAATACGCACAAGCCGTACCTCCATCATTACTACCACAAATATTTGTGCCTCCTATCTAAAATCACACTTTGTTTCTTTTCTTTTCAACAAGATTTTTTCTATTTTCCATTCCATCTCTTAAACCCCCATCTTCGCATTATTAGTCATGACCGATCTTTTTCGAGATTTCTCTCATTTTTCTCCTTTTTGGTTCTATCTAGAAGAAATACCAAAACTTCGGCTTGCTCATTGTAAATATCAAATGATTTGTGTGAATAAATTGATGAAACTTTATCAACTTTATCGCGTTTATCAACCATTTGACAAACATATCAAGTTGTAGGTGTTACAGCTACCCCATTACCAGATTTGTTTGATTGAATTCGAGAGCTTTTTTTTAACTTTTAAAATAATTTATAGATATATACTTTATTCAGGAGATGAGATAAAGATAAACCAATGATCTTGTATTATAAAGATAAAAGATTCATACACATAAACACGAAATGTACCGATAAAAAGCGACACGATATGGAATAATTGAGTATGGAATAATTGAGTAGAACAGATAAAGTCAAGAGTCGCTTAGAGCTGCAAGTTCAAGATACAGGCATAGATAATTTAAGCTATTGGATTCTCTCAAAAACTCTGGGGAATAGATTCCAAATTCTGGGAGTTCTTATTGGAAAAGAGTTATACACAAAGTAGAAAACGAGTGAGTGGTTTAGTAGTATCATAAATGGCCTCTATTGCAACTAATAGTAAGAATCTTTGTAATTTCATTAAAATTGAATCTAGATACACTTTCATTTAGATTTGGTCAGTTAATAGACTAGAAAAGATATTCTGTTTGCAAGAATATTGCAGACTGAACTAGGCTAATTAGGGATCAACCGAATTATCGTTTGAACTGTTTGGCTTTTCCTATTCTTTATACAGTGAAAAATTGATTGGTTTGTTGTGAAAAGTACGTCAAATAAAGAAGTGAAGGGATTGGCAAGGAAAAGCAGATTTCCGGAGAGGGGATTTAATCATCGATCTTTTGCTTTCCGGGCAATTCCTTTAACCACTGAGCTATCAGGTAGCTGAATTTGCCAAGAGAAAGAAAGAAAGAAAGAAAGAAAGAAAGAAAGAAAGAAGGAAGGAAGAAGGAAGGAAGGAAGGAAATACCCGGATCTTCAGAGCCCGGATCTTCAGAGCCCGGATCTTCAGAGCCCGGATCTTCAGAGCCCGGATCTTCAGAGCCCGGATCTTCAGAGCCCGGATCTTCAGAGCCCGGATCTTCAGAGCCCGGATCTTCAGAGCCCGGATCTTCAGAGCCCGGATCTTCAGAGCCCGGATCTTCAGAGCCCGGATCTTCAGAGCCCGGATCTTCAGAGCCCGGATCTTCAGAGCCCGGATCTTCAGAGCCCGGATCTTCAGAGCCCGGATCTTCAAGTAAAGGAAATGGCAAGAAAAAGTAGATAACGATAACTTACGATCCAGTATTTCGTATTATTGTCTCTGATAAATGTATTCAAGGTTTTCTAACACAAATTTATTAAACCCTAACACCAATGAGCAAAGTCATGATAGAAAAAAGAGTGATGACGAGAAATTTGAGCTTTGAGATGACGAATGGACGCGGCTCACAGCTAGGGCATTGCGATGCGTTTTTGCCTCCTCGATACTTTCGATAGTGATAGAACTCCTCGCAGCCATCACACTATATTTCATATATAAAGAGAACTATTGTATATGATGCAAGGAAAATAGCTAATAAGTACGATAAATTACTTTACAGACCTGTCGCTTTTCGATATCCATCCTAAGCATGTCCAGCACCCAGCTCAATGCACGTGAGCCCAAAAAGCCTAAATTGGCATTTTGTTATCAATACTTTGCTTCTTTTGATTCGTAAAAATCGGCTGTATAAAACCTGTGACAACAGTCCCAGTCACAGCTCCAGTACACCATCCAATTGTTGTGCCAATGCCTGGACAAATCAGCGATCCCATCACGAAACCAATCGCAGCTCCTAAATTCTTAAAATAAGTAACTTTTTTTTGCTTATAACTTGCACTTTAGTTCTCATGAGGTTCTCATGAGAAAAAGAGTTCTCATGAGGCTGAAACAATGAATTACAATGAATGCTGAAACAATGCTGTCATGACCGACTGGCTAAGAGCCATGTATCATGGTCGGGAGGTCAATGGTTTAATCCCGCCGGCTGGTTTATTGCTTCTTTTTTTTCTTCCCTATATTTACGCTTAAAGTTGTGCTTTTGTATTGTTTGTACTACATTATTCGTTTATATAAAATGTGGTTTTTTTTTTCTTTTCAAAACCAAAGCCACTCTTGAATTCGATTCACCTGTACAAGCGCCGACTCCCTCCATATTGAGACGAGCGATCGTTTCGACGACGTTTCGATGTGTGCCATATCTATATAATGCATTAAAATTGAAAATAAAACAAGTTTTGATACTTATCATCTCTCGCAAAAGCTTCCCAAATTTCGAATACACCAAAATGACGAGCCACAAATCGGGCACCATCTTTGAGCTGTAAATTTGACAAGTTCTAGGCATGAAATGAAGAAAATTATACCTTATTCGAGATTTTCTTGAAGAATTTCCCAACGGAAGAGCATGCCTTGTCGAACTTGGCGGCAGGCTATAACTGATTGAATAACAATTCCCGTAACTACTGTAATAGTACCGCGCCGCCCTGGTACAGTCGCTTTGTCGGAAAAGTTTTTTTTGTATTTAATTTCTTTTCAAAGCACCCGTACTTTCAAAAACCGTCTTTAATATTAAAAAAATAGTGCTGAATTCCAGCTATTTTTTGATACCTAAGCGCACATTTTAGCTTCACCCAGTGTCGAGAAAAACGCGTTCAAAGCTAGACTACGCAGCACTCCGCACATGGGGATGGGACTATTACGAGATTTACGGTAAGCTTTTCCTGACAAACCTCAGATGGTGGAGAGTTGCTTGTGATCACATCGAGTTCCTTTTCCATCATTTTCGTCGATCAAGTAATATGGCAGAAATTGTGTGAATGAAAACAATGACAATCTCTTTTTTTTTTAGTTTCCTTCAATCTTGACAACTCTCTGTACTTGTTTGCCCAAAGCAAAATGATTATTGCCATTTTCGAGACATTTACAATTCTTTATCGGCAATTTTTCAATTTTATCCTCGTAAAGTGATCCTTGGTACATATTAAAGTTAAAACTGGCACAGCTAGCCAATAAACTAGCACAGCTAGCAGCTAGGTTGGAAAGGAAGCTCTCGGAAAAAAGTTTGACTGGAATTTCTTAAAACAAATCCAACAATTCAAGAACATTTTCTTCTATTATTTACAAGCCAACTCCAAGAAATTACTCGTAAAAAACAATGAGTGCAGCTTTTCCTTAAAAGTTTTGAGATTTTTGAAAAAAATTATTATTTTCCAGCTTAAATTCAGCTCACTTTTTGCACGAGAAAAACAATTCCTTATAAGGTAAAGCTCGCTCGTCAATTCCTCGCATTCTGCGCTAAATTTCAGCGCAGAACCGAGTTCCGCAAGTTGTCTGATTTATTGCGCTTGCATCTCAATCAAATCCAAAAACAACAACACTTGCCACATGGGTAATGAAAATAATGTTTGACAAGGAAACGAGTGGTAATTTCAGAGTGAAATTGTCTTCTCCAGAGTCGTTGGTGTTGATGCAAGACACTCGTCTTTGCCAGCTCGATACAGCTATTCAAATGGAGCTCTGGCAAGAAGCCTACCGGTTTGTGCTGTATTTTGTGGATTGTCACTATCTATTAGATTGGAAAGAAAGTTCTCGGAAAAAGTTCGACTGAAATTTCTTAAAAACGAATCCACCAATTCAAGAACATTTTCTTCTATTATTTACAAGTCGACTCCAAGAAATTACTCGTAAAAAAAACAATGAGTGCAACTTTTCCTTAAAATTTTAGAGATTTTTGATAAATTATTATTTTCCAGCTTAAATTCAGCTCACTTTTTGCACGAGAAAAACGATTCCTTATGTGGTAAAGCTAACATAAATGAGAAATGCGCTCTATAATCTCTATTTTTGATCAAAAATTTTTTTTTGTCAAAAACTTTTTGAAATATAGTAAAGTTTATCAAAAAATCTGGAAAGAAGGAAAGAATTTATGGTTTGGTTTTTGAGAAATCACCATGCAAACCTTTTTCCGAGAACTTTCTTTCCAACCTAATAGATGTTTTCTTCAAAAAGTCAAGCTACCGGATAGCTTGGTTAGAGCAAATTACCAGAAAGTAAAGCAAAGGGTTCAATCAAACTTTTTTCGAGAACTTTCTTTCCAACCTAATATGAAGAAAGATAAAAGGCTTAAAAATTGCGCTTTCTTACAGAAATTATCGTTATCTCGTAATTTCTGATAATAGATGACAGATAACGATAATTTCTACAAGAAATAGCAATTGTTGAGCCTTTTGGCTTTATGTAATATAATCGATGATTTGAATGTTATTTACAATTTTGAAATTCAGATGCGAAAGACGAGAGAAACGAGAGCGCCACCGTAGCAAAGATTAGTTGCAAAAAGAAGAAATCTCTTCCGTTTTTATCTCATTTGTGATATGATATTGCTCACGTATTTCCATCCAATTGTGATATTCTGTGCTCTTCTCAGTACTTTCAGTTTCTTCAACGCTTTATTGTCTTGACACAAATCTTTTCAATATCTTTACTTTCTCGCAATCAATCCGAAATGCACTGGTCGAAGCAAGGTCTCAACAACATCTTTCTCGAGTTGTTCCAACTCTTTTTTCACTTCTTTCAAGTCACTGGAATGATGTAATTTAAGAAGAAAGTATTTAAAGTACCGTACTTTCTCTATTAGTGCATCCAAAGCTTTGCCTAAATTCCTCGAAATCTCGAGAACCGCTTATCAGAACCTATCGATGTGGGGACGGGAAATGTAGTTGACGATGAGAGTTTGTGGGGGAGGAGAGTGTTGAGCTTCTGGGAAAAGCTTTGAAACCGTAAAATAGTCATCAACTCGGCTCGCCCGAGTGCACTACTATTAGAGAAAATACGGTATATAAAGTTTAAAGTTAAAGTAAAGTATAGAGAAAGTATATAAAGCAAAACTTTATCAAACCTTTGCTTCTTGCCGGGAGCTGTGCGAAGCTCAATATAGTACTTGATCTTTGGCTCAGTTCCCGAGAAATCACTGTGCAAACTCTTTCCGAGAACTTTCTTGCCAACCTAATAGCACAGCTAGCCAATAACTTAACATTTTTGACATTCTCAAACAACCAATTGCCTTATATTTCTGTTGTGTTTGTTGTGTTTTCCCTATTCTTTCAAAAAAAACTGAAATTTTTATCGAAATCTCAAAGAAACATCATAAATATTTTTTTTAGAAGAAAATGATTTAGACTAAATTTGAAAGTGCTAATCTCACAATTAGAAAAACAAAGCAAATATTTGTGGTCTATGTACAAGACTCTATTGGGATAGCGGTCAATAGAAAAAAATTTCAGAATTTTCAATGCAACTGCTATCTCCATATGGGATGAAAATTTTAGGGAACTGGGACAAATGCGACCTTTTTTTTTGCGCACCCGGACATTTGCGCACCTTTTTTTCCGCACCTTGCCCATTAGCGCACCTTTTTCGCGTTTTAAAAAAAGCTCTAAAAAGCTGATATTAACCAATTTCTATTCCAAATGTTGTTTTTCTAGGTAATTTGAGGGTGTCGAATTCTAATTTTGACATAACTCCGTCCGTTTGTTTCCACAAGCTCTGATATGTCAAAATTTCGATTCTACGCCCTAAAATTACCTAGAAAAACAACTTTTGGAATAGAAATTGGTTAATATGAGCTTTTTAGAGCTTTTAAAACGCGAAAAAAGGTGCGCTAATGGGCAAGGTGCGGAAAAAAAGGTGCGCAAATATCCGGGTGCGCAAAAAAAAGGTCGCATTTGTCCCACTCCCAAATTTAAAAAAAAACGAATTCGAATCACGTAGAATTGAAGATTTTTAAAAACTGAAAACAAACATTTTGTCAAATATTTTCTTACCCAATCGTGTCAAGATCAACAACCCAAAAAAGGATTCGGCTTTTCATGGAGACACCGGTATTCACTGTTTTCCAGTAAGCCATAAAAGCATGCTCAATGAGGAATTGCTTTGAAATATTTTTGATACTTCTGATTTTCAATTCTCGAAGAGCATACTCTATGGATATCAGTTTTTTTTTGTTTTTGTTACCTTAACATTCAAAAAGCTAAAGTTTTCAATATCGGGATGGGAAAAAAAATGGCTATACAAATCATTTTTCATTGGATAAAGCATCTTCAATCGGTTTCCATCAAATCGTCGCCACTCTCACCGTTCGGCGTTTCCACTGCGCTTGCCAAAGGTTGCATTTTCCTGAAAGTGTTTTCAATGTTTAAATGCTCTTTCTTTCTACCAATTTACCAATTTTTGATGTTTCTGAGCACGACTTCGACGAGATCCCGAATTCCAAATGTGGTTCGCTCATCGTAGACGAGCGCATCCAGCAGCTCCATCCCACCCTCATTCACCACGAATTGACAATATCTATACATTGTTTATTGTCAAAAATACCTACCGTAAATACTGTAATTGGACCCCACTCCTCTAATAGTACCCTAATACCCCACCCCTCTAATAGTACCCTAATACTCCACCCCTCTAATAATACCCTAATACCCCACCCCTCTAATAATACCCTAATACCCCACCCCTTTAATAATACCCTAATACCCCACCCCTCTAATAATACCCTAATACCCCACCCCTCTAATAATACCCTAATACCCCACCCCTCTAATAATACCCTAATACCCCACCCTAGAGGGGGAGGGAAAAAATAGTACCCCATGGGATCCAATTACAGTATTTACGGTAATTGAACCTAACCTAATTTTCGAATTAAACTTTTTTTTAATAAAGACTTTATTTCTTACACCCACTTGTTAGGATCGGTTGTTGTGAGATTGGCAAGTGCCCAAGCGGCCCAATGCTGACTCGCGAAAGCATGCCACTGAGGCAACAATCTAAATTTATAAATAGAAATCTTTATTCTTAAATTTATTCGATTTTTCTTTCATTTTTAATACCAAAACACTAAAAATGAGGGTTTTTCTCACCTTAAAATCGGGCGGAAAGATCGATAATTGATAAAGCGGCGAGTGTCAAGTTTCCACATTTCGGTCGCCTAAATCATTAGAAAAGATAAATAAATAAATAAAGCTTTAAAAAAAGCTGAAGAAAACACACGCGAACAATGTGTTCCATGACATCTTGTCGACTGATCGACACACCACTCCACGCCTCATCGCCGTCAGAAACAATATGGGCCAAAACACCGGCACTATTGTATGAGATCTCGATCGAGTCCTCAATCAAATCAAGCAGATCCCTGGAAATGAATTTGGTGTTCACTTTCTTGCGCATTCGCCTACCAAAAGATTTTGATGTACTCGTCTTTCATGAGCTGAACACGCAGTGAATCCACTTCGGCAATGTTCCCAATGAGGCCCATCATGTTTCTCACAAGCTCTCGCTCTCCCCGAAACGATTCATAGCATTTGTGAAAGAGTTCAAGCCCCGAGGCACTCAAGAACTTTTCACAGTTAACTGGTGTTTCATCTTAAACTTTTAATAGACTTTTCAAAGTTCTTTCACTAACCAGTGATGTTCCAGAGGAAACTCCAGCCAACTTCCATGACATCATCACAAAGATTTGATTGCAGTTTTCGACGAATTTGGTTGAGAATCATCTGGAATCTTTTATATAAAAGATATAAATAAAAAGAGTATATAAAAGTGTCTATTATATACAAAAGAATAGTGTCTGTCTATCTGTCTGTCTGTCTCTCAATCTGTCTGTCTATCTGTCTGTCTGTATATCTGTCTGTCTGTATATCTGTCTGTCTCTCAATCTGTCTGTCTATCTGTCTGTCTGTCTATCTGCCTGTCTGGGCATTTTCTCAACTTTGTTTCGACGAATAAAGCTAAAACTTCTTTAGAAAATCTTAGAATATATTGTAGAGGTGCCCCTTAAAAAAAATTCGGAAATCAAAGTTCGGTGAAACACCCGGGAATCGAACCCGGGCCGTGGGGGGCCGCAGACAAGCGCGCTGCCGACTGTGTCACAGTGGCAGGAGCTCATGCTTGCTGTATGCTCTAAAATATCCAGCCTGAAAGCATTCAGCTGGTCTTTCAATAACTCAAATCAAACCTCGATTGCTCCAAGAGAGCCGACTTGCACTTTCTGATCTCCTTCCACATGACAGGCCATCGAATTCAACAAGAACACGACGATTCGTTGAGTCAAATTATCCGAGTTATGATGCTGCAACACTTTCACCAACAATAGCGCCAATCGACTAAAATTTCTCTTCATTCTCTTACCTACATTTTCTATTACCTATAATCAAAAAGGATTTCTTGTGGAATCTCGAATTGACAAAGAGAAAGGCAACAATTTCGCACCATCACTTGCTCCTCCATATGGGTTTCCATGCCTGAATTTTTGTTTTGAAATGTAAAACTGAAAATTTCAGTAGCTGTGGGTCGTTAAGGATAGGATTTCAAAGAGGATTTATATCTGTATTGATTTTATTTTATTGATTGCTTGGATTCGTTGAATACAACCTGTATAAACTTTTTACATACCGCTTAGAAGAGCCGAAACAACGCTTTTCTTTGTATCGCGGTTCATGTTAACTCGTCGAATAATGTAGAATAGTGAGGCAGAACCAGCTGGAAAAAAAAGAACCAGGTTTATTCACACTTTTTAGTGAGTACCAATTTGTAGAGTTGAATCGTTGAGATGTCTTCGCATTGCTTCAAGCACTAGATGAAGGGCTTCGGTGTGTCGAGTCTAGATTTTTCCACGTCATTCAATTATTTTAAGCACAATTTAGTGTGTTTAGATTTAGGATTCTTTTCCGTTATACGTCCACAAAATTTGCATTCCGCTAATTTGCATCCTTTCATGAAAATGAACAAGAACAAGAATGAACAAGAAAAACCCACAGAAAATTCATTCTTTGCAATTCTTTTGCTATTTCCTGACGCCGCGGCGGATTCATGTTTAGCTTACCGACTTCGGTAGCGACTTTCGTTTACCGTTGGCGCATGTGCGAGTAGTAAACAAGATGCGGCGTTGGTGAAAGAAAGAGATTGCATCGATTTCGGTGATCGATGCAATCTCGTTCTTTCAACAAAGCCGCATCTTGTTTACTACTCGCACATGTGCCAACGCCAAATTGCTACGGCATCGATTCCTCATTCATCTTATTTTGATGTTAATTCTTTTTTTTGATTATTAAATGGTCAGGAGTTATTTTTGCGGATGTATAGCGGAAAAGTACTAAATTTAGTTTATCTAGTTTTTTTTCACGTTTTCAAAACAATCAAAACAAACCACAGGATTCGTATTCCCAAAGCGATAAAGTTGATAACTTTCGTTGAGAACCGCTTGCAAAAGCCCAGATCTATCTATGTACATTCGGAGAGCCGTTATCACCTGGTATTCATTTCTTAAAATCAAATATATGTACTCTTTAAACCTGTGCTTCATTTGCATCTCCAGAAATTGTCTTTGCCGGAATTTCAGCCACATGCGAGGCGTTGTCACAGTTGAAAAGTCCAAGAAATTCGAGTGGTCTCTTCAAGAAGACAAGCCCAGCAATGTCGGATCGAATGGTACCGGTTCTGAATTGGGATTTGCATAATGAACAGCGAACTTTTAAGCATTGTGTGGATCAAAAGCTATGTGGATCAAAAACTATGTGGATCCAAAGCTATGTGGATCAAAAGCTATGTGGATCCAAAGCTATGTGGATCAAAAGCTATGTGGATCCAAAGCTAGGTGGATCCAAAGCTACGTGGATCCAAAGCTATGTGGATCCAAAGCTATGTGGATCCAAAGCTATGTGAATCAAAAGCTAGGTGGATCAAAAGCTATGTGGATCCAAAGCTATAAAACAAGCTATGTGGAACAAAAAAATAATATAGAAGAAATTTTGGACTTACCCTGGTGCTCTATCAAAGGGGCTTGGTTGTGCGGCGAGATTTGTACCCGAAATGTCAAGATGCGTGAGCTTTGGCAAATTTTGAACCATCTAAAAATAAAAAATTTGAAGAAAACAGAGAAAAAAAAGACAACCTTTACACTCTTTAGACTTTATTTCTGATTTCTGATTAATCTAAATCTGCTCTCATAAAAACGAACTTTTGTCAATGCGGTGACCGGCTGTGGATAGGAGCCTGTGTCACGTAAAGATTGCGATAAATCAAGATATCTGAAATTTAGGATCTAAATTTAGACTTCAAAAAAACCTTTTACCTCAATTCATTCATCGAAATAATTGTGTCAAGAGCACGATACAAATCAGGCACATCATATAGAATTAAAGTCGTCAATGCATGGGGATAAATACACCGTAAGTCTTCTACCTGAAAGAGAAAATCATAAAAAAAGAAGAAAGATCTTTTTCCACCCTTTGCCAATAGGAGAGGTCTAAAAGCGTGAGTTTTTTGAGTGGTTGAAGGGCTTGTTGCAACAACTCGTTCACCAAAATATCTTCATCCTCGACTGATCGTTTAGTCTGAAAGCTTAGTTTTACAGGATTTCAATGGACCCAGTTCAGTGGGCCTAAATTGGTCAAAATTCAGTCAATTCCTCTCATTTTTCTAGAGATAAATCTTAAGTATATCTCCTACAAGTTTGCCTATTATCTAATCGATTCAAGCTTTCAACTTTTTTATATAACCTTTCAAAGTTGAGAGCCGAGTGTCCGCTACCCATTTATGAAATTTTTGAGAGCGATCTTCTCAAAATCTTGTTTAGATTGAATTTATTATGTTAATGAAAACGAAATTTCACATGCTTTAAGGAATTTAAGTGCAAAAATTGTTGAGTAATCGCATTAAACCTTACTTAATATTTTAATATTTAAAAAAAAAATATATTTTAAATCCCACAAGTCCCAAAATTGACTTTCAACTTTGAAAAGTTTTAATGGCTTCTTGTTCTTCTTTAATGACCATAAATCGTTCAAGTAAAAACAGCACATATTAAGTAAGGTTTAATGCGATTACTCAACAATTTTTGCACTTAAATTCCTTAAAGCATGTGAAATTTCGTTTTCATTAACATAATAAATTCAATCTAAACAAGATTTCGAGAAGATCGCTCTCAAAAATTTCATAAATGAGTAGCGGACACTCGGCTCTCAACTTTGAAAGGTTATATAAAAAAGTTGAAAGCTTGAATCGATTAGATAATGAGCAAAGTTGTAGGAGATATACTTAAGATTTATCTCTAGAAAAATGAGAGGAATTGACTCAATTTTGACCAATTTAGGCCCATTGAAGTGCAGCGCTATAATTGCTGCTTTGCTCAAGTCTAAAAAAGCTCACATATAAAAAAGTAATCCAAACCTTTGGTAAATAGAGTGCTTTAATGTTTGGGCATTTGCTGGTGAGTGGTCGAGGAGGAGAAGGATCTTCATTCAGCTCAATTGTCATTGATGAAGATGGCATCGCCATAACTAGACCCTCGTCATTCGACGGCCATGGAGGAGGAGCTGCATAGTACCAACTAGAATCTTGATCGTTATCAGGTATAAAATATGAATATTGCCTAATATCTTGATCATATGGATGATTGGGAGTCGGTCTCAACAAGGGTCCCCGTCGCTCAATGTGCTCACTCAACGCTTCCTCGCCCAACATCGGCACCGTTCGTCCATCAATCCCAGCTGTGCCCAACTGAAAGACGATTTGATTACTTGTGAACTTGATTTCCATATAGCAAGCTTTCCTATTGTCACATCAAAGCCTTCAATAATTGTTAAACAATAACCGAATCTTTACCTTTCTCTTGGGCTGAGCTGGAGCCAGAAGTTCTACAGAGCCGAGGCGTAATGTGTCCAAGCAATTTAGCTGAACATCTCGCTCTTCAAGCAAAGCATTCGCTTCTCCATTGATACCCTAGAAATTCATTTGGTTAGCAAGAAAGCCTTTGATTGAACAGTTTGATCTGGAATCTCTTAAAAACGAATCCACCAATTCGAGAGCAGTTTGTGTTGTTAAACTGTTGTTTGTAAAGTGTTTGTTAAAGGGAGTAATCTGAAAAGTTAATCAATAGATCAAAATTTGCTCTAATCGTAAATTTTCCCTGTTTTAAGTACTTGATTTTCAGATTTTGAATGAAATCCATTACCTATCCATTAACCCATTAAAAACTTGTCTAAAGGTTTGCCCGATAACAAGAGCCAAGTAGTTAATGCACTCTTACCAGAAAGTAAAGCAAGGGTTCAATGATACTTTTGGCACAAGAAAAACGATTCCTTATGAGGTAAAGCTAGCATAAATGAGCAATACGATCTATAATCTCATTTTTTTACAGAGAAGCTGTATTTCAAAAAATCATTTTTTTGTGTCATCTTGGCACTAAGTATTTGTTAAAAAGGTCACTCTGAAGAGTTAAAGCAATAGATAAAATTGCTCTAATCGTAAATTTTCCCTGTTTTAAGTACTTGATTTTAGATTTTGAATGAAATCCATTACCTATCCATTAACCCATTAAAAACTTGTCTAAAAGTTGATCACTTAAAAAGTCCAGTCCTACCAAAGTCACTTCAGCTGAAGATCGGCTGAAGATCTTATCGCCTAAGCCTAAGCCGACTCTGATTTTTATCGGAAATTTTTCTGAAATATGTTCAATTTTATTAGAAAAATTAGGAAAGAATTCATGGTTTAATTTTTTAGAAATCACTATTCAAACTTTCTTGGCCAACCTAATAGATTTGATTTTGAAAGATAAAACTTTTGAAAGGATTCAGTACCTCAACTTCACTGAGATCAAGTCTCAAAAGGGTGTTTTTTTGAGCAGCGAGGAGATCGACTAAAAGATGATCATCAATGCGTGCACCCGTTAGATCCATTGTTGTTAATGGCATCTTCACCCCGTCACACCAATATCGAAGCGCTTTGCAAACATCGCCTCGACTTGGGCTCTCCTCCTAGAATATAACAGTTAAAATATCTGTCTTTTATTGAATAGTTTGCTAGATTTCTTGAGTTGGTAAGATTTTGTTGATTGATTTTTAATGATTTATCATTGAAAGATACCGTTTTACAAGCGTTCCATTGGCTACGAAGTTGTTTCAAGAGAGCATGACTAGCAACGAGAGGAATCGGGGTTTCAAGATCACGTGAACACGATGGATCATTCCAATCTCTCAGTACCACCTAAATATTAGCGTATTCTTGTAATTATAGATGTAATTATAGATGTAGTTATAGATGTAATTATAGATTTAAATTTCGATGAGAAATTGTTAAACAAACCATTGCGCTAAGGTCGGAAAGCTCGGGCGCGCGAAGTGGTACATCTTCAGCGCCCATCGAATATTCTAAAGTTTAAAGTATTCTAAAGTTCTAAAGTTCTAAAGTTCTAAAGCTCTAAAGCTGACTCTAAATCTATTAAAATTCAAGAATGAAGAGAATTCTGTAAATCGATTGAGAGAAAAACAAGTGTGAAATTTGTTTTATCTTTGAATCATTGAAAATTAAAGAAAAAAAACATCAAGCTTTACTCAAAATTCGAAAATGTTTGAGTTTAATGCAATGGAAATCAGGAGAAAAAAGGTATTAAAGAGTATGTTAACATTAAACAGTAAACAGTATGTTTTTATAAAATAGGGCATTGATTTGGAAAGAAGGAGAGGTGAGGGGGATGACTGAAAGATCGAGGTAAAAGGACATTTCTCTCTACTAGTAAACAACCCCACTTTCGCAACCACTCATTTCTTTCCATCATTATTGATAAATCAGTTTTTCAAGATTCAAGATTCTTAAAAAGTACAAAAAAGGAGATAAGGTGTACTTTTATTTGATTAAGCACGTTTTCACGATTCGAAACCCCAAGAATAGAGATTTTTTCGAGAAATTCGACGATCGAGATAAGGATTTTTCAACAAAAAAATTTTTTTTTCTTTTTTCCCCTTAACCAGTCTTTTTTACAGGAAACAAAACAAGAATTCAAGGAAAAATGCAGAAAACTGAATGATTTGCTTAGATGATAAGTAGTAAAGGGTGAGAAAAAAAAGCGATTCACGAGTGAATCATCGCGTAGCGGGAAGAGAAGACTATAGGCGACGATAGAGACCCGCACAACACACGGAATTTCTCGTCACGTTCGTTTTGTTGCCCGTTTTTTTTTTGCTTTCCTTTTTCAGTGTCATTGGTTCCTCTTTTCACCCAACCTTTCCCTCTTTTCTCTAAACGCTTAATTTGGCTTGAAAATCAATTCCCTGTCGACGTCATCTCTCCGCAATGCCCACCCCAAAATCCCTTCTTTACTCCCCAAAAAAAAAGCTCTACTTTTGCGTGTGCCAATATAATCTCAAATTCAAGAAACCTGTCAGGAATTCTATCGAAAAAATTGAGATTTCTTGAGCAATCACATATTTTAAAGCTTTATAAGAATGCAGGAATGCAAAACAAGACTGCAGGAATGCAGGAATGCAATAATTCTCTCTACGAAAATTGATTGAATACAATGGGTTAACTATTGATGTGATTGAATAGCATCAAATCGCTTGAATGCCTTGTTTAAACTTGCATTCAATGACTTGCCTTGAATGCCTTGTTTACGTAAAGAGTCAAAAATCAGAAACGATGAAACGCGAAAAAAAGGGGAATTTTTGCCAACAGCAACACCGGGGGAACAACGTTAGCGGAAAGGAAATGAAGGCCCAAAAATGGGGCAATGCGGTCGAGAAGAACGGAAAAAGGGACAACGGCGACACACAGATCCTCACAAACACACATAAAAGAAGAAGAAGAAAAAGAAAGGAAAGATGGTGGAGGGGATCCTCGAAAACGGAACCCTTCTCTCGAGCATACATCACTTCCGCTTTTCCGCTTCTGGCTCGGCTAACATATCCGAAGCAAAGCCTATTTTGCGAATCGTATAAGCACATAAACTATTTGAAAAAACCAATCAAATTCTATATCTAAAATTTTGAGTAATTGATTATTGATGTTGCTGAATCAATCGATGTTGCTCAACAATTAAAAAAAAACAATTAAAACAATTAATTTATAAAAGCAGATGTTCAATCTGATTTTCTTAAAATAAACAACAAAAGCAAAAGAAAGAAAAACAAAGATTTGACTAAAGAGAAAGCGACGGGTAAAGAGAAAGCGTTCAAACTAAAAATGTAAATCCTCGTGAAGAGGGGAAAGTGATTTGCTTGGAAAACGGTGTGCCGAAGTTGGCGATGATCACGAAACGGATGTTGGGGCAGTCAGCCGTCTGGTGAAAATAGTGAAATGAAATGAGAGAGCGAAGAGTGAAAGAGGTCCTTGTTCGGCCAGTTTCATGTGTCTGCATTGCCTCGACTCTGCCCGTCTTTTCTCCCCAACTCCTATCCTATCCATCGCAATCGATTGCTTGTGCCGCTTCTTCAAAAAGCTTTTTCAACCAGCGCCCTAGCGTTTCAACGCTAGCATTTATGCAAAATACTCAACGTTTACTTTAAAGTAAATAAGTTTTGATGAGTAAATAAGTTTTGTGTTTTGTTTAGAGCTTTTTAAAACCTCTAAAGAGTATGCTTTTTTAAAGTTTTATAGAGAATTGTATAGAGAATTCTATAGAGAATTTTTTAAGTAAAAAAACTCAGCTTGAAAATAAGAAGATTGTAATTGAATTTTTGATTAGAAAAAGCTATTATGAATTTGAATCAATAAAAACGAGTTGATGATGGGGAAAAGAGGAAAGGATTAAAAGAAAAAAGATTAAAAAAAAAAAGACAAGTTCTCTTTCTTTTTCCTTTATCTCTTTACGATCCAATCGAAATCGAAACTTATAGACAAGACAAAAAAATACAAAAGCATGATTTTTCTTCGAGCAAAACAGTCAAATCTCGTGACAATTTTCGCGATAAGATTCGACGCTTTGCTAGCACTTTTTTTTTGTTGATTTGCCGAGTCATTCTCTGATATGTTAAAGAAAAATGAAGAAAAATAAAGAAAAACTCTTAAAACTCTATAAAGTCTTGTAAAAATTGGTTAAAATAACAATTTGGAGTAATGCCAAAATACCGGAGGTCCCCGAGGGTCACGTGAAATATCGCCGAATAAAAAGAACAGCTGATTGGAGGGGAAAAGAATGGGTGAATAAGTGCGAGAGTTACCAACATTCGCAATACACGCAATCGCTCTTATTTCTTCTCTTTCCAATAAAGAAACTCGGATTTTTGAGATCTGAGTATCTTGTTTTCATTCGATTATTTCACCCTTCACAATCGTGTTTTCCAAACGAAAACCCGTGCTAAAAGCCTTCGATTTTGTAGCCCAACCACTACAAACACGAGCCTGAGCATTCTCGGAAATAACAACAACTGTGCTTTGCTCGAATTTCTTTTAAACTAGATGTTTATTAAATTTCTTTTTTAAAGATTTAATAAAATATGAATTAGAAATTTTATTAAAATCAAGAAAAAGAAAAAGTCGAAAAAGAAAAAGTCGAAAAAGAAAAAGAAAAAGAAAAAAGAAAAAGACAAAGTCGAAAAAGAAAAAGAAAAAGAAAAATGCAAAAAGCTACCCGAACAAACTAGCAAGCAAGCAAGCAAAAATTATTTAAGAATTGGCAATTCTAAAGTAAAGAAACAGAAATTATGCGACATTGAAAAAAACGAACGTAAAGATAGAAAAGGTTTTGATGCAAAAAGAAAAAAAATTGAAAGGCCCGACGTTCTGAAGTAGTTATTTTCCTTTGGCAAATTTCATGTAGACGTTGACGAGCACGAGGAAAATGCACAAAATGATTGGTCCAATGATGGCTCCCTGTAATTATTGGATTGACAACTTGAAAGTTGGTACACTTATTCATTGCACTTTTTAGAAATAATGCCAAGTGCGCCAATTAATTTACAGCTTTTACCAATAAAAAGGCTCATTTATTCTCTAAAACAGACTTTTGACAGCTTTAGAAAAGTTTTAGTTTTGTAGGTTTCTTGGGGACAAGAAGTTGGGGAAGCAAAAATGATGAACACTCGATGAAGCGATTTGAGCACTTTCTTTCACATAAGTCTATTTTGATGTTTATAGAAAAAAGATAGAGCCTGAAAAGTTAGGCAGTTAGGCAAAAGGCATATAACCGAATTCTCAACTTTGTCGAATTGTCGAATCGAATCCAATTTGTCGAATTGCTGTTTGAAGAATTTCCCAAAAAAAAGAAACTTGAATTTTTGCTCAAATTCATTTCAAAAGTTACCCCAATTTACCTACCGTAAATACCGTAATAGTACCCGACCCCCATAATGACAGTGCGGAGTGTTGCGTAGTCTAGCTTTGAACGAGTTTTTCTCGACACTGTTTTATGCTACAATGCACGCTTTGGTATCAAAAAATAGCCCTGAATTTCAGCTATTTTTTGATACCAAAGACGCATTTTTTGAAAGTACGGGCGCTTTGAAAAAAATGAAATACTAAAAAACTTTTGCGACTACGCGACTGTACGAGGGGGGTGGGGTACTATTACAGTATTTACGGTAAGCATTTCTTAAATTAGATAATATAGAAATTTGATTTCAAGAAGTCTAATTGAATATTCAATTGGCGTATTTAAAATTTTTTCTGGGAAATACGAAAAAGTGTATCAACTTTCAAGTTGCCAATCTACTTGCAACTTAAAAGTTGTACAAGCCAATCAAGTTGTAGTTGTATACTTGTAATAGTTTTCCAGAAAGATTTCCCAGAAGACTTTTCAGAAAAAATTTTCATTTCTTTTCATACTTTCATTGAAAAATAACGAATTCAAAACTGAAATTCAATGAAAAAAACAAATGAACTTCTAGTTTCCTCTAAATAAAAGTGCTTATTGTTCAATTTCCTATCTTTTTACGTCAATTTCGGTTCACTTTCAAGCAAATTCGATTTGGAAAATATGTATTTTTCGTAAAAATCTATAAAAACCTTACAAAGAAATTGGCTGAATCGATTTCTCTGAGAATTTAGCTATATATTTAACTTTTTATGCTCTATCTTTTATCTATTGACACGAAGATCGGTTTCTTTAGCTAAAGTGTCAAAACCGTATCATCGAACTGTCTTTTTGACTGCCCAACTTCACGCGCCCAAAAAAAGTTCAGACTTAAACCCGTTTGAATGTTATTTTGCAGAAAAATAATTGATCTTCCTGATGAAACAAAAAACGTAGTTCATTTGGTGCATTTGTTGGTTTTAAACAAAAGTACGAAAAGAAATGAAAAGGCTTTCTGAACAGCTATTGGGTTGGTGAATTGAAAACTTTCAATTCCATCGATTGTGTTTTCTTTTGCTGGTGATTCAATAAATTTCTACGAGTTGATGGGAAGAAGAACTCTTACAAAAGACAATTATAGAAAATTTGATCAAAAAATGTTTCAGAGCGTACTCACGATTGAAAACTTACCACTAAACATTTCGATATAAATGTTATTGTATACTATAATTCATTAAAACTATTGAATTGGTGAATTGAAAACTGCGGGCTATTGTCATATGTGACAGTTTGAGCACTTTCTTCAAAAGAAACCCATTTTGGTGTCAATGGAAAAGTTGTAGAGAATCAAGAATTAAGCTTACGAAAGTACGGAAAGAAACGAAAAGACTTGTTTGTCAAACTAACAGTACTAGTAATAGGAAATTAGTTTTATCTTTTTCCATGGTCTCAAAAAAGACATTTTAAAGACAAAGACATAAGACATTTTAAACCCGTTTGAATGTTATTTTGCAGAAAAATAATTGATCTTTCTAATGAAACAAAAACGTAGTTGTTTGAAAGAAACAAAATAAAACAAAAAAAACGTAGTTTACCGTATTTCTTCGAATAGAAGACCGGGTAAAGAGTATCATCGCGTACTCCTGCGTAGCAACCCTTTTAAAATTTCTTTTCTGCATAAAAGCTTTCAATGAAGTGCTATAGGGCTGGAAAATGACTCAAAAATCTGTTAGCTCATGTGGTATTTTTGAGTCATTTTCCAGCCCTATAGCACTTCATTGAAAGCTTTTATGCAGAAAAGAAATTTTAAAAAGGGTTGCTACGCAGGAGTACGCGATGATACTCTTTACCCGATCTTCTATTCGAAGAAATACGGTAATTGATGCATTTGTTGGTTTTAAACAAAGTACGAAAAGAAACGAAAAGACTTTCTGAACAGCGAAAATCTTACGTTTAGTAGTAGTATTAGTATTATTTATAATCAAATTTTCGTATTATGAGGTGCTTAGTGCATTGATTACAGTAGACACTTGGATAACCCACCTGCAAACTCAACCAGTACATTCCGCCAATGACGGCCAAGCCGGTTACATACGGATGAGCATATCTAAACAACTTTTTACTAGTAAATTTCAGAAATTTGTTTGTAAATTGATTAGTATATAATTAGAAATCGATTTTATATTAATTGAAATTTGTTTAACTGACTTGACTTCTTTGTAGAAAGCCGCATCAGCAAACATCACCGGCGCAATGCTAATAATCAGGAAAACTATCGAAGCAGCCGTCTAAAATCGTATCCAAATTTTGTATTGTTTTCTCAGAATGTTATCGAAACTTTAAATCTTTAAGAGATAGCAATTTAACTTTAAATCTTTAAGAGATAACAATTTAACTTTAAATCTTTAAGAGATAACAATTTAAAGGAGGAATCCGAATTAGGACCGTTTCTCACTTTTTTGTTTATAAATAAAAAATAAATAATTTAAAAACTGTGAATCTCTAATAAATCTAAAATTAATCTAAAATTAAACTAAAATTATCTAAAATTATCTAAAAGGATTTATCTAAAAGTCTAGGTCAATAAAACCCGTGTTCCGATCGAAAGTCCAATTTTCTTCTTTGAATTCTATTTTATACCATTAACAGATTTTAGTGAGAATCGTTGTTAATTCGGATCCCTCTTTTAAGCCTTGACGAACCTCTCCTCGAACAAGGTACAACTCAAATAAGCCAAAAACACAAACGATGTAGGGAGCCATAATTGGAATCGCAGCGAAAATTGCGGCAGCCACTAAAGTCATTTTGTTGTTTTTACATAATGAATATGCTTTTTGTTTCTATTTTTCTATTTTCTTTGTGTATTCCGAAAAAACTTAGATCAAATATTGGATAAAAATGTCTAGATTACGGATGAAAAGTTGACTCATTTTCTCAATTTTCTGGCCGAGTGGTTAGGAATCTTGTACCATGGCTGAGTGGTTAGGAATCTTGTACCATGGCTGAGTGGTTAGGAATCTTGTACCATGGCTGAGTGGTTAGGAATCTTGTACCATGGCTCAGTGGTTAGGAATCTTGTACCATGGCTGAGTGGTTAGGAATCTTGTACCATGGCTGAGTGGTTAGGAATCTTGTACCATGGCTGAGTGGTTAGGAATCTTGTACCATGGCTGAGTGGTTAGGAATCTTGTACCATGGCTGAGTGGTTAGGAATCTTGTACCATGGCTGAGTGGTTAGGAATCTTGTACCATGGCCTGGGTTAGGAATCTTGTAGCCTAGTCGGGAGGTCATGGGTTCGATCCCATCTAGAGAATTCCACTCTTTTTCCATATACAAAGTTTCTCCAACATCCTTAGAGCAATAGGGGTTGTGCTGAGTTGTGTATGTGTTTGTTTGTTTAACATTATTCAATAAATATCTACTTTTAAACGAATTAGAGACACGTTCGAGTTATTTTACGTGTTATTACTTACAAGAGGGTACAAAAACGATGTTTAAATCGAAAAGAGAATGCACGAAATATGTGTAGAGACCGTAAAAGATCGACATCTTGATTGAGAGCACAAATACACCGCTAAAAAAATCCTTTTACTGGATTTTTGAAAGATTGAACTTACAAAATAGCTTGCTCGACAGCAGAAGTGATATCATTTACTGTTGAAGACTCTTGCTTGGGTATGGCTGGAGTTGGAGTGCCGACTGTATTAAAGAGAGCCGTCAATTGACTTGCCCATTCAAGTGGTAGCCATTGATCACGCGAGCTAGCCAATAAGTAATAAAGCATCGTGAGAAAAACGACCTGAATAGAGTTTTTTTAAAAAAGAATAGTCCTTCATTGTTTACCCAAGCAATCAACAAATTCAACAAATCCATTCCAAATCCAAGAAGCAAAGTTGCAAAGGCGCCAAGCACTCCCGATAGAAAAGAAATATTTGTGGCTAAAATCCCCCAAACCGAATGTGCTACCTGGAAATTTTGTTTAACTCTAGTTGAGCTTTAAAAAGTTTTACATTCAACAAAGTGTCAACATTATCTTTAATGATTAATGTTAACTCTTCTTTTAATGCATGAAGATCGGTGACTGAAGTGAGCTGTTGATACCAATCCTTGTGAACAACTAAAGTCGAGAATTTACTTTCTGATGAGGATTTCTGATGATTTACTTTCTGATGATGAAGCAGACGGTACAAAGTTTCGTTGTTCCCATAAACGATAAACATTATCGACAATCTAATTAAGATAAATTTGAAAATGAAATCATTAAACCTTCTTGATTTGCTCTTCAAGCATATCAGCACGAATTGTGTCTTTGGGATCAGCGAGTGAACGAACATTTGATGCCAGCCAAGCTCGTCCCTGTTGATAAGCCTAAATTTAGAAAAATAAAAGTAAAAGTTTAATGAATAACTTGTTCAACATAGTTGTCAAGATCAATATCATTGCTTTCCAATTGCTCTTCAGTGTAATTGAAGACAGTTGACAGCCATTCAGGACGAGAGTTGATCACATTTGTTGAAAGACGAACAAGATGAACCTGAAATTGTTGCAACAAGCTTTTTTTATATGATTACCATTTCTCCATGTAATTGAAATGCGATAAAGATCAATGAAAATAGAGTGCCAAGAGCCAGCAAAGCCATCACAACAACTGAAGAAAGAACATCCATATGAGCTCGAAGAGACGAGGTGAGCAACTGATCAGAAGTGAATAGCACCTGAATTTTTTATTTTAAAGCCTGGCTTTTCAACTTTAAAGAATAGATTGAAGTTTAAAGAATACATTGTTCTTTTCATTGTTTTTTTACAATGAAATTTCATTGTTCTTTCTTTTTAATCTGTGGGCGGGAATTAAGAGATCTTTGTTCAACTTTAAGCCATTCAGTTTTAATGGAGATTTTTGAAAAAAAAAAACCCCCTAACTCAGAGACTCAGTTTGTTGCGCGTTTTTCCAGTTGAATGGCTCCAGCTCAGGCATTGTTCTCTTATTGTTGAAGAGTTTTCGGGGCTACTGGATGGAGGACCTCATCGCCACGCCTCTTCCAACTGCCCCAATCTCTCTTCGACTCTCCTCCTCGTGCATACATGGGTAAAAATAGCGATTATCTATGTTGCTGGGCCCTTCGTCTTTTCTAGTGTGTTCACTCGTTTTCAATCCATGTTTTCTACTATCAATCCTCATGCTTATCTACTTCCTGTTCTTCCTTTTTTTCTTCTTTCCTTTTTTCACACTTCCCTGTCCACTTACTCGTTTCCAAATTGCTCGCATTTGCAAGAAAAAGATGTGTGAAAGCAGTTACTTAATCCGAAACTATTTCATTGTCATTGTCAAACTTTGCATTCATGCTTAAGTTCTTCATGCTTATCTACGATATTATCTTATCTAATCTTCATGATAATCTACTATCTACTATGACAAGAAAAACCGATCGAGCTACCAGTCTTGTTAAACAATAGTTTTTGAACAGATATCACAAACTATTTTATCTAAAAAGGTTACCAAAACTTTTTATATTTTATTTTGAGTAAAAAGTTAGGAAAAAGTTGATGTCTAGTCAAGGGAGCACTCTTCTTTTGCGAGGGAATGCACCGCCCTTTCAACCAAATCTATCGAATGCCCATTTTTGAAGAACTCGTCACTCAAAACCTTCACCAATAAGCTAATTTTCTTTTTCTCATCCGTCAACACATTTCTATTTCTATTCATGACACTGGACAAACATTTTGCTTTTTATTACTGAAAAACGGGTTTACTCTACTACCATTTATTTCAAGTTTTCACTTTTTTCTCTATAGATTCTCTCTTTTTTTTCTCTCTAAAAATTCTCTATAGATTTGGAAACTTTTAACTTTACTAGCAAAAGATTTTTAGAATTTAGCCAATGAAAAAATTGTTTTAGTAATTCACAGAGCTGAGCTTAAATATTCAATTTTCTCCAACTAAGCAAATAGACAAAATTTCATCTGAAATTTGATGAATTTGTCCATTTCGTGATGCGAAATTTCGAAAACTAATATTTAAGCAGCAATACTTTTCTAGTTTCAAGCTTTACTTTCTTTACTTTTTTTCCATTCGATTTAAAGTAAATCTTTGAATCTTTGAAATCTAATTGATCACTCAATTCTGATAAACATTTTCTGATAAACAATTTCGAAAACTGATATTTAAGCAGCAATACTTTTCTAGTTTCAAGCTTTACTTTCTTTACTTTTTTTTTCATTCTATTTAAACTAAATCTTTAAATCTTTGAGATTTAATTGATCACTCAATTCTGATAAACATTCTGTAAATTAAATCTGAAACTGTTTCAAAGGATGTTTAAAAACTTTTCTTTTCTTTTTTATACACTTTTATTTTCATATAGCTGTCTATTTGACAAGATTGTTCATCCTTTTCACAGGTGCCGCACGGGAGAAAGTTGGCGCTAAAAAGCTAAGGCGACGAAAGAAAAAAATGGTGGAGTGCGTATTCACGGCGTAAAATGCGATTACCGCCTTTGGCTGTGCTAGGTGGCCTCGTTTTTGGAACAAGGGAGACGAAGGGCTGGGAGGAGGAAAGCACCTATCTAACACATCCATATTCGACATCATTTCTCGATGATGGACCCTGTAACCTGGATGAGCCGGGAGCAAGGCCAGCTAGGCTTATCGAGACCATCATGCACAACTATAGCCGGTACGATATCACTCGTTAGCTTAAGTCAACTTATATTATAAAATTAAGGCCTAATTACACTGATGATTGAAAAGAAATGTTAAAAGAGAATTCTTTTCTAAGCAAATCTAATATCACATGTTTACAAAGTTTGCCTATACGCGTCATAATTACCCGGAATCATTTCCAAGGGTCTAACTCAGCCAAAATCAAACTAATCTCTCTGATTTTTTTCAGACGTAAATTTTGACTAGGTCTTCTGTAGCAGTGCTCAATATTTAGTCGATTAGAGTAAACACAAGTTTTGTATAGGCTCTAAAAGTTGTTGAGAGTCGCGCTTCCGTTTGCACGCAATGGTTTCTGAGGTTTTTAGAAAAGTTAGTTTTGAATTAAATTAAAGAAAAAATTCTACTAGTTTTGGTCAAATTAAAGGAAACTTTAACTAGTTTTGAACAAAATACGTTAAATCTTAAGAATTGGCAATTAGCTGCTTCAAAAAGAATGATATTTTCATTTCCCATTTCTGATTTCCTAAGTAGCTTTTAGATTTGTTGTTTAGACTTCAGAATCCAGCTGGTTTTATCCTCTCTTTTTATGATTCTTCAAACTTGAATGGCTTACTTTGCATGACGAGCTTTTCATTGCTTTTCAAAAACCAAATTCAGAAAGAATGGTAGTTTAAATACCAAAAGCCATTGCGTGGCAACGGAAGCGCGACTCTCAACTTTTAGAGCCTATACAAAACTTGTGTTTACTCCGATTGACTAAATATTGAATACTGCTACAGGAGACCTAGTTAAAATTTATCTCTGAAAAAATCAGAGAGATTAGTTTGATTTTGGCTGAGCTAGACTCTTGGAAGTGAGTCCTTGTAGTTCTCGTTTCAGAAACGAGATCCCCGAGCCTCTACCAGTGCCTGTTCAAGTCGAAGCTACAATTCAGGATATCACCGAACTCTCTGTGTTAAGTAACAGCTTCACAGCAGATATTTGGTTTAGGTTAGTGAGAAAATAAGGATTTTATCTTGTTTTATTTTAAAAAATCTTATTTCAGTGCTATCTGGCATGATCCTCGATTAGCTTATGGTCATCTTGATCCTTGCCGAGCTAATCTTTCCTTCGATGACAGTTTTGAAAGGGTGAAACTTTTAAAAACGAATCGAACATATGATTTTAAACTTATCAACCTTATCAATAATTTCAGTTGTTATGGTCACCAAATGTTTGTCTTGTGAATACGAAGAATACCCGGGTTCACAGCTCACCGAAACCTAACGTCTTGCTAATGTTAATGCCAAATGGAACTGTATGGTTAAACTATCGGGTAAAAGTTTTTCTTTTATTAGGTTAAGTACTATACTATCTTCATTAACTGTTTTAGAAACGTTGAATCGATCAAAAAATTAACGGTTTTTTTATTATTGAGGGGGTGGGACAAATGCGACCTTTTTTGCGCACCTGGACATTTGCGCACCTTTTTTTTGCTGGAAAAGGCCTTAGAGCTTCAAAAATGTGTTCATCGAAGGGAATCGTATGCGTAGATTTCGAATTTCGACAAATCAGACCTCGCTGACACGTCAAATTTGGGCTAAAAGGCAAAAACTACGCAACTTAACGCTTTTCCGCAGTTTTTGCCTTTTAGCCCAAATTTGACGTGTCAGCGAGGTCTGATTTGTCGAGATTCGGAAGCTACGCATACGATTCCTTTATATGGAAATATTTTCGAAGCACTACGACCTTGCCTAAGGCCCTTTCCAGCAAAAAAAAGGTGCGCAAATGTCCAGGTGCGCAAAAAAGGTCGCATTTGTCCCACCCCCATTATTGAAAAGCCCTATCTTTTTTCTATAAAATGCTTCTCAAGCGTTATTAAAAAGTAGTCTTTTAAGAAATTTCAAGAGGTGAAAAGGCGAAGTTTGTCAATCTTGTCAAAGTTGTCAAAATTATCAGAGCCCGGTCATGCAATTTGACTCATTTCCTTTACAGAAACCTATTTTAATGTAAATAGAAAAAATATAGAGCAGAAAAAAAGTTAGGAGTATAGCAAAATTTGCAGAAAAATACTCGTTCCACTCTTTTCTATTATCTTCTTTCTCTTTTAAGAATTTACTTACAAATTAGCATCATATCAGGCCAAAATTTGTCTTAAAATACTTAAATTAACCTAAAACACTTTTTTTTTTTCTGTTTAGCAATTCAACGTTTATTTGAAGAAAAGTAAAAAAAAAATAATGAACAAGGGATACGAACAGAAATTAGATTGACAAACAAATCTTTTCTCCATAATCTTTTTATAAAATCAAAAATTCATACATCTATCTAAGGTTTACTTCAAATAAAAAGGGTTTATTGTTCGATTTCCCATCTTTTTATGTCAATTTAGATCCGTTTTCAAGCAAATTTCGCAAAAAAAAATCTATAAAAACCTCTACGAAGAAATTGGCTGAATTGATTTCTCTGAAAATTTAGCTATATATAATAACTTTTTGGGCACTATCTTTTATCTATTGACATGAAAATCGGTTTCCTTAGCTAAAGTGTCTAAATTAGACTTGCTTATCGATATTATCGATCCAAACGGCAAGCTCATGTTTGACCGTTCAGATCTCGGTTTCTAGAACAGCTATCAATCTGAAAATTGTTTCATTGGAAAGCCAAGAATGTCACTTTTTGATTGCTATCTCCCACAGAGCAAATTCTGCGCCTTAAAAAGCTTCTCAATACTTATCGATACTCAAATATCGATAAGCTTATCGGTAAGTATCGATAAGGTTTATGAGGTGCTTACTCATTAAAAGTCGCTATGTATAAAATAACAATCAAAAGCTGACATTCTTGGCTTTCCAATGAAACAATTTTCAGATTGATAGCTGTTCTAGAAACCGAGATCTGAACGGTCAAACATGAGCTTGCCGTTTGGATCGATAATATCGATAAGCAAGTCTAATTTAGACACTTTAGCTAAGGAAACCGATTTTCCGAGATTTGAACGGTCAAAAATGAGCATGCTTATCGATATTATCGATAAGTAAATCTAGTCTAAACCGTATCATCGAGGCGTCCTTTTGACTACAATTTTACGCTCTCAAAAAAATCCAGAAACAAGACATTTTAAAATTATTTCAATGTTATTTTGCAGAAAAATAATTGACTTTTTTAATGAAACAAAAACGTAGTTCAATTGGTGCATTTGTTGGTTCTAAACGAAGGTACGAAAAGAAACGAAAAGACTTGTTTGTCAAGCTAATAGTACTAGTAATAGGGAATGAGTTTTATCTTTTTTCATGCTCTCAAAAAAAGACATTTTAAAGACAAAGACATAAGACTTTTTAAACCCGTTTAAATGTTATTTTGCAGAAAAATAATTGATCTTTCTAATGAAACAAAAACGTAGTTGTTTGAAAGAAACAAAATAAAACAGAAAAACGTAGTTCAATTGATGCATTTGTTGGTTTTAAACAAAATACGGAAAGAAACGAAAAGACTTGTTTGTCAAGCTAATAGTACTAGTAATAGGGAATTAGTTTTATCTTTTTTATCTTTTTTTTTTAGGTTCGTGTCTCAGCACCTTGCGATATGGATTTAACGCTATATCCCTTTGATAGTGCCACTTGTCAACTTGTCTTTGAGAGCTATTCCTACAATACAGCAACAGTGAAAGTGGATTGGATGCCGAAACCGGTGACGATCGTTCCCGGGGTTGAGCTCACCGATTTCACATTGCTTTCTGCGAGTACGTCAAGGCATACAGAAGTGAGCTCACAAAAATATCCCAAAGCTCAAACGGATTTTAGGTTTATAAAGCCGGTGAGTGGTACCGTTTGTCGATAGAGTTGAAATTCAAAAGAGAATACAGTTACTACATTCTGCAGGTGAAAATTTTGAAGCAAAATTACAATGGAAACTTTTTTGCAGATGTATGCGCCAACGTACATTAGTGTTTTCATCTCATGGATAGCATTTTGCATTGACAGCAAAGCGTTGCCAGCTCGCATTGTTCTTGGCGTCAATTCTCTAATGTCATTGACTTTTCAGGTTACCTTATGCGATCTCAAATGCGCAAAAATGAAAATTTAGTTCGGCAACATCATTCGCTCTTTGCCACCAGTTTCTTATATCAAGGTAGACTAGCTGAAGACCCGAATTCCAAGAATTTAGCCCAAGAATTTCTTTAGGCCATCGACATTTGGATGTTCACATGTGTGGCTTTCATTTTTGCCTCCTTACTTGAGCTATCTTTTGTCGCTTATCAGGTAAACCAAAAAACCATACCGTAAATACTGTACTAGTACCCGACCCCCATAATGACGGTGCGGAGTGTTGCGTAGTCTAGCTTTGAACGAGTTTTTCTCGACACTGGTTTACGCTACAATGCGCGCTTAGTTATCAAAAAAATAGCCGAAATTCAGGGCTATTTTTTGATACCAAAGACGCATTTTTGAAAGTACGGGCGCTTTGAAAAAAATGAAATACTAAAAAACTTTTCCGACTACGCGACTGTACGAGGGGGGTGGGGTATTATTACAGAATTTACGGTAAGTACTTTAAATATTAGATTTGTTTGTCTTTTTATTTCCATGGAAAAGAATCCTTTACCAAATTTGTTCCGTCTTAAACTATTAAAACAAAACATTTCTCTACAAAATGGCTTTTAAGAGAAAGCTCAAAGCTTGCCTCAACTCGGTAAAAACGATAAAATTTTCAATTTTTATTTTAAAGAAAATCGCTGAACGGATTGTTTTCAAATTTTACAGACTTATGCAATCAAATGAGCTCTATCTTTTTTACTTTATTACCAAAATAGGCTTGTGTTGAAGAAAGTGTCCAAATTGCGACTTCAGCCAGCATCGAAGCAGTTTTGAGTACTCGCCTTTGTGCCTTTGAAAATCCACAAAACAACGACTTTCGAGAATTTTCCAAAAGCCATTTTGCAGAGAAACAATTAACTTTTTTAATAGTTCAAATAGAAGTTTTGTTGATGGCGGTATTATTTTTAATAAGATGTTTCAAACAATTGTAAAGATCTAAAAGTTGCAACTAGCAAAGAGCAAAAATTTGCACGCCACCGGAACTCGAATCCGCAACCTTTGGCTTACCGGGCAACTGAGCTAACCATTAAACCACAATGCAATTGATCTATCTCACTCCAGAGAAGGTTAAGTAAAGATCAACCTAATATTTACAGGACAAGAAGCTCATCCTTAAATCAATGAAAACGAATCTCAACCTAAATACGTTGGTGGCTTTTGTGAAATCATTGGATCCCTTTCGAGCAGCTGCACATATTGCCGAGGATGAGGTAAGTTTTACAAAAGATTTACACACAAAAAAAGAGTTCAGGAAGAGCCAAGACGTGAATCTTGTGATTCAAGAAATATTGAGCTCGAGGCTCAGGAAGCTCGAAAGAAACGCGAAATTTACACTAGAAAGAAGATCAAAATTCATGATTTTGGCACGAAAGTCGACCGATTTTCTTTTTTCGCCTTTCCTATGGTTGGTTTGACGACAAAAAAGTTTAAAATAAGAACATTTTTTAGAGTTTCTTTGCTTTCAATGTTTGGTATTGGACTTATTACTTAACGCGATGATATCGACATTTTTTTGATTTTAACAAACACTCAACAGATACGGGTTTTATTTTGTGATACTTTAAAAATGATTTCATTCGAAATAAAGAGAGTTTTATATTCTTTGACTCACGAACCTTGACAAATTGCCTTAAAGGACCGGCCACGGTGACATCAACGACTTTTTTGATTGTCGGATACGTTGTTTCGAAGAAAGAACTTGAAGTGGTTGAAAGAAAGTTGAAAACGCCGAGTACTTCACCTGAAAATGTTAATGCTTATTCGATATTTGAGATTTGCAACTATTCTATTCATATCATTGTGTAAAGTACCTAGACGTCGTAGAATTGCGAATAGGAATGGCACAACAATGATGACAAGCGCTGTGTCATGACGAACGATCCATCTAGATTCAAGTGAGATTTAAAGTTAGTTTTTTGACTTAGTTGCTACATTAGTATACATTTATTCATAATAATTTGGTAAAAACAATCCACAACCCCTAAGCCCTAAATGTCAAAAAGAAAAAAAATCCATATATCTCGAAACCCAATCAAAAATCTGGCCATCGGGATTGAACCATTGACCTCCCGTTTGAGATACCAGGCTCTTAACCACCGCCATGAATACAGGACTTACAAAAGGGCACAGAGTACAGCGATAATTCGAATAAAGGCATCTCCGGTGAGAGCGCTGTCCAAAGATTGGAGTGATTGATGATTGACTTCTGAAATCTTTATTGCCATTTCAACTGCAGAGAGTGTTCAGAATTTTTTTTGCGCATCAACAAGAAAAGCATCATGACCTTTTCCCAAGTATTTACCAGTTTTTCCGAAACTCTTTCAGCGAAAGCCTTGCATCGTTTGGAGTTTGAAAATGTCAAAATGTAATACATACGTCGATTTTCCTAATCCTAATCCTCAATTTGACTTTTCTTCGGAGAAAACCCGGATGCTTATTTACTTTGTAAACAAGTGATTGCGACAGAGATTTACAAAAATTTAATGTGAAGAGAAAATGCGCTAGATTAGTGCGTGAATACATTTAGACATTTATGGGGAATGCAAATCAGAGTTCAGAATTCAGAAATTTTTTTCATTTTTTGCTAATTTCTTAGCTGAATTGCATACAACATTTCACAGGATTCCGATTTTTCATTTTTCATTATCACATTTTTACTCGTACCCGTAGTGCCAGGTAATCGCTTGGGTCTCTCTGGCTCGATCACGTCTTTAATCTTTTCTTCAGCCTCATTAAGCAAATTTTCTGCAACAGTTGGAGTAGCTAAAGGAGTCGATAATGCTAATAATTTTCACATGTAAACATTACTTGTTGAAGAGTCGTGCTCTTCTACATCGACTCTCAATAATCCAGCCGAAAGTGCACCCAAAACAGCGGCCGATCCGCCAAAAAAGAGCACTCGAAATGGCCCAAACCATCCAGAAATCCATGAAAGCCCGTAAATCCTAGATAATATTATTTTTCTATATGTTGAATAACTTTTTTTTAAGTAACCTACCAAATTGGGAGTGATAATGAACGAGCGAGCTTTTTGTTGATTTGCTTTCGATCTTGAAAATAAATCCATGTCGCATAGATTGCAAAGTAAAGAACAACCAATGGGAAAATCTAAAGAAAGAGAAATTTCAATAAATTATTACCGATTTACCCAAGGTTTCCCAAAGAAATGAATAAATGAATCAAAGATTTGATAGACTCGTCCTATCCAACTGATCACGTAGACAAATGTTCGCTCATAAGACAAAATCTTCAACAAGATATACACCGATGCAATCATTCCACCAGTGGCGCTAAATCAGTTATAAGAGTAAAATATAAACCTTTTGATTACCTCATCGAAGTATTGAAAACAATCTCTGAGGCATTGTACAGTAACTTGTAAGGAGCGACGAGAATCGCGATGCTCAACGGTGTATCATTATCTTGCAGATTTTCTAGCCACCCTGGAAAACAAATCTTTGCCTACAATCTTTGCCACAATCTTTGCCTACAATCTTTGCCTAGAACTGGGCCCGGGTCCATCAATTGCTAAATTTAGCAAAATTTTTGGGTTTAGCTTGCTATTTATTTAGATTGTTAAATTTAGCAAACTTTCGCTTTGCAAAATTCAAAGCATTTAGTAAGTTTGAACTTAAATTTAGCAAAATTTAACAAAATTGTTTTAGTATTTAGCATTTAGCATTTAGCACTTATCAAAATTCTTAAATGCTAAGCTGCTAAATTCGTTTAGCAAAATTGCTAGATGGTAAATGGTAAAAACTTTGGTGAACCCCGGGCCCTGAATGTGATCTTTCGTTTGTATTGGGTGGCATATGAAAAGGCTAAATTTTGTCCAGATTTCCCCCAAAGAAACACCGGATTTCAAAAAGTTCTTTTATGATTTATTGCTAGTGAAAACCTATGCAATAATCAGCTTTTTTTAATCAAAGATTCCTGCGGAGCAAACGATTTCAAACCAATCATTATTTTCATTAGCGTTTTTAATAAAAAGCTAAATAGCTTTCCATTTCATTAAGAAATCCCGAACTTTAACGCTTTAAATTATTCTCAAAACTCAAAAATATATTAATAAAATTCACTAAAATCTTTGAATAGAAAAATATTGATTAAAAATATTGAGCTAATAGAACTAGTCAAAGTTCATCAATCATCAATCAAAGTGAATCGAATTATCGAAAAGTTTCTTCATCATTTCATCATGAAACTTTTTCTGCTATTAGCTTAAGATCTAACTTTTCATTTTAACCAAACAGAAATTAGATAGCTCGAGGAATTTACATACAGTACTGAACAATGAAATATCATATTTGAAAAACGATCGTCACCTTCGCGTGTCTGTAACTCCCTTGTCTTTGAGTTTAAACTATTAGTGTTATACATTTTCTGAAAGCTCTTTTCAACGGCTACACAATGGTAATATTAATATTTAGAAATACGGTAAAGACAAGGGAGTTACAGAAGCGCGAAAGTGACGATCGTTTTTCAAATATGATATTTCATTGTCCAGTAGTGTAGCTAATATTAAACACAAAACTAGTTAAACAGCTAACATTAAACACAAACTTTGTTTTAAACAGCTAACATTAAACACAAATATGATATTTCATTGTCCAGTAGTGTAGATTAACAATCATGATTTTCATTAGCGTTTTCAATAAAAAGCTAAATAAAACGCTTTCCATTTCATCAAGAAATCCCGAACTTTAACGCTTCAAATTATTCTGAAAACCCAAAAATATATTAATAAAATTTTTCATATGCATTGTTTCAATACTTTCGCAAATTTACCTTGTGTTATATCAGTGACTCTTCTTTTCAGTGGGAACATCACAGTGCCAACGAGGACCGCCCAAAGCATTGGAGTTAAGAACATGTACATCATATTGTAGAGAGCAGCCAGCGCCGCACAAACGAGACCCAACTAAATGCGAAAGTTGAAAATGAATCGGATTTTCAAATCACATGGACAATGAGCAGGTTTCCACGTGATTATCCCTATCTAAATCTATTTTTGGCCAGTCTTGAAATCATTTCCTTTACTAATTCCTATTCCTATTTCATTTCCTAATCAAAGCTGAGCTTTTAAGTATGCAATGAGGATTGAATATCTTTAACATCTTTAACCAACCATGACAAACATAGCCGTATTGTAGAGAGCATTCTGAAGGGCCATTCGTTGTTCGGGATTCGATGTGAGTCGATTCACCAAGGCGCCGCCTCTCTCCGCCATCGTTTTTGTCTGATCTTGATTAATCGCTTTTACGATACAAAAAAATATGTAATCAAAGGAGAAAATCAATGAAACAAAGAGAGTTTTTTCAAGAAATTCCGTTAAAAAGTCAAAATTCCGTTTCCATTCCATCAGAAAGTGTTTCATATCAAAAACTTTTGTTGTTCTTTGTTTATGATTTATCAATAAAGTAGGTTTTTAAGTTTTACATTAAGAGAGTGGCAAAATAGCTTGCTAAAGATAAAATTCTCTTTAATGAATTATCAAAATTTATTGATAAACAGATGGTATTCAATAAAAGGATCGATAATTGCTCTAAAAAAGAACATGTAATTTCCCATGCGTTGTTTACGAAAATTTGGCAAATTTATCACAAAATGAAACGATTTTTTAATCTTTATTTGAAATAATCTGATCTAAAAATCTAACTGATTTAATATTTCAAGCCATTTCTTTTCCTTCTTATTGTTTTTGAAGGTTGAAAGTTGCCAAAGAAGAAAAAAAACACCATGTTTTTCTTTGTTTAGAACATGAGTAAAAGTGTTGTTGAAAGTATTGCTTTGTTGTCGCTGAGTATTGCTCTCTTTTCTTCAAAAGCTTGATAAAACTAAAACTATAGACTTTGAAAATTAAACAATATTTCAGCTATGAAAAATGGCAGCTAACGATGATGAAACAAATGAACACTCACGAAAGGATTCAACAAGTTATTCCATGTTTTCTGACGATCAAATTCTCGTTGATGCACTAATTTCACAAGCGCTTGAGGATAAAATAGACGATTCGCCAAATAGAGGAGTTGATAGGTCGGTGTTTAACCCAAAAAAAATCGAAAATACGCCAAATAAAAGAGTTGATAGGTAAGTGTTAACGAAATTCAAGCCTTTTTCACCTTTCTTACTAATCCATAATCTTTAAAAGAGATTTGTTTCTCGAAATTTCAGACTCGAGCAAATCAACATTGCGATAGCTGCATGCAAAGAGAAACTCCGAGAATTTTCCCTTCAAGCAACTCCTGTCGGAACGCCTACTGACGATTCTGGTCACTCGATCAAGAAACTCCTTGTAGATAAAATTGTGGATCTTGGCCTGGAAAAGCAGAACTTACAAGTTTTCTTGAAAACTTTAAGAATAAAATCTGAATCTTTTTCTAGGATGCTCAAGAGGACTGCGTTGAAATGAAAAAGTGCAATGGGCACACGTTCGTCTTGCAATCGGCTCGCGGAAGAAATCCGTGCTGCGAGGTGTGCATGGGGACGATTTGGAGACTTGTGCAATATTGGAGACGATGTAGGGGTAAGTTTTTTTAAAAAATCACTCATTGAACAACTTTCTAAAATACAATATAGAAACTTGTTTAGCCTGTGGGATGCGCGTGCACGAAAAGTGCGCCGAGGATGTGCGAAGGGTATGCGCAGCGGTGATCGGACTTCAAAGCGATTTCCATTTCTCAAATAAGGTATTCCTTTTGACCAATAAAGCTAAAATTTCTTTAGAAAATCTTAGAATATATTGTACTTATTTATAATAAAAAAATGGAAAAAGATGAAGATTGAGAGCATGACAAGGGGTCGAACCCGGATCGTGTGGGCTCTAGAGAAGCGCGCTCCCCACAGATCAATGTGTAGTTTCTGGTCTCTGGCTAGGATTAATGTGTAGTTTCTGGTCTCTGGCTAGAATTAATGGGTAGTTTCTGGTCTCTGGCTAAGATCAATGTGTAGCTTCCGCTCCCCGCGACATGAGATCAAGCCGGCAGAAAACCCGCTCTTATCCGAATTTTCTTTCGGATAGTCAAATAAAATTATGCAAAACTAGATAAGCTTTTAGATCTGCGCGGAAGTTGGCTTATTGCACCAAAACTACAAATGCGCCGAGTGCGAGCATCCACTTTCATATGGTAAACTTATAGCTCTTCTCAATTGCTATGAATTCCAAACATTTTAAAGTGTAAAATTTTAGATTCCGGTCCATCAGATGAGCCAAGACTGTGCGAGTTGACAGGCTTGTATTATTGCCCAAGTTGCCATTGGAATGACGAGTGGCCGATCCCGGCTCGTCTCATTCACAACATGGATCCAACTCCTTATCCCGTGTGTCGAGCCTCGAAACAGCTACTTTCTGTGACACAACATAAGGTATATCAACAAGATTATCTCTTACAATAAACCAGAAACTTGTTCAGCCTCTAATTGCGATGCTTGACACAAATCCACGCATGTTTGCTCTTCATTCGGGTCTCAAAAAAGTTCAACGCTTTCGCAAAGATTTTCTCATCATGAAGTGCTATTTTATTAGTTGCAAGGTAACGAGAAATTTAGATGCGAGATTAGATTTTCAGCAATTTTCAGAATGCCCGAAGTCTACGCATTCTACAATATTTGCGACAACATCAGCACTTTGTTGAAGACGCCAAACTGTATACTCTTGATGAGGTGAGTTTAGAAATCACAAACAACCGTCAAACATTGTAATTTATCATTAACTACAGTATCTTTAAAGTTTTCATTTTATAAAATCGTTTTATTTAGTTAAAAGAAATCGCTCTTGGTGGTCTTTGTCGTGAATTGGAAGACATTCACACTGTTTTTCGGAGGCATATTGAAGATGAGTGCGAGACTTGTCGTGGCAATGGTTTTTACTGTGAACTGTGTGCGACCGATGCTGGCAGAAATCAAGTTTCAAATAAAGCAAGACTTCTAAAAAAAACAATTTCTAGATTCTGTTTCCTTTTACTGATGGGATCTCGATGTGCAAAAAGTGCTACTTTGTTTTCCATAAAGCGTGCTATGAGAAAGCACAAAGTTGTCCGAGGTAAGTATTCTGAATAGGTAAATAATCAAATAAAATCTTTATGCAAAATATAAGGAATATTTTGAAGTATTATTATTATATGAAGAAAGATAAAAGGCTTAAAAAATTGCGCTTTCTTACGGAAATTATCGTTATCTCGTAATTTCGGGGGTGAGACAAATGCTACATGCTACAAATCATTTTATTGAGACATTTCATGGATGATTTATGTGTAATTGCTCGCTTTAGAGAATTGTGTCATTGAAGAGAGTTTTTATGAGGGTGGGACAAATGCTACCTTTTTTTTGTGCACCTGGACATTTGCGCATCTTTCTTTTGCTGGAAAAGGCCTTAGGCAAGGTCGTAGAGCTTCAAAAATGTTTTCACAGAAGGGAATCGTATGCGTAGATTCCGAATTTCGGCAAATCAGACCTCGCTGACACGTCAAATTTGGGCTAAAAGGCAAAAACTGCGGAAAAGCGTTAAGTTGCGTAGTTTTTGCCTTTTAGCCCAAATTTGACGTGTCAGCGAGGTCTGATTTGTCAAAATTCGGAATCTACGCATCTATGAAAACATTTTTGAAGCTCTACGACCTTTCCTAAAGCCTTTTCCAGCAAAAAAAAGGTCGCATTTGTCCCACCCCCCGTAATTTCTAATAGATGACAGATAACGATAATTTCTACAAGAAATAGCAATTGTTGAGCCTTTTGGCTTTATGTAATATAATCGATGATTTGAATGTTATTTACAATTTTGAAATTCAGATGCGAAAGACGAGAGAAACGAGAGCGCCACCGTAGCAAAGATTAGTTGCAAAAAGACGAAATCTCTTCCGTTTTTAACTCATTTGTGATATGCTATTGCTCACGTATCTCCATCCAATTGTGATATTCTGTGCTCTTCTCAGTACTTTCAGTTTCTTCAACGCTTTATTGTCTTGACACAAATCTTTTCAATATCTTTACTTTCTCGCAATCAATCCGAAATGCACTGGTCGAAGCAAGGTCTCAACAACATCTTTCTCGAGTTGTTCCAACTCTTTTTTCACTTCTTTCAAGTCACTGGAATGATGTAATTTAAGAAGAAAGTATTTAAAGTACCGTATTTTCTCTAATAGTAGTGCACCCAAAGCGTCGCCTAAATTCCTCGAAATCTCGAGAACCGCTTATCAGAACCTATCGATGTGGGGTCAGAAAATGTAGCTGACGATGAGAGCTTGTGGGGGGATTTGAGTATTGAGCTTCTGCAAAAGCTTTGAAACCGTAAAATAGTCATCAACTCGGCTCGCCCGAGTGCACTACTATTAGAGAAAATACGGTATATAAAGTTTAAAGTTAAAGTAAAGTATAGAGAAAGTATATAAAGCAAAACTTTATCAAACCTTTGCTTCTTGCCGGGAGCTGTGCGAAGCTCAATATAGTACTTGATCTTCGGCTCCGTTCCCGAGGCGCGAAGTGTTGCGATGCTTCCATTCTTCAAAGTGAACGTGATCATCTCAGAAGAAGTCGAAATTGGCAACAACTAGACTTTTATTCTTTATCCAGATCTGTCATTTTATTTACCGGTTTATTCCCTGGTTGCGAGTTGTCATAACCAATCGTCAAATCTCTCACAAATTCTACATCATCTTTGCCAATTTTTGATGGATACTAGAAAAAAGAAAGACTTAAATAAGAAAAATCACAAACTTGAAGATCTTTCCGAAGTGAAGCGAACAAATCCTTGGTAACTTGTGGATTGGGCACAATCCAATAAGTGGATCTCACCAAATGGAAACCGTATCTACAAATAATGACTTGCAAAACTTTATAAACAGTGAAAATCTTACTCTTCATAGATCTCAAAGAGTTTTGTGTGCAGGGTTTTCCCGTTTTCGTGCAACCAGGCAGCCATTTCAGCGAAAATCGCCGCAGAACTGACACCATCCTAGAAATTTTGCTGAGATTTTCACATAAAATTCTTTTTAACCTTATCAAGCGTATGTCCGGGCATAAATCCGATACTTTCCTCCCAAGCGAGTATCACCTTTTTACCCTAAAAAACGAAATAAATATAAATTGAAAAGATTTAGCTACCTTTTTTGTAAGATCATGCCCCAGATTTCCCATCCATTTAAATCCGGTGAGCGTGATGTCATTTTGGAATCCTAAATTGGAATTCTTTACCATTAATTCATTTTACACTCTCACCTTCTTTCTCAGCAATCGTTTTCACAACTTGACTACTGACAGCAGAATTCAGAATGTAGATGTTCTAGAAATTGATCTAACTGAGAAGTTAGAGTAATAAAGTAAAGAAATGAATGGCAAAAGATTTGGAACCGGAAAATTAAACCATCGACCTTCTGCTTACCAGGAAGATGCTCTACCACTGGGCTATCGACGTCCTCTTTGCCCAAGAAGAAATAGGAAAGATAAGGAAGAGAAAAAAAGGAAGAAAGAGAAACAAGTGATTACCTTGAGATCAGCGTCCGGGTTCCTCTCACGCCAATTCTTCCAAATCCACCAAGTCATCAGTGTGCCCATTTCGTTGCCCGTGAAAATATACCATTCACCACTAAATTTACAATTCATAATAAATTCCCAAGTTGTAGCTTAGAATTAGAAATCGGAAATTATTATAGAAAACCTACGGTGATTGCCTTTCAGCCATTTGAAGCCGATCGGCGTCTGGATCGTTGGCAAGAACAACAGTCGAGCTATTCAAATCAGCTGTCTTCAATGAAAGGCTTAAAACCTAAATTGAAAATTCATGGCTTTTCAAAATGATGATGAAAACCTTTCTGCCCTCTTCTGGATTTGGAAAAGGTATGGTGGGAAAATCCGGATCTGGTTCTTGTTGTTCCTATAAAACAATTATATTTGATGATGTGGCTTAGAAAAATACCTTGACACTGAAAACATGATCATCTCGAAAACCGAATTCTCGAAGCATACGCGTTGAATAGTGATACCCAATACCATGAAATGCAGAATAAGTGAATTTGAGTGGAGTCTTTTCATTGATTGAACTGAATTTCATTTTTCGTGAATCGATTTTTTTTCCTCACTGATAATAATTGTTGCATTTCTCGGCTTCAAAATATGGATCAATAGTAACATCAGCTGAATGAAGAAGAGGATTATTCTAAAATTGAGATAAGAAATATTTCTAAAAGAAAGAGATCTTTCTTTGCCACCTCTAGTTCACTCAAATCCCAATAATCATCGCGTGGCTGTGGTTCAATCTCTTTAAACTTCACAATCTCCACATCATGAGGTCCAATAATCTAAAGAACTTTTATAAATTTCTAATTTGATATCTAAACTTGTGCTCCATTGCTCCAATAAGCCTTGTATCCGTTGTCTTCCTTTGGATTATGAGAAGCAGTAATCATTAAACCGGCATCACATTTCAAATGAATCACAGCCCACGACTGAAATCTCCTTTTCCTTAAAAAACTCTGTTTTTTTCAAACCACAACAGGAGTTGGTGCCACTTCACTAAACAAAAACACCTTAATGCCATTCTTGATGAAAACATTGCTTGCCAATTGTGCAAATCTAAAAAGCTAGAATTTAAAATGAGATTTTAAGCTTGAAAAAAAACCGTCGACTGTTATGACGACCATCGAATCCAATCGCCACACCACGGCTCTCACCGGGAAACTCTTGCTTGAGATATCTGGCAAAGCCATGAGTCACCTAGAAATCTTATTTGTTCTACTTCTTTCCCTTCATCTACCTGAATAATCGTCAAATCGTTTAAACGAGCAAATCCAGCTTGCATAGGAGCTCGGATTCCTAAATAGGCGTCAAGGCTACGAACAAAAAATTCATCGCCTACCCGCTGTCCCAAAAAGGAGTTGCCCGTTCATCCGAGCTGTCAATCCATCCACATCTTTCTCTGCCACCAAATGCTCGATCTCAGCTCGGGTTTTTTCATTCTAAAGCAATTTAAATCATGAACAAAATCCTTAGACTCACTTTGTCCCATTGGAGCCAATTGGCGACTTTCGCATCTAACTCCGGGCAACCCAATGTCATTTTCTAAATCTTTAACTTATTGCTAACCAGCCAACCAGCTAGCGGATTTTAAAACTATTAGTGTTGTCCATAAGTGCTTGCCGTTCTTAAATTTGTGGTTTCTTAAAAACCAGCCAACAGTTTCATCTGAAATTTCTATTGAATAATCTCTAAGTATATGCTAAATAGTAGACAAAATTTGATGACGATTGCTTGGTTCTGACGATATTCTGGATCCTGTTTTTCATTAGTGTTTCTAAAGAGCTGAGCGAGTCCACAAAGAGTAAAACAAACACATCAACGTTAGGGGGCTCATTCTCTCGATTCAACCAAGCTTCATCATCATCAAATTTTGGTTACTATTTAATGTAGTTATAGATTATTCAGTAGAAATTTTAAATGAAACTATTGGCTGATTTTTAAGAAATCACAAATGTAAAAACCACAAGAACTTACGGAAAATTCTAATGCTAAAAAAGAAAAAAAATAATGCCACGTGTTAGATGAGAATCAAAAAAAAGTATCATTATGACCTGATTCTATTTTTTTTTCTTGTCTTTTTTCCCCTTGCCCGTTATCTCTCAAGGTCACCCCTCCCGCCAGCAATCATGACCAAAGATATAAAGTCAATAAGAAACAGATTGAAAGATAAATTTCACAATTTTACAAATTAAAAATTTGATTATCAAATCCTAAAAGAGATTCTTTATAATGAGGAAATAAAAAAGATCATCGGGATCGAGTCGACAATCGCTAAGGGTCGAGGTGCGAGTGAGATCAATGCAAACAGATAAGAGGTGTCGCATTGCACTGGGAGATTTTTTCCCCCATTGCTACCTAGTTTTTGCCTCTTGAAAAGGTTTAATAGGTTTTATTTTACGCTATTGCTAATAACGCTTGCTAATTTGCTAATTTGCTAATTTAGCAATAGCAGTAAGTCATTGAAACATATTCTTTGGAGAATCAAGAAATCTGAGGCTATCGAAGGAAACAAAAGTGTTTAGAAATGGATTTTGTCAGAGATTTAAATCCCGATAACGGGTGGTTTCATTTGAAGTGGGGGAAAAGGGGGAGGAGTGAGTTGCGAAATGAAGGAAGAAGTGGATGTGGGTTGCGAAATTAGCAATAGCTTAAATCGACAATTGGGTGGAAAGTCTCTATGGTTCTATGATGAGACGGAATCATAAACTTGTTCATTGATCTATCTTGTTGTGTGTTGCATTGCGAAATGTTTGTCATTTTTGCACAGAACTTTCTCTATTCACAAATTAAAAACTTTAAAAAAGAATTCTTCGAAAACCGCTTTAAATTTGTTTAATAGACAAATGATTAGTCGAAATTTTTATTTCACTTACATTTAATCACAGTTTTAAGGCCATAAAAACGGGGGTGGGACAAATGCGACCTTTTTTTTGCGCACCGGGACATTTGTGCACTTTTTCTTTGCTGGAAAAGGCTTTAGGCAAGGCTGTAGAGCTTCAAAAATGTATTCATAGGAGAGAATCGTATGCGTAGATTCAGAATTTTGACAAATCAGACCTTGCTGACACGTCAAATTTGGGCTAAAAGGCAAAAACTACGCAACTTAACGCTTTTCCGCAGTTTTTGCCTTTTAGCCCAAATTTGACGTGTCAGAGGTCTGATTTGTCGAAATTCGGAATCTACGCATACGATTCCCTCCTATGGAAACATTTTTGAAGCTCTACGGCCTTGCCTAAGGCCTTTTCCAGCAAAGAAAAGGTGCGCAAATGTCCAGGTGCGCAAAAAAAGGTCGCATTTGTCCCACCCTCATAAAAACTCTCTTCAATGACACAATTCTCTAAAGCGAGCAATTACACGTAAATCATCCATGAAATGTCTCAATAAAATGATCACCATTGTTTGTTGATATTTTTCGGTTAAAATAAACTCGTATAAATGTTAGGTATCACAATAAAAAAAAGTTTTCGAATCAGATAATCATCGTAAAGTAAGGTGTTTAAAATTGGTGTTTTTTTTGACAGATAATAATGATATCTAAAAGCACCGAAATGCCTGAAAGCACCAAATAAACGCTTTAGAAAGCTAGGCTTTAAAAACTAAGCTTAAAAAATTAGTTTTTAAGACTAAACGATGAGGTTTTCCGAATCCGAGCCACGTCCATCTCGTTCGAGAAGTGATTGACCTCTAAAAGATTTAACTTTTAGTAAATTCTTAATGTTAAAAGTTTAGATTAGTTTTTTAAATATTTAACTTTAATCTATTGCTTTTATTAATTATGATCATTATTTCAAATATCTACCGTAAATACTGTAATAGTACCCGACCCCCATAATGACGGTGCGGAGTGTTGCGTAGTCTAGCTTTGAACGAGTTTTTCTCGACACTGGTTTAGGCTACAATGCGCGCTTAGGTATAAAAAAATAGCCCTGAATTTCAGTTATTTTTGATACCAAAGACGCATTTTTTGAAAGTACGGGCGCTTTGAAAAAAATGAAATACTAAAAAACTTTTGCGACGACGCGACTGTACGAGGGGGGTGGTGTACTATTACAGTATTTACGGTATCTATTCTTTTTATACTCGTTACCTCTTTTTTCCAGTGCCAGTGAGACTTGTCAAGCTGGGAATCGATCCACTAATGATCGAGCCGATTCGACTGCTCAACATTGACAGCTTCGACTCAGCACGCCATACGCCATTGTCGTCAAGACCACGTTGTACATGCACCTGATAATCGTTTTGATTTTTGTAAAGCTTTCACTTTTCGTTACCTCGAACTTCCCAGCGTTCAGCGCTTTCTGATGAGCTTTAAACTCGTTACATTGCAGAGAAGCGAAAGTTGGTTTCCTACAAGTTTTGCATTGTAAATTGTGATGTATTGTATTGCAATAGATGGCAATAGCTTCTAGCTTTAGCTTTAGCTTTTAAGATTCCCTTTTTCTTACTTGAAAGTTCGTAGAAGAAGACTGCTCGTCACAACAGAGACACTGCTCATTGCCATTGCTGCCGCTGCCATCCAAGGCTGGAGGGAAATACCGAATGGAGAGAAAATACCTAAAATTTTTCATATTTATTTAACATTTTATTATTTATAATGTTTTATTTTACCTGCAGCTACAGGAATCCCAATCGCATTGTAAAAGATGGCAAATAAAAAGTTCCATCGAATGCGACGCGTTGTTTTCTTTGACAATTTCACTGCGGCCACCACATCAATCAAATCATTCTGAAAGAGATTATAAGAAAGTAGAGATTATAAGTTTTAAGTTTAAAAACATGAACTTACGCGAACAAGTACGATTCCTGCACTCTCGATGGCTACATCGCTGCCAGCTGCAATTGCGATTCCAACATCAGCTTGTGCAAGTGCTGGGCTGTCATTCACTCCATCACCCACCATCGCCACTTTCTCGCCGAATCCCTGAAAGTTATTCTTATTCTTATTCTTATTATTCTTATTCTTATTATTATTATTCTTATTATTACTATTATTATTATTACTATTATTATTATAAGTCATACCTGCAGTTGTTGAATCTTTGTTTGCTTTTGATTAGGCAGCACTTCGGCGAAGACTTCAGAAATACCCACCTAGGATCTAGGTCTTGGAATTGATATTTGAATTTCTTACTTGTTTAGCTGTGGTGAGAGCCGTTTTACTGTTGTCTCCCGTTAAAAGTACAACCCGAATGCCCATCTTTCTCAGTGCCCACACAGCCATAGCCGCCTCTCGTTTCACTTGATCGGCGATCGAAATAATGCAAACAACTTCGCCTAGAAGAACTCATTAGGATGGCTTTTTCCTGAAACATTACCATTGACTGCACACAGCACCGAAATATGTCCCTTACTTTGCTGTTCAGTCAAGAGATCCTGTGTCCGGCCGTCAACCTGTAAATCTTTTGATTAAACTAAAGAAAAAGAACTACCGGAATTCCTTGTTTTAACATCAATTGTATCGTTCCCACAACAACATTAACGCCTTCGTTTGATTTCAGGGCAGCAACTAAAGCTAAGAAAGCTTAATATAAAACTTTAGAACCATAAAGATTGAGCAATTTTCGTTTCGTTTACGCAATCTTCATGACTTTGCCTTTTTGCTTACCATCTGTAACGGCTCCTTGCTTGTAAATGACTTCAGTTCCTGGCAAGCACACTTCCTCTCCGTCAGATAATTTGTTAATCTTTAGTGACTAAAAGGATCAGTATAGCTGTTTGCTTGCTTGCTTGCTTTATTACCTGCTTAACATTCGATGTGTCAAGCATTTTTGCGATTCCATCCACTCGGCAAGTGATCCCATTTCCCGGTGAAACGTGGAAACGCGAAACAGCAGCCCATTGAGAAACGTTCAAGAACTTAAGCAAAAATCAAATTTCCCCTTTTCTTTTTCTTTTGCATTACCTGCTTTGCAAATGCAGAAATAGCATTTCCAATCGGGTGCTCGGATTGTGCTTCAGCTGAGCCGATTGCCGCAATAACCTAAAGAAGTGTATTTAGTGTGTTTAGATTTGAATTTACGGTTTGCAGTGGTACTTTGTCAACCGATCGCAGCCCAATGACGCCAACAACTCGTGGTTGACCTTCTGTGATTGTTCCCGTTTTGTCAAAAACCACCGTCGAAACCTAGAAAGTTCGTAAACTACAAACGCTTCTAACTTGCTTCAAATCTGCCGGATTGACATGAGCTATAGCTCAAAAAATAGAGAATCTCAAGAGCTTTTGAATGAACTAAAGCACACTCAAAAATATCAATGCTAAAGAAAGTTACAGTGGTTTGTAGACTGACTCGACAACGCGCGAGTGCGGTTCATTTCGAGGACTACAAACAACTATAACTTCTTTTGGGTGTGCTTTGATCCCTTCGAAAGCTCTTGAAATTCTCTATTTTTTGAGCTAAAGCCTATGACAATCTGGCAGATTTAAAGCAAGTTAAAAGCATTTTTAGTGTGACAGTTCGTCATTTTTGTAGTTTTTGTAGTTCTTGTAGTGACGATGTCTAGTTTGCAAGGTTATTTCTTGTTTTCCATAAATTTACCTTGTGTATCCCTTCCAATGGTTCGCCTCCTTTAATCAAAATACCATTCGAAGCGCCAATTCCTGTACCTACCATGACCTAAAATTTACATTCATTTACATTTACATTTGAGCATAGTTACATTGATGTTCGTTCTGAAATCGGTGAATCAATGAATGCGCTTTTGTCTACACTTACCGCAGTTGGAGTTGCGAGACCAAGCGAGCATGGACAAGCAATAGCCAGTACGTTGATCGCTGCCTCGAAAGCCACTTTTAAAACGGCTTCAAATTTGGCCATAGATGTCTGTCAATTCTTTCGTTTACATTTACTCTTTTATGACATACTGCATTGGGATCAGTCCATGTGAGATAGCCAATGACAACCCACGCGAGAAGAGTGAGCATCGAAATCCCAACCACAAACGGCACAAAAACACCAGCGATTCGATCAGCTGTTTCTTGAATTGGTGCCTAGAATTTATAAATAATTATGCTTTAAAATAAAAGCTAACCTTGCTTGTTTGAGCCTCTTCAACAAGTCGCACGATTTGTGCCAAAGTGCTGTCTTTGCCGACGTGAGTGGCTCGGATAATGAGTGGTCCTTTTTGATTCACTGAACCACCAATCACCGAACTATCTGCAAATAAAGGAATTTATTTTTAGCAACCCATTTATCGTTTACCTTTCTTTTTCACAACGGGCATGCTTTCTCCGGTGATAAAGCTTTCATCAGCTGTGCTTTTCCCGTCGACAACCACTCCATCTACGGGAATCTTTGCACCAGGGACTACTTTAATTAGATCACCTCGTTGAACCTGAATGTTAGTCGTCTTTTTTCGGCGGCTTATACTTGTTACCAGTTCAATATCGATGCCTCTCTCAGATGTGGTATGTCCGTCTGAATCCATTGTGATTAAAGTTGCTTCACGTGCTTGCAACGACATCAATCGAGATAAAGCTTCCGACGTTTTCCCCTGAATTCCGTTTTTAGAGTTTTGGTTTATTGTTATCATAAGAATTGAGTTTTTTTTAGCGAATTTTCACCTTAGCTTTATGTTCAAGCATTCGTCCAAGTGCCACAAAAACAATGAGCATTGGAGGAACATCGAAAAATGTCATTGGAGAAGACTGCCAGCTGAAAGTTTTCAAGTTTTCAAAATTTTGATAATCCATTTCCGGTGCTTACCCTAGCAATATAGCTGCCAGAAGGACAGCAATTGAATAAAGATAGGAAACGGTTGTTGCAAGAACGATAAGCACATCCATATTCATTGTGCCGTGTTTGATTGCTTTCCACGAAGCGATGTAGAAATAACGTCCACCAATGATCTGAAAATGTTTAGGTGCCAGCTTTCAATTCAAATCAACCTGCACCGGAGTGCAAAGGAGTAGAAGGAGGAAGTTGTCAAGAGAGAGCGCCGGTGTGAAGATTGGAGTCTGATTCTCACCATGCATTGGTGTGTGCAAAATCCAATGAAAAACAGCCTACAATAAAACAAAATCATATCCCCATCGAAAAAAATAATGCTGTTTTTAGGGGGTTATAACTTTAGATGTAAACATCGTATATAGAAATGCTATCTAGCATCTGAAAGCTCTCATTTAACATCTACAAGATGTGCTATAATACTTTACGGAATGCAATAGTTTTATCCAACTTTTAGGGGCTTGAATTAAAGCAAAAAATTTGTTTGTTATTTCAGGGCAATTTTTCTGTAGATGTTGGTAAGTTTTGAAAACGTTTCTCACCATAATCCCCATAACTGGAATACCAAAGATGAGCGAAACAAAGAAAGCTTTTCTCCATCTGAAATGAAATTTGTGAATCTTTTTTCTCTTTTGAGTTACTTTTTCACTTCATTGCTGTGATCGAGTCGCCTCATTTTGTCTTCTTTTGAGGTCAGCTCGGCGGTATAGCCCAATCCCTTAAAAATTTTGCTTAGTTTTTTAAAAAACTAAATAAACTAGACAATTAACTATCGTAAATTAATTATTACAGTATTTACTAGAAATGCTTATCGATACATTATCGATATCGACCCTTATCGATAAGAGAAGCGAACCGAAGCGAATCGAGTACTCGATAAGCTATTGATACAAGCTATTGATACTCGAAGGCTATCGATACTCGATAAGCTTATCAAGTATCGATATTAATGATATCAATTATATGAGATTTTATGCGATTTTGTTAAATTCATTTTGAGATTTTGTAACGCTTGGAAAGTTTTCTCCAAAAAATCCAAAAAGTGGCAATAAATTTTCAATTTTCAAATAAATCGGCGAAAATGAGCAAAATGAGCCTTACTTATCGATAGCTTATCGATCGTTATCGATAAGATTAGCTTCGCTTAAGGCTTATTGAGTATTGATATCGATTCCTTTAGCTTCGCTTAAAATGAACCTTACTTATCGATAGCTTATCGACCCGCTATCGATAGCTTATCGATCGTTATCGATAGCTTATCGACCTGTTATCGCTAGCTTATCGAACGTTATCGATAGCTTATCGACCCGTTATAGATATCGAGTATCGATTCGCTTTGCTTATTGCTTATTGAGTTGAGGCTTATTGAGCATTGCTATCGATATCTTTCGCTTCGCTTAAGCGTTATCGAGTATCGATATCGATAAGATCGATAAGGATTTCTTATCGAGTATCGATAAGCATGTCTAGTATTTACGGTATGATTACCTCAATTACCTTACCTCAATGACTGCAATGATATCTCGTGGACCGATGATACTTGGAGCGAACTCAACGGTAGCCATTGAAGTGGCCAAAGAAACATGACAAGATTCAACTCCCTGCAAGATCCGAAGTAATTATACAAAGCTATCAACTGACCTTTTTCGAGATCACATGCGATTCAATCCTATGTGCACATTGTTCAGAGTTGAGCCCACCAATCTAGAAATGGTGAGTAAAATGAGTTTAAAAATGAAATGAACAAACCACTAGTTGAAATTTGTTTTCATTGTCGCCAGAAGAACTGAGTAAAGAAGCTCTGAAAGTTTGGAGTTTCAACGAGTTTCTTTTCTTTCTTTCACCTATATCCAAGGGATTCGATCTCTTCCATCAGCCGATCGGTCGTTACCACTCGTTGATCAAAGTAAACGTCAGCTTTTGCGGCTATCAATGCAACCGTAATTGAATCAACTCCTAGAAATTTGTATTCGAAATCCGATTCAGCAAAATACCCTCCAATTTGCTCATGTTTCTTTCAATGTATTGAACACAGCTTGCACAAGTCATTCCCTCGACACCAAATGTTGCTTTTACAAAGTTTTCTGGCTTTGCCTAATAAACTTTTGTTTAACTATGTAAAGTTTTTCATTAAACCTTTTCGAATCGAACATTGTTGAGTCGAATCTCGACAGAGTCATGTGTTTTTGCCAGATCATTTTGACTGCCAAGTCGTGGTAGCTAAATAATCAAATAAACTTATCTATGTCAAATATACAGTGTTCAAAATTTAATTATGAATATCTAATTATGAAAATGATTAAATATAGGCTTTCAAAAAAGCTCCAAGCCACTTAAACTTTTTCAGAAATTTGAGTTTAAATGGGGAACTTTTTTTGAACAATAGAATTTATCTTTTAGATCTTTTATTATGAATATCTAATTATGAAAATGATTAAATATAGGCTTTCCAAAGCTGAAGGCCAAAAAGCAGACAAAAATTGGCTTAAAGCAGTGGATTCTATTCTAGACTTTATCTCATTGAGAACTTTGGAAAACATTTTAAAATTAATTAGCTTATTGTAAATGTTATAATAAAGATATAGAATCGCAGTTTCATATAAAATCTCAAGATACTGAGGTCGGAAGATCTATGATCTCCCTGCTGCCGCTCGGCATTGCCGACTGAGCCTACCAAAGCATGAAAAGATTCGGATGGGACTGATGTTTTGTGATTTCTCGTACGTTTATTTGTTTTAATTTTGAAATGAAAAAGAAATCCCATAAAAGTAATCTTTCCCTTTGTTTTTATGGTGATGAATTTTTCATATAATCAGGAAAATCTCCAAAAAAAAAGTCAATAAAATTTTGAGCCCAGAAAAACATTTTTCACCACCCTTGAGCCACTTAAACTTTTTCAGAAACTTTTGAGTTAAAATGGGAACCTTTTTTTTGAACATTCTGTAGATTATATAAATAGTATAATACTTTAGTCGGTGCTTTCATTTGAGGCGGTTCGGATCGGGCTCGACCGTTTTGTTCTTCTGTTGACTTTGTGGAAACATCAGTCCAGACTAGATTTTCAAGATTTGTCTGATCGTATTCAGTCTGATCTACTGATCTGCTGATCTGATTATTTTCTGATAATTTTCCCCCAACCTTCTTCTAAAATCACTTTTGTATCAAATCCCATATCGTCGATCGCTTCAGCTGCGGATTCCGCGGTCCATTGTGATCCATCGAACACCACGCGTCCTAGATTTTTCAATTTCACTTACCGAAATCCTATCTCAAACCTCGTTTTTCTTTCAAGTCCACTTTCACATCATAAATCCCAGCTTTAGCTCCCATTGTGTCTTGAATGTTATTAACACACGCATGACAAGTCATTCCTTCAATCGAAATAAGAGCACATTTCTTTGAAATCGCACTTGACGTTGATGCATTAACATCTTCAGCCACTGAAATTTTAAATTATATTTTTATTCAATTCAATTCCTTTTCTTTTGCTTCTGTTTCTTATCAAAAAGCAAAAGAACATAGCTTCAAGAGAATTGATAAAAAAACTCGTGTCAATTCGTCTGAAACAAAGAAAAATTCCTTACCTTGGCTGTCTCTTTTCAGCGACGTGTCAAATCCCATATCATCGATTGCTTCAACGATCTCTTCTGCTTTCCAAACAAGGGGACTGTAGTGAACAATGCCTGAAAGTTCATAAATGTTTCGAAAAGTCCGTAAAAATGACCATAATCTCTTTCTTCAACTAGCCGAATTAAATGATGACCAAATTTGCGTAAAGAATAGAAACGCTTATTCATTTCAGACTTGAATACGAATTCTACCTTCAGCGTCGCTCAACGAAACACGAATGGATATGATGCCGGGTTTAGTCCCAATCGTTTCCTCAATGTTTTTGACACACGAGTGGCACGTCATGCCGACAATGCCAATTACAGCCGCTCGATCCTCCATTTTCTAGAAAATGAAACTTTGAGTTGAGATTTTTGGGATTCAACTTTATGTGAAAAGAAAAGAAAGAAAAAGAAAAGAAAGAAAGAGAAGAAAGAAAGAAAGAAAGAAAAAAGAAATCTTAAAAGAAAAAAATGAAGTCAAAGAGTCAAAGTTAGAACTTCCGAAATCGAAAATTCTAGCTTTTCAATTAAATAAAAGAAAACGAGAAACCCAAAAAAAAGAAGAGTTTGTAAAATCGAGAAGCAGCAAAAAAAAGAAAAAAAAGAAGACAAAGGACAGGGAAATTTTCTCACAGTCATATCGCTTCTTCGCTGAGTGGGCAAGGGGGAGTCATCAATAAGCAGTCGGCTCACCGTGTCCACCATATCCCATTGCAATTCAACTCTTGTTTTTCCACTGAAAATTTATATGATGAACTCAAATGAGTGAAGAAAAAAACAATTAGCAAACAAAAAAACATTAGCTATTCGTCAGGAAACTTAAATAACAAAAAAAGTGAGTTCAAGATTCCGAAAAAGTTGTTTGACGTTAAAAAAAGTTATTGTAATCGTTCAAAAAAAGTTATTGTATTCAAAATTCAAAATCTATTGAATCTGAAAATAATTTGCAGAGATAAACAGAATAAAATCAATAAATAAAAAGAAGAATTGATAAAAGTTGGCAAAAAAAAAAATGACTAAACGGTTGCCACTTGAAAAATTCCTTTCTAGGAAAGCATCGTTTTCAAAAGATTTTTCTATTTAGTTTTCTTCTTATTTAGCGTATTTTTTGATGACTGATTTACGAAAAGAATGCTTTAATATGCTTTTAATGCTTTAAATCCTCTAATATGCTTTCAAAAAAATGTTTATTTGCCGAATTTCATCACCAAACAAAAACAGCTACCCGAAAAAAAAATGACGTCATTTTGGAA